GTCGTCGAAGTCTTGGATGCGGGTTCTATACTCCTTCAAAACTCTCGCGCTCCCTCCACCTCTTTTTCGCTTCTGGTCATCGTATGCATCGAACAACACGATCCTCCAATGGATGAGCACGGTCAACAGGCTCCGAGGCAGACGTCCATTCCCTTTGTGCCCTGCCCATTCATCCCAAACAAGCCACACGACGTAGTCGATCTCCTCCCGGACCTCATAGGCCAAATTTTCGTCGTCCTCGGGGATTGGGTCTTGAATCATGATGTCTTCGGGTTCCATCGCCAGCCGACGCGCCCTTTCCGCCGCCCACTCGTCGTGCCTCGCACGGTCCGCTTTCCCTGGCGCCTCCAACCCGTCAAGCTTGGCCTGCAACTGCCGGCGGTATCTTTTCTTCAGGTGGCCAAAACCCTAATCAGATCAGATAAGTACATAAACAAAGGTTTAGCCGAATTCCACATATTTTGTATCTGATCTCCTGGGAAAGCTGTTTAGCACTCACCGCTTGGACCTCACGGTCGGTACCGATCAGCTCAAACGCCGCCTCGTTGCATCTGTACCGACTGTGGACCGTAGACGGATTGAACGTGCGCTTGTGTATACGAATGATATGTTTTTTCAGGTTTCGTTTGGCCTCATGTGCATGTTCCGGTGCTACAGTTGGGGCGTCGAGTGACCTGTACCCCCCAGGCAGCTTGTAGTGTTTGTTGCAAAGTTCACAACGGACACGCCATTGGCCGGACTCGTCACGGATGAGATGCGAGTCGATGTCGAGCCAAGCGCGCTCGCCCTCGGTGGCGCGTGGTGCCATGTTGGACTTGGAGTGGGGTTTAGGGGTGAGAAAGAGAAGTGTCCCACTGTGTACCCCCGGGGGTACACGTCGCGCCTCGCGTCACCGAGCGTCACCGAGCGCGCGCGCTCTCCTCTCACAGCATCACCGACACCGTCGCGTCACAGCCGATCCGATGCCCTCAGCGACTCGATTCATACCAAGTTACAACCAGCGATTCTGTCTGCGGGACACAAAGATCAAGATCATCGAGTATTTGCACGAGACGAGATATAGTGGCCACCTGGTACATTGCCTGTCCCAGGCGTGAAGCAATACGTAGTCGGCACCGAGCGCGACCTATGAACGCTAGCGCTTGTATGCAAGCGACTCGGCCAACAACGAGAATTGCTACTACGAAGTCATTGACGCCTCAGCACCAAGCTGCCACTATATCGATGCCGACTTTACGCCCCCTTCCATTGACAATTCAGCAGAAAAGGCATTGATTACGCGTAATGCAGCGTCGTATTTCCCTGGCCCTCAGCTAGAACACCGTGGTCAGCTAGCAAGCTCGGACACCTTGCGATCTTGCGTCTGCAGGTCAGAAGTGGTGAACTACCTTGTTCCCTGCTTCTGTTTTATATCTATTGTTCCAGCGCCAACGAATAATCTCGGCTCTCCTTCTCACCGTGGGCACGCCGTTTGAAGAACCCTACGCGAAGCGTGTTATTACGGACATTCTCGACAAGGTTCTGCTGTCACTTCGCCGGCGTCTCGGGGGGTCCGAAGGGGTAATCGAAAAAATTTGGGTGCTTTGCTGTTGGTCACCCCCCAAGCTCTGGGACGAGCTTAACTGCAGTTTGACATTAGGTAGGATGAGTGAGTGCTTTATTTGAACATCCATTATTTGCCTGAATCTACGGAGTAAAATCTGAAACGTTTAGCGCGGGTAAATCGATTTGCTTTGCGATTTGCTTTGCGATCAAAAATGCGTCGCATAATTGATCAACGGACGGACAGTCAAGCTAGTCAAGATGCGTGGAAACTTGTTGAATACCTTTTGCCACACAGGTCGATATCACCTCAACGACTACAAAAAGTTTGGCAATCTACCTCAACGCGCGATAGGCGCACCAACAATATACTGAACAACAGAAATGTAGTCGGATTCGGAATCAAAATGTTGCAGCTCCCAAATCAGAATCAGAACCAGAAGCAGAACCAGAAGCAGAACCAGAAGCAGAATCAGAACCAGAATCAGATCCAGTGTCTTGGTCTTCTGGCTCCGTTTCCGACTGCTCGCTCATCAAAGTACTCTCGGCAGGAGTGCGGTCAAAAGAGACCTGGCCGATATCCTCTTTGAGCGAAAACGTAAGCCCACCCTGTCGCATCAATGGAATAATTCTTCTCAAATTGTTAACGGTCGGCTTCTTGCAATTGGTAGGACTGCGGAAATCACGCTCGTGAAGACCGTTTCCGAGCTCGATAACAAGGGCGGTTGGATCCTTCGCAAGAGTTTCCTGGTTGTAGCTCGTAAGCTTGGAAGGCACGTAGGGCTGAATAGACTTGTTTCTGTTGTGGCGACGACGGAGCGCTTGATCTGCACGGCCACAAAACTTCAGTCATGGGCTGCCAAATGTGGGCGCAGAGCGGTGGAGTGATTGCTTACTATAGTAATCGTCAATGATAATGCGATACCATGTGCAGAGCACTCGGTGAGACGCCTTGTCAACATCACCATGATGAGCTGCTCATCAGTTCTTGGAATCAGCACCAATCTATCGCCGAGCACAAGGTCCGTTCTGAAGCTTGTCTGACAGACCTTCCATCTTGAATTGCTCGTCTCGCTCCTGATTGAACCGGGTGCCATTTATGCATTCCGTGAAGTTAACGAGCACATCGTTCTTTTGAGAACCCCAGCTTTGGCGCCGCATGAAAGCTGCGCCGCCAAGCGTCGAAACGATGAAACGATCATTTTTATTCTCGAGCTTGTTCGAGCCGACGATGACTAACGCGTCGAATCCGTAGGTGTCAGCATGCTGATGAACCTGATGCAGTGCCAAGCTATCTAAGTCAACGGGAGGATCATGAGAATTGAGGAGAGCCCAACGAGAAGAGCTGAATTGTCACGGACCAGTTCGTGTATCGTCTTTTCGTACTTGTGACTCAGTTTAGTGATGGCAGCAGGATCGATTCGCCATCGCTTGAAGGGACGAGTGGTCTGCTCGTGTTCACGCGCTTCGGCTTCACTTGCTCACGCTTCCTTCCATTGTTCATAAAGATCTGGCGAGTCTTTGACTTTTTCCCAGTAGCGCGATCCAATTGTGTTTAGCGAAGAAAAATCTTTCGAGACTTTGTAGGGGTACAGAGTGATCAATTTGTGAGTCAAAGAAGCGTAAAGGAGCGTCTTGAAATGCCAAAATGAACGATCTCGGGATGAGCTAGAAAGGCAGACGCCGCGCTCACCTTCGAGTCCGTCCTTCTCGACGAGACAGTGGAAAAAGCGGCTCGTCTTGAAAGCGTTCCAGTCGTTTGTGTCATTCCTTCGGATCGCACGAGGCATGTACGAGTCGAGGTCGTCGTCCCGAACGCCATGATGCAGACAATACTTCATTGTCTCGAGGCGACGTTGCAAGCCATAGAGCACATGGGGCTGCTTCTGCGACGACGACATTCGCGAAGTTGAAGGCAACGCACGAACGGCATCATGGAGAGCTCGAATCTCTTCCTGAATCTGTTTGATTTGTTGATCAATTGAGTTGGACGAGGTCGGCCTTGAGGCGAGCGGTGTGCTTCGTCCACATTCGGGAGTCGCGCCGCTGGGCGCAGGAAGGTGGTTCTGTTGGGTCTGAACCGTAATTGGAGACAGTACGGACCCCATGTCTGCGCTGTTGGTCGATTGCACCGAAGCAGCTGTGCAGAAACAGCGAGGAACGGTGGTGAGCAGAAGGACCACCCATATCACAAACACGAGGACGCGTCTCACGGGTGGGAGCGGCAAAGTCTGACGCGTTGCTGGGAGCAGACAGGCTGGACATATCGGATCGTCGGATGGCGTCAAGTATAGATATATGACGAAGAGCGTAACGGCGACAGGAAGGGGTAAGACCAGGACTGCACGTGGTCGATAGCGGCGTGTCAAGCGTGAAGAGGCGTCAAGTCGCTCGTTGTCACTCAGTGTCGCTTTGCGTTTGTTAGCGTGGTGAAAGGGCACGAGACTCTATCACGTTCAATAATGCCATTTTATCACTTTAGTAATGATGTTTCCTAATCGAACCTCTCCTCGCTGATAGTTTACCGAAAAAATTGACACTGAGTGTTCCAAATACGAATTACACACTACGATGACTAAAATAACCTGATTTGAGCACGCACGTACATGAGATGAAACTGTTGGAGCCCACACAAGCCTCCGTGTGCCCCTGGCCTCGGGCCCTCAAGCAACCCGGGTTGCAGGGGGAGCAATCTGTATGAGTACGCCGCTTAAGAGCGGCGCTGGGAAGGGCGCTGCGCGCGCCACTTTTTGGTGTGCTTAGATATATAGCCAGAGGTGCAGCCAGGGCCAGCTTGTGACGGCGTGTAAAGCGGACCCGGTAAAGCTGAGCCGCTCAGTCCACTGCGGAAAACGGCGATTTTGGGCCGATTCGTCCATAGGGAGAAGGTGTATGAGGGGTCGGTCTGTCCCGATTTGAAGTGGGTATCTACGTGAGAATCAATTTCACTTGCCTATAAGTTGCTCCTCAATAGTCAGGAACGCCAAAAATCGCTCCGACTCGGATCCGTTTCAACGTCACGTGTGCTCGGACGAAATTCACCCGGTAAAAAGGGCCGCTAGAAGATGAGGTGCAGATGCATGTTTCTAACAGATCGACCACATCTCTGAAGACTGTCACTGCAACCTCCGAGATGCAGCAAGGGGACAAGAACAAGGTACCATGGCAGCTAGACGACGACGACGGCGAGAACAACATATGGAAAGGGCTGGGAAACGGACTGGGATACAAGGATTTTTGGAGGGGGGGGGGCATGCCGAAGCAACTTGACATAGAGGCTATAGAGACAAGGGTGGGGGCGGGGGGTGAAAAGGTTCTGACCAAGACAGGGCACAGAGCGCACAACAGCGGGTAACCGACAAGGAGAGTTAATCCAACAGAAAGAAAGAAAAAGAGGAACGCAAGAACATAAGAAAGGTGAGCCGAGGTTCGAGCAAAGACGAAGACCGAAGGTGCGCTCAGCCCATCGCCGAAGCCAAAGGCGACTGAGCAGATGCGCGAGTGGGCCTGCAGAGGAACAGCACATCGTTAGCATCCTTCAACTCAATTAAAAAGAACAAAGAAACGCATCCCGCGAACCCACATGAAGGGATAAGGTGGCCAGATCGATGGATCGGTCTCGATGACCGCATCCTCGCCGTCGTACTCGGCTTGTTCGAGCTCCTCGGCCTCACGTTGCTCGATCCCGGCCAAAGCGCGGCCCAAGGATCCTCGCCGAACAGCGGCGGCCTCAATTTTGCGGGCACACACCTCGCACATGGCCGTCGTAGTGGTGCAGGCGCCGCCACACGTCGCCTTGAACGAGGCCGAGAGATCGCTGCCCAGCTGAGCCGACGGGTGGCCAAGTCCACCACGAGCGGTCGGAAACGGCGAGGCATACTCGGACGGGGTCGAGGCCGTCACAGACGTGCCCGTGGCAATTGACGAGACGGAGGCGGGGAAGAGAGGCGAGAGCGGCGACAGGTTTGTCGACGACGACGACTCGGACGAAAACTGGCGGTTGTGTCGAACAATGTGGTCAGGACGAATAGGAGATGGACGGCCTCGAACGGGGATAGGCCGTACAGGGACAGGAGGGATACTGTCATCGGGGTATCCTCGTGAGCTCGGAAGGGACGCAGGCGATTTGCCGGGTTGTGGAGTGGTGGCCGATGGCGGGAGCGGGGATGAGGGTCGAGGCGCCCCAGAGTGCGAGTCGATTCGAGGAGTTGCTGGCGATTCATCTTCGACACCGCCTTCGGCAGGGGCTCCCGACGAGTTTCTCGAGGGCGCTCTGGGTACAGGAGCAGGCGAAAGCTCGAATTCCTTGCCGAGTGGTGCCTGTCGAAACGCTTCGTCACCCTGGAGGGAGATGGCCTCCCAAGCGATTCGGCCGTCGCGCAGTTTTTCAGCAAAGTCGGCAAATTCTGCCGTCAAAGACCAAGAGAGGGTCAGCGCTTGCAGTGCGGATGGTTTCCATCCCACCAGAGAAACTCACCATCGACGACTTTAGCCATGGCATCAAACAGCGGCTTGGCGAACAAGTCAATGAAGCCGACCTGGCTCTTGGCCTGCGCCTTGGTGTCGACGTGATCAATCGTCATCACCGAAATGGGGAGACCATATTGTCGCTCGGTCGCGGCTTGGACGCTCCATTCCTCGAGCAGAGCCGTCGACCATGCCCTCGATATGCGATGCGGACGCGTTGGGTTCGAAATGTCGGCGCACTTCATGAGGCCCGAGCACAGCAGCAGTCGATCGGATTCGAGGCTGCCGAGGTCTGACTCTCGGCGCTCATCGAAGCGTCGGCCTAGGTCGGTGATTTCGTTGACGAAGCTGAAATGGCGCGACATGTCGGTCGCCAGGATCGAGGCCTCGAGCACCTTGCGGAACTCGGTCGCGTTCTCGCCCAGGCACCCGAATTCACCGCCGAGGAGGTGGCCAAACCCGGATCGCCGCAGCATATGGATCAGCGTCACGGTGTGGAAATTCTCCAACACGGAACTGTCGTAGATCTGCGCGACGGGTGTACGAGCGTTGATCTATCGTGCGGGTGCGGGAAGAACGGGTCAGTGATCTATTGAAGGGTGCGAACTTGCATCAGGCAACAGAACATACCATGTAGGCATTGCTGAGGCCCGGATGGCCAACGTCGTGGCCGATCGCGGCGACCATGAGAGCAAACACGTCCATAGGGCGCAAAAGCTCCCCCATGCCGCTCTCTTCGACGGCACGGTTGCGTCGCCACTTTCGTCTCCCCTCGCCAAGGTTCGCATCGTAGTCGTCCTCGCAGAGCAGGTACAGGGGTGGAGCTAACCCCATCCGCACGAGGAAGGAGTAGCACGCTTGCGTGACATCGGTGGCATGTGAAAAATTGTGGTAGCCGTTGCGAGCGTGGTAGGCAGAGCGTAGAAGCAGCAAGAGCGACCTGTATTGCGTGAGGTCAAAGTCGACGCCCTCCATGTTGCGCACGCCCTCGAAGATGATGCCGACGCAGCTCAACAGGTCGTCGGATGAGTGGCCCATCGCGTTGAACGACCACGACTGCAGACTCGCGATCAGCTTGCAGCGCTTTGCTTCCGAAATGACGGGAAAAGAGGTGGCTTTGGGGGCGCTGGGGGCGCTGGCGTGCAGCGGGGGGACGGCGCCCGCAGGCTCATCGATGCGCTCGGACAGCGAGGAGCCGGCCGCGCTGAATGATAACGAACCCGTCGATACGGACGTGTTGCGCGAAGCACTTGGCGAGGAATCAACCGATCCTGGAATCGGGGGCAAAACTTTGGTTGGGATCCTCCCTTCGTCGGACGCGAGCGGGTCGGTGTCGAAATGTACCTCGTCGGTCGGGGGAGGTTGCGGCTCGGAGCACAGGGAGAGCGAATGTGCGAGTAGCGATGCCAGATGCCGTCCAAGTCTGAAAACATACGCCATAGTAGAATGCCCAAAATTCTCAATGGCGTCAGTACCACATCGTCTCGAGCGAGCGGTCAAACCCTTTGCGCGTCAACGGCCTCAAATACCTGCCACTTACAATCGATCTTTACCTCCTTTGGCGCCCGCACCTACGAGACCGAACTCTTTGTCTCCTGCATCCGGCCCCACCGCTTCCCGCACTCTTCGACTCGGTGCGCCATTACCCTGACGATGCATCCCCACACCAAGGACGCCGACGTCGACCGACCGCCGCCGCATAAAGTCGAATTGCTGCCGCGTGACAAAGGTTGACGACGGTGCGCCAGTTGCTCCCGATGTGGTCAAGGGAGGATTGGCGTAGTTGGTGAAGAAGGGGTGCGCTTGCGCCGACGGCGCCGCCGGCGATCGCAGAGGTGAGGGCGTGCCCCCGAGGGACGCTCGCCTCGACCCTGGGGAACTGTGGGACATGAGCGCGGAGAAGTCGGCCGAGCCCGCACGGGAAGCGGACCTCGTGCGAGTCGAGGACGAAGTACTGATGATGCTCGCTTTCCTCGGTGAGATACTGATCGACAACCTCTCTCTGCCCGTCGACGCAGGCGAGGACGGGTCCCCTGCGCGAGGACCGTCCGGGTACGCCGACGCCGACGAGCCGGAGGAGCCAGCCACCGCAGACCCGGCGCCGCGGTCAGCCATCGAGCCGCCCGAGCGCCGGCCCGACTCCCGCGGCGTCGAGGTGGTGGGAGGGGGTGAAGGTGAAGGTGACGATGACTTGCTCGTAGACGCAAAGGGTGAGACAAAGGTGATGCCACTCGATGCAGAGTACGTCGTCGGGCTCGGCGAGGAGTCGGAACCGCTCGAGGAGGACAGGTTCAAGGTCGACGCCGGGCAGTTGAGCGCATGCAGTCCGTCTGCGGTCGTGATGGAGCCGAGCTTGTTGGCAGAGGATCGGCGTCGACCGTTGGGTGGTAGCAATGGATAGCTCGCACGGGTCACCAGAGGGTGCAGGACGGTGGTAGCACCGGATCCGAGGCTTGGCGCTGCTTTGGAGCTGGCCCCCTGGGCGAAGGGGTTCGTAAACATTGCTGGTGCCCTTGCCGGAAAGCCCGTCACCGACGATGCAAGAAAAGATGGTCGCTGATGTACACGAGAACCTGCAAGTAGTGACGCGTCGAGGTAGCGGGGCTGTTGCAAAACGACGCTCCAAGTCAGGCTGGATCGGTACGATCGGACGCGCGCGGCGAGGCGAGACGGGGCGAGGCGAGCAGCTGATGAGAGCCGACGAGTGTCGAGAGCGCCTGACGAGGCCTGACGAGAGTTCTACTGGCCACGAGATAGACGAAACGAGACGAGACGAGAGGTCGTGCGAGGTCAAAAGGTGTTCAAGCTGAGTACAAACAGGGGAGGGGGTCCTGCAGCAGCTGGCACTCGCAGGCCAGGCTGTCAGAGTGGTGGGTGGGCGCAGGTAAGGCGTCCAGCGAAGTTGGAGCGAGCGTTGGAGCGAACGGAGGTGAGTGAGACAAGGGGGCCGGGGGGGGTCGAGCACGGCGCGCTGCGTTCTGGGCGACCGGCGTCGAACTGGCGTCGACCGGCGTGGCGAGGCGTGACTAGAATGAAACGAGCAGGCGGGCGGTGTGCAAACGGAGCGATCACCGTTATCGACTCACCGTGCGCTCCGAACAATTGGCAAGATGGACAATTGCTCCGATTGCTCAGGACCCCACGTACGGGTGAGTGCCTCGCTTACTTGCGCAGGTGCCTTGTTTTTACTTGGCGCAATTTGTGAACCCGTTTTTTTTTTTTTTTTTCCTCTTCTGTCGCTTTTTACTCAGGTCAAGTTCGGTCCCGGTCACAGTAAAAAGACGAACTTCGCCATGCTTGGCAGACTTGTCGCGGCGCCGTCGATCAAACACGGCGGGGCAGGGGGCAGGCCGGCAGGCGTGGCAGGCTGTCTGCAGATCTCTGATCATGCGCTCGGCGCTCGGCCACTGCATCGTGCAGGCCTCTGCCTCTGCACAAACTTTCGTTATTGATGGCTCGAAAACATGGTTTCCAAGAGGAGCACTGTTCTGCAAGCTTTCCGAGACGTACGTTCCATCGAGGTAGACCTTCTTTTCATGACGGTTGCATCTGGCTCGCCACGGGTAGGTCGGATCAATAAAGTTTGTTCGCTTGTGGCCAGTCCTGGCCTGCGAGGGCAGCAGCGATTTGCCGCTTCGGGAACTTCATTTTAAGCAAGGGCGGCGATCACTACGTGCGAACAGTGTAAACGCGTTTAAATTAAAGCAGACCCATCCCTAGGGTGCTGGATTGGCCCCAATCCTGGGTTTGGAGGACTTTTCGATCTTGGGTCGGCATAAGACACATTGCGCCGGTGGCCTCGACTCGATCGATCGCAGGCTGGCAGCGGAATGACCCCTATTCCAACGGGCCGGAATCTGAATGGCACAGTTCGCTGAAAAGCATGCGCTTGTGCTCTACTCTGGGCTACTCAAAGGTCCTGTCGGTGATAGTCCATCCCCCATACACCTCACGTCCTTGTGAAGGGACGTGCCGCGGGGGCGATCAGACCTGCAAGCTATACCGCCATTCGTAGGTAGATTGTGAATCCTGTCCGGCCCCTCTCTGAGCAAAACCCGGCTGGCTCGGAGTGACAGATGCCTGGGAGGCTCTGGGAAGCCTTGGGATCTTGGGAGGCTCTGCACGGAAACTTCTGAGGAAGGCGAGCGCGCTGGCTCAGACTGTCGGCCTCACCCCACTCACCGCGCTTGTCGTCATCGTCGTCAGCTGCCCTACTCCGCGTACGGCACGCACGAAGCTCTCTAGGATTCATCCACCGGCTGGACGCATAGGACGACCTGCACTCGAAACTGGAAGCGTCACTGGGTGCCACATCAGCGTCGTAGTGCAACGGAGCGGAGCTTGAAGGTCATCTCGGTCGGCGCGAGTCGCCATGTTCGAACAGGATGTTGCAGGCGAGCATCCTCCCAGAGCTCGTGCCTCGACCACGGACCTGAGTACAAATCGCAATACTTACCCAAAGTGTCCTCTTCCCACTCTTCAGGGCTGATCAAGGCGCTGCGAGCCAACAAGAACGACGAGCAGAGCGTGATTCAACGTGCGCTCGACGAGACTCGCAAGGAGATCAAGTCGAGCGATGTCGAGGTCAAGGCCGCAGCCGTGCTGAAGCTCGTCTACGTCAGTATCAAGACGTGCAGCCGGTCTTGTCCGCTGTGATTACCGGTACTGATCCCGTCGTGGCCACCTCGCGCAGCTCGAGATGCTGGGCCACTCCATCTCGTTCGCCGCGTTCGCCATCGTTGAGTGCATGACTTCGACAAAGTACCACATCAAGTCGATCGGCTACTTGGCTGCCTCGCAGTGCTTTGACCGCGAGACAGAGGTCGCCGTGCTCGTCGTCAATCTCGTCAAGAAGGTGAGTCCAGTCCGGCCGCTTATGGCTCGCCAACCAAATGACGACACACGCTGAGCCCAGAGCGACCCTGACCGGGCAGGATTTGCTGCAACCGCCTACACCCTTGTTCTCGACCTCGCCTTCGTCGATTACGGTCGCGCACCTTTCGTCCACCTTGTCCGCCGTCTCGCTCCTGCTCACCCCGTCGCTCGCGCGAGATCTCGCTCCGGAGCTCTTGTCGCTCCTCACGCACTCGCGACCCATCGTGCGCAAGCAGACCGTACTTGTCCTGTTCAGGATCAACCGTACCTGGCCAGGCGTGAAAGAGGTCGCTTCGGGTCGCGAGGAGCACGGCGAGGACCCCTGGATTGAGAGGTTGCGAGAACGACTCAGCGACGAGGATGTGGGGGTCGTGTCGGCGACCGTGAATCTGATTTGTGAGCTGGCGAGGAAAGACCCGAGAAAGTATCTGCCGCTCGCGCCAGAGCTTTTCGAGCTCTTGACGGATTCGACGAACAACTGGATGTTGATCAAGATCATCAAATTGGTGCGTCCGCGACACCTTGGATGCGTCGCTAGGCAGCTGCCGGCTCATCTCCCTCACCGGTCGTGCTTTTTGCAGTTCGCCGTCTTGACACCCGAGGAGCCTCGTTTGGTCAAAAAATTGGTCCCGCCATTGACCGAACTGATAGAGACGACTCCGGCGATGTCTCTACTGTTCGAGTGCATTCAGACCTCGATCGTCGGAGGTATGCTCAACGGTCGCGAGGGAGAGGCATTGGCTACCACCTGCGTCGAAAAGTTGAAGAGCTTCTTGGAAGATATTGATCAGAACTGTGAGCTTAGCATTTGTGCGCTCGGCCGGAGCTGTCCTCGCCGGAGACGCTAACGTCGAGCTCGCGGTCCTCGGCAGTGCGCTACATCGCTCTCGTCGCGCTCGTGAAAATCCTGCCGACGCACCCGCACCTCGTTGCGACGCATCACGACACGATTCTCTCTTGCGTCGACGACCCCGACATATCAATCAGGATGCGGGCGCTCGATCTTGTCGAGGGGATGGTGAGACCCTCACTTTCAGCCAGGTCGCTGGGGTTTTCGGAAACCCGGTCCGGAACTGACATCTTGGGACAATCTTCGTTGCTGTCCACCCAGGTGGATCGCAGGACGCTTCAGTCGATCGTCCACCGTCTCATGACGCACCTACGTCCCCCGTCTTCGTCCTCGCAGACCTCGGCCGCGGATGCTCTACTCCGAGCTCAATCAGGAGGCGCCAGCCTCGATGGCGCGACACCAGCCGCGACGGCCCTCATCCTCTCGCCCGCCTACCGCTCTTCGCTGATCTCCCTCATCCTCAGGATGTGCGCAAGTCAGACCTACGGCAACATCGTCAACTTTCCCTGGTACATCGACACGCTAATAGAGCTTGCGTACATCTCTTTGACCATCATCGACGAGTCTTCTCCCGTTTCCACGACTGCTGGATCTGCCCTGGGGATCCCTCTCGGACTGCAAATCAGGGACTCACTCATCGACCTGACCGCGAGGGCAAAAGCCATCAGACCTTATGCCGTCAAGAAGATGGCGCAGTTGATTGGCGACGACATCTTGTTGGAATGTGGGAACGAGAACGGTGTCGGAGAAGTGTTGGGTGCAGCGGCGTGGATCTGCGGAGAATACTGTCGGCAAGTGCTTCCTTCCCCCGCAATCAACGAGAAATGAGTTGCTCGTGCTTTCTGATACTGACGCATTTCATTCCTGCTCTTGTGCACAGCGAACTCGATGATCCGAGACCCGTCATTGCCTCGCTGTTTGGCTCGTCGACAACATCCTCGATGCCGCCTCGCATCATCGCTCTCTATTTTCACAACGGCGTCAAGATCTTCGCTCACTACCTCCACTCTCTCGCGTCTTCCTGGAACGAATCGGACGCAGCGACGCTCGAACAGATCCGGGCACTTTCAACAGCACTCGAGGAGCAAATGCGCACGTTCGCCGGCCACGAGGAAATGGAGCTGCAGGAACAAGCGGCGTCGCTGGGGCAGACCCTATCTTGGGTCCGCGCCGGTCTTGACCACCGGCTTCCCGTCTCAAACCAAGTCGGTGGATTCGGGAGTTCCTCTCTGGATCCTTACGACCCCATCACCGACGACGCCGTCGGTGCGGGGCCACTTGCAAAACCCGAGCCAGCGTCATTGCGGTGGTTAGAACCGCTTTTCTTTGCGCACGAGTTGAACCCGGTCAACCCAAAAGCTCAGGGTATGGTTGCCGTTCCCGAAGGTCTTGATCTGGGGAAGAGGATCGTGATGAGGGATTCAAGTGTCTCGGGCATCCGTGATGAAGAAGCCAGCGGCCAGGTGGACGCCTTCGGTAGAAGGTTGCAAGGTTCAGGCAGCGACGAAGCCTTGGAGAAAGGCAAGGCCAAAAAATCACGGACTAAAGGTACCAAGGAGGGCAAGACGCGTCGGAGGAAGGCATCGCAAGCAGTCGAAGAAAATGACGATCCGGAAGAGATGGCGCGGGTGAGCTTTCCTACTCACTTCTTCGTCGCAAAGCGCGTCCTTCGTTTAGGGAGCTGAATCATTTCATCAAACAACTGGTTTGGACACAGCTACGAAGTGAACGATTGGAACGGCAACGCGATGATCCGTACTACGTAGGCTCGACACCAGCGGGAGGCGCAGGGGACTCGGATGACGTCGATGCCATACCTATCGTCCGCCTCGACTTAGGCACGCTCACGTCCCAGCCCCGGACTCCACCCCCGCCAAGGGAGCCGACCCCACCCCCCGTCCACATCGATGTCCACGGGGAAATGCCGGCCATCGCACCGGCGCGTTTACAAACACCGTCCTTGGGGAAGGCTCCAGGAAAGACGGACGACGAGCCTTCGACAGCGGCGGAGGCGCCACCGCCAGAAACTCAGGAGGCCGAGGAAGCGCAAGCGAGTGCGGTGGTGACCAAAGTCGTGAAGAAAAAGAAGACGACTCCTAATAGCTCCTTGTTGGTTGGGGCGGCCACCGAGAAGAAGAAAAAGAAGAAGGTGAAGAAGGACTCCTTGACCACACCGGCCGAACCATAGTCAGTAGCCCTATCACTGCGTTGTCGTGCCAGTAGAACGGTGCAATCGAGTCCGGCCAGAGAACATGAGGTGGCTGGGAGCACGTGTGCACTTATGTACTCCAAGACTAGGGCTCGCTCCCTGCGTAAATGAAGGTCGCTGCGAGCTCCGCCCGCACTTCCCGGACCGTGGGGGGGGGGGAAGATCCGCGCGCGCGCGCGCGCGGCTGAGAGATGTAGATAAGTCGGGCATTCTTTTATGTAGATGTAGATAGATGTATAGATGTAGATCAAGATCTGCGAGGGCGATCTCCGAGCTTGCAGGTACTTCAGTTACTGCGTAGGCAGGTTGCTCCAGATCGGCGTTTGAAAGCTCTTGTTTCAGGCTCCTCGGTTCTCGTGCGCTAGCGCCATCGAAGGCCTCCTCGGCGGCGTGACGATCCGTGCCCTGGAAGCTAGGGCAGTCAGCTCCTGTCGATCTACATGTGGTACGATCCACTGACACGTCGTGGTAGCGCGGGGATAGGTACCATCCGAGATAGCTACCTAGGTAGGTGCCTAGAGTGCTTTGAGTGTTTCGTCATTCCACCCGACCGCCCAGCCTTTCAGTTGGTTTTCGATTTCCGCAGTTAACATCGATCCGATGCCTCGGTTGGACCTTCAGCGGCACAGTCCTCGTCTAGAAGTAACATTGTTAAGAACCTCTAGGGATATTTCAAACTTGCTTCTTTGGCCTCAAGAAAAACGCCCTGGTGATGCTCGAAGGAATAGAGAGCACGGTTGGAATTACAGCCATAGGTCACGTGATCATCTACTCAGGCTCTACAGCTACTGCACGGACACTGGGGCCCGGCTAGCTCCAGAGGGGAGGTGTGAGCTTGCCAGGGAAGATGGACTACAGTGGACTCACATTATGGCATGGCGTTCCAAGAACTGAGGACGAAGCGCATGGCTAGGCCCACGTCGCCTTCCGAAACCGGAGAGCGCGCCAAGGAGCTCGAGCCGAAATCGAATTGCGCGCGCAAGCCATACAGCGCGCAATTTCGTGCTTCGACCGGCTCCAGAAACTGGAAGGAGGTTCCACCAATGTCATCCCGGCCAACTCCAGCGCCGAGGAGTGTGACGTTGCTGGCCCATGGATCGCGCTGGAGTACTTTGGGGCCGACAATTCAAATCAGGGACAAAGTTCGTAGGAAGCTCTAGCCTCGCCCGGAGGGTAGGGCTTCTGGCATCAAGAGTTATGTGCCTCGTCAACGATGTCTTCATCAAGCTAAAAAATCGGCCGCGCCGACCGCGAATGCGCCAGCTTACAGCCAAATTTCTGACTCCAGCGTTGTCGCGCACTCTCCCTTCTTCCACAACCTCAAGTGAGGACATATAAAGACCATCTTCTGCTCTCGCACTCACCGCCGTGTTAGACACGACCTTACATCGCCCCCGTTTGCGACATTAAACGAGCCCGCCAACGCTGCAACTCCTGACCCCACCAGGCCCGAGCGTCTCAACACCTCGGCCTGAAGATCGGATCGATCAGAGCCCGATCGCCATCGGAACGACGTAGACCCTATACTGCACTCGTCAGGACACTCGACGTCCTTTCGCCTTTTTGTGTTTATTACCTCTGACCTTTCGAAGAATTATCCACGACTCACCATGCGTTGGTCACTGCATTCCCTGCTCATTTCGGCTCAACTGATCGAGGCGCGTCACAGCCTCCACGCCAGCCACGGCGTGAGCGTCGAACGGAGGTCGCTGAGCCCGGAGCACGTCGCGCCGGCGCATCGCCCGATACAGAAGCGAGGGCTACTCTGCGGTCTTTTGGGATTGTTCTGCGACTACTCCTCGGATGCCAAGAACTGCGGGAAGGCCGGCAAAGTATGCCCCAGCACGGGGTGGAGGAACGGCAACGGGGAACCGGTCTGCGTGAACAACCTTTGCGGAACAAATTGCAACAGTGGTTACGCCTTCTCTTAGCCTCTGATGACCTGCATTTCTACAACAAACGATACCAACAACTGGTGAGTGTCGCCCCTAAATCTGTATTCCAGTCTTGAGGCGGAGCGGCAGCTAGGAAGAGCTGAGGAGGCATGATGGGACGGAACGGCTAGGAGCCGGACGCGGATCAGAGGCCACCTATTCGCCGCTTGCCCCGTCTTCTAGTGGAGCCATCGGCACGATCTGTAGCTCGTCCAACGCGTCAAGAAACGCGACCGCTCTGGCATGCGTCGACAGTATATGCAAAGCTACGGCTTGCTCCCCAAAGTTCCACGTCGAAGATGGGGTATGCGTCAAGAATATCGACACAACCTCGGACATGAACAATTGGTAAGTGATCCGCCCATTGCAGAGTCCCATGATCTCAAGAGCGAACGCTGATGGAAGAGATACAATGGTACAGTGGTGGGATTGGGAAAGTCTGCTCTACGTCATACACCAACGTAAGTTCATCGGAAAACCGCCGCTCTGGCGTTTTCACCGCATCGAACCAGCTGCTGAACCAGCGCATCGTGTCGTGTCACAGGGCGTGGGTGGAGTTTGCTCGAACAGCGTGTGCCAGCCAGAATTGTGCAACACGGGTTTCGCCTTCAACTACGCGACCTCGAAATGCATCAATAGCATGACGGACAACAACAACTGGTGAGTCCGTGCTCCGAGGTTGGCCCGGTCTCGTCCCCTGTTAATTCTGCTCTGATATGGGCTGGTTATGGCACACTAGTGGTGCTGTGGGCAAAGTGTGCAGCTTCCCTTACGGCAGCGGTAGTTGCATAGCCGGGACCTGTTTGCTCTCCTCGTGCAACACCAACTACTATAACATTAAGGGGATCTGCACCTACATCGATGTAAGCTAATCGGGCGGACCTGCTTACAGCGGTGTCGCCGGTGCTTCGCTGACCCCTGTGCTCCTCTCTTGCCTCTGCGCTACCCACAGTTAACTAGCAATTCTAACAACTGCGGTGCCGTCGGAAACAAATGCTCGTTCTCGAACGGTCTCGGCAAGTGTATCACCTCGGACTGCACCTACACCTCTTGCTCAAACGGGTTCGCCTTGATCAACAACACCTGCGTCGCCGTCGACTACCAGACTGATATGAACAACTGCGGGAGCTCGGGTAACACGTGCCAGTCTACCTACTTGAACGGAGGATCTGGCTCGTGTGTCCAGGGACAATGCTTCTCCGTCTGTGTCACCGGCTACACCTGGGACGCGACGCACAGCATCTGCCGGGTGACGTCGAGCGACGTGTACAACTGCGGAGCGATTGGCAACATCTGCAGCCCGCTCGGATCCTTGCCCTCGATCTGCTCCAACTCACAGTGCTATGCTTCGGCATGCCTTCCCGGCTTCGAACTCATCGCCGGCGTGTGTTACAAGATCGACACAACCTCCAATGTCAACAACTGCGGCGCGCTCGGCGCGGTATGCAGCTTCTACCCAGTCGGCGCCAGCGGCGTGTGCACCAACTCCAAGTGCGTCATCACCACATGTCCCGCCAATTACTCGCTGTCGACCTCGGGCGTTTGCGTCGCTGCTGCCGTCTCGCAGCGTCCGCGCGTGGCCAAGCGCAAAGTCGTCAAACGGACGCCGTGCCCCAAGGGTGAGACCCCCTGTCCTATCAAGGCCTCGGCGTCGTTCGAGCTCGCGGTCACGCAACACTTCACCGTACCGCACGATGAGTACACGGGGATATTTGCCGGGTTGGGGGGCTACGAATGCCTCGATACGCGCGAATCGCTCGAGTCATGCGGCGGTTGCTCGAGCACGGACGAGGGGCAGGACTGCACTGTGATCAAGGGCGGGCTTGGGGTCGGATGCGATAACGGATCGTGCGTTGTCTTTTCGTGCAAGGAAGGGTGGAAGTCCAACGCGCGCGGGACCAAGTGCATCCGGGCGAAAAACAACGCCCAACCAAACGCCACAAGAAACGCCGCTGCGGCCGTCAGGAAACGCGAAGCCGCTGCGGCGCACCCTCATCACCACATCCGTGCGCTGCATCAACACTCGCACTCGCACGCATCTAGTCTATGACATCATATACCTCGACCATGCCCTCCTTCTTGTATATTTTCCCAACCCTTGTAGCCTTTTCCCCTGCCCGTCGTTCTTAGCAGTGCCCATACTTTCGTGATAGATTCGATACCCCTCAACCCTTCGTCGCCTTTGCTCTGTCCACGAAGCTTTTTTCCAGTGTTCCATATAACGATATCCGCGCGTCTGTTTCAAGCCATCAAGGCCTGATATATCATTTTATTCCAAAACGACATGATCCATCCCCTGATCTCACACTTCGCGCCCAGGTGGTGAACATACTCACTCTTCAACCTCGAGCCCGAGCTGTCGCGCCTTGAATCTGCACCGGGGGACATTCGGGTGTCAGACAAGAAGAAAAATGTAAGAGCCAAAAGGTCGTGTGTTGCTCACCTCGACATCTTTTTGGGTTTCTCGTGGGGCAGCGTCGGCGCTTTCGGCGTTACAGCAGCTGGCATCGAATGGCCCATGACGGGGTTAACCCGAGGGGGCGCCCGCTCGACCACGTTACTGAGTGCTTCGACTTTGGGCGCGACCTTGTCCTCTCGAGCGAGTTCTTTCTGCGCGAATGTGTCCAAACTCTCCCCCTTGGCGAGTTTCTCCAACGCGATCCGCACCCTTTCCCTTTCCTCAGCCGTCATGCCGTCGTCGTCGCCTTCGCTGTCGTCCTTGCTTCGATCAGGATGAATCGACTTGGCCAACAAATCAGGGATGATCATTCTTGTCGCTTCCAATCGACCGTTTCTGAACCTTGACCCGCTGACCCCACCTCCACCAGCCTGACGTCCTTGCATCGTCGCTTCGACGGGTACGGTCTCTTGCTGCCATGCGTCGTAGCTCGCCGCATCTCGATCCCCACCAAGGGGACCCGTCCCCGCCCCAGCTCCCAACCCTTGGCGTCGCTCGTGGTACGCCAGTGCGATCTCGCGCTGGTGCAACGCGGCGTCGATGTCGACGTCAAAGTCGTCGTCGTCATCGTCCGAACCGTAGAAACCGGACGAGGACGAATCAGAGTCGTGGGACGAAGCCAACGAGGGTTGACGCGGGAGATCATCCTCGTCCTCATCGTCGATCTGACCCTCATCTTCGTCGGCTTCGTCGAGGATCTCGGAAATGGACGCTGTGCCAGGCTCATCCGTAGCCTTCCTCGAACCGAACGAGACGGTGTGGATCGGCGTCGGTGTTGGTGTCGGCCCATCCATGCTAGCTCTTGTCGCGCTGCTCGTAGCTACAGGCCTTGGGGGGAACTCGACGACTTTGGGCGGCTTCGCCATTGTCTTGACGTATCCCATTTCTTCACTCTTGGGCTTGTCCACCTCTGAATCCGGAGCGCGATCTCGCCGCAAGCCACGATTGCCGGAAAGGCTGGGCAAACTCGGTGGCTTCACCTCCCTCTCTACCACTTTTTCCTTGATTGGTCGTTCGAACTTGTCCTTGACCGCAGGCTTTGTCGCAGCATCAGTGGGGTCGTCGTTTGCGGCTGACACCGACCCAGGCGGTGGAGGCAAAACTATGGCGGGTTTGCGTGTCTTGTTCTCCCGCTCGGGTTGCTGTTGACCCTGCAGCAAGTCGAAAACAACTTTTTTGGGCGCAGTTAAAGGGACGGGGGAGCCTGATCGAGGCGTGCTTCCGACGGTGGGCGTTCCCGGTGCGGACGGGGGTGGGGTAGGCCTATAAATGGATTTTGAAGGCTCGAGCGAATGGTGTAATGGTTCGTGGGAAGGAACGTCTTGCTCCGAGTTACGTTTTGGTGGTACCGTAGGGTCGGTGAGCTTGGTCTGACCCGGTGCGGGTCTGGCCTTGGGCTTCGGTTTTGGGTTAAGGAAACCCGACGAGAAGCCTTTGCCCGCGAGAAAGCTTTTCGGCTTCGAGGCCGAGGCGACGGGCGTGGGTGCTGGTGCCATGTCGGCCGGAGGGGAAGGTCGGGGTAAAGCAGCCCAGTCGGATGGCCGTGCTGGCTTAGGGATCGGAGTAGACTTCGCGTCGAAAGACGGCGGCTCGGGTGATGCTGGCTCGGCGATCACCTCGTCACGTTGCTCGGCTTCGAGGGCATCGAAAATCGCCTGTATGTCCAGCTTGGAGGTCGAAGCGATTACATCTGTCGTTGGTGTGATTTTTGAAGATTTTTGAACCGACTCTTGTGGCCGAGATGTTGTCGTTGTCGCATTGAGTGGGCCTGATGTTTGGTCGAGGGGAAGAAACAAAGGTTGAGCCGGCGAGGGACGACGGCAATCCGTTGCGCTCCTCGGGACTGACGTATGATTTTTTTACCGCCCTTCTTGATCAGGTATCGCATCTGGACCGGCTTTGCGACTTGCTTCTCCTTGCCCTTGGTGGACGCGGTCGGTGCTTCGGCCAGGCTTTCTTCCGCAGGCAGTTCCTCGCGAATGTCAAATACGGGCAGGCCTTCGTCATTGATGACCTGCGTGTGTATTGTGTCTTGATCAGCTCAAAGGCCAATGATCGATGCTGCCACGAATGGGGCTCACTTCGCCTCGTTCGTTGAAGGACCAATTGTCTTCTTGCGATGCTCCGCCAGCTCGGGCAGCACGCTGGCGGGCCAGTTTGGCCTGTTGCGCCGAGATGTCGACTTCGAGCGCAGTAATGTGCTGCTCCAGAGCTGCGAGAGTCACAAGACGATGAGCGGTTGTTTTCCTCTTCTCGCCCCCGATCAAGCTTTGACGAACCTTGCTTCTTGATCAGGGCCGAAGCTCTCGCTTGCTTCGCACTTCGCAAGACGGGTTCGCTGCCTGCGCCAGCGCTCGACTCGGTTGCAGACGCGGACGAGGTCGAAGCGAGCGGGACAGGTTCGGCGATGTCGTTGGTGTGGACTAGTTGACCGGGGAAGTAGGCCAGTGGACCAAAGGGGATCTTGATCCGGAGAACGAAGGACAGAAAGGTCAGCTCTGCCTTTGCTTTCGTTCCCCACAAGTGGGACGACAGCCGAGAGACAGAGACAGGATGAGCTGACTGACGAACGCATCCCACACGGGTTCGTCGGTGATGGTCTCTAGCTTGATGAGGAGCTTTTCGTACTGCTGCAGGTTCGCCCGGAGAGTTGCGAGACCGTGTTCGAGTGCCAACACGGACGGTGACGACGACGACGACGAGGATCCGGCTGCGAGCGCACCACTGCCGACGGTCAAAGGGATCAGCGACGAGGACGGCACCGGTGACGAGTCCTTGGATGATGGTGACGGGTTGTGGGAGCCTGACATGACGGCTGCAGTGTCGAGTGGGACGAGCGGCACTCGCGCTGACAGGGACGGAGTCAAGGATCAACGTTCAGTGAAGACTCGTGAAGAGAAACACCTCTGGCAGGACACCGCGCGCGCAAGTCGGTAATTGAGCCCATCGAATGACGGCATCCACCGACAAGCTAATCAAGTTTGAAACCACTGCACCGGCCCGGCGTGGTGGGCGTCACTGCGGGGGTCGCTCAGCGGTCCAACACAGTGAATGCCAGCATGGAAAAAGTTGCTTTACGTTGTTCGTGGATAATTCAGGTGAAGCTAGATCCACACTGCGAACCACTCTGACCCGGACCGCACCGCCGTGACGCCGCGCCGCCCGGCCGCCAGTGGAAGTTTCGTTCTGGTTCCGACTCGTCCGGCCCGACGCCGCAGAGGGCCTCAGAGGGCACGGACCTCGTCAGGCGAGTGTCGTTGCGAACCGATCGCTACCGATCGGCGAGCTCAGCTCCCTAACCCTACTCCACTCTAGTCCATCTCTGCTTGCTCTCCCGCCACCCGCTCGGCGAAACGCCATCGCAGACCAAGGTCGGGGATCGAACCTTGCCGGGGTCAACTTGTTCCAATATGGCACCCGCTTCGAAAGCAGCCAAGGGAGACGCGCCGGCCCCGACGTCCAGCGCCAGGGGTCCGTCCACCTCGTCCTCATCGTCTTCAGCCGCCACATCCACTCCGACAGCTCGCAAGCCCAACAACAGACCGACCATAATCAAATCGGGCAACTCGCAGGCATCCAACAAGCCCGTGCTCGAGCCAGGCCAAGAACCACCACCGCCGCCTCTGTTCCCGTCAGTGCCTTGCTCTGTCCTGTCCTCCTCGAGACTTTCGAGACGGGACCCACAATAGCGCCTACGCTCACCTCCCACATTCATCTGATGAATACAGAGTCGGATACAAGACACCTATATCCTTACTCAACGAGCGATGCCAGAAATCCTCGTTCGGCAAACCCGCTATCGTCAGCAAGCAGCTCTCCTCGGGATTGTGGACCGCGACCGTGACTCTGCACCGTAGCCACCCCAAGACCAAGGACCACGAATCCGTCTACATGCGGCCACCACCACCCCCTTCCCCGATCGCAATCGAAAAACCGACCGCACTCGAGGCACGCCATTGGGGCGCCGTGTATGCGCTTTTCAGGTTCAGCAATCATCTGCGACTGAACATTCAGTTACCCCCGACGACGAGGGACTATTGGACCGCGTTGGAGGTCGAGAAGAAGAACAGCGGCAAGGGCAAGGACTGGTATTGGAGCACGACCCCGTTCGAGACCCAGGCAGAGCGAGAGAAGGAAGCCGCAGCGAGGCAAAGCGCGTCGGGGCCAGAGAGGGGCTCAGCCACCGCAACAGGAGGGGGAGGTGACGGCCGGGGGGCTCATGGCGGGAACGCGCATGCGTCCGGGTCGTCGTCTCATTCGAAACCGGCTATTCTACCCAAAGCGTGGACATCGGCACCCGAAGTCAAGATGCCCTCCGCTCTGCGCGACCTCGTCGAAGAGACGATTCGGTCCCTCATGCCGTCGACGTCCTTGAACAACGCCTCCGGCGCGGCGACCCCGCTCGGATCGTCTCAAGATTATTCCGACGACGAGGACGGGCGAAACCCGAGCAATGCCGTACCGTTACCCACAGCCCAAGAGCAGGCCGCAGCAGATGAACTGGTCCATCTCGGCTTCCGAAAAGGCTACGTGTCGACTGCACTCGCTTACGTCCTGACGGCGCGGCATCAGGTCTCGAACGCCTCCTCGGACCCACTGCTGAGGTCGCTGGCTACCCAGCCGTTTAAATCTGCGCTCTTGTCGTACCTGCATCTACACGTCTCGGAAGACGACTTACCAGAGAGGTTCCGAGCCTCCAAGCCCGCCGATTCGAATGCGCGCATCGCGACAAGCCATGGATCTGATGCGCTGGGGAGGTTGTGGAAAGCCGAAGCGATCGCCAAGGACGTCGGCATCCCCGTTCCGATGGCAGTCAAGCTGCTCGAAGAGTGTGCAGGAGAGGAAGGCAAGGTTATCGAGTTATTTTCAAGAAAGCTCAATGGGTGGGGGCAGACATTCGAGGTCGATGATGACGAGACCGACGAGATCGAATTGGAGCAGGTCGCACGATTGAGCGAGGAGCACGTCAAGCAGGGCTGGAGCCAGGTCTTGACCGCGAAAGAGAGGGAACCGCTGCAAGAAAGGCGTAAGGATGAGCTCATGGGACTGGAAGGCATCTTTGGGAATCGATTCAGGAAGACTGACTTGGGGTGCGAGATCCTCGTCTCATCGCTTAAGCCGAGGAGGCAAGGCACGGCGCCGACCGACCAGGTTATACTGCGCGTTCTCTTCCATCCGGCATCCCTCTACCCATCCCCCTCGACCGATCCGGGCACGTCGTCGCCGCACCTTCCTACGTTCTACGTGTACTCGTCGACGCTCCCGGCCTTTATCCGGTTGCACCTGACAGCGTTGATTGCGCAGCAGTTCGTCGTCGAACCTCGAGGCGCCGAGTGGCGCGACCTTGCCCACGCCGGCTATGGCGGCGTCGTTGCCGAGATGGCCACCTTCCTGCAAGAGAACTGGGAGCGAGCCGTGGATCACCCTCCGGATTCGAGGACGGTGTTTAGCAAGTTGCTTGGGTCTGCCAGGTCGATGCGGCCCGGGCAGGCGACGACGGGTGCGGACAAGTCGAACAAGTCTCTGAACGCGTCTCGAGGGCGAGGACCCTCGAGGTTCTTCGTGTCGCCCGCTCAACAGGCCGAGCTCGTTCGCTATTGGACGGAGACGATGCAAAAGCCGGCGTATGCGGACATGTTGGCCGTGCGCTCCAGGCTGCCCGCTTTCGACATGAAGCAGCGCATCGTCGATCTCGTCGAATCGAATCGGGTCGTCATCGTCAGTGGTGAGACGGGTTCCGGTAAAACGACCCAGATCCCTTCCTTCATTCTAGATGACGCGATCGCGAGGGGCCAGGCGGGGTCGATCAACATCATCGTGACGCAGCCGCGTCGAATCTCCGCCATTGGCGTCGCGACCCGTGTCGCTGCCGAACGGCTCGAAGACATCAACGACATCTCGTCGCGCAAGCTGATTGGGTACGCGATCAGAGGCGAACGCAAAGCGGCGAAGGACTGCCGTATGCTCTTCTGTACGACCGGTGTCGTGCTCGCGCGACTGTCGAGGGGTGGCGACCCAGATCTTGCTGGCATCAGCCACATTTTTATCGACGAAGTACACGAGCGATCGGTCGACTCTGACTTCCTGTTGCTGGAGTTGAGGGACCTTTTGAAGCGGAACACCAAGATTAAGGTTGTTCTCATGAGTGCGACGATCAACCAGAAGCAATTTTCGGACTACTATGGCGGCGCCCCCTGCATCGAGATACCCGGGTCAGTTGAGTAGAGTCGTTCTGCAGGCATCCAAAAGCTGACGTGCTTTGTTTTGGCTACTGCGACGACGATAGGTTCACGCATCCCGTCCAGGACTACTACCTGGAAGAGATTGTGCCTCACCTCCGAAACTTTTCGCCTGCGGGCAAGCCGACCCGCAAGGCGACGCAGGCGCAGCTCGACCGTATGCGCGAATCCTTCGTCTCTCGCGGCGTCGACAACGAACGGCACCTTTCGACACTCGAGACGTTGACCCGTTCGGAACGCATCGACTTTGGGCTCGTCGGGGCTACGGTCGCCTACTGCCTCGAAAAGTCACGCGATATTGGAGGAGACGTGCTCGTCTTTATGACCGGTGTGCTCGAAATTAAGAACGCCGTCAAGGCGATCGAGGGCGCCATCTCGTCGTCAGATAGAGTCGAAGTCTTTCCCTTGCACGCCAACTTGACCTCGGCGGAGCAAATCTCGGTCTTTCGCAAGACCAAAGCGGGGCACAGGAAAGTAGTCGTCGCAACCAACGTCGCGGAGACTTCCATCACGATCGATGGGATCGTGTACGTCGTCGACTGCGGCCGCGTCAAGGAGAACCAATTCGACCCCGATACGAGTGTGACCAAGCTCGTCGAGGCGTGGACGAGTAAAGCCAGTTCGAGGCAGCGACGAGGTCGAGCCGGTCGAACGCGGCCCGGGCAATGCTTTAAGCTCTTCAGTCGTTACACCGAGGATACGGCAATGGCGAATTATCCGACGCCGGAAATGGTCAGGATTCCGCTCGAGTCGCTCTGCTTGCAGATCAAGGCGATGCGCGCCGAAGAGGACGTCAAGACCTTCCTGGCCAAGGCGCTCAGCCCGCCGGATGTGCGAGCGATCGACAGTGCATGGGCCACGCTCAGGTTGCTGGGTGCGATCAAGGAGGGAGGGGGTACGAAGTCGAGGTTGACGCCGTTGGGAATGCATTTGGCCATGCTGCCGCTCGATCTGCGGCTGGGCAAGATGCTCGTCCTCGCGGCCATCTTTAAATGCCTCGATCCAATCTTGACCGTTGCCGCGCTCTTGTCAAGCAAGTCCCTCTTTAACCTACCTTTTGAGAAGCGAGACGAGGCCCAGAAGTACGTGTGCTCGTTACGAAATTGAACATCGAACAGCACTGATGGATACTTTGATCTGAGCAGGGCTCGATCGATGTTTTACACGGGCCGTTCCGATCTTCTGTCGGACTTCAAAGCCTTCGAAGGTTGCATTGCTGCGCGAAATGATGGGGGCAATTCTGGGCTGCGCGCGTACGCTGAAAATGTAGGCTACAGATTTGCTCACGCATTCGAGTTTGCGACGACCCCACTGATGCCATGATCTCGTTGCCCTCTTGCCTGCAGAACTTCATCTCGCTGGCGACGTTCCGCGATGTACTTCAGCTTCGCACCGAGTACTTGCACGCTCTCTCCGATGTCGGTTTCATCCCGTTTCGCACGCAAGCCTCCGACGAGGCGCTCAACACCAACGCCAAGAATGAGAATCTTCTCAAGGCGATCATCTTTGCCGGTACGGCCCGGCTCGTCAAGGTCAAGTTGCCCCCGGCCCTGTTCGACAAGGGTGCTAGTGGTGCGATCGAACGCGATCGCGAGTCTAAGGAGGTCAAGTACTTTGAACGCGATGGAAGGGTGTTCCTGCACCCTGGCTCGTTGCTCTTCACCGAAACGAGGTTCTCATCGCCTTTTGTGACTTACTTCTCCAAGCACATCACGACCAAACCTTTTCTTCGCGATGGTACAGAGGTGAGACGGGACTAAAGTTCGGGTATTCGTATACCCAGAGACTGACGAGTTCGGGTATATTTGTAACGACAGGTCCCTCTGTACGGAGTGCTGCTGTTTGGCGAAAAGGTCAATGTCGAACTCGACAGGGGAGTGACGGTCGGCACCGATGGATGGGTCATGATGCGAGCCTGGCCAAGGATCGGCGTCTTGGTCAACTCCCTGCGACGGCTGTTCGACGCCGACTTGGAAGCCATGATTGAAACACCACCCGACTTGCAAGGTAAGTCGTCGATGTCGCGTGCGGCTCCACAACCTGGATGTGTGCTGATGCTTCGGTCTTGACGGGTTCAGGTGAAGCAAGCCCTACAGTTAAAGCGATGCTAGCCCTCCTAGAGAGGGACGGAGGATTGTACTGAGCTGGCAGTTTTTGAGATCTGCAATAACTATCGATCTCGTCTTCCATCCACTGTCAGTGATGCAAGTGTCTTAGTTGAACAAAGGACTGATCCGATGCAGGCCAAACGTCAGGGCCAACCGTAAGACACAATGAGACATGAATACGCGGGTACACACATGAGCCGATGCAGAGCCAAAGGTAAGGTAAAAACCTAAGTTCGGGCTCGCCGGATCAGACCTGTATCAAATTCTATTCAGGCACTCTGGCGCTCGCGCGTGCGCCGCACAGACCTCCTCGGCCGTCTGCCGCTCCTTCCAACTTCTTTCATCCACCGGCTCGACAATCATCACTCTAAAGCAAACACTCGTGTATAAATTTCATTCTAAAAAGGCCAGCCAGCGTGTTTGGTCTTAGAATATAGTGGGGTGTGTGGATGTGGGTGTGGGTGTGTATGTGTAAATGAAAATGAATATGATATGGTTTCGCCTGACAAGAAGAGCTGCCACTGCGACGTCTAGTACTCCTTGCCCTCGGTCGTCACGCCGACGGGACCGCCTTGCTCTTGATCTTCGTTGCGCAGAGTGATATCGCTATGCCTCTCCTCAAGGTGGTGCCCGTCTTCGGCAGGCAGGACACCATTTTCCAAGTCCTTCTCCGCCTGGACCCTTAACCTGTGAGCCCTTCGTCCGGACTTGGAGAAGTTGTAGTTGAGCGGCGAGTCGCGACCACCGTAGATGCACTGCCGTCGGGACAAGGAGAAGGAAGATTCAAATTCAGTTCCCGCTCAGTCCCATTACACGGATTCAGATCGAGGGGAAAACGTACGAGATCGTAAAGCAAGTTACCAAACAACGCTCCGCAGATCGTACCCACGGTCGGGATCCAGATACCATAGCTGTAGCAAGAAGAATGCGACCCCTCCGTCAGCTAGCTGCTCTGCATGCATATGGGCGCAAAAGGCGAGGAGGGGTCCACATGACGTACTGGTAGTTGTCGACCCAGAGACTTTGAGTAGGGGCGCCAACCGCCCAAGAGAGGAGACGAGGACCCATATCACGAGCAGGATTGAGAACGAAACCAGTCTGGTAACCGAAGGACGAGGCGATGCCGACCATGACCAAACCGAGGAGCAAGGGGACCAGACCAGGGGCGGCCGGGTTGTTTCCAGTATCGGTGAAGGCGGCAATCGCACCCATGAGGAGGGCCGCTCCCGAGAAGACGGAGAAGAAGATTGAGACAAGTCCTTCGAGCTTTCCGGCGGGTGCGGTCGTCAAAACCGCAGCAAGATAGCCTTTCTCGGCCGTGTTGAGGGGTCCGTAATAGACACCAAAAAGGATGGCAGCGGCAACGAAAGCACTGAGCGTCCGTCCACGAGGCAAGAATCAGCCAAGGGCGCGGGGGCCAAATCGCTGCACGACCAGATAAAAGCTTACCCCAAGAGTTGTGAAAAGATATAACCAGGCACGCGGCGCCAAGGGAACTTGCGGAAGACGGCGAGCGAGATGGTGACAGCGGGATTGATGTGACCACCCGAGATACCAGACGACACGGAAATGGCGAGCATGAAACCGACACCCCAGCCCCAAGCGATGGAGAGATAGTCATTGGGGGCGTTACGAAGAGCAATGACCTGGGCTTGGGTCTGAGCATGGCCAGCGCGAAGGGAGCGAGAAGAATAAAAGAGGGGTTCAGCGCGGTGCAGGTTCCGCAAGGGAGTGCTTACGGTCCGAAAATGATGTCAATCTCAAACTTACGCCTTCACCCCACAGAACTAGAATCAAAGTACCGAGGAATTCGGCAAGATAAACGCGGTACTTTGAGCGAAAACTGAACCAAGGATTGCGGTCTAATAGCGATGGTGGGTAGGTGGTACGTCAGCTACTAGCGGCATGAAGTACACAACTTCTGCACGTCTTGGTGAGCGGCATTCCGAGATGCTGGAACACTGACAGCGGCATTTCGAGATGCTGGAACACTGACAGTGTTCCTCATCCAAGGAGATTTGTACCCGTTGATGGTGGTGACGAATGTGAGCGCGATGAAATGGATTGCGTCGAACGTGGGATCGAGACGGAACGGAGGCGGGAACGACGGATGTACCGGCACCGTCGATGATGGAGTGGGATCGGCCGGCTTTCGAGGCCTGATCTTGTTGCTGGCCCGTGACGACAACGGTGCCATCCCCGTTCTCAGCCTCACCAGCATGATCGTGACCCACTGGGGCACCGGATACTGGGGGAGGAAGCCGACCCGAGTCTCGGCGCGAGGCGGACCCAGCCGGCGCCTGGCGAACGTCGTCACCTGTGCCAGCGACATGAGAGCCGGTGTTGGATTGATAGTGATTGAAGACGCGGTGAGCCTGTCCATTATTCATGTCCGAAGTCAATGAAGTGTTCATGATGCTATAAGTGGGGAAAGGCGAGAGCGAAGGGAGCAGCAGCACGTGGCAGGAGGATGGGAAGGTGGGGGTGGCAAGAGAGGAGCCAGCATTGAGGCAGCATGAAGCGCAGCTGCCCCCTGAAAGTGCTCGTAATGCGGGTCTCGAGAACTCACGTCTGCGAAACTCATGACGAGGTGATCTTCTTGAGGAACGACAGACATGTTGGCAGCGCAGGGATGAGAAGAAGGCAAAAAGAGTTTCAAGGAGACCGACTCGAGAAGGTCGACGGTTTCAAAGCTGATTCAATATACTCGGTGCGCGCGGTCGCACTCTTGATTGGCAGCTTCGTGTGTCGGCACTACTAGCAGGGTATGGCTTGGAATTAGGCGTTTCAAGTCGTGGGAGGAGGCGAAGATGTCTTTTCGCACGTTCTCGTGATCGTGAGCCTGGTGCAAGAGGTGGGTCACCGCAGAGAGGGAGGGTGACGGCGTCACAGAGGTGCATTGGGCGAGGTCTTTGCACGTAGGAGGTCAGGGACCTGCATCGACAGTCGTCACCAGTGCAACAACGCCACTGAAACGAGATCCGGATTGGCGCGAGACCGCTGTGGACCAGATCCTTGAAAGCCATTTAGCGTTCAGGAACCGGCAGACGCGGTTTACACCCAAGGCGATGACAGCATGGTCATTCGCCTTCGGACTTCAAAGTGATCGGGCGTGATCGGCCGGTCGCGCCGCTGGATTTGGCGGGCCCCCAGTGCCCCGACCCTGCCACGATCGAGATCAGAGTAAAAGCATCATTTTGCCGAATCTTCCCAATGACGTACTCTCCACCATCGATCACCCTGCAGATCCAGCAGTATCTCGAACCAGAGTATTTATAAATTTCCTCCCTAGCTACCCCCTGCCCGGGCCAGAGGTCTAGGGATCTAGGACGACCATGTTCGACCGACGCAATCCGAACCGCATCTGATTATTGCCTTCTTTATATTTCTGATCAGGTACCGCCATCTGTCCGCAAGTTGAGAGGTCTCCCCAATCCAGCTCCATCCTGCACCACCGTTGAGGTGCTGTCCTAAGTATGCTTGAGCATTACTTCATCTGTTTCAAATGACCTCTCCCCGCGAGCGATTAGAAATCCAGCCCAGACAGGGGTCGATGTCGGACCCGGACGCCAGACGCCGGACGCCGACCGAGGCGGAGGCACCCGGATGTGCACAATCCCTCGAGATTCAGCGGTGGTTGGGGCTGGATCAGGATTGCTGGCACTATTACGCGATATCGTGGATGCCACGACCCGAGTTTGCCGGCGCGAGTGGAAAGATCTCCAGCGCCCTGTGGGGTTAATTCAAAGATCGTCCAAACTCCTGATCAAACTCGCCGAGGGCTTCGTCCGGAAGAGACCGAGCCTACCAACGCGAGTCCGTGATGATTTCTCCTCATACTACTCCGCTCAGAGACGGTATCTCAAGCTCATTCAATGTGTCTAGCTGCATTCGCCTTTCGGTGGGTCGGTGACGGCGTAGAAGTTTCGAGGATACGGCACGGAAGTGCTTGCAATGTGCGCCTCCAGTGATGCTCCGATACTTTCGCTCTTGGGACGGTGACACAGTGCCCAGTTAAAATATAACGACTCAGAAGTACCCACGAGCGTGGAAGAACGGCGAGTAATGTATCTGCTTCGAATATCCACATCCTTCGATCTGCCGTGCGGAAGCAACCGCGCTCAGCCTCTCATTTCGGGAGGTCCGTGCGCATGGGTGAGCTTGAACGCGGTTCAACACACTCGGCGAGTTACTCCACGAAGAGAGCAGTCCAACAGGTTCAAACAGATTCCGAAGGTGTGTCGAAAAGAGTAGCCCGGTAACCGGTTCAGCAGGCCGAGAGTGAGACTGCGAGTCTGCGAGTCTGCCAACATGCGGCCTCGCTCGCCGGCGCGCCAGCTGTCTCCCGACCTCGCCTGCCAGCGCTGGCCCGCCCAAGTGCCAGCGCCTACCAGCGCCGCCAGCGCACCTCAGCGAGTCTTCAGCGCAGCTCGGCGCCCTTCGGCGCCCTGCCTGCGTCCTGCGCTAGGCCGCTGTGCTCACAGGCTTCGTCGGTTCGGCTCGTTCCGCAACCCCCCGCCCGATCCATTCGAAACGATGTCGATCAACTTCTCGGCGCTCTTCTCGAACGCGGCTCTGCCGTCGTCCTTCGTGCCTTCTTTGCCCTCGGGCAGCATGAAGTTCTCGGTCCTTGACGGTGAGTTGCGACGCGGTCACGGTGGTGTCGTGGGCGCAGCGAGATCCGGATGACGATCAAGCCCGTGAGAAAAGCGTGTCGTCGTCGAACATCTTGGCTGCCGCACCCTTCCCCACCGCGACGAGCTACAACACCCGTTGGATTCCCAGTGAGCTGATCATGTCTGTTGTTGTGCCGCCCTAGATGCCAAGGCCAAGGCCTCCAAGATCGAGGAGGTGAGTTGATCGAAGACGCGGATTAGGATTGGACGGGCGGCGGTCGCGCTGGCGATGGTGATTCCGACGACGCCCGACGACGACAGTACGACCACGCCCCGCCTCGATCGACCTTCGCAGCCCAAGCCGCCGCCCGGCCGCCCGGCCGCGGCTTTACACTGCCAACAGCACCGCTGACACACCCCACATGCTTCATGCTCCACAGTCCGCCGAGAACAAGCTCGCCGCCGCCAAGTCGGCCGTTGCTACTGGTGAGTGCACGGCTTCTGATCCCTTCGCGAGCGGGGTGCCTTTACCGCCGCGGCCATCGTACACTCGTCGCTGACCGAGCTCCGCCTCTGCGATCGTACTCTCTACCAACCCCCATAGAGGCGCAGAAGATCTCCGCCAAGGTCGACTCGGGCAAGATCGAGCTCTACTCGGGCAAGTACTACTACACGTGCGCCCTCGGTGGTGCCGTCGCTTGCGGTGCGACCCACGCTCTCGTCACTCCTCTCGATTTGGTCAAGTGCCGAAAGCAGGTCAGTGATTCTCGTCGATGCGCCATGTCAATCCCGAGGCGTCACCGGAAAATTGAATGCTCTATCTGCCGTCCTACGCCTCGCGCCGCCCATCCAGGTTGACAAGAACTTGTACAAGTCCAACATGGACGGATGGACCAAGATCATGAAGACCGAAGGCGGCTTCAAGGGTCTCTAGTGAGGCGAAACTCGGTCACGAGATATTGCAGAGAGTGGGATGGGGTTGTTGACGAGATGGCTTCGCTCCGTATGACAGCACCGGTGTCGGCCCCACGTTGCTCGGTTACTCCATGCAAGGTGCCGCCAAGTACGGTTTCTACGAATACTTCAAAAAGACCTACGCCGACATGGCCGGCCCCGAAAACGCCGTCAAGTACAAGGATGCCATCTACCTTGCCGGTTCCGCCTCGGCCGAGTTCTTCGCCGACATCGCCCTCGTCCCCGTAAGTTTGTGAAGGCGAAGTACTTCGCATCGACGCGGCATCCTGAAACGTCGTCTTACCCTTCTCTCGTCATCGCGCACAGATGGAAACCGTCAAGGTCCGCATGCAAACCACGTTCCCTCCCTTCGCCTCGGGCGCCCTCAACGGTGTTAACAAGGTCGTTGCCTCCGAAGGAGCTGGCGCGTGAGTGTCTTCGGGTCGCAGCAGCAGATTTCGTGCCCCCTCCACCCATTCCAGACTGACTCCCTTGCCTGTCACCGATCTTTGTTGCAGTTTGTTCAAGTCGCTCCCCTCGCTCTGGTCCCGTCAGATCCCCTACACGATGATGAAGTTCTGGTCCTTCGAGGGCTTCGTCCAGGCCATTTATGCTCGCATCCCCAAACCCCGATCGGAATGCACCAAGCTCGAGCAGCTCGGTGTCTCGGCCGCTGCCGGTTACGCTGCCGGTGTCTTCTGCGCCATCGTCTCTCACCCTGCCGACACCATGGTCTCGAAGCTCAACGCTCCCCTCGCGCCCGGCGCCGCCAAGCTGACCGTCGGTACCATCTACAAGGACATCGGCTTCAGCGGTCTCTGGGGTGGTCTTGGTACTCGTATCATCATGATCGGTACCCTCACCGCTCTCCAATGGCTGATTTACGATACCTTCAAGGGTACGTTTTCTTGTGCAACTGGCTCGTTGTGCCCGGATCATTCCTGCTGACCCAATGCCCTGACTCCCCGCCCGTCATAGTCACCATGGGTCTCCCTACCACCGGTGCCGCCGAGCCCAAGAAGTAAACGAGTCACCTCCGGCGATTATCGAAGTTTTGATCTTGCTCTTGCGATCTAGTACTCCCCAGACCCTAGACGAGTCCGCGGTACAATCCTCCCTCCCGCCCCCTCCCCGTCCCTCTGTTAGCGCGGACTCCATCCACTCCATATCTTCCTCTCACATTTCTTGCTCTTGTGTCTATTATAACGCCTTGCACCGTGGACATCTGGTTGTTCATGACTTTGGTGACCCCGTGAGATGGGACCGCGCCTCAGTCCGCGTCGGCCCGTGGCAGCCCCGCCCCTTGCCAGCTCCAGCCAAGTTGAGTGTGCCAGAGTGTGCCCCACAAGGCAGCCGCGAAGTGCCTCGGGGCGCGCCGCCTCCCCACTCCCTTGTGTCGCTGCGTCGGCTATCCTTTTCGCTGCGATGCCGACCTTTTCGTCGACGCTGCAGCTATTGTGGTGTGCGGCGAGCTCGCTGCAGTATGGCTTCCACATCTCCGCGCTCAACTCGTCGCAGGACTCGATCCGCTGCGCCGACCACCGCCCTTGGCTCGGTTTGTGGGGCATGCCGGCGTGCGTCGACATGACCCAGTCCGCGTTCGGTCTCGTGACCGCGTCATATACGTTGGGGGGTCTCATCTCGAGTCTCAACGCGAGTCGACTGGTTGATGGCCTCGGAAGGAGGAAGACGGCGGTCGTGGCGGCATGGTTGATTGTCGCGGTCAGTCGGTGTGGGCTGCCACGCTGCATCGCGCTCCCGATTCTAGTCCTCCGGCGGGTGAGGCAAAGCTGACCTGCCTATCTTTCGAAATCAGGGTGGATCGCTGATGGCGATCGGAAGCAGTGTCACCGTGCTCGTATTCGGCCGAATGATTATTGGCCTGTGTGAGCCCCTGTCAGCATGATGCCGTGGGTGCGGTCCAAAACGAGGGCGCTGATAGGGAATGGGCCCGTGAATCTACATGGTGCAGCTTGCGGTATCTCCACCGTTTTGGTGCCTTTGTACATTTCTGAAATCGCGCCAAATCGCGGTGGAACAGGTTCGCGTCTCTCCACATGGGGCTCGGAGGTTCGAATTCGGTCTTTTTGAAGGCAGGCCGCGTCGCTTACCAGCGGTTTCATCGAATTCACCCCCCCTTTACTTCTTACAGGTATTCTGACGCAACTCAGTATCTGTGGCGGTATCTTCCTCGCCCAGGCCATCTCGAGTGGGTTAAATTACGGCATAATTGCGCTTCCCCTTACCCAAGAGTGACAACCGGCCCTGACGATCGATCCCCTTGCTTTCCCTTCACACCATCAGTTCCTCTCTCGGAGCCTAGGACCGGTAAATGGCGTCTGATTGGTCTGGCCTCGGTGGCGATTGCAGCAGCACAGGTAGGAGCAACGGACGAACTCGATGTGGGGGAGGGGAAGGTCCAAATTGACAGGTCGAAACGGCTACCAGATCGCCACATCGTCCATGATGGTCGAAACAGCCCCGAATCGTCAAACCCCGGTCTATGATATAGTCGACGACCAGGAAAGAGAGCCACTTTCTACGGAAGAATCGTCCAGAGGTCGGTGTGGTCTGCTCGGCTTGAAACGAGTCGCCGCAGCCGAAGCACGCCGAAAGCTGACGGCGCCGTCACCTCTGGAAGCACAGGTGGTCCAACGAGCACCGGGCACAACTCGGGAGACGAATCATTGACGCTCGTCGAAGTCTATCGAAGCAAGGATGCCGCTATCAAGAGCTCTTTCTGGACCCTAGTCCTGTCCCAGTTTTTCCAACAGACCAGGTTCGCTCGTGCTTGGGGAGCAACCGATGGCTTCACCTTGTCTCTGAGCGTTGACCAACTTGACTTCTTGCTTTCAAACTCACAGCGGGATCAATGCTGTGATGTACTATAGCGTTGGGTGTGTTTCTTCCCTTTCCTCGACCTGGCTCGGGTTGCCCAAAGCACCGGCGTGCAGAGGATAGCTGACCTCGTGCGTGATCCTTGGTCGCTCGCAGAATCCTCACCGCCGTCAGCCCCATCAACGCCAAGGGCGTAGCACTGTTCGTTACTATAGGTACGAGCAACTCGAGACGCTTGCTCTTGCTTGAATCATGCTGAAAGCCTTGTCGACGATCTGTGCTCGCAGTCAACTTCGCCATGACCTTGCCAGCGGGTGAGTTGGCTCCCTATCGTGCCACTCAGTGACAATTTTAGATGACGAAGCATAATTGCACAAACATATAGTGTACCTGATCGATGTAAGCCTGCGGAAAGATCTTCCTCCGCCAACCTTGGGCTTGTCAGCTGACCCACGATTGGTACACTAGCGCCTCGGACGAAGGGCATTACTTCTGATCTCGCTCAGCAGCATGGCGGTTTCCACTGCGGTATTGGCGTTTGCCATCAATCATTCCTTGTTTGGGCTGGCGTCCTTGTGCATCGTCCTGTTTGTCGCCACCTTTTCGATCGGGCTAGGTCCCATTCCTTTCGTCCTCATGGGCGAACTGCCCCCGCCAGAGGTGAGGGGCCATCCTCAGCTCGAATTGTGTTTTCATAGGCACCGAGCGCTTACCAAGCTCCCCATCTATTGAAACCGAATAGGCACGATCCGCAACGGCAAGCGCTGCACTTGTATGTAACCCTTTTTCTCTAGCAACACCCACGGCACACTTCCGGCTTGTCGCTGACGACTTTGCGCATGCGACCGCCAGGGGACAAATTGGGGCCTTAACTTCATTATCGTGAGCTGTACAAAGCCTGTGCTCTCCTTTGCAGGAGCTCGCTGTAAGGTGCTCACTTTGAATTCTGTCCACTGCGCACAGGGACTTACTTTCCTGCCCCTGAGAGACTTCCTATCTGGCGAGCGGACTTCCGGTTCGGGCACGATTTTCTACTTGTCAGTGCTGCATCAGCGGGCTGGCTGATCTGCGGCAGGATCGTTTTGCTGACCTTGTTTGTCGTGCTAGTTTTGCCGTCATCTCGGCTGTCGGGTATCTCGTCATGGCCCGACGCTTGAGGGCCACGACTGCATCGACAGCGACCGCGGTGTGATCGATTCGACCTCGAGCCTGATCCGCGCACAGGGGTGGAGAGTCAGAAATCGAAGGGTGTCACTCTACTCGCTCGGCTCGGGGAATTTTTTCGTACTGTCGGTACAGTAGTTTTTCAGTTGGACTGCTGTCACCAATGTATCAATGCATCATTCAGTTCAAAAGTTGTGCTCTGGCTCTGCTACCCACAGCGAGCTCCTCCCGATTCTGAAACAAGTGATCGGCAGGAGGATCGGCGTGAGCATTTCCAAGTCATGGTGAGTGCTTATCACCTCGGGCAGACATAAAAAGTACGCCTCAACAGGCGCGCGCGCAGCGCCCTCCCACGCGCCTTCCAAGCCACAAGCCCGGCGGGTTGCAACCTTGCTACCCCAGGTAGCAGATTAGGCCCAGGTCAGGTATGCCCTCCTCGATGTCGAGTTGCCGAGACGTTCACTCCCACTACAACTCCATCGAAGACCTGGGAACAAAGGCGCAGTCAGCGAACAATAGCGTATTCGAATTTTTGGAGATTTTTCGAGAGTTATTGTTGTCCTCTGCAAGCTGAACAGGCGCTCTACCTCGAACACGTGATTCGGCACGGGTCGCGCGGAACAATTGGGGCCGGGATGGCCGGGACGTCGACGCGTCACGACTCCGGAGACGCTGGAGATGGCGGCGACGCGTCGCGCTCGCGCATACCGCCCATTCTTCTGCTTTGCCCAATCGCCCCCTACTACGTATACGAAGTAACGAACTATACAATGAGCATCCGTCTTGCGACAGTCTGAAACGAACGCCCACTTCGAAACACCGGATTAGTCATACTTCTGCTGCTCCTATCATGACGAGTCAATCCAATCAACTTAACCACCTCCCGAATCGCAGGCGCTCCGGCGACGAACAGCAGTATGTTTGCCGCCGATCGACACGGGTGCTCTGATTGGACTACCGGCTCACGATCACATCTGACACATAGGTTCATATGCTGCCTCTGGGTACGAGTCATGCACCTCGCCTTGGACTCCCTACCAGTCCGCATATAACGACTATTCGGGTCCGTGGGTGGCCGTCGCGTCGATCGCGTACAGTATCGGTCTGTTCTGACGTTACACCGTCGTGCACCCGATCCAGCGTCCACTTCCGCTGGCGTAACGACCATCTCGAATCCTGCGTCGTACAACTATCAATCTTCTCCGGGATCTGCTTCGTCCAACCAACCAGTTTACCGTCCCACGTTCCCATCCTGGACGCATCGATGGCCCGTATCTAGCTCCGCCAGCAAGCAACAATCTCGCAAACATGGTCGAACAAGGAGGGAACAATCCTGACGGCACGGGTATTGTCTTTGACGCGGCAGGTTTGCCAAATACTGCACCTTCCGCTCGCGATCGCCAAAAGTCGCGGGCCGCACAAGTTTCCCAAGACGAGGAGGGAGGCCGCGCATCAGGAGGGAGGGGTGTATCAGCGAATACCTGCGCACAGCTTGGAACGCACCCGTGGCTGACAAGAACGTTGAGACCAAATTCCAATGGTACAGCATCATCCTCAAAGAACTGTTCCGTGAGTACAAGATGTGCAGCCTGCCTACTCTTCCATACACGGTGACTAATTTTGACCCGGCTCGCTGTCTTCAGAGGCCGCGCTGCGCCGACGCTCCGTGCTGGACGGCGAGAAGATCCAATCGCCCAAGTTCGTCTATGACGTAAAGGCCCTCAGGGACAACGCCAGAATCATTGTTCAGCGCGGCGCGCTCCTTCGCAAAGCGGATTTCCGAAGCCCGAGTGGCAAGCTTAAGTTGTTGGGACCAGACCTGGATCGGATCATCCCATTGCTGCGTGCAGGCGAGCTGAGCTTCAGGCTGGAGGAAGAGGTAATCGGGTCAAGTGCAGAACAGAAAATGGCCGACGGCGATGAAGGCGGCGACAGCGATGCTGACCGGCGGACTCGGAACACGAGCTCCGACGAGGACAGCGAGTGAGGTGACGATGGCCGAGCTCTCAGCGCCAGCCAGACTCGTCGACGCGCATGCGGTGCGGAGATCTTGGCTGTTGAAGGGCCAACATTCGTTGGACAACACAGGCCACCACAATATTTATTTCAAAGTTTTGCTTCATATGCATCCGGCTCTTGGTGACTAAAGGCGGAGAGGGTGATTGTTCGTTGCCCTTCGTGCCTAATCTTCCCCTGGGCCGCTCGAGATCGACCTCTCCTTGTTGACGTGGGATGTGCCAGTGACGTAATCCTGCTCACAAACATTATTACTCTTGTTCTGGGTTGTTTTCGAAGTATTATGTAGAGTTGAATTGCCTAGTGAGAATGGAGTGCTCCCTGACCCGTGGTCCAGACGGAGCGTCTGCTTTCCGGAAGTGACTCTTTGAGCAAAGAATGAATGAACAGAATTCGCAACGCGCTTCCACTAATTGCAGTGTATGTTAGCATCTTTTTATGATCTATTAGCACTAAAGTGAACGGGCAAGGGTTACATCTGGCCGGGCTCGGTCTTCGCCAAAGTGCCAATCAGAGCTGCTGGGCCACGGTGACGACCCCCGGCCGGCTGACTTCAAGCGGCGCGCGCTCCCAGAAGAATGCGAACTGATCTGAGCCCCTGAACGCGCAAGCGGAGCGGAACACGTAGGTAACCAGTCGTAAGTAGCGAAGTAGCGACAAAGTACGTGCTTGATGAGAGGTGGGTCGAACTCGATCATAGGTTCGGTGAAAACATGGAAGGCTTAGGCTTGTAACAGGCTCTTGGAGCGAAACCCTCACTTGACTCCGAGACATGATCGATGGCCGCTCATACCTACCTTTTACTTGATAAACATTCCCTCTCATCAATGAGGTAAGCCGCCAATCCTCAGGCCACATGGTGAGTGCTCAAAGCAGAGAGAATTCTTGCATTCGCCGCACTAAAATGAATTGTCAGCACTTCTGCCCCCGTCAAGCATAGACTAGACTTGATCTTGAGATCTTGACACCAAGCTTTTCTTATAACAGGCGCAAGGCTCAGTAGCAGGGATCGGGATCGGTCCAAAGGGTCTTTGGCCGCGCCATGGCAGGAAGTCGAATCCTTCGAGCGGGAATCCTCAGAGAGAGAGAGAGCCGCCGAGCCATCTTGTTCGGAAGAAGGGCTTGCAGCACGCACATGCCAACTTTGCTATTCAACCCTGTCCGAGGGTAGGAGATACATTCTCTATACTGCCCAAACCCACTCACCCATTTTCACGTGGTTGACATTCTAGGTACTCGAGCAGGTGCATGCGCTTTGATTGAAGTCACCCGGCACTGGTAAGGGACACCGCCGAGCCATCTTGTTCGGAAGAAGGGCTTGCACGCACATGCCAACTTTGCTATTTAACCCTGTCCGAGGGTAGGAGATACATTCTCTATGTTGACCAAACCCACTCACCCATTTTCATGTGGTAGACATTCTAGGTACTCGAGCATTTGCATGCGCTTTAACTGAAACGTCACCCGGCAGTAGTAAGGCAGGCGCAGCCCAGAGATTAGGTCTGACAATATTTCTCGCTGAGACGGTGATATTACTCTCACCCACCGCAATTGAGACGACTTTAGTTTTCAAAGACCATGTCCATTGTTCCAACATTAACTTGCTCCACCAATTCAATCTAAATCAGAAGCTGGTCTAAACGCCCGAGAAGTATTCGTCTTCCTGACCAGCAAAGTCATCGCCGTAGCTTTCATCCGAAGAGCTGCCCATCTCACCGTCCTGCTCGAGGAGTTATGCGGAGAAAGGCCCCACCTCCTTTGCGAGTTGAGCCTCGTCGCTCATATCCATCTGCGCCTGAATGCCCCGCACTTGCTGAACGTCACGGGCCAGCGATGGAGGGCGCGCCGAGTCGTCGAGCCAGATGTCTCCATAGGACCGCGTGTTCCCGATCGATTATGTGCAGGTAGCTGGTGATGTTTCGCCTTCTTGACACTTCTTCCCGTCGCGTTCAATCGTTGATGTAAACCACGAAATTCTGACAGTGCAGGAGGCATGGGCTCGGAATCGCCCTCTGACTGCCCGCGAGTGTCGAGCCAAACATCGAAGAAATGGTCGTTCTGGGACCAAGAACATTCGCGCAACTGAAGAAGCTCCATCCGGCGATCCAGTAAAATGAGCGCGCGGTCTCGGATCTCTTCAACATCTTCAGTGCCGAATATGGACTTGGCATCAGCTGGGTCGATCGATTCAGAAAGGTATCTGTTGGGATGGTTTGAAAGATGTCAGGGCGACATAAGAGGTGATATGGAGCACGCTGTATCGAAAACTTACCCGACACTTTAGTCTAAAGTGTTTGGCAACTAGTGATACGAGTCTTTTCATCTTCGATCCAAGCCAAAGCTTGCCGCACCTCGGCGCCGATCCGCGCTTCCTCCTCACCGACTCGAGCCTTGGCGCGCACAGCTGCTACTCCTCGGAATGAGCGACCGTAGCCCGCTCCACAATCGCTCACAGCCCTCTCCATCAGTCAACCCGAAGTTCGCAATGAGGCGGGGGTTGAACTCGACTTGGCAGGACCAGATATGGGCGTATGCATGGAAGACGCTCGTGGCGAACTCCAGTCGCTTGAAAAGCTTTGGCAGGAGCTGCCTCGGGTGACAAATGATAGGAAAGTAGGCGCATTTGGTCTGTGCCAACGAGACTGAGGAGGAAGGGACGCGTCGTGATCGAAGCATACCTTTTCAATGTGGTGCTTGAAGTTACAAGCAATGTCGTATAAGACTCCAATCTTGGCGTTTTCAGGAAGGCGCTCTGAGATGCACTTGAGGATGGCAAGCGCATAGTATAATCTGAGCGGTCGGAGGGGAATATGCGCATTAGTACTGGGAGAGGAAAGCGGAAGCGACTACGTCCCAACCAGACAGCTCTGCGCTCACTTTTCACCAGACCTCTCAAGATTGACCATTTTCAGGTTTACATCATGACGGCATACGCAGGCAACGAGTCCAGTGTCGACTACTCGTGACGAGGTTGAGCCAGCTCCGTCGTCGGCAGCCTTCCACGACTCTGTGCACGCCTACGAGGGTTGGGTGGGTGTAGAGGTAAGCGATCCCATTAAGGCAAATGCAAAGAGCGGCATTACTCACCTTTTTGGTCGGCCGCACCGAAGCTTCAACCTCGGCCTTCATCGCCTGAACCTCTTCCTCACCCAAGAAAATGTCCGGAACGATCTGGTCGTGCTTCGAAGTTTTGTCACGCGTTTGCCGAAAGTTGCCGTCGTATGCAAGCACGCAATCCAATGGGACGTCGTGACAAGGTTGATTAAGTCACGTTGGCCCGAAGCACGCGGGACCCTTGTTGGAACGAATCGACGGTGCCTACGAGAAGGTCCCCGCTGTCCTGCTCGCATGTTTCGAGAGCGCGGTACTCGTCGATCGCGTTGCTTCCGAAGGTCTTTGTCCTGCATGCGCGGAAGGCAGGCTTTAAGCATCTGCCCCTGAAACGATGGCGGCGTCCAAACTGACCCAAGGATGTCCTGTATAGTGACCCCGAACCCACCCACAACGGGAGTAATACTCTTTGAGGCCGTCCGCATAGCCGGTGAGAGCGCGGGGGGTGACCCTCCAGCTCGCGTGGGTCTGCTCGACCAGTCGAAATGAGAAGGCGGTCATCGGCATTGAAGCGGTCGAAGAGATGAACCCTAGTTGGGCCAAGCGTTCGACGTCCTTAGCACACCGCGACTCGGAGGCACAGAGGGTGACCTGCAGTTTGTAGACCAACGGTTTGGACTTGTATCTTCTCTTCGGCGGCATGGCGACGCCAACTCAAGTGCATGAGCAAGAGGACGAACGCGAGCCATGGGGCCTGTACGGTCAATGGCGACGCTACAATGAGCTGTAGCGGAAGCAACGAGGTGAGGCGGCAAGTCAAGTGGAAGGTCCCTCGCGCGTGGCCAGCTGCAGCCAACGCGTGTGCTCGGACCCTTCGATCTCGGGACCGAAATCCCGGCGCGCGACCGCTTCGGACACGTGACATTGACGACATCCGAAAGATGCGAGAAAAAGATGAAGGAAGGAATGCATCTACTACGCACTTTCTTTATCAATCTAGCAGCTGTGAGAGTGTTGTGTGTACACAGAATCGACTCGAAGCAGGGAGTTGGGCGCAACCTGGGCCTAATCTGCTACCTGGGGTAGCAAGGTTGCAACCCGCCGGGATTGTGGCTTGGAAGGCGCGTGGGAGGGCGCCTGTTGAGGCGTACTTTTTATGTCTGCCCGAGGTGTCACTAGAGCAACATTCGCCGCCGCCTCCCATCGCTGGCAGACGGCCACGTGCATACGGCACCGAATGTATCAATCAGCGCACCATATTTTAGCTGCCGTCGCACCGTAGGCATCGGGCACCGGGCACCGGGCACCGGGCAGTAGGCCCGGGACCCACCCGTAGGCTTGTAGGAAAAAGCAGCGAAACGGACACGCGCCGCGTATGGCTTATCTAGTCCTGTGGCAGTGGCATGGCACCCTCCTTTGATCCGCCTTCTATCTCTAGTGATTGAGCCGACGGCGACCAGTTGAGACACGAAAAGAAAAGCTTATTTTTGGCCCGAAGTTTATTTATTTATTTTTATTTATTTGATAGACCGGAGTTGTCTATTGTTTATTTGATGAGTGTTGGTTCTGCCAGGACGTTTCTAAGAGATTGTGAACGCTGAAACCCACCGTAGACGGGGTAGGATGCGGTAAAGGCAAAGCCCCGGCAGGTGCTGCGCGCATCGAAGAGAGGAAACTGGCTCTATCTGGCGGAGATCGCACTGGGGTCCATCTCGAACTTCGGCAGTGCGTCGGCTCCTGCAATTTGGTCGGAGTTATGTACTTCGTGAGCGTCGACGTCAGGACGGGTGATGCATCTCAAGTCGTGGAGGAAATCCGCAAGCAACGTCCGGGCACGTGCGTGGGCTAGCTACTAGCACTGCTACCACGGAGCGCACACTGGTGTCAGCGGTGATTACGTCGTCACCTCTCCTCTCCTGACCTAACTCGCTTCGAGCCGGCAGTTCACACCCGGCTCGCAGCAGGCGTGTCTCGACCCGTCCCTCGGGCCTCGGACGTTTGGACATCACCCGCTCGAACTCGAAGGGGGGACGAAGGACGACGCGACACGTCATGCCAACCGCGATCATTGGTGCGGTTGAAGGTCGTGCAGCAGTGCAACACGATGGAGACGACGGCACGAGGTGAGTGACTTACTGGAACGCGTTGCTGCTGGTCGTGTTGCTTTGGCCGTGTGGAGCCGTAGCACGGGGTGGGGGTATAATCGCGCCTGCCACCGCCGCAGGATCTCGCAAGCCGTGATCCACCTCCACCGACCGCAGCCCCAGCTTGGACGCCTGGACGCGCACCCGCGATCGCACCCCCTCTCGCGTGACTCGGCCACAGTTTAGAGACCCGTGTCCAAACTGTGGCCAGGGGTCGAACCTTTTCGCCACAAAGATGGTCTTCGTCCTGGCTGGTCTCCACACCGACGGCTAGCTTTCTCCCTCTTGCCTCCAACAACTTGCCAGCAGTAACAGCAGCAGCGGCAACCCGACCCCACTCACTCACGATTCGGTCGGGTCTCAGAGGTGTTCGTTTGAACTGACCGCTAGGTCCGGATTACCACTGCTTCCTCTTCTGCTACCGCTCGCGTATTCCCCCAACCTTCGCAGTCACGACAGCAACATGTACGAGATGGACATGCGACAACAACCTGTGCAGGCTCGGATGGCAGGCGCAGGTTCGAGGGCCGATCGCAGGCCACTGGATCCACCGCCGATCATTCGGCTTCGCATACGCCAGCCCAAGGCCGATCGTCGCAGTCGGGAGCGCGCTAGCGCCGCAACCTCCGCCGCAGCCACGACGCCGACAGGAGCGCTCGTCTCAGCCAACGACCCCTGGGCCGCTAGACCGAGGGAATTCAATCTTCACAGGCCAGGCAAGGGTTTGAATAGAAATGGTGGCGATGACGTCGACCTCGCCACTGACGGGGACGACGAAGCGGTCACGTACACGTCGCCGTCGATGACCCACACGCTGTTCTGTTTCGCCTCGCTCGTCGGCGCTGACCACGATAAGGAGCTGTACCAGCTTTCGGGGTCAAGGAGTATGCACGTCACCGGTTCGGTCGTCTCGTCCCTGTTTCACCTCAAGGACCAGAGCTGTTTCGTCTTTCCCGATCTGAGCGTGCGGACAGAGGGCAAGTTTCGGTTCAAGATGAGCTTGTTCGAGATCATGGAGTAAGTGAATGGGTGGAGCGAGCTCGTTTGGAGCCACTTGATTGAACTGACTGGGCTTTGAAAACGGCTGCAATCGACAGAGATGGGGTTAGGTATTGCACGTCCATCTTTACGGATCCATTCCAAGTTTATTCGAGCAAGCGGTTCCCCGGCATGACGAGTGAGTGAAAATTTTTGTCTCTGCAAACGAGGGTACCCGGAATCGAGACTTGTGTGTTGGACCGGCTCTGACATTCATGAACATGACCACTTTCTTCTTGCAGAATCTACCGAGCTATCGAAAGCATTTGCAGAACAAGGGCTGCGCCTAAGAATCCGTCGCCCAGGGGCTAGCGAGCGTGACGAAGATAATGACGCCGAGGATGGGGACGCCGAAAAGAACGGGAGGCTGCACAGCCACAGGCAGTCCTACGCGCAGTACTCGTCTCAAAACGGGCAGTTCGGTCAGCGCTCTGGCGGTTATCGACACTCTCTGCCCCATTCAACGCCTTCGCGCATCACCCCGAGTCCCATCAACGAAGCAAGGCGGAGGCACTCATCCCACAACTCTTGGCCCTACCCTGACGACCCCAGCCCCCGGTACGACAGCCATAGCGTCCCTTACCACAGTCGACCCACCAGCACTGCCGTTCCTTATGTCTTCCATCGTACGACGCCTCATCAGAGTAACACCCCATCGCCTTCTTCGGGGTCGGCACGCGGCCACTCTCCGTTCGCCCACCATCCGGGGGCTCCAACCTCTGAACACGCATATGCATCGCATCGAGCCGCTCTACCTCCGAATTCCTTCCCTTCCGCTCATGTCCAAGATGCCACTGGCTACCCAGCTCACTATCTCAGCCCTCCTCACTTATTTGGCCGAACGGGACCGGCACCGACAACAGCGTATGCACCCAATCCGAACGAAAGGTTTGGCCCTCGCCCGCTGCAACAGCCGCAGCCACCTCATCTTTCGTCGCAACCGCCGCACAAGCAGCCGCATCAACAGCAAGGCTACCTAACACTTGCACCCGCCTTGCCTTACGATCGTGCGGATCGGATACTTGTGTCCCCCCCTCTGGCATCGGTCACGTTGCCGCCCCTGCGCGGGCATCGCGCCATGATGCAGATTCGCGAGTTATCTGGTACTGGCCCCTCGTCGTCGCTACCTCCGTTGTCAGGCAGGCATGCATCGTGGTCGAATGCACCGTCCAAGACCGCCCGTGACTCGCCTCTGAACGGTGACCTGCGGTCCCCCAAGGCGCGCAAGATCGAGGGCCATTCTGCCGGCGGGGGCGGAGAGCCGCTTCGCCCGACCGAAGCGGAACGTCGAGATTCCGGACATGAACAGATGCAAGAGGATCAGGCCCGGACCGACCCTCCTGAGCTTGCCCCGATCAAGTCAAACAACCATCTGTCGAGACTATTGGGCTCCACTGCAAAAGATGCTAAAGCCGTCGATTCCGATGAACCTCTTTTCGTTTGAGGTGCGTCTGACTGCCCTGTCGACCGCGCACCGCCAGCACCGGCTCGTCGGTCCTCGAGCGCGTCGTGTTGCATTGCATTTACCCCATCCCATCTTGGTACAATTCCCAAATCCCCATTTGCGCAACCTGGATGTTTTTTATTCTCCCCCCCCTTTTTTTTTGTGGCCAGTCGTTTTATGTACCTAGATATATATGTGTGTAGTACACTCGCATTATGCAATCTTCGATACCGTCCGTTCGTCGCCGATGATCGCGCCTCGAGCTGCCCAGGCTGGAGCTGATCGTGTCGTTTGTGCCTGGGACGGCCGTGCGCGGCGCTGCCGAGTCCCGGCTTGTGCTTCTCCCGGCCATTCCACATCCGATCAACTGGACGGTGCGAGCTTGGAGCGGATCATCTTCGAGGTGAGTGTGAGCAATAGCAAGCCCAGGATCTCAGAAGTTCTTGTCAGACCACTGACCTTGTCGAGCTCTGAATGCGCAGACGCACGGCTTCAACGTACCTCGAGCTCGCGCGGTGACGGCATTCATAGCGACCAGCTGCCGACGGGTCCAACTGACACCTGGCAAACGGCACCGGGCTCGCGTTCGCGACTCGTCTTGGGCCGCCATTCCGCACCGCTCTTCCCGCTAGCCACTTTCTTATCGGAGACACCATCTATCAGAGCACTCTCGCTCCCTACGGTTGTGCGGTGGGCCCTGGTGATCTCAAGGCCAAGGTGAGTGTCTGTTCTTCCTATCCGCGCTTCTGCTTGCGCAAGTGCCGACGCCGGACTCGTGTGCTGCCAAAGAAACAACTTGGCTCAACTTTCTGTTCGAAACCCTCCACCAGATTTGAGAAAGACAGCTGGAGGTCTTGAAGGCATACTGGTGCACGAGACGAGGCGACCGGGCTAGAGTCCAACTTCGACCGCGGGTAAGTCGTCGAAAGCTCGTGATAGAACGCCCGGACAGGAATTCGACTCGACGCGCATTTTCTGACCCGTCTTGACACCCTCGTGATCTTATCGCGACCAGCAGAGGAGTTGCTTGATTTAATTTGGGCGCAGACGGGTCGCTGCGTCGTCAATATGCCGCCTTTCCCTGTATCGACCCCCGACCCGAATCGGTCCAGGCTACCCGCGACATCGGCCTCGTCGCAAGGTTCGACATCTTCACCGACCTCGTCCGCCGCCCCATCAAATACGAGCTCATCAGGAGGGGGTGGCAACCAATTCATCTCGTTCTTGACCAAAGTTGGCCGCGGATTGGGCAAGGCCAGTGCCTCGGGCGCCGAAGCTTCGGCCACGGGTTCGGCCTCCACCTCGCCCTCGACACTTCCTCCGGCCAGTCGGTCCCATTTTGCGGCCGTTCGTCCGGGTAGCGATGGTCTCGAAGCATTCGGAGGCAGAGCCGTTTCCACGGGCAGTTCTTCCCGCGGTGCAGGCGTCAAGCTTTCAAAGTCGAAAATGTCGGCCATTGATCCGATCATCCTCGACCAGGAACTGAAGCGCGAAGAGGCCATCGCTGCGGCCTTTGTCGCGGGGGGAGGAAGAGGAGGGAGGGGTGGTTTGATCACTTCGACGCACGGGAAAACGAAGCCGACGGTTGCAGCCACAACTACCGGATATGCACCGGCCCAGACGACGACATCTGCCACGAAGGTGCAGATCGCGCGCAAGACGAGCCTGAGATCACCCACGTCCAGATCGAGCAGCATCTTGGTCGGGTCGCCCGTTTCCCCTGCGACTCCACAAAGACTCTCCATCGACATCGCCTCGTCCCCGCCCTATGAAACTTTGCCTCCCACCATAGAGGATGAGGGACCGATGATGCGACCCTCCCAAATCTTGTCAGAGCTCTCTGACGTCGCACAGCACACCTCGGATCCATCGCGCTTGATCCACCTTATGCGGAAACTCGCAAAGAGCGTTGCCACCTACCCTTTCCCACCGCCTGCGCTTGCGGCTGCCCCCCTTTCCCAGGCACTTGCCTCCCATCCGACCTCTCCTGCCGCCGAGGCCGGTGACACGACGCCGCCGCACCTGCGTCGAGCGGCACCAACCCCGACGCCCGTGCAAATTTACCTCTCGCAGTCGCGCTGGCTATCGCCGCACTCGCCCCCAGCACTCAGAGAGGCCGTTCTTGCGCTCTTGGTCGCTTCGATTGAGGCGAGTCAAAGTGCCACGGGAGGAATGAAGGAGACGGACAAGGCCATCTATTGGGAAGAGACGAGACGCTGGGCCGAGGAAGGCAAAGTACAAGCTGACGACGGACTCGGTGGTCGACGCTGGATGCTCCCCGACGCCGAGCGTGAACTCCTTGTGATGGTACTGTCGATCATGACGAAACGCGGACGCGATCTGTCCGACGTGCCCGGTCTTGTCGCTCTGTTGTGCCACTTTGTCACCGAATCTCTACCGACCCCGCGCCCGCCTTCACCTCTGTTTGACCTGACACTACAAACCCCGCTCGTGCGCAAATCAGCTTCGATGCCACCGTCCAAGCATACCAGCGCCCTCGCACTACTGACGGCATTGCATCGCTTCTCGGCCCCGTACGTCTATGCCAACTCGACTCGACTGGCGCTGAAAGCGATGCTCGAGGTCGCCAGGCTACAAGACGAGGACGACATCGGCGGAGTCCAGGCGATGGACGAACACGGCAATGCGACGTGGTCTCTGTCGGACGATTCGAAGGACGGCAGCATGCTGGGCTTCTTGACGGCATTGATCCGTCATGGCGAGGTGGCAGGAAAACGAGATGCCCATTTCCAGGCGCAGATTGACGACGAGCGCGACTTTGACCCGGAGGGCGCAAGCTTGGACAGTGACGAACTATTGCGTGAGATTGTTGCCGTCGTGGCGCGCATTATTGGCTTGGAAGGTCATGTGCGAGTTGTGGACCTCATCGACGGCGACTCGACACCACCTTCGACGCATGACCGGGCGACCCGACCCAGCGAGCTGCCTCCTCGAGCTCAACGTCTCATGACCGAGCTCATCAGATCGCCGGCCAACCAGGCACTCAAATCACTACGTAGCTCGTTGATCGCCCCGCCGGCGACCTCACCGCGGCCTCTGCCTCCCGTGTTACTGCTGGTCGGCACCTTGAGATCGCTCCGCAAGGCCCTCGACGACCACTCCAAGGAGGTGGAGACAAGCGTTGAGCGTCGCGCGGACTCCATCACAAAGACTCCGAGCTGGAGTGACCACCGACTGCCGAACTTGCTCTCGCTGGGTCTGCCTTACCTCTGGAACGGAATGCGTCGAGCCATGGAGTGGCAGTCCGCCCCGATCGACGCCGAGGTGCTCAAGTTGATGGATGATCGTCTGGAGGCTATGGATCGACTTGCCCGCAAGATCAAGGACGTGAGGAAAGCAGGTGCCGGCGGTACCGCGAGCAATTTGCTGGCTCCGAATGGGATGCGAGAGGGAGGCCTTCACCAAGAGGGTCCGGAAGACGAGGGGGAGCAGGGTGTCGGCTACGAAGAGTGGGACATGACGATTGACCTGCTCATGGCGACCAAATGGCACATCGACACCTGGGAGACGACCAAATTGAAGTCCTGGACGCTTGAAGATGAAGGTCTGTCAATGAGCCGCGGATCCGAACGTAATATACGTCTGACGCGTAAAGCTTCACCCTGTGTACAGATGATCCCAACGAGAGCAGCACAGGTGGGATTACGCGGAAAACACCCGCCGCGAGGTAATTGAGCTGACCCGAATTCAGCCCCCGTTAACACAGATATTTCTGAAGACGAAGAGAGCCGCGACGAGCTCGCTCCAGCCTCGTCATCGGGTCACACTTGGCGACAGCCCGAAGTTCTCGAAGTTTTTGCTGCTTTGCTGCGGCGACTCATCCGGGCGTGGCGCCACGAGGACGGCTTCTCTGGACCATCGGAGCGAGTCCTCGCGCTTCTCATCTCCCTCGCATCGCACTTGCCCGAATCGTACGCCCTCCACGTGCTCGAGCAAATCGAGGCGCACGCCCTTTGTCTACCCACACGGACGGAATGGCTAGATCGCACACAAGAGATCCTCAAAGCGTTTTACGTCTCGCCATCACGAGGCCAAGGAAGCGTGCGCGTACTCTATCCTGGGGCGACAGCTTCGGTTCGACGCCGAACGCTGCAGCTGGTCTCGTCACTGCACTCGCAGCTGCATCATCAGCGCGAGCAGCGCGATGCGCTGGTCAGCACCATCATCCTACCGCTACTTGAGACGAGCTTCGAGGTCGAAACGGACGCCGAAGTCGCCGAGGTAATGATCACTCTCTCCAACGAGGTGGTTCGCGACAGCCTCGGCACCGAGGAAGATAATTCGGGGGGTCCGCTCGGTCCGTTCGATCGACTCCGTTTGCTGCTAGTACGCAATGCCAAAGGATCTGTCCGACCCTTTGACCGCTACTCGACCTCTGCTCCGACGACGCCTAAAGCGAGACGAACAAACCTGGCGTCCCTGTCTCGGTACCACAAGGACAACTCGCCCTCGGCAATGAGGTCGTCACCGTCCATCTCGGCTCCCGTCGCCACCCCTTCGATCGCAGGCTCGACAACGCAGGAACCAACCGATCTATCGCACGTAGCCGTCATGGGCCTCATCACAATGTTCCACGTTTGTCTCGAGACATCGACGTGCGAGTCCTCGGAAAAGGGCGTGCAGATCTTCCGCGACCTCTTGGCCCTGCTCAGTCCGGCCGCGGCGCCGACTTCCGATACCTTGACGGATTACGCGATCCCACTGCGCACTCGCATGCTCATCTTGACGTGGCTCGTTCGACTGCGCGCCGATGCATCTCACCGTATTCAATGGGTCCACGACGTCGACATCACGAGCGCGGCCACCGCTCTATACCGCGCCGAACAAGCGAACGGGCCTGCCATGGACGCGCTCAACGGCGCGATGGAGGACGGATCACGCGGCCGTTCCGGGCGTGGATCAGCACCTCCGAGTGAGCGGTCGGCCAGCGCAAGTCGTGCACGAAGAGGCAATGATGATCGAAGCCCGAGTCGCATGGGCCGTCGCGGAACCCAGACCCCTGCCACGCTGGCTGGCGTTGTGATCGCGACCGGACCTCCACTATGGGCCGTACCAGAGACCTTGCCTTTCGAATTTGGCTCTCTATCGTCCTCGTTCGGCGCCGAGGGGCTCGTGTCGTTCGACCATCACCGTATGCGCTACTGGACCGAGGAGCAGGACCCAGGAACGGGTCAATTCGTCGCCAAGGAGATTGTCGATCCCTCCGCCGCCTCCGACCCCGAGGCCAAGGTCGTCGTCTTGCCCGTCTCCGAGTACCTCTGCGTAGTCAACCATCTCCTCGCGCACGATCAAGAGTGGGAGCTGCTCTCCTACCTGCTGTGTCATCTGCCGGAGCAGCTCAGCAACAAGCACTTCGCTGCGGGTCCTCGCGCATCGCTGCAAATCTACACCCTGCTCAAGCATCTCTGCTTTGGTCTGAGATCGATCGACCGGCCGTGGCCCAACATCTTACCCATGGGAGTGAAGCGTGCCGAGGCACAAGCTGTGACGTATCAAATTTTGACGGCCCTCATCGCGTATCGAAGTCTGTTCAGTCGCCAGCAACAGCACGAGATGGTCGAAACGTTCATGTGCGGCCTCAGCAACCCGCGCGACTTGGCCAAGCCGTGCATCCACGCTCTCAGCATTGCCTCGTTCGAGATGCGCCCCTCGGTCACCAAGCACCTGTCCGAGATCGTGCGCAACTTGCAGAAGATCATCTCGTCAGCCGAACTGGGTGTACACATCCTCGAGTTCATAGCCGGGATCGGCCAGCAGCCGTCTGTGTACTCCAACTTTACCGACGTTGATTTCCAGACGGTGTTTGGCATCGCGCTCAAGTACATCCAGGCCCATAATGAGCGCCTGCTCGACGCCCCGTTGACCGCAGAGGACGAGGAGGGCATCGAGTATGCCTTTTCGCAGTACGTCTTCCTGCTCGCGTACTACTGCATCGCCGCATGGTTCCTAGCGTTGCGCCTTTCTGAACGGCCCAAGTTCGTGCCGTTCCTCACCCGTCGTCTGGTGCAAGCGAACGAAGGCAAGCCCGAGGTCGATGAAGCCACGGAGGTCTGCTTCGACATGATCGCTCGTTACACCTACACGAATGCCGACCCTCGAGCGCGCGCATCCTCCTTCGACGATCTCTTGACGGGGGAGACTCAGCCCGCGCTCGGCGTTGGCCCTACCCTGCCTTCAAAGTCGTGGATCATTGGCACCGCTACGATCACGATCAGCAACATCAAGATGGCCGGTTGGGTGGAAGTTACGATCCGCCGAGCGTCGGGCATTGTCAAAATGATGTGGGAGCTGCAAAATATTACAGGCGTCAAATCGTCGTCGGATGCGGAGCTCGTTAGCATGTACATGCGTCACCGGGAGAACGCAGGGATCTCAGGTGCCGAAACAATCGAAGCATCAGCAGCGTCCTCTCAGGATCCGACGGGAATGGCTCCTGCTGCACCCAAATTAGACTCGGCGGTCGTCGAAGCCGTCAACTTGGCCCATGCCGCTTCCCTGCCGCCCACCCTCGAATCCGGCTTGCTCACGGTCGGCCCCGAATTCTTTGCGCTGCAACTGTCGCGATTTCCCGAGCTCGCGCCCAGCACGACCCCGATCCTCATGCCCGACGATCCGGCCTATGGGCGGGCTCTGCGTATGCTCGATCGCGTCCCCGTCGTAGATTTGCACAAAATCGGTGTGCTCTACGCTGGGCCGGGGCAGTTCACCGAGGCAGAGATCCTCGCCAATACCCACGGTTCGAAGCCCTACATCGAGTTCATTTCTGAGCTCGGTCAACTGTGGCGACTCAAGGACCATCCTCAGTACTGTGGAGGCCTTGATCGCGAGCAAGACTTTGACGGCAAGTGGATGTACGTTTGGGACGACGATATTGCCCAGATGTTCTTCCACGTCGCTACTTTGATGCCCACGGATCTCGAGCGGCACCCACGAAGCGAGCGCAAGAAGTCCCACATCGGCAACGACTTTGTCAAGGTCATCTTCAACGAGTCCGGGGGCGAGTTCGCCTTCGACACCTTGCCGAGCGAGTTCAACTTTGTCATAATTGTCATCCAGCCGCACACGCCTGCAGGGAACCCTTGGCTCGCGCCGGGGATGACCAGCAACGCTCAGTTCTTCAAAGTCACGATGCAGTGCCGTGCCGGGATGCCCGAGATCGGACCCCTGGGCTCTTTCAAGATGGTTGCCGGCTCATCGCTACCCCACGTCGTTCGACAACTCGCCTTGCACAGCAATATTTTTGCCCAGATCTACCTCGCGACGGTCGGCTTCGAAGGCGGCCACGGCAAGACGCAGAGGATCGGCTACGTCTCGAACTGGCGACAGCGGCTGCAGCAAATCAAACAGCTCAAGAAGAGGATCAACGACCAGCGCGGAACTGCGCCACCCTCAACGCAGGGTCAGCGACTCAACGTCGAGGAGGCCGAGCTGGCGAGGCTGTTCACGAGTTGGCTCTAGGTCATCTTTGGTTCAGGTGAGTTCGTGTTCGTGGAGCCTCTGCCGCAGTCGACGCCGAATGCTAACGATACTTTATTATTCCGTAGACGACACAGGGAACGAGCTGAGAGGTTACGACGAAGCAGGCTCCAGAGGAAGCTTGCTGTGTGCAATTCAGTTTCGGTTGCCCATAAGCCACCTACTCATCCGACGCGGGCTGTAACACGCGATCTCACGGAGAAGAAGTTGTGCACAATCTGACACGATATGTGACATTGCATCGATCCCTCACTTCGATTTTGGTTTCGTTGACCCTAAGTTTGCTCCCCTGGGGAACTCCATCGCAATTGCTACCAAAGCCACGATTGAGCCCACGCCGTAACCCAGCAACGTCCCGACGACACACGTCGTTGGCCATTTCTATCGGCATGATGACCATGCACGTTTGATCAGCCTTACAAGCTTTCTGGCATACGGTGGGGAAGATAGGATTGAGAGCTTACCTGCCATGCTCGATCCCAATCGAGAGGCATCGGAACGGCGCCGAGCCACGCTCCGGCGAGGGCTCCGAGGGCAGGCAAGAGCAGAGCGATCTCGAGATCGGTCTGTGGTCTGTCGTGGTAAAATAGACATGACCTCCATCAGCTCGGAGTCACCGGTCGCGTGGTAATTTGGTGTACTCTGACTGACGAGAGGGAGGAAAAGAGCCTGAGCCAGACGAAGCGCTCCGGTTTCTTGGGGTGGGGTTGGCCGAACGTGATCGCCAAGGGGAGGAAAGCGAGGATCGAGACGAGAAGCGAGAGGAGGAACGTCTCGGGGATACTTCTGTCGGAAGTTGCGAAAGGATCCAAGTCAGCGCTGTCCGGAGCGGACGACGACACTGGAGAATTTTGCTCACCGAATGAGGGGAGCGCCGAGGGTAAAGGCGACGACGTGGATGACGAATGCCAAAATGATGGTTGTCGTCACGGCCGGCATCAGTGTCTGCTTTACATGTTCGTGTGTCAGCGTCTGAAAGGAAGGAGAAGCGCACAAGCGCACCACCGCACGAACCTCTACTCGGAGCGCTTCAAGACCACCCCCCCTTCCGCCACCGCTTTCGGGCAGCGTCCTCGGCCTCGCGGTCGGTCGTACACCGCCCAATGCCTCGCCAAACATCTTACCAAACGACTTCTTCTCCCCAACTTCCTTTCTTGGCGGTGGCTTGTCGTTCTCGCTTGGCTGTTGCTGCGCTTGATCCAGTATTCCCTTGCACCACACGCCGAACCAAACCTGCACGACCGCGACCATAGCACACGCCGACCCCAAGAACGCGACCGGGTCCTCAATGAGGGAGTGTAGTATCCTCGCTTGGGGTGTCGTACGGGGTACGTGGCGTGAGGACGAGGTCGAGAGGGCGAAGAAGAGCGCCGCGAGTTGCAGCGGAACGCGAGCGCCGTAGTGCTGCAGTGGGATCAGCGACCTTGGCGCCTTGGCGGGCGTACTCGGGACCTTGGACGATGATGTCGAGGCTGCTGCCGGAGTTGATGGTGGCGTGGCTTTCGCCGCCGGCCGGGCCTTGGTAGTTTTGGGTGCCATCTTCGCGCTTGAGCTTGAACGACGAGTTGGTCGAGACCAAGCCATGAGCCGGGCTGTACGCGCGCACCACCAACTTGAACTCCCCGCCGGACACGACTATTGTACAGTCCGTTCTCTTTCATCATTCTCAAATCCCACACCTTTTCTGCTGTGACTACGACTGTTGGGGAACCCTGCGATTTTTGAGCCTGTCCGCAACATTCTCACGCTAAGTTGCCCTGGCCAGGGTTTTCACACCTCGTCCGTTCGGCCACATGGGTCCGAGAGTTTGATAAGACTGCTATTACATCACACGCAAGAAAGAAGAACGGAGGTACTTGGAGAGACCATCACTGGTGGTGACCATCACACCATTCATCCGCTCAAGACTCGATCCAGACGAAGCTCGGCCTCCTACTGTTCGTTGACCCAGACACCGGCGGCACCCATGCCAAGACCAATGCACATGGACGTGACCAAAATCTTTCCGCCAGTCCTCTTGATCGCGTTGAGACCCGTGGCGACCTGTCGTGCACCGGTGCAACCCAGAGGGTGACCGAGCGCGATCGCACCACCGTGGATGTTGACCTTGTCGTGCGGCAGGCCAAAGGTGTCGATCAGGTAACCGAGCATCGATGCGAACGCCTCGTTGACCTCCCACAGGTCCACGTCCTCTCGGGTGATACCAGCCTTGGCGAGAGCCTTGGGGATCGCGATAGCGGGGCCCTGAGGGAATGAGAAGCCGTTGCGGAGTGGTTAGTGTGTTGCAAAAGACAGGGTTTCTCGCACTGGCGGAAATAAACGCCACAACTTACAATGCCCATGATCCGGGGCGCCAAACCGGCGGTGCAGGTCACGACGTGCTTGGCCAAGATGGGGAGACCAAGCTCTTGCGCCTTGGATCGCTTCATCAACAAGACACCAGCGACACCGTCGGTCAACTGCGAGGCGTTACCACCGGTGGTGGTGCCATTGCCCCACTGGGGGAAAGCGGGGCGAATCTTGCTCAATCCTTCGGCGGTCGAGTCGGGGCGAATGCCGTCGTCGTCCTTGACGAGAACGGGGACACGCTTGGCCTTGGGCGCACCTTCGGCGGAAGGGGTCGAAGGCGCTTGCAGAGCCGTGATGGGGATGATCTCGTCGGCAAAGATGCCGGACTTTTGGGCTTTGCCGGCACGTTGGTGCGAAGCGGCGGCGAGCTCGTCCATCCTCTTGCGCGGGACGTTGAGGTCCTTGGAGACGTTCTCCGAGGTCCATCCCATCGGGTGTTGGCAATCGGCGGCGACGGGGTGATCGAGGATCTCCTGGGCGAACTCGTCGGCGCCGCGGTCGGGGTGGGCCGACATGGACTCGAATCCAACAGCGAAACCGACCTCGATCTCACCGACTCGGATCTGGTTGGCGACGGACTGAACGGCCATCAATCCCGAAGAGCAGAATCTGTTGGAAAAAGTTGGAAAAAGCGTCGAACGATGGCAGATCAGTGGGAGCACCCGCGGCTGAAAAGTTCGGACCTGCCAGGTTTTCTAGCCGAGCTTACCGGTTGATGACCTGCACACTGGTCGTTTCGGGGAAGCCGGCGGCAAGTGCGGATGCACGGGCATCATAAGGGGCCTTGGGAGGCAAGACGGTACCTTTAGACATATCAAGTGTGGCGCCGCTTACGTCAGCCGCCACTTTCCGAGCGGACGAGGGCCAGGACCGGCTGATCGAATGATCGAATGGGGTGACTTACCAAATACAATGTCCTCGACAACGGCGGGATCGACCTTCATCTCGGCGATAGCACCCTACTCAGATGGCCCACCAAGAAAGAAGAGTTAGCGCCTGCCGCGGCTCGAAGGAGACGGAACATGAGATAGTCCGAACTGACCTTGAAGAAGGCAATCATGAGCTCTTGGCCAGACATGTCCTTGAAGCCGCCCTTGCGTGCCTTGCACAGGGGCGTGCGCTTGGCGAACGTGACGACGACTGAAATGAGGTGCAGTATTCGGGTCAGCTGGGTGAGGCTCGATCAAAAGTGAGGGGGTGTGGGGATCGCAAAAGAAATAGTCACGCACTGTCATCGGCATTCTTGCGGAGGAGCTTGGTGCGGCCCGAAGTACCAACGATGTTGTCGAGAGTGGCTTGCATGCTTTGAAGGGGGTTGTAGTTGGTGAGATTTGGGACGAGGCGATGGACGGGTGGGAGCGAAAGGAGAAAGTGGTTCCTCGGCTCCGGAGAGCCGCTGGGGAGTGCTGGGGAGCGCTGGAGAACGATCCGGCACAATCGTTGCCGGAGTCGAGCCGCCGTAAGCCCAGGCCTCTCCAAAGCCGCGGCGGATGGGCATTGGGGAGTCCTCTGCGCGGTCAAGTGTACAAGCGCGGCAAAACTTCGGCCCCCGCCCCGGGAAACTTTCGACGGCCACTCAGGCCATCCGAGGCGCGGATCATCCGTAGGGCGAGCGCTCCAACATACACCCCTGTCTTCTGGGCCTTGAAAGCCCAAGTTCGAATGGGGGGTTCGCTGCATCGACTGCCGCGCACTGCAGTGAGCTCGATGTGTGCGCGCAGATTTTGCCCGGCGGCCTTGATGATGGGACACAAGTTCAGGACAAAACGTCGATCATGTTCTCGAGTTCATAAATTCAGTACTGCAATGCAGATGCAGGGTTTGTAAACATCAAGTGCTAGGCTTTCCAGTCGATCTCACGGATTCCAGCATGAACCCCGGTGGTAGCTCAACCGCATCGTCGCCCAGCTCCTCGTCTCCTCGCTCCAAGTCGAACAATGTCGTCTGTGGGTCTCCTCGACTTCTGCTCTGTCTATCAACAGGAGGATACGCGTCGTTCCTTGACCTTCCGGCCAGGTCCGTGATGCGCCCCAAAAGGCCAGCTACCCCACTCAAGCCCCCACTTGAAGGACCGGTCGCCGACCGCGGTGCAGCACCGCTCGCCGCCGTCGATCCCAGTCGGATGGTCCCTATCCGATCCTTCTTTGGTATCCCCCAGAATGCCCGAGCCATCCCGTCTCGACCTTGGTTCGATCCGACGCCGGCGCCATCACCCCATCCTAATGTGTTGAGGAAGGACCGACTTGAATCGACGGCCTGGTTCCACATCGGTCTCACCGAGGAGGATTGGTAGAGCGACGAAGTGGTGGAGAAGGGCAGTTCGTCCCCGTCGAGATCGTCAAGATCGTCGTCTCCATCGTCGTTGTCAGGACCTAGCATGTGATTGGCGGTAGCGTTTTCGTCGTCTGATAGATCGGAGCTGGCCGCGGGTGAAGGTCGACTAGAACGACGGTGCGGCCGAGAGGATGCACTTGTCCGATCCGATCTGCCGGGTAGTCGTATATGATTCGAGAATATCCATGGGTACTTTGTCCGTAGCCTACAGGTGTGCCGATACGACAACATGAGCTCTCCATCTACGAGGGAGGGAGGCGGTGCCAGGAGCGTACGCGGACTGACCAATCCTGGGCGTCGGCGTAGAGCCTCAACGCATGCGCCCTCCGTAGAGAGATGAAGAGCAAGCAGGCGGTGAGGAGGAAAGTGAGTGGGAGCCATACGACGGGGGAGAAGGCGGCGTCGGAGCTGGGATCCGAGTAGGCCCAGACGGTCGGTACTGGTGGGGGCGTCGGGGCGTCGATCGAGACTGTGAAAGAGGAAAGGTGAGACGGCTAGTCGAGTACGAGGTTGGTGGTTGTACTGACGTGACATTGCGGCTAGAACCGTGGCGATGAAGATGAGCTGCACGTGACTTTTGGCCCGAGGTTGTCAGAGGCCGACGTGCTGCGCCCACTTCCGATGATGGGGGCGAGCGCGTTTGGTCGACTGTTGTGGTTATCCGGTTCGAAAGCGGGCACAGGGTGGTGCAACCCACAGAAAGCCGGTGGGTGGTCAATCGGAGCTTTTTGCTTGCAGCCACGACCGCTGAGCCGCTGGGTCGCTGACACTGACTGGCGGTGACGCTCGCTCGGCCAGATCACACCTTAATGCATTAGTCAGCAAGGTCTTGCGCTATGACCGCCCACAAGCGTCCTCGGCGTTCTGCCTCCTTCCATCCGCCCTCGCGCTTTGATCAGACTCCACCGCTTCCTTGCGATCTACCTGATTAGAATTTCGTAACCCTTCACTCAGCGAGTTTCTGACTACTTCATGCCTCCCGCCCAAGATCCGACCCAGTCATTGCTACGATGGGGCATCGAGAACGCCGCTCCCAACTCGCTGCTGCCCCTGCACGAGGACATCCAAGCCGGGCGTCGACCCGATCTCAACACCGACATCCTCAAGGCCATCATGGGCACCACCGACGCCGACCGCATGCGCGAATGCCTCATGGTCATTGAGGGCAAGTGGGTCGACCGCGATGGGACGGGGAAAGCTCAGGGCGTGGCGAAGGAGAATGCCGAGGTCACCGCAGAGGACAGGTACAGGGCTTGGGATGACTTGGAGATGGTCAGTTGTGCTTTCATGTGTGATCCTACCTGAGCTGACACGAGCGTTCTCTCTCTCTCTCTCTCTTTCCTCGTCCCACCTCTCTCGCCGAACTTCGCAATCGAAGCTCATCGAAGATATCGACAATGCCAACGGTTGGTCGCTTCGAACCAGTTTGGGTTGAGACCTCAACGACCCCAATATTCCGTACTGACTTGATTCACATTCCAACCGCATACGCGCATCAGACATGCAAAACCTCGGTCTGTGGAAGCCCATCGTCGCGCACCTCACCGATGACGACACCGACGTGGTCATGAGAGCATGCTGGGTCTGCGGTACCGCTGTTCAGGTCAGCAAACGACATTGCGCGAGCTGCTTTCATACATTACACTGATCGATACCAATTTGAACGCCTCTGCAGAACAACCCGAAAGCGCAACAAGCTGTACGTTAATCAGAGAAAGCTTTTCTCGTCCTTGGGTTGGTCACTGACCCCTTCCGTGACATGTTGACCCGCAGTTCCTTGCACTGGACCCCTTACCGACCATCACATCGATCATCACGTCGGCGTCGACTCCGATCGGGACGCGCAACAAGGCCATGTACTGCCTCTCGTCGACACTCAAGCACTCGGCACCGGCCGTTGCGCGCTTCTCCGAGCTGCAAGGCTGGAACACATTGACACAATCTCTACAAGGTGTGTTTGGGTACCAGAGGAGCTTCAGGCATATCTGTGCTGACCGTGTCTTTTGTTTCACTTGTTATTTGTAGACCCATCCCAGGTTATGCGGACCAAGGCCGCCTTCCTTCTGTCTCAACTCGTCTCGCAATCTTCCTCCCCGAAAGAGATGATTTCGTCACTACGCACCTCCAACACACTCTCGACCCTGCTCGCATCCTTGTTCAAGTCCTCGGCCACACCGACAGGGCCGGACGGTGATTCTGCAGAGATCGACGCCGATTATCGCGACAAGGTGTTGCGATTCTTTGTTAACGCGATCGAGCGCGATGCCGATGCTCTACAAAAGGAAGAGAAGGAACAGGTCGTCAAGGCTGTACGGGAAGCCGAGGGAGAAGGGTGGAAAGGTCAGGAGGATCTGGGCATGAGTGAAGAGGAGTGGAATGCTTTTGTCGAAAGCCTGAGTGAATGAATGGACGAGGGTATGCACACAGTCATAGTAAATGTTACTCCAGCCCAAGATTACGACGAATAGAAACTGTGAATCTGCAAGAAATGTTGCATCCTCAATGGCAATTGTATGGCTCCGCTCGGACCAGGTGGCGCAGGGTGGCGCCGAGCATCTAATAATCGGGTTTCACGGTGAACGGACCGCTCCCTCCTGTCCACTAACGGTAACGTGCACTCGCAAGCAAGGCGACCGACGCAACAGCATCAAGATCGAGAACTACAACAGTCCCATCGGCGTCTTTGCAGTGGCACCACGAGGCTCCCGCACCACCCCCACCTCACCTCTCGCTGCGCTCACTGATTCTCGGCCATCGCGGCGAGCTTGGACCCCCCCCCCCGCGGTCGAGGATGACGATGCGGCCGGCACCACTCGTCATCGCCCCTGCGCCATTCTCTCGTCAGCCGCTCAAGGCGATCTACATCACATATGTCCTTATCAGCATCTTGATTCGCCAACCGTATTGGACCCTACGCTACTACTTACGACTCGGGGTTCCGTACCCTCGGTCGTGGTCACTCATCGAAGCGCTAGGTGCACAATCGATGCGCCAGATGCCTCGACTCCTCACCCAGTGTGATCTCCGTTTCAACGTCTCCTCCAGGATCGAACTTCCTTCAAAGCCTTTCCGCCGATGTCGAGCGCTCTGGGTCCCCCCTGCTTCAGATGCTTGGATCAAGAAGGGCTCGATTGTCGATGACGAGATCGTCAAGGTTCGGAGATGCCCGGCCTATGTGTACGGCAAGGACCATCGAGGGTTGGGGCGGATGCAAGTGAGGAAGGGGGAACATGTTTTACTGTATTTCCATGGTGGGGCGAACCTCATCGGCAATGCCTCCGAACTAGATGGCACCGCTCGTAAGTCGGCGCCCGCGCACGGGGCCGAAACCCTGACGGGATTACTCACCCGAATCTCCGAGTGCGGCCTCTTTCCATCCAGAGGCGGTGCTACAGCTCTTATCGAGGTGTTCCAAGACGCTACATCACGCTCTTTCGGTCGACTACACCAAAGTGGGCGACCTTCCCTTCCCAGCCCACCTCCAGGACGCGATCAGCGCCTACGCCTACCTCGTTTCAGACCTCGGGATCCCGCCGTCAGGCATCCTCGTCGGAGGGGACTCGGCCGGCGGTGGCGTCGCCATGTGCCTGTTGAGGTACCTCAGGGATGTGATGAAGGTCGACGAGATGCCGCGAGCAACGCTATTGCTTAGCCCCGCATGTGACCTCTCGGGTGATTTGGAAAAACTTCCCGAGATTGAACAGAGTGAGGTCGTCAAGTTGAGAGCGAGCCAGGATATGATGAACAGGGCGGTGGTCAGTCAGCTTCAACTCGATCCAAAATTGATGCCGGAAAGGACAAAAAATTTGAATGTTTGTTTTGCATTTTTTCATCCCAGTACAAAACCTACATGGTCAAACGACTCTTGCGCCACCACCCACCTTCGTTGCTTCGGTCTCCGTATCTCTCGCCGGCATCCCCTCACATCAAACCGACCCCAAGCCTATTCAAGGGTTTTCCCCGGGTGTTCATCACCTGCGGTGGTATCGAGACGTTCCGACATTCGATCGAAGAGTTGGCCTCGCGATTCCGACTAGGAGGCGTTGAAACGAGTTGAGTCGACCTCCGAGACATCCATCCACTGGCCTCACCTCCTCTGAGCTGACGACGGAGTTGCCATTCAGCCTTCCATCTCGAGCCAGATGCCGTTCACGACTACGTTGTCATCCCTTTTTGGAACAAGGCGAGCAAGGCCAAGACGTTCGACTTGATCGCGAGCTGGGTTAATAACCAGATTTTTCCAGCGGCAACGAAGCACGTGACAGCGCACATGTAGGGCAGAGCTGATGAGAATGCGTGGACCGTGGTATATTTTCGTCTGTGTTATTTCTCGATTTTCGAACGGCTCGAAAGAGGCGGTGCGTTCTCTTGGCAGACGCCAAGAGCCATGAGGAAGAGGACTCGTGGGCAATGAAGATTTGCTCGTGCACTGCAACGAGCAAGCAGAAGTTTTGCCACCGGTAACCCGACCCTTGGACCCTTCTAGACCGCAGGCAGAAGCACTTTGCGATCGAAACAGCCGAGTGAAACATTCCAAGCTCTCGCAGCAACCCGCAAATGATAAGTATCTCGGCCCGCCAGATCAAGAATCGCTGTTCTCCCTCGCCGACCCTGCCAAGCGTTCACCGGTTCGGACGCGAGCTGCACAGCATCGACGCGGCGCAGTCTCAGGCGTGGAGCCAAACACAGCCTGAGGCGGCGGTGTTCACAACATGAGCGCTGCGGGTGCAAGTGCTACCCTCATCAGTTACCAAGTCTGACGGTGGTAGTGACCACCTCTTTCTAATTAGATCCCAAGACATTCCAGGTTGGTACGGTAGGTACGGTCAAGATTCTCACTTCGCACAGTCCTGGTTGGTTCCCCAGGAGGGATGCATGTTTTATTTTTCAAAGACCGAGCCCTTTGCTGCCGGCAGAATTCCCGATTGCCTAGCTGGAGTCGCATGTTCTCCGGGGCCGTCGCGTTAGGTCGCGTTCGACCCCCATCGGTGCCTCCACGTATGCCTCGGTTGGGCCTATTTTAGGTCAGACGTGCGTGCCTCCGCCCACTTGGCGTCGGGCGACGGGCAGTCAGCCAGCAGTGCCGGCAGGGTTTCGGTAAATACATCTGAGGAGAGAAGGAGACTCCTGTGATGCGTGGCCAGCAAAGAAGGGGCATTATCGACAACATTTTGTGAGTGCGAGAGAGTGCGAGCGAGCGAAATCGGTCGAACTACGTGTATCGGGCCACCGGTGGGGCTCGGCCTGATCACACCGCCCTAGTAGTGCAACTTGTGGAACTGGGATGGGTTTGGAGCCGCCGGGGTCCGCTTGGAGCAGCAAGCTCTGGCGGCCTGGCTGGCTTGGAGAGGTTTTTTGTGCGCGAGTAGGCCGCAAAGTGGCGCAAAAGTCTCGCAGGCAAAGGTAGCCAACGTTCTAAAAGTGCGGTCGATCCGGCCTGCGGTCGATCCGGCCTCCGATTGCTTCGCCTCCCTCTCTCCTTCCGCCCCCTCCCCTCCCCCACCGCACCCATATCCAAACTCTCGCACCCACCTACCTTAGATTCCCCCATCTAAACAAAATGCGAATCTCCGTCTTCTCCGCTCTCTCGCTCGTCTCGGCTGCCCTTGCGCAATGTGAGTACTCGCTATCTGTCTCTTGTGTGCTCATGGCGACGGTATCGGGGGCGGCGCTGTTCAGTGATGATGCGCCGCCGGACGGACGGACGAAGAGCCCATAGGCCTGTGGCGCACGCCGAAGCGCGCACGTCCACTTCACTTGACCCTGAACGACCACCAAGGTCAAAGGTGACGGTTGTGGGATACACGCACACCCTTGCCACCATGTCTGCCCCACCAAACTTGGCCGAGTCGTGGTGGCCGCGCTGATTCCGATCGCGCCAATCAGCCCTGGCGCCTGCGGATCACCCGGCGACGCCGCTCGGGGGTTGTTTGGAGCCCGAGGACGACAGCGAGGGCTCCCTCGTTCAACAAAAGCCAGTGCGCACTACACGCACCGACCACCGCTGGCCGTGATCCAGCGAATCTGTGGCACCAGATTGTTACTCTTTGTTTCAGACATCTGACTTACATTGTCCCGTTCTTCCATTCCCTCTCCTTCGGCTTCATTTTTTGCTCCCTCTCGGAACCCGCTCTCGGCTTCCCTCGCGCGCCGTCACGCTTTCCCATTCGTTCCTTTCCAAACACCAGCCTTGCTCATCAACACCCCCACGTCATTGATCGAATGCCAACCCTATGCCGTCACCTGGTCCGGCGGAACGGCGCCTTACTACGTCTCCGTTCTCCCCGGTGGTCAGCTCAGCGCGACGTAAGTGGAATTCTCGTAGCCCGTCGCCAGCGACAGCGGAGTCCGCACCGATGCCGCTGGTTATATTTCGATCGCCGATCCGCTTCGCACGCACCTCCGACCCCCCATTCCCTTGATCTAACAATGTAACAATTTATCGCGTCCACGTTCTACTTGCAGTGCCCTCACCACCCTTGGCGAACAGCCTACCACCTCCACCACCTACACCTGGGTGAGTCGATCAAGTACCGTTGATACCCTTGGTCCCCACGTGGCTCCTGGTTCGCGTGCTGGCACCGACGATGCGAGTGATGATCCGCATTGGCATGGGACTGATGGCCTGATGCGTTTCTTTCTTCCAGACTGTCAACATCGCCTCGGGCACAACGGTTACCTTGAAGGTACTCGACTCGGCTGGGTGAGTGGTGGGCTCCGCAACCCGCTTGGTTCACTGGGCCGCCCGCTGACACTGGAAACGGACCTCCCTGACGTCTGTGCAGTAACTCCGCCTACACCGCGCAGGTCACGATCCAAGCCGGTTCCTCTAACACTTGCTTGACCGCTAGTAAGATCCGACAAAGTAAAGGACGGGAGCTGTGCAATCTCCGATTTCTGACCACCTCCCTCCGGTGTCTTTCTCCTCCAGGCATCACTGCTGGTGCCGCCCCCGCCTCCTCCTCGGGTGCCGCCGCCAGCAGCGCCGTTTCTAGCGGTGCTGCCGCCAGGTGAGTTTTAGCTGCCATTGGGCGGGACTTGATTGCGGCTCTCGGATTGACGCTGGCCGCGCATTTCTCGCGCAGCTCCGCCGCTGTCTCGTCCGCTGCTGCCTCGTCTGCCGCGCCTGCGACCTCTTCGGCCGCCGCCACCTCTGCGTAAGTGCTTGGCTCTTCCATCTATGAATTATCCGTTTGATCACTGCATTCTAAATCAAGCTCTGAAAAATACAGCGCCCCGGCCGCGACGACCACCCCTGAGGCCACCACCACCGCTGCCGCTACCACCGCTTCGGCTGCCGCGTAAGCTCCCCTTCATTCCTTTGTGGAATTCGGTAATCTTGATCTGATGCTGACGTACTTTCTCTCTCTTCTCTCGGCCTCGGTTCTGACCCCCAACAGTGCCGCTACTTCGAGCCGCGCTGCCTCCGGTGCCTCGCTCGTCGGCTTCTCCTCGACCCTCCTCGGTGTGGTCGGTGCCGCTTTCCTCGCCATCGGCGCCTAAATTCACACCGATGGACGGCCGCTAGCCAGCTGCCGCCTCTCCTGGTGAAACTCCTTTCCAGCTTTCCCCTCCGTATACATATGACGTACCTCCTGTCTTGGCCGACCTAATTATCCCCCTCCGTTCGTTGTCTCTTGAAATTCTAATGCACTAGACCACCCCTTCTTGCTTGGCTCCTATCGTCTCTGTTGTCTCTCCCGCTTTTCCCTCCGGGCTCGCGCACCCTTGAGCTCGCATAATCTGATCTAAGCCGCACCTGGCGCCACGTATACTGACTCCAGCGATACAAGTCCGCTTTCAGGCACAACATGAGCAGCACACGGTCAAATCCGGCACGCACTGGGGGATCGTGGGAAGGTCGGCAAGTTCGTGGTTGCGTTAGATAACTTCCAACCTTTAGAGACTTGAAGACGGGAACTTTGGGATTGGAAACTTGGGACGCTTGTCTAAGGAGCGAGATCGCCAGCCTACCCCACGCGCTAGCGATGGAACATCGCGCCGTCCGTACACTGAGACAGGAAGACGGCGTCCCTTCCCTTCTGCTGCCCGGGCTGTCCGGTGAGTGAGCGCAGCGAAGAATCGGCGGACCTACTTCAACCCTTCTTTTGCTCTTCGCCACTACATTCCATCAGCGCGCTCTTCACTTTCTTGCCCAATTCACAGTCGTTCTTGGTCTTGACCATGCAACCGATGCAATCGCTCGCTCTCTTGGTGCTCGCGCTCGCTCCTGGTCTCGCGTCGGCGCTTTCCATCGGTTAGTGGACGAGATTGCATAAACCGATCCGGTTGCAGAGCCTATCACGCTCACTAGATGTTGGTTTAACAAATCCTTTGAATTGCCTTCATCCACACCTACTTTGGGCAATTCGTTGTCGCAGCTTCTCCGTCGCTTTACACTTGCCAGGTAAGGAACTTGTTGGCCGGACCGACGGTCCTTTTGGAGTCGGTCACCGGCCAGTTACTGACCCCTCACATATAACCTACATCACTTTGATGCCTTGCTACACAGCTTACGGCCTACCAAACTACGTGCGTGAATGGACCTTGCAACATCCACTGTGCGTTGCACGGCCAGTGTCCTCATCCACAGTCCCCTATTCGGGCGCTGACGCGCCGGAATGGCCTTGAACGATCACAGTACGTGACGCGTCGTCGCAGCAAGACCTCTGGACCAAGACAAATATCTCTTCTGGAACGTACACTATTTCTTGGGAGCCGAATGTGGCCGCTGTTAGTCATATGAATGCCAAGAGCTGGTTGATCTCCGCTCCTTTTTCACTAACGAGAAACGAGCCCCGTACTTTTCCTCCTCGGGTGGGTTACTCCTGTTTCAGGGGACTAAAGTGATCGCTTTCATCTAGTGCGTTCTCAGGATGGTCGCCTCGAGCGATGTCTAAAGTTTCTGTAGCTTACGCATTGCATGTTGTACTCGACAGCGACTCGAGTGGTGTATCGGCCAACAATGCCGCAACCGTGGTGAGCCCGGGCTCCTCAGACTGGTCAGTCAATCTATCGCCTATGTCATGCTGTGGCGTCAACACTCAGCTGAAGTTTCCTACATCTGACCGTCTAGTGACATCAATGGTATGTCTCTTGGTAGATACTCATGGAAAAAAAATGAATGGCCACTGACTCGACTTGATGCACAACTTTTCACGTTTAGGCGGAGACGACTCGGACCACATGGGTGGCACCGGAGCTCCGTTCACGCTCCCCACCGGCAACAGCCAGGACAGCAAGGATTCATCAGAAGACTCGAGTGACTCGGAAGACGCACACGGAGATTCGAACATGAATGGTGGCCATTCCGGCAACGGCAACGGCAACTTGCAATCTTCGACCTCCTCGGACGGGTCCATCCGAGAGTCGTCGGCAACGTCGCTCAGTTCGAGCCCTTCGGCCGTGCTACTGGGATCGTGAGTCGCCAAAGTGACAGTTTGTATGACTTTGTCTGTGGCTGACTATCGCACACCGATCTTGTTCTAGACTGATCGTGGTGGTCCTGACCTCGATGTTCTTTGGTGCCGCTCTTTTGGCTTGACGGTCGGATCAAGATTGCTCCGCTCGCCCACCACTGGTCGATGGCGTGTGGACGAACCCAGAAGTCATCTTGTCTCCGGAGCGCAGACATCCTGACTCGTGGATCGAGTTTCAGTTACACTTTGATCACGAAGACTAGATACTTTCTGCAGCCTTGCTACTCTACATTGGACTTTCGCATCTAGAAAAGGACGTCTTGCCTTATCGCGCCGTCCTCCGCTTGTTTGTGAAATTCCTTCCCACTCCCCGCAACCTTGGCATTGCAATCTCATCCGTCTTTCCTTGAATCAGGTCTGGAAATCGGTGTGCAAAGACCTCTGATTCTTGGGAGCTTTTGTGCGGTGCATATCCTCGGCTAATTATGACGCAAGCTTTCCGAGCTGTCGGTGATCGAGCGGAAAGGAGGTGAGCGAGGTGGCCCGGCCCGGCCGGCGGGTGAGATCGGTGAGCTCTGATCGGCAGTGGTGCCGAAGGGAAGGGGTCAGACGAAGGTTGTGCATTTGTGGAGGAGGTCACTCGGTGCTGGTCACTATGATTTTGTCAGCTCGCCCACATTTTCTCACTTTCTCACTTCGCTCCTCTTGCTTCTTCCTTCACTCACCTTGCCGTCGCATTCTCGAACTCCCACAATCTCTCAAAACCCTCCAATATTGTCACATCCGAACATAGTTCCAGATGCTCGTCGTCCATGTGCTCGGTGCGCTTGGGCTGGCTGGGACTACGGCCGCTCAAGCACTGCAAATCGGTGAGCATCAACCCCATTGCGGTTCAATACTTTGGATCCAACTGACGAGTCACGTGGCCCACGTATCAATCCAAAGCAACACCCGTGCTGTACACCTGTCAAGTAAGTAGCACCAAGCTCTGATCTCACGACCTGGACTAAGTAAGCTCCCGATGCCTCGATAGCTGACTGAACACTGGTCGTGCGACGTGCTGCGCAATCACCATATCCAGGCCTCCGCCCTCGCTTACACCTGTGACAGCGGCCCATGTACCGTCTTCAGTGAGTGACCATTCCAATATCACACCATAGGTTGTGTTTAGCCGATTTGCATTGCCCGAAGATAGTATCGCCAACGCCCTGGCACCGGTTCGAGTCAGGGGTCTTTTCTCCCAGAGCCGTGACGTCATCTCAAGCCCTGTGCAGACAACGAATGCTAACGATCCTGTTCGCGACTCGCACAGTCCGTCCCTCTGATGATCCTGCAACAATATTGCAAAGCTTTGCTAGCCGAGAGACCGGTTCCGGTTCGGTGCGTGTCACGCTCCGAGTCGTCTCGTCCTTGACACCATGCCGCTCTGACCTGATCTGGTCCATCATCCCTCTCAGGTCACGTATACTCCCGGGGCCACGGCGGTGAGTCATCAATTCTCCAATGCATACGTGATGATCTGAGCTTGTATCCATGTAACTTCTTCAACTTCACGGCGCAGGGTTCGTCGATCACAGCTTTCATCTAGTTTGTTCACTCCATGCATTCAGTCTTGTGATACGCTCGTCGCTGACAGAGAGTTTGACCGGTGACTTTATCCACACCAGCGACTCGACAGGCAACGTTGCCAGCAATGCTCCCACCCAGGTTTTCTCTGGCTTGACAGGATGGTACGCTCGTTTTTTTCTCCCATCGCGACCTGTGCTGACGAGCTACGCCACTCTACTCAAGCGGCAGCGGTAGCAGTGCCGGCGGCAGTGAAAGTGGTGGCAATGGCGGAACTGGAGGCAATGATAGCGGCGGAGTTCGCGGCGGCGGTGAGAGCTGACCCTCCTCCTGAACAGCGTTGGAATTGAAAAAGCTCATCTCGCTCCAATGTGCGCTTCGATGTTTCTTCAGCAGCCACGGCCAGTGCTTGGCCTTCTGCGGGGCCGAGTTCTACAACGAACAGTGGTCCCTCGCACACGAGCAATGATTCCTCTTCTACGTCTGGTCAGTCTTGAATGATACACTTGTTACCCACGTCCTATTCGCCCCCTCACCGAGCCGTCTCCTTCCCCATGATATCATCAGCAGCCAAGCCATCCACTTCCGACTCGGGATCCCCGGCTACCTCAACACCCACGACGTCTAGCACACACCCAGCCGCAGTCACCACCAAGAGTACGACGTGAGTATATCGAGCTTTAAACAGTGCCGAGCTTCAAACAGCGCGACACTGTCTATCAGTCGCTGACACCCTCCACGGTGCCTCTCTTCATCACTCCTTGCCACAGACCCATCGACTCCAACAACACGAGTCCGCCCATTCGGGCTTCGGCAGCCGGACCAAGCCTCAGAAGCACGTGGTGGGTCAGGCCCTCACGTAAGATATATCGTTTCATCATATTCTGAGAAGGATGTGTACCTGATTGCAGGCACAGTACCCTCCGCGCCTCCGTCATCATCACTACGCTGCTCCTCTTCGTCTCTCACTAAGTTTGAAAGATCCACCGAGCGGTTGTACCCTGCCTCGTATATCGCGCTACACATCCAGTCTTCTGCCGCCTGCCTGATGAGACCATGTGACAACTCAGCTCCGGTCTCATACAGGCTCAGAGCCCACACGACCTCTGTACTCCCGCATCGCACCTTTGCTTTACGGACCCCTCCCTTAGTGGACCATGCGATCCTCCACTGTCCTGTTACTTGAATCGTCCTTGTCCTTTGCAATACACGAGACCAATCCTGTCAAAATTCGCCGCCATCAGTAAGGATCTACGATCCATGAGACCTCGACCTGACCTTGGACACAACTCTTTGAGGATCTGTCTCCTGTTGCGGCCCAACTCCGAATCGCGCTCCAGGTTACATAGGAACTCAGTGTCTATTTAGCAATAATTTAAAAGAACGATAAGAATGAAAGGCGAGGGGATGACACTGACGGCAAATTAGAAACCACAATATGGAATGATAGGATAAATATTTTTATAAAAAAATGGGCGTTTCGGATACTGCCTTTGGAAGCGAGAAAACACAGGAGGGGGGAGCACTTTCTCCACGGAAGAGCACTGTCGCATCACATCATCAGAGGGCCCTCTACTTCGCTCCGCTTAGCGCTCCCGGCGAGGATGTTGACGATCGTCAAAGCCCACTCGAGGGCGGTTCCAGGTCCACGAGAGGTGACGAGATTGCCTGAAACGACGACTCGATCTTGGACATAGTCGTAGTCTTGACAGTGGAACGAAGAAAACACATTCGTCAGGTCCACTACAAGACGACTCATGCGTGTGGGACCTCCACCGTGTACTCACGTTTCTCGAGATCACCTTTGACGCTCGGATGACTGGTGATGCGTTGACCACCGGCGATCCCGGACGTCTTGGCCGCGAGAGATCCGGCGCAGATCATGCCGACGAGCTTGCCCTGGTCGTAAAAAGATCGAATCAAGGTCTGCACCTCGCGAGAGGATGACAAGCGGTCCGCTCCCTTGGCACCTCCGGGGATGATCTACCAGTGGTGGTCACAGGAGGAGAGGTAGTCAGCACCTGAATGAGGTGCTCGTCCTCACCACAGCAGATCTCGTCCTGCACTTACGATGGCGTCAAAATCGTCCTTGTGCTCCTGCTTGAGAGTTTCGAACTTGGTATCAGCCAACATCCGTGCGCCTCGGGACAAGGTGATGTAGGGCAAAGACTGGGATGGCGAGAATTGAGGCGATAGAGAGACGATCGTAGGCCCCAACGAGGCTCGAACCAACACGTCAAAGATGGTCATGACCTCGATCTCTTCGGATCCGTCCGCAACGAGGATTATGACGCGCTTCTCGCCATCTTGTTTAGCGACGGGGGCAAAGACGGCCTTTTTGACCGCGCTCGCGACTCGCTTCACACTCGTCGATCGAGTCAATGGCTGATCCTGCAAAGATACGCCTTCACGGTCGCCCAGGGGCAGAGGGGAGGGGTCGCGCGGGCGTCCTCCATTGTTCTCGGAGAACGGAGGTGGTGGTGGCATCGCATTGGCCTGACTCGCCGATCCAGCTCGATGACGGTTCGAATCCGAGTTGTTGGTACCGCGGGGTGCTCGTTGCGATTGCGTTCGACGCGGCGGCGGGTTCCAGCCTGCGAGTTCCGAGTCGGGTCGAAGACGGCTCGCACCCGTCGTGGAGGGCGCGAAGGCAACGCCAGGTGCGGCCATACCGTGAGTTCCTTGTCCAATATCATTGGCTCTACAAGTTAAAGTAAAGCAACGACGTAACACCTTTAGTTTGAGTTGGCTCCAGTGAGACCTTGCAATTCGTGAGGAAGATTCAGCTCGGAACTCACCGAGCCCCGCGAGAGTCGGGATGACGGGCTCGACCGTTCGCTTCGCTGTCGTGGATTGTCTGAGCAGGAGGTTGAGGGAAGTAGGAATCTGCGAAGAGGTGAAGGACAGGCGAGAAGCCATCAGCGACGAAGCCTCGGAGCGCGGGGTGAACGCCCATGGCCCGGACGGTTGGAGCAGCACCGCGCCGAACAAGCCGAGCCGTTGGTAGCAGCATGAACCTTCCCCCTCGAAGGAGCTGCATCATAGGATCGCTCTGATCCCGCGCAAATCCATCCCAGGACCCGTCCTCCGCGTTTGAATTCCGACTCCAGCTCCGAGGCTGGGCAAGCGCAGCGAGCCAAGCGACACGCGGCACGTGAGCCGTCTCCCGATCAATACCCCGCCGCCCTGCCCCGCCGCGTCCGCCCATCCACGACAAGGAGCGATGCGATCGCGCGACGGCCAGCCAACGCAGGGGGTTTAAGGCTGTACGTACCCGGGGCAGGACTGGTACTGAGGTTGTTGAAGCCTGGTGATCGTGCTCCGCCGCCCGAAGGCTTGGCGTTGTGACGGGACGAGGTCCGTTCGGGTCGGTCGATCGAGGTGGACGGCAGGGGAACCGAGCCGAGAGGAGGCGAAGGCGTCTTGTTGCGGTGGCGGTCATTGTCCTTGTTGCTGCGACTCAACGAGCGCACCAGTTTGCGGAAAGCACCTCCTTCACTCATGGTCGTTGGACAGTCGATGCGGGGTCGGGGATGGCTTCGAGGTGAGGAGGAGCGTTGATGGAGGAGCTTGAGAGCAGCGTTCGTTGGAGCCCAGCCTCAGTGTGCCTCAGTCGTAGGGGCGCTCACAAGCGCTCACTGGCGCTCAGGCACTGCCTCGTCTCAAAAGAGGCCCGGGCCGCGCGATTTGCCCTTGCTTCTCGACATTCCAGTACGGTTAATCCTCGGACTCTGTTCTACCCAAACCATGAGAAAACAAAGAAGAGGACACCAGTCGGAGTCGCTGTGCAACGCGGCCTGATACGTGCACGTGAGAAAAAGACTAATGAAAAAAGCAAACACAGCGAACCCCCACACATCCCCATCCTCGAGTCTGACCTCTCCCGCCGCAATGCCAGTTGAAGCAGCTGTTGACAGCGGGTGACCACGTTAGCAGCAGCTCGCAACTTGACGTTCGAGCAGACGGAACTACTAGTAGGCAGTCACACTTGGTGTGCATAAAACTCACTTTTTGTGGACAAAGTTGTTGATTCATCATTGATATCCGTCATGACGTCTTGCACTGCCGATTGGCGGACAAGGAAACTCCCTGTGACGCCAAATCCCGAGGTGGAGGCAAAGGTGGAGGTGATGGTGGATGACGTAAGCAAGAGGTTGACGGTGCGGTGAAGGCGAGGTTGGCGTTCAAGATCAAGGTCAAAAAAGAGCAGCATGAAACGAGGGTAAGCTAAAGGTGGAGGTGCAATGGGGAGGAACAGACGTAGAGGTGAAGGCAAGGGATGAAGGTGGTGAGGTGGAGGTGATTCGAGGTGGAAGCGAACGTGATGGGGAAGGGTGACGGGTGAAGGTGAAGACGAGAATCGATGTAGAGGTGAAGATGGTGTGATGTGAAGGTAGATGAAGATGAACGGGCATGCAAAGGCGAAGGTGAGAGCAAGGTCAGCCCAAGTCCGTCGTACGAGGTCGGGTCCGACCGATGATGCCGCAGCTGCGCTGGCGGTGGCAGTGCATGCTCGGAGGCGGCCACAAGCGGGACTGACCCGATACAATGACAACCAAAAACCTCTCCCAAACTTTTTACCTCGCAAGACGACCAGGACTGCCGTGGGCCCCTCTTCGATCAAGAGCGTGCGATCGGAGGCTGGTGACGATCCGAGTCAAGACGAGAGGAGGGCAGTGCCCAAGTCAGCGACGGTGGTACTTGCAACGAGTGGGAGGGGTGAACTCACGGTGGCTGATGGTACACTACTGCCGACTTCCACCACCGACCGCCTCGGTGCTGCGTCGATGCGCTAGTCGGTTACGGCCCAGTGGTGGAGGAGCCATGTGAGAGGTACTCATCAACGAAGAAGAAGGAAGGAGAGAGAGAGAGGTGAGAGGGGGAGGGGGGGGGGGGGGGCTTCTATGCTCGCCCTGGCAAAGGCCAGGCTTGGCGCTTATCAAGCGATTCGAGGTCAAGCTCTACGAGCTTGCTTCATCCGTGCCTATGAGGCTAGCCCGCGCCGCCGCCGCTCGGCATCGCAGCTCCCTCGGCGCTGCGGTCTTCCGAAAGGAGACCCCTCAGTCACCCGAGGTCACCAAGTCGACCTGATATGTAGCAGCAACAATGAAATAAGCAGTGTTCTTGGTGGTTGCAAAATGACACTCGTATTTTAACGCATCTGCTCGTACTACTCTGAGTCCGAACGACCCATTACTTGTGTTTCCCGTCCATGGGTTGCCCGTCCATGGCTCGGAGTCATTTTGAGGGGTCAGAAGATCGAGCTGATGAGCCAGGAGCGCGCCGGTCCCCGTCACGCGCAACTTGTTCACGTCTGACGCGACCAACACCTCGGGTACTACCCTTTCACTCCCTCATCTTTCGATCTCTCACCGACCATGACGATCGCACACGCACACAAACTGCTCGACCAGGAACTCCTCACCGTTCCGCCGTACCCACACGTCGAAAGACAACGGCACGTCGTCCGGCGCTCTCCTCAAGTCTCTCCCGACAATTTTCAAAGTAGAAGCTCCGACCGGAACACCGACCCATGACCGAATGGCTCACCGACTTCGGCGGTCAAGGCGAGCCGACCTTAGCGGGACACGTCTTCGATGTGTCCTCGGAGGTCACCGTCATCATCTCGGCCCACGAAGCCTCCCCCCTGATCGCGGCAAGCACTCGAGTCGGGGTCATCGGCGGCGTACGCGTTCAAGGCGACCGTACCGCCCTCGCCAGCAAAGATTCCGACTTTTTCATGATGATCGGAAGTGAGCGTGCGAGATACCGATCAATTCCCTCCGTCAAGCATCGGGTGGTTCGAGTCATCGACCTCGAGATCCTCGAACGTCAGGGAAAGTTCCCCGGTGCGGAAGGAAGGTTCGTTGCGGGTTGATGATGGGATGCGATTACCTTCCAACCGGTATCAAAGGTCACGGTCCGGCCAAGCTCGAAAAGTTGGATCCGTCACTCTTTCAACTCGCCACTTGGATCCAAGGTTATCAACACGCCACAGCGGTCCTGCATCGAGTCGAGCCTCGATGGGCGGCGTTGAACAAGCCCAACGGCACCGAGATTGACCTGGTTCGCGCCATCTGCGACGCGATCACTCCGATCCGCAACCTTTACGACTTCTCTCCGTGCGACTTGGTCTCGAAGCCACCGAGCTCTCCGCGAGCCATCGGGCACTCCCCCCGGGTCCTCTTCCCCGACACTTCGTTCGATGGGGGTTCGGACAAACACCTGCGTCGCCAGTCCACGCCCGCGCTGCAGCGGTTCCGGGCAACCCCGCTCCTGCAAGGGCGCCAAGGCCGCGGATTCGAGATGGGACCCCTCCAGCCTCTCGCATTGATTCGCGATCGGAAGACACGACACGAGGCCGCGGCCGTTCGGCGACTCGAGGCCGCCCAGCCCGGGAGATGTGCGTCGACCCGCCAGATTGCGATCAAGGGTTACTGGTTCGATCGACTCGAATAATGGCCGATGGTTGCTGTTCTTTCGTTCATCAGAGACGCTTGTTAGATTGCATTCGCTCTCTAAGCTGGGATGTATGTTGGTGAAAAGAACCGTTCGAGAGATCTGGCGATCGGAGAGGCTCGAAAGTGAAAGAGGGGACTCAAGGAGCAGCACGGGCCTCGAGCTCTTTCGTTCACGACATCGTCGATCGTTGATCAGCAGTCGGTGGGCTCCAATCGCGATTTAAACATAGTGGTTTGATAAAAACATTTTCGGCTGCTTGCCTCGACTACTCACCTTCTTCTTGTGAATGGCATAAGCCCTTCACTCGAAGCTCACATGTATCCGCCCGAGTCTCCATGCTCCACGCTCTTTCGGCCCTCACGAGTCTCGACTTTTCAGCTCAGCCGACCGGTCCAAATCGTAGTCATCTTTGTTCAACTTTCGGCATTGCGATTCCATCACAGATTTGCCGGCTGAAGGAACAAGCTTCAAAACAGGTGTAGATTTAAGCGGACTCGGAGTGCATTTGCAGAGCGGCCTATCCGGTATGAAAAGGAAGGCGCGTCCAAGAGGTCAGCAACTGAAATTGATGGGCGAAACGACGACTTCTGGGATTGGTACGTACGACAAGCTTGTCCTTGGCCGCACCGACGACGGTGCCCTTCTTCTCGCCGTTCTGGAAGAATATGAACGTCGGCATCGCTTTGATCGCGCACTCGGACGCGATATCCTAAATGTCGATCAGAGCAGCAAAGTCAGTTCCGCTGGTTCAGATCATGCGTCGATAAGCCCATCCAAATCACGCACCTCTTGGGTGTCTACGTCGACCTTGTAGAACTCGAGGTTGGGGTGCTCCTTTTCGAGTTGCTCAAAGACGGGCGAGATGACCTTGCTGTTGGCACGCGGACGGGAAAGCAATGCGCATCAGTTCAGGATCGCGAGACCGAGTGGACCTTCTCACTTCCCGATACTTACCACGGTCTATAGCGTGGGATTGACGGCAGAGTCCAAAAGTAGAACCACGTCAGTAAAAGCGGACAATGCCAAAGTTAACCCACCCGTTCCCTGCTGGCATCTCGACACTCACCCGCACCCTGTAGGCGATGCCCGCAGCAAGGGTCATAAAGTCAGCTACGACCCCATCGACAACGACGTAACCACTCTTCGTGTGCAAACATACATGTGGCCCAAAAGTCGATGACGACGATCTTGTCCGAGTTGATAATCGTCTTGAAATCGGCGAACGATTCGATTGCCTTGACCACTGCGTTTGTTGTGGTGGTCAGTGATCGGATGAGATACGCGCGTTTGTTTCGTACCGAACAGTCATCGGATCTCTCTCCTCCTCCGTTCGAAACAGCTGAGACAAGCCGTCGTCTCGTCCGTGGTGGCGCGAGTCGAAGCGCGGGGAAATCGGACCCGACCGGACGTGTAATGATCGTCGCAGGCCATCTCGACGACTGCACCAGGATCATACCACATCCACTGAGCTCCGAAGCACGCAAGGCGAGACTCACTGGTGATTATATATACGAAGTAAAGGAGTGGGAGATGGAGATGGGAGAGATGTGATCAAAGCTCGTCAAAGAGAGGAACATTCGCCCCTCTGACGTCGAGTCGATTTTACCGGCAGGCTGGCACTGGCTGGCAGCTGCAGACGAGCGAACCCGCCATCGGGGCGGCGTTTGCTGACAAATCGCGGCGAAGGGGTCCGGATGACAAAGCCGTAATCGGGTTCAAGACGCATCGGAAGGACGAGGTCATTCTGGTACCTTCGGTGCTGAATGTCCAATCCCTTCGAAAAGGACCACATTGATTAAAATCACATTTCCTGACTTTGTGATACACGCTGCCCTGAAAACCCGCCTGCCTGCCCGCCTGCCTCGGCTTCAACCACTTGAATTTCTACCTGAGCAAGATATTGCAATCCCACCCCTTTCAAACACACGCGTCCCGCCTATCCTTTACTCCAACACGACGTCCTGTTCTTCCGTCGAATACAGCGTCGCGCTCGGCCTCCACACCTGCAACACGTTATCCTCCGCCGCGGTGGCCAACGTCCAATCCTCATTCGGCGACCACGCCAAATCCGTCGGTCGAGCGGTATGTCCACCATGAACGAACAATAACTCCGGTGGACCATCTTCTTGATCTTCGGGCGTTTGCTCTACACCGATATTGGAAACGTCCCATACGTTGACGCGGCGGTCGCCGGAGGCGGAGGCGAAGATGGTTTCATTCGTTGGGGACCAGGCGAGTTGGAGTACCTCGTCCGTGTGCGACTCGAAGGTGTGCAGCTTGAGTTTGAGATTTCGCAGATCCCACAACGCGATCGTCTGTTCCAAGAGAATGAAGGCCATCAATTTCTGGCGAGCGGGTTATGATGTGAGTCGACTAACTTTGTCGGCTGAACCGGTGATGAGAATGTTCTCGTTGTGGGGCGCAAAGGCGACAGCGTTGATCTCGGCTTCGTGGGCCTCGACGCGCGCAGTCGGCTTCATTACACCCGAGACGCCACGAGTATCCCACCTAAAGAGAAAAGGTTTCGAAAGGTTAGTAGCCGAACAAGACAATGGGGACCACCGAGGCTTACATGAGAAGTTGCCGGTCATCGCCGACGGAGGCAAAGATGTTTTCTTGGAGGCAGTGCCATGCGACGTCCTGAGTACGAACAAATACATTCAGTCGGTGACTTTGCTCGATAGCACACGTTCTCGAGGACGAGTGACTCACCTCGACGATCGCAGTGTGGCCTCGGTAGACGGTGAGGGGTTCCATCGTTGATGCGCCCTTGGTGTACCCGTTGACGTCCCTGGTGAAGGTCAAACGAGCGCCGGTTAGCGTCTGCCGATCATACATCAGCTCAGACATGGAAGAACGCACCAGTGGCAGATGGACTGGTCTTCGGAAGCACTGAGCAAGTGACCGGCCTTCCCTGATGTTGGGTTCCACGAGAGACCATAACTGCCAAACGTGCAACGAGCGCAAGAGTGAGCCCTCAGCCCCCACCAATCCCACGAAGCTCAACTGACCCTTCCTTGGTGTGGCCTCGAAGGGTGATGTCGGGCTTGCACACGTCGTTGGTCGGCTGGGACGGGTGCTTTGTTCGGTCAAAGACGTAGACCTCGCCGAGAACGGTCTTTGTGGCGATGAGGTCACACTTTTGGGGCATGTAGCGCGCGCGGTTGACTTCGCCGGTGTGGTTGATCGATTGGATCACCTTGATGCGCGTTTCGGTCGCGGAGTGAGCTCCGACCTCTGTGATGAAAAAGGGGGGGTGGTGGGTGAGCAATCGAGCTTGGTGTGCAGCCACCAGACCATATGGACTGACCACCCTTCTCCTGGTCGTACTTGTCGAGGTCGAGTTCGGCAGTCGGTTTCGGTAGGTGGACCTCGGCGATCTGGACGTAGTTGTTGTCATTGTCCGAGGTATGGGTGCCCATGAGGATGCGGTGCGAAGTGTAGTCCTTGCCCGCCGGTCTGCGGGATGATTCGGATAGCCAATGTCAACGGGGTTGCTCCTAGCTCGTACTCGGTGGCCGGCTACGACGCGTCGATCCTTCGCTCTGGTGCGGATCCTAGTCGCAAGCAGTCATAGTTCATGTGACGAGCGGTGTCTGACTTACGACTCCTTGTCGGGGAACCATTGCAAGGTCAAGGAAGGCCAATCGAGCGCATGGGTGAGCACGAGGTCGTAGCTGTTCGTGGTCGGGCGAGCGTCAGTACGACTGTGCCGGACGTCTAGGGAAGACGAGGCGCAGTGTGTACTGACAGGAAAGGGGTGTGCCTCTTCCAGATCTTGTAAGCCTCGTTGATACTCTTGTGCAGCTGCTCGTGTGGCGCGTCGAGTGTGTAATGCAGGGTAAGGTGGGTGCGGTGGAACGCGACGCGCGCGAAGACGGGCCAAGCGAAGGAAGGACAGGGGGAGGGGGAGAAGAGTGAGGAAAGGGGGGGGGGGGGGGGGGGGGAGGTCAGCTCTCAGAGTCAGATGTGAGCGAAAGCGTGGGTGGTGGACGGTGACTTGCGACGGCAGTTTCATCCGATGCCGACATGGTTGTGATGGTGTGCGGTGAGAGAGCACGCTACAGGCGGTTGGTGCCGAGGCGCGTCGGGTGTAAATGGCGCTCAACGGCGCCCAATAGCTCATTACCAAACTGGCCAAACCGACGCGCGTTGGGCGCAGACTGGCGCAGACGCGAAAATGAAAGCGGCCCACAGTGGCCCGTTCCTGGCCCACTCTTGTGCTCGCGCTCGTGCTTGTTGCTGCTCATCACTCTCACCACCACCACCACCACCACCACCACACACACTCGTTCCTCCGTAAGTTGATTCCCATCCTCCCTGATCAGGTCAACCGGAATGGAGTGGCATGACCCTCCTTGAGCGCTCGACGCCGACGGTGCGCTTGCTCCTTTTGTCCTGGGGGACAGCTCGTCACCGGGTCATCGATCATCTCTCACTTTGGGCACATCGGGGTCATCGTTCCCCTGTCCCCCTGCCCCACCTCATATCTCACACATCACTCACACTCACACTGTCCCACGTTCGCATATCTACCCTTTTTTGTTCCTACCTGGTTGATCTCCCTCGTTCGTTGCTCGTTGCTCGTTGCTCGTTGCTCGTCGCTCGCCGCTCGCCGCTCGTTACTCGTCGCTATCCCGTGCTCTCGTTTGTCCATCCACTCCACTCCACCCCACCACACCACACCACCGCAACCCGCAACCCGTTCACGCACCATTCCTGCGCCGTCCTACTTGCCTTGTAGTACGCCCAATACGAGCTCAAGGGCGACACGCATTCGACTTGGCTCATATCCTACAAGCCTCGTACACAACACACACACACGCGCGCGCGCATCAAGCTCGCCTGACCTCTCTCCATCACCCATGTCGGATCCAGCCGATCTCGCTCGCAAGCGAAGCCGCTCCTCGTCGCAGGACGGCCACGACCCAGCCGAACCCCAAAACGGCAACGCCAATCACAACGGTGGCGCCTCGACCTCGACCTCCAACAAAAAGGCCAACAACAACACCAATGCGCCGACCGAGTTGACCCGTGACGATGATGTCGAGCAAGGAGAGGGCAACGACGACGTCAAGCCCATGGTCGTCGATTCCGAAAACCCTTCCTCTACCTCGGCGGAACCTTCGACTTCGAATCCGGCCAAGCCTGCCGCTGCCACTGCAGAGGGGGATGCAGCAGCCGTTTCGGCCGCGGTCATTCAGATGAGGGCTCTGATCGTCACCCAGGACGCGTCCATCATCATCGGCAAGGGCGGCAAGAACGTCAACGAGATCCGCGACAAATCAGGCAGCAAGATCACCATCACCGAGACCATCCCGGGCAATCCGGAGAGGATCATGGTCATTGCCGGACCGTTGGATGCTGTTTCCAAGGTGCGTGGACACAGTGCGTGTTTCCATCCGTAATGGGGTGCAATGGCTCATCACTTCGTACCGGGCGAGCACAGGCATTTGGTTTGATCGTGCGTCGAATCAACGACGAGCCCTTCGAGACACCCTCCGTACCTGGATCTCGCGCAGTCACAATTCGGTAAGAGATTCATCACTAGGACACTGTGGAGTAGGGCCTCCGGGCTAATGTCATTCGTGTCTAGTTTTATCATCCCGAACGCGCGAATGGGATCCGTCATCGGTAAGGGCGGCGCCAAGATCAAGGAAATTCAAGAGGCTTCCGGTGCCAGATTACAAGCGAGTGAGGCCATGCTGCCAGGCAGTACTGAGGTCAGTCGGGAAATCAATCCGGGCCCAAGAGTCCCATGACTTTCCTCCGAATCCTCATCTGACTCGCCGATCCTCTCTTCTCCAGCGAGTCCTGTCGGTCTCGGGTGTCGCCGACGCGATTCATATCGCCGTCTACTACATTGGAACGATCCTGCAAGAACACGCGGGCAACGTGCTCGTTAACACTCCGTACCGACCGAGTGTCGCGCCGCCGCTCGACCCTTACGGAGCGCCGGTACCCCCCACGGGCGCGTACGGTAGGGGACCGCCACCGCCGAGAGGGTACCCTGGATTCGGAGGACCGGGGCCACATGGTCATGGTGGACCGCCCGGCGGTGGGTACGGTGGAGGTGCGGCCGGTCCGGGTGCGCAGACGCAGCAGATCTTTATCCCGAATGAGCTGGTCGGTGAGTCCCTGTTCCCCGGCGGCGTATCGACGCAACTACGAAGGGTCGCTGATGATGAGTATTCGATGTCGGTGGTGGGCTTGCAGGTTCGATTATTGGGAAAGGAGGGGCCAAGATCAACGAGGTGCGACAGGCGTCGCAGTGCCAGATCAAGATTGACGAACCGGGAGGAGCGGTCGCCGCGGGTGGAACCCCGGCAGAGAGGGTCAGTTTTTCAGGAGACAAGTCAAAGTCTTGGATTGGGCTGATCATCTGATGGACTTGTGTGCATCGTTCCCACAGCTGGTGACGATCACGGGTCAGCCGGCGGGTATCCAAGTCGCGGTGCGCTTGCTGTACGCTCGACTGGAACAAGAAAAGGAGAAGCGTGAGTTCAGTTCAGCTCGTTCCGCTTCCAACCTGAACCTATATTGATCTCGACCATGCGTCTCCATTCGGTATAGAACTCGGCGCCTGAACACGGGCCAACGCATCCATGGAGAGCTTTGACAACCCAACACCAACCAACTGGGGAACTCCTGCTGTCTAGGTTCAGAGTTTTTGTGTAACATAGCTTGCTCGTCACCCTTTCTCTTGCAAAAGACGTTCTTCTACTCGGGCCCGTCTGAAGAGATTAGGCACACCGAGTTCAGATCGAGGCGGCTAGATCGATCGACGGTCGGACGTCGAAAGCCTAATGCCTCGCCGCTCAGGCCGCTCAGACCGCGCGCCCGTCCGCGCCGGCCCGCGCGCGATTGTCCTTCGCAGCCGGCCGGGAATGGCCAACCAGCAGGCAGCGCGCAAGTGCTGTCTCTGTGAGTGACCGTTCCTACTCGTTCCGGACTGCACCCTCCTTCTCTGCGTGATCCAATCAAGCTCAACCTTGGGTGCATTCTTGACTCAGTTGGATCGATCATCTCCTCGAGGAGGGCACTCAAACAGCTCTCGAAACGAACGGGTTCGAAACGCTCGCTCGGTCGTCGCTCCGAATCCTGGGCCGATCGCAGTACTTGTCCTTCAACCAGAATGGCACCGATCTCCCCGAATGGCCATGGCACTGGCAACGGTGTAAAGCGCCCTTTCGAAGCGGTCTCCCCCTCCGATTCGTCGATCGTCGGCAGCACCATCAGCGCCGGGCCTTCGGCTTCAGCCTCCGTCTCCAGTCCGTCCAACACCTCGTCGTCTCTACCCCTCACAGCCGATACCTCGGCCGTACCGACGCCTTTACCTCTTGAACCTGGCCGGGTGGGGGGTGATTCGTTGGCGGAACAGCACCAGAAGATTGTTAAAAAGTTAAAGTTGAAGTTTGGGGCGACCAAGCAGCAACAGGCGTCCGAGCACGAGCAGGCGACGAATGAGGATCGCGCCGAGTTGGAGAGGAGGAGCGACCAGTTCCTGTGAGCCGGCACGGAGGAGTCAGACCTGGGGGAACCTCCAGGTCACGCATTTTTGCTGAGCCAACTTACCTGATTACACAGTCGAGCCCACGCCTCGGTTTACCAAGCTCTGCTGCCCGAGAAGAACCATGTCACCGCCTTGCTCGAACAATGCCCGCCGGGCACCGTCCACCGCGAGGCTGTCCCCTATCGCCAATTGAGCCAACCCGAGACCATCAAGGGCGGCACCATGAAGGCGTACCAGTTGACCGGGCTCAGCTTCCTCGCGTACATGTTTGAGAATGGCCAGAATTGTATTCTTGCCGACGAGTGAGTTGATGATGGAGGATTTCCGCATCTTATTGGGAGTAGCTGACCATGGGAACGTCTTGCTTGGAACAGGATGGGTTTGGGTAAAACGTTGCAAACGCTTTCATTGTTGGCGTACCTCCACGAAACACATGGTGTCAAGGGTCCCCATTTGCTCGTCTGCCCCTTGTCCGTGCTCGGTGCTTGGATGACGGTCGGTTCTTCCACTTTCTACGGTCACGTGCTGCGGCGATACTAATGCCACGGCCGCATGTCCAAACCCCCCACAGGAGATCGCGCGGTGGCTTCCGACCTTTGTGAGTGCTCATAGTTTCTAATATCATGATTATGAGTCTCTTGAGCCTGACATTCCCGAATTACAGAAATCGCTACGCTTCCACGGCCCCATGTCGGAACGAGGTCGCCTCAAGCACGACGCCACGACACTTCAACCCGACCTGATCGTTACGACCTACGAAGCCTACACCGCCGAAGCCGGCTGGTTCAAGCACCGTCGTTGGGGCGTCTGCGTCCTCGACGAAGGGCACAAGATCAAGAACCACGAATCCAATGCCGCGCAAGCCTTGTTCGGTATCGGCGCGCAGATGCGCATCATCCTTTCCGGAACGCCGTTGCAGAACAACCTGATCGAGTTGTGGTCGCTGTTGCACTTTTTGGCGCCGCAGGTGTTCACGTCGATGACGCTCAAACCGTTCAAGGAGGCGTTCAATCTGACCCAGGGCTTGTACGACCAGTCGTTCCTCAAAAAATCGCAAAAGTTGTTGGAACTCATCATGCTGCGACGGACCAAGGAGGGGGTGAGGGATGAACTGAGCGTGCCGAGGAGGGAGGAGATGACGCTTTATGTACCGCTTTCGCCGGCGCAGAGGTTCTGGTACACGAGGTTGTTGACCAGGGCCGATACGATCACTTTGAATGAGATCTTTGCGACTGATCTGAGGGAGGGGCAAGCGATTCGACGAGGACGAGGATGGGCCAAAAGGCCTTCTGCGGCGGCGTCGATTGCGGAAGAGGAGCCTGAGGTCAAGGCTTCCGGTCAGGAGGCTGCGGGGGAGGATGAGGGGGATGCGGGTGTGAGGGACAATATTGAGAGGGCCATGGCCGCTTCCAAGGCGGGGGAAGGGAATGCTTGGATGAAGATGATGAACTTGTAAGTCCGCAAAGGCGGGGCATCGATGCTCCTTCCTGTTGCTGACCTTCGCGAACCCTCCTCCAGGCTCATGCAATTGCGCAAGTGCTGCAACCACCCTTACCTCCTGCCCAACGCCGAAGCCGAGCCGTTCGAAGTCGCCGAACACCTCGTCGCCGCTTCGAGCAAACTTGTCCTCCTTGACAAGTTGCTCGCCGATATCTTGCCCAAGGGGGAGAAGGTGCTCATCTTTAGTGGCTTTACGCGCATGCTCGATATCTTGGAGGACTTTATGCAATTGCGTGGCTTCAAGTGTGAGTTTCGCTTTCGCACCGAATACATGGCAGAGGGTGGCTGATGATGTGCTGCGTTTTCTTTTCCATGTAGACGCTCGATTGGATGGAAGCACTTCGCGCCCCCGCCGAGCGCTCGACATCAAACTGTTCCAACAGCAAAACTCGCCTTACCAAGTCTACCTCGTCTCGACGCGCGCCGGAGGCCTCGGCATCAACCTCACCGCCGCGACGACCGTCGTACTCGTCGACCAAGACTGGAACCCGCAAGTCGACATCCAAGCCATCTCTCGAGCGCATCGGATTGGACAGACCAAGACGGTTCAAGTGTATCGATTGGTGTGCCAGGATTCGGTGGAGGAACAGGCGTTGACGAGGTTGAGGAAGAAGTTGTACCTCTCTGCAAAGGTGATGGGATCGATGAGGAACGCTGCCGATCGGGCCGCGGATGAGGAGTTGGATGGGCCGATCAATGAGGTGGAGAAGACGGAGGACGATGCACCGAGGATGACGAGGGGGGAGTTGGCGCAGATTTTGAGAGGCGGGGCGGGGGCGTTGGCGAGGTGGGGTTCGGTGGAAGGCACGGATGCGTTCACCGAGTTCAAGTCTCTTTCGTTCGCGGAGTTGAGGGCACGTGGGAAGGCGCGTGATGAGAAGAAGGAGGTTGGGATCAAAGTCGAGATTGGGGAGACGATCACGTCTGAGCAGAAAGCGCAATTGGAGAAGGAGGAGGAAGAGGCCGAGCGTCTCTTGTTGCAGGGGAAGGAAGCGGTGCAGGCGCGCAAGTTTGAAGGTTCCATGTACAAGGCCACCAACGCTGAGATCCGCAGAGAGTGGCAAGAGACGATGGCGAGGTCGAGGGACAGTCGGACGGTCGAGATTGATGGGCAGATGGTGCTCAAGGAGACGATCGCGAATGGGCAATGGGAGGCCGTCAAAACCATCACCAGCGACCCCAAGGCCCTCAGGAAGTTGCAGAACACCAAGCGCCAGCGCAAGAAATTTGATCATGAGGATGTGAGTCACATAATGACGTAGTTGGTGAAGAGAAGGAGGGCACTGAATCCTTATGAGTTCTCTTTCGGCAGTTCTGCATGGTGTGCAAGGATGGAGGAGAGGTCTACCAATGCGCATCCTGCCCTCGTTCTTGCCACGGACCATGCACCGAAGTGGGTGGCTTAAAGTGACCTGTTGACACAAGCTCTCGGTACTGATCCATCTCTTCCCTGTTTGGCCTCTACCAGTACTCGGAAGCCGATCTCCACGCGATGATGAGCTGGTTCTGCCCCCAACACAACTGCACCGTCTGCCACCGTTCGACGCAAGAAGCCGGCGGGCTCCTCTTCCGTTGCCAACTGTGCCCCGTTTCGCTCTGCGAGGACTGTCTACCCCCCGACGAGATCGATGCTGTTGGCGACGTCTTGCCCGAATTTGCCCTTCTGGGATGCGGGAAGAGGTCGCAGGCGTTCTTCATTCGCTGTGCGGAATGCGTCGAGTACCTCCAGACCGAGCCGCAGGCGAAGGCGAACTTTGAGAGGGAACAAGCCGAGGTGTTGGAGAAGTGCAAGGCCGCGGGGATCGAGCTGTGATTTGCGCATTTTGGTTGTCATCGTTATACCGGTATTGCTTGCTCGTATTGCACCCCTTGGACCCTTGCTGTGGGATGCACCCTGCCCCTAATTTTTGGCCGTAGTCGTCCCTGCAGTGGCTTCTTCTTTTCTCACTATAGATTTTCTCGCACTCGTCCTCCATGTTATATCACAACAGTCTCACGCTCTCGCTCTACATCATCTTTGGCCTTATCGAACGCTTTTGAGGAAAGAGTGACACAGTTGCAAAAAGAAAAGCGAACGAATGCTGCGGAAATGCGAAACAAAGCGAAAGTGACCTTTGTAAGCCTACCAGGCCCCTAACTTATCCCTCACGTCCTGTGGAATCGATTCAGCTTGCACCCTCGCTTCACTGCCCTGTGGAAGCTTGGCGACGAAGTTCTTCAATTCGGTGCAGAGGGATTCCTCGAGGGTTGGGGGTAGGGTCTCTTGTTGGAGAGTTTGGACGAGGACTTTGAGGATGTGCGTTGCGACGGTGGGGGAGGTAGTGGAGGGGTGGTTGCTGATCCGGATAGGGAAGGGAAAGGAGTCAGTACAATGACAGCCAAAGATGGGGAGGGAGGTTGAAACTTACGTATGTAACAAGTCAATCAAGAGCGGGTAGACGTGCTCGAACTCATCTTCGTCGACGAGGATCGGGAGAGTGAGCACCCATCGTTCAAGGATGGGTTCGATCGTCGCGGGTGGGGAACGGCGTATAATCTTGCTCACTGTGGTACGAACGCGGGTCCAGAATCAGCAAACGGTTCACCAGCATTCTTGCGCACCGACGTGTACTCACAAGCGCTAACGGCGTTGTCCCGAGCGGCGAGAACGTCCGGATCTTGTTCGAGGTCCGATGGGTCGATCGCGGCGATCGCGGCGATCGCGGCGAACAAGGAGTCGACGAGGGTGATGGCCCAGGGTTGGAGGGACGAGGGGGCACGTTCAACGGCGATGCCGACGGCGTAGGCGGAGACGCGGCGAATGGTTGGGTCTGAGATATCGCACGAAGGAGATCGAGTGAGCGTGAAAGTTTAGGTGGTGGATGAGGAGGAAAAAAAAAACTTACTCTCATCATGCAATCGCGCAGCAAGAGCGTTCAAATACGGTTGAACAGTCTCCACGGCCCTCTCCCCCAATTGATCCAACATGTCGCATACCAACCTCAACCCAAATTGCGCCGCATTCAACCGCTGTCCCGAAGGCGTCGCAATGACCTTCAAAGCCGGTTCGAAAACCGCCAAAGGGAACGTCGTACTCGTCGTCGAAGTGCTGACGTCCAAAGACTGAACGTCATGTTGCTTCATCAATTCCTTGACGACGACGTTGATCCCGTAATACACCTGTTTCTCTCCTTCCTCGATCTCTAGCACTTCTTCATCGAGGTATTCCGCATCTTCCTCGTGATCTCCTCCTCGTTCGTACTGTCGTTCTTGTTCCCTTCGAGCCAAATCGACGAATTGCCCCTCCATAGCGCGAATGCACAAGTTCCTCGAATCGATCCTCAACGTCCCACGAGGGAAACTCGTATACACCGTCGCGATCGACGACAAAGCGGTCGCGAGGAATTCGGCATCCGTATCGCTGCACAGATGAGGTGCCAACGCGTCCGAACAGCTCGAACAGATGAAGGTCCTTTCCTCCGCGTTCAAAGGGTGTAAAGCCAATGACTGTACGGTGACAGCGATCAAAGCTGCAGCTGCTTCCCTGATCCCGATATGCCAAACAAAATTGAGCAAAGGCAAGGTCGTTTGCACGACTTGTTGAAGTTCGGGTAAAGGTAAGGTCGCGCCTAATGTGCTGACGAGCGAAATGAGGTTTTGCACGGCTTCGAGTTTATCGTCTACTGCGGAGGTGCGGATCGAGACCGTTTTGCCATCGACGAGAACGGATTCCCAATCGTCTTCGCCTTCTTCGTTGTATTCGGATGGATGAGGTTCGCCTACTTCTCCGATCGTGACTTGGGCATCTCGAGCTGCACGCTTCAATAGTTGGGGAAAGGTCTCGTTGATGTAAGGTGCGAAAGCTTCGGCCCCGACCGTAGCGGCGAGATGGCAGAACGCCGTAAGGAGATAAGGTCGGGTGACTTGATCGTCTTCGGGGAGTGACTTGGAAATGTTTTGCATCGCTTTGATCAGACGGGATGCGTCGGGTTCGAAGACGGAAGGGTCTACGGCTGCGGCGATGTTGGATGCGCAGTCGAGGGCTCGGGCTCGTAAAGTCTCGATCTCGAGGGACGCTTCGGTCTCGAGGAGGCGTAGGAGGTGGGGCATCATTTCCGTGTAGTACTTGGTTGTAAAGTACACAATCTCGATTAGTGCGCATGTCGTGATTATCACCTCTGACAGTTGACTTACGGGAGCAAACTCCTCTTCCATGTAAGCCGCCACGACCGTCAACGCCTCCAGCGCGTTGCCTTGAACGAATGTCGATCCTGTTTGAAGCAGATGCAATAAACCACGCACGACGTCGGGCAAAAAAGGTTTCAGGGGCTCGACAACCTCTGTAGCTCGGAAAAAGTTGACGCAAGCCGCGGCGGCGAAGGCTTGTAATCTGCTCGCGGGGAGTACGATCGTCAGCGCAGAACGCTCTCGCGTTGTGGGCGCTCTACGAAAGCACGCACCGCGGTTCTTGACCGAGCATATTGCTGACAAATACACGCAATACCTGTTGGCCAAATTCAGCTTGAACTTGGTCTTCGAGATCGGTGCACAGTTGTCCGAGCGCGTAAATGGTTGCGTAGCGAACTCGAGGATGATCATCACCTGCCAACGCCATGATCGCGCTAGTGGATGACACTCTTCATTAGTCGTTCTGCAGTGCAGTGCTTGAAAAGTCTGCTCGGTGAAACTCACTTGATGATCTGCTCCAAATGACCTTCCATCTGCACCCTACAGCCTTCCGCAATCGCCGCGATAGCACTCAAACCGGCACTCTTGACTTGCCACGTCTTGTCCTTCCCGAGCAACTTCCCCACGTTCCCTTGAACAGCACCGAAGACGTCCTTACCCAAGCGTTGGGCGAATCGATCGAGACTTTGTTCGGCGATCGTCGCGATCGTATCATCCTCTTCGACGTCTTTGATCACTTCCTTTCCAAGCCACTCGGGATCATCCTCACGCTCCTTCATCAAGTCGAGACAAATCTCCACGATCGTGGGAGCGAAATTACGTGCGGTTCGAATCAAAGTCGGTGCGGTTTCGGCGAGGGAAACGAGGAGTTCGAGAGCCGAGGCACGGAGATTCTCGTCGTAGCTTTCGGGGGATTGGATGATGGAGGTGCAGAAGTGGGTTAGAGTGGAGACGTGGGGTTTGAATACGCGCGAGGCGAGACGAGGGATCGAGGCGAGTTCGATCATTTCGAGTAAAGCGGTCGTGAGGGGTCGGTCGTCGCTTGCTGCTGAGGCGGTCAATGCCGGTAGGATCTGGAACGAGAACATTCAGGTCAGAAGCGGTTCGTGTGCGTGCGCATGGCCAAGACTGACCTCGAGCATCCCTCTGATCAGCTCGGCATAGTTCTGCAACTTGCTCGGTGGTTCGAGTACTTGCAACAACTTGCTCGCCGCCTGCAGCGCCGCCAACCGAGTATGGATCGCCGGATCCTGCAAACCTCGGAGTAGACCCTGGCTTGCGGTGGTGGGGGGCTCTTGTTCGAGTAGGTCGATGCATTCGGCGTAGAGACGGAAGCAGGATTCTCGTAATGAAGGGGAGGGGGAGGAGAAGAGTTGTGAGAGTACCGAGGCGAACTGGGGCCAGGGTCCTGCACGAGTGAAAATGGGATGAGTTTATGCCCGACTGATGATGTGTAGGAGATCTTACTTGCCGACTGACCTGGCTGATTGAGTTTATAGATTTCGGCGATCGTATCACACAGAGCCTTGCGCTCGGCATCCGGTCTCATATCGCTCTTGCCCAAGACGCCAAGGAGCCTATTCTCGATGTGGTCCTTGGTCTTGAGAGGGAGGGTGGACCATCTCGGACCCAAGAGGGCGGGATGGGTCGGGGTCGGATCATGATCGTGGTCGTCGCGCTGTCGGTCTGCTTCGAGGTCGAGCACGGTTGGGCTCTGTAGCGCTGTCCTACGGAGGATGATGAGTGCCTGTACGCGGCGTGGTGAGGTACCTTGGAGAGAGGTGGCAACGTGCACCAGGGCAAGGAGCGTTTGGGCGGTGTGGGACGGGCACAACAGCTCAGAGTGGAGGTGCGCTTCGGCCGTCGTGCGCAACGAGCTCGTCGGGGAGCACAGGCGGTCCAAGGTCTCGGTGAGGTCCGCGATCAGCGCTGGACGGGGTTCCATCCCGTCTGTGCCTTGATCTTGCCGAGGTGATTGCGTGGGGTGAGTGGGGACGTGCTGGCGCTGGCCTCTGACGAGGTCTCGAACGTGGCGGTCGTCGTGCGGAGGACGATCCTGAACACCGGGCTTCGACTCGGACGCGTCACCACTGCTACCACTGCGTGTGCAGTGAGCGTGCAGTGCAGTGCAGTGGTTCCAAGAATCCGTGCAATTGAATATCAGGGTTATCGCCGTTAAAGAAGAAGACAAAGGAACAAATTGCCTACAACTAAGCTTTCCTCTCATCGAAACAAACCTGGCTCACACTTTTTCCCGTGGTCGACCTTTCCAGGTCAAGATTTTGCTTCAACTTCTCTGAGTCGCGACGCGGTCCCAGAGTGGCTGCTCTGAGACTGCCTTCCCACTGCTCTCGATTTCCACGGCAACTCACACCCCGAGTCATCCCAGTGAACACTTGTCTCTCCGGCATTGATTCTTCTCTTGACTGCGACATCACACGCCATCCGATTCAAAGTCCGACCCGCTGCGTCGCGAGGAGTCCGCCTGCGCGAGTCACGTGCCTCAAGCCCGCGTCAACACGGTGAGTACGGGCATCCACCCCCCTGTCGCATGATACCGCATACAACAAACCCAGAGTATTCCGTGAACACACTTGGGATCTCCAGCTGGACCATCGCCTGTGTATTCGCAGCACTCGGACGCGTGAAGGCTCCTAAGAAGCCGGCATTAGATCATCACCTAACCTTGGTCCAGTTCGACGCGCGCAGGCACTGGCAGGCACAGCGTTCCCCTCCGTTCACGCTTGCCTCGGGGCGTCCACCCTTCACCGACCATGATCCGCAGAACGTACGCCACTTCAGCCGAATTGGAAGCCATCGCCGCCCCCGCCCCTCCACCACAACAGCAGCAACAACAGCCTCGAGGAGCGCAGCCTCCCGCCTCGTCTTTATCGTCGTCGGCGCAGATCAACACCTTGCTCGAGGCGACGATCCCTGAAGTGGAAGAGGAAGCGACGATGGCTTATTTGCAGGAGGAGAAGACGACTGTGCAGGTCGAGGAAGGGGAGATTGTTGAGAGGGTTGAGCAAGGGGTCGATCAACAGATGGGTTCCTCGGGTCAGTAGGAGACTTGGTGCTTGGTTTGAACAGTTCGATGCTGATATGAGAATTGAACGCCTAGAACCTATCAACAACCCACCTGCAGCAACCCTGCGCCTCCCAAGTCTCAGCTCCTCCCTCAATTCGCTCCCCAATCGACCCCTATCCCAGATCCCGACCCCTCACTCCCGCCGCGCATCCCACTCCCCCGACCGCAAACATCGTCGCAGCAACTCCCTCACCTCCGAGACTGGATCGCTCCTTGCTCTTCCTGTGGCGGCTCAATTGCATGCTTTGAAAGCGAGGAACACGTCCCTCGAAGCCACGGTCACCAATTGGACGGCCCAGCATCAGTTGGCGATGTTCAAAGCGACTTCGAGGATCGCTTCGCTTGAGAAGGCGTTGGCCGAACAACAGGCCACGACGAAGGTCGAAACAGGCGGACCAGATCCTTCGACGACGATCTTCCAACAAGCCGCGGCTTTAGCTCAAGATGTCGAAGGATGGCAAGCCGAAGCCCAACGACTCCAACTCGAACTCGACTCCCTCTCGACCTCGCAAAAAACCGAACACGATCGTATTTCCTACGAGTTGGAACTCGAGAAGAGCAAGAAGAAAACCTATCGATTCTTGTGCGCCAAGTTGAGATCGGAATTGCACAATAGGAAGGCCAAGGAGAAGTGGGATTTGGGCGTGATGGATGCGGCCGATCGGGCGAGGGATGTGAATGAGGTGCAGTTGGAGGCGACGATTGCGACGTTGAGGATGCAGGTGGGAATTGCAAAGGTGGATGCGGAGGAGTTGCAGGTACGGTTGTCACGACTGTCTTTAACGTGAATCGGAGAGGCAACGACTGATCTCTTGGGACTGTTCGATCATAGGAAACGATCCACCGACAGAGAAAGAAGATCTCGGCACTGAGTGCCTCTCGTTCCATGTTGCTCAACACCGTCAACGCGTCCGAAGCGACCACCTCGGCACTACGATCTGAAATCAATCTCGCTAAAACAGGGTTCACCAAGGAGACTAAGGCGTTACAAAAGGAAGTGAATGCTTTGAGATCCTCGTTGAAGGACGTGAAAAAAAGGGAGGTCGAGTTGGAGAAGAATGTGGAGGAGATGGCGGAGTTGAAGACGGAGATCAAGGCGTTGAAGGCCGAGGCGTTGAGGTTGGAAAAGGGGGAGAAGAGGAGCGAGTCGAAGGATGCCAAGGAGTTGGGAGAGGTGAGGAAGAGTTTGGAGAAGGAGAAGACGAAGAGGGAGAAGGTGGAGGCGGAGGTAAAGGAGGTGAAGGTGAGTTGCGACTCGGATCATGGGTCTTGCAGCATTAGCTGACCCTGTTCGAATGTTTTATCGCAGGCTTTGCTCAAGTCGACTCAGGTGGCGCTCAAAGATGCTCAAAGGAGCGCAGCATTGAAGAGTCAAGCCCCTGCACCATCCGCCACGTCAAATGTGGCTCGAAAGACACATGCAGCAGTCCACGTCGCGTCCGACCCCGTGGTGGCGTCCGAACCCGAAGACGACGACGACGACGACGACGAGGAGGAGGAGGAGGGAGAGGAGGAGGTAGTGCCAGCTCCCGTCGTCAAAGCGAAGAAGACATCGACCACACTCGCCCCCGTCGTCGATGAGCCAGCTTCCGACGACCAAGGTGGCGAAGTGTACAAGCCACAGAAATCGAGGTCTCGGTCGGTCGCTCTGCCTCAAAAGACCAAAGCCATCATCGCCGCTGCTACAGCGGACGTCGAGTCCGAACGTGAAGGCGTTGCTGCATCCAAGAAGCGCAAGATGTTGGGTGACAAGAGTGGGAACACGTCGACGAGTCCCAAGAGGGAGGAGCTGATGGCTGTGCAGCCTAAAAAGATGAAGGTTGTCGTCAAGGCCAAGACGGCGAAGATGGGATTGAAGGAGGTTTTGGCGGAACAGGCTGCGGAGGAGGAGGATGAGGAGTCGACGGCGCCGAAGAAGAAGAAGAAGAGGACGCTGTTTGGGGGAGGTGGCAAGTTCGCTTGGGATTTGATCGAGGTGAGTGGGGCTTTCCTGTGAGGACGGGCAAGTATGTATCGAAGCTGACAATTACTGTCCTGGCTACTGCAACAGAACGCCGACGTCAATAGTCTTGGGTTGCCGAGTCACCTATCACCTATCAAGGGTGGTGGGGGTCTGGGTCTGGGTGGTACTCGACCCGCAACGACGCTTGGCATCCTGGGCCGCGGTTTGACGGGTGGCCGCAAGTCGATTTTTTCTTGAGCGATGTCGGGGACGTCCGTATGTGCGAATGTGAAATGTATTCCACCCGGTGGGTGAGCTGCGCCGGCTATTGCGTCGGTGTTTGTCGAGCGGCGAATGATTCACGTGCCCGCTCGAGCCCGGACACGCCGCCCGCCGATTTTGAATGCCGGAAACTTGCTTCAGCCTTCTTCCCCGCTGAGCTGCGTTCCTGAGCTCCCTCGTCGCCATTGATGTTGCGCCACTCGTCGTCGAGACTGTTGCGTCCCCGCGTCTTACTCGCCCCTTCGTTGTCGTCTCTGTGCGGCGCCCTCTCCTCGTCACCTCTCCACCCCTCCACTTCCCGATCGCCCCGCTCGCCCCGCTCGCCCCGCTCGTCGTCTTCGCCGGTCGTTGCACTCCCAGGCGGGACACAGCGCCGCATGTTTGCGCTCTCCGCATACAAGGCGAACCAAGCCCCGACCCTGTCGCGCCAACAAGAGCTCGCCCGTCTGCCGATCCCTACTCTGGAAGCCTCGACGCAAAGGTACCTCAAGAGCCTCAAGCCGTTCCTGCTCCAGCACGCTCAAGAGGCTGGCCTGGGGGAGGAGGAGGCGCAGAAGCAGTTGGAGAAGAGGCACGAGTGGGCAGACGACTTCCTCAAGGAGGGTGGACTGGGGAGGCTGCTGCAGGAGAGGCTCAAGGGTCAGTACGCGCTCGAGCTGTGAGACGTGTCGGCTGGTGTGGGGCCCGGTTGTGATCCATTCGGAGCGCTGAGCTCACCATCACCATCCTCTCTCCGCCCACAGACGTCGATCGAAGCTCACCCAACAACTGGCTCGACGACAACTACTGGCTCAGCGTATACCATGGCTGGCGCGCAGCCTTGCCCATCAACAGCAACTGGTTCATTCTCATGGCCGACGATCAGACCATCCCCAAAGAGGTCCGAGCTTCGGCACCTCCCCGGGGCGAATACTCGAATTGGCAGATCAAACGGGGTGCCAAGCTTGTCGAGAGGTTGATCCAGTTCAAGCACAAGCTGGATAGGTTAGTGAGAAGCAGACGTCTGGCGACTTGCTCGAACATGGATGACTGACTTGGGCGCTTCGATCTGGCAGGGAAGAGATTGCGCCCGATGCTTCACGGGCCGGGCCTTTCTGCATGCACCAGTACACGAGGTACGTCTAGCCAGCACTTTGAAAGGCCAATCGTTAGCAGTGATCTCATCCTTATCTTGGATTGGTCGCACAGGGTCTACGGTGTCACTCGTCTCCCCGGACTCCCTCTCGACAGATTCGTCCACGCCCCTCACCCCCATCCCTCGGCTGCGATCACCGTCATCGTCAACGACCACTTCTACAACGTTCCCGTTACCACCGCGGATGGCCAAGCCGTCGATCTCGCCTCCCTCGAAGCGACACTCTGGGCCATCGTCGAAGATGCCTCGGCACGGCCTCGTGGACCAAGCGTCGGAGCCTGCTCAGGTGACGGCCGAGACGCCTGGACCGTCTCCCGTGAACACTTGCTCCAACTTGATCCCAAGAACCGAACGACGATGACCGCAATAGAGAACTCGCTCTTTGTTCTCGCTCTCGATGGACACACCGTCAAATCGCCCTCGTATCAATCCTCGTCACCCGTTTCGCAAACAACGGATCTCGATGCTCATATCGTCAATGGTTCGTCCGCAGGTGGTGAAGGTCGTAACCGTTGGTGGGACAAGGCCATCACCGTCGCGGTCGAGAGCAATGGTCGAGCCATCATGAACGGCGAACATTCGCCCTGCGACGCCCTCATCCCTTCCATTATCGCCGAATACGTATTAGCCGAAGGTGTCTCGGCCGACGAGACCTCCCATAGAGGGCAAGGTTCCTTGAACGGCGTCCAGAAACTCAACTGGGTCCTCGACGCCCAAGCAGAGAAGAACATCGAAGGGGCGATCCAGACCATCTCTGACCTAGCCGAGGACAGCGAAGGTAAGATGTTGTGGTACGACGAATACGGTACCGAATGGATCAAGAAGGTCGGCAAACAATCCCCCGATGCGTATTGTCAAATGGCATTGCAACTCGCGTACTATAAGACCCATGGGAGGTGTGTGGGCACTTATGAGACCGCTTCGACGAGGTTGTTCTTGCATGGACGGACGGACGTCATTCGCACCTTCAGCGAGGATAGTCTTCGTTGGGTTCAAGCGATGCGCCAAAAGGATCAATACAGCCCGACAAGATTGTACGAACTCTTGACCGCCGCTACAAAGGCGCACAACTCGTACACGCGCGATTCATCGACGGGCAAAGGCTTGGATCGTCACTTCCTTGGACTGCAACAGAATTTAAGGAAGGGCGAATCACACCCTTTGTTTGAGGATCCGTTGTTCACCGAAAGTCAGTCGTGGGTCTTGAGTACGAGTGGGCTGTCCGCAGGAGACAGGTTCTATGGGACGGGCTTTGGTACGCCGTGGCCTAATGGATATGGGATTAACTGTGAGTTTTCTGTTCGTACTCTCGATAGTCCCCACGACAATGACTAATTTGTTTTGTCGTCGTACCAGATCTCGCGGGAAGCAAGATCATCAAATTCGGTATCGAGTCGAAGCGATCCGATCCTCACACGTCCACGGAGGTCTTCCGCAACAACTTATCCGGGGCTTTGAGGGACATGAAGGAGGTGTGCGAAAAGGGACAGCCTGTGGCAGAACTTCCTGCGGCGGCGGCCAAGCTTTGAGGCGACGAGACACGGATCTTGTATGGTATAGGTTTTGGGGTTTCTTGCGACGCAGCTACGTAAGTGAAATGAAATGAAACAATATAACAAACAAGCCGAGAATGAAGACCACGATTCCTCAATCCCGGAAGCGAAAGAAATACTCGCGCTTATTCAACGTCGGTAACCACCTCGCTTCATCCTCGCTCAAATCTGAGATCTCGCCGTTTGGATCCACTCTTCTCGGACGGATGACCATACCTAGCCCTAAGCGAGGGCCATCGACCGAATTCCTCGGGGCCGCTGTACCTCCTTCTTGGGTTCGCGTGCTGCTGATAGGCGTCGAAGGTCTCGAGCGTTCAGATGAACGCCGGCGAGATCGACCCGTCGGACTCGTACCCCTGGTTATGTCGAAGGACGATCGTGTCGGTGTCTGAATGGTGAATAACCCTCTTGAAGGTGTAGACCCAATACCAAACACCGCCTCGGCCTCTTCCGTAGACTCCTCCATCACCGCCGGTGTCGGGCCCTTGGCCGCTTGAGCGCAAGGCAGGTTACGCAAATTAAGTGGACAGGGGCTCTTCTTCAATTTGCGCAAACGATCCCTCATTCGACTGAGGAGGTCTTCTTCCTCAAATTTGTTCAAACCCGCCTTGGTTGAAATGTCAATCTGTGTCGCCTGTGCTGGGGTCGCTTGGATCGCAGCAGCGAGGCTGCGCAAAGCGTAGTAAGAAGCCGAGGCGTCCTTGGCGGGTTGAGTCGAATGTGCGATATGAGCTAGATGACGAAGCATGAAGAGCGAGATGGAAAATGTCGACATGCGAGTGGGTAAGAGTTGAGGTTCGGGGAGGAAGAAGCTTGTTGGTGCGACTTGAGTTTTGGATTTGGGTTGGGTTGGACGGGTCGAGTCGGGGTTGTAGGTTAGGTGGGTGACGATGTTGAGTTCGTGGGCTTGGCCGAAAACGATTGAATGGTCGATCGAAATGAGCACGATGACGAGCCGGAGAACGAATTGCCCTGATTCCGTTGTCCGAAAAGTCAAGGTCACACCGCACTCGGCTGGATTATCATGAGCCATCTGATCGGCGGAGGTCGTCGATAATTTCACGTCACCTTGCCTAAAGAATGTAAAGGTGACATGTCTCAGTGGACGAAGGGATGAGATGTGCAATGAATACACTCACACCATCATGAACTTGAGTAGAGTTGACCACCTGCTCGTTTCGATCGCGAAGCTTCTCCGATTGGGCGTGATCGCCGACAGCTTGATTTCTTCCGGGAACGCGCCACTGGATTTCTGGTGGAAAGGTGCATCCACGGTGACGGATTCGACCGCGAGAGAGCCCGGAGCGGAGGTGAGGTAACCAAAGGTGACCTCATCAAGACTGGGCTCCTCTGCTGCCCCTATCGGGGTCGTACCAAGATCGGGCTGGGTCGTGCGAGGCGGGGTCAATTGCTGCGGCGAAACGATCGATGCGGCCAAAGCGGCGTAAGCAGTGAGCGATGAACCCACCAAGGCGGCGATGGTGGGCCGCTTGGGTTCTGATTTCATAGCGGGAGCATCTATTGACGCTTGAGCAGTCGAGCTCATCGACCGTGCCTCCTTGAACGTGACCGTCTTGCGTGGGGATGGCCGATCCTTACTCGGCGGTATACACGAGGAAGGGTTTCGAAGAGCAGTGTCAGGCTCGAGGGGTTTGACTGATGGAGATAGCGGCACGATACCCCTCAAGCTAAGGCGGGATTGTCCACCTGTGTCCTCACTCTCGGGCTCGGACTGCTCCGAGACGTGCGACAAAGGGCGACCGTTGAACTGAGACAGGGGTTCCTCGAGGCCGGCCCCGTCGTCGGCTGACAAGAGAGGCTGAGCAGCTTCCACCGTCAAAGCTTCGAGAGGATCAAATGGGATCTCTGATGCGGGTGAGAGGAATTCAATGGAAACGGAGTCGCTCGATAAACTTGGTGCGTCACATATCGTCGGCTGAAGAGCTACCGAAGCTTCGGCAGTACGAATTTGTCCGGCCGAAGGACAACCCATCACTCTCGAGGAAGGTCCGGCTTGGGGTGTCAAACGATCCGGAGCCGAAGCGGTAGGAGATGTAAAGACCGCCAGCTCGTGAGGGCTGTCGACGGACAGGTAGGGTCGCCCAAGCTCGCCACCCATCCATGCTTGTTCGTCCAGCACCTCATACGAACGATCGACCTGCTTGCCTTTGTCGACTAGGATGGAAGGCGTGAATTGATTCAAGACGGGGGAGTCCCTAAGTCTGTGCGAAGTCGGAGAGTGCAGGTCTCGAGAAGGAGTAGCCGGTTCCGACGAGCTTCGCGGTCGGCCAAGCGGTACCAAGTCTTCGAGAAAAATTGAAGTCGGGACGGACTTTCTCCACGGCTTGATGGCTTGGGTATGCTCCTCCTGTGAACTGGCTTGAGGTTGAACAATGGGATTTGGAGATGGCTCGAGACCAGCTGAGGTCCCACTAGCGGAGGTTGAAAGTGCTTGACGACCACGTTTGAGTTGGGCCGCTTCCTCGAGCGAGATCCGCATCGCAAGTTCGAGCATCTCTCTTTCATAGTCGTCGTCCATCTTGTTCGCGATGGTTGTGTTGGTATTAGGTTGTTCAGGCGGTCCACCTTCAAGCCAGAGCGCAACGTCTTTCCTCAGTCGAGCATACGAAAGCCACTCCTCTGAAGGAGTCGGTTTTCGGATGACGGCCTCGCCTCCTCGCTGCCCCGTCGCCGCATGGGTGCCTTGCTCGTGGGGACTCAAAAGTACAGGCGATGGTGCCAAGACAGCCTGTGCGGTCAAAGACGAGTCTTGACCTGTGGAAAGCGGGTCGGCAGCTGATCGAGCGAGAACAGCGGATTCGAGAAGCGCTTGACAAAGCTCGGCCTCTTCTCGCTCGGCCTGATCCGATCGTCGGCGACACCACGCAGCACGTCAGCGTTCGTTGCAGCAGTTGGGCACCGAGAGCTTGCACCCCTGACTCACGCGTTTGCGCTGCATCTCGATCTCGGACAAACTTGCTGCAATAGCCAGATCTACGGCCAAGCGGTCACGCCCCTGATCAGCTGACGCACGTTTCTGCCGTGGTCGGCGGGGCTTAGCGCCGGCAGCAGGACCAGGGGCTGAAGCACGAGGGCTGGAGGCTGATTTACTCGCGTATGTGTTTGGAAGGGCGGAGGTTCCAGGTTCAAAGTAGGATAAGTTGGACGAGTCGCGGGAGTGGGAAGGTCGTTGGGAGCTATGATTGAGCTTCGCGGGGGTGGTGAGCCGGATGCGATCAAGGAACTGCCTCGGAGCTTGCGGGGGTGCAGCCGATGTCGGGTCGTGTTTAGACATGGACACAACCGGTCGAGATACGTGGGGTGAAGAGCAAAGAAGGAGAACCTGGAACTGGGTTAATCACCGCCCCAGAAAGGGAGCGCTCACCACCCGTCAAAGGGTGAGTCAGCGTGAATGCAGTAAGTCTCGAAGCGCCTGAGACAGGAGGCCATTCCCCACTTTACCCGTTCGTTCCACGTCGTACGACCGCGGTGAACCTGCACTTCTCTGAACCCGATGACGCACAATGTTGCAGGGTGTAGCCCCTCACCTCGCTTCAAAAGCGAGATACATCCGCAGTCACTAATTGAAGCGAGGTAGGAGGCGAGGCGAGGCGTGAACGTCGAATGATGATGATGCTGATCGTCGACTCGGAGTCGGCGATCCGGTCTTCGTGGACGGCCTGACGCGCAGCGGGAAAAGGGGCCAGAGGAATATCTTGCGTCCGACCATGCATGCTCGATCATCGCGTAATTGTCGATTCGAATACCCCCCACAAAAGCCAAATGTAAGGGATCACAATCCACAAGAAATAGATGCACGCGATGGGTGAGGTTCTTGATTACAATTGAGATAAGAAGCCAGTTACTAATGGCAGAGTGGTGAATATATGCTGTCGACTCGCTCCCCCCTTGTGCACGGCGCGGGGGACTTTGACACTTGCCCATCGGCCCCACAGCTTACAACAACCCCAACTACGCCATCATGTCATTCCGTGGATCTAGTCGAGGCGGCTCAGGCGATCGAGGTGGATTCCGAGGTGGTCGGGGTGGTGATCGAGGTGAGTCGAGCTGCTGAGCCGCTCAGGCTGGGCTTGGGTCCTCGTGAGACCGGACGACGCTTCGCAAAAGCTCGAGTGAGCGCAGGCGCCAGGCCGTGCCGAGTGCGACATGAGGATATGGGGAGCACTTCAAGGATCGTGAAGGATCCGACGAATAGTCTTCAGGATAGAAGGATGTATCGGAGAACGGTACTGCTCCCTGTCATGACCTTGCTGGTGCAGACGCTCCTCCGCGACCGGCCTGGCCCTTTCGCACCACCCGCGACCGCTTCGGCTCGCTTCCCCCACTTATAGCCGGTATTGATGCACGTGTGTCTCGCACTTTCTTTTCCACCATAGGAGGACGAGGAGGCTTCTCTCGAGGTGGTGGACGCGGTGGAGGACGAGGTGGCTTCGGGGGGGGCTTCAACGACGGGCCGCCCGCGGAGGTGGTTGAGATCGGCACCTTCGTACACGCCGTCGAGGGCGAGATGTTGTGCTCTTCCACCATGCCTTCCAAGGTCCCTTACTTCAACGCACCCATCTACTTGCCGACAAAAGCCGCAATCGGCAAAGTGGACGAGATCTTGGGTCCCATCAGTGAGTCGAGTGCAGAGCCCAGGAGCCAAGCGACAATCGTAAGCTTCTCATCCTCTAACATGTCGAAACATTACTCGACTACCACAGACGAGGTTTACTTCACCATCAAACCTTCGGCCGGCATCCAGGCGGCTTCCTTCACCGCCGGCGACAAAGTTTGCATCGGCACCGACAAGCTCTTGCCGATTGAGCGTTTCCTGCCCCAACCCAAGGTTCCCGGAGTCGCCAAGCGAGGTGGTCGAGGACGTGGTGCACCCGGAGGTGCTCGAGGTGGACGAGGACGCGGCGCACCGGGAGGGAGAGGCGGAGGAAGAGGAGCACCCCGAGGCGGGCCGCCACGAGGCGGAAGCCGGTCAGTTTTGCCTTTCAATTCTCTAGAACAATTTGATAAGCGGCGAAACGCTGACAAAGACTCTTCAATCGTACAGTGGTGGGGGACGTGGCTTCTCTTCCGGCGGACGCGGTGGCGGAGGATTTTCATCTCGTGGCTCGGGAGGTTTCCGAGGGGGTCGTGGTCGCGGTTAAGCGCGGATCTCTCCCTCCCTCTTTAGACTCTCGTTCGGTTGTTGCTTTTTTTTTTGGGATCGCTGTCATTGGCGTTTTCTATTGTATTCATTTTACTCCCTTGCCCTGCTCTTCCCTTGGTTAGGTGCACGCGCGCCTACTTGGTCCTCCATTCGGCCCAGTCTACGCACCCTGCCGGGCCTCTCAATCCGTCGCGCTGCAGAGCAGCACATCCCGGTCGACAATGACCGCAAAAATATCTACTGTTGGACTCCAGCACATGTCCATCGCTTGCAGCGGTGGAGGGGCGATGTTGACTGGTCGAGGAGCTGTGAAAGCGGCATCCCGGATCAGCTTGACTTCCCTCTTCGCTCTTGCTCTTGAAGGGCTCAGACTTTGAAAACTTACCTTGGGGGCACGATACGTTGTGCAAGGTCAGAGCAGGTGTGGCAGACGGGTGAGCACAAAGCACGGCAAAGATTTTGGGGTCGTGGGGACTCCACCTGCAAATTGTGCGGTACATTGTCAGTCCGAAATCAATTTGGGGGGTCGTCCGATGATCGCCTTCGCCTTCCACCGAGAAAGCTCACCGAAAGACCGCTCGACCAGCCAAGTGCTCTGAAAAAGCACTCCCGAAAGCCGTCGGACCTCCCCCGCTACTCTCACTGAGGTCCCACAGCACCCACCGACCATCAATCACCGCGCCAATTTGAGTGGTCGGAACGCCAGCCGATGCGGCGGCGGTGTTCCAATCGAGGCAGACGAGATCACCTCGGATCGAACGGGCGAGGGAACGAGGTTCGAAGAGACACATGCGGATACTTGCGTCGTCGAGATTAATGAGTCGGAGCATGCCTTTTGCATCGCCGGTGACGAGGAGGCTCGCGTTGGTGGGGTGGAAGCAAAGAGATCGGAGAGGGAAGGGGTGAGGGATCTAGTGCAGCAGAAGTTCAACTGGGCGCATCAACCCAGTGCTTAAGCTACCATATATTTTATGTTTGACGTTTACTTACGAGCTTGAGCAAACCTGGCGACTCGGCGGCGACGTCCCAGAGGAGCAAGGCACCTTGATCGCCGACACTTGCAACCGTTCTCGCCGCTTGTGCGCCACCGGCTCGTGCGTACTTGATCTCGTGGATCGTGCTCGAGACCATCCCCTCCCCCATCGAAGTGGTCAGAGAGCCTTCGACTGCGCTCCATCGAAGTCGAAATAGATTAGGGGTCAAAGTGGCGACGGTGACCCTGAACGGTGGAGCGGATCGACCCTTCATCGAATCAATTTCCGGCGTTATCCCTCATCCAGCACGACTTGGCAATGACCCCGACTTACTCGAGGTTGTCTGGACTCGACCAGGGTGCAATATCAATAGCCGTGACGTGACCGCTGAGAGGCCATATTGCAAGTCGTCGCGCCGTGAGTTGTGATGGGCCGGCGGAGGTCTGGATCAACAGCGCTTCAACGTGACTTTCCGAACCTGTTTCACTCCCCGAACCATCACATCAGCGACTTCAAACATTCTCCAATCGACGGCTACAGACTATCCGAGTAAAGCGACTCACCGACAACCAGGATATCGCCCCGCAGAGGGTGAAAGATGACACGACTGAGCGACGCATCGTCAGAGTGATGCAAGCGCAGAAAGGGGTCGCCCCGGTTCATCGATGGGTGAGACATGGGTGGGCGCGTCACGAGGTTCGACTTTGAAGTGAGCTGGAAGGGTGTTTCTGACACAACACTAGGTGCGGGAGTCTGTGACGAAACGCCGACCCGTTGTTATGAGAGGAGGGGTGTAATGCTTGTTTTGTTGGCTATCGATCAACATCAGGCCGAATAAGATAGGAGCTGATAAAAGTGTCAAAGGAGTTCGCGAGGCGCCTGCGCGCCTACTATGTAGCCGGGCTTGAATTGACCGGGGGTCACCGGGGTGTTGGGGACCCTGTCTTTTTGAGTTCGCGGGCACTTCCGTGACCCCTCTCCTATTACTGGTCTTCAAGCTGTCCGACTGGCACCGGACTGGTAAGCTCTGGCTTACAAGAATCACTCGATCCAAAATAGGTTCTTTGAGGAGTCTGCCCGAATCAGAACAACTCGGAAGGGGTTCGTGCTGCGATAAGCTGCGTGTCACGTGCACGGCGCTCCTCCCTTTGTCGCCTCCATGTCAGGGAAGTGCGCTAGGCCCCGCCGCGACACGTTGTTCACCACCTCTGCGTCCAGCCACTTTCATTCTTTCCACAGTTACCGCTCGTCTCTTGACCTACATCCCATTCCCTGCTCGCTTTCCCATTCTCGATATCTTTCTCCCCTTTCCTTCGCTCTTCTGCCGACAGCTCGGCGCAGAGCCTCCCGCTACGCGATCGGTCCCCAGTCATGCGTCCCTTTAGTTCAATCATCCTGGCGACATGTGCCCTAGTGCATTTGACCATCGCGAACTCTTCAACTACCATCAAGGACCACGCGTTCTCGCTGAACTCCGTACGACTGCAAGGCTCGCTCGGTGAGAGGCTGCCGACCGGGTTCCTCGAGACCTCTGCCTTAACGATCCAACGAGCTTTGACCATTCAGTCTTCGCTGATACCTTTCTGTATCCCCGGGCAGGGCACTCTCTCGGTCGCTTAGATCTGGTTCAAGAATCTACATGCCAAAGGCCGAATCCGGATGTCTCGTACACCGAAACCACGGTCGAGGATGATGGGGATTCACCCACCCCACCCCTATGCGCGTCCATCGAAGCCGTAGACCTCCAAGAGCCGACTCGAAGGATCGTGCCGGTGAAGTTCGGAAAGTCGATTGAATCCGAACGAGCGTCTCGAGATGTCTTTCCCAAACGTCTTGGCAGCAAATTTCGCCGAGCTCAAACCCTGTTGTCACGGTCTGAGATTTCCTCCCCCCTTTCTCCGTGCCTCTGCATAACCTTCCTCCCAACTGACACCTCTTTGGTTTCTGACATTCGCCCAGATCACCAAGATCCCATCCCTCACTATCGCAAGGCTTCAATAAAAGCATAGGCCGAAGCCACCTTCGTCGAGCGTCGCACCAAGCTCGGCGACAGGATGAGAAGCTTCGGCTTCGGCGCAGTCAGAGGGAGACGAGGGAGGAGTTGTGGGAAGGTTGAACAGATCGTGCGAGCGGACTACATACAGGGGCTACATGATCTGCTAGTTCAATGTTGGTACACTTTTTTAATGGTGTCGGTGTGAACTTGGACCTACGTCGGTTTGAAGCCCCTCTCTGGCACACGAATGATGCCGCTCTCATGCAGGCAGTACTCTTCAAGTTGAACAGTCTCACACTCCTTGGGAAAAGACGGTCTCCATTAAGTCGCTTATTCAGACCCTTTAGTAAGAAGGAAAGGAAAGGTAGAATGAGATGCTAAAGATGGAACAGGAAATAGCGACAGGATGGGAGAAAGATAATGGAAGAGTCGCACGGAGACATACACACACAAAGAGAACACGAGGGACTGAGCGTGAGGGCAGCTTAGAAGATAGCATCCCACAGCTTGCCACCAAAGGTGGTGGGCTCCTTGAACTTGGCGGCCTCGGATTCGGCGATGTCGTCGAGCTCACGACGACCGGTCTGGAAGTCCATGAGGTCGAGTGTGACAAAGTGGGTGCGGCGCCAGAACTTCCAGAACACGAACAACACCGCGAAGATGACGAGGGTGATGTACGAAATGACGAAGTTGGTCGTGTTCCAGTTGCCGTGCAAAAAGATGGTGTAGCCGTTGAAAATGATGACGAGCGTGACCAAGGTGATGCCGAAGTAACTCGAGTAAGGCTGGAACGGAGCGACGTAGGGGAACGTGTTGCGGTCGATGCCCTGGCGCTTGCACCCGTAGTAGAAGCGGAGGAAACTGAGGTGGATCGTGCCCCAAGTGAGCAGACCGGTGATGGACGAGATGTTGGACAAGTAGTTGAAAGCGGTCGCGGACGAAGTGCCGACGTTCATGTAGGCCAAAAGACCAACAGCCGCGGTGACGATCAAGCACCAGATGGGAAGACCGTTCTTGGTGCACTTGCGGAAGAAGGCGGGGGCCTTGCCGTCGCAAGCGAGACCGTAGAGCGTACGCGAAGCAGCGTAGAGATCCGAGTTACCAGCCGAGAAGGCCGAGATGAGCACGACCGAATTGACGATCGAAGGGAGGACGGGGATACCGGCGTTGCGGATGGCAATGACCCACGGTGAGGCGGCGGTACCGGTGTTGTGCAAAAGTCCGGGGTCGTTGGGCGAGACGATCAAGCCCATGATGAAGACACCGATGACGTAGAAGAAGAGGATGCGGTAGAAGACACGTCGGATCGCCTTGGGCATGTTGCGGCGCGGGTTCTCGGCCTCACCAGCGGTCAAGGCTACGATTTCGGTACCGAGGTAGGAGAAGGCGGCTTGCACGAAGACGGTCCAGAAGGCCAAGAACTGACCCCACGAGCCGGGGATACCGTTCTCTTGCTGGAAAGGACCGGGATTTTTCCAGAATCTGTGGCGTGGGGGAGGAAGTAATCGTCAGTCCACTGTGCAAGGCGCCGACTCGTCCGGCTCTCTGGCTCGCACTCACTGGAAGCCAATGGCAGGGCTGCCGGCACCACCAGCGGTGATGATGATGCCCAACAAGATCAGACCGAGGATGGTGATGATCTTGATGACGGTGAACCAGAACTCGGCCTCACCATAGGCGCGGACGCCCAAAAAGTTGAACGACATGATGGTGACCAAAAAGACCGAGATCCACACGGCGACGTTGATGTTCCTGCCGCCTTCCCAGAACTGGATGACCAAGGCCGCGGCGGTGATTTCGGTCGGGAGTGTGATGGCGTACGAGTACCAGTAGTTCCATCCGAGGGCGAAACCGAGGGCGGGGTCGACGAAACGGGCGGCGTAATGGGTGAAGGCACCCGAGACGGGGTAGAGCGTACACATCTCGCCGAGCGCGGTCATCATCGAGTAAACGACGAGACCCATGATGGTGTAGCCGAGCCAGATACCCAACGGTCCACCGGTGGCGAGAGCACCTCCCGCACCGACGAAAAGACCCGTACCGATGGCTGCAAGTGGGGGGACACGTTCGGACGCAATAACAGCATCACGAAAGGAGAAGGGCGGTCCCAGCGGAAGGCGAGAGAGAAGCAGAGAGGAGCGACGTCAGCCAAGTGCGTGGGCGGCCAGGGCTAGACCGGGACTAAGTGGGAAAAGCGATTCCGAGACTCACTGCCACCGAGAGCGATCATCTGCAAGTGCCTATCGGACCGCAAAGAACACCAAGCCAGCCACACATCGTCAGTACACCACTTCTGAGCACCGCGCTGTCGTCCTTGTGTACAGCAATGAGGCTTTCCGCCCACTGAATCAGCATCCGCCCGCGCGCCAGCCCAACGCCGATTGGCTTATCTTTCGGCCAGTCGGGACCCAGCAGTGGCGGCGCGCGCCGGATTGGCGTGGGGGCGAGGCGGAATTCTAGTCGATCTCAGATCTCACCTTGCTTTCAGATCGCTGGTAGAGTGCACAGCAGAATGACATGATGGGCAGCAGTGGTCAGTCGGCTGTGCTCCGAGCTGGAACGAGAGAGAGAACCTACCGATGAACGGTTCCATCGGGATTGTCTCCAGACAGACCGTGAAGCTCGACCTGGGTATAGGCGGGGGTCTTTTCCGACTTCTCGACGTCTTGAGCGGCGATGGCCTTCTCGGCATCGACTTCCTTGGACGACATGGTGTTCGGATCAAAACAAAATCGGTGGTGAGATGAAAACGAAGGAGAGGGGGATGGGGCGGATTGTCCGAAAGGCCCGGACGATAGCGTGAGCAGAGGGAGAGGAGGGAAAAATGACCGTGAGCTCACTGAGCCGAGATTTGGCTGCGGGCGAGTGCGGGAGCGCCCTGGAGGAAAACGGAAATGAGGGGCAAATCAGCGATAGGCAGTGATATAAATAGCGGGCACCCTTGGCGACAGCGTGGCGGGCGCGGGCGCATAGTGGCTGTATGCCGCTGTAATCTGGTCAGAGCAATCGCTGGCCCGTAGCCTGTAGGACCTAGGTGCCACAGCCCACAGGCGATGGGCCGACGGCTCGACCTGAGCTGTTTTGGACGGGCTCGAATCGGCAGGGCCTGGATGATATGCGGGGTAAGAAAAACACCTCCTGGTGCGGCCGTGGCCGTCGCCGTCGCCCAAGATCGGTTTTTTCTTCTCCGTCACCTCGTTTTCATGGTGCGAACTCAAAACCCCGCTCCTTTCTGGTTTCTGGACCCCTGAACGAAAGTAGAAGCTAGGAGTCACGATACCGATGTCTACCCCACCCTGCGACAAGACTGTTTCGGTCTGCTCCGCTTGGACCGGGGGGCTCTCTCGGCACTTGTTGTAGACACTGCGCCTTTTGTGACCGAGATAACCCAGAGTCCAACAACGAAACCTTGGACAAAGACGTATCGTAGGTATGTCCCAAACTTTAAATCGAGACCCGCTTGATCAATGGGGAATTTTTGAGTCGTGTGACCGAAGTTTACCGGGGCGGAGTGGGACGTGTGAGACCTCGGCGATACAGATTTCCTCATCCAGCGGCAACTCGCGCCGGCTTTGGGCTCCTTCAACGCGCGGGCTGAGACGTGTTTCCCGCCAGATTTTTGCGTTACAGCGGGTTGAGACCCTTTAGATATTGGGTCAGGAAGCCCAGAGCGCCTCCGCCGTGCGCCGCGCCTGCGCCGCGCCCGTTGTGAAACCCATCATTCTAGTCTTCGTAGCTTAGACTTTGACCTTCTCTTGCAATGAATCTCATCTCCTCCCGTCCATTGAGAATCGTGTGCAGTGCCGTCAGAACCTTCTGCTCCAAGTGGCGATTGCGACAGGCCGCGCTGCAGCGTTTCCCAACCATCGAACGCACGAACCCAAAAATAACACAAAAAAACAATCACCCCATTCACCGCACAACCCACCCACCACCAAATAATTCTACCTATCTTTTGGCTCCACCCCCGAACCCACAACCCCATCCGCCCCTGTCCTGATCACCGTGGCTCCTTCAACGGACCCACAACAAACGCCTCGATCGCCTTCCACGTCGCGATCGGACACGTCCACCACCCGCCGAGTTTCGCAACGCTTGGCCCGACACCCCGTGCCCACTTCATCGTCCCGACGTAGTCCCCAACCCCGGGACTCATCCCCGACCCCTTCACACGCCTCCTCAACCGCATCCTCACCATCACCCTCGCCCCGCTCCCCTGCTTCTACGACACTACCTCCGTCGTTTACACCGACACCACCCGCACTTCGTCCTCGCACCGCGAGACCTACCTTGTCCTTTGGCAACGTAATAACCCCACCCTCTGACCGTATACAGAAACCCCCTTACAACTTTACTCCTCCGATAGCCACAACTTCGACAGCACCCCCTCCACGAACAGCGCTCACTCTACCGTCCACCGACTCCGCTCAGGGCACGCCCCCCCCCGCCCCCCCTCCCCTCTCCTCCCCCCCCCCAGCACTTCTCCTCCCACGACCTCCTCCCCGACCTCCTCGAGCTCAACGACATCTACCATCCGCCAAACCCCGCCCCACCTACAACTCCAACAGGCAAATCGCCCTTCGACCCACGACCAGGCACGTGCACCTCGTGCTTCTCCCGTGCCGCGACTCTACCCAGACAGTTGCCCTACCTTCTACCCAGATCGTAGCCCCGCTACCCACACCTGGTACCCTCCTCGTGCAGCGGTCCCTTCCTCAATCAACGACTTGGACCCCGTGCTTCCTTGCAATGGCGGACCACATTACCCAGATTCGGGCGGACTACAATGCCATTGAGGATGTGTCCGATGAAGCAGCCCTCCGACCCCTTGCGATTCTGTCGATCACCTTGGCGCGCCTACTGATTGGCGCCAATGTGGTCGAAGAAGATCTGGAAGCGGCTAACGCAGCCAAGGAGGCGGCGACCCGGGCGCTTCGTGACAAGAGTACCGACCAGGTGACTGAGCTCAGGATCAACTACGCTCAGTTAATGGGCATAGCCATGGGACTTCCTCTGCAGCGCAACGCACCCAACGCACCAGTTCGGCCGGGTGGCACCGACCCCACGACACTTTGGCGCCAACAGACCCGAGTGGATGTTGCTCGCAACCAGGGTTTGAGCAAACTCGGAGCTAACTCCTCGGACGGACTCGACACACTGGTCAAGCTGATGGAGATGTGGCATGTTAGCACAGACCCATCCTTGTTCGAACCGAAAACGATCCCCGACTTCCCGGAGCCCCTCAACGTCATGGCAATGTTCAAGTTGAAGGTAGCAAGTGGCGCCAATGAGCGTGCCAGGGGGCTACTCGAACAGTTGATTGCTTGCAACCCTGATTGGGGATGGGCTGATTTCGTCGCATGGGCAGAGAGCACGACCACCACCCCAATCCAGCGTACCAACAGGGATATAGCCGCCTCCATCAGTGAGATTTCCTTCGACTGGTGGGCAAAGCACACAGCACCGGACGGTCGACAAAGCACGCCTGCCATCGAATTCAGCCGGACCATGCGCAATGCTTGCACTGACGCCCTTAGTTCCCCCCACAGCGAGCTGGTCGCGTCGGCGATCCTCGACAAGGTTGACGTCTCTCTCCGCCACTTACTGGGACCCAACATGGCCCGGGTGACGAACGTGTTGGATCTCTGCAAAATGATTGAGAGCATACCTCGGGACAGCTACCAATCGCACCTTGCGCAGCACGAGCGGATCGCGGGCCTGGCCACACGAGCTGATATCCGTAAGGAGATGACGTCAGGAGCCGGCAGAGCGACGGCCGCCGACCGAGGACACTCGGGAACCCAGCAACAGGGGCGCTCGCCGTGGGCCTTCGACGGGTTCCGCTCAGCGCCGGATCCGGCACCCAAATCGCATGCCTCGCTCCCCGCAGGATTACAAGGATCGTACTTCACGTCGGAGGACTCGCGCAAGCCAGAGCACCTTCTAGGTATCTCCTACTCACGATTTGATGATACGTCATCCGGAAGGCGTGATTTCGCGCTCGCATGCACGGCGTACATGAAGCAGAACCCGCCAACGACAACGAAACCGAACTCCTCGGCCTTTCCCTTGACGCCGGGAACGCAGGCCCCGGGCGCATTCCGTTCGTGTGACAAATGTGGGAAGGAAGGCCACATCTCTCGTAATTGTTCAGGTTCGCCGGTCAACGAAGTTGAGCGCCGCTTGCGCAGCCTCGTGCGAGCCGACTCCGTCCTCAACCGGGGACCCCGCAACGCCCAACGCACCCGAATGGTGGCATTGCTGGCAGAGGATGACCAACTCGACATGATTGACTTGTACGAAACGTTGGCCCAGCTCCCATCGACCGACAACTTGGAGGATCAGGATTTTGTGGACGCCTAGGTAGACGGGATCAACTACCTAGGCCCGAACCTCAAGATCATCCCCCACCGAGACTGTTGGCCACCAGGGTTGTTGAAGGAAACCCTGGTGGCAGACAACTCGATCTGCTCAATAACCTACGGATCAAAGACGCCCATCACATCACCAATGGTGTGCCCAGCCCCGTCCCCCCAGAGCGAATGACAACACCTTCCCCGGTTCCCCTTGATACTCTTGTCTCCTTAATCCCCATAGTGGTTGATTATCTGCAATGGAAAGAACGCGCGTGCGTACTTGAGTCGGATAGAGACAGATCCAAGAGCAAGGACCCAGGGAAAGCTGGAGAGTCAAGTGAAGCGCTGCTACTTCTGGGAGAGCAGGCGGAAGAGACATTGACCCCCTATGACCCTCCTCGCCCGTTCTCCGAATCACCGGAGCCTCCGGAGGAGAGCGACCCCCCGCCGGAGGAGAGCTCCTCCCCGCTTCCCAAGCCATTGGAACTGGTTCCTACCACGGAGCAACCAGAAGATGACCACCCCTTGGTTGCAATCCCGCACGACAACAAGAGCCCATGCATAGGCACAGCGGAAACACCCGAGGACAGGCTGGCCTTCCAGGATCTCGACAACGATATGGACGACGCATGTCTACACGAGCTCCAACAAGCCCAGCCGCTTGAAGCCCACCCCGAATCTGAACAATCAACAAACGTGACAAGGCCAAAACTCCCGAGACCGGAGCGCAGACGGCCAGTGCTCAAAGTGCTCAAGCAACGGCGCGAACTGACCTGGCCCCCAGACAAGGGCAAGACGACCTTGGAGGACACGGTTGCCGCAGCGCTTCGAGGCCGTCTGTTCAAATACCCTGCACACGTGGGGGCCCCAGGTAGTGACGATACATCCCGCCAACCCTTGCTCGCCATCGTGGATGACGGGGCGGAAGCAATTGTCCTAAGCTCCGAATGGTTCGAACAGATGGGAGATGCTCTGGGGCTCACTGTGCGCACAAAACCCGGGGAGGACAGGGCCTTCACAATGGCGAATTGCTCTCGTCACAAGCTTCTTGGTGACGTTGATATTACAATCTCTATGGGGAACTCTACGGCGACTGTTACGGCACAACTCATGCCTTCGGGGAGCCTATACGACATGATATTAGGCAAACCGTGGAAATCAGCGATCAACGCGATTCACTTTTCCACCCTCGACTTGATCATGTACCCCATCAAGAACAGCCTCCGATACGGGAAACTATGGAATCGTAACCCCCTAGTGACGCCGCGTTTCACTAACGTCCCAGATGATCCGCGAGACGTGGTCACAATGCTCGAGGAGCATTGGCTCCGGTCAGAGCTGAGCAAATTGACACCACCGTCCGCCCCTGACCGCGACGAATGGGTCGCGGAGACATCGAGGCGCATTCTGTTAGTTCATCGCGAGAACGAAGAGATAGACCCCAACTGTGACCTCTCCAATTTCTGGACGGACGTCGAACGCGATGCAAACGTGGGTGATTCCTGGGAAGAAGCAGCCCAACACCGCCTCGACAACCTGGCAACAGCATTCCCGGGACTGGCTACGACACAGGTGTCTAGATCATCCCCCCTCGATGCACGCAGAGACGAGCTCCGGCGTATAGCATTTGTAGGCGATGCGACCGGAACCAATTTGACAACGGAAGAACGCGAGACAATTTTGTCGCTGCTTTGCGAATATGTTGATGTGTTTGCATTTTGCTTGGAGGACGTCACAGTGACACCAACTATCAAACACCATATTCCCCTCTTACCCGGCCACCACCGCACAAACCCTGGTTGGGTTTCGACCATCAACTCACCCGATCAACGCAAGTTTCTTTATGAGCAAGTTGACAAAATGCTGGCCGCTGGAATTATCCGGGAAGTTGACAGGAATGACGTCACATGGTGGGCAAACTCCCGTGTCGTCCCAAAGAAGGATTTGACAGCGGTCTCAAAGTCCAAAGCGGAACTCAAGGAGACGCTTGAGGAAGCAGTCGCAAGAGCACTCTCGGACAGAGGCGGATGGGCAGAACAAAAGCTGCACGAGTTCCCCCACGACAAAGCGAAAGCGCCAAAGTTTCGATTGGTTCATGCTTACCTCCAGGTTAACGACGCAACCGCGAATACAGCGTTCCCTATCGGCGACCTCGACGCGATGACGGAGAGGCTCGCGGGAAAATCGTTCATCACATGCCTCGATATGCATTCAGGCTATTTTGCAATAGGCATGGACGAAGAGGATGTGTTGAAAACCACCTTCCGTGTCGAAGGCCGCGGGTATTTTGCGTACAATGTCATGCCCTTCGGTCTGAAGGGTGCCCCCGCGACATTCTGCGAACTCATTGCCACCGCCTTTGGCCCAGCGATTGGTACCACTATGGAAGCCTGGATGGACGATCTCGCAACCGCAACCAACACCTTGGACGAACAACTGGAAAGGATTCGGTTCATACTGGACACTTGCCGAGAGCACAAGCTATCCCTCAACCCCGCGAAATGCACGTTTGCGCAGTCTTCGGCCGTATGGTGCGGATCCCACCTCTCCGCCAAAGGCAGAGAACCTGACAAGGCGAAGGTACAAGCAGTCATCGACTGGCCCAAACCGAATACACCTTGGGAGGTCTCGAGTTTCCTCAATTTTGCGGGTTACTACCGTAAATTCATCAAGGGTTTCGCGGCGATCTCCGAGCTTCTTTCGGCACTCACATGTGGTGTCCGAGTGGAACAATCTGCCCGCCGGAAGGACGGCTCGACCGCGAGAGGGGCTTACAAGAGGGCAATGAAAACTCGACCTATGGACTGGAAATGGGGACCAGAGCAAGAAGGGGCGTTCTCGGCAATCAAAAGGGCGTTATCAACGTTCCCCATCTTGCGGTCGCCAGACTGGAACCAGCCCTTCATTATTGAGACGGACGCCAGCAAGCAAGGGATGGGCGCCACACTGTCACAACGCTTCACGTACGCCCATTCAGGAACTGGAGAAATGGTGACTAGGACCCACCCAATCGCATTTGCCTCGAGGGCAACATCGGCAGCTGAGAAAGCGTACCCAGCGTTTCTGCTCGAGCTAGCATGTCTCAAGTGGGCAACGGACAAGTATGGGAAGTGCCTCTTTGGCAACCAGGTCGAGATTGTCACGGATTGCATTGCGTTGGCGGGCATTCTGTCCAACGAAAAGGTGAACCATAATCACGTCCGGTGGAGGGAAAGTATCCTCGCATTGGATATTGTCAAGTTCACGCACCAACCCGGGAAACAGCATAATGCTTGTGATGAGCTGTCTCGAGTCGTGGAGCACCTCGAATCATCTGAGTCAATATCTCCGGAGTCCAAGCTACCTATCGATTGGGACGAATATATCCAGAGTACAGGACCACGCCAGGTGCTTCTTCTGGCGGAAGCGACAGCTCGGGCGGATCAGGGTAACGACTTGGCTACGCCCTTGTTCCCAACTCAGCCGGATGACGGGCTGGCGGACCAAGTCATGTTCCTTGAACAGGCAACGGCATTGACCGCACTGGACGCCCGATACAAGGACGACCCCCTGTTTCAACCATTGGTGACATTCTTAACAACATGCCAATTCCCCACCGGGGCATCGCACTCGGAGAAGGGCCGCCTCCGCCAGCTGGCTAGGCGCTACGCACTCCGGGCCCCTGATGTCCTGCTCTTCAAGCAAGGTGAAAAGACCAGGGAGTGCATCCCCCTCCATGAACGACAGCAGTTGATTGAAGACACGCACACAGCGCTGAACCACGCAGGCAGAGATCTAATGGTGGTACACCTCTCTGAACGGTTTTACTGGCCCGGCATGGCACAATCGGTCGCTCCAGTAATTGTCACTTGCGAACGATGCCAACAATTCGGGAAACGAGTCATCCGGGCCAAGTTATGGCCGATCACGGTGCTAGCACCAATGGACCTTCTGGCAATGGATTACTTCTCCTTACCCGTGAGCCCCAACAAGCACAAATCAGTCCTGGTGGTCACAGATCTCTTCTCTCGCTATGTATGGGCCTTCAAATTCAAAGGAGAAGGCACAGCAAAACGCACCATCGAAGGATTAGTTGAGATCATTAAGACCTTTGGAACGCCACGGATCCTGATGAGCGACGGTGGAACTCATTTCAAGAATGCAAACGTCGAGGCGTTCTGCGCAGACAAGGGCATACTCCGCATCACTACCCCGCCCTATGCACCGCATACCAACGGGGCCGTGGAAGGAGCCAACAAACGCATTCTGCAAGCGATTTCCCGCGCCACAGTTGGATCGGTCGACGCCACTACCTTCTCACCCTGGTGCCAGTCACTTGAAGCGGTGGTGTACGCGATGAACAATAGGATCATCCCTGCCACGGGATATCGACCAGCGGATCTGATGTTCACCTTCGTGAGGTCGATGCCTTCCGAAGGGGCACCCCCTGATGAGCAAGCAATCGAGATCCTCGCGCACGCGCTCACGTCGTGGGCCGACCTGACACTGAGGGCAGCATGCATGGTCGCGGACGCAGAGGGACGTGTCTCGACTGCGTACCAGACCATGTTGGACGCCCAAGCACGCCGGAAGGAGGCCAAGGACCGCCAACTCCAACGTTGGAACAAAGCCATTCCGAAAGACGAAAGGGACCGCCCATTCAGGAGAGGCGACCTCGTCCTTGTTCATGCCTCTTGGCTTGAGGCAAGTCGAATTGGAGGGAAACTTCAGGCACACTGGCTGGGACCGTACCGTGTGGTGGCTCCTGCTACACGCACGGACGACGCGGAGAACCCCAGTGACGAGCACGTGACGTTCTGGCTCGAGTCGCTGGGGGACAGCTCGCCGGTAGCCGGACGCTTTCACGCTAACTGGCTCAAGCTATTTCACCCACCGCACGACTTCCCGCTCCCAACGACAGAACCAATGACCCTGGACGAGTTTCATGCAGCACAGCGACCTAAAAGACAACCTCCTCGTACCCAAAATGAAGACCTACCAGGGGATGTCTTGGACGACGACACCGACACCGAGGACTCATGAGGACGGGAATCGAGAGCGCTGCTCAGGCAACGGCGCGAACTGACCTGGCCCCCAGACACTACGTCCAACGCAGGTTCTGATCAAAAAATTCACACTCATTATACGACCACAAATTCACCACATCTCCTGGCTATTCTTAGATCTCGTCGCCAGAGCTCCTTTTTCATTTGGGGGGTGTTCTGGGTCAGGAAGCCCAGAGCGCCTCCGCCGTGCGCCGCGCCTGCGGCGCGCCCGTTGTGAAACCCATCATTCTAGTCTTCGTAGCTTAGACTTTGACCTTCTCTTGCATTGAATCTCATCTAATCTCATTTCATCTCATCTCCTCCCGTCCATTGAGAATCGTGTGCAGTGCCGTCAGAACCTTCTGCTCCAATATGAAATCTCCTTATGCTGGCAGAATGAGCCGTTGAGTACAAGCTCTTTGACGCGTCTGACGAGATTTGGCCGACGGAGCAGCCGTCAAATGCCGAGCGGAAAATCAGGCTAGCGACAGATGGTCCGTGCGAGCAGAGGGGTCGATTAGGGTCGATTGACTCGATTCCCAGAGCCGTCGGGCGAACCACGTGGGTGGGGGAGGAGGAGGCCCTTACTATCCTTCCACATATGCTACCGGTCCGACGTGCCCTCCTACATCACCTTCGGATACCCACTCATCCAGCCTATCAGATACAACAAAGATCTTCCCGAGCGGTCTCTTTCTCCACTCCAAGAGCCTTCAGTTCCACCTCCTTTCGGCCCTTCTCCAACACAGCAGCAGCGATGACGGCCTACCCTTCTATTCAAGCTTACAAGAGCGAGATGCTCGACGTTGATGACACCCACTCCATTTCGATTCGCCAATACGGTAATCCTCAAGGTGTTCCCGTTGTGTGAGTTCCCGGGAGTCTGCGCTGGGTGGGGCAACCCGACGTCGTTGCGGCCTTCTGGCGAATGACCTCGGGCCCGAAGCGCTCTCCTCTTCTCCGCCGTCATACTCTTCCACCTCAAGGTACACCTAACTAACCTCTCCTTCCTCTCCCCTCCAGCCACATTCACGGCGGTCCCGGAGGCGCGTGTTCGGATCGCGACGCCACGCATTTCAACCCCTCGACCTATCGCATCGTACTCTTCGACCAAAGAGGATGCGGTGAATCGACTCCCCCCAGTTGTTTGAAGGACAATACGACGCGACATTTGATTGAGGACATCGAGACGATTAGGAAACATTTGGGCGTAGGGGAAAGTTGGCATGTCTTTGGGGGCAGTTGGGGTGAGTGGATGAATTTGGACGGGGGTCAGGAGGGGTTAAATTGGGGTCTGATTGCAGGTTCGAGTGCGTTCGTTCAGGTTCGACGTTGAGTCTTGCGTACGCTCAAGCTTATCCCAAGAGCGTCAAGTCCCTCACTCTTCGAGGTATCTTCACCGTACGTCGAAGCGTACCCAACAGCTCCCGAAAAACAAAGCCTCTTTCTAAACAGATTTTTTCGGATCCAGCTCCGCAAAGAAGAACTCGACTTCTTTTACCAAGGACCCGGCACCTCCTTCCTCTTCCCCGAATACTGGGATGAATACGTATCGGTCATTCCCGAAGCCGAACGAGGGGACATGGTCAAAGCGTACCATAAACGATTGACGGGGGACGATGAGGAGGAGAGGGCCAAGGCGGGTAAGGCTTGGTCCACGTGGGAGATGTCGACGAGTCGATTGAGGGTCGATCCGGACTATATCAAAAAGGCGGATGCACCAGGGTTTGCGGATGCGTTTGGTGAGTTTGGCGAGAAGGAAGGCGGGGTTTTTGTGTGCTGAGGAGAAGGGCCACTGATCGTGGGTTGGGTACGCACGCAGCCCGAATTGAAAGCCACTACTTTGTCAACGAAGGCTTCCTCCCTCAAGGCGAATTGCTCAAGCAGGAGAACATTGACAAGATTCGCCACGTACGTATATCATTGATCCATCTTCACGGCCACGACCCTGACATAACGCGTTCGGCCTCTCCAGATCCCGACGGTCATCGTTCAAGGTCGCTACGACTGCGTGTGCCCGATGAAGACTTCTTGGGAGTGAGTGCCTTTCTGCTTGACCCTCGCCTACTTCCTAAGCATTCTGATATCCTTTCCCTTGAACTAGTCTACACAAAGCCTTCCCCGAGGCGAAGTACATCGTCGTTCCCGATGCGGGTCACTCGGCGATCGAGGAAGGGATCGAAAAGGCCTTGTTGGAAGCGACGGACGAGTTCTCCAAACTGCAATAAAGACCTTTCATTCTTGCTGGAGTCGTACAAAGAGCAATACAAATCATCGAATTTACATTTCTCATTCTCCTACAAGCTCCTCGGCTCCTGTCTCCTTCGTCGCCTCCTTTTCAGCTCGAGCCATCAAACCCAAATACCCACGATTCTTCTCGGCGTCCGAATAGAACAAGAGGTCGTTCCTCTTGATGGGATCGGCTTTCCCGGGTAAGGGGAGCCCTTTTTTATGGAACGAGTCGGGATTGAGGAGAGCTCGCTGTGGGTGGGCGTCGTGAGAAGGAAGGATGAGCCTGAGTAGGTCATGGTGGGGAGATTGAGGGTGCGCGTCTCACCAAGGTCAATCGATTCTCGTATCGCGCGACAAGGGTACCGTTGAGGCTCTCGATCGCCTTGATGGCGGATTGGGAAGCCCTCGAGACGACGATGTTGACATTGGGAGTGTTCCATTGGTCCGCGCCCTGCGAGCTCGGCTCGGCATGCGGAGAGATGAGTCTTCTCGATCGCTTCTACTCCTGCTCCCGAAGCTTCGAGCACGGAGACTCACATCGCCCAATAGCTTGACCCCATGTTTGATCCCATGCACGCACTTGGACCTCTTCAACTCGCTCATCGTGATCGGTCGACTTGGGTCGATCAACCCTCTATCGATCCAATGCTGCAACCGATCCAGATTCAACGGGGTCCATTCCTGTCTCTCGCTGCAAGGCACGGTTCTGATCAGTTCCGCAAGGGATGTACCCGGCAGTCGTTTTGTGCGACTTGCGTATTCGTAAAACCCCGCTTGGGGTAGGCCCTCGTTAGTGGCGTTTGCCCGCCGGCGAAATGGAGCGCGGGTTTCCCGTTGCCGGAACGAGCTCCTTGGCCTTTGTGGCCTCGACCTGAAGTGCCTCCGCGTCCGGACCCGATGCCTCGGCCGACTCGTTTGCGCTGGAGCGGGCCATAGTTGGAGATTGAGTTGCGATTCCGACCGAGTGGAGACAAGAGAGGCAAGCGAGAGAGAGAGAGAGAGAGAGCGGTGAGGTTTCAGTGATCATACATACCCTCACACCAGCCAAGCCCACCCCCCTCGACCCCACCGACCTTGTGTGTACTGCCCGGCGCAGGGGACAGATTGCCCAAGTGTGAGGTCGACGCGCTCGCATACGCTCGGGCGACCAACGGCGAAGAGCACGACCCGATCAGGCGCGGTGTTGGTGTCGAGAGGGCCAAGCTCTTCAGGAGATGGTGGAGGGACGCCATGGTGGTGTGGTGTGGGGTGGGGTGGTGTGGTGTGGAGGTGAGAGGGGTAGTGGAGGGGCAGCGCAGCAAAGGGCCAAGGGCGTTCCGTGCCAGGCCGTGCCAGGCTGGCAGCGAGCGCGAAGGACGCCGCTAATCCCTGGAGGAAGGGATTAGTAAAATTCAACCGCGGCGGCTGATGCATGAATGAAATCGTAATTTATAATGCGCTCGGTCGTTTCCGCGCGTCGGGCGCTTCTCCCCTCCGACTGGCCCCCACAACCACACACCACACAGCCACGCCCACACCCAAATCCATACCATGGGAGCAGGTCAGAGCAAGACCGACTCTGGAGTGCCCGAAGTGGACGTCTCGGATGATCGCTCCGAGCAGACCTTCTTCGCTCCGAGGGCTCAAGCCAACGTACAGGTGCGCGCTGGCCGGTCTGCGCTGCACTGTCATGCTGCGAGTAGTCGACTCACCTACTCACCCCTCCTCTTCTTGGCATTCTTGCCAGCTGGACGAGAATCTCATCAACCACCTCTCCTCGTCTTCCTCTTCCTCTTCCGCCTCTTCCTCCTCCTCCTCCTCCTCCTCCTCCTCGTCCTCCTCCTCCACAAATCCGTCCCTCCCGCTCTCACGCCAACAGCACCTCGACTCGCACATCCAATCGCGCATCAAAGCCGAGATCGACCGTCTCCGATCCCAGGAACGCTCGATCCGTCAACAGATCGAAGCCGCTCTGGAGAAGGAGAACCTCGAAAAGGAACGGGCGAGTTCGAGTTCGGACGAGGCGCGACCGACGAGTCATTCGGCTAGTCTGATGGACGATCTCGACAGGTTGGAAAAGACGAGTCAGACGATCAACAAGGGCGGGAAAGATCTGGTCCGCAAGGACGAGTGGGGCAGGTTCGAGACGAGAGAAACCGGCTTGTTGGAGTGTCTCACGTCCGTTCATCCTTCCAACTCGGCATCGAGGCCACAGAACGAGGCACTGACGCTTCACCCTCACGCCGTACAGAAACAACAAGCAGACACCCCTCGACTGCGCCGACGAGGTCGACAAGTTCAGGCAGGCCGTACAAAACATCGAGACCGTGAGTCGCGCCTTCCCCGTCTTGCGTTATCCGTAGCCTGGCGTAGCTGACGGACGCTTGGCTCCTCGTCCCCTTCAGGCTTTCGTGGCCGCGATCTAGGTCCCTTTGGATGTATATCCGATCACGGTCTTTTGTGTGCGAATATTTACTTGAATAAAAACAGAGGCTAGGGACCAATTGGATGCAAGCAGCAGGCGGTGATAGTGATAGATGCCAAGTGACAAGCGGCAAGCGACACAAAAGATGGGAAAGAAGAACACCAAGCCACCAAATACGGGTTCATAAAAACATGCCAGGATCCTCTGCGAGCCAACAATAACCTCACCAAATCTTCAGCTTCAAGCATCAACGTTGGCCTAGCCGAGGACCACTCACCGCTGCAGAAGATCTTGTAGATCGTTTCCGACAACTTGGCCCCGATCGTTCGGTTCGTCGCCACACCTGTGACGTTACTCCCGCGCTGTTTCAGGAATCCATCGGGTCAGCTTGATGCGAAGCCCAAGTAGGCAACAACGCAACACACGAACCCCGATCCCAACGAGCATATTCTTCCTCTCCCCCGACGGCAACTTGGCCCACCCGTCGTAGAGATCCTTGATCGTCGGATAATGCCCCACGATTCCCTTGGCGACACTGAATCGAGGATCGTCAAATTCAGTACTCTGAACTCCTCGCGTTTGCTCGGTTCCTCGAACTCACGGTTCCGTGACACTCTTCAACGTCGCCAACATCTTGACGTACGTATCCTCCAAATTCGAACCCGAAGCAAATTTATCTTCCCCTGTCCCTAAAGCGGCAATGTGCATGTTCTTCTGGCGCCTGTAAAAGTTAGTGGCGAAACACGTCAGAATTTCCTCCCGGGGTCCTAGGAATATGCGATAACAGACGTACTGATAAGGCTTCTGACTGACGTCGTACGTCAACTGCTCGATCCAATCGACGGCTTCTTCGACCGAGTTGACGGCGATCATAAAGCACCGACTCTGGGATTGAACCCTGTCCCTCGCACGCCAGAACAAGACTCAGTTTCGCATTTATCCATTCACCCAACCGGGAAAGCTCACCTCAACAACTCCATCTGAATCACCTCCTTTTCCGGCTGCTTCTCCCCAATCCCCACGCTCCTCGGCGCACTCGGTCCAGCCAAAGGGACGTTATCCAACCTCAATCTCGTATCCTCCCTATACGCCGCTTGTTTCGCATTCTCCATCTCGCGATACAACGAGTTCAACCCGTAATGCATGAGTATGATTTGGGAATGGGCGCCGATGCGCTCTTGAATTTTTTGGAGGTTGCGCAGGAGGGTCTTGTTTGCGATTTGGGTTGAGAGTTGCAGGGCCGAACTGGGAACACATTCGAACAACAAACATGAGCTTTGCCCTTCCTTCTTTTGATCAAGGAAGGAAATAACTCACATATAAATCAACCTCGAGTCCTCCTCGACCACAAGCTCATTCCCTTCCCCCAGCGGCTCAAATATACTCTTCTCCATATTCCACCTGCGATCGCACCACCTGGTCCAACGAATCGCGCCTTCGCATCCTATATCCCTCCTCGGCGTCTCGGGAGATTCGACGACACATCCTTGCGGATCCATGCGCGTTTGTAGAAGCTTGGCGATGTTCATCCATTGAGGCTGCTCGCTCTTCTTCCCCTTCTTCGCTTTTTTCTTCTTCTTGCCCCCTTCACCTCCGTCTTCTTCCTCCTCATCCTCCGTATCAGAAAGCTGATCAAAATCGGACCCCGAAAGATGGATCGTCAACTCCATCACGGTCGTCGCCTTATCACCGGCCCTCAAATTGTTGGCTTTGACGAGCGCGGCCTTCTCCTTGGCCAAACGGGCTTTTTCAACCGCTTTGCGTTCCTTCTCGGCGGCTTTGTTTGCTTTGACCGTTGCCCTTTCGTCCAGCGAGAGCGTCGAAGCCTGGTGCAAGGCATTCACAGACTCGACACGTCAGAAAACACCCCCCGGCAACCTGAGGATATACCGTTTGAAAGTTCAAAGATAACTCACTTTGCGTTTCGCATTCCCCGCCACCGCCACCGCCCTCTCCCTCTCCTTCGCTTGAGCCCTCTCCCTCTTCCCCTCTTCACTCTTCCTCCTCTCCCTCTCCTTTTTCCTCTTCTTCTTCCCCGCCATCTCCTCCCTCATCTCCTTCTCCCAAACCCTCGTCTCTTCCCTCCAATCCAATTCCACAACAGGCCCACCTTCATTATTCATGATGAACTGACGAGGTGGGCCACGAAAACTGGCCGAAGTTTCATCAATTTCGGAGGAATCGGTCGTGGTCGCTTCTCCTTCTTCATCGTCGTCGTCGTCGTATATGCCGACTCGTTTGCGTTTGCGTTTCGTCGTCGACGACGACGACTTGGCTTTGTGATAGACCGGCAAGTGATCCAACATGGAGAGGATCGCCGACGCCGATCCTGAACCGGACCTTCGAGCTGCGAGTGCGGGTGGTAATGGTGGTGCGTCTCGAAATGGGTTTGGAACAGGAGGTCGACGAGCCTTTTTGTTTTTGTTTTGTTGGTGGAGATTATCAAGGTAGTTTGCATCAGTTGGATGCATCCCCAGCCTGGACCGTAGAATGAAGCCGGGACTGACACTGGAAGTGGAAGCGGCCGGACCCGCTCGACTGGGTCCGACGGTGGGTCCAAGATAAATACTCCTCGAAGGTGCGAATCCAAGCGTAGCTGGATCAGGCAGTTCACCATCCTCGTCTGATGTGGGTGGTCGGACTGGAAGAGATGCGGTCCTGATTCAAGTACAAACGTGGGTCGTCAGTTCCTCGTCGCCGCTGTGGGTGAGCCCCACGTGACTTTACGTGAACTGACCTCTGCGGCGGTCGTCTAGACGATCCTTGAACGACGATGGCTTCTCCATCGTCGCTACTGGATTCACTCGACAATACTTTCATAGCTCCCTGTGTGATCCCCCGCTCCTCATCCGACGACTCGTCCAACAAGTCAATCTGCACCACCTCCTTGCTCTTGCCCTTGCCCTTGCCTTTATCCATCCCAACCCCCTCCCATGTGCCAAACTGAACGGGCGACGAAGCAGGTGAAGAAAGAAGGAACAAAGGAGTCCCCATCCCTATCCCTGGCGTAGTTCGCGGTTGACGTCGTGGTGTGGAATCGTGATCGATCGTGGCCAGAGGTACGCGTGGCGACGCGTCGTCGTCGTCGTCGTCGTCGCCGTCGTCGTCATCGTTGTCCTCGATGTCGACGTTGCGGTGCCAAGTTGTGGGTTTGGATGGGTGAGGTATTACGTGAACTTCGACGTCGGAGGAATAAGTATAGGAATCGTTCATCATGCACAGCCAAGACCCCCACGCACTACGGCACCGCGAGACCAAGACGAGCGCTCACGAGCACACGAGCGCTGGAAGAGATCAAAATTGGCGCTCCGCTACTGCTCCGCTCGCAAGGTCAATTTGGTCCGAGCGGTTTCTTCTTCAACTTCCACTGGGTCGCTCCCTCTCCGCGATCATTCAACTCCTTCCTCCCAAGGTCTAAGAAAGATAGATGACGAATCACAAGTTAAGGAAACATAAAGCAGAGATAAGATGAACATCCCTGCTCGATCATCGCATCTCCAACCCTACGATCGGTGTACCCCGCTCAGCGGTTTTGGTCCTTCGCGTTTGAATGCAATAAGGGACCGTGCCTGCGAAACAAAACACTGCGCACCAACCGTACGAAGAACACCCCATTCTTCAGTCCTTCCTCCTCCCCCACAAAATCACGATCCAATTCATCCTGTACTCACTAAACGCAGCTAGCGATTCCCAAGGTTTGGAGAAGCACGACAACACGATCAGGAACAAACTCGTGGAAGCGAATAGGATCGGTGTCGAGAGCCACGTTCGATAAGGTCGTTTCAAAGTCGGTTCTTGAACGCGCAGGACGAGAAGTCCGACGACGACCCAGAAGTTGAAGAACCACGCGCAAACGCCGTAAAACAAGGTAAGGCTAGAGGGGTAAGAGGGAGGGGGGGATGGTCAGGTTGATGAAAGGGCGACGTGGTATTGAGGAGGAACGGGTTTTGTGCTTACTGAGCGAAATCACCAAAGATGATGAAAATGATCGAGAGGAACGACGAGAGCATGATCCCATTGAGTGGCGTTTCCCTGCGCTCGTTATATCTCGCAAACAGCTTGGGGATGAAACCTTGTTCGCCCGCAGAGACGATCAATCGACTTGAAGTGTACAACGAGCCGTTCAACGCGCCGATACAGGAGATGGAAACGATCAGGGCAAAGAGCACGCCCCCGATAGGGCCAGCGAGACCTCGTCCAAAGTCGAGGCCGATGGTGGAGGAGGAGACCGCGGTGGTGAAAGGCAGAACGAGGAAGTAGGAAATGTTGGCGAGGACGAAGAGGAGTTCAACGAGCGCCAGACTGATGTTGATGATGAGACTGCGAACAAACGGCCACGAAAGGGTTTGGTTTTGCAACAAATTTACTCTGTATGTGGACCAAGATTGCTCACGGAAGTGTTCCCGGGGCGCAATCCTTGGCGACGTAGTTGCACTGATCCCACCCATCAAAAGTCTGCAGTCGCGAAGCGTCAATTCACGAATCCCACTATCGGTCCGTCCTCAGCGGGAACATACCCAAAGTGCACTGAAGAGTGCGAGGGCATAGCCAGCCGGTTTGTCCGACGAGCCCTCGAAAGAGAACGAAGAAGCGGCTCTCCCTAAACCCAAGACGACGAGACCTCCAATAAAGACGAGCACGAGGGCAAAAACCTGAGAATATCCCGCGCGTCAGCGCGTAATCCGTGTAAGCTCGATGAGGGCCATCTGGTTTCAACGGACCTTGAACACCGTCAATACCAATTGGGCCCTTGTCCCCGCTCTTGTACTCCATGCTTGCATACACGACAGGAGGAAGAGAGCGAGGATACCGACTAACTTGATTGCTATCGTCGGCACCCCTCTGACGATGTGATCCCAAGCAAAAGTTCAGGTTTTGCGCACCGACGATCCACGTTGAGACCCATCACGAACTGACCGAGCAGCTACTGAAGGGTTCTTTGAGAAGGCGGTGTGCCATATGATGCGACACATGTATTCGCCAAAGATGATGCTGATGATAGCTTGCGACCCTGGTTTGAGCGCGGTAACGGCCGTGAAGGAGAAGCAGTACGCGGGTAGAGGTCCGAAGGCGGCGTCGAGGTACTGTACCCGAAGCAAAAGAGAGTTTTGCCATGTGAGTGAACCATCTCTAAGGTTCCTTGGATCGCTCCAGCTGAACTGACCGCCTGTGCACCACCATTGATCGGCAGTGCCGTCCCGAGCTCGGCAAAACTCAATGCCCCAGCCCACGATAGCAACCCCGCGAATGTCCACAACAACAACGCGCTTCCTACAGCTCCCGTTTCCTTGGCCACGACACCGGGTGACGAGAAAATTCCAGAACCAATCTGCATCCCCACGATGAGCGCAACGCCAGCCATGACGGTGATGGGTTCCGAAACGGTGCCGTTCCTCCTCTTGGTCGATTCGTCGCTCGTCGCCAAGGATAACAAGTGCGCGGAGGAAAAGTCGAACATGAGAGTTGAGGAAGGTCTTCGTAATCGTGTAGGTCCCTTTCCTTTCCCTCTTGGTTGTCCCTCGTCATCTTGGCTTGGACGACCGATATCATCGTCGTCGTCGTCGTCGTCATTATCGAGCAAGGGTAGTGCACCTGTGCCATCGTGATCATGCCCCGTCTCGTCCTCGTCGGTATGGTAATCATCCTCCCTTACGGGGCGGGATACGGACGCCGTGACGGTCGTTGATGCCCCTGCTTCAGCCATTTCGTATGCGGAAGTCGAAGTCGACGCGACGGGTCGCGCGGCGGTGGGCGTTGTGGACCCGCTACTTGACGCCATGACGACTCGAGGTTTGCTATTGGGACGGGCGAAGGTTCTTCTCGGATCTTGTTGGACCCAAGATCGAACGACGCGCCGTAGGTACGAGCCGTGCGGAGCTGAGACTCGCGACAGGGGCAACCAGCGACCAGTTAACGCGCTCACGTGTCTCGGCCCATGACGATCGATCCTGGCAGATCCGTGGCCAGCTTTTCGTTACCGTCCCAGAACGGCGTATTTGAGTATGGAGTGATAGAACCAACCAGGGAAAATTCGAAAGAAAGCTACGTCGGAAGCAACCATCGCGAAGAATTTTCGACTCGGAGCGGGCAATTTGTCTACAGCGAACTCAAGTCGGGCTAGCAGTTTCATTGATTTGGCAACACCTCAGCCCGTTCCTCAGCATACACCGTCGCTGGCTTGGCCATCTTTTGTCGTGTAAGAACGGCAGACGCTGGATCGAGCCGAAGCGTCAAAGCCGGATCTGCCGACGGCAAGTGCTCGGACGTGCCGGCCGCCCCGCCGTGAGTTCCCGCGGGCTTTCGGCGTGCTGGCGCGAGGCAGACGTCAGACGGCAAGCGACGGCAAACCGGGAGACGGCCAGACGCCAGACCGCTCGGGTTGGCCATCTGCAGCGAGCAGCTAGACTCTAGCTCCCTCCCTTCCCCCTCCACTGAATCGAACTGCCCTGATCCGCAAACATGTTGGCAAAGCAAGGTCACAACAGTCTTCGGCTATCCGCGGTCGTGCTCAAGACCAACTCGGTCGCTACACCGGGAGTCGTCGGCGGCGCGGCGTCACGACGGGCTGCACCACTCAGCACGCGCGTGCCGTCCTCATCGGCCCGGAAAGGATCAGTCGCAGCCACCTCCTTGGCTCGACCGAATCGTTGGCTGAAACGAAACTATGCCAGTACGCTCCTGGGCCATTGCAACTTCGACTGTGGCGGAACCCTGCTGACGCTGTAGCCGTCCACCCCACTCGCGGACAGCTACGACCCAAATGCCCGGCGGGACCCCCACCACTATCACTCGCTCCGAGGCGGAAGCCGACAAGGGCAAACCCCTGTTTAACAAGATTCTCATCGCGAATCGGCAAGTCAGCGCGTGATGTTTGAATCGAGAGACGCTCGACTCATCTGATTCCTTCCGTATCGTTCCGTGCTACAGCGGAGAAATCGCTTGCCGGGTCATGAGGACCGCCCAGGCGCTCGGCATCAAATGTGTCGCCGTCTTCAGTGAAGCCGATCGCTACAGCATGCACGTCAAAATGGTCAGTGGCATCATTTACAAAGTTCACGTCGACATGGCACACATCCGATCACTGACAATCATCGAGTTGCTTCGCTGTCGCCAGGCCGACGAGGCCTACTTACTCGGACCGGCCCCGAGTGCCGAGAGCTACCTCAGGACCGACAAGATCCTCGAAATTTGTCGCATCAGTGGCGCACAGGTGGGTTTCCACGTAATCTGACTTGGTGATCACCAAGTTGAATCCCAATTCGATTTCCTCTCTCTAGGCCGTGCACCCTGGTTATGGCTTTCTCTCCGAGAATGCTGCATTTGCCAAAGCCCTGCACGAGAACGGCATCGTATTCATCGGACCTCCTTCTTCCGCGATCCTCTCGATGGGATCCAAATCCGAATCCAAAGACATCATGCTCAAGGCTGGCGTCCCTTGTGTCCCCGGATGGCACCCTTCGACTTCCGCTTCGGCCGATTCTCAACTACCTGACTTTCTGCAAGCCGAGGCCGACAAGATTGGGTACCCCGTTTTGATCAAGGCTGTTTCGGGCGGAGGTGGGAAGGGCATGAAGATTGTTGATCGACAAGAGGATTTCAAGGAACAGCTTGCTAGTGCGAAGCGAGAAGGGATGAAGAGCTTCGGCGATGATACTGTTTTGCTAGAAAAGTACCTCTCGACCCCTCGCCGTAAGTGACACAAACCTCTCGACTTGGCCAGACACCATACTGATGGTTATTGTGACCTCCGTATTCACAGACGTCGAGGTGCAAGTCTTTTCGGATGCTCATGGTAACCACGTCTCCCTCTTTGAGCGCGACTGCTCGGTCCAACGACGTCACCAAAAGATCATCGAGGAAGCCCCCGCACCAGGCCTCGACCCCGTCTTGCGCGAATGCCTGTACGAGATGGCTCGCAAAGCCGCCGAAGCGGTCGAGTACCGAGGTGCGGGAACGGTCGAGTTCATCATGGACGCCCAAGACCCCAACAAGTTCTTCTTCATGGAGATGAACACGCGGCTCCAGGTTGAGCATCCTGTTACGGAGGCGATTACGGGCGTCGATTTGGTGCAGTGGCAATTGGAAGTCGCGGCGGGAAACCCGATTCCGCTGAAACAAAATGAGATCAAGCGTACGGGACATGCGTTCGAGTGCCGTATTTATGCCGAGAACCCCAGGAACAACTTTTTGCCCGATACGGGCCTGTTGAGGCATGTCAAGCCTCCTGCCACATCTTCCAACGTCCGAATGGAAACCGGCTTTGGTACCGGGGATGAGATCAGCGTGAGTCGATTCTCCACCGGATCCGTTGACAACGACGTCTAGCTTATTCCCTCGTATCCTGCCCCCTATAGGTTTTCTACGACCCCCTAATCGCCAAACTGATCGTCCACGGGTCGGACCGAACAGAGGCCTTGCGCGTCCTGCGCAAAGCTTTGGCCGAGTACCAAGTCGTCGGCCCTCAGACCAACATCGAGTTCCTAAAGCGATTATCCGAGCATGAGTCATTCATCGCTGGAGATGTCGAGACTGGGTTCATTCCTGTGAGTATGCCCCGCTCGGTTGAGTAATTCGATTGATCGGAGGCCTGACCCTGCCCTTACGTGCGCACAGAAACATTTTGACGCCCTGTTCGCTCCGGCGACCGAGGCATCCCCTTCGACGCTGGCCCAAGCAGGTCTTTTCGTCGCCCTCCGCGAACTCTCGGACGCGACGATTTCCGAAAGCTCCTCGACCGGTTCCCCCTGGTCCACGGCCTCGTTAGCCGGTTTCCGACCCGGTCAAACCTCTTCCTTCAAACGCACGATCGAACTCATACCCTCCGCCGACGCCGCGGCCGAAACCGCTCGTTCAGCAAAGGTCGAGATCGGTGCCCCATCAGCATCAGGTGGTTTCCCCATCACCGTCATCGACTTCCAAGGCACTTCCACCTCATTCCCCTCCGTTCATCCCTCCCTCTCGATCCCCAACTCCAACAGTTCGGCAACCCGTCTGTCGACATTAATCAACGATCGTCTTTCGCTGGTTGATGTGATTTCCCAACCTCAACCTCTGGGAGGGGAGAGGTTACATTTGTTCAATAATAGTTCGGAGGCGTTCGTCGGTTCGTTGGATGTACCGCCGCCGACTTGGATGAAGGTTTTGGCGGAACAACAGGCCGGGGCGGCGGGTGGGGGTGGCAGCGCGAAGAGTCCGATGCGTGAGTTTGGAAACCAGATCTCTTCAACTCATCTCAGACTATTTCTGATCCTGACATCGTGTATCGCATCCAATCACACTACAGCTTCAAGGATCGTTCAAGTCTTCGTCAAGGAAGGTGACAAGGTCACACAGGGTGCACCCTTGGTCACCGTTGAGGCGATGAAAACGGTCAGTCCCGATCGCCCGATCTTTCGGCCTGTTCACTATACTGATACTTCTTTCAACTATCACTGTCAAAAGGAGCACGTTCTCCGAGCCCCTAAAGACGGCGTCGTCTCCCGCGTCGTCGCGACCGTCGGTGAACTCGTTCCCGAAGGCAAAGTCTTGGTCTTGTTCGAGGAAGAAAGTGCCTGAGTCTCGAAGTATTTGGGAACCCCTTGATCTATATGATGAACTTTTTCGCGTTCTCGCGGGTTTGTGTTCCCTACGTGTCAGTTGCGTCGCGTGCCTTGAGCGACTGTTTTGATCGAGTTTTGATGTGAATTACAAAAGAAAGCAAGAGGCGATAAGAAACCCTTCCCCAGCAGCATGTCCAAATTGCAAGGCAACGGAGACCTGAAGACGTTATAAGCAGCCCTATCAGAAAGAAAGGAGGAGGAGGGGAAGCACAAGAAAAGGAACCCTATCGACCACATCGTCCCACACTGCTTCTACGCCTTCTTTTGCGAGATCGTGATCTTGTCCCCAAGGGATAATGCGATACCCTGTTGCTTACTCCGGATCCTGACATGACCCGTAATCACGCCCTCGTCGCTGCATTCAAGGGACAAATTCGCCAAGGCGTCTTCGCCAAAGATGGACCGTGCGTAGAGGTTGGCACTGAGGTAGCCGCATTCGGACGAGGCTTCTCGCATCGGTGTCAGGCAGGCCATGTTCGTCGCCGCCAGGATGTGCGTGAGGTCTGCATGCGAAAACGGACGGATTAGAACTGAGAGGAGTCTTCAGATTCAAGAGGTGGACGAACACTCGTTGAGGCCCTTGATCGAGGTGTCCACGGCGACTCGGTTCTCCCATTCGAATTCGGTCCACATGCTTCGGAATTGAGCTAGGAGGATGGCGATAAAGCCAAACAAGTCACGTTAGTCACAATCTGCCTGCAGCAGTGTCCACGGACGTCAAACTCACCCTCGTTGCAGCTGGCCGGGTTGATGTAGTCCAGAATGTCGATGTGGATATCGTTGAGAACGACGCAATGCGAGTCGGCCGTCGTTTGCGCTCCGTCGTAGAAGATATTACCAAAGATGACGCCCGTCTCAGTCGACGAGACCTTGATCGTCGCCTTGATGCTTTGGAACGAGTGAGGCCCGAGCGTGTGCGTCGTTGGTCGTTCAACCAGCTTGAGATCACCGAGGGTAGCAAACTCGACCGAGAGGTTTTGCAATGTTTCGCTCGTCTGGTTGACGATGAGCACGTCGAGGAAGATGTCGAACTGGTGGACGTTGACGTAGGCTTCGGCGTAGACGGGATCCGAGAATCCCGTCAACTGCACGACTCGGTTCAGCTTCGAGATGAAGTCGTCCCTCAATGCGTCCGCAGCACCCGTGGCCTTGGTCATATCGAGCTCGTACTCGTCCGCTTCGGCACCGTTCGTCTTCTTTGAGAACTGTCGGAACGAGATGAGGTCGTCGGGCTGGATGGCGCTGGCCTTCGAGTCGAGTGCGCGCTTCTCGGCGGCCTTCTTCTCCTCGTGCGCGATCATCTTGGTGTAAGCGGCCTGCGTGTCGTGCAAAAAGATTTCTTTGATCGGTTCCGTGTTGGCAACGTTCGACAACGGCGAGTCGATCTCAGCCAAGGCTTGCAAGCAGTTCGTAATACGCTCCTGAGCATCCTCGTCGATGGGCACGGACGAGAAAGGCGATTGACCGACTCGGATGATGGACGTCATGATGAGCATCGCCTCGGCGCGCAGCTCGTTGACGGCCCGCTCGTCGCGACTGACTTCCTTGAACTTGAGCACGATCTTGGTCAAGGACGAGGCCAGGACAGAAGCGGTGTAAAAGTCGCCGCCGAGAATTAAAGCTCGCAGTGGCGGTTTTGCGGCCGCCTTGACGACTTCGAGAGAAGCTGAGGGCGCCGACGAGTAGGCGGTTTCGGTCGCGTAGGTACCATCGGCAAGCACACGCGTCGTTGTTGTCGCTTTCGGCAACTGGGTCCCGCCTCCGTTCGCTTCCTGTGCGGCTTCTTGCGCTGCAAGATCGGATTCGGCGGCCTCGAGAAGCCTTTGCTCGCTCGCCAGAATTGGCACCTCGCCGAGCACCTTTCGGATCTGCTGCATCGTCTCCTTCAAGTCCTCGACCGTACTGCTGTACTCTCCGACGATCCATAGCGCCCCACGGAACACCTTCCCACTCTTGATCTCGCCCATCGTCGACAAGAGTCGCTCGACGATCCCACTGCGCAAGTGGGGGAACTTTTCGACAACCTCGCGGACGAACGAGATGACATCGACGGCCGAGGCGTTGGAGGCGTCGCCGAGGAACTCCATCAACACGTGCACGACGTTCGACGCGACCTCGGAATACCGGATCGCGCAGGTGTGGATCGTCTGGATCAACAACTGGCGGTATTCGGCGTTCTTCTCGAACTGGCCGTCCAGTGTTCGCGTGAGTTCCTTCTTGAGGAAGCCGACGACCTCTTCAATGTTGCGGCTGCTAATCATGTCCATCGCGAGGCCGAGCGCCTTGCGTCGGACGTCCATGTCGGGGCTACTGAGGACGCGCAAGACGTCCATAACGAGGTCGTTGAGGACGTGCTCATGCTTGGCGTGGAGCTGCTGCACGCGCGCAAGGACGATCATCTTGACGTTGTTCGACGACTCCTGCAGAATCAGCTGAATGAGGCAGCTTCCAGCGGCTGTAGTTGAAGATAAAAGGTCTTGGTCAGTACGCTTGACTATGTTGGGTGGACCCTCGGCAACTCACCCTTCACGGCAGCGGGGTTTTGTGTGAGGGTCGTGAGGGTCGTCGCAGCCTCGTATTTGACCGAGTGGGATCCCGAGTTGAGTAGCTCAAAGATGCACTTGATATACCGGGCCTGGTGATAGCAAAGTCCCGGGGTCGTCAGTCGCCGTCACAGGTCCGCCGTAGACGGGCCCCGCTCACCTTGAGAGCCCCCTCTGAGTTGGATCCCTTGCTCTCCTTGCGGATCAACTCGATGACGGAAAGTTGCATCATCTCGTCGAGACTCGGGATCTGGTCGTAGATGGACAAAAAGTACTCCACGGCGCGCTGGGGAGCCGTCGCCTGGAGCATGATGAACGCGTTACGAATCGAGGTCGTGTCGGATTCGGCGGCCATGAAGGTCTGGATCAGCTCGGGCGCGTCGGGGATGAGGTATTCAAAGTTTTTGTAGATCTGGAACACGGCCATGACGGCGTTCTTGCGCACGAACGAGTGTCGGTGTTCCTGCGGGGGAGAGGAGGGTCGAACGCGTCGAGATGTGAGCGAGGGTCTTCGAATACGATGCTCGGCATGGGGGACTGACGAGGCAAGTGCGGCATGACGGGACCAAGGGTTCGAGCAACTCGGGTTCCCGGATCTTTTGCAAGAAGCGCAAGGTCGCGCCTCGGATGTATTCATTGGGATGTTGCTGCGTGGCAGGGGGAGGGGGACATGGTCAGCAGGAGCTCGCGGCGTGTGAGCTCTGTGATTCGCCGACTGCGAGCCAAGTTTGGACGGACCAAGTCGTTCCGAATGGCGTTGCTGTGGCGTGGCAGGTGGACCGGCGAAGGTTAGCCACAAGATCGAGGCTGGCGAGGCGCGGCGGCGATGTTCGGGCGACTCACCAAACAAGGATCATTTCCTGCTTGAGTTTGCCATTATCGTCGAGCTTGGGGCATATTTCCCAGTAAAAGCTGCATGGTGGGTGCTGCCAAGTCAGTGCCTGGTCTGGGAACGGTCGCGACCTGCTGCTGCGGTGGGCCGTACACGCCCCGACGGCGCGCGTCGACACGGTGAGGAGATGAGCGGACTGACTGCAGCAGCTTCTTGATGTGCTTGCTCTTGGACGGGAGCACGAACTGGATGATGGGCATCAGCAGGTTCGGCTGGGTAGGGGTCGGGTGTCAACGAGTCAGCACTGCCCCTGTAGGAGGATGCTTGATCGCCAGCCGCGTCGTCGCACGGGGTGTGATGGCTCCCCTCATCGCACGGGGCATCCCCCACGCGCAGCACAGCGCTCAACGATGCCCACACGTACATGAGGCTGGCCATTCAGCGTCGAGATGATGATCCTCCTGAGCGTGTCGAGCTTGAGTTCGTCGGTGCCCTTCTCCAACGCGGCGCGCAGGTCCTGAGTAGTCGCCAGCGAGTCATGGTCGTCCGCCACCAGCGTGAACGCGAGGTTCGACCCGGACGCCGACGCACCACTGCCACCTGAAGACGACTTGTCGGCCATGAGGATCGAGCGAAGACGTGCAGGGGCGAGTCGAGTGCGATTCGCGGTGAGAAGGCGGAGTCGGGCTGACCAGCGCGAGGCGCACCTGTCGCTGGACCGACTACGTGGCCCCGCTCTGGCCTGCTCTGGCAGGCACTTGGCAGGCTCTGGCTCGCTCTGCGCGCTTTCTCGCGTCTCTGCGCGCTGCAGCGCTTGCCGCGCCGGCGTGAGCACCTTGAAGTCGTCACGGTACGAAACTCATGGAGGGTCAGCCACGAACATGAGCCCGTCTCAGATGTTCGACCTGACGGTAGTCAAGCACGCTTCGACTGTCGTATTTGCGATGTTCACGTCAGTGGACTAGTCATTATCAGACTCGTTCATCGAGCCACACCCCTAACCGGGGCCGAGAACCTGGAACCTAGGAGCCGCGATGGGACCTACAGGTCCCTGGGTGCCTGCTTCCTCGCAATGAAGCCGAAGTACCACCAGTTGGTGCATGAGAGCTACCATGTTCGTAGGTAATCTGTGCAGCGGGTTTCTCGGCAAGTAGACAATGGAATGGAAAGCTACCACCGCCATATGATCCCCGGTCGACGCGTCTGGTTTCGAGGCGAGACAGCGCGATCAGAACCGCGACTACACCGCAGCTTTCATTGCGGAAGGAGGAAACGGCCACAGAAAATTCTAAGTTGGCCATTCCTCGAGTTTCAATACATTATTGACATGTCGCGTAATACAACCTTGCCATGTAATCTAAATCCAGCGACGTCTCGGTCACGCATTGGCCACGGACTCACCGGTCGTCGAGCGGCGCCGGATTGCACCCGAACGTCGGTCTACTCGCCGAGAACTCCTCTGAGCACAGTCATGTAACATTCGATCCACAAATTCGGGAACGGCTCGTTCAGAGGTAGAAACACCATAGTCCAGGAGAACACATGGCGCTTTGGCGTTGACGCCCCTCGACGGTCCCGAATTCTTGTGATCGGCTGCGGCGACTTTGATCTGATTGATCTGATTGATGAATGAGCCCGAGCCCAGGACCGTTGATGGCAGGCACTTACTGGTCGTGACGCGACGCGACGAAAATCGACAAAGCAATGTTCGCTCGAGTAGACACCCAGGTACATGGCCTACCTGTTGTAGCGTGGTCTCGGACCTTCTATCCCATCGGCCATCGGCCACCGAAGTCGAGGATCACTTGATCTCCCCGGGGGGCCGGGGAAGAGATCGTAGAGCCCGATCTCCGAAATGAAGCCGATAATTCATCTCGTCAACGTGCCGCGGGAGTGTCTCACTTGACCTAGCAATTCAGCGGCTATGTAAGACACTCACTTCGATCGATCGCTGTTTGTCGGTTTTTAATATTCGGATCGGCCATCTCTAACCTTTATCACTGATTCAAGACAAGTGAGCACCTCCTTCGCATAGTTGGCAAACGAACTTGCTGCTTCGTTTCGCCCGACATCGCCGCAAAGTTGGCGCCAGCTGTCCGTCCCCCTCGATCATACTCACTTGCTCGCTACCTCGGCATTTCACTGCAAAAAAAACTCGCACCAGCCATCCGGTACACAAGATGAGAAAAAAGTATCAGCTTTGACCCCCACCCCCTATTTGAGACTACGCTTTTCGCGATTTGTGGGCGAAGCTGCGGAGTTCGCGTCACAATTTGCAATCGCGCCTGCAGGTTGCCGCAAGAGCATTCTGGGCCTTGAGCTGGCGGTCTTCATTTATGCCAGGCACCTTCCACTGAGAACGAGCAGACAGCAGTGGGCTTTGACCTTCAGCCCTCAGCCCAGGGTCAGTAGGCGTGTCGCTTGAAATCTAGAGTGGTCCAGAGCCACGCCATACTTCGCCGAGCGTCTCATTCCCCTGATGAAGGCGTTTACCCCTGGCCGACGTGACCGGACCCCGGCGTTCAACCACCTTCGGCGACTAGGACTTCGGGGTTTACATTTGATGAAGTGCCCATTCCTCTTCTATTCCTCTCGATTCTCACACTTACTCTTGTCCTTCGTCCACCATCACCTCGTCGGAAGAATTGCCTGCGACCATCTGGACACGTCATGTCTGCCGGAGCCGCATTTTTTGCGCTCCTCTTGATTCAGCTCGTCGCCGTCTCGGCGGCCCCTATGCCGGCCCCCCAAACCCCGCAGTGTAGTCCCTCCCAGTACTACAGCAAAGCTTTTAAGTTGTGCTTCGAATGCTCGACCAAGCTCACCAACGCGACCAGCTGCAACCGCAACCGTCCCACGGCTTGCTCGTATGGCCGCGTGAGCAATGGGCAATGCCGTGCACGCATTGGCTGCTCCGGTCCTCGATATGTCACCGCGGATGGTAAGTCCATGCCAACAAGGGTGTGCAAACGCTTCAATCCTTACACGTGTAGCTAGGAACTGACCCCTCGCCCTTCACCCTTCCTTCTACGCGTACTCGTTGCTTTGACCTCGTCACAGGCGCGTCTTGCCGTCGTTGCCCCGACACCAACGCGGCTCGTTGTGACCAGTCTTCGGGCAAGTCAGTCGCCTGCAACTATGGTGTACCCATGAAAGGGGTATGTACGGCGGTGTCATGCACCGGTGACCTCTACCTCGCCCCCAGTGGTTCGTTCTGTTCAAGCTCCTCACGCTCGCCCAATTTGCTGCGCACTGACCATCCAGCCTCGACCTTCCAGGTCGCCAATGCCGACGCTGCCGCAGCTTTGACAGACACGCATCTTCCTGCGATTCTGATGGGACACTGCGCGGATGTGAGCCTGGCTACTCTTTGAAGTCGAACAAATGACAGGCCGATCCCACCACCACCCAGAGCACTGGAGGCGTTCACACGACTACAACCACGAGCGCTGCTGGCATTCCCACCACTACCTCAGGCGTGCCTATCGCTACAACTACCCCTTCTCTTGGTCTCCCGATTGCGAATACTACGCCTTCGCTCGGTCTGCCCATCGCAACTACGACTCCTTCGCTTGGGCTGCCCATCGCGACTACCACCCCATCGCTCGATTTGCCGATTGCCACTACGACCCCCTCCCTTGGTCTCCCGATTGCCACGACCACTCCCTCTCTTGGTCTCCCGATCGCCACTACTACCCCGTTGCTTGGCCTCCCAATCGCCACTACAAATCCTTCTCTCGGCTTGCCGATCGCGACCACCACTCCTTCCCTCGGGCTTCCAATTGCGACGACTATTCCCTCTCTTGGTCTTCCCATTGCTACGACTACCCCTTCCCTTGGTCTCCCGATTGCGACTACTACCCCTTCGCTGGGTCTACCAATCGCAACCACCACACCCGAGTTGGCTACCACGCGACCCCAGCGATTGTCACGACCACTCCAGCTATTGTCACGACGACCCCTATGCTCGTGATCATGACCACCACTCCCGCCTTACCCTGAAATGTTCAAGTAATCAGATGAAGGTCCAGCGTCCTTTGGACGTTGTACAGCCTTCCCCACTCTCTTTACCTTCGTTGTTCATCATGTTTTCTTCGTCCACCTTTGCTTTATTCGGCCCGGCGCCCGTCTCTCATAAAACTCGGGACCCCTGGTCATCACTGTTTGTATGATACTATGTAGTAGCTCGAAACGGTTCTTCGTCAGCTCAAACTTGGCGATGATCTTGGACAGTCTATGTATCTTGACCCAAAAAAGAAGATCCGTTCTCAATGTTCTCAATGAATCGGCTTCTTCTCGAGTCGGTGTTACCTTCGAGAAGCTTAGCTAGGGCAGCTGGAAGAAAGACCCGAGGCTGGGATAGTCATCTTGAAGCCCGAGTGAAAGGTAAGGTATTGTGCGCATCGGTTTGATGAACTTTTCTTGGACACGGAGAAGTTGCTGCAGTTCCATTTTGCGACGACAGTCTCTGTAATATCCAGCCCTTTTGTAATGAGCTGTCGGGCTTTTGAACGACGTTTGGTCAGGATCCTGTATAACTCCCCGTAGGAGTGTACTATGGTAATAGTGAGCGGACGATCAGAGAAAGGGGGGGGGGGGGGGGGGGGGGGGGCGATTGCTATCGAAGCGCAGAGACCGAGATGCCGAAACCGAGAAACACGCAGATAATGAAACCGAGAATGATAGATTTGCAGAAATGTCCTCTTCCAAGCGGTCCTCCCCTCCGAAAGTCGCCTCCCTCCAAAGTCGGTCTGAGTCGTGTCTAGTCTAGTGGTCTCTCTCCGAACAAGAAGCGAGTCTTCCCTCCAACGCCAGGACACTCCAATCCCTCCGGCCAGCTTCCTCCTCTTTTCCGACACTCGGCCTTCTGATCACGCCATACTTCGTCCTGTCACACGGTCTCTTGCTCTGAACTTTTATCCGCTCATGTGACGCTAGGCCGAGTTAGCCGAATCTGCGCTTCCCGACTAAGCGACTCCAACCCGATTTCCGAGACCACCGAATTAGCCGACGCCCGCGTGACCCGAGTACCCTAATGCAGCCGACAAGATCAGGAGTCCCATCTCATTTCCGACAACAGGAGCCTCATTTCCGACTTTGCTGCACGCGACGGGATCCCGAGTACCACAACTCCCCCCAGACGAGGAGGCCGCCCCGACCCACTGACTTAAAAAACGCGTCTGTGTTGAGAGGCCTCTCTTTCTCTCCTTCTTCCACCATTCGCGACACTCGATCCTCCAGCATGTCCGACCTATCGCAGACCCCCACCAACTCTGTTACTCTTCCGCTCATCACTCCATCAAATCATGCATCTTCACTTCCTCGCATCCCCTCAAAACCCTAAAATCAAGTTCTTCTCCCCATCGCTCAGCGCTCCCTCCCCTCCAAAATCATTCACCGCCACGTTCAACCCCTCGGTCAAACCGACCCAACCTTCTCGTACGCACTCATCACCCTCGGTTCTTCTCCTTCCTTGAGCTCCCGACCCTTGTTTTTTCTCCTTCCCACTGTTGTGGCCGTCCAGGACACCTTCAAGACCGACCCCTTCGACTCATCCAATTCCTCTTCTTACGCCGCTTGAGCATCCCGCAGGCATTTCCAGAAACGCACACCCGTATTGACCTCTCCTTGGAGTCGTAAGCCTTCGGCAAATTGAAGTGGTATAAATCGAAGCCAATCCATGCCTCAGGTCTAAGGAGTCTGTTTTTGTCGCCTTTTCTAATTTTTCGACCGCGCCACCCGGTGCTCCCGACTGCCCTGCCTCTGCCGATCCTTCCTTTGATCCATCCTTGCCTTCCCCTCCCCTTTCTTCCATTCCTGCTAATCTTCCCTCTCCTGGACCCTGCCTCCCCCCAGACAAAACTTTCGTCCCCAGTCCCCAGTCCTCTGGGCCCTACACCCTTCGCCTGACCCCTATCCTTTTTCTCGCACCCCTCGCCCCTTGCCCCCTCACTAACGAACAACTCCTTGTGCCTAAAAGCCGTGACAAAACCGCGAGAAGATGCGGAGAAGCCATAGCCGCGCGCAGATGATGGAAGGTTGTCGTTCTCCGTATCGTACACCTCCCCCTTGATAGTGTTACAGTCTGGATCGGCTCGATGAAAGAGGTTGAGTGCGCCAGGTCCAACCTCCACTAGTTTTCCGACGAGTCGTCCCGGGTGTTGTCATGCTCTCAAACGTTCCCGTCTCCAACTCTGTCCTCCCTAATCGTCGTCATCGTCGACCCAACCGACAAAAGGTCCACCGTCATAGAAACCCCTCCGATCTCCATGTTCAACGAAGAAGTACCATCCGCATGCCACGTTTGTTTGCCGCGAGCCGCCGCCATGAAAGGACTTCCGAGCAAAATCGCCGGTTGCGTCGAACTCGATTCGGACACGAAGAACTTGCAGATGACCTCCGAACCTCCCACTCCCACTGCCACGTTCCTGCAAACCTTTCCGAGATCTTTAACTCCGTCGTTCTGAGAGCGCAACGAATGACCGACCGTCGAAGTGCATGCAATACCGAGCTCCCGACACGTAGCCTCCTGAATGAGCGAGACCTGAGAACCACCATCGACCAAGGCGAGAACAGACTTTCCGTTGATGACGACCCTCATACAGCCGATTGGTGCGCAGTAGTAAGCGGAGAGTTGATCCTTGAAACCGGAGTTCGTTCGCAGGATGTGAGTGTCGTAGTCGTCCTCCGTCATCTCGTCATGATATCCGGACGCAGTCGTGGCATCAATAGGAACCCGGCGACGTTGACATTGCTGCGCTACACCCTTGGAAAGATCGTTTGAAACCGCGAGAAGCATACCGAGAGGAAGTTCGACCTTGGTGCCGTTGAGGACGTGTTCCAAAGCCGACGGAACCGAAAAACGCTGTGAGACAGGAGTGCGCAGCATACTTTGAGCAGCCCGGCGACGAGTAGTGGATGTTGCGTTCGTGGCGGCCGATGCTTCCGTCATTTCCTCGTCCCTCAACGGCGCCTCCGATGCTTCCACCTTGACCTTTCCTACTTCCTTCGCCAACGGATCAAACGAAACACGAGGTGGGATTGAAACAGGGCGAGGTTCACCACGAACAGTCTTGTCCTTCGCCGCCTTCTCCGCCGCACGCTTCTTCGCCGCCTCTTCGTAAGGTCCACTGGGAGTGCGCGCACGGACCTGTCGGGAAGCCGCGTAAACATCGAAAGGGGCTTCGTCCTCCTCCCGCTCGTCCGCCGAAGAGAAGAATCCAACGTTCGTGCGCATTGCCGATCCCGTTCCTTGACCGTCCTGTCCCATCGATCCATTTCCTCCCCGGTTCGCCCCGTTCCTCTGCTCCAAACCCTTCTCCCACGCATCCCAAAGAGCCTCATACGTCGGCATCCCCTCCGGCAAACGGTGCGGCAATGGACACTCGCGACCCCGGAAATAATACCTCCCCGATTCTCCTTCAGTCACGTCCCCCTTCGACTTACGTTCCAAGACCTTAGGACAGGCGCGCGTCGGATGACCTCCAAGTCCGCAACCACGACAGTCGAGTCCAGAATTACGAGGCGTATAGGGAGTTGCATTGGCGCCAGTAGCGTATCCGTTGGGTCGAGTCTGTCCCCCTCGCATGTTCGCGTCCAGTCCTCCATAGCCAAAGCCTTGAGAACCCCTCTGAGCTTGCCCTTGGTTACCGAATTGCCCCTGCTGAGGACCCTGAACATTACCGCCGTAGAAAGGGCCAGGTTGTTGGAAGCGAGCAAATTCCTGCTTCATCGTTGCCAGTTCCTGCGACATCGTCGTCGTGTTCACAACCAAGCGGCGAAAGTCGTTGATGAAGTCGTCCGGCAGACTCGAGCTCCTCGATCCATTGTCCTCCGTTCCCGCTCCTGATCGACTCTTGGAAGACAAGGCTGATCGCGTGGCAGTCGATGGCGTGGACTCTGACTCCTGACGACGAATGAAAGATAGGGGCAATCCCGAGAAACGAACACTCCTAGGCGCGGGACTGGGCGACCTGTCGTTGCGCCACCTATCCCTGCGATCCTCTGCCTCTTCTTCCGAGTCTGAGTCCGAATCGTAGAAGTCTCTCCTGCGGGTATCCCTTCCTCGACGCGACGTACGACCTCCTCCTCTGAGCAGCTTGAGCATCTCTCCATACAACTCCCCGATATGAAGCTCTCGACGGTATTTCAGGTCATCCTCCTTGTGCTTCTTCCTGATCTCCACCATCTCAGCGCTTGTGACTCGCCAGCCGGTTGCCGCCTCCTTGTCTCTGGCCATTTGCTCCACCGAAGGAAGAAGGGAACGCGCCAATTTACGAAGTGACTCGTACTCCTTCACCAGCTCTCTAGGTAAACCTTCGAGGAACAGCGACGACTCACTCTGCCACGAGAGGATCTCTTTCTTCACCAGGGGCTCAGAGTGACGCTTGAAGCGGCGGTAGTAGTCATCCAGGTCCTGCCGAGTCCTGATCTTCCTCCGTCCCTCCAACTGACGATCAATCACCTCATATAGACGGTCCGGCGAATCGTCATCGTCCCCTTCCCCAAACTCCTCAACCATCCTTTCCTTCACCCCCTCCCAGTCCAAATCCTTAAACTCATCCCACTCCTCAATCACTCGCATGAAACGATGAGGCACCGCATTGTGAAGATGTTTGCAGTACATCTCAGGGGTCGTGAAGCGCGCGCTAAATAGGGGCTCATACTCCCTCAAGAACTTCTCCGCGTTACGACCGTTCAACGGGTACGCAACATTCCTCGCTAAGTAAGGGGTTGCAAGGGTTGCCAATGTTTCCGCAATCTCCGCCGCAGCTGCTCCACCCATTCCTCCTTGCACTCCCCATCCCTCATCCCTGCCTCTATCCCATCCTCCACTCCTCCTCCCATTCCACCTCTCCTCCCTTCCATCTCCAAGCCCCTCATGAGTCCTGCCATCACCACCCAAGTCCCTAGTCCTTCCGTCACCATTTCCATCCGCCCTGTGTGCTTCATCCCTTCCCATTCCGCCTCCGTTGCCTTCGCCATTTCGTTCCAAATCATGTAATGCCAAGTGTTCCGCCATTCTTCCTTCCTTTTCCTTCCTTTCCTCCTTCCGAGATATCCAGGGGCTGCCGATGACGATGTGTCGAAGGCAAGTTGAGATCGTCGATGCTGACCACGGGCTAGGGCTTGAGGGCGTCCTTTGTGCAGAAACAAAGAGAAATCCCGGCTGACTCCCCAGTTATGGTAATAGTGAGCGGACGATCAGAGAAAGGGGGGGGGGGGGGGGGGGGCGATTGCTATCGAAGCGCAGAGACCGAGATGCCGAAACCGAGAAACACGCAGATAATGAAACCGAGAATGATAGATTTGCAGAAATGTCCTCTTCCAAGCGGTCCTCCCCTCCGAAAGTCGCCTCCCTCCAAAGTCGGTCTGAGTCGTGTCTAGTCTAGTGGTCTCTCTCCGAACAAGAAGCGAGTCTTCCCTCCAACGCCAGGACACTCCAATCCCTCCGGCCAGCTTCCTCCTCTTTTCCGACACTCGGCCTTCTGATCACGCCATACTTCGTCCTGATCACGCCATACTTCGTCCTGATCACGCCATACTTCGTCCTGTCACACGGTCTCTTGCTCTGAACTTTTATCCGCTCATGTGACGCTAGGCCGAGTTAGCCGAATCTGCGCTTCCCGACTAAGCGACTCCAACCCGATTTCCGAGACCACCGAATTAGCCGACGCCCGCGTGACCCGAGTACCCTAATGCAGCCGACAAGATCAGGAGTCCCATCTCATTTCCGACAACAGGAGCCTCATTTCCGACTTTGCTGCACGCGACGGGATCCCGAGTACCACAGTACACGGGAGCGACACCGATAAGATCACGGGACACTGGACGCTATTTTTTGTCGCTGCTACGACAATGCCTTCTGATTCACCTGGGCTCACCTGGACACTTTACTTTAGTCACTGTGGGTCGGGCTCAGAATCTCGCGTGCGGCCGGGCACTGGTCCGTTCGACCGGCGCCTAGTCTGACTGTAATCTTTGATCATCACCGTCAGAGAAAATCAAGTTTACTTTGGAGCGTGCAGATGGAAAGAGAGGTGAAACAGAATACTGCGTCACTGGATAGCTTGATGACACCCGGCGACACGGTAGGTGGTATCTGGATTCGAAGCCGCAAGCGTTCTCTCGGAAGCGGCGTCGGAAGCGAAACCGGAGTTCATCGAGAGACCGAGACTTGTGGTGAATTGCCCGGGCGTCCTCAGTCAAAGGTCTTTGAATCATCATGCGGTTTTGACCTGTATTCGTATACTCTCACGTCGTTCGGTGAAGACCTGTCGTTTCGGAAAGTTCAAAGGGGTATGCGCTTGAATCGCGGAGTGTCTCCAAGAATCACTGAGTAAGGCTAACGCTACACATCGGAGCATGGTAGGAAATAATTCCGGTATGAATGCATAATAATACACCGCTCATTTTGCGACTCAAATTTATGTTCATCTATTGTGCTCGTGAAGCCACTCTGACAGTTACAACGCCAGTAGTTTGAGCATCAGCGTATGAGCGGCTGGAACTGATTCGCACGTTTGACTTACCTGAGACCGCGGTCCCCGTTATCACGATTAGTTCGGTCTCATTTGCGTAGGCCTATGTAGTGGTAAAACACGTGTGTTAGGTTCATCAGTTATGGTTGAAAGGCGCCTTGCCGCAAAATATACTGAGACGAATGCGGTGCGCACCGGACTGATGAACAGTTTGCCCTCTTTCATAAAGGAGAAGTGACTATTGTCCCACTTCGCCACGAATATTTTGGAGCCATCTGGTGCTTTTGTAGTGAGCTATTTCTTCCGCGACGTCCGAGTTAGTTCGGTAGGTTTCGCGAAGGAAGGACTGGACTGGCTTAGTAGAAGGACGAACGGTGAAATCATTTGTGAATCGGTTGACGACCCATTTGAAATGCGATTGGCCATCAAAGCCACGGTACTCGTGCGAAAAAGTGAGCGCGTTGGTACGAAAGAGCTGCGTCGTCCATCCATTGCTACGGTGGAGGGCAGTGGCGGGATGGATCAGTCAGAGTCCTCGGGGTCCGTTCACCGCAGCAGGACTTGGGGGACTTACGCCATGGTTATATTCTTTGTTGTTGACCATCCTTGGCTAGAGGTACAAACCAGAGGCCCTGAAACATGGCACGGCTTGAGTTTCCGGAAAGTTTACATCTCGAGGAGTAAAGAGTAAATATTCACTCACCATCTTGCCCGCCTTTGGTGATCACGGTTTGAGCGCCGGAAAAGCGGATACTGTAATCGATGTAGTAGCTTCAAGACAAAGCAGTGGAAATAAATCAGGAGGATGTTGGAAAGGTTCAATCAATTTGTTAGAGAAGCTCACTAGATGAAGTTCTTGTCGGGTCCTGTTAGGCCCATTCGAAGACGAAGAGGCATGATCGGTTCCAGTGTCAGATGTTCGTGCTTTGCAATCTCAAAAAGGAGGGTGCCTCTGATCTGCGTGCGACAACTTACCTGTGACGATCTCATCACGAAACTTGCCCGGCGCCCTGTAGATGTGGTACTCTAATGGAGCACCTTCTTGACCGAAGGCTGCCGCAGCGAAAACCAATCATGGTCGAGGCTCGGATCAGTACGAGCGTGAGACCTACGATCGCGATCCGGCCGCATGTGGGGATCCGGATCCGGACACCGCCGAATGGTGAGCAACTTGCACGACTCGGGTGACTCACATTGAGGTAGAGCGTTCTGGTTGTAGTGCTGTTGAGGCTGTTGATAATCGGACTGGTTGCCTTTACTGTCGTTGTAGCCTTGTGGAGGTTGTGGCTGCTGTTGTTGCTGCTGGTGCTGCGACGATGAAGCTCCTTCATCGGCGCCGTAGAGGGGCGGGGGCTCGGACTCCGAGCCTCGATCGGTGCTTCGTTCGACGGGGTCCGAGCCGGAATCCTTGTCAAGCTTGCGTCTGAGTTTCGAGAACATACTGAAGGGAATGTCTGCTTGTGATGTGCTGGGAGTGTAAGGAATGGAAGGGAGAAAGTAGAGGAGAGGTCGACTCAGTGGGGATCCCGTCCTTGCGAGTCGAACAGTGCGCCGCTGTGGCTCGCCGTGGCTCGCCGTGGCTCGCCGTGGCGATACCATGACGCGCGAATGGCCTGTCTCAAAGCGGCCCAGTCTTCACGGCTTCATGATTCACCGCCGCCGACTCGCCGCCGACTCGCCGGCAGTGCCACGACTGCAATGAGAAATGAAGCTTGTACGTGCCACAGGGCAGCGTTGAGACTCGGGAGCGGCACCGCTGGATCTAGACCTAAGGCTGAGGCACTTCTTTCCTTACCAACTGCCCCAGCTTGTACTCGTACATGATTTGCTTGCAGGCCGGCCGCGACTCGCTCAGCCCGCCTCGGACAGAGGGCTGGTTCGTCATTTCGGTCACGTGCACGTGTGCCCGAGTTGAGCTTTCCCCCGCCGATTGATTCGCGAACCATGGCACATAGGATCGTATACAAGATTTGTGTTCCGAAAATTAGAGTTTACCTATTTATCTAGTTACCAAGTTCAATTATCTGGCGCGGATCTGCATTTCCTGCACTGTCTCGTTCGGAGAAGTTACGGCATGGAGGCGCGATCATTAGATGTCCGATCTACTCCCTCAATTTCCCCCCACTCCATCGCCCTCTGGCTTTCTTTCGCTCGTCATCTTCGGAGATACCCATCGCCAAGCCATTCGCTTGAGGAGCCGGAAAGACGCTTGCCAGGGCTTGCGTACTATACACAGGAGCTTCCTCGTAAGTTTCGCTGCACTGTCAGCACCGCCTCGTGGCTGCGGTGACGTCGTTCCTGCCCACTCGCCGTGCATCACGCCGTCTGAAGTGAACGGCTCGTACTGACGCCCGAATTCCCACACATCACAGTACTTGACCAAAGATGCCGAGTCTATCATTGGCTCCGAACACCGTGATCCAGTCCATCTCTGTGCCTTCCCATTCGCTGAGGTCGACTCCCGCCCCGGCACACATCGTCTATCACATAGACGTCACCACCCCTTCCCGCGTCTACTCCGTCTCGCACCGCTACAACGCCTTTGTGCAACTTGTCCAAGACCTGCAGACCGAGAACGCAGGGCATAAAGTACCCCTGGCTTTGCCATCGCGGAGAGGGGCGTCGTCGATCTTCTCTCTCGTCGGCGTAGGCGGGGGCAGTGGCAGCAACCTATCCGAGGCTCAGCTCCTACAACGACGGCAAGGGTTAGAGAACTTCTTGCGGGGTTTATTGGCCGACAAAGATCGTCGGTGGGCCTCGTCCAAGGCGTTCAGGGAGTTTCTCGCCGCGCCTTCGATGACGGAAGAGGAAGGATCGGCTTTCACGCCTTTGACATGGATGACGGAGCAGCAAGCGCTCGTCGTGTTGGCCAGGGAACTACGCGCCACGTTCGCAAAGAGGGATGCTTTGCTATTGCAACGGGATCATAGTGCCCATGCGACAGGACAAGAAGGCAAGCGGGGGCTCGTGTCGCTTGTCGCTCGGCTCGGCACTTTGACCAAAGGGCTTGCAGGATTGGCCAAGACGGGACTGCCGCAAGGGGAACTGCAACGGAGAGGGGACTTGATTGCACAATTGCAGGATGAGACAGAGACGTTGGGCGCGATCGCTGCGGCTGTACCTCGAGTCGGTGCAGCATCAATAGGGAAACCCGAAGAACCCGTCTCGGCTCAAAGAGGAGCGCTCTTGGGTGCCCGTTCGTCGACCAAACCCGCCGCTCGAGTGTTGGGACAACCGGTCGAGACGGCCGAAACAAGACCACTCGATAACGCAGGCTTGATGCAACTGCAGCAACAGTACGTTGCCGAGCAAGACGACAAGCTCGACTCGTTGACGGCCGCGCTGAGGAGGCAACGAGCATTGGGCGAGATGATTAGTCAGGAGCTGTCGGAGCAGGAAGAGCTGTTGGATCACTTGGACAAGGGTTTGGATAGGACAGGTGGGAAGCTCAAGACTGCTGAAAAGCTGATGAAGAAGCTCTAGAGGCGGGGGCAGGTCGGATGAGCGCGAGTTTTTAGAGAAGATTAATATCGCATAGCATCAGCATCATATAATTAGGAGGATATATTGGTACCTCCCTTGGTCTCAATCCCACTTTGGGTCAATATGCGACCATCATAGGCAATAAGAAGACTCTGGAAAGGCGGTGCTGGTCGATCGTCCGACACTTTTTGACCTCCTCGAGCGCGGGGTGAGCATTTGCTCACCCGCACCTGTATCCTCCGTCGTCCACCCCACGCAATCGAAAAGATGCTGCCCTTGATCGATCTCGACATCTTTCGCCAGGATCCCACATCGCCCGAGGCATTGCAGCAAGCCCACGCGGTACGTTACCCTCTACTTGAAGAAGCACCACCGCACGCGTCGCGCAGTCACAAGAGGAGCTCCTCAAGGACACTCGGCCAGAATTCCACTACCAAGCAGGAGCGACCTAGAAACCGAAATGTCACTCCGACGCCTCGTGTCGGGCCGTGATCGCCGCGCTCGACCCTTCTGAACGACCGCTCGATTTGGAAGCCGACAAGGCGGATCCAAAGTGTCGGTTAGTCATAAGCTGAACATGAGATTCCATCGGGTCGAACAAAGGCTTTCAGGCCGCTGATCTGCTTGCCTTGTCCGCACCATCCACGATGAATCGTGTGCAGATTTTTCTGGAGGATGGGCGTGCCTCCGCCTCCCGAAAGCACCTCTTTCGGATTCATGACGATCCCCAACGTCATCCCAACCGCTTTCGCCACAACGTGGGAATCCTCCATGCAGGAATGGGGCAACATCATCCGATCCGCCGTCTCGGGCGTCTCGGAGATGCTCGCCGTCGGTCTTGGTCTACCTCAGGCCGAATTCCTCCGAGCTTCGACGTACGGTCCGCATCTCCTTGCTCCGACCGCGACGGATTTGACGAGGTTCGGTCACCTCGATTCCATCTTTGCTGGATTCCATACCGATCTCAACTTTTTGACCATCCACGGGAGGAGTCGGTACCCGGGCCTACACATCTGGGCCCGCAACTCGGGCCAAAGGATCGCAGTCAAGTTGCCTCCCGGGCATCTGCTCGTCCAAGCGGCGAAACAACTCGAGCATGTTACGGGGGGTTTGATCTTGGCGGGGTATCATGAGGTGGCGTGTACGAAACGGACCTTGGAAGCCATTGAGACGAGGAAAAGATCGGCACCGGAAAGGCCGTTGATAAGGATCTCGTCGACGTTCTTTCATCATCTTTCGTCGGATTATCAGATGAAGCCCAGGGAGTTGACGGGTAGGATGAAGCTGGTGCCAGAGTGGATAGAAGCTCATCGAACGTCGCAGATATCTCTACCGCCTGTTGAGTACGAGGAGGGGCAGAAAGTTGGGACATTAGTCGAGAATGAGCTGAGGCATATCGCTTTGAAGAAGGATTGATCGCGTGTCGTTAGGTTAGCTTGGTACTGTGTTGTAACATCAGCTCATTCAATAGCCCGGTCCAGATGTTCTGGAAGGACTTCAACCCGACCTTCGATCGATCACTGATAAATGTTCTATAGCATTGATGATGGCCCCATGAGAGTTCCGGTCCTACGACCCAACAATTCTACACAGACAACTCGGCCGAGACGCTCGACTTGAGCGCTTCAGCGAAAGGTGCCAAAGCCGGCTCGACATGATCCTTCAAGAATCTATCGACCTGTTGTGGTGCCCTTCCAACGAACGTCGCGGGGTCCATAAGCGTATCCAATTCTTCCCAAACGGGTTCAAAGAACTTGTTCGCTCGAACTCGTTCGATCAAGTCGTTCTCGCCACCTTGTTGCTTGACGACGGCTCCGGCTTCGTGCGAGAGAACGCGGATTTGCTCGTGGCATTCTTGTCGGTCGCCGCCCTTCTTGACGATCGCCATGATAATGTTCTCGGTCGCCATGAAAGGCAACTCTTGTCGCACGCGACGGGCGACGATGGCGGGGTAGACAACAAGTCCTTCGGAAATCTATGAGATGGTACCCGATAGTCAGTCTCGTGTGGATCATTCAGCTTTGCTTCAGGTTGACGTACGTTTTGGAGAGTCGTCAGGATGATGTCAGCGGTAAGGAAAGCCTCGGGGATGGTGACACGACGGTTGGCCGAGTCGTCGAGGGTGCGCTCGAACCATTGCACACTCGCTGTCATGAGCGTGTTTTGGTGGATGACCATCAAATGACGGGCGAGCGAGCATACACGCTCGCTGCGCATCGGGTTGCGCTTGTACGCCATCGCCGACGAACCGATCTGGTCCTTCTCGAAGGGCTCCTCGACCTCCTTGAGGTTGGCGAGCAGACGGATGTCGGTAGCGATCTTGTGTGCGGTCGCACCAAAGGAAGCGAGGGGAGCAAGAACGTCGATGTCGACTTTTCGCGAATAAGTCTGGCCTGTGACGGGGTATGCGGTCCCGAAGCCGGACAGCTTTGTGACGAGCGCGTCCAGTTCTTCGACCTAAGCAACGAGTAGAAGAAGGAAGATGAGCACTGGTATCGCTAACAAGGTCACACTCAATCATCACAAAAAAAATATCTCACCTTGTCGTGATCGCCGTTGAAGAGGGCGAGGAAAGAAGCTTGTGTACCGGTGGTACCCTTGACGCCTCGGAAGCCAATGTCGTCTCGTGCGCGTTGAATGTTCCTCAAGTCCCAAAGAAGCTCCTGTTTGAGCTCATGGGTATAAGTACAGGCTCAGAACCATATAAATGGATGCAATGCAACCGACCTGGATCCATAATGTGGCTCGCTTGCCGACGGTCGTCAACTGAGCGGGTTGGAAGTGAGTCCATCCGAGCGTGGCCGTGTTCTTCTGCTCCTCGGCGAACTTGCTGAGGCGCTGGATAACGACAGCGAGCTTGGGGAGAATGATGTCGCACGCGTCGCGGAGGAAGATGAGGTCGGCGTTGTCGGTGACGTAGCACGACGTTGCGCCGAGATGGATGATGGGGGCCGCGGTCGGGCAGTGGAGACCAAAGACATGGACGTGGGCCATGACGTCGTGGCGGCGCTTCTTCTCCTCCACGGCGGCTTCTTGCATCTGAGCCGCATCGAGGTCCTGGTGGTGGCAAACATACAAGAATCAGCCCTAGTTCCCCTCGCCTGAATGGGCCAGCCTCTCCTTTCAGGCCGGAGCTGTGAGCCCAGCTCTGGGACCAATCTGTCTCTTGCTGAGCTAGCTTGTGGCTGGAGTCGTCCGTACCAAGTGTGCCTTCATCTCCTCAATAGCCTTGTCGGGGATGTTGAGACCGAGCTGCTTCTCCGCCGTGGCGAGGGTGAGCCACAACTTGCGCCAGGTTCCGAAGCGGGTCTTTGCGAAGGCGAGAAGGACGGCGAGCGCAGATAGCGTGTCAGTGGGGGAAGCGTTCCGCGCAACAGCTGTACGGTTTGGACTCACGGACGCTGAGAACAGCTTGGCCATCTCCTTGGAGGCATATCGGCTCGAGAGACTGCTCGTTCGGGGCGAACAATCGAGGAGGAGTAAGTCGTGGAACAGGAGGGTTGATGGGCCAGAGACTCGATGATTGATGGGCGGGACAGATACCAAGCTCAGATGACACTCACGGAGTCTGGTACGTATCGAGTGCGGGATCAGACATGGTGAAGTGTGCGTGAGAAGTGCAAGTGGGGGCAGCAAAGACGAGCGGCGAGCTCTCGGACTCGGCGGCGGTTGCGCTTCTTGGTTGCGGAGATTTGCGAACGGACTTGCGGAATAAAGCGGAGCGCCGGTCGCCGGTAGTTCGCCACGAGTATGCGATGTGACCCATGTTCTATTATTGTCTTTGGACTCGATTTCCCATGAACACTATGTACAGTCGACTGGTAACTCGTTCGACTTTCAAAGTGTGTTTCAACGAAAATCCTGAGGAACCTAGTCCGGCGCATGCAGTGGTCGGGGATCTATATCGTCTCTCATGACCAATTGTTTCGGAATGCATCCTCTGTCGAGAGATATTCTGCCCGTGCGAGGTGAAGACCGCCTGCAGTGGGTAGACTTGGACCTTTCGCTCATCGTTGATTCGAACGCGGCGGTGACTCGGCTGCCAGTTTTGCACCGCTGAACCGAAAACCACCAATGGACGACTCGATCACAGTCCCATTGGTGATGTCCATCGGCAGAAGCGTCAACCTCAAAATTGTATTTTTGGAGTTGTGATGGGTGAAAAATTGCGCTGGAAAAGTGTTCAGGAAGCGAGATGATGATTGCAGTGTGAGATGAAGGAGTCGTCTCCTGTATGTCGGGGTCACGGCGCAGGAGTCCTACGTCCTGGAGTCACCGGGCTGAAATGCAGATGGTGAGTTAGGCACTTCCATCCCACGCTGGTACTCATATTGCACTCTCACCTCAGAAGAGGGTATGGCCTCTCTTTGCCTAATCTCAACGGGACGGAGAGGGAAGAAGGAGCGTCTGGCCAGGACGGGTTCGGAAGATGTGCTAGATGGGCCGTAGTTGCAACTCATGTGAGCTTCCCACTACTTGGAAGCTTGGAGGTGGGCGGGCTTCCAGGAAAACACGTTCAAAGCCAGGGGTGGAGGAGTTGGCTTGACATCTGGATCTCTTGGCAGCATAATTTGCTGTTGCTACATCAAACGCCTCAATTTCATCACCACTTCAATCCGACTTCCTGGTACTCGACCTTCAAAGCCAGGAGCAGGAGCTCGATGAGGGCAACACTTGGGTGTCCTTGTCCAATAATCGTCTTCAACACCGAGGTCGTGTGTTTCGATCTCCTGACATCGTCCCAATTTGCAACTGCGAACGCCAAAATCTTCTCCTTCATCTCCGTCGGCAGGCCAGTCCAATCCCTCGAGAGCTCAAAGATGACATTGTCCGGCGATAGATTGTCGTCCACCCAGGCCAATGTGAGCTCCACAAGTTCCAAGAGTTGCAGGTGGTGACCTAGCCTATAGACCGACAGAGCGGTCACGTCGCATTCGATCTCTCCAATTACCTGTGAGTCGGGTTCAGTTCCCTTCTGGGTGTCACCGAGAGGCGCAAACTTGACGAGACCCGTTCGAAGCCAAGTGAAGACAGCTTGATACACGCTCGACGAATATTCGGTGACTTCGACGAGATGCCTCGCTTGTTGGCACAACTGGTCGTCGCCTACCGTCTTCAATACTTTCTCGGCCAGCTCGGAATCAAAAAGGGTCTTGAAGTATTTGGACTTGGCTGCAAGGAAACTGGAGGATTCCCATACTTCGGTATCGTCGTCTTTGAACTTGAAACAGACATCGAACGGATGCGGGCTTGACCGAAGGACTGCATGCCAGAACGGAATATGAGGTCAGCTCGCTCCCCATCTTCAACACCAAGGGAAAAATAGATACCTACCTTGAAAGCTTCTGAGGACCGCGTTGGTGCCATCGCGAGCTAGTGGCGCTTCCGCCGAGTCTGAGGCTCGTTCCCTCCTCGCAGTCCTGGCTTCCCCTTGCATGACGGCGATCTTGTGTTTTGCTCCGATCACTGAAACCGCGGCTTGAATCATTTTGGATTGTTCGTTGTCGAGGTCCACCAATTTTGTTTCCAGCAATTCGCCCCCCAGTCCGCAACGTCGGAACATGAATATGAGCTTCCAGTAGCTCGACGTAGCGTCCGCTCCTTGCTCGAACTCCATGGAGAAACTCGCCGACTCAGCAGTCGTCGGGACAGTGGGATTGCGCTGGAACAGATTCAGTACTCCAGTCAAGTATCCCTGAAGGTCGAACATGCGCTTCTGGGTCAGTCTATATCACGAGACGTCCAGCCCCGAAGACCGCACCCACAGCACTATCGCTTCCAGCCGAAGACCAATCTGGCCGATAGTTGTTGAAGGTCCTCGCCAATTCGGGCCAAACTGTACTAAACATTGGACAATTCGAGTGTCTTCTGAGGAACGCAAGAGGACAAAAAGGGTCAGGGTCAGAGTCGCTGCGACGTGGGCGCTGCCCGCTAGCGGGGCCGTCACCTCCAACTTGGGCAAATGCGCCGTTAAGGGGTGGAAAGATAGGAGGCAATCGGGAAAGCGGGATATTTGCCTTGGAGGTTGGTGATGGATGTAACGATCATAATGTATAGTTTCCTACCCAAATTTTGGTGGACGATTCCCAGATCTCGAACTTGAAGCAGTCGTCGAAGGAATGCAAAGTAGAGCGCAAACCTGGATCAAAGGGCGAAGCAGTTAGTTCAGAACGGGACCTTAAGCACTTAGAAGGGAGACGAGCATATCCTCGAGGGTTTCGCCGATTCTGACGGAATCAGGGATATAGTGACCAAGTTGCGCATAATCCAGATGGCCGACAACTCTCTTGGTTAGGCTACTGGTATCGGGCCAATGTCTGTCAAGACATAAATAAGCCGAGAAACCGACGTTTTTGATTTCGAGACTCTTCCTCCATCCTCGCCGGCCCCGCCTGTTGCAACTAGTATCCATGCTACTACCGCTGAAGCTTCGCTCATGGAAGGGCACCGGTACTTCGGGCACATGGCAGCGTCGACCATTCTTCAACTCAACTCGTCAAATCCAAGGCTGTACCTGGGAATCACTTTAGTACTCGACGAGAAGATTAAAGTTGTGACTTGTGAGTCCTTCATTTTTGCGAAGGCGCGCGCGCATTCACACAAGTATATTAGTCGAAAACCCGACCACGTTCTTCAACGGATCGATTTAGAGCTCGGCCTATCTAACGGTTTCAAGGTTTCAAGGGACGTCATGACTACCTCGCTGTCGTCGACCAGCTTTCGATCATGAACTTTGTCAGCGGAGTTGAAGGTGTGGGCGACCCCTTCAACCATCCCATGCCGGTAATCATCTTGCACTCACACTTCAAAGAACTTTATATTGGTTCTGTCTTCTTCAGAGCGGAAAATCGGATAGGCAGAAAAAAGAGGTGTGCCGTCAAAATGGCAGAATCTGCTGAACCAGAGGTAACTTGCTGCAGTGCAAACGTGAGCGCTACGATGCGGAGCTTCCCGCCCTTTCAGGAGCAATACTAAGACTGGGAGCACTCGGGGTGGTCGGAGTTTCGGCGTCTAGAGCCAGACATTAGATTGTCGCAAAACTCCAGTGTTCTCGATGGAGGCGGTTTCAATGGAAGCGCTCTCGATGGAAGTACAAGCTTCCAGTAAGTCCAGTACTATCCGAATGCGTTCCGAAATGATAGATCACAGCCAACCGTTTGTTACGGAAGCCAAGAGGAAGCTGCTCGGGATGCGCGAAGTGTATTACAAGCTAAGAGAACAGAAGATGCAAGAGCAAACGACAAAGAACGACCCACCACATACAACAAAAAATCAAGCTATGATACGCGTTCCCTCCATCCCATCCCCATCATCAACAACAACAATCCGATAACCCTCAGCGATCAATTGAATTCCCACTTGAAGCAATCAACGCATTCACCGTCGTCCTCCCTGGTCGCATCAGGAACTCCCCGACCAAAATGCTGTCCATCATCCGGTTCCTCCGGTGGGATCTGATCGCACTCGTCCCGATCCTTATCATGGCTCTTCCCACCTCCACCAGGTAAAGGCCACCAACCCCACGACCAGACCGACTGGCGTCTCGCCCCTACACTCTCTTCCTTATCCCCCTTATCCCCATCCCTATTCTCACATGTCTCCTTCCTCTTCCTCTCCTCTTCCTCCTTCTTGCGTTGTTCCTCCGTCACTCCCCATTCGGGGATCAACACCTTCTCAATGACGGGTTTGATTGAGTGCGTGCGTATATCGACACTCCATCCCAATCGACCGACGGTGTCGTACACGATGCTTTCGCCCGTATGGCACCGCGATTCGAGGGCGAAACCGGCCACGCCACATGTCGAGAGTGAACCGGTGCATACACCCATCGGGATGGGATCGGCGGTATGGTAGACGTGTGTTGTGATCTCCTTCGTGGCGTCGGCGTTTCGTAGACCCGACTTGGGCGGAGGGATTGGCAGGTGTAGACGGCGAGCGGGCAAAAAGTCCCCCGGGGCCTCGAACGAGACCGAAGGGACTGCATAGGTCCTCGAGAGCATCGCCGCCAGTGATCCACCGAGAGAGTGTCCGGTCAGCCAGATTTGAGCGTGGGGATAGATCGCTGAAATGTTGTTGAAAAGATCCTGAGCACGTGAGGATGGAGCGGATCAGTGTCGGGGCATCCATCGAGGCAGACCACCGAAGAAAGTACTTACAGTGGCGACAGGGTAGTATGCACTCTTGGTCATGACGGCATGTTCAAGGCAGTCCTGTTTACAGGTGTAAGTGCCGTTGTAGCAATCGCACACCGTCGACCACGACCAATCGACGCGCGCGCAGCAGCACGAGAATAGGAGGTTGTCCTGCAAAGGTGGGGTAGTACCAGGACCTCGTCAGATCACGCCCTCAAGCGGCCAATGATAAGTTCCAAACACACGTTAATCTTGTCATTCTTGGACGTGCTCCCCCCTCCGCCGATGAAAGCCGCCGATGTCCCCTGCAGATCGTGAGTGCGAGAATCGAGTCAGTTGCGGCGATCTATGCGTTCCGAGCTCGATGTATGCGAGCGAATGGGCATACCTTGAGCGCGACAACGACGGTCGTGTTGGTTGGGTTCGCAAACACGTGTCCTCTCAAACCGTCCTCGAGCCATCCAAAAGAATCGGTCTGCCCGGAAAAATGCCTCGTCAGCCACTGGCTTGTGTTCGGATCGCCGAAGATTGAGCTTGGCGCCATGGATGGCGGCGGAGCGCTCAGCGCTCTCTCGGCTGCATCGTCCATACTCACGATATTCCACTTCTTGGTCAGATTCCACCAATTGGACGAATCAAAGGGCACATACGCATTATTCGCCATCTTGGCGAGCGACTGCAGCGTCCGTACGCTACTCGTGTTAGGCGCCTTGATCTCGACCTCGTCCCAACCGAATGTATCGGCCAACACCTGCGTCTCGTACTCCTCCTTCGTCGCTAGAACGGCCATCGCTCGTCTTCGCTTGGCGTTGTACTGCGCCCATCGAAAAGCTTCGAAAGCGGCCTGGGAATTGGCGCGCCAGGTGGTGGTCGTGAGCGCTTCGACGGGGTGCGTCGTTTCGATCCCGCCGAGACCGAGAGCCGTGAGATCCGCACCGTCGTAGTCGAGTCGCAGGACGGGGGCAGATCGGTTCCTGATCGAGATGTGCAGTGCTTGTCGGAGGGAGAACGAGTCCGAGTACGCAGGGTAGGGCTCATTATCGTGGGCGGGGGCGGGGGCGGGGGCGTGGGCGTGCGTTGATCGAACCGAGTCGTCATCGGCCGGCGGCGATGGGGGAGGAGTGCTCCAAGTCCATTGCCGCTGTGGGATGCACGTCACGGCCGTTGTGCATAAGATCGTCGCAAAAACGAGGACGAGTACTCGATCATGCAGCATCGTTGTAAGCTGGAGTGGTTGTGGTCGTTACACGTTCGCCAAAGTGGCGGGGATGCCGATGATAAGCCCCAGTGCTAGATGCTTCTGGGGTGGTGGCGAGACAAGCGAGGTCCTGCCTGCGCGACTGGTCGCCCTGGCCCGGTCCCGTGACTCGCTAAGTTGCTCGCTTGGCCACGGACCGGCTCGGAGTCGGAGAGCCCCGGCTGCCTCGGCCGTCTCGAGGCACGTGCGCTGCGCCGATCGCACCTCAGCTGACGCTTTAAAAGAGTTCGGAGGCATCACACAAAAGAGTTACAATATCGAAACCCCAATGTGGGAAAAAAGATACACAACAAGAAGCCCTAACTCAATAGCCATTCGTTCACTCCTCCATCGCCGTTCCCTGAGACTGCACCGCCGGTTCTCCAGACGATTCAGCCGCAGGGGCCCTTTTCGCATGTTTGGCCTCCAACCATCGTTCGAACCTGGCCACCCTTCGTTTCTGCAGTGACAGAGTCCCCTCATCGACCGTTTCTGACGTCGAACCCTCCGCGACCTGTCCCTCCACCGCATCTCCATTTGTCTCGCCCGTCCCATTCGGTGTAGCAGCAGCGACAGCAGGCGGCGGTGTCGGCGTCCTCGTAACAGGTCTCTTGCGGTAAAGATAATCCTCCGTCCCGGCAACGAATTTGAGTTGGTAGTTGCCCGCAACGATTTTGGCCTCCAGCCCGGGCAAGAGGTCGAATTCTTGTGGATCCTCGGAAGCCGAGAGCATGCGGTTGCGTTTCAACAAGGGGGCCTTGACTTTGGCGCCAACCCCTTCGGTCGCAGAGGTGAGGGGGTACGAAGCGATCCAGGAACGGTGCAGTTGGTATTCGAGCGGGTCGTCCGAATCGTCCAGGGTCAGGTCTTCGCGACCGAGCAACTGGATCGTCAGCGCTTGCGACTCCGGGATCTGAGCGGCATGGGCAACGTATGGTTCAGCTACGAGCATCTCGGAGCAACCTTTTTTTCTTGCCTGCACTCACCCATTCTATCCGGTACAAGTTGTCATCACTACCAATGATGGCCTCGGCCTCATTTCTGTACGCAATCATCTGTCTCGCAGTCGAGTACGACCCAGCGCGATCCTTCTCGAGCAAAGCTGTCAGATCCTGTGACTTGGCATCGCTGTTCGCGACGTGGACATGCTTGATTACACCGCCGATGAGCTTGTCGAGCGTATAAAGAGGGTAAGCCTTGATGCTCGCCATGAACCTCAGCTGTTCTTCGTACGTCTGCTGATCGATATCGCCTTCGAAGAGCTTCTCAGCGAGGTCGAGGAGGTGGTCGTAGTAGTGTTCCGCAGGGTTGGGCCCTTCGTCGATGATGGGCATCGGATGGGCGAGACCTAGATCGACGGCGAGAGGGTTCAATCGGAAGGCCTGCTCCTTCTTGCTCAGCTCGTTCGCCAGCTGCTTGAACGCCAACAGGCGGTGGTAGACGGTCTGGTACGATCAAATGAGGTGGCGAAGTCAGCCCCAAGTACAGCGTATTATTCAGCTGCGAACCACAGGAGAACTCACATGAAGCATACGAATCAGACAATAGAAGCACGCATTGGCGAAGAAATTGTACCTCCTCGGCGAAGAAGGTGCCTCGGCCTCTGCATCCGCCTCCGATTCACTCGAAAGCTGAATCCATTTCTGTTCCCCCAACGTCCCAGGAGGCAGCGAACCCAATAAATCATCGAACCCATTCGGCGAACCAGGTCGCGAGCCGGCCTTTTGCCGCGAAGAGCTCGCGACATGTTTGAGTAGCCTTTTGCGAAGATCGGCCGCTCCACCTTTCTTGTTGACGCCGTTGCGCTTGTTCAAAGATGAACCTGACGAGGCATCCTTGTCGTTCTCGCCATCGGCTTCAGACTCGATATCGTCGTCGTCCCCAGGCGCGTCCTGGCTCTCGTCCTGAGGTGCGAGATTCGCGTCCATCTCGGCTTGAGGAATGTCGAACAAGAGCGGGATGAAGAGTCGCACAAATGCTTCGAGACGAGCTCGTTCGGGCACGCTGTAACCACTCTGTTCTCGATCGAGGTACGAAAACGTCAATTTGATGACGTCAAAGAGCACATCCCTATCCGTCATCCCAAAGACGAATTGGTGCAAAGGCCTCAGCACGACGTCGCTATCGAGATCGGTCCTCTTTTGAGTTCGGTCCCTTCGGAGTGCTTCGACCTCGTTCGTCAACGCTTTCGAAGTCATCGTCGCCTTCTTGTCCAGAGCCTTGAACAAAATACCCTGGTGATCCAAAGCTCGATAGTAATTTTTGAGGTCGACCTCCCTCCAAACGCGGTTCCACTCCCTTTCTGCCCGCTTCCATTCCTCGTCCTTTTGCTTCAACCGAGCCAACACCAACGGCACGGTCTGTGCAGGGTTCTCGCACAACGAATGCACAATCTCATGCCAATGCTCCTTACCCCAAATTTTGCGGATGATGCGTTCATACACACTCGGAGCCGTTCCTCCCAATCCATCAAGTCGGAAAGCATTCCGTTCCTCCGAGGTCATGCGCGCGATCCTCGCGGCGATAGGTTCGAAATGAGCGATCGTGCGCAGGTTCGACTCGATATGCCACGAGTACCAATGACGTTCCTGTTCAGCGTAGTACATCGTTTCCTCGTAAGGGTTCTTGCGATGCGCGTTCGAGCCTTCGGATTGCGACGTCGCCCAAGCGACCCATTCATCGTTCAGCACGGACCATTCGAGCGGGCCTCGTGCGGAGCAGGCGAGGTCGATCTCGGATTCGGGTAAGCGACGGTACGAAGGGCCGTACTCGATCGTCTCCCTCAGGTCAACAGGAGGACGCTTCCATGCCGGCTCGTTGTCAATGATCCAATCCTCGCCTTCGATTCGACCATCACTAACGGGGTTCCAGCCGCAGAGCTCCTTGAACTGGGCGAACAACTCGTCACTGGTCCCGATGAAAATGAGCGCCTTCTCGAGCAAGGTCTTGGTGTCGATTATCTCTTGCGTGAACAGGTTCAACAGCTTGAGGAAATCGGTGTAGGACGTGCGGTCATCGATGTGCTTCTTGACGCGGTCAAAGAAAGAAAACTCGTCGGCTTGGACGAGTTGTGGCGTACGATGGCCGGCGAGGTAAGCTTCGTAGGCCGAACGCGATCGAACCGCACCGGGGAAGTTCGCCGGGGGTGCACCATAAGGTTGAGGGTGGTACATGGGTGGACCTTGCAGAGGCTCACCGACGGGTGGTCCGGCCTGACTCTGACTCGTCATCGCGGATGTTCGCTCGATTCGATCGACCTTGGGAGGAGGAGCCTCAGTAACAGGTGGCGAATCGACATGATGCGTTTTCGTACGCTTGACTTTGGTCTTTTCTCCCGAACCACCGGCGGCCGCACGCTTCTTCTTCTCCTCGGCAAAAGCCCCCTTCTTCGATCCAAGTCCGGATCGACCGTCCTCGCGCGACGAGCCGGCATCTGCTGATCGCTGCTGTGACCCGTCTTTGCTCTTTTTGGAAGTGGGTTGCGCCACAGGTGGAGGGGCAGGTCCTCCAGGTGCGACTGCAGCGTTGCCGGCTTCGCTCGTGTCGGGGAGGAATGCCTTGAACTCGTCCAAGAGGTCCGGAGCGGTGTGGAACAAGGCCGTGACTTGGGTGTACACCTGTTGAAGACATGGGGTACTGTCAGCTTCCGCACACCGTAGCCAGATATGAATCATATCCCACCTCTTGAATCGGCTTCATCTCCTTTTGGTACGTCTGCAAAATCTCCAAGAACGTCTTATACGTATCGGGATCTTTGGTAAATCGGTTCTTGATCTTGTTGACGTAGTTGATGGCATGGTTGAACTCGAGTTGCGGTTGGGCACCCGCTCCTGGTACCACAGTAGGTGCTTGAGCCGCTAGTGCCGGTTGAGCAGGGGGTCCAGCGGAGGGCGGGGGAGGTTGAGCCGAGCTCATCGCCGAGTCGCCATTCGCATCGACAGCTTTGCCCTTGGGATCGTCGTCGTCTCGCTTCGATTGACGTCCCGATGGAGCGTTCTGGGCAGGCCGGACGGATTTGGGAGCAGTCGGAGGGGGCTGCTGCTGCTGTTGCGCCTGCCACGAGCCGCTGCTCCCGGCCTGAGCATTTGCAGACTTGCCGCCATTGAAGGGAGGAATCGGGGCCGGGGGCGAGATGATGCGTGAGGTTGGATTACCCGGGTTGAGCGTCGAAGTCGAGGCCGAGGGCTTGTTGGAGGTCGCCATCGACGTGGACGCTGCCGAGGGTGCGGCCAGTGCCGCGGCGGATACGTGTGAAGTCGGTTCGATCGCGGAGGCGAGCTTGCCGACGGTCAAGGGTGAAGCCGATCCATTGCCTTGGGGGGTCGCTGCCCCACCGGCATTGACGAACTCGCGAGCCTCGATACCAGCAACGTCCTGGGTCCTGGTGGTGGTACCCTGGGGTGTGGTGACGGTGATGGTGTTGCTCGCTGCGCCGGCGTCGTTGCCGGCGCCCGAGACGATGCACTCGATGCGATAGCCGGGGGGAAGGAAGGTGTTGAAGCCCTGGATGAGCGAGGGGTGGCCGCGGAAGAGAGTGGATACGCGGTCTATGACGCCCGGTGTGTCGATCGCCTGGGTCTTGAACTCCTTCATGATGGTGAGGAATTGGTCGTAGACGGTGTACTCGGCCGAGAACTGCTGCTTGACGCGGTCGAGGTAGGCCAGCGCATCTCGGACACTGTGCAGCTCGGGGGACGGAGGGGGTCAGTGCTCATGTGGCACCATGAGGTGGAGCCCTGGAAGCGTGCTGTACTGACTTGAGCGGCCTAAAGGCGGTGGAGTTGGGAGCGGCAGCCGCGTTGGGCGTGGCCGTGGCCGCTCCACTCGAGGTCGAGTTGGGTGCGACGGGCGAGCCCTGGCGGGATGGGTTCGCCGATGACAGGGCCGAGGTGCGGGCGCCGACGGGACGAGCGATAGCTGGAGATGGGTGCGTTGATGGACGAGCATGGGCTGGTGTAGGTGCTGGTGCCGTGTTCGAGCTCGAGGTCGAGGCGCTGGCATGCGCTGACATGCGGCCCACAGGCGCAGGAGCACTCCCCGCCTGTTTAGGTGCTGGTGCAGGTGCAGATGGCCTGACAGGAGGTTGGGGGGTCGAGCGCAAAGTAGCAGTCGGTGGTGCTGGTGCTAGTATGGGTGCAGATGTCACTGCACCTCTTGATGTGCCGACGGCAGCAGAAGGGGCGGCGGCAGGAGCAGCGGCAGGAGCAGCGGCAGGAGCAGCGCTAGTCGAAGTCGAGCTTGTCGAACTGGAGTTGGGTGCGGGTGCGGGGGCGAGGGCAGATGCGAGTGCAGAGGCCGGTGCAGCCGAGATGGGTGCAGCTGCAGCCGATGATGCCGATGATGCCGATGATGCCGATGATGGGGGTGGCTGGGCAGCTGCAGCATTCAGCGGTGGTGCCGACATGGCGCGGGAAGGTGGTGCGGTCAAAGGATGGCGCCGCTGAATCCAACTCTCGACCACACACAGCCGATCGAGCACCATTTACTCCCAGTTAGCTCCAGTTAGAGTCCAGTTAGTTCGAGCCACAAGTCGCGCCTTGAGCCGTGAAGCTTGAAGCGCGTGCGCGCGCGTGCCCGTCCGTCTGAGCCGGGGCTGAGAGCGCTGAGACTGGGGCTGCGTGCTCTGCAGCCTGCAGCAGTGGCTGATTGCTGATTGCGCGCGGTGTGTCCAGCCCAAGCCCACGTCAGCCCGAGCGGGAGCGAGCGGGAGCGAGCGGGTCGATGTGAGTCGAATCGACCGGCGGATCGACAGAAGTGTTCGTTTCCTTTGTCACGCTTTTCCCCCCACACCACCGACGACCCCAATTCCTCTCGGCCCATCATGGTCAGTACCGCAGCAGATCAGGTCAAGGCGTGTTATCGTTATTCATCATCACGCCCTTGCTTCTCCTTGCAGGCACCTACGCGCAAGGCCAAGGCCAGAACAGGCGGCGGCGCGCCAGCGTCATCGAGCGCAGCCGGCGCCAAACGAGCCAAGGCCGGGGGAGGCACAGGAATCGCAAAGGTGGGCAGAGCGGGCAGAGCGGGCAGAGCGGTACGAGATGGAACGACTAGTAGATCTGATGCGATCACCTCACTTCCGTCCAGGCCGATTGGAAGGAAGGCTTCAAGAAGAAGCAGGCCGGCGTGAGCGACATGACGCTCCTGTCGACCATCTCCAACGATGCCATCAACGACAACCTCAAAAAGAGGTCAGCACACCGCTTCTCTTCTCTATCCGACCCTATTACTGCGTACTGAACCCTTTCTCCTGGTCCGTCATCAGGTTTGAGAATGCAGAAATCTACGCAAGTTCCCCCTTCCCCCACCCCACGTCAGACCACGCCGTGGTGTGCTGACCCCACACACCGTACTCTTCTCTTCCACAGACCTACATCGGACACGTTTTGATTTCGGTCAACCCCTTTCGCATGCTTCCCATCTACACCGACGAGGTGCTGCACTCGTACCGAGGCAAGAACCGTCTCGAGATGGCCCCCCACGTCTACGCGATCGCCGAGTCGGCCTACTACCACATGATCTCCTACAAGGAGAACCAGTGCGTCATCATCTCGGGTGAATCTGGTGCGGGCAAGACCGAAGCCGCCAAGAGGATCATGCAGTATATCGCTGCCGTTGCGGGCGGTCAGGGCATCGACGGCGTCAAGGAGATGGTCCTCGCGACGAACCCTCTCTTGGAGTCGTTCGGTTGTGCAAAGACGTTGAGGAACAACAATTCGAGTCGACATGTGAGTGCGGATAGGCTTCTTGGCTCGAATACTTTGAACTGTGGTGCTGACATGCTGATGCGACGCTCCTAGGGCAAATACCTCGAAATCGAGTTTGACGATCATGGGGGACCTGTCGGAGCCGTCATCACCAACTATCTGCTCGAAAAGGTGAGTCTGATGGAACTTTTGTACATTCGATTCAGAGCTGATACGGTTCCGACCCTCTCTCCCCACAGAATCGAGTCACGGGTCAAATCAACTCGGAGCGAAACTTCCACATCTTCTACCAGCTCACCAAGGGTGCCTCGGCAGCGCAACGTGATGCGTATGGTCTCCAAGGGCCCCAGGCCTACGCCTACACCTCGAAATCGAAGTGTCTCGAGGTCCCCGGGATCGACGACGTGCAGGACTGGGCCGACACGCTCAAGGCGATGGACGTCATCGGCATCTCCAAGCAGGAGCAGGATGACATGTTGCGACAGCTCGCGGCCGTCTTGTGGATCGGGAACGTGCAATTCGGCATCGCCGACGATGGCAATGCATTCGTACAAGACCAGACCGTGACCGAGTTCGTGGCTTACCTTTTGGAGGTCGACGCCACGCTCGTCAACAAGGCCTTGACGAGTCGTGTGATGGAGACCCAGCGCGGTGGTCGGCGAGGATCGGTCTACGAGGTACCTCTCAACCCGGCCCAAGCTTCGTCGGTGCGCGATGCGTTGGCGAAAGCGATCTACAACAACCTGTTCGACTGGATCGTTGAGCGCGTTAACAAGTCGATGAAAGCCAAGGCTCCGACCTCGCACATCATTGGTGTGCTTGACATATACGGCTTTGAAATCTTTGACACGAACCAGTTTGAACAATTGTGCATCAACTACGTCAACGAGAAGTTGCAGCAGATCTTCATCCAGTTGACGCTCAAGACCGAGCAGGAGGAGTACGTGCGCGAGCAGATCAAGTGGACCCCGATCGACTACTTCAACAACAAGGTCGTGTGCGATCTCATCGAGGAGAAACGACCGCCTGGGGTCTTTGCTGCCCTCAACGATGCTTGTGCCACGGCCCATGCGGACCCGACCGCCGCTGATGGCTCGTTCGTGCAGCGTCTCGGAGGTGTCTCGAGCCCGCAGTTTGAGTCGCGTGGATCCAAATTTCTCGTTCGTCACTACGCCGGAGATGTCATGTACACCGTCGCGGGCATGACGGACAAGAACAAGGATGTCCTCCTCAAAGACCTGCTCGACTTGATCGCCTCGTCCAAGAACCGCTTTTTGCAAGGCCTCTTCCCCGATCGACCCGACCCGGACTCCAAGAAACGACCACCGACGGCCTCGGACAAGATCAAGGCCTCGGCGAACGCGCTCGTCGAAAAGCTCATGCGTTCGCAACCTTCGTACATCCGTACGATCAAACCCAACCAAAACAAGAGCCCGACCGAATACGACTCCAAGGCGATCTTGCATCAGATCAAGTACCTCGGCTTGCAAGAGAACATTCGCGTGCGACGAGCCGGATTCGCATACCGCAACTCGTTCGAGAAGATGGTTGAGAGGTTTTACCTCCTCTCTCCCGCGACGTCGTATGCGGGCGATTACATTTGGCAAGGCGATTCGAGATCGGGTTGTGAGCGCATCCTCCGGGATACGGGCATCGCCAAGGAGGAATGGCAAATGGGTACGACCAAGGCCTTCATCAAGAACCCAGAAACGCTCTTTGCGCTCGAACACATGCGCGATAGGTATTGGCACAACATGGCCTCGCGCATCCAACGAGCATGGCGTGGGTATCTGCGCTACAGGGACGCGTGCGCGCGCAAGATCCAACGCTTCTGGATGAGTAAGAAGGAAGGGATCGCCCTCGCAGCTTTGCGAGACTATGGTCACCAAGTCTTGGGAGGCCGAAAGGAACGTCGTCGATATTCGTTGCTCAGTATGCGTCGCTTCCAGGGTGACTATCTCGGCGTGGGCCAGGCCGGCCCTCAGGGCCAATCGCTGCGAAGCTCGGCTGGTATCGGATCGGGAGAGGCCGTCGTCTTCTCAGCTCGTGCTCAATTGCTCGTGTCGAAGCTGGGTCGATCGTCCAAACCTAGCCCTCGCTACTTGATCCTCTCGGACAAGGCCGTCTACGTCCTTATCACCCAAGTCGTCAACGGACGAGCCTCGACCACCCTGGAGCGCAAGATCCCTCTCATCACGATCCGTAGCATCGGATTCTCCCAACTACGCGATGATTGGTTCGCCATCAACGCTGGAATCTCCGAGGAAGGTGATCCCTTGCTTCACTGCTACTTCAAGACCGAGTTTGTGACGCACTTGATGCAACGCACCAATGCCGCCGTTCAAGTCTTGATCGGACCTACAATCGCCTACGCCAAGAAGAAGGATAAGCAGGCGCAGATTACGTTTAAGAAGGACGAGAGCATCCGCAAGGACGACGTTTACAAGTCGTCCTCCGTGAGCGTTCCGAGTGGGGAACCTGCTTCGAGCCAATCGAGACCACCAGTTCCGAGGAAAGCTCGGGCTCCTCGAGCGGCCACAAACAACAGGGCACCCCGGGCACCTGCAGCAGCTGTGAGTGCAAGCATATCGGGAACACCTCGAGCGAGGCAACTGACCAGCTGCCTGTGTCTACAGAAACCCATGGGTCGAGCAACACCGCAGGCCCGAACTCTGCCCTCGGGCGGGTCTTCTTCCATCCCAGCTGCTCCCGCCGTTCGGGCCCAAGCTCCCGCCGCACCTTCCGCGGGTCGGGCAGCACCACCTCCTCCTTCAAGGAGTGCTGCGCCCCCACCACCTCCTGCGGCACCCGAAAAGGAACAATGGAAAGCGTGAGTCCGGCTGTGATGGCCTGGTCGCTATTTCGCTTGGTCCTAACATCTAGTACCGATTCATGCCTGTTTAGCCTCCACAACTTTGAGACGAACCAACCTGGCGAGATGGCATTGAAGAAGGACGACGTGCTCGATGTGGTAACAAAGGATGATGGTGGTTGGTGGCTCGTCAAAAAAGCGGGCCAAGAAGGTTGGGCACCCTCAAACGTGAGTGGGCTTGCCAGCCGCGCTAGGTGTTCTAGCTTCGAACTTACACGACAATACACGATTCACAGTATCTTCAATTCATCCCACCCAAACCCCGAGCTGCTCCGGCGGCCCCAGCTGCTCCTTCCCGACGTGCTCCCCCCATCGCCCCAGCAGCAGCTCCTTCAGCCCCAGTACCTCAATCCGCAGCAGGTCGAGCGCCGGCAGCTCCTCGAGCTCCGATGGCTCACTCCGTTGCCGCCGACCCGAACGCGGCCCCGGTCTCCGTGTTCGGGTCGGGTGGCCCAGGTGGACTTGCGGCAATTTTGGCGGCGAAGCGAGCAGCTGCCGAGAATGGCGGTTTGAGCAGTCACGACTCGCCTGCGAGCTCGACTGGCAACTCTCCGGCCAACTCGAGACCTGGCTCTGGCCTTGGTGGGTTGAAGTGCCTCCTCTGCTGCTTACAATCTACCAGAGTACTCACGAGGCTTTTGGTATATTACAGGAAAGCCCATGGCGCCACCCAAGCCGGGTCCCAAGCCATCACTCGCACCTAAGCCTCCTGTCAAGCCCGCACTAAACGGCGCCGGAGCTCGAGGCGTCCCTCCCCCACCTGCTCGACCTCAAGCCCCTGCCGCTCCTGGTAGACCTCCCGCACCTACGGCACCCGCTCTTCCTGCGGCTCCTACGCTACCTGGTCGAGCTCCTGCGCCTCTTCCGAGTGCCCCCTCGCTGCCAGGTCGAGCACCAGCTCTTCCTGGACGACCGGCGATTCCCGCCGTGCCTGTTCGAGCCGCCGCCGCCCCTGCTGCGCCTGCTCGACCTTCTGGAGATGGAGGTGGAGGTCCGCTGGGTGGTGGAGAAGCTCGACCGCCCGGGGCGATGGATCTGCAAGCCGCTTTAAGGGCACGTGGGATGGGTGATCGATTGTAAGACATGCAGCGTGGACGGTTATACGATAAAGGTCCAGGTGAAAAATAGGAACCGATGGGTATGTGATAGTAGGTAGTTATTGCGCTCTCTTTTTGCTCTCTTTCTCGGACCCATTTCTTTGACGATTTCCCTATTGAAAACTGAAACGAATAGATCGTCTGGGGCGTGTGTTTTGTTGCTTATCTCAGTGATGCTGGCCGATGACGAAGTTTTTCGAGTTTTACGGGTGCATCCAAACTCCGAACCGAGAGTCGCTGCGGCGCGTTTGGCTTGCGCTCTGGCCTCACACTCGCTCAGCTCACCCAGCCTCGTTTGGCGACCTCTCTACGTCCCCCGCGCCCTAGACTTGCGCTCGACAAGGATCCAGCAAGACTTGAAGTAGTAGGCACCACTCCCTCACCGTTCTTATAACCCCTCCCACCCTCAACATGGCCAAGAATGCCGTCGACGCGCACCGCAAGGCGTTGAAGAAGAAGGAGCTCAAGCGCAACAAGGACGATCGCAAGAAGGTCAGGGAGATTTCGACCGTCAAGAAGGATACACGGAGTAAGTGACCGACCTTTAGGTTCGAGCACTGGCGGTTGGCTGTCGTAGTTCGTGGAGGTCGGCGAGAAGGAGAGGCTTTGTGGGGGGTCGGGGACGTGACTTGGGGAGACGGGAGTTTGGTTGATTGGACCTGCAGAGTTCAGGAGGGAAGAGTGCTGACATTCAGGTTGACGTTGATCCAAAGCGCTCGAATCGGATATCAAGAGGCTAGCATCGAAGAGGGATCTCACGGCGAACGACAAAGAGCAGCTCGCCTCACTACGATCCGAGCTCGAGAGGATCAACAAGGCCAAAGCGACGTGTACGTCATTCAGGTCCGAGGCGATCACTTTCGTTCATGATATGGATGCTTATTTTCTGACCGCTCTATCTCGAAACAGATGTAGAAGCCCATCCCGAACACCGCAAGTTCGTCTACCCCGAACGGCCCGAAGGTGCGAACGGACCCGGCGGCGCTGGACCTTCCCGAGATCCACCTGGACTGTACACCAAAGACGGGAAATTGAAGCATCCGGAAAGGAGTATCTACTATGATCCCATCTTCAACCCTTTTGGTGCCCCACCGCCTGGCATGCCTTATCGCGAACGACGTGAGTCTTCTGTGACTGAGAAAGTTCGCCGAGTTTTGGGCTGCTCTCAATCTGGCCAGTCGCGGACTTGTCTTCTCTTTGCTTTGATAGCACCGACAGCGGAAGAGATGTCTGCTTTCATGCCCGCCCCCATGCCAGGTGTGTTCGACTCTGTGCACCGGTCGCAAAAGAGATTGCTGAACCGAGCAATGTCCCTCGTCTGGTAGCACGTCCCGCCGCCGAAAGTGAAGAAGATGACGACGAGGATGACAGCGACGAAGATGACGAGGACGAAGATGAAGACGATGGTATTGTCATGCCCGAAGGTCCACCCCCTGGGAGCGATGATTCGGACGATGATTCCGATGACTCTCTCGGTGATATTCCCATGCCGCCGGGACCTCCACCGCCGAAAGCGATGACTGGACCGAACGGACAGCAGAGTGCGTATACGTCTTTTGGCCGGTATGTTATCTGCGTTACTAATGGCGTGGCCAATGTTTTCTTTGCTTTCTCTGCTTTAGACGTTTCCCGCCCGGCCATTCAGAGGCCTAGTCAAGGGCCTCGACCACCACCCTATCCTCAACACCGCGGCCCTCAGCCCAATTTCAACCCGCATCAGCAGTACCCTCCTCGACCCCCTCCTAACTTCAGACCCCCACATTTACACCCCAATGGACCACCGCGGCAGCCTCATCACCTCCCCGCCCGACCACCACCCCCATCGCAACTTGATCCCATCACGGGGGAAATGTCGACAAACTATCAAGCGCACCAACATGCTCGACGGAATGAAGCCCAAGCCAATGCCAGTTCTATTCCACCACCACCAACAGGTAATCCGCCTCCGCCGCCGCCACCCCCTCCCTCTGCATCGGTTTCTTCGTCTGCAACAGTGACGGGTTTGCCGACCCCCTTCGCCGTGATCGGAGCCAGTGCCCCTGCAGCCACTATCTCCGCCGCTCCACAGTTACGAGATCTCAAAAAGGAAGCAACGGCATTCATGCCTTCCCATCTACGAAAGAAGAAAGCCACGACTGCTTCAGCTTCGACAGCCGCTTCAGCAGGTTTGGGCTCGATCGATGCGGCGCGTGGATCGGGGGAAGGCGGGAATCCGATCCCTGAACGAGCGAGCTTATTGGGTGCTTTGAAGGATGCGGGTATTAGTGGTCAGAAACCGATGGGCGGGGCGCAGACCAAGGCTGAAAGGGCGAAGGAGGATTACGCGAGGTTCGAGGCGGAGATGGCAGAGTTCTTGTAGAGCTTCGATCATTGTCATTCAGAACGCGTCTCTCCGGAAAGTTCGTGAATTGTTCGAATAGTGTGAGCGACTATATATTACTGCACCACAAGACATCGTTATTGGACTAAGGAAGCACTACTCGTTGATTTGGGGGTCGTTACATGTCGTTACGTCCAAAGGGATAGAGAGGGGCTCCAGGCCGTGGTTCTATACAGCATACGCATCGCTGTTGCTGGTATGGGAGTCATCACTCAAAGCGTACTTCAACGAGCTCCCAACTGAAGGTTGGTAAGGCCGAGGAACGGGAGGCAAGTCGAAAAGTCGTGCGTTCGGATCAACCGAGCGAGGTTCGACTAGTGTGGAAGAGGAGTTGGTGTTGCGCAGCATCAGGAGAGGGTGAGGATTGGGAGAGGCAACTCGTTGAGATTGGATCATGGAAGGCGCCGAGGCGGATCGGTATGAAGGAGGTGTGGTCGACGATCGGTTGGCCGAACGGATACCATCGTTGTTAGTAGCGACGGGGGGAAGAATGAGGCTGTTGGACGAGCGACGCGCTTGTTCTTGAAGTTCGCGGGTGGAAAGTTGCAGCGTCGTTTCGGGGCGGGCGGGCTCGGCATAACAGCTTGCGCGTCGAGGTTGGGCATACAAGGCACAAGGGGGCTTGGCGGCCGAAGGTGGCAAAGTGTCCCATCCCAAGTAAGCGGCCTTGCTCTCTGATCGAACTTGGAGAGAACCGAAGGGTTGCTTGTCCTCGTCAAAGTGCTTCTCATCCTCGTATGAGTCGAGGATCTCCGACCCCGTGCTCGAGATGTGACTTTTGACGGTGTCGGAGCGATGAAGGTTGGTGGACGAGGCGGCGTAATAGGTGAATTGCGAACAGTTGGAGTGCGTATCCGAATCGCCACGTTCATCCATCTCCTCGAGACGGCCCTTATAGCATCGGCGCTTGATCAAGTAGAATGAACCGATGATGACAAGCAGAGCTGATGTATCAGAGTGAAAACGCTAAGTCGGTCGGTGGATCAAACGTGCAAGGTAGGGATGAAGTAGACGTACCGACTGAAACGATGGCGAGGATGACCCAGGGGAACGCTTTGGACGACGAGTTTAAAAAACCGTTCGCGTCCGAGAACACGCCTGCCGACGAAGGTCGGGCCGAGGCTGAGGCCGCGCGAGCATTGGTTGTTGTGACCGTCGTACGGCCTCTTACGTCACTTGATGAAGAAGTAATGAACCCCGAGGAAGCTCGAATGTTGGCGGTGGTACGAACCGCCGCCACGACGGCGGCGGCAGAGGTCGTCGTGCGCAGTGCCTCACGCGCAGGAGTCGTTGTAGCCACTCGAGCCGCAGTTGTAGTAGTCCGAGCACGAGTTGTGGCTTCTGCCCTAACTCGTTCAGTGGTTTCCACTACTCGGCCTCGGACAGAGCTTGTTCGACGAGTTGTGGCATCGTCGTCCCCTGGGCCGCGAACGGCGAGTCGGTGTCCGGCGGTCGAATCGCGCGGTGAAAGGGGCGCAGGCGCTGCGCCGACCAGCAGCGACGAGGCGAATGAGGCGCACAGCACCGAAAGAAGCAGAGGTCCACGCATGTTGATGAAGTCGTGGGGGTGGTTGAGAGAGAGATTTTAGAGGGGAAGAGGATCAGCCGACTGGGAGATGAATTGACTGAAAGGATGGCAAGAGCAGACTGGTCAGTCTACCACGCTTGCACAAGTTGACATCGCGACTCGGAGGCGGCGTCGGCTGCCGGTGACATGGTGACACTTACGGTGACTTGTGGGGCAGTTCGGCTAGCGACTCGATCTTGTGAGATGAGTAAGTCGTTGAAGCACAAGTTCCCGCCGGTGAGGAGGGTGAATGGGTCTTAGGGACGGCGAGGCGGATGAAAGGAAGACAAGAGGAGCGGACTCTGTACATGGTGTGGTCATCTCGGTCGAGCGAAGCTACAAGGAATACTGCGAAGGGAGGACCATCACCGAGACCGCTCGGCGAAGGTGAGTGGGCTGGGCGACGCGCGCCCAAAGATGGAGGGGTGGCGGGCCACTTGGCCAGCCTTCCTCCCGTGCGGCGTGCGCGCCCGACACCCCTCCCGAAACCTGACGCTTCACCTTCAACTCGGCGTGCAATGCGGTGCAACATATTTCTTGACCGGAAAATGAAGCATCACACAATAGCCTTTGCATCAAGACCCGGTGGGGAAATATGGGACTTTGCCGTCTCTGAGAGTCATCTTACGCGCACGGAATTTTCGTCGCGAATCGTTTGTAGGCGAGAAATGGAGCACGTGACCCAGACGAGGGCCCCGGGCCCCGGGTCCGGGTAAGCTGGAAACCTGCGTTCTCGCACCCCCATACCTGCGGCCCGCTCGGTGCAGGTTGCCCGCAAGTCGCAGCGAGAGAGAGAGCGAAAGGCTGCGAGAGGCGAGGCGCGCCGATGTTGACGCGTCGCGCTCTCACCCTTGTGAGCCACTTCCCACTTGCTCGGTCATGAGCGCCGCCCAATCGTCGTCGGATGATTCGTCGGGTGATGCAGATCTCATCAGGCCCAGTCGCCCGGCTGCTTTGCCTGGTCCAGCCCAGGCATCAAAAAAGGGCACCGCCAAGCGGAAGGCTGACCCGTCCAACGCCGCTAATGCGAAGTCGAAGGACCCCAAATGGGATTGGACCGATGCGGAAGTGATTGCGATGTTGGAAGTCCTCAAGGACACTTATGAATCAACCGGTACGCAGTCTTTCCCGGACTCGGTCTTCATCAGAGCCAGTGAGGCGGTCAGCCGCTTGGATCCCTCCAAGGCGGGCAACTCCAAGAAGGTCCATCAAAAGTGGAAATCGGTGAGTCGGGTATGACGCGTCGTTTCGTGTCGCTCAATCTGGGTCTCGCACTTCTAACAACACCGGCCCTGGAATAAATGCCCAGTGCTTGGTCGACACCAAGCTTATCAACGATATCAGGACCGCTACTGGCATCGGATGGGACGAGGAAAATTGTCGCCCAATCTTAAACGCGGAGCAATGGAAGACGGTGAGCGCGTCGCTTACTCATCCTCCGATCGAACCAGGCAATCGCCAAATGCGCCAGAGCGGCGATCATCGCGAAACGTCCATCCAATTTCTACTACCCTCTGACGTCAGCGATCCTGGGGAAGGACTACGCCACAGGTAGTGACGGATTCAGCTATGGGGACAACGCGTCGACGACGACGCGAACCCCGGCGCCCCATCCCGGCCGTCGCCGCCAAAGCTCGGAAGCTGGAACCCTCGAGCTTTCAGAAGAGGATGCTTCGGAGAGTGCGGGTGAATTTGATGAAGATTCGACCCTCGCGCGGCGTGTGCAACGGTAGGTCTTTGCTTGCTTGCCAGAAACCATCGGCTCGTCGACCGCGTGCTGACGCTCGAATAATCTCCAACACCGCATTGACAGCCCTTGCCAGCTTTACGAGCGAAGTCTGTAAGTAAATGCGTAGACGCGAGCTACCGCCGATATGGTCATTCTGGCCTTTCCTTGACTTGTTTTGCCGTGTTCCTTTCCCAGTCCACCCCCGCCACCAAGAAACCGCGGCTCTCTCGCGACCGTGCCTCTGTGCAACAGCGTGCCATCATGCAGGCCAGAAGGGAGCACCTGGACAACACGCTCGCTGACTTTCAACAGACGCAGGAGGAATCGACCGATCGTATGATAGGGCACCTCGACCGCGTGATGTTAAGCGATCGTGACAAGTTCCTCGAGCACTTCTACAAATTCGAGGAGCTCGACCAGTCGGCGTGGGATACTGTCGTGTCCTATGTTGCTGCCAGTGGGGACAAACTCCCTATGTCAGTGGTCAGTTACCTGGTCAACCTCAAGACTCGGTGGAAGCCGAATTGGAGTGCCGCTTCAGAGATCATTGTCGAAGCACGCAGAGCCAAGGAAACCATGGCCTTCTATGATGGCAATCATAACTTTGATTTGCCTCCCATGATGCATCCGATGCAATGAACAACACGCAGGCTCTGTCAATAATCTGGCCTGTAAAAATGCCACATACTACCCAATTTGCTCAATTCGATTGGTGATGTCAACTCTTTCTAACATCTGCCGGAAAGCTTTGCATCCTTGCCTCTTATCACTGGAATTTAAAGACTGTCTTTCCTGCTGGCTCTGAACTCACCCTTTGCCCTCAAACATTTGTGCTCTTAGACCGTGGACATCGAAAGATCAAAGGATCAGAAGTAGATTACAGCAATCGACCTAAATGCATAGCCTTGGGACGCGCGTACACACTATCGAAGGAGAAGCCCCTCGTGATCGAACGCGAGGAGAAGCTCGTCCAGGTGATCAGGCACCTGTTGCCGACGCCGCGGCCCATCCTTGTACTTCAAATAGTCGATCCACATTCGATCAGAAATCTCATTGCGTGTGGCTTCCATGGATAGACCCTCAGGTTGGTCTTCTGGCGGGTCATCGACCTCCTCGTCCACCGCTACCGCTGGGTTCTGCAAAGCCTCCTCTGTTCGTTTGTAGATGATTTCTAGACGAGCACGTTTTGCTTCCATAGTCATCCTCGCCGCTCGCGCTTTGCCAGTCGATCGATTGAAGGGGTCGTTGATATGCACATGGTTGTGCAAAAAGGCGCAAAGCAAGGGAATCATTGCTTGCATCTTGTAGTTGTACTCTGGCGCGGAACCGGTGAGAATTGAGAACTTGCGCTGCACCACTCCGAAGATACGTTCGACCACGTTGCGGAGCTGGGCATGGCGGAGGTTGAATAGCTCTTGCTTGGTGGAAGGTCTAAGACAGGGTGAAAAGGTACGAATCAATACACACCTTCGTCGTGGGTTGACTGGCGTGATTGCGGCCTGGGGGATCGTACATGGCGGCGATCGGCGCATTTCCGCAATCGCTAGGGGATAGTACTCACAACGTCTCGCGCGACGAAGATCGAGCGCCTGCGATCCACTCGCGGAGATGATAGCGAACTCCGCGGTAAGGGACCATGATGTTCTCCGACATGGTGTATCCCGCATCACCAAGATAGTACTTGACCGGGCCAGGAATTTGGAAGCCTTTCTCTATCGCCCAGGCGAGAACTTTCTGGTCATGCGCGCTGCCTTCAGACCCCGCGTGTAGATGCAGGAATAGCAAATCAAACGAGCACACCGCGAACACGTTCTGGGAAGCGACGATCATCGCCAGCGCGCGCCTTCCAAGGGACGTGAGTGCCGTCTAGAGCCCCTATGCAATGGCCGAAATATGGCTGGAGCTTCGGGTTACGCGTGATGATTCCGCTGGTAGGTTCGTCCGGTGTCGGTTGATGCACATATATGCCATATAGTTTGGAGGTCATAATCGCTTCGACCACCTCGTGAATATACCTGCACAAGGGACAGTAGCAACCGATCAGCTCGCTGCAAATTACGGTGAAAAGGAGACGACGAAGTAAGGACTGGAGGCCTTTGCGCAAACGATAGCTTCCACTCACATAGCGATGGTTGAAGTCGAGTGCTGAAACCTATGACCCACTTTCCGAACACCATCACTGTGTCGAAGTGCCTGCAGGAGAAATCCGACCTTCTGCTCGAGTTGTATGAAGCGCGAGTCCGTGAGAGTAGTGTGGATTCGGAGATCTTGCACGAGCTTGGTGAAGCAGGCGGGTGTGATGCCAAGTTTGTCCGACATATTCTGTGGATGGCTGTTGATGAGAAACTGAATATGATGGCGCCCAGTGTAAGGCGAGTTGTGCATTGGTCTGGGGGGAGGGCGGGCCACTGGTTCGTCGTCGTCGTCCGCAAACAATTCAATGAGATGCCGTTGCGCTAGTGCTAGTGCTTGAGCCTGTTGACGCAGATGTTCTTTAACAATGATGATTGCCATTCGTCGTTTTAGGCGCATATTGTCCTGCGAAGACATTGTCGAGAGCGAGTGAATCGGTGCTGCGATTTGGAATGCGTGTGGAGAAGTGGAAGCCAGAACGTTGTTCTACGAGCCGACCACGGCGGAAAGTCAGGCAAACAGCGCAACCTGTCAAGTACTCGTCCCAACACGTGACTGGCACGCGACGCGTCGTGGAAGGGAACCGGCGCGCTCCAGCGCGAGGATCAATTTCATCAGTCCAGATTTGTCCGGCTCGAAAATCGCGTTCGGTTGCGCGTCAAAATCCGCTGGACGATTTTCGCCTCGCGGCAATACAATTTGCGATTTTGGAGGTCGACGTTTTGGGCAAAAATCCGAGGAGACGCCGAACGCGCTCTAAGTTAGCGAAAATCGTGGAGCAATGGGCGCAGTGGCGGACATTTTCTCAATAGTCATGCACATTAATGAGCAGTAATTCAAAATCTAATCAAGCTATGTGAGCCTGCGCAAAGCGCGCGCGCGCGTCTCCGTTTCTCCCTTTGCCTCTTTCCGTTCACGTGTTCAGTCCTTCTCCCACCCACCTTTCTGTCCCCTACCACACGGGAGCTCAGCAATGGCAGATCTGCATCCGGGAAGGACGAGGAGATTCAAAGTCTGAATGGGAAGGGCACTGGTGAGCTCAGCTTGAAGTAATTGTTCTGACTCAAGGGTGTGCTTCGCCACGTTCGGGCTCAGGTTCGGGCTGATTCGGGCTGACTTCACGTTCGGGCGAAGTCGGTCAACTTTTCGCTGACGTGTCGCCTCGGTCCACTCCCTGCAGCCAGAAAGTACGTCGATGGGGATGGCATGTACGTACGAAAAGACAAAGGCGATATGATACTGTGTGAGTATACTTGCAAGCCCGGGCAAACTGACAAAGTCTCTTACATTCGACTCTGCGTAGGCGCCGGCAATTTCAACAAGCAGAATCCGACCACCGACTAGCTCTGACTTCCCTTCGCCACTCGTAACATTCCTCGACCCAGTAGGTGATGCAGAAGTGGCAGAGATTAGAACGCTTGTCCCGGTCCTGCGGTATGGGCCGCTTCGGAGATCGACCTGGAATGGTCCCACAGCTATCAACTGCCCGAAGAACATCATCCCAAGGACGCGTGCAGACTCGTCTCTGTCAGAACAAGCACCAACACTATCTTGTGGAGAAACTTGTTCCTTCGAAGCAATGAGAGGTCGTCAAGTATGTAAGTAAATGCGCCGGTCCTCACTTTACTGTGCGCTCGCTTTGCGTGCTGACCAGTCACTTCTCCATCGGCCCTTGAAGAATGGACATGTTTCCTTGCGGTCACATCGGGTGACTGGCTCTAGAGGCCCGGGCCCGTCAAAAAGCAAGAAGACCGATCAAAACCCTAACAGAAGCCAACAGACCATCCACAAGAGGGACCTTGGCAACGGTCGAAACCAAGAGCAACTAGACGAGGATCAGGGACAGGACGAAGAAGAAGTCGAGGAGTTGGAACGCTTTGATAGGAATTGAGGAAGCGGAGCACTCGCGGCAGCTGCGGATGATTTGGACGCCAATCCGGCTACGGGTCAGAGATGGTAACGAAGGTAGACACTTGCTAGATAATGCACTAAAACAGACCACAATATGTACTACATCATCTGGCATGCAATATAAAATGGCTGCATTAACATTAGTAAAATATGAAGGCGAGCATTAGTAATTAGTTAGACAGACCCTAATGAGTAAGCTAATGCCAAAAGAGCTCGCATTAGTGATTAATGCTACAGAACCTAATGAGTAAGCTAATGTGAATTAAGCTCGATCACGCTCCCGCAAAGAGCCCCTATTGAGACTTTTTGGATAGTATTACCCACTGAGATTGGAAATAACCGAAGCGAAGGGTATTACCATCTGCTTGGGTAATACCATCGTCACGTGGGTAATACCCGTCGGGTAGGTAATACCGAACCAGCGGGTATTACCCATGCAGGTGGGCAATACCCATCTCAGTGGGTAATACCGTTGCCCGGGGAATACCCATTCAGATGGGTATTACCCGCCAAAAACGTCGCTCAGTGCCACACCACCACTATCGACCACAACAACAGCTAATAATGCAAACACTCCCTGACCCAATGCTACAGACCCTTGTTCCCAAACCCCTTCGGCATCGTCCCCTACGCCGACGTATACTTCCTCATCTGGGGATTCCTCAAAACCGACCTTGTCCCGACCAAGTTAGCCCGGGCCCAGCGTGACGCGAGAACGCCATCGAACGTGGATAGTCTTTTCGGCCTTTGCTGCAAGATTTTGACGCGGACAGCTCAAGCGCGCTGGTCTCGGCCTAACGGGGCCCGCTCGCGCTCCACTCTTCGAACACGCATTCTTTGGACCCTGTGCCAGCACGCACTCTTCTCGGCCCCCTTGGGCCTCCCGCCTTGCTCACCCGCTGGCGCGCGCGGGCCCTTCCTCTCCCTCTCCCTCGTCGTCCCGCACGCCTTAGCGTTTCGTGTTGTGGTTCCGGCACCCCCCCTGCCAGTCTCTACTCACTCAAAGTGGGTAACATCCCTCGTAAGCCCTCTGCCCTTGTTGGACAGTTGGACTGATGAGCTAGCCTGCCACTACGTTGTAAGCAGCCGCCGTACCCGCTGCTTTGCAAGGTCGTATCGCACCCACTGCTTAGAGCAAGGGCGAACTTTTCGAGACTCGCACTATCGCGGCTCGCTGTTTCTAGCTAAGGTTCGCATTCCGGATCACGACTGTCCTTGTTGGGCAAGTTGACTCATGGGGCTACCTTGTATACAGACCTCGTTTGGCCGCGTCTACCTACCGCGTCGCCTTCCTCCCCTGCCATCGCCCTGCGCTTTTCGAACAAAGGTATGCCCTATCCCCCAAGTCAGTTGCAGTGTTTTAGTTACTAATCGGACCTGCGCTCTTTGAGCAAAGCCGATCGACCATTTTTTTGAGCTCCTCCCTCCCACCCTACTTGTGCACTATGGAGGAGTCGAACGACTTGACCGCCGGAGATAGCAGGCGCCCTAGGTCAAACCTCCGCTTACCCGCTAGACATCATGATGATGGGTGTTGGGACACGGCGCGAACGATCCATAGAGCGCACGGGTGGAGGGGATATTTTGTGGGAATTAGTATCGGGTACCTCAATTTCATTCGGATAAATCCGGTCAGCTTCGCGAGTTGGGTCCCGTTGAAGAATACGTTTGGGCCGGAGGGGGTTTAGCGAAGGTGCTGGCTGAAGGCGTGATAGGTTATGTGTGACAGGCCGCGAGGGTACACCGTGGCGAAGGAACGAAAGGAAGAACACAATCATCTGTTGTTAGAAATTTTGTATATTCATGTATCGTTAGAAGTCTACCTAAGACTTTGAAGACGACCCAGCCATAGAAGACGAGTGCTATACAGCTATGGACTGAAGAGAAGGGAGATGTGTTATTGCAAAGTGCTGAACCTGCAGCGCCTTGTACCAAAGCAAATGAAAGCACTGTAAATTCTGTGATAAGCACTGGACTGTCTATCAACAAGTAAATGAAGTTACTATAGTATTTTTTTAAAAGATGACCCCACTGTCCAGCAGATAAACATCACCAAAAAGCAAGGGTACTACTCGGCCGGGCCCGGGGCTTGGCCTTCAGGGTGACCGCCGAGCACCTCCTCCATAGACGGCGCATCTTCGAGGACGGTCTCCCCCGCTCTGTTGGCAACGATGGCTGTGGCCCCGATCGCGCTGTCAAACAGATTCACTGCCGTTCCCATCCAACGAGGGGTGTGACCTTGAGTGTTGGCGCTGGTGCTACCAGTAGGATCTGAAACGGGCTCGGCAGAGGTGTGAGCTGAGGATCCGGCTCAGGGGGGGGGTTCGTCCTCTGCGGGCTCGCCTACGTCACGTTCGGCATCGTCTTCGGCGGTGCTTGCGTTCATGTCTTGAAGCATAATGGGCTCATTTTGTTCAGCATTGTCGATTTGAAGGAGGAGTCCCGGCATAGAGGCGGCGCGGCGCGGCGGACAAGTGCAACAATAGATCATGGCGATGGCGAGTGAAAACAACACGATCGAAGCCAGGTAGGCCACAAACACGTCCCGGAAGCATAATACGATGATCGTCCAAGTACCGAGTTCGAGTACAGACGAAGCATCAACCTCTATCTTTTGAAAATCGAGTAAAGTTCGACTGGACCAAACCAGCGTAGCTTCAACGAATCCAAGGACGGAGAGCGTGGCCGAGGGGTAGAGGCGAAGAACCCAGGCCTTAGAGTTCAAGAGACACGTCAGGCAATACTGTTCCTTTTAGAATTTTTCGTAATGGTAATAATTGCCTTGGTGAGGATGTTCGAGTTTCAGATTCTTCAAGAAACATGAACTGTCCTGACACTCCCCCGAGAGCGTACATGGCCAACCCGACAGCGCAACGGATGGGCTCGACCTTAATCAGAGTGAAAATCGTGATCGCCACGGTGATCGCAAGGAAGATCACCTTGCTCAATGTGATTCCTATAATCAGATGTACGCGGAATGGGTTTGGTGAGCTCCGACACTTCGGAAAGCTCCTTTTTGGATTTGGAGCCCGGCGGTGAGGCCGGTGAGGGGCCAAGAGGACGTGCCGCCGACTCACGATCGCGGCGGAAGACATAGACAGTGTCGTGCCAACCCCTTCGAGTCATGAGCCAGTCTTCGCATGTTTCTAGGCAGACCAGTCAACTGTGCATATATACTAAGGGGAAAATAAAATCATTGGGAAATGATTAGCGATCATGACGACAACCACACGGCGCAGCAAGGTAACATGCACGGACAAGGTGGGGGCGGGGACAAGGCAGGGGGTTCAGGGAGCCTACAAATGGAGGAGCTTCGCACATCAGCAAGGTGGACCTTGAAAGTTTACACGCTGAATCCACAACAGTGAGAGCGGCCAGAATAGTGACGAAAAATTCACCGGGAGTAGACCAAGCAAGAAGATGGTGCAGGGCTGAGATCTAAGTCAACAGTAAGCGCTTCAGAAACTTGATCATCGGGCGGGCTCCTTGGAGGGAGAGCCCGTGCAGGTACCTAGTATGGGGTTAGGCTCACGTGTAAGTGCTTGCTATTCGAGGCCTTTTTAGCGTCAATTCGAGGGGTTAAAGGGAGGTGGAGCGAAATATGGGAGGAAGGGAATGAGAGAGAGAAGGCGCGAGGGATGAAAGATGAGAGTGAAAGCGGGCTAACTGCTAGATGGATCGCCTGGACGTCATCTCGCAGCCCTAGCGAGCTCCGACCTCAGAAAACTTCGGAAAATGGAGAAGCGCGGCTGTGGTTGTCTCAGCTCGGCAGTCCGCGGGCTGGGCGGACCGGGGTCTCGTAACCAAATCTTCATAACGCGGAGAGCGGCTCCATGGACCACATGACCACTTCCAACATGCCAAAACCACGTTGAGATTATCAGGCCAAAAGTAAAGCAGCTCTATCGAATTGACTGTCTTCGACAATGTCTTCCAATGCCAAGACAGCAGAGTCAAGAAGTTCCGCCTCAGTATCCGCCTCGCCGTTCAAGCCATTTTGCGCCGTCGCCGAGTCATCGGGTGGAAGCGTCGGGGGCGGAAGAGGCGTTTGCTGTGGCGAGGCATTCCATTCGTCCGCCTCTTGATCCAAAGGTTCCGGCACATAATTCGAAGGTCTCATGATCGGCATCTCAATGCTTCTCACCCCTTCCTCGATGAGGACGTACTCTATCGTCGCTCGGGGCACCATGGGCGAGAACACGAGCGACATGAGTCTCACTTCTTTCTCCGGGCCTTCGGGTCCTGAGGCCAGTTCCTTGTCGTCCTCGTCGACCAATCTTTTGCGACGACCCGTTTTGCTGAGCATGATGCGCGTATTGACGATGTTGGACCAAGCGTGGCCGAGCGCGGCCGTCGAGCGCAGCGAACGGCTCTGGCCCGAAAAATGAGGAATTTGGCAGCGATTGTAGAGCAAGAGCGGAAGTCCGTAGCGTTCATGCGCGGGTTTTCCTGCGAATGACATCACACCTCCGCCGGGAGTGGGACTTGAGGACGGTTGTCGTAGCATCGATGGGGAGGGTATCCGCGGTGGTGGCATCTCCGAGTCGCGCAAATACCGTCGACGGTCTCCCGGAGCGTCGAGAAAGCCCAGCGGGGCGCGGTCTCCTGTAATGATATCGGTAGCTTGGTTGACTACGACGACTGCACAATCATATACATGTGCCAGTCGTTTGAGCCAGTCACCAATGACGCCGCAATTTTTGGCACGGGCCGCAAGCCCCACTGACGAGGCCGACATGTCGCCCCGCATCGGCGCTGCGATCGAGTCGACGATGATCATCTTGATCGGCAACGGCGCCTTTTGAGGCTTGGTCCGTGCAGGGAGCTCGTATCCTGGGCCATCGAGCTGAGAGGTTGAGGCGATGACACCGAGTTCAGAATTCCTGCGCGTTCGCTCGATGAAAGCCGGCACAACAAAGGCGAGCAGATGCTCGAGGGTCTCGACGTCTTGCGCTTTTTCGGTGTGAACATTGTCCATGAGGTCCCAGGGTGTGAATAAATCTTCACTGTCATCTTTTTTCACATCCATATCGGTGCAGATCGATCTGGCGAGAGAGAGCAGGCGTGACGAAGGGACCATGCCTTCGGAAGAGATGAAGATCGTTCCACCTGCAGCTCCGCCCCTCGACACGGGCAATTGAGCGCTGAGTGCGACCTGAAGACACAAGTGTGTCTTGCCAGATGATCTGTAAGTCAAAGCCGGGGTCAGCTCTGATTCGTGTCGTGTCCCGAGCAAGACACTTGCGTCGCGACATACGCCTTTCCCGCAATCTCGGTCACGGATCCTATGGCGATCCCGCCGTCGAGAAGCTTGTCGATGCCAAAGTCCCCAGTCGTCGTCGTCATCGGCCATGGAGCTAGAGTGAGCGCTGCGGCCGGGACACGATACGAGATGGTCGGGGAAGCTCGGACCAGGTCGGCGACGGTTAAAGATCGATGCGCCGCGCTGGACAAGAGCACGGTCGAGAGTTCGGTCAGGAGCGCCTCGATCTCATTTCCCGGCAGCGTGGTCCTTTTGGCCACGGTGGTGGGCGGAGCGAGGAGCACCTCGGCTGCGGTGATGTAGCCAGCTAGACAGGGTTGAATCACTCATCAGTATCGGACTTGGGCTTTCAGACTGAAGGGATGGGCTTCGACTGCAGTCGACGTCGATCCGTGGAATGACCGCGCCGCGACGCGTCAATCAACGCCCGGTTTTAATGGAGTACGGGCTCCAAGCGGATTGCCAAGGATTCAAGCTGCCCAGCCGAACTAGAGTTCCACCAAACGCATCAACACCGTGTCGAAAGATGCTCACCCTTGATGAGATGCGCTCGATACTTGGACGTCAAGCCGGACAGCTCTCGCAACTCGAGATTCTGCATCGGACCAGTTGCGTCAAGCCTTGCGGCATCAAAAATGGGTATTGGTGTGTGTCTCCACGTGTAACAGTTGGTTGACTCTTAGTCCGATTGGCGTCGTCGTGGTGGTGTGGGTGCCTCGTAGGATGTCAAAGGGCATGAGGAGGACAGGTGCAAAGTGGCTCCCGTTCACAAACCGAGGAGCGTCACTTCGGGCGCACGGACCTCCTCGTAATTGCGGGCAATTTCCCCGCCTTTCATCCTTTTTCGCTATGAGGGCTGTGCCTCACAGAGGGTCGTCAGATTACACTGGTGTTGGGATTACTTCTTGTTTACTTGAATCGCTTTTTGTCCGGTCATGGAAATGTGGCCCCGGAGAGTGATAATCACAATTTCTCAAGTTACAACTCACAGTGGTAGTTCTGGGCGAATGACCCAGTATACTACGTTGACTAGGCTCGTTTCCAGGTTTTGGAAAGATATGATGTTATTGCACATAGATCATGCTTGAAGTGAGAGTCGCCTCCGAGTACGAGGGTCTGAAGTGAGTCGCCTCCGGAGTACGAGGGTCCCAGCTCCGAAAATCTCGAAATCCCACTCCAGAGGTGGGATTTCGGATTTGGCTGGAGAGACGATATTCGATTTTCCGAAGGCCAAAAATCGTCAACGTGCCGAACGCTCCGACGATTAATCACAAATCCCCACAAAATCACGATTTTGGAATTTGGCCGGGCGATTTTCCAAAAATCGGTTGCCGTACGGGCTCTAAGTCCTTCTCCCGACTCTCCAACGTGGTCGGCGCTCAGATCGACGACATGGCGCTGTCAACCTGCGTATCGAGCATAGTCCGGTGCACGGGTTTGGAAGAGGATCTTGACTCGATCTAAAGGTGCGACCGAGGTCTTGGCGATGCAGCCTGTTTGCCGACGGTGGGGAGCCGCCAAGGGAAATCAAGTTGAGGTTTCGCGGGAGAGGGGGGGGAAGCGACGACCGGTCGAGACGGGTAAGCCGTCGGATGGACGAAGCACGGGATGGGAGAGGCAGTCGTGCAAGGTGGGTGGCAAAGAGGGGATATAGAGTCAGTAACGCATACTTCGATGAGACGCTGGGGCTCAGACTGACCTATTAGCCCACCTGCGAGTCCCGACAGGAGCGCATACTCGAGCGACTGAGGATCCCTCGGCCACGGCGCGGATGACGATGACGACGACGAAGACGCTGCTGAGGCCGATGGTGATGATGTTGAGTCGAGCGCAGGTGACGTATTCGGAGCGTCGATCGAGCTCGCAGCTACAGAGCTCATCATCACCCTCATCCCTCTTGAGTTCCTGACTCGAGGTGCTCTGGATCGATCATGGATCGGAGCCCTCAGCGCCTCCGAGTCAGCCCTCACACCGCTCCATCACAAGACACGTTCATGCCGAGTAGTGATGGTAGACGAAGCCGCGGATCCCATCGTGGTCGAAACGCGGTGACTTCTTCTAGGTCGGCCAAACGATCGCGTATCGATCACGTGTTCAAACTCCGTTTCGTCACCGGGGGTAGGGTTGGAATCGAAACGGACACCGAAGGCTGATGGCGATGCAGTCAGCGAACGAGCCTGGTACCTGGAACTATCAGACAAAAGTGCTGCTTTGACCCACCTCGCAGGTGCCGCTTCTCTTCGTTCGTAAGTGCACCCACCCTCTGACTTGGATCCGCGACGGTGCTTTCTTGGGACTGCAGGCGATCCTCAGCGAGAGTCGCAAGACCGCCGAACGGGGCGAGGCGAGCACAAAGATTGTCGCCCCACTGGAGAGGAGGGTCGAGTTTGGGGTGCTTGCTGTTGAAATCTATGATGAACTTCCTGCGGAGCATATGTATGACTGGTAGGAAGGAGGAAAGAGGCTATCGTAAATCAGCTCGAGTGCCGAGTTGAGCGAGCCACGTTCGGAGGCGAACACCGACGATGCAGGACGATGCCTCCACTTACACACACCCGTCCCGCAGGCATATGGGTCGTACTCGATTCGCTTCTTACGCACGTCCTGAGACTCCCTCCACATCTCGCGCACCTCTGCGGACAGGAAGTTGTAACTTGTCCGCTGCTGAGAAAGAGAAGCTTCTCTTCGTTTGACGTCCCAAGCCATGGTGTACAGGTAATTTTGGACCTCGATCCAGCTTTGCAACAAGACGGCTTGCCATATGACTTCGAACTCCCAGTAGAACCGGGCCATAGGTTGGAAAAAAGCGAGTTTCGTGAACAGGGCAAGAGTGGGGGGAAGGAAGGGATGCCGGTCGTCGAGTAGAACGTCACGAGGCACACTCATGACTGTGCTTGTACTGTTGTGTGAGGCCAGTTGATGAGTGCCGCGCGGTGAGTACGACGCTCGAGCCAACCGAAGACGTTATGGGACGAAACAGCCGACAGCAACGTGCAAGAGGAGGATTGTCGAGGGCGAGTCGGAGTCAGGCTGACCAGGACTCACCAGCTGTCAAAAGGTCGAGTAGTACCAGGTCTGTTCCGACAGGATGAGCCAGAGGACACGGCGAGTGTGATGACCAGAAGGCGGCTTGGGAATAGGCAGGCAACTAGGTGGCACCTGCACCCGCCCTGCACATGCCCCACGCCCAGGCCTGCCCAGGCGCCCAGGACCTCTCAGGAGTCAGGACACTCCCAGGGCCTCTCAGGGGCACTAAACTCGCCCAGTTAGCGCGTGCCAGCGCGTGCCGTTCCTCGCCTTACCCATACAAATCAATCTATCCATAGCTTATGTCAGCTCACTACAACAGTCCAACGACTCTTTGGCCTACCCAAGCTCAAGGCCAGTGGGCGATCAGGAAGGAGGGGACAGGACGATCGAGATTTTTACCGGGATGGTCTTGGAAATGATCAGCGGCGGGAGGTGGAGGATGCAGATGTCGGGGACGAGGATGGAGAGCGTCTAGAGGAGGAGGTTCATATTGGAGGAGAGGATGAAGTTGAGGGCCGGGGGAGCAAGGGGGAGGAGAGGGCAGTAGAGGCTGAATTTTGATTAACCCCCCCCCCCCCCTCCCCCCCACATCATATCACATCACAACACGTTCTCACTTCTGTTAAATTGTACACTAAATATCTTGCTTTCAGCTTTCATCTAGTACAGGTCCGCTTCCGTTTCTCATGGACCGGCTCGTGATAACTTGATAAGTTTGGCGTCGACTCGGCGGTGGTTCGCGCTCTTTGGCTTCGAGGTTCCGGGTCGAGGGAGGGATCAGCAGGCACAGGCAGAAAGGCGGCTCTGAGGGGCCAGGGACTACCGAGAGGAGGTTTTGAGGGGCTTTCACCGCGTCTTGTTGTGACTGAGCACAGGCTTGGAGCGTCGTGGGTCGAGGTGGTTGCGCAGTCGTTGTCTCGTCCTCGTCTCGACCGAGTTAGGAAGTGGGTGCGGGGTGGGCCTGCTGTTGTTAATACACCGTTTATTTTTCCTTTATCTTCTCCTTCTCTCTCCTTCTCTCTCTCATTAGTCTCCTGGGGGGGAGCAACCGCTTGGCTGGGGCACTTGAATGCGAAGTATCGGATCGGTGGACTTGGCCCGTTTCTCGCATCTTGCCGGCCGTTTGTGTTATCATCGTCCCATCTAGTTTTTCCGTAGGCCAAATAGGGGAACACGAGCCGGGGTCAATATGATGAACAAGTTGTACAAAAAAAAAAAAAAAACCAAAAAACCAAAAAACCCAATGCTGACGTCCAGCCTCGTCGAAACCACATTAGATGTTTTTCTTTCTGTCGTACCTGCCCGTAGTAGGTACAGTCAGACCTGAGAAAATTTATATCGCCCAATCTTATACCTGCCAAAATTTATAGACTTTTCAATCTCCCGACTTTTTTGGCTGACAGAACCTGTCCAATCTTATACCTTATAATTTATGGGTTTACAGGTCAAGTTATAAGATAAGAGAGAGCCGGAAATGAGCGATTGATCAGGAATTGGCCTCTCCTTCGGCGTTCTTGTTGACGAGAAGAGTCCGAAATACCCCGAAACAGCCGAGAAGCGAGCACAGGAGAGCAAAGGCGGCGGTTGACACGTTGACAGGCTAGTCGCGACGTGCTTCTCTCTCCTTTTCCGCCGACAACGACGCCGAAATGAACATCTTCACAATCCGAGAAGCCCTCATCAGAAATTCCTCTTCATATCATCATGGTCTCATTCCCTTCCCGGAATTCAACTGCTGGCGCCACCCTCAAATCTTGTCTGATCGCAAGAACAAAGGATCGACCGACCATACACCTCTTCCCAACGGTCGCGGGCCTCTCGATGGCGATCGCGGCATCATCAACGCGATGAACGCTCTGAAGACGGCGAACGACGACCTGGTCGAAAAGGGGATAGTTACGAGCAACGAGAAGATGAGTATCCACTTTCTCGTCGATGTGGAGGAGGAGAACCTTGCTGGTGGAGCTGAAATGACCAATCAGGAGATTGTGGACCTGGTCATTGCCGAAGAGTTGGAGGAGAATTGCGAGAGAGAAGGAGGAGAGGAGGAAGGGGAGATAGAGCTCCGACCGGCGGAGCACGCTGCAGGAGGCAATCTCAGCGCTTGATGTTTCCCTTAGGTTTGCTATGAATGGATACTCAGGTCCAACGTATTTGATTTTTTTTGAGGACGAGGCTAGGAGGATTCGCAGGACAGACGACAATGACTTCGTATTTCCAGCGTCAGTAGGTCAAGATATTTTTTCTTGGAGCTTTCAAAACTTGTTAGATGTCATCATGCCACAGTAGAGGCCGTACATTGGCTGCAATTCAGTAATTCGGGCCTTCTGAATTTCCTCCCCCTCAAAAGTCAATGTATCGACTCAAACGATGCACGAAAATTCTTGATTTGATGTAGGAAGCTCAAAAACGGAGTTTCAGGTCATAATGTAGTGATCTGAAGCCGAACTCTCCAAGCTTATACCTGTCTTGATTTATGGGAAAATCCGTCCACCGAAAATATAAATTTTCTCAGGTCTGACTGTACCGAAATTACCCGAGTCCCCATCAGAAGTTATGTCCCTCAAACGTGAACGTCCTGAGTTTACAGGAGCTTAAACGTCGATCATGCAAGAGCTTTCGGACATGAGGCAAAGTATTTAATACATGGCAAATGCGTGTATTTCGTACTACGCATTGCTTCTACAGCAACGGGTGCCATCATGTTTGGCTCCGGATGGTCTGCGCTGACGCACCTTGATTAGCGAAGATCGTCGGCATGCATGCCAGCACTTAAGGACGAAATCCGAGAGCCGGTCCGTTTGCCGATGATCGTCCCGTCGTCAATTTCTGGAGACACGCTGGCTTCTTACCTTTCGATGAGCATTCGGTGTAAAATTCGAACTAGTGCTCATAAGGGGACGGCAAGTCAAAAAGGTCTTCTTGGATGAATCGACCTAGCGAAAGGCTACAGAGGACACCAAGTTCAAACGACTCGGAGGCCACTGAGGACCGGCCAGGGCGATCATGATCACGCGCCCCCAAGCCCCGGGCGTCGTTCGCCCCCCCCCTCCGCGATTCACCCGGGGTGAAGCGCCGATGTTGCAGGGCTCGCCAGGCCACTTCCCGAGGTCCCTGACTTTACCCCCTCGCTCTCCCGCCAAGTTCGTTGTCGTTCAGTTCTCGCTACGCCGAGCCCCCATTCGTTCTTCTACGTGCCCAACTGTACCTCTGGATTGCTTCTATACCTACCATCCTTCTACGTCCGTCTTGTCCTCGTCCTCGTCGCGCCTCGACCGTGTGGTGACGGCCCGCTGCTTTAATCATCGATCTGCACTGCCCGTGTTGGCCGCGGTCAGCGCGCGTCGCTCGCCAGCAGGTGGATTCCCACGTTCGGGCAGGGACGACTTTCAGGTCAGTATGGCAGGCTAACTTCGCCCAAGAGGTGGACATCGGGTGACACGTCCTTAGCTGACATTGCATTGGGCACATCGTGTGGACGAAACTTCGCTCACAGAAGGCTGAATCGGTTCGCACCGCAAGCGAGGCCCACAGCTGCGGACGGGGACGGCTCGACTTGCCGCTGAAAACGGATTGCCGCGCTGCCGTGGTCACGCGGTCGCTGATCCCGACGAGCCGCCTCGAGCTCGACTGCCCGACCTCGACCGACGCACGCCCGCCAACATGTTCGGCACACTCACTACACCGGTCTTGTCACTCACACCCGACTCCCTCGCAAGTCTCGGTGATCTCGATGGTGACTCGTTGTCCGAGTTGTGGGGTGGTGAGTGCACATGCGATCCCCGTCGATATCCGATTTCCCTTTGGGTCCTCACGAATGCGCCGGTTCGGGCTCAGAGGCGTGCGCCGTGCGCACTTCACCCGCCATGGATACTGTCCTTTTTACCCGAAGCATCCGGATCAAATCTGATTGACATGGAATCTGATTCATTGCTCTCTACTCCAGTCTTCACCAAGTGTAAAAACTCGCTACAGAACGGAAGGCGTCTCGAGAACTTGAGCTGGCGGCTCTGGTTCGATTCGGGGCGGCGCGAGGCGCAGTCGCCGTGCGAAGCCAAGGAGGATCAACTCCAATCGGCGCGCGTACACACCTGCAGATCAGCCTCAGCAGATCACCACAGCCTCCAACCCGGCATGGTCACGTTCTCGATCGACGCACAGGGCTGGACCGATCCCGAGTGGACCGAGGCAGGAACGAGTGATGACAGCGAGGACGAGACCGAACTGCCGTCCCGACCGGGCCGACCTCCACGATCGTCTTCATCCGAGAGCAGGCAGACTGTCGGTGTACCGATCAGGAGGGGTTCTTCGCATGCAGAAAGCTCCTCCGTCTCCCCTCTGGACGTGTTCTCAACCACAACCAAGGCCAGGTCGACGTCCGCCGGCGCGTCGCAGGGGACGCGCCCTTCGCTTTCCTCCACCGCGCGGGTTCCGTCATCACGCGCGTCGACAACCATCAGCGGAGGATCAATTCAAAGGATTGTCGCCGGTTTTAACTCGTTGCCGCCGATCCCTGTCCCCTCTAAAGCCCGAAGCATCGGCAACGTGCCGCTCGCCGACTCGGCCGCGTCACCAGCCGGCACCACCTCGCGACACCCGAGCGCGCCCGAGCCCCTCGAGGTCGGCATCCTCGCTGAGAACGCGCTTACTCTGCACTCCAGTGCTACACCACCCTCAGCGGCATTTGCAAAGCTTTCGCCGAGAGGAGCCGTGGTTGCACCGACACAAACGACGCCTTCGTCCTCCCACCGCCCTTCGCCTGCCATGACCCTGCGCTCGCCGCCTCCGCCCCTCCGCCCCGTGTTGGGGGCCACTATCCCACCCACTCCGCTGGTGCAGCACGACGTCGGATCTGTGATCATTGGATCACGTGGCATGGTCCGATCATCGTCGGGCAACTCAAACTCGTCGCGCATGTCATCGCGCAGGGTCAAGATTGCACCCCCGGCGTCGACGAGCTCGATCGTGACCATAATTTCAGCGCCTGCTCGCCCTCGCCACCTCTCGACAAGTTTGAGTGTGGCTCGAAAGGCCAGCGCGTCCTCGATCAACGCCGCGCCTACACCTGCACCGACGCCCGCGCCTTCACTCATGATTAGCGCTCAGTTCACGCGTACTCCGAGCGCGATCGGGATGAGTTCGCCCTCGTCGCAGTCCCCTCTGCCCTCGACATCCATCGCTAAGTCGTCCATCAAAGGCTTTGACACTCGCGTAGAGGATGCTCGACCCCGCAACGGATCGATCGCACCTCCACCCACACCCGCCGCCCCTGCCAAAGCGGTGCTCGCGGACAGTCCCCCCAAGTCAGCGATGAAGGGCACTTCGAGGATCACAACCTCGGTCGCGAAACCGGTCGGTCCGACAAAGAAGCAGATGTTCTTCATTTTGAGCCCTGCGTCGGATTCGGAGGACGATTGTGGGTCGTCTCGGTCTGAACGACGTGGTAGCGAGATGCGGAGTACACCTCGGTCCGTCGGCACCTCGGCTCTCGCGGGCAAGGGGAAAGGTCGAGAGGAATCGCAGGCGCCGGCGAAGGAGGAGATCGAAGACGAATGGCACGACGAGGACGACGATGACGACGATTTCTCTGACGAGGGCTCTTCGTCCGGATGGGGCAGCGAATACTCGACCGACGAGGAGGAGACCAGCAATCGCCGTGATCGGGTCGACCAGAATCAGAGAGCGCTGTTCCAGAAGCGACCATCCGTCGTCTCGAACAAGGATGTGCCTCTCAAAGCTCGTCCACCGGGCCTGCTCTCGCAACTCTTCCACCCCGACCTCTTACTCGGTGAAGGCGACCGGGCTCATTCCGCCGTCGATGTCGCTCGCACGCGCAGCAACTTGTCCATGACCGCCGGAGGTGCACCTGGCAACTTGCTGACGACGAGTAAATCCCATGGCATGCTTTCAGCCCAACGATCCAAGTCCTTCCTCAAGGGCGCACCCGAAGGCGTTGAACTCGAGTCTTCGACTGATGACGGATCCGACGACGAGGTCGACGATGCGCAACAAAAGGGGAATGAACGCGTCGAATCGCAGAGCAAGTTCAGCGTCCCCTTAGCGCGCCAAGCCCAGCTCCAACGCCAACTCGAAAGCGAAGCTGCCATCGCACCCCCTCAAACCCCGAGGACTACGCGTCGGGCGATGCTCGCGACCGAGCTGAGTGAGAGCTTGAGGCGCAACTTGTTATGGGAACGACAGACGCGTAACCGCGTGATGGGTGGGCAAGGTCGTGCACCGACGATGCCGCCGACTGTTTCGACCGCGACGGCCAAAGCACAGCCTTCTGCATCGACGACGGGGACGACGGCGCCCAAGTCCCAGGTCTCTTCTCCTGGCGTCTCGCACGGTCTCCGACCTCCGAACCCTTCCCCCGCCTCGCACGCGGCCGCACCTGGTGGTCAATCGCCCGTACCCCCGATGGTTCGTCGTCACACAACCGGCACGGGGCTGTACCTCATTGCGCAACAGGACAAGCTTGACCAAACGCGCCAAGTGCCTCGAGAGCGTCGTCGAAGACGCTGCAGTGGCGATGCGGGTCCTATCGGTGATGGCGACGATACGAGCGCCAGCGTCAGTTCGGATGAAGAGGAGGGTGCGGCGGGTGAAGAGCAACATTTCCATAGCAGCATCTGGGGTCAGAGAGTGTGGTGAATTTGTCGCTTTACCTTGTCTCTCTTCATCTCATGCCTCCTTTCTCTCTACTGGCCCTTTTTTGTTTGTTTTTCTTTCTTTCTCTTCTTTCATCTACCACGCCCATTATCCTAGTAGCGCGTCACCGTGTATTCCTTTTTTCTCTCTCCCACTGTGTGTTGTCATTATTCAAGAACTGAACCCCTTCACTTTCTCCCTCTCTTCTCGGTTGCAAATCTTTTCATCGCGACTAAGAACGTTGAACCCACCAATCTCAGAGGACTCGTTCGTCTCCTGGGATGATACTATGACATGCATTGGCAACATCGTCTCTGTTCAAACAAATTCCTCGCATACATGTAGCACTAATCCGACTCCTCATCGGAGCCATAAGCCGCCAAACCACCCAACGCATTTGCCGGTGTCGGTGGTGCGGCTGTTTTACTCGTTGGTGCGGCTGTTGCTTGTCTCAAACTAGCGATATACTTGAGCGAATCGATCGCGTTCGCTGACAAGATACCTCCTGCTTTGACGGCGTCGTGCGCACCATTCTGTGTGCCCGTCGTGGGAGTAGGAGGAGCTTCGATCCTAGCCCTCTTATTCTGTCGACCTTCCTCCTCCTCGTCTGGTTCCTCGTCCCTAGCCGCTGCAATCTCCGGCATCTCCGCGGGCAGCGGTTCGACCAGTCCCTCCAATTCATCCAATTCGCGCACGCGTCGAACGAATTCCGGGTCCAAGGTGGCGGCGATGCCGTCTTCGCCTGCCTGTTCGAGTTCGCGGCGGTTGCGTCGCTTGGCGGCCGGGTTCGGGTCTTCGGTTGCCCATCTACGAATCGGGGACGGTGGATATGTTAAGAGCCACTAAGACCTTGCAGTTTGGAGTTTTTCTCAGATACCGCAAAATATGTATAGTTGACCTACCTGACGTTGAGGATCTCGTCCGAGTCGAGGGATTGATGCATCATGGCCTCCTTGGCGAATTGGGCGTTCAATTCGGAAACGTACGTCACGAACGCGACGCCTCGACTACTCAGGATCTTGACTATCAGGCGTTCCAAAGTCGGATGGCTATCAGTGCTGGGTTGCGAATCAATGCGAGAACAGAGCTCGAGGAGGAAGAACTGACTTCGTTCAATCTCGCCAAACTCTTCGAAGTGCCTCTCGATCATTTCGGCCGTGTCCCTCGTCTCGACCAAGCGACCGATGTAGAGCGTGCGATTCATGCGGGTGAAGGAACCGACGCCGCCCATGTCGTCGCGGTAGTCCGAGTGTTTTTCTCGACCAAAGACGTCGAGGGACGCGTCGGGGAGTTCGTGTTGGGACGGAGGGAGGCGATGGAGGTACGAGCATTCGTGGCTGGGAATCCAGGCATGGATGGGGGGTCGGCGTCAGTCGCTGCCATAAGCTGAACCCCGCACCCGGCCGTCTCACTGACCCTAGTGGACAACATCCTCTCGCAAAGAAAAGACACAGATACTTTGTTCCGTCACCATCGGCCTTGGTGTAACCCGAGTCCTTCTTGAGGTCGACGCGGGTCTGGGATTTTTCCTTGACGTTGTACTCGTCGTACTTGTCGCCACCGGCCCACTTGTGGTACCAGACGTTGAAGGTCGAGCCGGTCTGTTCGGGCGCTTTTTTCACGACTTGGCCTACTTCGACCTGGGTGAGTGGTAGGTGGGACGGTCGCGAGCAGGAGACGGACCGAGCAGGGAGCGGTAGGAGTCAGAGCCGGGGGGAACACGCTTGGCTGGGTGATGTATCGAATGCACCTACCTGCCTGCGCGCGGGTGGTCGCTTGACCATCTTCTTCTTCTTGACCAGAGCTTCTTGCTGCTGACTCGGTACGACCGCGGTCGACGACGACGGAGGCGACGGGGCCATGTCGCGAGCGTGCGTGATTTCGAACGGCGGGATCGGAAGGCAGGTGCAGGTGCAGGTGCAGAGCAGAAAGTGAAGTCTGATCAAGCTCGACGTTGAGGAGGGGCGTGCGGGCGTGCGGGTCGGTTGCGGCAGTGGGAGTGTGGCACAGACCAGAGACGGAAAGGGGGGGGGGTTGAACGTTGATCCCCCTGTGAAATTGAGCATTAGCCCCAGCCGGAATCCTGATTAGCTCCGGACTGAGTAGCCTCGGACTGATTAGCCGTCGCTGTCGCCCAGGCTGCCGGTCGCTTCCTCGCCTGCGCCCCTGCGCCCCTGCGCCCCTGCTCGTCTGCTCGTCTGCTCGTCTGCCGCTCTAGAGCCCCCACTGCAACGACCGCCCAACTACTGCACCCACACCCCCACACCCCCACACCCCCACACCCCCACACCCACGATGCAACGCTCCCTCTTGCGCCCCTTGTCAAGGTCAATGCGAGCAGGCTACGCGACGCACGCCCCCTCCTCTGCCGCCGCCGCCGCCGCCGCCGCCACGCCCGCCGCGACCGCGTCCCCTTCCGAGCGATACGACCCCGAAGAGGATCCTCAACTCGCCGACATGGGATGTGAGTCGGGCCAGACAGTCGTACAGGAGCGCGGCGCAACCGTCAACTCACACCGATCATCGCAACCACAATTCAGACCCCAAGCTGTACACCACCTCGCGCCAGTTGAGGAGCCCGCGGGGCTGGTGGGACAACCAGGAGAGGATCAACTTTGGCGAACCTGCAAGTGCTGCACCAGCTAGCTGTATACCCATCCCATTCACTCGGCTACCTCTCATACTTTGGTTGGCATGCCGTCGCCGCCCGCCCGCCGCTTTCGAACCCACCCCGTCCTCTCACTGCTGCACCGTCCCGTCGACTAACACCCCGCCTGCCCACCCCCTCACAGGTCCCAGAAAACGACGACATCCAATCCATGTGGGCCCCGGACGTGCACTCGATCAAACCGTCCTCCGCGCTGCTGCAACTCGCGACCATGTTCGGCGTCCTCGGTCTCTTTGCGGGTACGGTCTACTTCTTGAGGCCAGCGCCGCCTGCTGTACGTTCCAAAAAAAGTTCAATTGGGAGGGCGTATGGGGGTACTTTTCAGAGGGTGTGGTTGCTGATGATATGTTGCGCGCGCGGTTTGGATGGTCCATGATGTAGATGCCGAGAACTTACCCTACCGACCCGTCCGAGAGGGCCATTCACGTCAGTGCACTCTTGCTTTGTGGCGCCTCACTCGAGCTCCTTCCTTGCTCACCACACTTTACACACGTATCCTTTCTTCCCCCCCTACAGGCTCGACCCGATAGCGCCAACGAGATTGAAGACTAGAATGATCGCACGCACGACGACGCTCGGTGATGGTTCGGTTCGAGGCTAATCCCGGAGCGAGAGCAGAGAAGGCGGATGGAGTTTCATGTACAATTATTGGGTGTGTGGATTCGAAGGGTTTGGAGTAGAACGAGTCGGCCGGGGTTGCCTTTTCACTTTGCAAGGTACTGCACGGTTTCATCATTATGCCTCTGCACCGTTGGCAAACGACGAGAGCGAAACCAAAGCGCCACACAGCTGCTCTAGACAGAAAAAAAATAAAAAAAATAAAAAAAATACAAGGTATTACAGTTGTGCTCCTTCCTGCAAAAGGATCAGAAAACCGAATGAACCATTTCTACAACCTCGCGTCGTGTATCTTTCCTGCAAAGTCCTACATCTTCCCCACCGGGGGCGGCAAAACAACGTTCCCTCCTTCGAGTCTACCAAAAGATCTCAACCAACACGTTGATGGTCAACACGATCGAATACGCCGCGATCAAACCCGCGCCCAGTCTCTTGTCCATCCAATACCCGTTCAGAGGCACGACGATCAACGTCGCCATCAAGATCGCCCAAAGACCACACCCTGAAACGAGCAACGTGCGAGACATTTGCACGTTCAACGATTCGCCGTTGTGGCGTGCGATGAGGTAACAGCCTGAAAGACCTATACCGAGAAGGATGTTGAGCATCGGTCCACCGAAACAGGCTGCGATCGCCATGGAGGGGAACCCCATGCGAGCGACGGTCGCGTTCGCTACGAGGTCACCGAGCGAATTGCCCATCGCGAAAATGGTCAGTCCTAGGATGGCGTCGCTGAGACCTAGGATATGACCGATCGTGAGCAGAACGCCGACGACTTCGTTGACGATCAGGAGGATCCAAACGGCCGCGACGACGAAGCCGACAAAGCAAAGTATGATTCGACCTCGGTGCGCGGTCGAGGTGAACGTGATGAAACATGTCATGGCGAGGACCAAACCCACTCCGAAAGCGATGACGATCTCGAACCATCGCACGGAATCGGTCATGATCGCGCAGACGATGAAGACGGGTCCGAGCGTGCATTGGATAGCGGTCAACCATCGCGACAAGTCGTCGTTGCTGAGCGGCTTTTTGCTCAAAAGTGGCGTCGAAGGTGGGGTCGTGGCTTCGTTTCCTGGTGGAGCGGTCGTGAGCGGATCGATGTTGGGGGGAAGTTGAATTGACGGAACCCCGTTCATACCCATCGAAAAGCTGTTCAACCCACGATCGACAGCGTTGAAATCGATCGCGGCTGGTGTCGTGGCCGCCGAAGTGGCGTTCCACATCGCCGAGTTGGCGTCGTCGAGGTTCGGCAGGACGCGCTCGTGTAATTTCCGCGCCACGGCTTCCCTCGCATGCCGATTCTGCAACGAGTCGAACCCATTCACACCATCAACTTCTTCGGCGTCATTGAAGAAGAACCGATCGTCGCTGTCTGTATACAGCATCGGAGTCGTCACAAAGTCACCGTCGTGTCGTGGCTCCCTCGCTTCCTTCTCTTCGATCGAGACGCAATCCTCCGTTTCCGAGTCGACGACCGGCAAGGTCAAGTTGAGCAAGAGGATGGCGGGAACGCACAAGATGGCCGTCGCTTTACCGACGATTGACTTTTCGCCAAAGTTTTGCAACGAGGGGAACAGGGCAAGGGCGACGGCGTACGCGATTCGGAAACTGCGTTTCTCCGCGATGATGGTGGCCCATCGCTTCGGCGCTGCGACTTCGGCGGCCGGTTGAACGAGCGCCATCGATCCATTCACACTCGTCAACAAGATCGAAGGAACCTTGCGCACCCGCTTGTTCGGATTCGAGTCATCATCGGCGTCGATCGAGCCCCCCGAGTTGTGTCGACTCCCACTCTGTGGCATGGACTTCATCCGACTCGTCGCCGACGTCGAAGGGACGTTGATTCTCAACGCCCCCGATGGGTCCATCCTCAAACTTCCACTACTCCCTCTTCGACCCAAGCCGGGACTTGTCGCTCCTTGCCAAGGGTTTTCGATTCCGGCGGATAGGTCAATGATGGGTTCCGCTTCCTCGTCATCCTCGTTCCCATCCTCCACATCGCTCCAATGCGCGCTAGGTCCCTCGCTGCCCGTCGCCTCCCCACTCTCGGACCGGGACCTCGCGTTCGTCCAAGTCCCTCTTCGGTCCTGCAAGCCCGGTCGCGCCGACAATTGTCGTTCCGGTACGTCATCACCCAATCGAATCGCGCCCGAGTGGCTCGCCGATCGCAGCCTTGTCCTAGCGAGGAAATCCGACTCGGCGCCAACGAAACTGGCATGCGAATGCACCTCGTCGCCCGCTCCACCAAAGACGGCCAACGTCCGTGCGGAGGAATCGGCCCGTAACGAATTGACGACATCTCTGAATTCGATCGCACCCAACAGGGAAGGGCGTACGGTCGATTTCGTCATGGGTCTCCGAGCTAGAGATGGTCGTCGAGTGTGACGAGGGCTGAAACCACTCGTCGAAGCGGTTCCGAGATCGGGCGAAGCGATCGAGGTGTGCGTGTTGGACCGCTGCCGTGTGAGCGTGACGGGAACACCGCGTTCGATCGCAGCGATGAGGGCGTCATCGTCAAGGACCTGATGCTGGTGTGGGTGAGGCGCGGGATGGGGTGTGGGGCTCGAAAGCGAGGGAAAAGGCTGCAGTCCCGAAAACGGTGTGCCTTGAGGGGTGAGCGAAGGCGTTGATCGTCGCGTCGAATCGGGAGTGAGTGTGTTGGGATCTGGTTCGAGAAAGGTGCTCGTCAGGAAGAGCCATGGTGGCTCGAATAGATCACACGCCCCAACCCACCTTGATCGTCATCCAGGCCAGTGACGGGCTCGTCGGCATATTCTTCCCTCGCGGCCCTCAACAAGGCCTCTTTCTTTTCCTTCCTCGCCATCCACCAGCTTCCCACCGCTACAATGATGACGTAGACGATGTAGAGCAAGACCATGGCGATCGCTTCCCACAGGTGGATGTGCGAGTCGTAGAGGATTAGCAAGGTGAGGGTGATGGCGATCGAGAAGAAGCCGACGTCGCGGAGGAAGGTGTGCCGCGACACACGAAACGGTTTGATAAGACACATGGTCCCTCTGTAGTGACAGGTATCGCGTGGTCAGTGGATTGCAAGCGACAGTAGGCAGGCGCGACGGGTGGTGGTCCCGACTGCCGGGTGACTCACGCCACGACCGAGACGATGAAGGAGGCTGCACCGATGAGTTCTCCGATGGCGAGTGACCCCGAGCCTCTTGAAAGGGCGGCAAAAGTGGAGAATACATCGGGAGAGCCGTTGGAAAAAGCGAGCAGGGTGACTCCGGCCTGAGGGTAGGTGGGGTATCGGTGGGGTCGTCAGCGTTTAAAGCTCGATACTGCACCGTCTCTCGGCATCGGGTCATGATACGACCCGGTATGGTGCTGTGGTACTTACGACACTCTCACTGAGCCCGAGCCTGGAAGCGATCGTGCTCAGGTTCGGACAAAAGAAATCGCTCGCGGTGATGCCAACAAAGGCGAACAGAAATACGAGCCACAGGATCATGCCGAAGAAGACGAACGGCTTTTGGGTGGAGGTGGCGTGTTCGTAGATGTGGGTCCAGTCGATCCAGGCGTCCGAGTCGGCGCCTTCGTCCAGTGGGGGCTCGCCGTTCTCGCCGCTGTGATTGTCGTCGCGGTGGGACTTGGAGTGGTTGTGGTTCGAGTGCGAAGAGTACGTCACAAGCGACTCATCCTCGGTCGGTGTGCCTCGTTTGACGACAATGTGCGAGGAAGTTGGCGCAGTCCCTTCGAACCCGAACGGCTCGACGGGGGAAGCGACTCGGGTGGAGAGGTCGACGTTCCTTCGGAGCGGCGTCGTCGCGCGGTAGCAGATGAGATGCAGGATCCCACACACCGCGATCGCCATCCATACCCGACCGACCGCGCCTCCACCCGTCCGATTCGAGTGGTACACGACGCCCATGCGACTCCCTGGATCGCGGTGGCAGTCCGATGTGAATAGGTCGCTCACACCCGATCAGGAGAGAGGAGGCGGGGCAAGACAGAACAATCGAGGAAGCGAACCGGCGCGAGACTGAACTGAGTCGATCGAGCGATCGGCGCGTGCGTACGGCGCGCAGTACGAGGCCGGGGCGCGGTTGCGATTTGCTGCAGCATGCTGGCACAGTGGCACTGCCAGACGCTGGCAGATGGAGTGTATTCGTGCCTTTTATTCCGGAAAAAAAAAATGGATTCACATACACACCATATGTCAGTCCCCAGATAGGGAGAGCTTCCAGAACGTCGGACTCATGGCAGAATCCGAGCGGTCTCTTCAATGATCGCAATCACCGGAAGTGCCCCCAGGCTGGCAGCGGAGACGATTTCGCGCAGCAATTCGGCACGTTGTTAGATGTATCTTGAGCATGCACAACACGTTCGTACATAGCGCAACCCTTGAATTTTGCGTGAGTAGGTGGCAGTAGAGCAGCACCTTCGGAAACTGGCACTCGAGCCCCCCCCCCCCCCCCCCCCCCCAAAACCAAGTCAAAAACTGTCGGTATACCTCCTTCTCTCAACAGTTTGTAACAACTCGAAGAAATTAAAGCACGTGCGCACCAAAGTCGAAACTCACAACGAGACGGTCTACCGGCAGAGCGGTACTATCAGTCGGCGGACTCGGAGGCATCATGAGCTCGGGTCATAGTTGTGCAATCCACAAGAGTTCTTAGCTGAAAGGGTCGTTCTCAGGGCGTGGTCACCTCTGACATTCACGCACCGTGCGAGCGTTTCATCGACTTGAGGCGCCATCAAACCCTCTGTTCAGGGTCATCCTAAGTCAGATAGAATAAAGCTTTCGGTCCGTACTTAGAGCCTTCGCGGAGCCAGGACTATCCACACCGGTCCGACACTTGCTGTGATACGCAGGTAGAACGCTTAGTCTCCGATGAGCTTTATGCAGCGAGCGATAGCTACCTAGCCTTCCATCATCAGCTTCGTCACCTCAGAGTGGTCACCGCGAGGAGACCCCCTATTGGCTTAGATGGATCACACTATCAGACTCAATCCGCAGCACCCGACCTAGGTCGTTGATGTCCATCAAGCTCATTCTACAGTCAAAAGAGGAAAGAAAGGAAACAGAGCTACGAGGTTATGATATAATAGGTCCGTGCCTCTTCACCCATCTTCCTTCCCTTCAGTTTCCCTTCTTGAGGCTCTGGCGATAAGCGAGCACCGAACGACCGATCGAATTTTGCAACTTCTTGTGCAGTTCGGGTCGATATCCGAGAAAGAAGAGGAGTTCGAGCCAGACGAAGAAGACCTGCGGATGTGAAAAGGTGTGCCATGATGAATGGGCTGCAGGGGCAAGAGCCAAGATTGACCCTGATCACAGAAAACTTACGGCGAGCACGAGGGATTGGAATAAGCTGTTGAAGAGCGCTGGCGCACGGCCTTCGAACTGCACATCCCAGTAGGAACGAACTCATCCGTCAGTCCTCAGTATATTGGTGTAGCGAAGAAGACAATCCTACCTTGCCGTGGCCAATGAATTGAGCGATCCAGGACGCGACAAAGACGACAGTCGCCTTTTGCATCGCATCACTTCGCGTGTCGTAGAGCACGTTCGACATGTGACCCATCGTCAACAATACGGGAGCATAGAGCATCTGAATAGTGTATCTCGGGTCAGTGATAATGCTCGGTCTCGCCAGAATCATGCGATTGAAAGAAAAACTCTGCTCAACCACTCACACCAGCGACGGGTTCGAGAATAGTGAAGTAGAGGGCATTACCGGCGGCATAGAGGAATGGGAAAGTCGCTCGAACGTCAATCTCCTTCCCAAAGCCAAGTTGAGCGGGGAGAGGGACTTGGAAGCGAAAGAAGGTGTGGTTCGACAGGCCGTGGGTGAGGATGAGCGCGGTGAAGAGGATCATGGGCACGCAGACGATGTGAATTAGGACATTGATCTAGCGGCGGATGGACAAGGGGGTTCAGTAGGAGGAACATCCAGAAGAACGATGACTTTGGTCTACCTTGTTGGTATGGTAGGACCCCTTTGCATATCACGCGGAAGTTGAAGCGCCAATCAGCTCTCAGCTAATCTGAATCAACGGGACAGTGCTTTAAAGGGTGGCTTACGTAGAACGTGAACTGCGATTCGAGGTCAAATATGCCCATGTTGTTTGTCTGTGCGGTGACAAGGGAGTCGGAAGGGCGTTCAGGGTCAGAACTGCTCGCAACTCAAGCTCGAGTATGCACGGGGCCGGCGCGGTCGCATCATGTCAGGTGACGTCCTCAACCCGCGGGCAGGCGCGCATACATCCAGCATGCACAGGGTCGGTGAGGAGAATGCTAGCCATGCAGCACCCAAGAGCTCACCTGTGATAGGAAAATGAGTCAGCAGGAACGGAGGATTGGAGAGTGGAGAGTGGAGAGTGGAGAGTAGAGAGTACAGAGTGAGAAGATGAGAAAGATGAGAGTCGGAGAGCAAAAGCGTCAGAAAGCGTCGGGGATCAGTCGAAGCCGAAGCCGGCGGGTGCGCGGAGTAAGTGTGCGCGGTCTCTCGCGGTACGTAGCTCGCGCTAGCTCGCGGTGCTCTGGCGGTGCTCGGGGCTCGGCCTGCTCATTTCGCCACATCTTGACTTGCGATCGACACGTCCGAAAGTAGCTGGCAGCCTCATCCAACCATGACCGGATCCTCGCTGGCGTCGTCGCTACTGGTGCGCCACCTGCTCAGACCACCACTGCCACTTTTAAGACGACTCGTACACGCCTCTGCACCTTCCTTTGCCCAGCGACTGGTCAGACGAAGGGCCCCCGTCGTCGTTCGTCGCCATGTCCCAGCGCCAACCTCCGGAGCTGCCGCTGCCGCCGGGCTTGCGAAGCCTCGCAACGACGAAGGTACAAACAAGGCGCTCGTCCAGAACGAGCAGCAGCAGGACAATACAGCAACCACACGGTCCGTGATCGAGCAAGAAACATCCCATTCACCCGAACTACCACCCGCTTCGCGCCTCCCCGTCGAGGTCCCCCACGATCCGCACGGCGTTATTGATCGGTCGCAATCGCTCGCGTCGGAGAAGGTACGACAATTGTTCGCCGTCCCCGCCATCGTCGTATCGCGACAGCTCGAGATTATGTCCATCATGGTCGGCTACGAGCAAGCCAACAGGTACCAGCTGCAGTCCCCCGAAGGCGAGGTGCTCGGTTATCTCCTCGAGGAGGATCTCGGTATTGGCAAGGCCATCACCCGCCAGATGCTCAAGACTCACCGACCCTTCAAGGCGACCGTACTCGACACGGAAGGGAACGTCATCCTCGTCGTCTCGAGGCCTTTCACCTGGATCAACTCCAAGATCACCGTCTCTCTCCCGGACGACTCGGATCCGGACGCAGCAGGCTCCACGTCGAAGGTCATTGGTGAAGCTCAGCAAGAGTGGCACCTGTACCGAAGGAGGTACAACATGTTTGTCAACCGAGACGAGGAAGGGATGGACCAGTTTGGCAGGATCGATGCCGGTCTCTTGGCCTGGGATTTCACCGTTTTGAATGAAGAGAGTCGTCCCATTGGGTCCATCAATAGGTGCGCTACAGTTCGTGCCCACCAGTTGTCGCATAACAAAACTGACTGGGTGCTGTGAGGCGTCGTGCATAGGAACTTCCAAGGGTTCGCCAAAGAGATCTTTGCCGATGCTGGGCAGTATGTTCTGAGGTTCGAAGGAATCGTCGACGAACTAGCTGCAGCCGGCGCTTTACCGTCGCCGGTCAATGAAGCCACCCTACCATCACCTGCATCGGCTTCAACAACACCAACACCAGCAAAGATTGCGTCGAATAAGGAGGCCTCCTCATCTTCCCAAGGAGACCCGACGTCTCTCGTACCGTCGGAGGAATTGGAAGAATCTTCAACCTCTCCATCCCTCGACCTCGCCTTGCTGCCTCACATCACTTACGATCAGCGGGCCGTCATGTTGGCCTCTGCAATCTCGTGCGACTTTGACTACTTTTCGCGCCACTCTGGCTCGGGAGGGATGATGGGTCCAGGACTGTGGATGCCGATGGGCATGGGTGGGGGAGGAGCGAGTACTGAGGCAGGTACGGAAGCAGGCGCAGAAGCGGGCTCAGAAGCGGGTGGAATGAGTCCCAATGCGGAGGAGGATGAGAGGATACCTGGAGTGGAGGACTCGGGTGGAGTGAATCGGGATAGTGGTGGGTGGAGTGAGCAAGGTTGGGGCGATGGTGGAGCGGGTGGGGAGGAAACCATGTCGGATCCTTGGGCGACACCGCAGGAGGATGCGGACGGGGGGACGTGGGGTTGGGGTGATCTGTTTCCTGGAGAAGATTGACAGAAGCCCACTTATGCCCGGATCTGTATCTCGTTGGTGAGAGGGATGGAAGTCGGCTCGCGGACTAGGGGTCCGTGCGCCACCGGAGGATTGCCGGTTGATCGACTCATTTGGCCACGACCTCGTGTATGTTGTATTTTCCTAGAAGCTATCGGTTGAAAAAATAACTACCTCCCTCCCATCTCATGCAAAAAGCTGATGAACACAATTACCCCTTTTGGGCTGAAGAAAACGAAACGGTGAACTACGGTGAATTCCTATAAAGAGCCCGTTTCAGAATCGGAGGACGACCAAGCGGCTCAGGGCGTGTACTCTGCTTACGCTCTCGCCACCACCCTCGCGTTGGCCTAATCCTGATCAACTCGTTTGGCATCTTCGTTCGCCGGTCCCATTGACCTCCCTTTCGTGTATCCTCTCGACACACGAGTCTGTGCCCCACCTCTGCTGCGTCCAGTCGTTGCGGTTGTCGGCGGTGCTTTGCCCGTATCGGAGTTGAGCCCCCCTCCCCCCCTGCCCACCCCGTCGCCCCCACACGCCCCCGTCCGGCGCCTGTCTCAATCGCGATCCTCCCACCATGTCGACCAACCGCGATAGTGAGTCATACCCCGCGTTGTTCCAAGTGCAGCATGGCGACTAGGATGCTGAACGTTGGTTTCTACTCTCTCTACCCGTCTCCATCAATGGCGATCGCGTCCGGTTCGGCTGTCGTCATCGCCCTTGCGCTCACCCCGGTCGGCCGCCACCTCGCCTCCCTCTCCACTCGCTGGCTGCACGCCCCTCCCCTCCCCATTGCACAGCCTCCCCGGCGTTCCACAGTTTCGTGTTCAAGCTCAAACTTGCCGGCGCGAGCTCGCGTGAAGAGCACCGTCGTTATGGCTTTGTCGGTGACTTGAGACAACCGGCCGTGTTCAGCGTGAGTCACCCATTTCGACGTTCGTCTCGCTGAGCTGATCGGGCCGTTGGCGAGCGCGCGGTGACTCGGGGTGAGACGCCCGGTTGGCTCGCGTGACTCGATCCACCGCGACCGAGGGCTCGGGGCCGGCTTCGGCGAGCAGTCAAGATATGATGACTTGGGCCAAACATGCACACACCACCAATAACACTGTTTGGGTTGTCAGAACTGATCAAACAGACTGGTTTACATCACAGGGGCTTTGCACTCGTACGACCCAGGTCTTCAAGCTTGCTCCGGGCAGCTTCCACCTCGCCACCATCGACCGCCTCGGCCGTCAAGTCTCGGTCAACACCCACGACGATTTCCTTCGTCACGTGTGCGAACCGACCTTGTCGTACCAGAACCTTAATACGGTCAAGCTCGATGCCAAGGGCCGCATCGTTCTCCACTTTCATGTCGTCCGGGTGCCTCAGCCCTCGGCAAACTCTGCCACGCAAGTCAAAGGCTCGGAGAAGCAGCCGCAGTCGCAGGAGCAGGCCGCTTCGACCGGTACGCTCGTCGATGTCAGCGAGCCCGCCTCAACTTCCGAGATCTCGGGTACGATCGCGACGGGACTCTTGATTGACGTCTCGTCTTCGGACTCTGCCGCGAACCCCGAGCAAACCCCGGCCGCTCGCTCAAGCACATCGTCCCCACCCGCGGTGCCCGTCTCTGCAGTCGGTTCGGGTGCGCTTCCTCCTCCGACCCATTATCACCACTCGCACCCTCACGAGCACGGTCTACGCCGCCACAACGAGTTCTCGGCCAGCTGCCGCCCCAGTTACAACCCTTACACCTCGCCTGTCCGTCACCGCCACCAGCATGGCTCCGGCATGCCGGCGACGACCACGCCCATGGTCAGCTATGGCCCGACCGCGCATGTCAGTGCCATGATTCATCGGCTCGAGCGTCGTCGCCAACTCCACGAGCAAACGATGCGCGAATCTTCGTCTGCCGCGAGCTTTTCCCAAGCCCCTCCAGCGGCCTCGACCTCGGCGTTAGCATCCGCTGATGAGAAGACAGCCGAGCCGGCCAAGGCGAGCAACGGCTACACACCCGCGTATGTGACGGATGTTCCTATCGCGGAGAAGGCCGAGACCGAAGCTGGGGCGTCATCGGCCTCGCCCAAGTTGTCACCTCCCTCGTCGCCGGTCGCCGAGACTTGGACCGGCGTTAAGAACATTATCACGACCTTCGTGCGCGACTTCAACCGCCACTTCGCCGACAACATGGGCGACGAGTTCCGCGATTTCCGATTCGCTTCTGTCCGACGGGAAGAGAACCGCTCTCGCGATGCAAGCACTTCGTCCGACGAGGTGCCCATCCACCTCGGTGTCTTCTGCGACGCGTGCCACACCACGATCCAGGGCGTGCGTCACAAGTGCCTCCATTGCTCCAACTATGACATGTGCGACGTCTGCGTTGTCACGCGTCGAGACCACCATAATGCTGGCCACACATTCGCCCAGATCGAGCGGCCCGGGGCGCCGCCTTGCGTCGTCTCTACCGCGCCTGCGGCGTCGACTTCTCAAGCCTCGCCTCCGCCGGAAGAGGTCGAGCGCAAGGCTGTGCACAGCAGCGTTGTTTGCGATGTGTGTGACCACACGGTCATCGGTGTTCGCCACAAGTGCCTCAGCTGCGGCAACTATGACATGTGCGAGGACTGCATTGCCTCCCGCCGCGATGCGCATGACATGTCGCACGTCTTTGCGCAAATCGTCCGACCCGGCGCTGCACCTGCAGTCGTGACCGTTCGATCCGAGTCGACGGCCAAGGCCCCTCCATCCTCCTCGGTCTACAACGCCGATGCGCAACACCCTGCGACATGTGACCGATGCCAAGGTTCTATTCGAGGCGTGCGCTTCAAGTGCTTGCAGTGCCCCGACTGGGATGCCTGCTCAGCGTGCCACGATAGCCACAAGCTCAACGACGTGCACCCTGGTCACTCGTTCGTTCCCATCTATGACCCCAAGCTGTTCGCTACCAGATACAACGGTGTCACTCCTGCCCACCACGAAGGGATCGCTTGCGACGCTTGTGATGTGGGTCCCATCGTCGGTGCGAGATACCGCTGCATGCACCCCGACTGCAACAAGGGTGACTCGTACGATCTCTGTGCGACCTGCGAAGCCGATCCCATCGCTCGCCACCCCATCGACCATCCTCTACTTAAATTGAGAGCGCCTATGGGCCCCACTCCCGAAAACCACCGAGTCGTCAAGGACATCATTGAGCTCGTGCAGCGTCACCTCTCCGCCTCGTCGAATGCCAACGCCCCAATCTCGACTCCGAGGGCGAACCCTGCTTCCCCGGAGGAAGTGCCGATCGCCGTCGCTGCCATCGGCAAGGTCGTAGCGAACGTCATGCGTAAGTGGGGAATCGAAGTCGCCGACGAGTTGCCCACGACTTTGCTCGATGGACCGGGCCCCGAGGAGGACGCGGCTGCATCGTCCGAGGATGAGGCTGTCGAAGCTCCTGAGGAGTCGTCGGCGCCGATGGCGATGAGCCAAGTCGACATGGCTGGAGCCTATCCAATTCAGACGCCTGTCGCTGAGGCGGAAGAGGTCGCCGAAAAGGAAATCACAATCGAGCCTTCGAACGAGCAACCCGTGGAAAAATCTGAGGAGGTCGCGCCCATCGCTGAGGAGGAGCAAGTCAAGGTCGCCAACGCCACCTTGGCGGATGAAACGCTTCGCGCATCGTTTGTTGCGGATGTCACCCTCTCCGATGGCTCGCTCGTGCCCTCCGGCGCCATGTTCACCAAGATCTGGCACGTCATGAACTCGGGCAACGTCGCCTGGCCTGCCTCGGCTCGCCTCGTCAACGTTGGTGGTTTCACTCGCATGCGTTCGTCGACCTTCTCAGCGGCGCTCGAGTTCTCCGTGCCCCCCGCCCAACCCGGGGAGACCGTCGAGCTCTCGTGCGAGCTCCAAGCCCCTGAAGACGAGGGCAAGTACATGGACCATTGGCGCCTCCGCGACCAAGCGACGCAAGACTTCTTTGGTGATCGATTCTGGGTCGCTATCGTCGTCGAATCGGCGCATGCTTCGTCCGAGAACTCGTTGACGAGCAGCTCCTTCATCGCCCCTACTCCGGAGACGAACAGGGCCAGTACAGAAATGGACACGCGCTCGACCGTCTCGTCCGTGTCTTCCGATGAGCTGTCGAACCCCGAAGAGGACGAGGAGTTCATCCATGCCGGCGTGTCGTCCGATGAAGATGTCTCTAGTGATGAGCATGACGTCGAGTCGGTCGTTGACGAGGACGAGGAATTCGTTGTTCTTTCGGATGAGGACTTTGAAGCCTAGACGTTTGACGCATTCTGTATTACTTCGGACATCTTCTTCACTTCGTGTTCTTCTCCCTCTCTTCGAGTCATTCATCGCCATCAACTCATTCTTTGATCTGCGTATCACAAGCCACTACGTCGTCGCGTGCGCCTCTCTTGTTCTATTTGTAACACAGACTTGTTCACTACAATTGCTCGGAGCCTTCTCTACGCGTCCGTCCAAGGTAGTTGATTCACTGAAGTGTACTGATAACCTTCAAAACGAGAGTCTCCTGAATGTGCCCTATTGTGTGCACCGAGTCAATGTCCCCTGGCCGGCGCCGGCGTAGTCTTGCGTTGACGATCACCGGTCTGCGGGCCCGCTCCTTCCGCTTGTGGTTCTGCCTGAACGAACCAGCATTTCTGTACCCTCCTTTCGACTTCTTCTTGCTCGGCTGTGAAGTTCACGCCCCTTTTGGGAGTTAGCATGGACACTTCAATCAAGGTTTCGAGCCGAACCAAGCTCAATCCCCGGGTTAGGAGGCGACCCGATCGATGTGAACATACCTTTGACGATGGTCTGTATGTTGGCTGCGAATTGGGCCATGTACTTTTCGTCATCGGCTAGGATCTGGTGTACCCTGCCGATCGAGGCGGACATCTCTTCCTACGAGGTCATGCATCCGAGCAAACTCGTCTTAGCCTGAGCAAACCTGCGTCACGCCGAGGACTTGCCCCAATGCCAGTTGAGGACCCACCTGCATCCTTTCCGACAGACGCATCAACTCCCCCTTCAACCTCTTCTCCTCCTCCCCGAATATCCTCTCCCTTTCCTCGAACGCGTCCTTCTCACCCTGCAACTCGACGTTCATCTTGTCGAGGATCGCGTCAACCTCATTTTTATGCGCTTGGGCTAGGGGTGCGATTTGTTGCGCGAGCTGATCGCGACGCTGTTGGCGCTTTTCGAGCTTGGGTTTGAAGGCGTCGGCGAGGGTCAAATTGAGAGAAGGACTGTGATGGTGGGAGATGGTGCGATGAGCGTCGTTGCCGACAAACGGTCATCGTTCGTTGGGAAGGGGAGAGGAGCCATGTGGGGCAAGGCGGGCTACTCAACTCTTCATCATCGACATCTTGACTCGCAACGGGCGTCGAGCCACAAGGGGGTGCCATGATCTTGTTCCGAATGGTATCGAGCGTATACCGACAGCTGTCGTCAATCCAGCAAAGGGTGGGTGTGGACAGAAAGAGGGACAAGAGAGGAGGCGAGTGATCACCAAAATTCGATCCGCCTCCTAACGCGGCAAACGGCGCGGCCGAGATGATCTCGAAGGAACTTGATGTGTGGGTCGGCGATTGTGAAAATGCCATGTAATATGCAAAAAAAAGATCGCTTCTATACGTTCTCAACGATCCATCTGTGGCCCCAACGCAGCTCAAGAAAACTCGATCGACCGAACGCCCGACCGTCGTCTCCAGCTCATCACCAGACACTGATATCCTCCAACACCTTCAAGACTCTACAATCCTTCCCCTTTTTCCTCGTGCAACACCTCGCCCAACTCCAATTCTGACCCCTCATCTTCTTCGGCGCAGGGACGTTGAAGGTGCAATGAGCGAAGAGTCGAGAGTCCTGCATGATCTCGTCGCAGTTGTCGACCTTGTCCGCGCCGCTGCAGCAGCGTTCCCATTTCGTGTTGCCAGGTGTGCGTACGATGAGTTCGCAGCCTCTTCGGGGTTGACTGCAGCGGCGGATGGGTTGTGGCGGAGAAGACAAGTCAGTCAGATCTGGGAGGAGCAGTTACAGGCCCTGCAGGGGTTCGCTGCAATCGCTCTTACGCGTTACCGGGGACAATATGCTCCAGTTTGCTGAGATCCTTGGGGACACTGTCAAGAGTCACAACCCAACGACGCAGCGAGGATCTCAGTAGGGTCTTCCGTCGTGGCTGTTTCGCCCGAGGCTCGAGCGCGCCGCGACGCGTGTCGACTCGATTCGGTGGGAAGTTGGACACTCACCCTGCTACAGCTCGAGGCTTCATATCAACAACTTCACCGAGTGCGGCATTGAAACACACTAAAAAGAGGACGAGCAAGCACTGCCGCAGGGAGGCTCGTCGTCTCTGATCGATCATCTTGCCCAGCCGGTTCTGTGGAGGTTGCACGACGGACGAGCGAAAGGGCCGGTGACGCGCGCCGAAAGACTCTCCTACGGCCTCTTCCCGAAGTCCTCTAGTAGTCCTCTAGAGTCCTCTGAGAATCTCGGCCCACCCTCGGCTGTAGCATCGCAGCATGTGCCGGATACAAAGAAAATGGCATATGCATCTCAAGCACCCTTTTACAAAAAAAGTAGACAAAGGCGTTGTTACCGGAAAACGACGCGCGCCGGCTTTTGTTTCATTTTATTTCGTTCTTCCGTTCTTCCATTCTTTCCCACGGCTTGATCTCTTCACTTTGAAGCTCGCGACCTAGTGACCCTCGGTTCATAATGCTCGTCTTCATACTTGCGTTTCCTGGTGAATCGTTTCAAGAATCCAGCGAATCTCAGCATACTTCCGTACAATGAATAGCCAGGTCGTCTAATCGCCTTGACTCGACACTCACCTCGTCGAGTCGCGATCATCGGCGTCCTCCTCCTCGCTGTATCTCCGACTCCTCCTCGTCCCACTTCTCCGCGACGACGCCTCACGATGATCTTCGTCGTCGTACCTCGTCGATCGTCGACGATGACCTTCGGCCTCGCGCGAAGCACTGACTTCCCTCGAACTTCGATCACCCGCCCCATCTTCCTCCACAACGGCGGCGGCTTGACTTCCTTTGATCTTGAAGCCTGCTGGCCGTGCATCCTCTTCGGCTCCAACGTCGTGGTCACGATCCCGTCTCTCACGATCCCCTTTATCCCGATCAGTACGACTGTCCCTCCCTTCTTCCTCCTCCTCCGCCCTCGAACTCCTCCCCGTCGCCTTCCTCGAGCCCCTTCTTTCACTCCCACTATCCCTGGGTGAATCCCTCGGCGAATCCCTCTCTCTCTCCCTCTCAGTTACCCCTCGCGCCCTCCCCCCAGCTTCATGCCCCGCCCCCGCTCCAGTCGTCGCCGTCGTCGTCGACCCCCCTCTCGAATAATCAATCGACCTCGACCTCGATCTCGACCTCCCGGAATCTTCCGAATAACTCCTCTTCCTCCTCTCCCCACCACCTCGTTCGTTCAATGGCGTTCTCCCCTCCGCACCACCAGTCGAATGACTCGTCGACACACCACCACTCCCCCCACTTGCACCACCGTAATCGAGGCCGCTCATATCTTGTTGCCCCGCTTGTCGATCTTTGTCGTGATACGTCGCATGAACACCAGCTCGAGGACCTCGTGGAGGAGGACCGGCGTTCCTCGGTCCCGTAGGTACGTTGGGGGGTAGAGCCGTCGGGACGTTCCTTGGACCGGTCGGGATCGCTCCTTGCGGCAAGCCCGGCTGGGGTCCATTCGCCCCGCCGCCGGGAAGCATCATCATCCCCCCGCTCCTTCCACCTCTTCCAGCGAAGGCACCTCGCCCACCTCGGAGGTTTACCCCCATCCCTCCTCGACCTCGTCCACCACCCATCATGTGCTGTTGTTGTTGTTGCATCTGTTGCATTTGGTGCATCTGTTGTTGTTGCATTTGTTGTTGCATTTGGTATTGCTGTTGCATCATGGTGGAATAGTCCTGTGATAATGGTCGTTAAGAGAGGTCGTGGTCAGGGCTCGAGACTTGTGCCCAAAAGCGGGAGGCACACTCACCGCATCACCTCCTTCATTTCCTTCGCCATTCTCTTCCGTAACGTTCTGCTGCGTCGCGTTAGGGTCGTTGACTATGAAAGAGTAAAACCTTTGACTTTCAGCACTCCGTTCCGACAGATGAAAGCACACGCCGCCATGAAACTCACGGTCGGCCGCACCCTCATTCTCGAAAGCCTCTGCCTGTCCTTGTCCTTGACCCTGGCCCTGAGCACCTTGAGGCATTCCGAATCCACCTCCTTCCATTCCCATTCCCATGCCCATACCGCCCATCCCACCGATTCCTCCGATCCCCATCTCACCATTCCCTTGCATCCCCTGAGGCATATTCGCGCCATTGCCACCATTCATCATCATCCTCGCCTGACCTCCAATCTGCGCATTGGGCCCGCCACCGCCGCCGTAGATGTCCATCCCTCCTTGTGTTGGGCCCTGTCCTTGATTACCATAGCCTCCAAGTCCTTGTTGAGCCATCATCTGCTGTTGCTGTTGCTGTTGTTGTTGTTGTTGCTGCTGCATGAACGCCTGCGCCGTCGCCGCGGGATTCATCCCCTGTCCTCCCTGAGCTCCCGAAGCAGCAGCCATCATGCTCATCATATGCATCATCGCTTGAGGGGGTGGTGGTCCCGGCATACTCGGTTGAATACCCATCAGGGAAGCGACCAAGAGTATTTTTTGTTCGGGGTGCAGGGACGAGATGGCCGTGGGAAGGTCCGAAGTGGCAAAGATCTTTCATGTGGGATCAAAAGGAAAAGCGATCGTCAGGATTTTTTCTCTCTTTATTTTTCCCCCACGAGGACGAAACCCTCCCAAGAGTTTGGGTTGGAAGAGAGTGGACTTACGGCGAACGGGTTACTCGCATCGTTCTGTACTTCTTGCCTCAATTTTTTCTGCTTCTGCGCGTAGTTCTTCCACGCCGCTTCGTTCATCCCATAGTTGAAATAATCGGCCATATTCGCGCCCGGTCGAGTCCAAGGTTTTTCGGGGAGCGCGTCGAGCTCGAGATCGAAGAGGTCGTGACCTTGGTCATCTTGGGGGATCAAGTCGACGTCGAGGCTGGGCGGAGGCATCGTCGGTGGGAGCGGGTAGAGCGATCCGCGTGGGATGAGGGTCGGTTCGACTTTGGCAGTGGTAGGCGGGTGCGGTGCATCGTCTTCTGCTTCTGTCGCTGGAGTGGGGGCGGGGGCGGCTGATGCGGTGGCGGGTGGGTTCGAGTTCGGGTTCGGGGTGTTCGTGCCTGGCCTGTCCAAGGGTGAATAGTCGGTCGTGGTTTTAGGTGCGGTGACTGTGGGGTAAGGGGGGTATGGAGCGTCAACTCGGCTTGGCGCGGGTCCACCGACGGAGTTCGGCGATGAAACGGACGAGGTTGGGTGGGCGATACGGGTGCGAGGATGGGCACGGGTGCGTTCGGTCTGCGCAAGCTGTGGAAGGTACCATAACGGGGGCGTGAGTTGAGGGATCCCGAGCGGAGAAGAGGACCCAGTTGCGGGACTGACGGGGGTGGTGGCGGCACGGGATCACCGTCGAGGATCAATTCAATGTCCTGCCCCGTGGGGGGTTGTGCGAAACGTTCAGTCACAGCGAAACCAAAGATGATGCAGCGGGGTTTACCCACCTCGTCACTGTCCTCTTCGTCCTGCTGCTGCTGGATCTCTGCCTCGTCGTCGTCGCCATTCTGAGCTGATGCGCTGTTGGCGAGAGACGATCGCTGTGGTCAGCTGGGGAGCGACTAGATCGAGCCCGAGTGAACTCACGCAGTATTCTGAGCTGCTCCACGCAGCACGCAGCACGCAGCACGCAGCACACCACACGGAGCAGAAAGGGCGGTCAGTAACTCGGCGTCGGCTCAGCGCCATGAACGGCGCACGGCACTGACCTGGTGCAGGTGCGGCCTCCTTTTGCGGCGTATGGTTGATGACGAGTTCGTCGCCATCACCGTACAAGAACGCGTCGTCTTCGTCAAAGTCCATACTTGATCCCAGAGTGCGATGCGCGATGGTGGAGTGGGGCAAGAGAGAGAGAGAGAGAGAGAGAGACCGAGAGAGACTGAGAGAGCGAGAGAGAGAGAGAGCTAGAGAGAGCTGCCGAAGCGCTTCCGCTCGCGACGGCACTGCGACGGCTTCGTCCCACTTTCGTCCCCGTGCCGTCCCCGTGCTGTCCCCGTGTTGGTCCTCTTCTCAGCTCTTCTCGACGTTGCCACACCACACGCCCGACCCATTCAGGATGGCCTCCTCGACCCCGATCGATCCAGAGTCTCGCTCGTTCCTCGCCACGTTCGAACGCTGGCGGATCGCCATCACGTCCCTCACGCTCCCTGCGCCTGGACGTCCCTCACCGCTCCGATGCGACGCCTCCACTTACGCCTCCACTTCCGCCTCCACGCCGTCCTGGTCCGATGGTCAGATCATGCAACCCACCACGACCACGACCACGCCGACCTCTGACACAACCGCTACTGCCGCACCCGTGTCGGAACGAGAACGGAAACGACTCGTCAAGGAATGCAAACGCTGCAAAAAATGGACCGACGAACTCGCTCGCGAATCACCCATCATCCGTTTCCTGCTCATGCACGTCGCCCTACTCCCTCCCTCCCCTTCCGAATCCACCCCTTCCCCCTCCATCACCTCCTCTTCGCCCTCGTCTTCCTCTTCCACCTCCTACCCGATCCCGATCACCTGCCAACCCTGTCCGCCCACTCTGGCAGGCGGCTTCTGCCCGACGCTCGGCATCCTCCTCTGCCAAAACCGCTTCATGAGCAAGGCGCACCTCCAAGACGCCCTCGCCCACGAACTCATCCACGCCTACGACGATCGTCGGTTCGACATGGGCAAAGCCGACGATTGGGGCAAGGATTTGCGAAAACACGCTTGTACCGAGATCAGAGCCGAGAACCTCTCCGGCGATTGTCGCTTCTCGAGAGAATTCACCCGCAGGAATTGGACTTTGACCAAGCAGCATCAGGTGAGCGCGCACCCACGCCCATCCACACGATTCCCGAGTTGGACGTCATCGCTCATACCTCCGTGAGCGCACCACAGGCCTGCGTGAGGAGAAGGGCTACGCTCTCCGTCGCCGCGAACCCGTACTGCAAGGACGAGCAAGAGGCCCAAAAAATCGTCAACGAGGTTTGGCACAGCTGCTGGCCCGATACACGACCTTTTGATGAGGTCAGCAACTTTCGCACAACCTCTCGCGTTGGATCGGTCGGCTCTGACCCTCTACCCTTCCTCCAAACACAGATCTACTAGAAACCTTTGTGTCATATATACGCTGCGCTCTTGTACGCTGCACTTTCTTTTCAACCCCAGTCAGGTATCCACTTTTTGCCGCTACTGCCATGACACGCTCTTCTCTCCACTTCCAATCTCTACCGCATACTGTTTGACAAGCTAATTTCAAGAGACAGCGACAACATGGCTTCCTCTCTCATACACAAACACCCACCCACACACGCAAGCATATACGAGACGGTGCGAGATGAAGATGCACAACTTGCTTTGCATCGGAGCTTCAAACTTCAAACGAGAGGACAACAAAAAGAAAACAACGACTCTTACTGCGTCGTTGTAGCCACACCCGACGTTGAAGGTCCTCCATTGGCGGTACCATGATGGGCCCCACCTCTCCCTCCTCGATAACCCGCGCCTCGCACAGGAGCCCCTCTCCCTCCTCTCCCACGCCCTCGGTTCGAAGCCGCGACCAACGCAGCAGGTGGAGGGATATTGACTCCACTCCCATTCGGAACGGCGCCGTGCAAGTTCTGGCCAGGCAAACCTCGACGAGCGGGCATGGCGTGTACACCTGTGTGCCCTCCTCCACCACCACCACCTCGTCCTCCACGGCCGTTGAATTGCTGAGCGATCGGAGCGGCGGCGTGAACGGGGATCCCGAGCAGGGAACCCAATTGCTGTTGCTGCTTCTGTTGGGGGAACGGTTGGTTCGGTCGAATACCGAGCAACGAACCCAAACGCGCTTGTTTGTTGGCCTGGCCATTCTGACCGGGTGCCGTCAAAAGTTGAGCCGGATTCGCCGAGGGCTTGTGAACGCCTGTAGCGACCTCGCCGTAAGCGTTGGGATCGAAAGCAGGTGCGGCTTTCTTAAGCACGGTGACCTGGTGACCATTCGTTGCAACTCCGTTCGGCCGACCTCCTGCTCGGTTCGTATTAGGGGCAGGATGGAACCCACCGGCGGGCAGGCCCTGAGCGGGTAGGATCGTCGGTCCTCCTCGAGGTCCTTTGGTGAAGTGAGCGTTGGCGTTGCCGCGAGGTGCAGCGTGTCCACCTCGGCCACCACCTCGCACCGCACCATTCGTACCATGGCCGTGACCGTTGGCTTGACCTGCAGGTGCGGGAGGCGCGTTCGAGTGCACGAACTGCATGTCCGTCAAGTTGAGCACGGTCGCAGGCCCGACGGTCGCACCGCGGTAGTCCGAGCATCGACCGCCCAAGGTCGATCCTCCAAGGAACTGGACGTCGAACACGACGTCAATAAATCCCGTCTGGATGCCGACGACCGTGCCTTTGGCGGACAAGGGAACGCTACCCGATTCCGAAACGACGGCGACACGATCGCCGAGGCTAAAGTGTTGATCCCGCAGGCGGGTCAAAGCGTGCGCGGGCTTGAGCAAGCCGTGACGAGGGATACCCTTGATGACGGCCTGCTTGATGTTGCCCCCGTGCTTTTGGCTGCCAAGTCGATCAGCGAGTTGTTCAACCATCTGCACCGCAGTCTTGTCGAGTTGATCGGACCACAGTGCGACCCTTTCGAGGTCTTTGACGCCCTTCTGCTTCAACCAAGCGCTGAGGTCCTTGACGCGCTGATCGGCCGCGTTGGGCGCAAAGAAGTCGATCGAACGGCTGAGGTCTGTGGATGCGCACGGATCACAGATCAGTCGGTACTACGACAAGACCGGAAACGAGTCACGTTTGGTCTTACCGCTTTTGCCACGCGTGTCCATAGCCTGGATGATCTCCGGGAACGACCGGCAGTAGTCGGTGATGAGCTCGATCGCCTTGTGGGTGAACTCCCAACTCGAGTCGCCCTTGCGCGAGTAGCCCAACACCTTCTGACTCTTGGCCTCGAACTTGAGGTTCAATCCGATGTTGAGCTTGTTGTCGTTGTGCGTGATCAAGACGCTCGAGGTGATCTTGGACAAGGTCAGACCCGAGATGCGCAATCGACGAGCGACGGCATGCGCAGGCACATAGTCGGCTGTGCCGAACGCTTCTAGGCGCGTCTTGAAGACGCGATTCTCGAGTTTATCGGTCGGGAAGAACGCGACACGGATCGCAAGGGCGTCACCGTCATGACCGACGACCTGGGCGGGAGCTCCGTACGCAGGTGCGCCGAAGAAGAAGACCTTGGCGCCCTCGGGGAACTCGACGTCGACGGGGATCGCGGGGCTCTCGAGGTATCGCACGTCCTCGTTGCTGACCTCGGCCACGGTCGCCTGCAGAGCAAAATGCTGCTCCTCGTCGTCCCACTCCTTGACTTGAGCGCCGTCCTCCATTCGCTTGAGGCCTACGCAAGGTGTGAGAAAGATGATCGGTCAGTATTTCGGGTACATCGGCATTCAGCACAGGCATGCGACCTCACCCTTCAGTGTCTTGACATGGACGAGGTGATCCAAGTGCCCGACGAGCAGACCCTGCTTCTTGGAAAGCGTGTGCTCGATGTTCTGCGCCTTGCGCTTCCAATCCATTGTGTTGGGCTGAGGACTGAGTCGAACGCGCGTTCGCCCGCCTCTCCCCTCGTCGACTTGGCCATCGATATCGCAGCGGAACAGCTCGTCCGAGATGGCGACGACGAGCGCTTCCTGCAGATAGGGGTACCCGACGTAGATGCGTTTGCCGACGAGTAAAGCCGCGATGTCCTCGGACTTGATGCCGTCGTAAAGATTGTCGATTTGCACGACCATCGTCTCCTTTTGCGATTCGCGTTGGAAGATGCTGACGCCGTGGAAGTCGAGTCGGCCCGTGAAAGGGATCGTATGCAGGGACGGGAAGCCGGAGATGGCATCCTTGCCCAGCAGGACGCCGGGCACGAGGCCAGGAAGCAATTTGAGCGATCCGTCCAGAGTCGGCAGGTGATAAGGCTCGACGACGGTGTGGCAGTTGTACAGATCGGGGAAGAAGCCAGGCAACGACGACGGGTAGACCGCGTCGCGCTTCTGGTCATAATTGAACCGCCAGCTGTCGCCGAACGAGTTGCGCTTGCGCTCCTCGTTCGTCAGCCGGGGCTCTCGAGTGGCCATCGTAGCGAGGAGGCGCTTCTCGTCGATGAAGGGGATCTTGACGATTGCCTCCCAGTCTTGTTTCTTGCCGTTGAGATCTTGCTCAAAGTTGACGGGGTAAAAGTCAAGGATGGGCGAAGTCGGGTCCGAGAGCAAGTCGCGGAAGGCGAGAGGAATATGTTGCGATGACAGGTCGGGCAACACGCCCATCAATTGCTCAAATGGCTTGAAGGGCTTGCCGAGCTCAAAGTTGAACTCGTAAGTGTAGGCCTTGTTAAGGTCTGTCGGGAGGGAACGCGGGCGGACCACACTCATCACTGGTCAGGGTCGAGCGCGACGGTCCACGCTCCTGACTGCCCGACTCACCGGAAATCTTGGGTGCGTAGTGGTAGTTGTAGAACCAGCCCCATGACGCGACACCCGAGTAGTAGTAGCGCAAGACCCATTGCAATCCTTCGATATATCGGTAAGCGAGTTGATCGACTTGCGAAGGGTCACTGGCATCGAACTCGAGTTTCTCCTGTGTATAACAACAGTTCCTACAATGAGCACGATATGACCGTGTGAGACCTGTTCGAGGCGCACCTTGTAATACTCCTTCTTCCAGTCTAGCATCTTTTGTTGAACCTCGACCTTGTGTTCATCTTCCTGTTCTTCCTCAGTCAATTGTCTTGGCGTCTCGGCACTCTCATACTTGGACAAGACCCGGCCAATCGTGAGCTGCCAGTGCTGGCCTTCCGAGTCGTTTCGCGCGGACGCGAGCAATGACTCTTCATAGCTGAGCACGACGATAGGGTTGTCGTCTTCGTCGAACTCGTCGTACGCGACCGAAAGCTGCAACTTCTCGGCCAAGGTGGCGAGGAAGTGTTGGTCGCGCGAGGGGAGCGGGCCAGGGAGCTCGAGCCGTGCGTTGGGCGAGAGCTCGGGCATGTTGTCATTTAGAAATTTCTGGACGCGAGTGAAGATGGCCTTCTGGGCTTTGGTAATGACTGGGGAAAAAAGAGACACTGTCAGGGGCCATGTTAATGTCAATGTTGTGCGCAGCTCACCTAGCTTGCCATTGGTCTGCTTGCCCGATTTTTCGATCGCGCGACTGGGCTTGGCCTTGAAAAGGCTCGAGTCGGCAAAGTCGTACTCGAAGTGCTCCTGCTCGAATATGGTCAGCTCGTCGAGTACGAGCTGGAGTCGTTTGACATTAAGGTTGCCATGCTCGTTCAAGTAGCCGCCTTGTTGCAGCGACATCGTCAGTGACGGCTACCTCGTATGCGAAGCAGACGCCAGCAGCACTTACCGGCCGTAGGTAAGATGCGCTTGTAAATCTCGAACAAGCGACCCAAGGCTCCTTCGTTGATGTGCAATCCCGGAAGATGCGGTAAGAAATCGTTGCCGACAAAGATGTTGAGCAAGATGAAGTCGTCGATGATCCGCTCGAGGTCATATTCAAACGGCAAGGCCGAGCTCGTCTTCAGTGCCTGGAACTCGAGATCGAGATATTCGCGGAAGAGGGAGAGGTGCATCAAGAAGAACTTTTGGGCTTCGAGGCTGTGGAGCGCCATCATTGTGTCAGAGATAGATTGAGATGCAGTGTCGTCTATTTTGGGGCTCACCCCTTGGCTTTGCCCTTCTTGGGCCCGAAGGTGACCTCCTCGCGCAAAAGACAAAAATGAGGGTCGTGGGATAAGAGCCCGAGCATGATCAAGTCTGCGTCCAAGCCGTACATGCAATGGCGGACGTTCGAGTCGTAGCCGGGCTGGGCCTTGTTGAGTCGGATGTACTCCATGATCTTGTGCTCTCCTTCGCCGGGAACCTGAGGAGGGTCAGAGGAGACGGGGTCAAATTAGAGGCCGACGCGCTGGTGTGAGGCCCCGAACGCGGAACGCGCCTCGTGGCCGGAAAGAATGATCTCGACGCCTCTCCAGTCGGCGTCCTCCGAGACCTTTTTGGCGATAAAGTACTTGAGTTGTTCCGAGAGACGAGCCATGAAGGGTGTGCCGGGGGTGATGCAGTTGCTGTCAAAGCCGTCGCCTTCGGGCATCTGCTCGCCCTTGTCTTTGGCCTTGTCAACGAGCTCCTTCATCTCCTTGGCAGTCCTGAATCGCCTCGACCGCTGCTGGTTCATCTTGGCCCTCGGTGCGACGCCGTCGACGGCGAGGAAGAACAGCTTCTGGGGTTTGATGACGGAGAAGAGGTGCGAGATGTAGGCAAAGGTGGCGAGGAAGATCTGCTCTTCGGTGATTCGGAACGAGGCGTCGTTGTCGTTCGGGTGCGAGCAGTTGTGGATGATGCCGTTCATATCGAGGTCTGTGGAACGGTAAGGGTTACAAGTGTGAGCGCAAGGTCGCCTGTCTGGGGGTCATTGCCAGCTGGATCGCGTGTGGGGTCCGATCGAGAGAGCGCGACTGACATAGCGCGTCAAACTCGGGGATGCGATCATCTTGGATGAGCTGGGAGATGAGTGGGTACCGCTCCCTGTTTTGGAGTAGGATGACACCCAAGGTGGGTGAGTTATAGGGTTGAGCACACGCACGATGGCTGAGAGGGAGGAACGTACGACATGAAGCGGAAGAACTGCGGAGCGGTCATACGATCGAGTCAGTGAGCCAGTGGGATGGGCGCTGCTGAGTATGGACTTTGGGCTGACCTTGGGAATTCCTGTAGCGCGTCATGGTGGCCAGATGAGTGAGCGAGCAGGCGAGGTGGAAGGGATGGATCGTACGACCCAATCGAGCATCGTCAGCGGTGTGGGGACTCGACTCGAGTGGCGATCTCGACGCGACACGGCCCAGAGTACTGACCCATCTTGGGGAATGAGCTATGTGCTCGGTTTGATTCGAATGCGGTGGGGGCTGGGACAGGGACAGGGAGAGAGCGAATGGCACACGGCCAAGAGTCGAAACGCAGAGGGTGGGTGCTGGTGGCTGGAGCTCGGCAGGACAAGGTAGGACAAGGTGCGAACAGGCAGTTCGTCGCCCGTGGCGCGATGCAAGTGGTCTATTGATCGCTAATGAGCAATGCGCGGTCGTAATCGGTTTGGGGGTTGCGCTCCACTTTTCTTTCCCCTCGTCCACACTCTTTCACACGCCATCGTCGATCACCGTCAGATCGGATCGAGCCAGAGCACCTCTCGTCAGGAACTCGCAAGCGAGGGGAGACGATGAGCCCTGTTGCTGCGAGCAGGATCCACGCTCCAGCTACACCACCTGTGCTCGACTCAACATCAGCAGCATCGGCCTCAGCAGCGTCTTCGTCGTCGTCATCGTCATCCGCCCCGCCGCCCCCGCGGCCGGCTGTCGCGCCTCTGAACATCCCCCCACAATCATGGCACTCGCCACCCCTCATCAGCCGCTCTTGAAGAGCGCTCCTAGGACCGCGAGCGGTATAACTCGTGACGTTCTACTCGACGAGCGCAATCACTTCATTCCCTATGATCTTGGACGGTTCACGAAATTGGTCTTCTATCAGCCAAAGGCCCGGTTCTTCTACCGGGAGCTTGAGGTCATCTGGCAAGGCGTCCCGTCGTCAAGCTGGATCGAGCTAATGACGCTCATGGGCACCAAGGCTCTGAGCGTCAAGGCGAGGGAGGCGCAACTTGCGGCCCAGAGAAGCTACAACATCTTTTCCTGGCAAATGTGGAGAGACCGGATGGAGATGCACGATGTGTGCACCAAAGCTTTCGAGGACTACAACCAGGTCATGTGCCATAGCGGAGTGTGTGAGCACTGATGACTCCGTCGTGGCGCCGACTAAGTTTGCCCGCTCGTTGCGGAGCAATCTGCCTGATCCACACCACGTGTGCTGAAACCTGCTATCCGAATTCCTTCCATCAGACCTGCACATGCTCCGCGACTCGTTCATCGCCGATTACAATGCCCGGCATCCCAAACTCGACCCTCCTCTGAGCCGCACCGACGATCTCCGAGCTCGCCTCCCCTCTCGCGATCTTCCTTCGATGGCCGAGCATCGCAAGCAGTTCCAAGATCGTTTCGGCACGAATTCAACGCCGTGGTTCGGTATATTCACGAAGCAAGAGAAGCGTCATCTGCGAGGTGCGTCGGTCGAACGGGCTCTTCGGACATGAGCAGCTCTCACCATCGTCTTCTACTGACCGCACCTCGATCAGCGTTTGGAATTCTTCTTGACCCAGAGCCTGATGGCACTACTGATTTTGACCACGTCGTTGATTTACGGGTAGGGGTAGGGATCGTAGGAGAAGTCAAAGAGATGCTCGTCGACGAAGCCTCCCCTACCCATGGCCTTACCTCGTGACTCGGACCAGCGGTTGTGCTTCAAGGCCGAGGCACACTTGAACGCGACGTGTCTGGAGCACAATATGAGTATGTGACGTTGGGATCGTTCATCTCGATCCTTCATATGTTGTGATGTCGCTCCTGAGAGGTTCATGTTTTCCATGCTTCTGCTTTGTGAAACGATGCCGGAGTTTGTGCCCTGAATCAGGTCATGCAGTGGGGCTTGCGGATGTGCTTTCGCTGACGTAGTATGCGATCTCTCGTAGAAATTTGGTTTCATGTTCGAACTGGAAAAGACATGCATAACTTTCAAGTGACTATGAAAGGGAGACGGTCTTGAAGCACAGTCAGTTTGATGAACGTCGTTCGATCATTTTCGCTGCCGGAGGTTTGGAGAAGATCGGGCCATTTCTGCATCTGCGAGCTTGAACAAACTTTCGTACTTCTTCTCGAGCCCGGCTAAGCCTCTCAGGACAGCCTCCTGCCTCTTCCTCAATCCATCAACAATGTCGTCCTTCTCAGCCTCCTTCCACTGTGCAGGAGCTTTGGACAACCGATCGCTCGGCGAAGCGATCCCCCGATCGACCCCTTTCGCCGCACTCGCCTTCCGCCCCGTCATCCCCACCACCCAAGCCCTCTCCTGCATCTCCTTCCACGCTTCCAGGTCAGAGACATTACGTTTCGCCCTTCCACTGCTCCCTCGACCTGGTTGAGCATCCTGTTCATGATCCCCTTCTTCGACGGGGGTCGAGGAGGTACGACAGCGGTTTGGTACCGGGGTTTGGGCGCCGATCAATCGCGAGATGGGCGTGCCGGTCATCAGATGCTCGGATTGGCGGTGGCGCGAAACAGAGGGATGCAAAGGGGTGCTTTGGCGCGTGGTCATGCGAGCCTGCGTTTCCTGTGTCAATTCCGTGCCTCTGGTTGGGATCTGTTGCTCGAACTCATTTTGATCAGGCATCCAAGTGAATATCCCCTTCCAATACTGCTCCTCCTGTTCTCGACTCCTCTGGCACGATTTCGGGCTGGGTCGAAGGATCGATAAACCGGGGGAAGAGAAAAAAGCCGAATTGAAGTTGAAAAGCTGGGGGACATCGTCGTTGGCATCGGCTTTCGAAGTCTCGGGCGATGATGGGGTCCCCGTTGAAGTCGGTATATCGAAGGCTGGTGGAACGTAGGTCGAGGTGGAGGGGAGCGGTTTGAAGAAAAGGTGCGACCTGAGCGAGATCGGCGAGGGTCGTGACGAGGCCGGGACAAGTAAGCTCGATATCAGAGATGTCGCGGCGGGAGTGATGGGAAACGGTAGGGGCAGAGCCAAGGTTGTCTGTTTGGGGTCAGTGTAAAGGTCAGCCACGTCCCCACAGGGCCACGAACCTTCGACCTAGCGCCGAAGGACTGACGGCAGAGTTGATGATGCGGTCATACGTCTCGGCGATCGATTCGGCGAAAAAGGGCGCTTGACCGGTCAGGAGCTGTGATCCTCAAGAATCATCCAGTCAGATCCACAATGACATGTCCACTTATCGCTTTGCGTTAGGCTCACCTCGAAAATGACCACTGCAAAGCTCCACAAGTCGACTTCAGCGCCATACGCTCGCTCGTCACCATCGTCCGCGTTGGGCTCGCCACCTCCGAAGCTTTCATCGACGTCTTGTTCAACAAGACTTTCGGCGTACTTGAGAACCTCGGGAGCGATGTAGTCTGGTGTTCCAACGAGGGCTCGGCAGTATCTCTTGGCAATCGAAGACCGTCGATGTGATGTGGACGTTCTGGATGGGTCCCCCCGGATAGGAGCAGCAGAGCCAAAATCGGTAAGAAGGAGTCGACCGTTTTCGTTGAGGAGCAGATTTTGTGGTTTGACGTCGCTGCAATGCAAATAAGGCAAAATATCAGCGCCCTCGCCAGGTTGGAGCAAATTCCTCACAGGGATCGGCGACGAACCGATGTGCCCATCCTTTGGAATTGAGCCACTCGAGCGCTTCGAGTAATTCCTTCATCCATCCTCGAACAAGTCCTTCCTCAATACCAACGATACTGACGAGAGAATCGTCCGGTCTCTGATGGGCAGCGACGTTGGCGTTCGTCGCTTCGAGTAGAGTCCACAGATCGCCGCCCGGGCAGTGCGAGATCACGAGATGGAAACGCTCGGGCGATAGGAAGGAGGCGATGAGGGTGGGTGTATGTCGGCGATCTGGAAGGGTCTCGAGCGACTGCTGAAGTATACCAAGCTCGTGCCTTATGAACTGCTGCTGTGATTAGAAGCCAGGGGTGAGGGCGAAAAGGGCGATCTGGTCAGGGTTTTCCGTTTCTGAAAGAATTCGCAGACAGGATCGGACTCGGTACAGAGGACTCACGTTCTGCATCCGATATCCCCAACTGCGATCCAGAGTCTTTACGATGTAGTACTTATCCGAACCATTGAACGCAAGTTTCGTTGCTGACGACGAGGCAAGGTGCTTCTGCGCGATCACGAGCTGTACACTGGCAAACGAGCCGGAGCGAGAGAGCGTGCCCGCGACGACGAAATCATCCATGCTCAGCACTACCTTCTGCAGGCGTAGTAACGCGGGAGCCACATCTGTCAATTGATTCCATTATCAGCTTTCATCCTGAACAGTGTACTCCAAGGCAGTCGCTCATGCCCTCGTACCCTGTCCCTGTGCTGCCAGTCTCTCAACCTCGGACAAGGTCAGGTGCAGCAGCTCGTTCGGCAGCGCGGACGAAGGCAAGGAGCGTGCCAAAGAGGACAGTGTCGCATCGATAACGCGTTTGCGTTGATTCCATGTCGGCATCTAGGCGTGGTCGGCCATGAGTCGATGACGATGCGGAGTTGAAATGTAGCCGGCTGCGACGGACAGCGCGCCGCGCGACTCGACGCGACGACGGCCAGTCGACGTCTTCAAGTTTCGCGTGGTGCAGCGCAAAAAAATGTGTACCGAGCGAGAGAGTCGACCTTGCGCTACTGCGACCTTCAAACCGCCCACTTCCTAGCATGAACATCAAGATTTTGTAACATGTATGGGAATACTATGAGACCACTTTGTCTCAAATATCGTTAACGCAAGCCCGACCCGAGTCCGTCCCGGTCCCCCGGCCTCCGAGTCGGTGTGCTCAGCTGTTGCCCGACCGCGACGACCACCGGTTGACCATTGACTGGACTGGACTGCTCACGTGTGATCCACAATGGTCTTGACCGCAGGTCGATGGGCAGAAGCACGGACACCGCGGTGCGGCAGAATATCTCCATCGCCCACTGGCGAAAGCTACTTGAAAATTGTCTCCGCGAGTTTACGGAAGGCAATCGTGGTCAGGTCAGTTTTTCAGTTACCTACTCGGTTCCTAAGCCTGAGTCTGGAGTTCACTCGCAAAGCGCAACTCCGAAAATGCGGGGAAGAGTTTGGAGCGATCGGGCATCATCCGATAAATTTATCTGATGTTCGCCATGCAGAGAAATCACTGTGGCCAACTCAACTGATCCAGAAGGCCCATCCGGCGGCCGCGTGCCGACCGTCGCGCAGACTGCGACCGCCAAGCCACCCAAAGTACAGCGCAGGAGCAAGGCGTCTATGAGGGAAGCAATATTGGACGTCACTTGAACTTTGAGAACAAGCCGCTTGGTTTCGCCAGGGGTCCTCGGCTCGGGCGCCGCGGCAGTCCGACGTACCGTCCCCTCCTCGTCTCCTTATTCGACCGAGGACCGATGTTGACGCGATGCAATTCGGTCGACTTTGGCTGAGGCAATTTTCTTCTTCCAACTTTGGATGGTGATCTTTCCCCCACGAGTTGTCCCTTAACCCAAGTCGAGATAGCCGAGGTTCTTCGGCGACGAGCCATGACTCGGAATCCTTCGTGCCTCTGCCTTCGTCCTCTGTCAACCACACAATCGGCTCTTTGCGGATGGGTATTCCGAATTATGCACCGTTCGAGTGGCGCGCCTAGAACTTGATGGGCTTCCCATGCACGATCTCGACGCAGCTTCAGTACAGTGAGCTGGCCACCTATTACTAGAGTCGTGCGGGAGTCGTCATCTCGGCGAGCCAAATCGTCGTCAGACAGATGACGAGCACCGCCGCGCCGAAGAAGGCCAGCATGCCGTAAAGCAGCTGCCCCAGCCTGTACTCTACGCTCTACGCAAGAGGCTTGCTCAGCAGTCCAGTTATCCCAAACTAGGAAACAAACAGCTTTAGTCCAAAGGGGAAAGTCTGAACTGGCATACAAATCCCGCTTGGCGAGGTGTTCGGCGTAGCGCTGGCGCGAGTTCGCCACCTCCTAGTACGAGGTGATGTACCTATAGGGAACTTAGAGACGTCGAGGAAATCGACTCCCTGATCAGCGAAAGCACATTGAGAAGCGGATGGGGAGAAACTAAGCCGCTTTTCCGCGCGGAGTCTAACAACGTCTAAGCAATACCCAATTGAACACTTTCTAATGAATACTGAGCCCAAGATTCCCTGGCCTCACTCTTACTCGTGATCACCGCCTCAACCCAGTTGGCTCCCACTGTGCTCACAGACGAGATCGTCTTCTGTTGCACCAACCCATTCCAACAGTACCCGGTGTCGTTCGCTTGAAGCTCTCGTAGTTATCCACGTTGGCCCTGTAGTAGTCGAGACCCGCGATCTTCCCCAATGTCGTTCCGTTAGGGAACTCCAGTACGTGGTAAGCGTACATCGAGTTTTCAGGTGGCAGCACGATTAGAAACACACCAGGTACAGCACGAGCCAGAAAAAACCCGCCGCACCCGAGCACACAGTTCGGACCAGGCGCCCAGGAGTAACCTAGCTGTTTGTCACCAGGAATCAAGGTGAAGCCCGACAAGATGGCGCAGGTCTCGGCCCAGCAGGCTGGCGATGATGCAGATTCGGGAGAGGCAATGCGGCGCACAGACGGTACTGCGCGGTTGGATCGGCATGATGCGGGTAAAACATCGTGCAGTCGACGAGGTACAAGACACAATTCAGACCTTGGCACTCGCCCATGCAGTTAATAAGCTTGGTAATCTGGACGATGAGATATGGTCCTGTCAAGTGATGGTCGTTCGGCGGCGTATTTCTGCGATCGACCGGTTCATCGACAAAGATCAGGCCCCACTACCTCCATTTCGCTTGAGCGCTTGTTCGAGGACGGACGCTGTGTAGACGATCGCTATCGAGGTATAGATGAGGAGAATGAGTCTTGGGTATTCGGTGTAAATTCACTTCACCTCCGGGCGCGCTTGCGGTGCGGAGGCCTCCTCTTCTGCTGACATGGCCCTCCACGCCTAAGGACAGGAGGTTGGTGCCCCCCGATGAAATCCAGGCTCACCCTGGCACAGACCGATGAAAACGAGGTCGTCGCCAAAGTTCGAAGCACGACAACCCCGTTACAATCCCTCCTTACACGGTGAGGACGATTACAAAGATGATTAGATCTGATTTCGGAGTTGGAAGCTGTTATAGTGCTCCGATGTGCTGATGGCTAAGCGGAAAGGCTGTTGAAGCTACTGATCGTCGGCCTCAACGAATCGTCGCGTTGGAGCGAGCGGGAGGCAGAATAATGCATGTTTGAAGCAGGAGTGCTACTTCAGTGAGCTGCGCATTTTTATAGACTGTGATGCCGCTAGTTTAGCGCGACTGTAATCGCGCTTGTTTTGGCTCGTATTGGGGATCTCAAAAGGAGTCGGCGGAACATGGACGCGGACCGACCACGTGAAGGAACTAGTCGACGCTATACGTAATGAAGGGGTTCGAAAAGAGTCAGACCAGTAACTCCACTCGAGGTCTAGAAAAAAATGGAGCGTGATTTTTGAAGTGTTGATAACAACAAGTGACTGGCTGGTAATCCCTCGGCACAGGAAGGCAATATCCCCGGTAAATAGTCGGTAAATGAGACACCAGCGTCCACGAGGCCGGTCTACGCGTGACACCGACCGTGGTCTCCCGCACCCCCCACACCGCGTCGTCTTGCCGCTCTCACCACCGACTCGATAGCCCAAAAGTCCACCCACAATGCCTCCCAAAGGAATGAGCAACTCCAAGGCCATCTTTGCCAATCCACTACAAACACAAGCAGGTACGTCCCTCAACTCCCATCACTCGAAGGCGTGGGATCCTCGCCCTGACCGCTTCCCGCTTCCCGCTTCCCGCTTCCGTTGCTCCCCGCCCGCCCCACCCATCCCACGCCTCGCAGATGATGTCAAGTACAGGACCAAGTACCAGCAACTCAAAGGGAAGCTCCAGGAGGTCGAACAGGTCAGTCATAGAGTCCTCGCTGGACAGCGTTGTGTCACGTTGTCTGCTCGTCAGGGACATTCCTCGCTCACTTTGTTCGCCGATTGTCTCCACGTCAGGACAACGCCAAGCTCGCACTTCGAGTCTTGCGTTCCAAAAAGTCGATTCAACGATTACGAATAGAACGAGCGTGAGTGTTCAACCACCCGGCATCGTCAACGATAATTGCTCGTGAGCTCATCCCGAACTCGACCTGCAGGATCCTCTACGATCGACTGCAGAACTCATCGACGCCGACGGATCCATACAAGCTGAGGACATCAACCCATCTCTCTAAGCTCTCGATTGCTACTACAGCAACAGCTGCAGAGCCGCCGAATGAAGCCACGTCGACCATCCCGGAAGAGAACAACTTGAACACGGCCTCTACCTTCACCTCATCCTCGGCAGCGATCCCTACTGCTGCAACACAACAGGACATCTTCCTGCAGCCCATGTCGCAAGCCAAACTTGCCGCCCTGGTCCAACCGCCTCCATTCTCAGAAGAGGACCCTGCCCCGCCGACAGGTGCCAAGGATTGGGGGGAGAGACCTTACGCCGGCGTCGTCGGCGAAGGGACCCCGAGTGGGGCTCGGCCGGTGGAGGCGATGGCTCAAGCGACGGCCAAGGTGGAGGATGGGACCGAGGGGATGCAGGTGATACAGGCATAAACCGGGTTGGCCTCTCATGTCAGGTGTTTGCTTGTGTCCGTGTGCGTGTTGTAGCTTGTAAAGAAAGACAGAGTACTTTGAACCCTGACCGCATCCGAGAAGCGAGCGGCAGTGTTCGACAAAACAAGCATGATTGGAAACGCACTAAGCCGGCAAAACTCAGACTGAATTAGGTACTCGGGCGATACAGGCACGTCTATAGATAGAACAAACAGGAATAGAGCAGGATTGTGATAAAATGGGGAAGATTAGGTCGGATTCGCGGCTGGCAGGGTTTTTTCGGTCATACTGGAACGAATTAGTCGGCTTTGTGAATCTCGATGCCGGGTCGAGCACCGCTGCGAGAATCAGATGTGCAGACGATTGTAAGTCTTCGAATTCCCAGGGCTTCCAAGAGGCGCACCGCTCCACTTACAGAGACTTCTTGATCGTGCCATAAAGGAAGAATTGAGCCGAGACCAACCCGGCCGTCATGACCTGCACGTCACCCAAGGAAGATGACACGTCAGGTTCAAGTCGACGTGTAACTCTCCTGTGACCGGTCAAACGTACAACACGAGGTCCAAGTCCAGAGAAGAGACCAGCCGGTCCGGCTTCGGAGGCCAATGTTCCGAGTCGCTTGAAAATTCCACCCTTGCCTCCTTTGCCCTTGTTGATCTAGGCATGAGGAGTATCAGAAGGATGAGTATTGAAATCGTACGCGGAGTATACAAGTCATAATCTGCTTACCTGCGACAACAAGGTATCGGCGGGGTGCGACAAGACGGCGGCCGAAATGCCAGCGACGACACCGCATCCGAGCGTGATACCCGTCTCCTCCAGGACGCTCAGATTTTTGCGCTTTTCGGCAGAGAGCTGCTTATACACGGTTTCATGGGCCCATTCGTTGGTCACGAACTGACCGAGGGCGAAGGGGATTTGCTTGAACTATATGTCCGTCCGAACGATAACGATCAGAAGTAAGGGACGAAGGGTAAGCGAGAATTGTGATCAGCCCGAAGATCTCACGGTTCGGAATCTGGCCGTAGCGAAAGAAGGACTTACGAGAATGGGGACAAATCCTGCGTACATCTCTGAGACACCACCTTCCCGCGCCATCCTCAAAAAGCCGGTGGCCAGTCCAGAAGCGTAGGTTCGATCCGAGACCGTTCGAATGCGGACAGCTTCCAACGGCGTCAAGAGGATCTAGAACGACCGAAGAGTCGAACATTTCAGGGGGTCAGCTCGGCGTCGATCATCGTACATGTCTGGATTGATCGCAGCTCACATCGGCGAAGAATTCGGCAATGGCGGCAGATCCGAGATAGATCGTTGTTCGGTTCGGCGTCGCGGCTTCGTAGCCACCTTGGGCATCCACGAACCTATAAAGCAGCGTTTTTATATCAGCACGTAGTTCAGACCATGGAAAGCTTTGCCATGACTCACTTCTTCTTCCAGAACTCGTAACCGGCAAACTTTGCCCCACCTGATCCCACCGAGCGACAGCGAGCATGGCGACACAGGTATCAGATAGTCGTTTCCCACTTCCTTCGCTAGAGTTTGCAACATACCTTGCACCAAATAGCCCACAGCGGTTGCACCAAAGCCGGTGAAGAGTCCCTTGACGCTCTCCTCGGCGATGATGCCTCGCGCGGTGCCGACCATCCCAAGCTTGCCGAGCTTGGGGTCGAGTTGGATGCGCGTCTTCACGACATCTATTGCGCCAAGGAGGATATTTCGTCGATGACACGCGTTGGGAGAATATCCGGATGGGAGTTACGGGTAGTGCAGCGGCGAGGCACCAGCGATTTGGGCATGCGGTCAGCTCGGTCTCGTAATTGCTCACTCGGCGCTAGGAGAGACGGCCACGCTGTCGTTTCGGTGAGTGACGTACCCATGGGAGTGACAGCGCCATGGGTTAGCATGGCACACAGACCGCCAGCCGAGAAATACTTGGCATAGCTGTGAGTCGACCAAACTTTGATTGGGTCAGTGCACTTGGGCCGAGTGGTCCGGGGAGCAGAACGAGTGGCAGAGGCTAAGTCATGGAGGCCGAGGTGGAGGCCTCGGCAAGAGTGCGACGGTCGAGTGAGGGGACGTACTCGATTCCAGTGAGGTCGGGCGTCTCATTGGAGGAAGGGACGGGGGCCATTTCTGAGGAAGTTGGTCCAAAGTTAGGGGCGGTGAGCACAGGGTTGAGGCGTATGAACAAGAGTCAAAGAGAGTGTTGAGAACAGCCCGAGTTCCGCGGAGCTCGGTCGCGGTAATGCAGGTTCACGGCGTGAGGATTGTCTCAGTCTCCAGCTCAATCGCTCACCCACGCCATGTCCCGCAGGTGCTAAGACCGACGACCAAGTGCAAGTTGATTCCCCGCCGGCTCATTGGCCGGCGTCACATCGGCACTCTTCACCTACCCTCTCGAGCTCATTCGGGTTCGGTTGGCGTTCGAGACACACCATTCGCTCGCCGAACGATCCTCCTTGACACGGACAATACGGCAGATATACCAAGCATCCCTCATACCTCCACCCCCTGTCGCTTCCACCTCCAATCTCAAAACTGCCTCTGCGCCGTCATCAACACCCTTACCCACAACACCAATAAAAAATCTTCGAGTCGGCGAACCTTCCTTGACACACTTTTATCGGGGCATTTTCCCGACCCTCTTCGGCATCGTCCCCTACGCCGGCGTATCCTTCCTCGTCTGGGGATTCCTCAAAACCGACCTCGTGCCGACCATGTTCAGCCCCAGCACGCGAGAACGCCATCGAACGTGGATCGACTTGGCCGCCGGAGGCATAGCAGGTGCCCTAGGTCAGACCTCCGCTTATCCGCTGGATATCATTCGAAGGAGGATGCAAGTCGGCCCCGTTCTACCTGGTGGTGGGGGTGCGAGACATGGGTTTTGGGACACGGCGCGAACGATCTATAAAGCGCATGGGTGGAGGGGATACTTTGTGGGATTGAGTATCGGGTACCTCAAGGTCATTTTTGCATATTCCTTGCACGAACGCGACGACTACGCCTCAATTCCCCATACCACCCAGCGTCTCTTCCTCGAGTTCGTGATCGACGGAGACTCCCACTGAGTCGAGACCGATCGACTCAACTACATCCGGTTGCATCAAAACAACGTGCGCCTCACCACGGCCCAAGGCATCACCGACGCTGTTGCCAACGGCTTCACCCCGGATCAAATTGGATGTTCGGTGATGTTGGGCTCGACGTTCGAGAACAGCCCGCGCGAGATCACGCAGCGTTACCAAGATGCGATGGCTTGCGTCGTCAAACATGGAAAGCCTTCGCTATTCATCGCGGTGACGTGCAACCCCGAATGGTTCGAGATCATGGCTGCACAGGGGCCGAACGACAAAGCATGCAACCGTCCGGATCTCATTGCACGAGTGTTTGAAGCCAAGTTGAACCGACTCTGCGACGACGTTTTTGGCAACCAAGCAACGGGCAGGCTGTTTCAGTTCACTTTGGCTTCAAACACTCGTGCAATGAGATCCGGACGGTTGCATGCTTTGTCGTTCGGCCCCTGTGCAGCCATGATCTCGAACCATTCGGGGTTGCACGTCACCGCGATGAATAGCGAAGGCTTTCCATGTTTGACGACGCAAGCCATCGCATCTTGGTAACGCTGCGTGATCTCGCGCGGGCTGTTCTCGAACGTCGAGCCCAACATCACCGAACATCCAATTTGATCCGGGGTGAAGCCGTTGGCAACAGCGTCGGTGATGCCTTGGGCCGTGGTGAGGCGCAGGTTTTCTTGTTGAGTCGGTCGGTCTCGACTTGGGAGTATCCGTCGATCACGTACTCGAGGAAGAGAGGCGGGGTGGCATGCAGAATTGAGAAGTAGTCATCGCGTTCGTGCAAGTAGTATGCAAAGAATTGGGATCGCGAGACTCGGGTTGATCCACCTCAACCCCTCCTCCTTGACCTTGTTGCTAGATGTATACACATTCTATATCAGCTCTGTGCTTGCGTCTCAGCAGAAAGGAACATGTGAGAAAGAGCTGAAGACGCTCACGTTCACCATCACCGTTCTAGTCGTCCCCTTCTTCGCCGTCTTCATCCTCATCGCCCTCCTCTTCGTCTTCTTCGTCCAGACCGAGACCGACAAGTACCTCGCGCAATTGGACACCATTCTCGATCTGCTCTCGATTTCTGGGGATTGGCGTCCCAGCTTGGTTGAAACCGCAAAGAGCAATGTTGGGGTGGAAGCCATCTTCCCCTGCAGGAAATAGTAGTGGGAAACGGAGAGGCATCGCAGACGGATGGAGCGAGCTAACGATTTGGTACTTGGGCCGACCATCGGAACATCGATCACTGTGCACCTGGAGAATAAGCTCTTGCGGTCCACGATCTCCCATGTTGGTGTCGGTATCGCAGAGAAGCATTGCCATCTCCGTGCTCGAGGTAGGAAGGTTGTGGGCACGTCGGTCTCGGCCTGGTGGTAGGCAGAGACGCAGGACGCACCATTTGGCCGAGGCGAATTTCCTCACGGAGCGATTGCCGGCACGCATCACGGACTCGAGCTTGATCAAAGTAGAACTTTGTACGCGACTGTCTGCGCCGTCGGGTCCAAGTCGAGTGCTGGTGGCCTCGGCCGGGTCGATGAGCCGGGTCTGACCAAAGGCTGGGCGTTGCTTCACGGCAGGGATCAGGGCGCCGAGTCGATGATAGAGGCGGCCGAACACGCGAAACACGGGGGGTCCTAGAGTGCCCAATCGTGTCCGGTCGAAGTGAGCAGCCAGCAAAATGAAAAACAGCGCGTTGTACGACCTGGCGATTTCGCGGAATGCTTTGGCTTCTGCGTGCGCGGGAAATTATCGCACAGTTCAGTATGTGGGTCTACTGCAGACGGGTATTGTTGGACGGAGCAACTGACCGCTATCCGAGCCTTGAAGTAGCTGTCGATACCCGGTATTGGACTGGGGAGGGGGAGGCAGCCGCACCTTGCCCTGCGACTCCAGCATGTGCTGACGTGTCCGATCGACTTCGACCTCTCGCACTCCCAGTGACGAGCCTTGCAGTGGGTGCACACGGTCGTCTTGGGGCCAAGGTAGTCGCGGATTAAAACGTGGGGCTTGAGTGGTTTAAGGGCGATTATAGCCCTGCGGGGTTTCCGCTGGCCTTGACATGCAGCAGGACTCGGAGGAGGTGCACGTGGTGGTGAGGCGTGGGGGGCGCGTTCAGCGTCGGGTCGGCCATCGCGCTGACCACGCTGTCCGTTCTGCACAGCTGCACGGCTGGCTCGTATACGTGTCGCAATACCAAGATCGGTTGGGTTGTTGTCATTACGCGGGGGGCGGCCACACTGTTGATCGGAGTGGGCGGAAGAGGAGGGTCGAACAGCGGCGCGCCCAGCAGCAGGCGCTCGAGCACGCCCATGGTACATATGGTACGACGACCTTGGGACCGGGGGGCAGTGCCGAGTGTTTCGCCTTGAATGATTGTCACTAATAATCTATGAGAGTGGGAGGGAAAGGGAAAGAGTTAGAGAAGGTAGCGCGGGACTATTTACGCCCCCTGAAACCTCATGTTGTTGAGCCCCTAAAGCGGTGACGCGACGTGATGAACACGTCACGCGCATCGCGCAGCGTAGTACGGTGAAGGATATGTGGGAAACATATACAATAAGTTTACATTACTATGAACTCTATTGCACCACTAAAGTCGAGCATATGGTAATGGAGCAATTAACAAAATCGGAATTGGATGAATCGGATTGATCCCCATGCCAGTCAAATCCGTCGACGCGGCCGCTTCGTTCATGGTCAATACCAAGTTTGAACCCAAGCTAGTCGTTCGGTTTGGGCATGATTTCCGCGGAAGCGCGCCACATGTATCCACAAGTCCTACCTTGGCCGCAAGCCGATTTACTTTCTGGTGTGGAGGGACAGTACGCCGTCGGGGGGTATGAAACCTGAGAGGGAGGGGTGGATCATCAGAAGAGAGGTTTGGGAGATAGGGGTCTCGGGATGAAGATCGGACCCTTTACGCGTAGTCGCTCGACGAGCCTGGCTAGGACACCACGTTCTTTGCCGTCGTTCTCGGCGTAAGTGATGAGGATGTCGACATCGTTCGAGAGCTCTTTGCCTCGGCGGTAGCTGTCGTCATCAAGACGAGGATTCATCGTGAGTAAGCGGATGCGTCAGGATCATAGTGAAACACGTTCGGGACTGACCCTCCGCATAACAAGGTCGTCGCTCCCGGCTCGACCTTTTCGATCTGGATTTTGATGAACTCATGGATCGACTCGACTTCATGCCGCGGCATTCTGTTCCGGATAGAAAGCTCGAATGGGTCAATACGACCGAGTTTTCGCTAAAGGCTCAATCAAGAACGGACTTTTGTTGGATATCATCATGCCATTGGAATTCCTTTTCCCATTGTTTTGAATCACGCATCTCTTGGAGAGACCGCAGTCCTTTGGTATAGAGGCTGTTCGCCATGACGTGGCCTGCAAAATACGAGCGGAATGTTCAGAGCGTGATTGATGATCATGGCTTCCGGTGTCCGCTTCCACGACTGACCAACTCCATGAACTGCCGACATGTCCTTCAAAGCCAGGACTTTCGAGTTGTTTCCCACTCGAACTGTGTTTTCCGACAACAGCAGCAAAGTCGGTTAATCCTCACCCAGGAACGATGAACTTCTTGAGGTGAGGACACGGACTCACCTGCATCGTCGATCTCGCCCGTGCGGAGGTATTCTTCAATCTTGGTTACGATTTTCTCGCCGACCTGGGGAGGAAGATAACAACGGTTGGATCAAGAACGTCTTCACTCTCACATTCAGGGTTGAAAGACTGACTTTGGGCAAAGATCTGGCCTGCTCGGCCGTCCGGATCTTCCAAGGTGTGCCGATGATGACGCTGATAGCCGTGGCGTAAGAGATGGCTTTGGGATGAGCACCTGAAGAAACGAAGACTTCGTGAGTATGGAACCATCTTGATGAAAGTCTGCTAGTTCAGTCCCCTCGCAAACGCGCGTCACCCCCTCTGCCTTGCCACCCCCCCACCTCCCTGCCCACCGCGTCAAACTCACTGCCGTAAAGCAAGAACCTCTCCTCCCTCAACAGCTTGAGCTTATCAACCAAACACTGATTCACACAAAGACGAGGCGACTCTCTAAAACAAGCCAAGATGTTGACGGGTGTTATAGCCGTGGAACCAGCTGGGTGATCATCCTGATCGAGTTGAGATGAGGAGGAAGAGGTGTGGTGACGCGAGTGGTCGTGGCGCATCCGTGGCTGCCGGCCTCCCAACATCGTTCCTCAAGGCACGGTCGAGTTGCGTGGTCACGGTTCGGTATCGATAGATCGATCCACCGGGGCAACCCCTTCGAGCCGTCTCCTCGGACGAGTCGACTGCGACTTTTGGTGCCGTTCGGGCGACCCGAGGCGCTGACTCGGGCGTCGCGTTTTGCTTGGCCTTGTTCGAAGTCGACACGACGGGTTCTCGACGAAGCGGATCCTCGGGTCCCTCCAACATGAGTGGTGAGTATGCAACTTCTCCCTTGACGGCGCATGACGGGGCGGACATTGTTCGAGCGGGTTTCTTGCTCTCCTGTGCAAAGTTGTGCTCGCACCGTGTCGCGACCTTGGTGTCGAACTTGTTTTTATTTTTATTTTTACTGGGGCTCATAAATTGCAATCCTTCGGGTTGGCTGGGACCGCTACAAAAAGAGCTAAAAGAGGTTATAAAGCAACGACGGCAAGCAATTGGGTGAAAGTCAAACCCCTGCGCGCAAAGAGCGCTGCGCAGATCAAAACCCGCCGAGCACCTAACGCGGACTCCAACGGGCGGTGAGTACTGCTGCCGCTTCACGTCCCAAGAGCGGGAGCGAAGATACTCGAAAACCAGGCAAGAGCGCCTAGAGAAAGAAAAGGGGAGAATAAACAAAAAATCACGACTGGAAACACGGAGAACCAGGAATACTAAGACAGAGAGGAGGGGAGGAGGAGGGGAACACACCCGAGGGGCCAAGGGAGGGGGTCGAAGCCAGAGCTAGAGGTCCCCAGGGACTGACAGGCCGCAGCCAAGCCCCAGCTACTCGTCACCCCGACAGCGCCTGATGTCCTCCCTTGGCTGAGTCTCGAGTGCTGGCTGTTGAGCCGTCGGGGCCGAGCGAAAACGATCCAATACAACGAAACGAGCCTCGCCTTGACGCGAGGATATTGACCAAAAAAACGAGCGACCTTTCTTCCCGATCCATGCCGTAGATCTTGACCAACGCGAACGAACGATCTATTCGACGGAATCCAACACACGGCTTAGGAATAAAAGGAGAAGTGGCTGAAGCGTAGTCAACAACCGAGCAACAGGAACGAGATGAGGAAGAGAAGGGAGAAAGGGGGGGAAAGAGAGGGAAGAACTTCACAAAGCCTTCAACGCAACGACGATCGACCCGGCTTGCCGATCCATCCAAGAACGAAAATCGCTACTGCGCAAAGTAGAGAGAGGGAGAGGTGCGCAGCCTTCCACTGCGCAACAAGTTTCAAGACAGTCAGCTTCTGACCGAAAATTTTTTGGTGTCGCTGATGCTGTGGTTATTGAAGGTGTTAGTACACCTTGCACTGATATCAGGGGCCGGATAGCTTAGAGGTCAAAGCTTTTCCGATTAATGGAAACGACCCAGGTTCGACTCCTGGTCCAGCCGTTCTTCTTCTTTTGTTGATCATTTTCGGGATCATTGTTGATTCCAACATGGTAGCGTCTGTCGGTTAACAAGAGAAAGGGGGCGGCTGTCTCCGAACCATGCTGTAGAGCAAGATGCCAAAGCAAGGTTCTAAGGGGAAGTGTGAGGATCTATTATAGAACCTGTCTTGTAAATCTTTCCAATGACGCAGCACATAGCTGCCGGAGCTGCCGCAGAAGCTTGACACAGAGTCCAATTGGGACTTAGAGTCGACGCATTGCAATAGCCTGGCAGCAGTGCAAAGGTCTAAGGGGAAGTATTGAAGGTGTTAGTAGACCTTGCACTGATATCAGGGGCCGGATAGCTTAGAGGTCAAAGCTTTTCCGATTAATGGAAGTGACCCAGGTTCGACTCCTGGTCCAGCCGTTCTTCTTCTTTTGTTGATCATTTTTGGGATCATTGTTGATTCCAACAGTGGTGACCTCCATGCTTGGGATTGGCGTTGCGAGGGAAGGCGGAGGGCAGCAGGGGAGATACACGTTCGATCTTGGCAACTTTGTCAAAGAGCTTCTTCTCCTTGCTGAATCGGACGTTGCTGCCGCCAGCTGCGGTGATCGCGCGACGGGCGGCGTCGGCGCTGAGGTTGGCGGTGGGGTCGTCGACGAGTTCGTTCTTGTCGAACAATGCATCGGATGCTAACAAGTACAATTGTCGAACGGCCCGGATATGGTCGCAGAGTTCACGAATGTCGTCGGTGGAGAGCGCCGGGGCGTTGATTGGCGGCGCACGGGCAAGTCGTCCGTGAGCATGGTCGTAACCGCGGAGAAAGGTGTTCAATTGAAACAGAGGGTTATCGATCGGCACCTTGGTTGGTGCCTTGACCCCCCACCCCTTGACCCCTCCAAAGTAGTCGTTGCCGAAAAGGAACGAGAGGACGAAGCGGCCGTCAGAGTCGAGCACTTTCGAGTCGGCGTCGAGAGCGGCGAGGTCAAGAATATCGACAGACTCGAATCGTCTGCTGTTCGCTTGCTTGCGAGGGAGGATCCGATACTTCGCAACCGATGCTGATATGAGCATGGCATAATCGCTGTCGCCGCTCACGAGGGCGGTACGTTCCGAGACGAGCTCGACACCGCCGATCGAGCCAAACTTGGTCGCGGCCGCGATGATCGGGTCCGTCTCGTGGGCAAGGACGAACGATACATCGCCTTTCGAAGCGATCTTGCCAAGCTCGACCTTCCGACCTTGTCCTTCAAAGTCCTCTTCCCATGGTTGGGCTGTTGGGAAGGCCTTGTTGAACGCGTCTTCCGAGATCACGGGGATGGGCGAAGCGGAGAGGACGGACGTCGTTATCTTCTTGAGACGGCCCTCCACCGTGGCCCTTTTCAACTCGGGTCGGAAACGGGGATGATCAAAGAAGACAATGAACTTGGTGGATCGCGAGTCTCGAGATGTCCAATCATGGAGCAGGGACTGGATCTTGCGGAGGAAGTCGCGTGCTTGGCCGTGCGGGTTGGGGTGGGACGAGGGCGAGGGCCACAGGTAGGTAAAGGCCATTGCCGCATCGAAAATGAACACTGCAGATTACACGGGGACAGTCAAGGTCATTACCGTGTTGTCAGTATCTAACCTAGTACTTGCAATGGAAGGCTCGGACGTGATGTGATGGGTCAAGGTTGCGAGAGAGAGCTCACCATTGACGTCGTGCTCGACGAGCGAACGTATCGCCTGCCCGACCGTCCTGCAGGACCCCACCTTGCTTGCTGGCACTTTGGCCACGCTCGCATCGATGTACTGCGGGCCGTACCTAACCCCCATGATGATTGGTTGGAAGGTCGGCAGGATAGTGTGGAGGACAGTTGGGGGATCTCGAGTGAAGCCGGGCCTGGCGGCGATCGAGTCGACCTAGCTCCGAGTCGGACTTCGCAGGGGACCGAGCTCAAAGCGAGCCGCTCCAGCTCGGTCGGACAAGGCTGCTGGAGCAACAACTGCTGTACCGATCGCGGCGATCTCAACGCTGGGGTGACCCTTAAGTTTCAATCCATCTGCTGAACTTTGTCCGAGCTCGATCGACAAAGTATTCGGTGTTTTACGAGAAGTGGATCGTTGAGGTCGATGTGGGGTAATCGTGCCCCTGTCCGCCGATTTAGCTTCAGCTCGGCCGCGGCGTTCGGCGCTCGGCGCTTGGCACGGGTGGAGAAGATCGGAAGCGAGGTGGTGTCATCGATATGACTCATGGCTCAAACTTAAGCGAGCTCGGAGGCGCGCGCTTGTCCCCAGCCCCAGCCCTCAACAGTCAGCGATGACCTCGCCCACCTCTCTTTCGCTCCTTCTTTTCTCTTCATCGGCACTGGCTCTGCAACGTGGGCCTAGCAAACGTGGCGAGCTGTGCCTCATTCGGGTCCGGCACACCTCGACCAGCGTGGAGGTTTAACCACACCGTATCCCACCCGATCCGTGAGTACTCCCCTTATCACCACTTCACCCCTTGCTTGCTCGATCGTTGTCGTTCGGGTGGGACGGCCGTGATTTTCGGACTCGTGTTGACTCGCACCACCCCTCATGATCATCCTCACCTTCCACAGCCCCATGAAGGGCGTTCATCTTCGTTCCTGAGGACATCATGTTCGACCACACACTTTCGACCTACTGCTCCGTGACGGTGAGTCGGCTTGTCGTGCGACGTTGCTGCGTGCGGTCGCACGGTCGGGAGGCGGTCGCACAAGAGGAGGTCAACTTGACCTGGCGGCGCTCACCTTGCGACGTGGGCAATCCTGATGAACTGACGCTACCATATGTTTGCTCATCTGCACTAGATTGATTTCGCCCCTCCTCCAAGCATGGACCTGTTCCGAGCTGGTGAGGAGGCTTGTTCGAAACGCAATCCGACTGTTGAACGGGGACCTGGACGTGTGGGGGGAAGGTGGGTGCTCGACCTTGATTCAGCCTTCCGAGCGGCGGCGACTGACCCGTTTGCCACTCTCGGACTTGTGCTACAGACATGGGAGAGGGAGTGATGGGTTGTGGGCCGTCTGTTGTGGATGTCAGGATTGGAGGGGGTTCATTGCCGGTGAAGCTCACAAGATGTCGAAGTATGGTGAGTCAGCTCGTGCGACGTTCACCTCTCGCTCGTCGGTCGGTCGCACAGGGGGGTTCACTCCCTCGGCCTCGGCCAGGCTCGCTCCATCATCATGCATCACCATGATTCATCGTGCTGACTCTTTGCAGTACTCTGTTGTTCCTCATCAGGTCATCTCTCGACCTTCTTTGAATACTGGGTGGATCGTGCAGGGAATCTTTTACAGTGAGTACTCTGACTCCTTGAGCTCGATGATCGCTCAAAGGTCTCTGTGAGGCTCGGCCGGGCGCTGACCAGGCATCCCATCCCCCGGCTCACGCGTCTGGGACATTTGTGGTTTTTGTTTTGTTTTGTCTTGTCCAGACCTGGCGGAAGCAATAGGCGCGCGTTTCTTTTTGTCCATAGTTCTTTTTTGTCGTAGACAGTACCGGTGGGCCCCCGAGCAGCCTTCCGCACGGGTTTGTAAGTTTACCCCAAGCCGATTTACCCGAGCCGGACCCAAATCGGAGCGAATCGTCGGGGTTTTTTTTTTTCTTCTTTTATTTGATAACAGTATACATATATACCTAAAAACCTTTGGAAAAGTCGGAGGGAATGCAGTTAAGCACACTGGCTAGGCCAGTAGTGTAGGTCGCATTGACCCTGAATCAGAATCAATCATACCCACTATAAAACCCCATTTCGTCTTGGGCGAACAATGCGCAGGTCGTAATCGCCGGGTTGCGCTCCACTTTTCTTTTCCCTCTTTCACACGCCTTCGTCGATCGCTGTCCCGCGGGCTTTCTCATCTGATCGAGCACTCGAGTTTGGACGAAAAGGACGATCGAGCCATAGCACCTCTCGTCAGGAACTCGCAAGCGAGGGGAGACGATGAGCCCTGTTGCTGCGAGCAGGATCGACGCTCCAGCTACACCACCTGCGCTCGACTCAACATCATCACCATCGTCCTCAGCAGCGTCTTCGTCGTCGTCATCGTCATCCGCGCCGCGGCCGAGGGATCCTCAATCGCTCGAGTATGCGCTCCTGTCGGGACTTGCAGGTGGTCTAGCAGGTCAGCTTGAGCCTCAGCGTCTCATCGTAATATGCGTTACTGATTATATATCCCCTCTCTGCCACCCACGTTGCATGACTACCCCTTCCGTCTCGTGCTTCGTCCATCCGACGGCTCATCCGACTCGACCGGTCGTCGCTCCCCCCCACTCTCCCGCGAAACCTCAACTTGATTTCCCTTGGCGGCTCCCCACCGTCGGCAAACAGGCTGCATCGCCAAGACCTCGGTCGCACCTTTAGATCGAGTCAAGATCCTCTTCCAGACCCGGGCACCGGACTATGCTCGATACGCAGGTCAGTTTCCTCACCCCTTCCTCACGAGACGCGCCCTCCGGCTATTCGAACCGAAAGCCGACGCGAACACGCCCGCTCCTTCAAAACTCCGCTGACTCGGTACCAAACTCACCACTTTCGATTTACAACGATTCAGGTACATGGATGGGTGTGTTCAAAGCCAGCCAAGACATCTATGCCGAAACAGGGGTACGAGGCCTGCTGCAGGGGCATTCGGCAACGCTCTTGCGCATCTTTCCTTACGCTGCGATCAAGTTCATGGCTTATGAGAAGTTTCACATGGCAAGTTTACATGAGTGTTTTCTCTCTCGTTCCAAGCTCATTCCGCTTACGCTCTCACCATGTCCGACAGGTGCTGATGCCAACGACCGAGCAAGAGACGGGCGCACGCCGATTCCTCGCCGGCTCATTGGCCGGCGTAACATCGGCACTCTTCACCTACCCTCTCGAGCTCATTCGGGTTCGGTTGGCGTTCGAGACACACCATTCGCTCGCCGAACGATCCTCCTTGACACGGACAATACGGCAGATATACCAAGCATCCCTCATACCTCCACCCCCTGTCGCTTCCACCTCCAATCTCAAAACTGCCTCTGCGCCGTCATCAACACCCTTACCCACAACACCAATAAAAAATCTTCGAGTCGGCGAACCTTCCTTGACACACTTTTATCGGGGCATTTTCCCGACCCTCTTCGGCATCGTCCCCTACGCCGGCGTATCCTTCCTCGTCTGGGGATTCCTCAAAACCGACCTCGTGCCGACCATGTTCAGCCCCAGCACGCGAGAACGCCATCGAACGTGGATCGACTTGGCCGCCGGAGGCATAGCAGGTGCCCTAGGTCAGACCTCCGCTTATCCGCTGGATATCATTCGAAGGAGGATGCAAGTCGGCCCCGTTCTACCTGGTGGTGGGGGTGCGAGACATGGGTTTTGGGACACGGCGCGAACGATCTATAAAGCGCATGGGTGGAGGGGATACTTTGTGGGATTGAGTATCGGGTACCTCAAGGTCATTCCGATGAACTCGGTTAGTTTCGCGAGCTGGGTCGCGTTGAAGAATGCGTTTGGGTTGGAAGGAGTTAGTCAAGGTGCGGGATGAGGGGAGGCGGCGAGGGTCTGGACGAATGAGGAAGGAAAGGCTGGCGTGTGTGGCCGATTCAAATGTTGTACATGTACCTCAATTCTACCTTATGTGTTCACCGGGAGTCTGGTATTTGGCTTTGCTTGCCTCTTGCGCATAGCTCGGGCTCTGTCGTCAGCTTAAATTTCAGGATGAATCGATCCGCTTTCATGTCTTGCTCGGCGGCCGGAGTACTAATGGCCTGTAGCCACGATGGCATTGCATCAGATTCGGTGCGGCATGTATTCGAGAACGAGTCATGTGTATGATCTCGCCTTACATAACCTGCTCGGACGGTTGCTGTCAGAGATGAGTCTACAGGGCCATGCCAGAACTTTCACCTCGACTTAGAGGCTTCAGAGGCGGAGGAGAACGCGATCAGCGGCGACCGATTCGACCAGCACGAATCACTGTACAAGAGCGGTGAAGCTGACTATTTAGTCAGAAATACTCATGGGCATCATGTTCAAAGTCTACGAATCAACCGAGGCATGAGAGCGGGGTACTTAAAGCTCGAGGGAGCTGGTCAATCGATGTGGGGGTGGGGGGTCGTCATGCCTCGGTGTGACAGTGCGACGGTGCTCAAGGTTGTCGAGCGTAACCATGGCGACTCCTCCGGCGAGCAAGAAGGCAACATGACAGAGACATAAATTCCGATGATGCTGATGACATACCTATTGGAGCACTGCTTGCCATGCGTTATTCTTCATGCTACCTGTGCACCACGTGTACACGAGTTAGCTGACGTATTGGCAAACGCGCGACGTTCAGACGAGATTATGCCGACCACTGCTGGGCCGCCGCCGGACTCAGTCGCCGGGTCGGGCTTGCGTTAACGATATTTGAGACAAAGTGGTCTCATAGTAGTCCCATACATGTTACAAAATCTTGATGTTCATGCTAGGAAGTGGGCGGTTTGAAGGTCGCAGTAGCGCAAGGTCGACTCTCTCGCTCGGTACACATTTTTTTGCGCTGCACCACGCGAAACTTGAAGACGTCGACTGGCCGTCGTCGCGTCGAGTCGCGCGGCGCGCTGTCCGTCGCAGCCGGCTACATTTCAACTCCGCATCGTCATCGACTCATGGCCGACCACGCCTAGATGCCGACATGGAATCAACGCAAACGCGTTATCGATGCGACACTGTCCTCTTTGGCACGCTCCTTGCCTTCGTCCGCGCTGCCGAACGAGCTGCTGCACCTGACCTTGTCCGAGGTTGAGAGACTGGCAGCACAGGGACAGGGTACGAGGGCATGAGCGACTGCCTTGGAGTACACTGTTCAGGATGAAAGCTGATAATGGAATCAATTGACAGATGTGGCTCCCGCGTTACTACGCCTGCAGAAGGTAGTGCTGAGCATGGATGATTTCGTCGTCGCGGGCACGCTCTCTCGCTCCGGCTCGTTTGCCAGTGTACAGCTCGTGATCGCGCAGAAGCACCTTGCCTCGTCGTCAGCAACGAAACTTGCGTTCAATGGTTCGGATAAGTACTACATCGTAAAGACTCTGGATCGCAGTTGGGGATATCGGATGCAGAACGTGAGTCCTCTGTACCGAGTCCGATCCTGTCTGCGAATTCTTTCAGAAACGGAAAACCCTGACCAGATCGCCCTTTTCGCCCTCACCCCTGGCTTCTAATCACAGCAGCAGTTCATAAGGCACGAGCTTGGTATACTTCAGCAGTCGCTCGAGACCCTTCCAGATCGCCGACATACACCCACCCTCATCGCCTCCTTCCTATCGCCCGAGCGTTTCCATCTCGTGATCTCGCACTGCCCGGGCGGCGATCTGTGGACTCTACTCGAAGCGACGAACGCCAACGTCGCTGCCCATCAGAGACCGGACGATTCTCTCGTCAGTATCGTTGGTATTGAGGAAGGACTTGTTCGAGGATGGATGAAGGAATTACTCGAAGCGCTCGAGTGGCTCAATTCCAAAGGATGGGCACATCGGTTCGTCGCCGATCCCTGTGAGGAATTTGCTCCAACCTGGCGAGGGCGCTGATATTTTGCCTTATTTGCATTGCAGCGACGTCAAACCACAAAATCTGCTCCTCAACGAAAACGGTCGACTCCTTCTTACCGATTTTGGCTCTGCTGCTCCTATCCGGGGGGACCCATCCAGAACGTCCACATCACATCGACGGTCTTCGATTGCCAAGAGATACTGCCGAGCCCTCGTTGGAACACCAGACTACATCGCTCCCGAGGTTCTCAAGTACGCCGAAAGTCTTGTTGAACAAGACGTCGATGAAAGCTTCGGAGGTGGCGAGCCCAACGCGGACGATGGTGACGAGCGAGCGTATGGCGCTGAAGTCGACTTGTGGAGCTTTGCAGTGGTCATTTTCGAGGTGAGCCTAACGCAAAGCGATAAGTGGACATGTCATTGTGGATCTGACTGGATGATTCTTGAGGATCACAGCTCCTGACCGGTCAAGCGCCCTTTTTCGCCGAATCGATCGCCGAGACGTATGACCGCATCATCAACTCTGCCGTCAGTCCTTCGGCGCTAGGTCGAAGGTTCGTGGCCCTGTGGGGACGTGGCTGACCTTTACACTGACCCCAAACAGACAACCTTGGCTCTGCCCCTACCGTTTCCCATCACTCCCGCCGCGACATCTCTGATATCGAGCTTACTTGTCCCGGCCTCGTCACGACCCTCGCCGATCTCGCTCAGGTCGCACCTTTTCTTCAAACCGCTCCCCTCCACCTCGACCTACGTTCCACCAGCCTTCGATATACCGACTTCAACGGGGACCCCATCATCGCCCGAGACTTCGAAAGCCGATGCCAACGACGATGTCCCCCAGCTTTTCAACTTCAATTCGGCTTTTTTCTCTTCCCCCGGTTTATCGATCCTTCGACCCAGCCCGAAATCGTGCCAGAGGAGTCGAGAACAGGAGGAGCAGTATTGGAAGGGGATATTCACTTGGATGCCTGATCAAAATGAGTTCGAGCAACAGATCCCAACCAGAGGCACGGAATTGACACAGGAAACGCAGGCTCGCATGACCACGCGCCAAAGCACCCCTTTGCATCCCTCTGTTTCGCGCCACCGCCAATCCGAGCATCTGATGACCGGCACGCCCATCTCGCGATTGATCGGCGCCCAAACCCCGGTACCAAACCGCTGTCGTACCTCCTCGACCCCCGTCGAAGAAGGGGATCATGAACAGGATGCTCAACCAGGTCGAGGGAGCAGTGGAAGGGCGAAACGTAATGTCTCTGACCTGGAAGCGTGGAAGGAGATGCAGGAGAGGGCTTGGGTGGTGGGGATGACGGGGCGGAAGGCGAGTGCGGCGAAAGGGGTCGATCGGGGGATCGCTTCGCCGAGCGATCGGTTGTCCAAAGCTCCTGCACAGTGGAAGGAGGCTGAGAAGGACGACATTGTTGATGGATTGAGGAAGAGGCAGGAGGCTGTCCTGAGAGGCTTAGCCGGGCTCGAGAAGAAGTACGAAAGTTTGTTCAAGCTCGCAGATGCAGAAATGGCCCGATCTTCTCCAAACCTCCGGCAGCGAAAATGATCGAACGACGTTCATCAAACTGACTGTGCTTCAAGACCGTCTCCCTTTCATAGTCACTTGAAAGTTATGCATGTCTTTTCCAGTTCGAACATGAAACCAAATTTCTACGAGAGATCGCATACTACGTCAGCGAAAGCACATCCGCAAGCCCCACTGCATGACCTGATTCAGGGCACAAACTCCGGCATCGTTTCACAAAGCAGAAGCATGGAAAACATGAACCTCTCAGGAGCGACATCACAACATATGAAGGATCGAGATGAACGATCCCAACGTCACATACTCATATTGTGCTCCAGACACGTCGCGTTCAAGTGTGCCTCGGCCTTGAAGCACAACCGCTGGTCCGAGTCACGAGGTAAGGCCATGGGTAGGGGAGGCTTCGTCGACGAGCATCTCTTTGACTTCTCCTACGATCCCTACCCCTACCCGTAAATCAACGACGTGGTCAAAATCAGTAGTGCCATCAGGCTCTGGGTCAAGAAGAATTCCAAACGCTGATCGAGGTGCGGTCAGTAGAAGACGATGGTGAGAGCTGCTCATGTCCGAAGAGCCCGTTCGACCGACGCACCTCGCAGATGACGCTTCTCTTGCTTCGTGAATATACCGAACCACGGCGTTGAATTCGTGCCGAAACGATCTTGGAACTGCTTGCGATGCTCGGCCATCGAAGGAAGATCGCGAGAGGGGAGGCGAGCTCGGAGATCGTCGGTGCGGCTCAGAGGAGGGTCGAGTTTGGGATGCCGGGCATTGTAATCGGCGATGAACGAGTCGCGGAGCATGTGCAGGTCTGATGGAAGGAATTCGGATAGCAGGTTTCAGCACACGTGGTGTGGATCAGGCAGATTGCTCCGCAACGAGCGGGCAAACTTAGTCGGCGCCACGACGGAGTCATCAGTGCTCACACACTCCGCTATGGCACATGACCTGGTTGTAGTCCTCGAAAGCTTTGGTGCACACATCGTGCATCTCCATCCGGTCTCTCCACATTTGCCAGGAAAAGATGTTGTAGCTTCTCTGGGCCGCAAGTTGCGCCTCCCTCGCCTTGACGCTCAGAGCCTTGGTGCCCATGAGCGTCATTAGCTCGATCCAGCTTGACGACGGGACGCCTTGCCAGATGACCTCAAGCTCCCGGTAGAAGAACCGGGCCTTTGGCTGATAGAAGACCAATTTCGTGAACCGTCCAAGATCATAGGGAATGAAGTGATTGCGCTCGTCGAGTAGAACGTCACGAGTTATACCGCTCGCGGTCCTAGGAGCGCTCTTCAAGAGCGGCTGATGAGGGGTGGCGAGTGCCATGATTGTGGGGGGATGTTCAGAGAGGCGCGAAGGAGGCCGAGATCCACGGCAAGCGAATCGAGTCGACGGATCCCGACCTTGGCCGGTTGCCAAAGGCGACGGGGGCGCCGAGCGAGTCGAAAGGCGAGTGCGGTGTGAACCACTCCCTCTTGCCCGAATCAACTACTTTCGCTCGCAACATCCCCTGTTGCTCGCCCGAGACTTCAGATTTTTGCTTTCCCGCCCGCCGCCTTGCTTTCGCTGCCCCGCCGATTTCTTCGCTGGGCCGGCGCCGTGTCGTGGGGGAATTCGCCCCCATGCCCAAACCAAAGCCATTTACCCCATATTCACTATAGATTGGCACAAACGTCGTTCAGTCGGAGACTGCTCGTCGTATTACTTGGCCGATACGAGACGCTCGACGAGCGACAATAGCCTCTCGCCTGGGCCTTCAAAAGACCTCGAAATGGGTCGGTGAGCTCGCTCAGCTTGAGTGCGAGCATAATGATGACCGGAAAGCAACCAAGGTGACGGTGACGGACTCGCGTCTTGATGCTTGAACTAGGTATCTGCATCTACTTAATCTATCTATCCACATCTACTTCGAAGATTGCACCATAAAACAACTCCATCAAACAAGCTTTCCAGGCACAAAAATGGGTTCGGCAGATGCAGGCCGATTCGGGCCGAAGTCAGGGTGGTCCGGAGCGGATCCGAGCTCGAGGTCAACTTGTAGAGCCTCTTCAGTTTCGCTTCTTCACGCCATGTCAGCACTCGATGCTTCTCATACCATACTCGCACGGTCTTCATCAGACATTCACGTCCTGAATGACTAAAATTTCTGTTCGTTGTACAGCTAGCATCTAAGCATATGGTGAGGGTGCAGTCACGGTGGATCTCGCCCGATTAGGCCCGTGGATTTGTGTGGAGCGTCGCCTCGTGACCGAGCTGCCAACTCCTTTCGATCTTCAAGACGTCGGCTGCTCGCATCGTGACTCTTTGCATGCACCAGATTCAAGAGTCAGAAAATCATGTATTACATAACATCTCTATCTAACTAAAAGAATGCACGACAAAAAAGGTTCTCAGCTGCTCGCGCGCGCCGATCTTTTCTCCCCCCCCTCCCCCCCCCCACGGTCTGGGAGGTGCGGGCGGAGCTCGCAACGACCTTCATTTACGCAGGGAGGTGGGCGCGGAGCGCCCCCGAGCCCTAGTCTCTCAAGAATATGATGATAAGTAATTCATACATCATACACTTGTCGTCTTTTGGTGCTTGTTGTACTCGTTCCCTTTATCGTCGAGCTGGTCCCTTAATGCGCTTCAATCGGGCACTGCAGCAGTGGGAAGCTGAACTCGAGCCTATGTGTCGCACCAGTATCGCATTGCTTCGGCCGCAATCGACTTGGTTACTGACTCACAGAGGTGTCAAATACTGGACCTATGAGGTGTACGACAATTCAAGATGCCCCTGCAGGCTTGCTCGACGACTGACACCGTGGTTCGCGCCGACGTCCGGCGCACTCGAGCAGAAACTTTCCGCAAGCCACAACTCGAACGCTGCCGGTATTCTGACATCACTTGAAAGGATTGGTAAGCATGGTACACTTGGTTTTGCCTTGGTCAAATCGTAAATAACTGGTTCGAGTGTTTTGTGCGCCGACGGATCCGCCGATCGATTGACGGCGCCATCAACGGAGAGATTGTTTCCGAGAAAATCTTGCTTCCGCACCAGCTGGGGTGCCTGGCGACGGCGGCCACGACGCGGGCCAAGGAGTCTGAAGAGAGCTCGATCTAGCTTAGACACGCCACGGCTCGCCACCTAGAGCATGACTTTGAACTTGTGCCACTCAAAACTGCAGTTATAGCAAAGCCACGTTTGCGAATCAAGCAAGAGCTGGGGGAAGGAACGGCTCGTCAGCTGAAAAGTCTCGAGGCACACCTATGAATGTGCCAGACGTGCCGTGCCATCTTTGACAGTCGATAAGTGGGGATGGCAAGAGCCTCATGCAACACGGGCTGGCCAGCCGTTAGTAGCAGGAGTCGGGGTAACGGGTCCACTGCAGAAGTCGGCGGTCTCTAAGCATTCAAATCAAGTACTACATCGACCAGTCAACGTTTTGTGAGCGTGATGCGAAACCTGGGGCGACGGCGGCTCCCATTTCACTTACAGCGCATACCACACTGAGAGCTCGTCGATCCGATCGCAGACTCTCTACCCTTGCCCTTCACTCTCTATGTCCTGCTTCGTGTCCTTTCTGAGGGCAACATGCGCCAGACCCAGCACTCCACCGCCTATTAGATCCCGAGACAGAGATTTCCTGGCTGACCCACACCAGTCGGCTCGCACTACAGGACTTCATCTCGGACGTTCTGCCATGGAAAACGTGTCGTAAACGCCATCTCAAGCAGAATTTTGATGATTCTGGACGTTGAGAAGACTAAAGTGTTACGACAAACCAAAACTACCTTCTGCCTAGACAACCGCCCAAGATTTTCTCTTCTCGACCTTCCCCGGTCCCTTCGAACCCGCGCCACCATCTTTACTCTGCTCGCGCGTGATCGACTCCCAGCGTGACTTCATGTTCGAAACACCGGCGAACCGTTCTTCTTCTTCTTCTCCGTCTGATGGCTTGTTTGGGGCTGTTGTTTGGGAAGAAGGGGGTAAGGCGTATGAACGTTGAGGTGTCGAAGGACCCGAAGTTGGAGGAACGGGTTTGAAAGGCGGAGGACGAGTCGAACCACTTGCGGTGGTCGTGCCATTGAAGACGGCAGGTGACGAAGGGGTCGAGATGTTCACTGCGGGTGAAGGCGAGGCGTAAGATCGTGGTGGTGTGCTTGGGCGAGTCGCCGTCGTCGCTGGATTCAGAGTCGTCTCCCCCGTCAGATGCTTGTGCAACCCCTCGGCATTCGGGAACCTCGAAGAAAAGTTCTCAATGGAAGCTTGTTTCGACGACCAATGCGGTGGTGCTGTCTCCTCCGTGGTCGTAGGCACCGCTGCCTGAGAGGCCTTCTTGGCTCCAAAGGCAGGTCGACCTTTCCCGGACGAAGCAGAAGTCTGTCGTAGCGTCGTTGGCTTTCCCCCTGGAACGGGAGGTAAGGGTTTGCGATTACTTGGGTCGCTTGAGCTCGACAGTCCTTCGTAGCGCGAGACGAGGTTGTTGATTTGGTCTTGCTTGTTGACGGATTGCGGTCTAGGCGCAAGGATCGGTGGTCCCGAACGTGTCGCAGAGCTAGATGAAGAGGAGGCACTCCGGCCCTCGTTCTCGTTGAAGTCGGGTTTGGAGATGTTGGGTTTGGGAGGCGCAACGGGGGCAAACTTGCGGATCGATGCCAGGGCAGGTGCAAGATCAATGTCTCCATCCCCGTCGGTCGACGTCGAGTCCACTCGCGTGATGGGCGCAAAAACTGGGTAGCCCGAAGTGGGCGACACGACCTGATCTGCGGCGGACTCAATGACATCTTCCACCTTCTTCTCCTCTTCCTTCTTGAACGATTGAGACGAGAAAGTACGCTCGTTCGGCATCCGAGGGCCAGATAGTCGAGGCCGAATCGTGATGTCCTCAACTTGCTCCACCTCGTCATCGCTCGACTCGTCCTCCTTTTCCTCAATCTTCTGCCACGTTTCTTCCTCCGTGGGCTCATTTGCCACTGAAATCGGTGCAATAGAACCAATCGCCTCCGCTTCAGGAAATCGTTGCTCAACGTTACTCAGGTCATCCGTCGTCGCAGCCTGTGGCTTAGAAGTAGGCGCCACAGGTTCGGCTCGCTGACTCGGACTGGCCTGGGATGAAAACGTCGGTCTCGAAGCAGAGGGTGAATCGGCGGGTTTGACAGGCCGGAATTTCTCCCTCGACGCCTCAAAGTTGAAATCGCTCGAAGCGATGATCGAGGTTCGATTCGTGCCTGTCGAAGAGCTTGTCGGAGGTAGGTTCAGCGATTCGGTCGCATTCGGCGTCGGTGTGGCCGTGGCGGAAGGTTGATGGAGCGGCTTGGGTGCAAACCCATCGTCGTTGTCCTCATCGTCGCCAAGCAAGTCGACAGGCGCTTGTTTAGGCGAAGCCACGACGGGTGTCGAGCTCTGAGCAGTCGGTGTCCATCTCGAAGAGAGGGAAGAACCAGACCCCGCCGAAGAGAACGACATGGGTCGCGGTCCACCGACCCTCGCCATCCCGGGTAAAGCGACGGAATCTCTCCCCAAATCGTTCGTCGCCTCTTTGGGCTTGTTCAGCATCGCTTTTTGCCCGGGCAAAGGTCGATCGTTGCCTAGGTGAGGAGAGGTTTGAGATGATCGACTAGTAAAGTTGGGCCTGTTCTGCATTCGAATTGATACTGATGGCTTGAGAGAGGTCGTCGGTGCGTTCTGAGTTGACGATGTCGGTGGTCGTCTCGGTAAAGGTGGTCCCGTGTCGCCTTCCCCAGTTAGCTGCACAAAAGTCGCCGTCGGTGGCGGTGATGTCACGGAACCCGCTGGAGAAGCTGATGAGTAGGCACCATTCATCGGCGATGATGCCGCCTTCTTCCCACTACTAGTGAACGACTCGAGTCCGTCCAAATCAGGATACGTCGACTCGAAGCGTTCGCGCTCATCGACAGCGGCCACAGGCGCCTCAACAGCCTTGGTTCCCGTCACATTCGACGCAGAGGATGTAGGCAGATTCCGCGCAGACGTTGAAGAGACTGGTCGTGTCCTCCATGACTGATCGTTGAGGACAGCCTCTGCCGAAGCGAGGAGAGGACTCTTGAGTCCGATAGGAGGAGAAGTCGGTGACTTGGCAGACGATGCCTCTGACGGCTTCGAAAAGGCCGCGGATGAGGGCGTAAGTGCTGGCGAAATTTCTGCAGCTGACGGTGACGTGGGTTGGAACGAGTCGCCGAACCCAGACGACGATCCATTGGCCCCGATACTGGTGAATGAATCCCCAAACCCATTTACATCGCCAGACGGAGAGGTCTTACTCCCATTCGAGGTGGTCCCGACCGGATCCCATTCATGTCCCAAGTTTTTGGGCGCGGGTGAGGCCGATGGTGGTGTTGATCGTTCTTCAGCATTCTTGGCGAGCGCTGCGACGGCACCTCCAGCTTTGGTCGGGCGCCCTCTCCGCATCGGGGAAATCGTCTCGGCCAAATTGGGACCTGATGGGCTCGGAGCGGCTGGACTCGAGCTCATGACGCTTGCGAAGCCCGAGTTGGCCGAAGGTTTGGTCAAGGGTGGTCTTGAAGATTTGGCGTATTTCTGAACGGGATCCCGGGTGCCTCGATGAGTATGCACTCGTCTGATGTGTGGAAAGCAAACAACTCACATTCTCTAACCTCACGGCAGTCCCTCGCAGACGACAGACTTGCTCGTGCACTTGGTAGATGTTGGGTCGAGCGGCGACACTCTCTTGCAAAAGACCTCCAATCAATCCCTTGATCGAGTTCGAGTACGCCGGGTAATGCGGAATCTGCATACCAGCGTTACCGCATCCGAATTCCGTATTCAGCAACGGGCTACACTCTGCGGGCTGGAAAGCGATCGCTGCGTACCTTGTACTGAGCACTGAGGATGGCGAGTGGGCCATGTTCTTCAAATGGGGTCGTGTAGTAGCATAACTTGTACAGGAACACGCCCAAAGCCCAAATATCTACATAATGCACCTCGAAGATGATCAGCTCAATCGGTATTCCACGACCACGAACGGCGAACGAACGCACCGATCTTCTCATCGAACCCTTTCCGGGACCAGACATCGACTAGTTCGGGTGCACGGTACTGCAGCGTGGTTGTGGTGTTGATCTCGAGCTCGAGCGCTTGCAACCCCTCAACGGCGGTGGGGACCTTGTCCTTGGGTAAAGGTTTGGTCGTACTGCCGAAATCGCACAACTTGAACGTCTGAGGTGGGGAGAGGAGGATGTTTTCGACTTTGAGATCTCGATGGATGAGGGGTGGGTTCTGGTAGTGCATGTGAGCGACGGCCTGTGCATCACCGTTCCAACAAACTGTCAGCGCTTGGTCAACGTTTCCATTATTTGATCGGACTTATGCGCACCTCGACGGTATCGCTGAAGATCTTGAGGATCTCGGTCTCTGTCAGTCGATTTTGTAACCTCGTGTTCATCAAGTCAATGATACCACCGCCTGTCGCCGAGCAAGAACCGAATCAGAGTCAGTTTCTTCAGCTGAACCGCCGACCCCACTTGCGAGGACACGACAATCACCGGTCACTGACCAGCACACCACTCCATCAATATGTAGATCTCGTATCCTTTGCTCCCATTCGTCCCCCCCGGCAGATCAGCTACGGAAGCTTCGATGATATTGACGATCTTGGGATGATTCCGAACCAGTTTCTGGTTTCGACAGAGCAGAACGAAGCGCGATCAGATCTGGGTGTCCGCGACGAGTAAAGCATGGCCAACTCTGACTGACCATGACTTGGACCTCCTTGCCAACCTCTTGCACCCCTTTGGTGTCGGGCACGGCCATACGTTTGAGCACATGTTTGGTCGTCGCATTCGATGAGCCGGCGGGAATGGGCCTCGCGGAGGTGGCGAGGTAGACGTGGGCGAATCCACCTGATGAGTGGGAGGACAGTAAGGTCAGTGCTCGTCTCCCGGCGTGGGATGGTGTCAAGAGTCGCAAGTGGTGATAGGTAGGCAGTGTACCACCCCGAAGTGTACCACCCCGAAGCGGATCGTTCAACGCATATGCACCGCCAAGCCTCGAACGGAGATGAGCGAGTTGAGCGTCACCCGTCACCCGTGCCCAGCTCCTACACATTCCAATCACCAAAGTAGAGCGCTCACCTTCACTCAAGAATCGATCCACTGTGACCTCGTACTCTCCAACCCTGACGATCGTCCCCGGTGGCAGCGTACCAGGCGGTACGTTGCTCGCTTGGGTGGGGGGAACGAACTGCGGCAAGCCACCGCCGGCGTGGGGGGTGGCGGCTGTAGGGGGTGCGACGACGGCACGAGGGACGTAGCTTGAGCGGTTCGAGGTGGAGGCGAACGACGAGCGCGGTTGGTAGGCTGCCATCGTGGATTCGGGCGAGCTGAGAGCTCTTGGCCTGATCGGTGGCACGTCACAGTCGTCCGGGTGGAGGGAAGACCCGGTGAGGTGGGTCAACGGTCGATCGTACCGCGTATCGTAGCAGGTGGTCGGTTACCCCAGAACTCCAAGAAGCCTCTTACGATCTGCTGCAGTGCCGAGTCAACGAGGGGAAAACGCGATGCTGATCGGTGTCGAAAGTGAGACCCTGAGGCCCTGAGCGCACGGAAGGGAGGAGTGGGGTGCGCGTTCGCGTGGTCATCATCGTCAATGATTCGTCATAGCACCCGGGATCCCGGGAGCTCAGCCTCAGCCAAGAAAACCGCGCCTTTAGGCCAATTTGTATATCGGGATAACGTGTCAAAGTGGTCGATTTTTACCTATTTTGAATCAAATAACTTTACGAAATTGCCCAAGAACCACGTTTCAAAAGCCAGAGATATGGACGATCATGGCACTCCCGTCGTCTCCCGGCCGACGACCGGGTGCAAATGTCGCGTCCGCTTGCCGGATCTGCTATTGAATTGCCCCATCCTCGCCATTTCCCTTCTGAATCGCCGCCAAAGACGTTGCAAAGACCGCTTTGAAGCTTTCGCAGCTGGTTAACAATTTCGCGCTTGCGCCTGTGCTGTGGGTCCAGGGCTCACCAAGTGTCGCCGTCGTCCAAGCCAAAACCAGCCGGGAGCTCAACGGTCTGCACCGACAGTGCTCGAGTCGTAGGTGTCAAGGCACTGCAGCTGACGACCTGGTGATCATTCAAGAAGAAGGTTCGAGCTTGGCCGAGGCTGCTGCGATTTTCGTGAAGACTCCAAAACTGGCTTGCGTAGGAAAGAGCTCCTGAATTACGATGTTCGGCAGCAACTTGCCATTTGGGACAAGGAGCCGACTCGGAGCGCCAAGAACGAATCTGCGATGAGGGCGCTCCGAAGCCAACTTCTTCTCGGAGTTTTGTCACCAAACGAGGGAAAGAGGCAAACAGAACTGGATGTACCCCTGCGCAAGCACATGCAAACGAGCGGGCGTCACGATGTGGGACTTGCGTGGGCTGTAGTGGGGGTGGGGGCAACCTGATGCTGTTGGCGTTTCATTACGTCCGTTTTGCCTTGTCGTCGTTTCTGAAACCGACATCTACATATACGCTACGAAGGATGGAGCTGAAACTAGCCCGTGCCGCTCTCGACCCGGCTCATCTACCCCGTCACACCGATTTAGACACCAACCCCATGCAACAAAGGTTTTCGAGCCACCATACGTTTGATCTCAAGCTCGGATACCTTTTCTACCGCAGCAAGGCTTTTCGGCACGCCGCACGGAAGTGCGCTTGTCACCTCCGTGCCGAAGGGCCTTGCGGTGGTGGACAGATACTCGAACTTGAGCTCGAACATGATGTAGCTGAAGACTTTCGTTGTCTCGAGTCGGCGCCTCGATCGGTATGACCGGGTAGATGAGCGGGGGTCGAGAGCGGCACCGGTGTCGTCGACGCAAGGGATTCGGGTCTCGATCGGTGGCGCTCTCGCCTGCTCCCAGTCGCAGTGGGTGCCCCTTTGACACCAGCATCAGCTGGCAAGGTGCTTCAAAAGGACCCGATGTTGACTGGTGAGGGGAAGAGGGGAACGGAGAGGTCAGAGCATGGGCACCGCGATGGTAGGTGGCTGGAAGACGCCTCAGGAGACACGAGGGCGTGCGCGCGTCTAAGTAGATCTTCATAGGTAGGTAGATCTTCATTACCCGAAGTGACCCCTTGCGCTCGGACCCGTTCTCTTCACCTCAAGACTCGTCACTTAAGCCAAGAGTTTTTGCATTTGCATTCTATAAAGAGGACCAACCAAAGAAGATAGTGAAGTCATCACGAACCACTCCTTCTATCCGTTCACACATCCTGCGTCGGATCCCAATCCTCGCCCGGTGGTGCACGCGCGACATGCACATGCCCCTTTTCATCCATCATCGCCCCTTCCGAGCTCACATCCACGCCTGCAGCTTGCGAGGCTTCGAGTTCCGCTCGCCAATACCCGGCTTGGTCTTGAGGGATCCAAACGGTCGGATAGCCCTGCATGAAGTTCGAGGTGGGGATGAAGCCCTATTAGTGAGTGGAAGGCCATAACTCAGACCGTGCTACGCACCTCATAAGTCGCGGGCGGATCGAACGCCCTTTGGTCGAGATGTTCTTCTCCTGGTAAAGTTCCTTCTCGATCGACCCTGGCAGCTGGTACGCCCGTCCCTTGCTTCTCCGGTCGCTTCATCGCCGGTTCAGGAGGGTAGCCTGTCGAAAGTCAAGCCCAGAAGTCAGCATCTCCTCACCATCGCATTCCCCTCCTTACCCTCTCCAAACCCAAACTCACTCATTCCTTCGTCCTCCCTCGGTCCCTTCTCCCCTCCACCCATCTTGGGACTCTCCGAAGATTCAACATCATCGTACACCGCCTGCCTCTCCGCCATCTTGCCCGCAATGCTCAGCGGCAAATTCGCAATCAACGGATCATACCCCGATTTCATCGTCATCTGGAACAAGGCCGTGAACACGATCAAGACGATCGTCAATGCACCGTGGGGGATGCAGATGGCTTTTCCCCTCGAATCGCGGGCGAGGAAGAACAATCCGGCGAGGCAGACGAGTTCGATGTAAAGGCCGACGAAGATATGCGTGATTGCCTTGGGGTAGAAGAGGCCACCTGTTTCGGCTTCCCGGGGCGTGTCGAGGACGAGAGAGAACAAGTACTGTGGAAAGGGTGTTCGCGTCAGTCAACCGCGCACAACGAGAAGGAGTAATGAACTGGTTGGCTCACCTTGTACAAGAACCAGTACAGGAAGAAGGCGAAAAGGGCGAACCCGGTAATAAGCGGCGAGATGATCGAGTACGACAAGCCAATGACGGTCAACAGCGTGGTAGCGGGGAACATGGTACCCCATTCAGTCGTCGACATGTGGTAACGAATCGAGAACACCGAACGAGGCGTCGAACCGAGCAGGAACAACTTGAGGTAGAAAATGGCGAGTGTAACGATCTGCAACAATCCTCCGGCCGCAGCAGCTATTGCTGTAGTACAAAAGTAGGTCAAGAAGAAGTTGCTGGCCGAAGGGAGTTGGGTCGCGAGCAATGTCACGGCGCTTCCTGGGTTCTTGGAGATGACGGGAATCGCCTTGACCAAACCACTGGCGAGGGTGACAACGAGGAATCCATGGATGACGAGAATCAAGAAGTAGCGATCCATAAGCGACAGCTCGATTTGAGAGCGCAGCGGAATTCCTTCGACTCGGGCAAAGATGCGCAGGATGATGGGCAGCAGGATGAAGAGGACTGCCAACGCCACAGGGGGTAGAGCTCCCTGTATGATACCGTTCAGCGGGACTGGGATTTTGCACTGTTGAGCCAGAACAGAATCTTGGGTCAGTGAAGCTCGCAGAGCGCTTTTGAAGGTCTGGGACAGCCTACCAGCCAGGCTAGCCAAGGTGCAGAGATGCAGAGTGCCGAGACGTTCGACAAACTACCGACAAAGGCGACGGGAAACGACCAAACGATGATCAAACCAATCGTAGCACCCCATGAAGCGGCATAACGCAGCGTTCCATTCGAAGGGTTGACGGACAAGTTCCTCCAGATGACGTCCTCGCGATCGACCTCGACCCATTTCGCAGACATGCGCAGCGGCGTGTGGTGGCACAGCAGTTGGGAGAACATGTGCGCCGCGATTTGCTCGTTGAACTGGATAAACGCAGCCGACTGAGGAGGGTAGGTCTCAAAGCCCTGCGAGGAGTACAGTTCGGCACGACCTGCCTCGAGTTGCTCCGTTGTCGTCGCGATCTCTGCTCTCGCCCATTCGATCGTGTCGACCTTTTCACCAAAGATCCCCAGCGCGCCAAGCTTGTGCTTGGGGCGTTGATGATTGGGTACCAGCTCTTGGATCGAGTCGGGGATGGATCCATCTTCGTTCTTGGTCGACATTTCGACCTCGTCGAGCTTGCTCTGCTTCTTTGACTCCTTGCGTTGCTTCTTGTTCTTGGCGGTAATCATTTTGGCGGCGGTGCGAAGCAGCTTGAACTCGGCCGATTCGAGCTTTTTGCATGCCTTGCGTCGACGGTCGTACAAGTCGGGTAGCTCCTTCAGGTCTCTGCACGCGATGACTCACTCAGGGTCAGGCAGGCTCAAAAATTCAATCTCAGCGTAACCCGATCACGGAAACGAACCTGACGATCCAGACGCGCTTGACGCCCCCTGGCAAGATGTTGCAGAATTGCGTCATGGCTTCCTCCGAGAGGTATTCGCGAGATACACCGGTGACAAGCACCGTCCTGGATCTAGCGAGCATCGCATGGTCGCGCGAGATGAGAAAGTCTTGTCGAAGCGTGACAAAGACGGCCAGCTCACGCCGAATCAGGTACCAGACCCAAAAAGTGAGCAGCCAGGCGAGGATGAGATGCGCAGCGTAGCGTGGGCTTTGCGCGAGACCGACGTTGCCAAAGGTAAACTTGTCGAGGCCCACGTTGGTGCCGTCCGAATTGGCGGCATCGACGGGGAGCAGTATAATCCATGTGACGACCCAAAAAGGGAAGAAGATCTCCATCATGAGGTACAAGAAGCGGACGAAGACGTAGGCATCCAAGCCATTGTGGGTAATGATGAGCTTCGAATCGAGTTTGAGGATGTACGGTATCCAGGAAAGCAGTCCCGGGGGCAAGGGATCGATGCGCTTGGACGGCGGCACCAGATAGGAGCGAGGGTTGTAGATCTTGCGAAATCGGTTCCGAATAATGATGAAGGCTGCAATCTGTACGATCGACGATGGTGACACTTGTCAGTGCTCGCATTTCCACTCATGTTGCCGTCTAAGCATTTCCTCCGATGCCGCTCGGAGATAGGCCGGGTTTCCACCATATCCGAGCTTGGGTCAGGGGTGATGGCAAGACCACGTGAATCAGTCGACTGGCTCGGCCGTCGCTGGCGATGAAGGTGGCCAAGATTGGAGCGGCGGTTGCAGCCCAAGCCATGCCATATCGCGATACATCGGACGTTCCGACTGATGCGAAAGTGTCCCGATGATGGTTCGGAGTCACGTCCAATGAAAGCCGTCCGCTTCGACGCCAGACAGGTTGAGCGCTAGTCTAGCTTCGCACGGACCCTTCAACGAGGGGCTCGTCCCTCGGTACGTTTGGATTGGCGACCCCACTATTGCGAGTTCAATCCTCACCTCTACACCAGCTACGGCGAGACCCGACACCAAGGCCGTCACGAAAGTCTGCGTCGACTTGTTGGCTGCGAAACCACAGCGCGGCGCGGCGCGGCGAGCAATGACGACGACGACGACGACGCGATGACGGAGGAAACACGCCCGGCGAGTAGAGAGACGATGGACGAAGAAGCATGAAGCGATAAGCAGTGCATTCAGCGTGGAATGGGAGACGTGGGAAGGTGTACGTACTGGCATCCGCTGCTGTCAGCGACATGTCGTAGGGCGGTGGCTGTCCCCAAGAAAAGCAAACGTGTAGGTGAGCAGATGCGGAGGGTGTACATATCAAGCTTCCCGCTGCTCCCCGCCCAACGGCCGAGAATCTCCCCGGCCGAGATCGATCGCGATCGCTGGCCGAGCTTTTTCCTTACCTATGTTACCTGTGCCTTCTTGCCCTTCCGTTTTCGCTTCCCTTCTTACTCCATCCAATCTTATCAGAGGGTTTTCGGTGCAATAGACCTCTTCCTTTTGCAGTTGAATGTCGAATTTCGCAGCAGCTTGTCAAAGGGTGATCCGTGCGGGCGTGCGATTCACGAGAAAGAACTTGAAGCTTTCCTAACTTTCAAAATCTGCAGAGTGGGCTTTGAATACCGTTACAACAACGACAGAATCCCCACTTCCAACTTCACACTTTTACTAAAACTCCTGAGGTAGACTTATGCCTTACGCCTTCAACACGGGAGGAACCGATCAAGCCTTTTCCTTCTTCCTCCGGCGGGTTCCCACTTCGACCTTATGTCTCCATCTCTCAAAGGATCCAACTCATACCTTGTACCTCACGACTGCAACGATCAAAGTGAGCCCGGTGATGGCGCAATAGGCGCGGAAGCCTCGGGTATATGATGTCGAGCTTGATCGTCGGAACGGAAGATTTGTGCACCGATACCGTAGATCCAGGCGATGAATCTCTAAGGGACATAAATGGACCCATCAAATTATTTAGCATCTCTTCTGCCTTGTTTCCCCCCTTTGGGTTGGGGGCGGACCAAATGAAGATCCTACAGCGGCAAACAATCATACAAGACTCACCGTCGGCTTGAACGCTCCCCACTGCACCTCAACGTTGTCTTCTTCCTCTCCTTCATCGGACCATCCCTCCTCACCTTCGTATACAAGCTATGCTGCTCCCTTCCAGTAAAGCAACTCCTCTTCGGCAAACCTGTCGTCGTGGGTTTCGTATCACGACCCGAATGTCGAGCTTGACGAACCGTGCGCGCAATTTTGAGATGATGTCGTTGATGTGAGCTAGCTGCATCGAATCTCGCGGCTTCTCCATCGTTCCTTCAAACATCTCAGCGTCACCCCACCGGATGTGCACTCCGCAGGACAGAGCCGTCCGATCGGGTGACACCGCCGATCCCTCCACTGATGGCCGATCCAATCTCCGTCCCTCGATACCACCGATCCTTTGTCGCACAAAGTTACGATAGCACGCGTTGAGGTCTTCCACGACTTCGTGGACGATGTCCTCGAGTATGATGGTGCAACCCCTTTCATCCAGCTGCTCCTTCACTCTCAATCCTAGCTCGTAGCCTTTTTCTAACCGACTGCAAGCACCCCTGATGACCATGTGTCGACGATACCGTGGCAGATAGTCTATGAACTTACAAGGAGGTGACAAATTCAGATCGCATTGTCCTCCGAATCTGGTAAAAAGAATCCGAACATGAGTCCCTCGCGATCGAGGATGGTGAAAATTCCCAAGAGGGCGAATAAGCAGAACCAAAGGGGTTTTCCGGCGATCCCTTCCATTTGAAAAACATCGTCGGCGAGGAGTTTGGCGCAGGCTTGGACTAATTGTGTGGCGAATAAGAATATCATGACCCGTCTAGATACGATCTTACCCGCGGCCTAGTGGCTAAGCGGTGCTCCCCATAGACGGGTCGTGGACCCCGCAGAATCCGCTCTCAACCACGGCCCCAACTTCTACAAAGTAGTCAAATAGTTCGGTTATGTCATGTCAAGATATTCATCTTCCTTCCTTCCTGTTAAAAAAAAACCACGTCCACCCTAGAATCTTGTCCTCCTCCTCTCCCTACTCGTCAATATCCTGTGCTCCTCTCCTCTTTCCTGCCTGCCTCGACTGAGCGGCGGGATGACGCGCCAATTCAGGTGGGCACCTGGACACGGGCGATTTAGTAATTTCTTGCTTGAGGTCGTACCTGTAGAAACGAAAAGGTGGGGGGGGGGGGGAGATACAACGACCGATCAGTTTTCACGGTATGAGAATTGAACGAAATAGAGTAGCATGACGCGACGTACATCAAATCTTCATCGTGATCCGCCAAAAACGTGATCGCCGTACCCGTCTTACCCGCTCGACCCGTCCTACCAATCCTATGAATGTACGCCTCGATCGTGTTCGACATTTGGAAATTGACGACCAAAGAAACGTCGGGAACGTCGATACCACGGCCTGCGAGATCGGTGGCGACCAACACGTCGTTCTCGCCGTTGCGGATCGAGTTGAGCGCGGCTTCGCGTTGCTCTTGGTTTTTGCCCGAATGGAGGGTCGTAGCGTTCCACTGTGAAAAGAAAGGAACAGCATATACATCAGGCATCAGGTCAGTCAACACTTTCGAACATCGAAGTAAAAGGGTCAAGATGCCACTCACTCTCGCCCGAACCAAATCCTTCATCACCACATCCGCCGCCTTCTTCTGATTGACAAACACAATCATCGGCGGTTCGAATCCACCATGGTTGAGGATCTCCAACAACCTCGCCTTCTTCTTATCCTCGACGGTGATAAACTCGACCCTTTGATCGACCGTATCGACGGCTTGTCCGGCTACACCGATCGTCACGATTGCGGGTCGTCGTAGATACTTCTTCGCCAGTCGTTCTACGGCTGGAGGCATGGTAGCGGAGAACATGACCGTTTGTCGATACAAGGCCAGAGTCGATTCGGTCGTGGTCGATCCTTCAGCGGGCGAAATGATCATCGACGACATCTTCTCCCCGTCCTCCGCTTCCTCACTATCCGGTTTGAGGTTCGACACGGGCAAAGCGTCCAAAATAAAGTTGAGCACGTCCTCGAAACCGAGTGAGACCATTCGATCGGCTTCATCCATGACGACATAGGTACATTGACTGAGTACCAACACCGATCGTTCGATACAATCCTTCAAACGACCCGGAGTCGCAATGACGATCTCGGCACCTTCGCGAAGGGACAAAGCTTGAGCTTCGATCTCTTTTCCACCGACGATGGAAACGCATTTGTAGCCTAACAATTTGCAAAACTTGTTCGTCTCGGATTCGATTTGTTGGGCCAATTCACGCGTAGGTGCGAGGACAAGAGCATAAGGTCCTTGGGATCGGTTCTCGTCGGTGAAGGGGGGCAGTCGGGAGATGTAGGCCAACATGGGGACGACGAACGCCGCTGTTTTTCCTGAACCTGTTTCGGCGATACCGATTTGATCCCTGTTCAACAAACCGATCGGGATCGCCTGCCTTTGAATGGGCGAAGGTTCCTTGTACCCGATTTCCTCGATCGCATCCAAGATGGGTCGAGGGATACTCGATTCCTCCCATGATCGTAATGGCAAGGGAATGTGCCCTCCCCGAGCGGCGATGGAGAAGTCTTCACGGAAAATACGCCAGTCTCGATCCCGCATCTCGTCGAGCGATTTCTCGGTCCAGTGACGATCGTCGATGGAGCCCTTGATGCGCTTACCCGAACCGCCGGACGGTGCACGGTCCAGATCGCGATCAAAGCCACCCAAGTGACCTCGACCGAAGAGGCGAGGAACGAGAGCTTGAACGGGGTGGGGAGGGGCCGCTGTCCCGGGCGCTTCGGTACGGTTCGTTCCTCCGTGGTTCGGGTTGCGACGTTCGTAAGGGGAGGGTTTGGATACGGTTGGGGGTATGTAGGGTTTGTAGATGGGGTCAACTTCGTTCGAGGCCGTGTCGTCCGTTCGGTCCCAGTCGAAGTCAAACTTTTTGGTCGAGATTTTCGTTTTCTGGATGCAATAGAAAGAGCCGTCAGCTTCAGGACCAACTTGCAAGTTCGTCCCGCTACTGACCTTGCGTTTCTCCAAATGATTCGCGCCAAGGTACCGGGTCGCGTTCAACTTGTCATTGAGGGGAATTGCCGCCGCCGCCGCATTGACACCTTGTTCAGCGGCCATTTCAGCCAGAGTCAATTTGCGTTTCGGTGCGACTGGAGCTGGGGTGTCTTGCTGGATTGGTTTCGGGTCTTGTTGCTCCTCCTTGATGGAGGGTTCTTCTGACTTGGCCGTCGTCGTCGTTGATGGGACGGCGTTGTCCGTTGCTGAGGGCCGAGCAGGAGGTGGAGGCATCTCGCCATTCGATCTCGCACCATCAAGTTGCATCCGATCATCTCCGTTCCTCTGCGAATACGCGTCCCTCTCCCTGTCCGCTCTAGGTGCGGACGGTGGGAGTGGTCCCCCCCTGGTATCAAAGCGTCGATCGTGATTCGCCCTCGGTGCCGTAGGCGTATGGTCGTCGTGTCGGGACGGTTGAAAGCCCAAGCCACCTCTTCCTCTTGCATTCCTCGAATGATTTGAGTATGCTCCTCCCCTCGCCGAGGACGATTGGCCATTGTAGTCCAGTGCACCGTTCCTGCCGCCTCTCGAACCAAAAGCCCGCTCATCGTACCTCCCCTGACCACTGGCGCCATAGTTGCGTTGTGGAGGTTGGAAATGATTCGACGGGGTCGATCGTTCGAGTTGGTTCTGCTTGAGTTGGAGTTGATGTTCTTTCGCGGCTTCGACTTGGGCTGCTCGTTCGGCGAGCGCGATCGCGGCTCGTTCTTGTTTGGTGAGGAACTTGGGCTGGGGCGAGGGAGTAGTACGAGTCAGTAGGGTGAAGTAGACTCGGGTGGTTGATGATGATGAAAGGACGAACGCGGGAGTGCTCCTCCTTCTCCTGGCGCTGCTTGGCCAAGAGGGCTTCGATCGAGATGGGCGTGCGAGTTGAGCCATTGCCGTTGGAAGAGGACGACATGCTGGACCCCGGCTCACACTAGTTTTTTTTGTTTTTTTGAACGAGAACAAACTGTCGTTCGGAGGTGGGGGGGCAAGGGGTATGAGGGCGGGACGGTAGGAAGCGGAGAAGAGGGAGCGACCGTGTGGTTCACCGGGGTGGCGTTGGTTCGAGGCGCGTGACTTGGGCGCGGACAGGCGCGGACAGGCGCGGACTTGGGAAGACTTGGCAGTCTATTAGCAGTGTCTATTAGCAGCAGACTTGAGCCTAATACTAGTATTTATTACTTGAGCTCTTGTCACTCTTGGGCCTGACTCGGGGGACAAGCTCGGTCCGTTTGACTCTCCTCGTCGCCTCCGTTCCCACGTCCCACCCTTCTCACGCTTCTGACCCTACTCCTGCCCATCTCCTCCGTCATGGCGCGCCGTAAATCGGCCTTCATCGAAGACGCCACCGACTCGGACTCGTCCCAATCCTCCACCACCTCCTCCTCCTTCAACGACGCCTCCCGCTCCCAATTCGCCTCCACCGAGGACCAGGACGCCCAAGCCGAGACCGCCCTCTTCCTCGATCCGATGGCACGACAGAGGAGGGGCCTCAAGAGGAGTAGGGAGCAGAGGAAGGAGGATGCGTGGGGGGGTGTACTCGCGGGAACTGAACAGGAGGCGTATGAGCGTGCAACAAGTAGGGCTGGTCGTGCGCACAACAGCGATGGCAACAGGTGGCTCAAGTAGGTCGAACCGAACCTTTCTTTTTTCTCTCCACGCGTTGTCGGTGCAAAAATGCTGATTGTGGACTTGCGGGGTGTGTCATCAGGACCGCGCCTTCGTTCGTAGCAGCTGGCTCGGACCCATCCAACGCCAAGGAACCGATCGATAACCTGGCCGATACCGGACCTAGGAAGAGACTACAAGCTGCCCAGGAGGATGAGGAGGATCTGGACATGGAGATGGCCGATTCGGATGATGATGAGCAGCAAGAGCCAGATCACAGGGACAACCACGATAACGATGACGAGGACGAGGACGAAGACGAGGACGAAGAACAAGACGACTATCAAGACGACGACGACGACCCCACCGCAGCAAAACCAGACCAACACAACCTCGCCCCCGTCCCAGGTCTCGAAGACACCTCCATCGTTCCAGAAGAGCTCGTGATCGAACAACCGACCGCCGCACTCGCTTTCGCACCTCGAATACGACCCCGTACCGGTATTGGTGGTGGCGCACGCGCAGGGCTGGGGTCAGGTGCCGCCGGACGTCAGCCGGTGGCGAGCATGATCGCTTCTCAAAACACTACTTCTTCGACATTTTCATCGCCTTCGACGTCGGCGCCTACGTTCGCCAAAGCTACGATCTCGGGAGGAAGAGGGGAAAGCGGATCTTCCTCCAGCTCTGAACCCACAACCTCGGCCCATCGGAATGGCGCAGATTCCCCCATGACCGGGGCGTCCCCACCTCGCACCGAACTCAGCGCTTCAAAAGCAGGGATAGGTCGATCAGGCATTGGAGCTCAAAGTTCAGATCCCGATCCCGCGACGAAGGGAAGGGAAGGGTCACCTGGAGGAGCGCTAGGTTTCGGTGCGAGACCTAGTTCGAAACTCGTCGATGAATTGAGATCGGAATTGGCCTCTTCCGGCGTCGAGTCCAACTCAAGCGTCACCAACTCCAAATCGTACGAAACGACCGTCCCAAGACCAGCAAGAGAACGCCGTTCCTTCCTCCCCACCGCTTCTACATCCACCTCGACCCCTTCGACCCAACCCGCCCCTCGCATGTCCAAAAAAGAAGCCACCCACTTCGCCGCTCTGGCCTCATCCGGATCGCTCGGCTTGAAAATGCTAGAAAAGATGGGCTGGAAAGCCGGGACCGGATTAGGTGCGGACGGGCAGGGTATCGTCACTCCTATCGGGGAGGGACAAACGGTACGACAGGGGAAGAGTGGGATTACGAAAGGGGAGAGGTCGGAGGGGGCCAAGGCGGATGAGAGGAGAAGGAAAGGCTTGCTTAGTGATGAGGAGGAAGAAGAGGGAAGAGGAGGCAGGAGAGGAAAGGGGACAGGGAAGGGCAAGAGATTGGGTATGGGGGCAAAGGACTTGCTGTTGGTCGAAAAGGAGAACAAGAAGGAAGCGTGGACTCGGCCTGCCGGAACGAAAAAGAGAACCAAGGACAAGACCGCTTACAAGACCTACGAGGAACTCGTCGCCGAATCGGGTGGGGATCCGGTTCAACAATCGGGAGTGGGGATGTTGGTCGACCTTTCGGGCAATGCGTTGCCGAGCACCTCATTGTCGTCCTTACCGGCTTTCGGCGCCGGTTCGGCCGATCCGACGAGATTACCCGAGTTGAGACATAATTTGATGCTCTTAACAACGACGTTGGGGTCGAACTTGTCGGCTTTGGCGAGGGAGGGCAAACAGGTCGAAGAACGGAGGAAGTATTTGAACGTCGAAGAAGAGAGGGTTCGTGGGGTTGTCGAGAAGCAGGAGTTGGCGATCGAGAGAGTTCACGGCGTCTTGAAACTCGTCGCGAGGATGAAGGTTATCGAGCAAGAAGTTGCGGAAGTGGCCAAGATCATTTTGATCGGCGGTGAAGGGTCGGAACAGGTCTCCCCGAACGATCTATTCAATTTCTTTATCGACGTTTTTGATGAACTTCTCGGGGATTATGAAGATGAATACGCCGTACTTCAATTGGACGAAATTGTCGTCGCGGCCATTGCACCCCTTTGTCGCAAACTGTTCGCAACATGGGATCCTTTGACTTCGCCCTCGTACGCGGTCGATCAACTCAAGCGATGGAAAAAGCATTTCCTCATTGATAAGCACGAGGCTCGGGATCTCGAGGTCAAAAAGGGGTTGGGGGAGGCCGAGGTCTTTGGATCGACGGGGATGAGGTCGGGTGATGGAAAGGGTTTGGGTGGGAAGGGCGACCGGATGATGTCGGCTTATGAGACGATGTTGTGGACTATTTGGCTACCTCGCGTGAGGACAGCGATAAAGTAAGTTCGAGGTTTTGCATGGGAAGGAGCGTACCTGTTGCTCACACCACTATCTTTTGGGAACTCCACACAGTAATCATTGGTCAGCAACGAATCCTACCCCCGTCGTGCAGCTCTACCAAGCCTGGTTCCCCCTCCTTCCCCAATTCCTCATCGACAACTTCCTCGACCAACTCGTTCTCCCCAAAGTCCTCCAAGCGATACAAGAATGGACACCTACGAAACGAGGCTCGGCATCAAAAATGGCTCCCCCACCTTTACATCAGATTGTCTTCCCATGGCTTGAAGTTGTGGGACAACAGGGGAGAGCGGAGGGTGTGCTGGACGAGTCCAAGAGGAGGGTCAGGGGCTGGTTGAAAGGGTGGAAAAGTAGTGATGGGGTGCCCAAGGGGTTGGAGGCTTGGAAGGATGTGAGTTGTATGGTTGGGGGTCTTGACACATCACGACGTGCTGACTCTTAAGCTTCTCCATACAGGTTTACCCCAAATCGGACTGGGACTCCCTCATGCTCAAACACATACTCCCACACCTCGGTACCCTCCTGCGCGACCAATTCATCATAAACCCTCGCGCACAAGAACTCAAACCCCTCGAACAGGTCCTCGGATGGTCAATGTTGTTGAGGTCCTCTATGATGAGTCAATTGTTGGAGAAAGAATGGGTGCCGAAGTGGTTAGACGCGTTGTTCATTTGGTTGACTACGGAGGGGTGTAATTATGAACAAGTGGCGGAGTGGTGAGTTTTCGCGCGGGTGCGGTGGCTTTCTGGGGAAAGCCAAGCTGATGTATTCTCTCCCCAATCAGGTACTCGTGGTGGAAGTCGTATCTGCCGGAAGAGGTGGTCGCCCTCTCGGGTGTGTCGAAGGGTTTGAGGAAAGGTCTGGATCTGATGAATCAGGCCATGGCCTTGGGCGAGGATGCCAAGTACAGGTACGTCCGACCGTTGCAAAAGCCCAGCTCAATTAGGCTCAACGAACTGACCCTTAAAGCCTTTTCTCAAAAGACTCAAACGACCCGACCTCCTCCCACCACCGACGTCCTCTTCGCACTCCACCAAGTCCTCGAGCAAACCCAAACCCGCCCCCTCTCGCCACGCCGAAGAAGCCGACGACACTATCACCTTCCGTTCCATAGTCGAAGAGATCGCTGCCTCGCACAACCTCATCTTCCTCTCCACCGGAACGTCGGACGAGAAAGGTCGGACGTTGTATCGTGTTTCCGAGACGGTGGATGGGAAGAAGGGTTTGGTGGTTTATTTGGAGGAAGACGTGGTTTGGTTTTTGGATAAGGGGGAGTGGAGGCCTATTGGGGTGGACGATATGTGTAGGAAGGCGCTGGGGGTGTAGGGATGGGGGGAAATGATTTTCTTAGTGTATGTAGGCTGGAAAGATCAATTGCAGCAGAGTTGGTCGCGTAATGGGCCAGGTTGTCACGAAGTACTTTTGAGTGGGTGAATATCGAATTACGGAGCGCACGGAATCGCTCGCTGGCTCGTGTCGTTTCGTTTCCTCCTTGACAGCACACTCATTGCATCGCACCACCTCCGACCACCATGTCGCTAAGTAACGAAGAGGTAAGCAACGCCGGTCCCAAGCTTACCTTGCATCGAACACCTCACCTCACCTCCACATGCCACCCACCGACTGACTTGAACCCCACTCGCCCCCCGTCCTCCCTTCTCCCGGCACAGTTCCTCAAGCAATTGGCCGACTTGTTCGAGTCGAGGAAGGGAAGTAAAGGATCGGTTTTTATCACGATGAAGCGAAGTGAGTGGTCTGTGGACTGGCTGGTGGTTGTGAAGGGGCGTAGGGTAGATGAGAGCGATCGAGGCCACCGCTCGAGCTGAATGGGGTCTTACAACACCGTATGGGGGAACAGACCACTGATCACGGTCACGAAATCTTGTCCTCAATAGTGACATATGCAACCCCCGGAGAAGACGTGACCATGACGAATGCCGAGGCCGAGGAAGCGCAAGAAGGCACCTCGGCGGCCGGAAGAAGTAGTTCCCAGCAACAGTGGCCCTGTTTGATCCGAGCGACGGACGGGAAAGGGAAGGAAACGAAACGAAAGATATCCACTATTGTAAGCCTATCTTTGAGCGAGTGGAGTGTTGGTCAAAAGGGGTCGTGCTTGAGCTGATCCGTCGTTTTGAGGATTTTCAGGTCGCTCCGGAGGATCGAGCGACGTGGTCAACAGCCTACGGTGCTCTACTCAAAGCGAGTTTCTCGACTCTACGGCCCAAACAAAAGAAGAAGACGAAAAAGGTCAAGGCCACGACAACAGGTGCCGCGAAGGGGAGCTCAGGCAAAGAAGGAGCAGGGACGGCGACGAGTTCGTCTGCAGGGAAGGGGAAGAAGAGCACGGTGCAGCCGAGCAGGGTGTTGACCAAGATCACGGGAGCTAGGCGAGGTGCGGGGGTGAGTAAGAGGAGAAAGTTGTTGGAACGGAGAAAGAGAGAGGTCAAGAGAGCTTGGGCCAGGAGGAGGGATGCTTGAGCGATGTGGGACGAGGGCGGCGCTGCAAGGGGGTGATGTAATCAAGTGACTCGAAAGAAAGTACATGATTGCACTGCGTGCTTGGGCTGTGCGGCAGAGAGAATCGACCGGAATGCTTTCCGACACACCGGCTCGGACCGGCAAATGTCAACTTATAATGACGTAATCCCAAATTCGAGCCGCCGGCCGTTCGCGGGCGCTTGCGGGCGTGCACTCGCGACGACACGCGCAGACACGCGCCTCGACGCGTTGACAGACGTCAGACGACCAACTTCTCGCCTCCTCGCACGTTCCGCCGCATCCAACTCTCAACCAAACACATCCGGTCTAGGCCTTCGCTCGTGTATGGGCTCGTCGCACGACCTCCAAAGCAGCCAGCCCCTGAATGACAGCCCCCTTCAAACGACCGCGTCTAGCGCCGAACGAAGCTCCACTCCCCAAGACCCTACCCACCACAAACCTCGCTAAAAACACGTCCGACTCATCCCCTCCGTCCGACTCGAACGCTCCTTCCATCAATTCGACATTGACTTCCCTCTCGGACGATGCGCAGAGGAACATGTTGAACTTGGCGCCGAGGTTGACCCAGGCGGTCGTTGAACCTATGAGGTATAGGAGGGAAGAGGACGTCACGGAGGATGTCGATTGGACGTTCAAAAAGGTCAGTTCCAGGTGAAGTTGGTGTTCTGGCTTGTCGGTGGCGAGCTTCTTGGTCCGGATCCGCCGAGCTTGCCTCGACTCGGCGAATCTGCTCGGACCCCTTCCCAAGGCTCAAGCTGACCACCATCTTGATGACGAACATCGTCTGACTCCGCCCAGGTCTTCCTCAAAACTGAATACAAAGGTCGTCAAAGGGATATCATGCAAGCTTCCTTGCGCGGTTCCGACATCCTCGTCATCGCCCCGACAGGGATGGGCAAAAGTCTCTGCTTCCAAGTGCCCGCCGTCGCGGAGAAGCATGGCTTGACCGTTGTCATTACTCCTCTACTTTGTGAGCGTTGCTTGATCTCGAACTGGGGTGGAAGGGGACACTGAACAGCACGCCTGTTTCTGTCTGCTCCCACAGCGCTCATGTTTGATCAGATCGCTGGGCTGAAGAAGCTCAATATCCCCTGTGCGATGCTTTCGAGCAAGACCGAGCGAGAGGAGCAGAATCAGGTCCGTCAGCGAAAACATACTTTACCTCTCGTCGAACCCTTTCCGTTTCTCATACATCTGCCTTACTACAGGTCATGATGGACATGCGGTCGGGCCATCCCAAAAACCGCCTGCTCTACAGTCAGTCTTGCCCTTCACTCCAAGCTACCCATGAAAGTTAAGCCACTCACAACCCCTGATCTTTCAGTCACACCCGAGCGACTGTCCTCACCCCAGTTCCGCAAACAGCTTCAAGTACTCTACCAGCAGAACGAGCTGAATCGGCTCGTCATTGATGAGGCGCATTGCATCTCCGAGTGGGGCCACGACTTTCGACCCGAGTATGCCAAGCTGGGATTGTTCCGAGCCGACTTTCCCAAGATTCCGATCACAGCCTTGACCGCGTCTGCGACTCCAAAAATTCAGGATGACATGTAGGATGCATGATCGTTCGCTCCGGAGAGCGGACTGAGCTGATCTCCCACGACTCCCTTCTGAATTGCGCAGCGTTCGAGAGCTCTCGCTGGACGCCGACCTGCTCTTCAAAGTCGTCCACCCCTTCAATCGGATCAACCTCTACTACGAAGTACGATACTTCTCCGAGCGTTCGCAAACCCCTTCGCATCGATCCGACGACATCCTCGACTACATTTCCAAAGCCTCTTCCCGCTCCACATCACGATCCCGGTCAGCCACGAACGGCCCAACTGACGCCAACCCCGCGCCGCCCGTGGCAGTCGTCGCTGATCCCGTCGTCTTTTCAGGCATCGTCTACTGTCGAGCGAAAAAGACGTGCGATGATTTGGCGGCGTATTTGAGGAGTGGAGGGGTCAATGCCGCGGCTTATCATCGGGGTTTGGATGATCATGACGCGGATCGGGTGCAGAGGGAGTGGAGGGATGCGGATGAGAGGAAGGCGCGGGGCAAGAGTTGGGTCGATTGCGTTGGTGAGTCGGCCACTTGTGATCTTCGTCTTCGTCGACGATGGCTGAGAATTGGGTTCGGTGATGGTTGCAGTTGCGACGATCGCTTTTGGTATGGGCATCGACAAGGTGAGTGTGGCTTCACATGCGATTACCCGGCAGTCTCAACGTTGAACTAATTCTTACTGCATACTGCACGTTTGGCAGAGCAATTGTCGATACGTCATCCACTATGACATTCCCAAATCCTTCGAAGGCTTCTACCAAGGTCAGCGCGGTATGGGCGCGAAGAGGAGTCTTCACCGAAACGTCAACGAGCTGACTCGGTCTCTTGCTGACGCGTGGACAGAAACCGGCCGCGCGGGTCGAGATGGCCATACGGCGCGTTGCATCCTCTACTATTCGGCCGAGGACAAAGCGCGCATCACGCACCTCGTCTCCAGATCTCATTCGAACCGTCTTCATCACCACGAACAAGGCTTCGGCAACCTACCTTCCCAACGCGCCCCCAACTCGATCGAAGCTCTCCTCTTCTACGCCGAAAACGTCCGTATTTGTCGACATTTAGCGATCTGTCGTTATTTCGGGGAGAAGATCAAGGAGGAGGAGAAGGAGGTGTATTGTCGGAGGTTGTGCGATGTGTGTCGGGATCCGGGCAAGACGAGGCAGAGGAGGGATGAGGGTATGGTCGAGTTGGATTTCGAGGCGACGCAAAGGGCTGTGAAGGAGACGAGGAACGTGGGGGAGTTGGATGGGTTTGAGGATGAGGAAAGGGAACGGGATGGAGGGGGTGGAGAGGGGGAGGGGGAGGGGTTGGAAGAAGAGGAGGAGGAGGCTAGGGCAGTGGTCCCTGTCCGGGCATGTCGAGAAGGGTTCAGGACCGCGGCGGTGGAGCTCGAGCGCAACGAGAAGAGCTTGGAGAACGTCGTCAGGGAGCCGAGTAGCTCGCCACCGTCGGGGACCATGGCGGAAGTCAGGGAGCGGGAACAAAAGGTAGAAGAGGCACCTGCTGTGGAAGCAGAAGTGGAAGCGGAGGCCGAAGTAGAAGCCCCTTCACCGTGTCCCGAGAAGATGGAAGTCGACGAGGAGGATGAGGATGAAGCTGAAGAAGATGAGGAGACAGATGCCGACACAGTCGCTTCGGATGCCGAGAGCCAGCCTGATTCGTCGGCCGCCAGTGTGATCGATGATGACGACAATGATGACGATGATAGCAAAAAAGACATGGACAACAACGACGACCACGATGACTTCCCACCTCGACGAGTGTCTCTCGCGATTGGGTCGAAGCGCCCTCGACCCCTAGTCATCAGCGACGAAGAAGATGAAGAGTCGGACGAAGTGGACGAGCCGCAGGAAGAAGACGAGGATACTCTTCCGACTCCTATTGGACTACCCAAGGCATTGTCGAAGAGCGTCCTGGGAGCGATAGGCAGGGACCGACCAGTTCTGGAGACTAGTGACGCAACGACGGCAGTGGCTAGACCGCAGCTCTGTGGAGGCGGAGGTGAGTTGCCTAGATGTGAGATTACAATTTTATTTGGCTCGGTATTGACCGATCAATTTGTTTGCGATCCAGGTTCGTCTACCGTACCGGCCTCGAAGCATCTTCCCAAGTTCATACCCCCTTTTGACGATGCCCAACGTCGCCCAAAAGAAGCCGTAGCCCCCCTCAGCGCCACTGCCGGTCGTGCTCCTTTGATCGAGGTCGATCGACCCGAAGACTTCGAGGTCGTTCCTCAGACGTACGAGAAGAAACTCTCGCATACAATGAGACGTGAGGCTGTTGTCCAACTTGATCAAGACTTGCAGCGGGCTTTGTTGTCCAAGTTCGGGCAGTGTTCGGCGACGATTGAGGACAAGGCCTGGAGAGAGTTGGCCGGAAAGAAGATTGTGTATGAGCAAAGGTGAGTCATTGACTTGATCGAGCGTTCGATGGGAAACAGACCCAATCCTGACATCAAATCGCCCCATATTATTCGAACAGGCGAGACATCATCCTTCTCACTGCAGTCTCGCTCGAATCGGATCTCTTCTGGCTCGCGCTCACAAGCAAAGGCTATCGCTCGATGCTAGGACCACGAACAAAAGCAATCGCAAACCTCAAACTGAGCGAAAAGGCACCTCTTGAGTTCGAGAACAACGCTCGATTAATCGAGGAGGTCTTTGACGCATTGAAGAGAGCCGCCGCATCGTTGTTACCGAGTCGATCAAGGAGGAAGAAGGCGAGAGTGGAGGAAAACCAGGCGGAAGTTTGAGCTTGGCTGGTGGGTTGCTTTGGTGAGCTGTCCTACTATTCTACTGTTGTACTTCTTGGGTCAATTTATCTTCGTACAACGCACTTGACGAGGATGAGCGGTTCTCCGCCGGCAAACTCGCTCTTGCAGATGCCGGATAGGGGACCCAGCACGAGATTTTTCACACTCTCGAGTAGAGTCCAAGCTCCAAAAACCACGGTACAGAGGTATATCATACGATGCCCTGATAAAATTGAGAATCCTGGCAAGCGGTGCTACGGGGGCCCTGCGAAAGACGAGAGCGAAAAAGAATATAACTGCACACCTGCTCAAGCCTTCAACGAAATTCCGTTGGCCTCGGCCCATTTGGCTGCGCCTTGATACCCAAAGTTGTACGAGACGAATTGATGAACGTTGACGCCCATCTCCTCCGTTCCTGGTCGAGGGCCCATCGCCTTCTCGCGCGAGTAGCCCTGAATCTTGGATGCTCGGTCGTAGCGAACCTTCTGGACGAGCTCGAGCAACGCAGGGATATCATCCTCCGGTCCTGCGGAGGCCAAGACGACCTGGAGAGCCTCGGCGTCCTCGACGGATTGTCCTCCTCCTTGACCCTGATGGGGAAGCATGGCGTGGGCGGCGTCACCAATCAAAATGGCACGTCCCTTGGTCCATGTCTTCAACGGGTCTTGGTCGCGCAATTGCCAGAGACCGCACGACGGGGCAGTACTGTGAGGAGCGCAGAGAAAATCAGGCTGTCAGCAGTGTGCCATGCAGAGAATATAAGATAAGTAGGTGCCTGCGTTGGCAAAGTAGACTGACCGAAGGAAATCAAGCAACTCGGGCTGGAAATCCTTGAAGGCCTCGATCATCTCATCGATCGAACCCTCGGCGTTCCACGACTCGACACTGTCCTCGTTCATCTTCTCGTCCGGCACGATAGCGACAATGTTGAGCAAACTACCACCTCGGCACGGGTATGCGACCACTCGACGGTCGGAGGCGACGAAGGTCGTCAAAGTGGGCGGGTTCAGGCTGAGCAACGAGGCCATGGCAGGGACCTTCTCGACGGATTCCCGGGGAATCAAGCAGCGGTACGCACTGTAACCGGAAGGTTGGGCAACTCGCTCGGCGCCGAGAATCTCGGTTCGAAGAATCGAGTGGATGCCATCGGCCCCGATGATGATGTCAGCCTTGAGCACTTGGCCGTCCGCGAGCGTGACCTTTCCGGCTTCGCAGTCCTGAAGGGCACCGAACGAGATGAGATGTGAGTTTTCGGATCGTTTGACGAGACTAGGCGAAATGCACTCACAAAAGAGACAGCCTTGGCAGCGGTTTGGATCACGGCGGGCTTGCCGGGCAAATCAGGAGTAGTGGCCATCCTTCGGAGCTCGTTGTGCAAGTCGACACGGTGGTTGAGCAACCAAGGCGCGCCGAACCCCTTTCGGGGATCGCTCGGAACGGCGATCAAGGTATCACCTTTGGCACTCTTCTCCACGTACTGTCAATTTGAATATCACAGAAGTCAGAAAAAGTCTCTCGTGACACTGGGGGACCGATCATGTACGATTTCGGACCTACCGACTGCACCTCGGGGCTGTTGAGGGCGGCCAAATCGAGGCCCCACTGCAGCGCGATTTTAGAAGCGTTGGGACCAAGATGGATGGCTGCACCGATCTCGGACTTCATGCGCGATTGCTCGAGAACGGTGACATTGTGCTGCTCGCGCAAAGCTCGCGCTGCGGCAAGTCCGGCAATTCCGGCTAGTGAGGACAGAGAACTCGGAGGTCAACTCGGGGTCCGAACAGCAAATCGTGCGATGTGATCGCTGGTCGAGCGACTCACCTCCAATAATGATGATTTCCAAAGGCATGCTCTTTGGTAAACTTTTGCCAGGTAAGTCTGAGAGTCGGAGATCGTGTGGAGAGTTGATGATGTGTAGGAGTGACGGAAAGCGCTCGCATTGACCTAGTCCTGGGAAGCGCGCATGACTTTCCGCGCGATCCGGCCCGAGTGGATTCCGCTGAGTGGGCGTCGCGCCCTGATACTAGTCCTCTCGCGCGGCGGCCGCGCCCCCGGCGGTCGCAGTCGAGGCGGGGGAGGCCCACTCGGGCGTTAGCATGCGGGTCGGCGACGCCGATAAACTGCACCGGGTGGAGCAGCTCGTCTGAATCCACCACGTCCATCATCGCCTGCGGCCTTGCCACCTACTCATCCATTTCGTCCTGGTACCCACGCCCGCACTTCAGAGAGCCGCTCACAAGAATGAAGTCCACATCTACGCCCGTCATCTTCTGCTCGCATGGATCGACGATGATGCTCGGCGAGGACTCCTCCGCGGGTCGGTACTGGCAAAAGGTCGGCGAGGAGGCGATGGCGCGCAAGATCGAGGGTGTCGTGTTCATGGGAGCGCATTGGGAAGTCAATGGAAATGGATTCGAGATCGCGAGCAATGCATCGGAGCCCGTCAAGCAGCCGGTCGCATGGGTATCGCCCGACAAATACATCGATTACAACGTGAGCTGCGACGATCGTTCTCGGCCATCTTGAGCCGACGATGACCCCGAGAGGCTGACGAGTTCTCTTCCGAAACTTGGCAATAGATCAACGTCTCGCCCAAGCTGGCAGAACGGGTACATGAATCCTTGACCGCGGCTGGCATCGAGTCCAAGCTCAACCCTAATGTCGAATGGAGTGAGTCTGTGAAATCGCCCCGAGGACCATACTCTTCTCGGAATTGCCAGCTGACTCTGTGGCTTGGGCTCGCATCACTAGTTCACGACGTGTTCCTTGTCCTGACCTGGATGTTCCCGAAGAAGTCGCCCCCCGTCACCCTCATCTCAACCAACGCTTACTAGTGAGTACTCACGCTCATTTCAGCTCAAACAACGAGTGACTGACTATGAGACCTGCGCACAGTGACCCCTATTCGCACGTTGCTGTCGGTGCGGCCCTCCGCCACCTTCGACACGAGAACATCCTCTTGATAGGAACCGGGGTAGGTCATGCTTCCAGCACCAGCTTCCAGCACATCGCTGACACCGCAGCGTCTCTGAAATAATAGGGTACCGTGCACAACCTCTACCGCAACGCATGGGGCAACATCATCCTGCACCAGGATAACTTTGCCCAGACCAAGCCCCCAGAGCCCTGGGCTATCGCCTTCCGCAACGAGGCTTGTGACGCTCTGACCCTTAACTCTGGCCCGGCATTGCGCAAGGCGGCCATGCGGCTCATGCGCAACCCATTGTACCGCGATGCCCACGGAACCGATGATCACTTTGCGCCCGTGCTCTTCTGCGCGGGCGCGGCGGGCGATGCCGAGGATGAAGGGACAAAGAACTCTGCCACGGCCGAAGTCTGGGAGCTTGAGCAGATGTGCAACGTAAGCCTCTATCTCGCCACTGCTTTCTTCGACCCTTCATCTGACACCCCTATCCTTTCTCCCCAACCAGACCCAATTCCAGTTCGGCGAGTGGTAGACGATCGGTGATTTGAGACTTTTTAAGGCAGTGTAGGGGCAACTTGTCGTTTCATTCTGTATTGCAACTGTTTTTTCTTCAACTTGGACTATGCCTCGACGTCTCGTTCCTGCGCCCGCCGCGCCACTCTTATTTCCCTGGATATGCGCTAGCGGCCAAACGCTCACTCCGTGCAGACTAGTCCCCGAAAAATACCATTAAAACGACAATGACCCATCTTATTCCACACGATAATTAAACAAAACGGAATGCTTCTTTCATGCAAAGTACTTGCGACTGATCCATCGGACACTGTGGTACCCAACGAATCCAGTCGCACTCAACAAGACGGAAACGACGAAACCGGCCGTGATGAGTAAACCCTGGGGGAAGAAGGCGCGCAAGAAAGAGTTTCCAGGTTGGACCCGCTTGACAACCAAGCGCTTGTCGGAGGGTGAGGCTTGGGCAAGAGCCAAGAGCTTAGCCGAGGTGAAGGGCGCGAACGCGATCAACTTGGCCAGCTTGGAGCTCGCCAACGTCGTTGGGGTGAAAATTCGGACGGGTCGCGTGAAGCGCGACGGAGCGTAGATTTCCGGGTTGGGAAGATCTTTGATTCGGTGACAGACGGAAAGTTGTGAGATGGTGTCGGGCAAGAGGCCTGAGTGGTAGAAGCTATGCTGATCTTACACAGTGCTGCCAAAGGAATGTCTCCCGTGTAGACCGTGGACGCGGCGGACTCGGCAACGAGGAATCTGCAGTCCTGCTCCAGAGCAAACACGTAGAGGTTTGACGTTTTGCTACGAGATGAATCAAGATAAGCTGACGAATCAACAAAGGTAGTTGAGGATTTGTGATTGGAGCTCGCCAGTCACTCACGTCTGCTCCATCGCCGCGAGCACTCCTTCGAAACTCCTGAAGCTGCGCACGGGGAGAATTGGGCCCGAACCAGCTTTGGACAACAGCACACTGATGAGTGAGCAATCGGACGGTCAGTCATGGGAAAGTCAGACAAGATACGGGAGAAAAAAAAATCGACATACCTGCTCGCATTCTCGATGATGGTCGGGGGGAAGAAGCCGGGCTTGGTGAAGGATCCACCGGCGATGATTTTGCCGCTTTGGCTCGTCTCGCGCTGAACGGTCTGGTCGAGCTCGGCGCCGAAGGAGGCCTGAGCCAAGCGACCGTAGTCGTCGGATCGCGCGGGGTCGGATCCGAAGCTTTGGCGCACTTCCTCGAGGATGAGCTCCAACAATTGACCAGAAGCCTCCTCATGCACGAAGAGCTGGTCGATGCTGCCAGGGAGCTGACCGAGGCCGAACCACTTGCCGCGCACGATCAGTTTAGCGATTAGGGCCAATTCCGCCGCCGAGCGATGGTTGTCGACAACGACCGTGTTGGATCCCGAGGAACAACTCGCGTCCACGATCAGGACCGGTGTGGATCCGCGGACTTCTTGAACGACGTCGCCCTTGGTGTCAGCGGGATCAACGAAAACGAAGCATTGTCGGTCGAGGGTAGCGAGGCGATCGAGCAATAGCTTGTTCAAAGTCGAGGCTCCAGGGGCAAGAACAGACACCACGGCGTTGCCAGATGCAATAGCCGACGCAAGCGGTGCGATGATGGAGAGCAGAGCAGCTGTGGAGGGCAAGGAAGTCAAAATCTGAGCTCAATTAGTGCCGAGAAACTTTCACTCCGGGACTCGGCGAGACTGTAACTAACCCCTTGCATCGCCGACCACAACGACCAAACCAATACCTCGTTGTGTAACACCTTGCGCATAGCCGGTCTTTTGGGCTGCAATGACTTGGGCGTACTTAGTCTGGTCGAATTGTGCCTTAACATGTTCTAGCACGATGGTCAACTCGGTCTGTGCTTCGGCCTGAGTGCGACCGGAATCCGCTCGCATGGCGGAAACGATGGCTTCACGTTCGGAAGACACGGCGCCTGTGAATCATGAAGAGGTACCGAATAATGAGCTCGTTGAACCAGAAGAGGGTATGTCTGAGCCGCCAAAGCTTCTCACCATAAAGTCGGGCGAGTTGCTCCTCTCGGAACCGCGGGAAGGCAGCGGTGCCGTCGTCGGCGGCGACCTGAGCTGTTCGCAGCGCCGTCTTGATGTTCGCAGAGGATGCTCTGAGCTTGGAGACCATGATGTTTTCAGTAGGTAGGTAGATGGTTAGGTAGGTACTTGAGGAGTTGCGGGTCAAAGTCAAACCGTCTCAAAGGTTAGCCTGAGAAGCGATGGACAGTCGGCTCGGGTGGGCAGAACCTGGCGCGTGAAGGTGTGTTGCGCTCTCTCACAATCTGCCACAACTCGCCGACGCCGACCGCAGCTCCGAGCTCCGGAAAAGTGGGCGCCTGCTACCCGGACACTCCCCCGTCCGTTCTGGCTAGCGCGCGTTAAGAGTGGCTACGGGCTAGACATTCAACCTCAACGTCCACCCACTCATATCTAATCGCAAATCAAACGTACAAGCACCCGATCATGAGCAACTCGACCTCCAAGACATCTACCACCGAGCAGACGAAGGACTCGGCCGCGACTCCTGAGGCCGTCCTCTACCTGCGCGGCCACAGGGACGCGATCGACGCTCACGCGGCACACCAGCAAACCAGCGCGCCCGATGCCACACCGTTGCGAACAGATCGCAACTACCGAGCCGCTTACACTGGACCCGCCCCTGGTGAGAAAGATGACGCAGAATGGGTTTGTTTTGTATTGAAGCGGCACAGGGTCAGCTTGCTGATGTGTATCGAACGAATCACCTCCTATCCTTCGTTCAGATTGGTGGCCTCAAGGGGAAGCGATACCGAACTACCGACCTGTTGACCGAACACTTGCGGGACCCGACAGGTCAGTAGTTTTTTGGCGGCATAGCCGGGGGGACTTCAAACGCGAGGAGGAATGCTGATGTACCTCACCTAACATTTCCTCCGTTCAGGCCCTTCGGAGCGAACACTGGCGAGAACGTGTTCCTCTACGTGATGTTCTCCGGCATTTACACCCTTCACCGGGTCAATGGGTTGTGGAAGAACACAATCGGACGTTTCACGGACAAGCTTTGGGTGTACCCAGTCGGAGGAGAATTTTGATCACCACGATATGTCGGCGCTCGGCGCTTTGTGCATCCACCGAGGGGAGGGTTTCAACAGTGACCGTCAAGCAGCATCATGACATCGCCGTTCAACTCATCCCCGGGCTCTCATCTTATATTCCTGTAATATATTGCCGTTCATCTACACTCGGTCAGGAGAAGTACGGCTGCGACTGCGCGCGAAAGTTTCACACACGTATAACTACCTACTGCCTCGGGGATCACTCGACTGTATTTGGCTCGGAGGTATGATTGGCGGCGTGTTCCGGTGATGTATATACATGCAAACTTCCGATGAATGGCATTGAATTCTTCAGAGTAATTGCTCATTTGATGGCAGCACGGAACGCGAATTTCGGCGAAGTTGCTTGTAGAATCAGTTTCCCCATCCTTGCAGTGGGCGTTCCAGCCGAAAACTGATTACCTATGGCTGATCCTACCTTTCGAGGTACCTCTTCGGCGACATGGGCAGACCTATACAGTTTTTCGAAATGGTGACCCAGGCCTCGAACACGCTTCGGGAGTTCGACCTCGAGCAGACCGCCCTCAACCGAGAAATCGTGACTGCTTTCCGTTTCTGTACGACTTTGGATCGCGCGTCCTCGCACGTCCGTCCGCAGTTGCGGCCCACCCCGCGTTCTCCCGCCGGGCTCCGCCCAGTCCCGCCCACTTTGCGTAGCCCGATGCCACGGCTCGCACGTCAAACGGACCGTATAAATCGCAAGCGTCCAAATGGCCGATCAATCCGTCCAGGGGCAATCTCAGTCCGCGGCATTGACCAGTGCCCAACCCGCTCGGACCCATGTTGTAAGTGATCGCAGCCTGCTGCGGGTCACGTGCAGAGCCCCTCCCCCTGCCCTCCCTCCCTGCTCACCCGTCCGACTCTGAACGTTGGCTCTAGTGTCAAGCGCCGGGCTGCACTCATTCGTATGCCCGTATAGAACACCTCGGTGAGCCCATGCCGGAACCCGTTCTTCAGGTTCGAGTGGGAATGCGCACGCGTGCTGACGCGGTCTCGGCCTCGCGCAGAGCGTCACGCCCGGACACACGAGCCCGGACACAAATATTCGTGTACTACCGTGGGTCTCGTATCTGCTTTCCCTGTGAGCATGATCACGACTGACCCCGCGGATGTATCCATCACAGTGCGGCCGCGGCTTTGCTCGAATGTGAGCGCGCTTTCTCTCTGGCTGTGGCTGTGGCTGTTTGCTCCGCCTGGACCCGCAACATGATCTTTTTGGGGGCAGTAGCTCATGTCGCTGCCGGTCCGTACCTTCGTTATGCAGAGACGTACTCAAGCGACACGAAAAGGTGTGTGCTTCGATGCAGCTCCTTCCATTCGAGGTCTTCTGGATACCGAACAAACTCGATATGATTCAGCTGCATCAACGCGACGCCGAGTCGGGACTTTTACAGACAAACTCAACCGTTCGGAAACAGGCTGCTCTAGAGCGCACTGCAAGGGGTGAGCCGCGTGAAAAAGTTTCACTTCTAACGCCCTTAGGCGGAATGAGCTACTACTGACGCCGATGATCCCTCTTCTTTCTTCTAGCCTGTCTGGCCTGCGCTGCTTCAAAGGTGCGAATTGTTTTCTGCTCTTGTCGGGTGGAACCCTACCGGGGGTGGCTAAGCGGTTCAGGTTCCCGTCTTGACAGGTCAAGTGCTCCGGAGTACCCAACTGCGAACGGTGTACCAATTCTGGTCGTGACTGCGTCGCAGCGGTTGAACAAAGTACCGATCGTCAGCCCTCGCGCAAACGAGCTCGACCCGGGTCCCTGTCAGCCAGCGACATCGTCGAGCCGAGCGACTACCTCGTCGACCCCTCGATCGCTAACACCGAGACCGAAGCGAGGTGCGTGAACTATGCGAAACACTCTCCGCCTGCTCCGGCAGAGGTCCACTAACTCCACGTCCCGACTCTCAGCCTGTCCCTCATCGAGATGGCGCTCCAACCGAGTGACGGATTCTCGCTCGACACGGCCCCTACGCGCAACTTCGAAGACGTATCGGGCCACTTTCCATCCGTCCAGACCGATCACAACCCGGACTTCACCCATACTCTCAACTCGCTATTTCAGCCCATGCTGTCGTTAGGTCCACTCAGCGCTGATGATTTGGCAGACCCCTTCGACACCATTTTCGGCGTCTCAACCGGACCACTGCAGCTCAACCAGGATAATCCCAACTTTTCGTTCGAATGGCTTGGTAATCAGCAACAAACGCCGCTGTGGAACTCGTTCACGTCACCGCAAGGGGGAAATCCGCCTTTTGACAGCGGTGCAGATGATGGTGTACCGTCCTCGCAGGGCAATCGGGTTGGGGGACGCGTTACCTTGGCACCAGGCGGGCTGGCAACTCGACATGGCTCTCCGGTCGCAGACAACGAGTGCCCTCCCGATCGTCCGTGGCCCATGGTCTGGAATCCGACAAAACATGACAGTCAGATCGAGGTCGACGGTACGATGCCGGGTGCGTTCGAGAGGGACGAGCTGGCAGACCATGACCCACCGTCGTTTCTTCCGATGGACAACGATGTTCGGATGTGCATCCTGGAGGCGCTACAGTTTGCCAAATTGCAAGGCCATGGATACCACGCCGTGTTCAGGACCCTTGCAAATATGTCGTTGAAGGTGTACAACCACTTCATCTCCCTCTACTTCACCCACGTGCACCGGCGATTGCCGATGCTTCACCTCCCGTCATTCAATCCGCGCAAGACGTTCGGACTCTTGCTCCTTTCCATGACCGCAATAGGAGCGCTGTATGCGCAGATGCCCCGTGCGCACGCTTTGGGGCGCATCTTGATCAGCGTCGCCAAACTAGCGATTGGCCAGCTGACCGTCGACGACAATCGACATGCGCGTAGTTTGCCGACTTTGCAGGCGAATCTGCTATGCTCGGTCGCAAAATGGCTCGGCTCGGCTCGGTCTCTCGAGTTGACCGAAGTATATCGAGGCACCCATACGACGGCCCTGCGCCGTTTGGGCATTTTTGAAGACGTCGTGCCGGAGATGGCCCCGGATGCGTCCATCCAGTCGCAGTGGGCGCACTTCATCAAGTACGAGGAACGAAAGAGGACGGCCGCGGTGTGCTTCCTACTCGAATCAGAGATGACGACGTTGCTACACTTGCCGCCGCACGTGCCCTTCGCTGAGCTCCAAGTGGCTCTACCGTGCGACGAAGAGCTGTGGAACGCACCCACGGCCGAAAGGTGGTACGAACTGCGACAATCAAGGTCGAACTCGATGCAAACGCAGGCGATCGCCAAGCTCATCACCGCCGACACCAACTACTCTCTACCACCCAGCATCGCGATCTCTCCACTAGGCCACGAGGTGCTCGTCAACGGTCTGCACATCATGATGTACTCTGCTCGGCAGTTGCAGCAGGTCGGGCTCGAGCATCTGAGCGAACAGGCCGGTGCACACGTTCGCAAGGCGCTCAGCCGCCTCAGCAAAGGCTATGACGAATTTTCGCCCGTCTTTGGCGAAAACAACAATAGCGATGTCGACTTCACGCCCGCCTATGTGTCCTATCACATGGCCCACTTGGCGTCGTACCTTGCCCTCGCCGATTTGGATGCAGTCGCCGGAAGGGGCTCGTCCGCGAAGAGCCGTACAACGAATCAAAACGTAAGTTTCGGTTGTTACCGGCCCCATTCAACAAGTGTATTCCCTGATCCTTCCTATGTGGATCTCACAGCTCATTGCATGGATGAAGTCAAAACCTGATAAAGCTCGTGCCGTGGCAGTTCACTCCGGACAAGTGGTTCGACGCATCCGCGATAAGCCCCTGTTTGGCAAGTCATTCACCCCTCTCGCCGTCTGAGTCCTCTTCGAGGTCGAGTGCTCACATTTTTGTCTTCCGTCACTGGGTCTTGCAGCGACTTACGAGCCCTCTTCAGTGTTTTACGCCGCACTTTGCCTTCATCTATACGCGCTCTCGGTCGATCCGCTGCTCAACATCTCGCCCGGACCCATCAGCACCTTCCCGCTCGACCAGGCCCAGCAGGGCGAGCAGGTGATCACATGGGTGGCAATCGGCGGGTCTTTTGCATCATTACAAGGGGTCGATTGTCTCGCCGGATCAGCGGCCGCCTCACAGGTGTTGATCATGCTCGCAGGTCTGAGCAATTGGTCCGGACGGGCGTGGCGGATAGGACATGTGCTCAAAGATGTGCTGCAGGCTGTCGCTTCCTCTCTCTGAGATGGCGCTTGTTGTAACACCATATTCTACATAGCTGATATTAAGAATACGACAACCAACAAAACTATGCAAGTAGAGCACGCCGCCTGGAGACATCTAAACCACCTGAGAGCTTTGCTGAGATTTGCTGTCAGAGTATACCGCCGCAGACGCTCGTTGGGCGGGCGCGTCGACCTTGGAAGTCATTTGATCCTTGCTTGATGCAAACGTCAAGACCGTAATGATGCCCAACGCGGAGAAAGCGACGGCGATGTACCAAACGAAGGACAGTCCGTACGCCAGCGCGCTCTGCACGCCCTCGATCGCGCCGAGAACGATGCCCGGTTGAATGTCAGGGATCATGAAAGCCTTAGCGATGATGGCCGGATTTTGCGAAGCGATCAGAGGGATCAATTCGGGCAACACCGTCGACGCTTGCGCCGGCGAGAGCCCACCCTTGAAGGCGCCCGCGGTGATGCGTGCCGGAATTGCCACCGAAAGTTTGTCGCCCAAAACGGCCGAGTAGACGGCCACGCCGACGGCACCTCCAACCGCACGAGCCGCGACCATCAGAGCCGAAGCGGATCCGATGAATTTGCCGGGAACAGCGAGTTGGGCCACCGCGAAAAGAAGTGCGATAGGAGCCGCGAAGCCAATACCGGCGAGGGAGCTCATCGCCCCTGTCAACGTAATATCGAAGCAAAGCAGGATCAGAATTTTCCGAACTGCGGCGGGCGGCCCGGTGTATCAAAGAGCGACAAGACTTACATCCAATTGCGTTATCGTTGCGATCACTCAACGCGAGACCGATGCAAGCTCCGAGGTAGAGCAAGTAGCCGATAACGAGAGGGAGGCGGAATTCCTTGAAACGGTCGACGTACCATCCGTTGACGAAGAAGAGCGGAACTGAGGTCAGGTAAAAAGGGGCTAGGTAGATGTTTGCTTTAAAAGCATCCTGAGGCGCCCACAACCCCGCAGCAGCGACGGGAAGGAACGCAAGGATGGAGAAGAAGATTGTGCCTTCGACGAAAGCTGCCATAAGGGCCAAGGGAAAGTTGCGATGGCAGAACATGGCATGGTGGAAAAGCCCGACCTCCGTCCCCTTCCACTCGTACACGCCAAAGACGACCATCAGTGCGATGCCAGACACGAGAGGTCCGAGTGTTTTTCCAGCCTTCCATCCATCCGTGCCGCCTTGGGTGCAACCGACCAGGAACAAGCACAAAGATGCGATCACGAGGACGTAGCCGATCCAGTCGAGTCGGGCAAGCTTCTGCCCGAACGGCAGGCTTCGCTCTTCTGTCGGGCGCGGCGGAGGGCGGTAAACGATCAACAACAACAGGAACATCATTGAAAACAGTCCAATCGCAATGTACTGCATGTATTTGAGGGAGGGAGAAGGTCAGTACCGGTGTCAACGGGCCCTGCGTGCCAGCGGTTATCCAGGCCGGACGGGTGCACAGCAAGCGACTTACGAAGCAGGTGCGCCATCCGTTCAGAGGGCTATTGGCCACCAGTCGGGCAGAAGTAATGACACCCAGTCCTCCTCCAAGAGAGGCAGCAAAGTTGGTGGCACCTTGAACCTTTCCTCGGTGCTGGCGCGGGAACACTTCGGCGGGGATGGCATATCCGGCCCCAACGGCGGACATGCCGATCGAAACAATGCCTTGACCCACAAGTCCCATACCGAAGGAAGTAGCACGCGAAGCAACGACAGAGCCGCTGATATACCGACCAGTTCGATTGTGTCAGAGTAGGTATGCATTGAGGTCGACTTTGAATGAGTGGCGCGCGACTTACACAACAGCAATGAACGAGACGACAACCAAGATCCATCGACGATCGAACAGATCACTTGCGTACATCAACGGGGGTCCCACGCATGCTTGGAACGTGCTGACAATATTGATGAGCTATGTGAACGGATTGAAAAGCGTTAGACTGAGTCTGACTGTGATGTAGGTGTCGATAGGTGCGAGCGAGTCTTACCCAGATTGACTGCGCCGAGTTACCGAGCGCGGCACCCATCGACGAGCGGAAGATGGACGTCGTGGCGAGATGCCACGAGATACTGAAGTAGAACAAGCAGCCGATTGCGGCGTAGGCCCATGACCTCCAAGTGATCTGAACACGTGTCAGAAGAGAACGGAGGAATCAGTGGACTGAGAGCCAAATTCGTTGCGCATGCGACTGGGCGAGTTCCTTCCACTCACTAAGGTGTCTTGAGTTTCAGACTCTGCTGGGTGAATGAAGCCCTCTATCCGGTCGATGTGCTGATCCTCATGCTTTTCCAAGGTGGGTGCAGACATTCTTGCGTCCGTTCCACAAGACGATCTAGAGCAAAGGCGAGGGTGTAGAGAAGAGGCGAAAGATATACTTGCGTTGTATCTGGTTTTGAAGGCAATGGTGCCCCAGGAAACCCCGCACCCGTCCTGGCGAGGACGCTGGCGCGGCGCCGACGCCCGAGGGGTGGGCGGAGCGCCGGGGCCCCATCATGTGATACCGATCGCTGTGGGAATGTCAGCAGAGGCGAGGCACGCGCCGAGTGGGCGATACGATAGAGCTGCTTTTTCCGATCATCCGAACGTGGCTCCACTGAGTTTAATTAGATATTCAAGTCTCGGTGCAGATACCTACTACGCTCCTGAGTATTGTCGACGGGAGATAGGTATACCCGGCATCTCCCACGAGTCCAGCAGAGCTCATGCTCGTTGACCCCTTGACTCCGTGGCCGAAGTAAGCTCGCTCGCTACAAGGACCGAAGGTTCTCCCATCCGGGTTGCCTGTGCCTATACCGAGTAGAATCTTATCGCTGATACAGTACAAGGTTGAGGTGGTGCGCCAAATCACGACTACATTGTCTAAGATATGCAGCTGAGGAGTTAACTTAAATTGCTGTGAGACGAGCGGAACAAAATCAAACCACGGGGATCTGCAGCCAGTTTTCGTGCTTGGGGCCGAAGTAAAACACGTTCTTTCCGGCGAATGACTCTTCACTGCGATCGGTCGGTTCGTCGTGGGTGAAGATACCGCAGCCTTGGGTATCGCCCGTCGCGACCTAAGTAAACCAAGAGAAAATGCGTTTGTCAGCTCATTGCGTGTCTGGGCTTCGGGTACATGTAGTCGCTGGCTCACCTCGAACACGAGGGAGCTTCCGGGGCCGACGACGACCGCTGTGGGCCATACTTCCACAAGGAGGTTGTAAGGCTTGTCGGCTTCGAGGAGAGACACGTCCTTGCTCGAGTAATTGCGGTGGGGCAGCCAGTCTCTGTGGCGCGGACTCTTCTCGTCGATCGCTCGCAGGGAAGCGCGCAGCCAGCCCTTGCAGAGAGGGACAGGATCACCGGCAGTACCTGACGGCATAGAAAAGCCAATCGTCTCAGCACTGAATACCCCAAATACCAAATAAGGGGGAACGCTGGAATGACCAGTGTAGAAGATCTGCTTTCCGTTGGCGTCAAAGTGGCGTAGCGTGCAGAAAAGATCGAGGTCGGTCGGCGCAGTGCCGTCCTCGCGACGCGCAACACCGACGACAAAGTTCGCGAGCAAATGTCCGGCGAGTTCTGTCTCCTTGTCGAATACCATCTGGAAGTTCAAGGGGTCCGATCGACCCAAGGCATCAATCGTTAACTTGGAATCTTGTTGGACAGGCTCGAGCTTCATCGAATGCCTCTTCAGGTCCGAGCTGGGGTGCAGGTTCAGTCGCTGGTACTTGGTGCGCTCGATCGGCCACGACGTCTCTTCTCGTGACTCAAAAGTGGCATCGGCCTCGAGGGTTCCAAATCCAGGGTTACCCTTGCGGATTAAGAGGTTCACAGCGGGCACGCCATTGTTCGGTCCCTTCTGCCATCCTCGGTCGTCCTCGTTCTTGAGCCAGGCATCCAAGACTGAAGATAGGGAGAAGTGTTCAATGGCATCCGCAATCAGCCGCCGAGAGAGCACTTCGTTGCCTGGAAGCCCGGGATGATGCTGCTACTCACAAGATTTTTGGAGTTGTACATAGTGCGGCAAGAAGAAGGGCAAGTCATGGCGACCGGCGATGAACCAGAGCCACTTGTTCTTTGTTCCGGCCTCGAGGTAACCGACGACGTTGCCGCGCAAGTGAAGGGTGTTGCCACCGAGGTTGGCAACGGAAAGGGTTGGGACATCGATGTCTCCGAGGTCGTAGGTACGACTGCGGTAGTACTCTTCGTCCAAGTAACGGTTCTTGCGGTTGTCGATCGTCTGGTCGTGGCGATTGGCTTCTCGCTCCTCATCGCTGAGCTCGCCCTCGATACACTCGGGTCCGAGAGGAGGTCCAGGGGGTCCGAAGGGTCCCCATCCGCGGGGGCGCTTTTCGGGGTTACCGTATTGCATCGTCACGACTTGGTTGAACCACCACGTCTTGATGAAGCCGTTGGAAAGGATACCACCTTGCCGGCATCGGTCACGGTAATAGTCCGTCATTCCCTCCCAAGGAACGATGCAGGCCAGACCCTTGGGTCGTCGGGCGGCAACTCGCCATTGCGTTCCTCCGAAGTACGAGATCCCGAGAAGTCCGACCTTGCCAGTGGACCACTCTTGGTCGGCGGCCCATTCGATACAGTCGAAGAAATCGATCGACGTTTGAGCCGACATGGTGTCGAGGAAACCTGGGGAAGAGCCGATCCCGCGCTCGTCCACGCGGACGACGACGTAGCCTTGTCGGACCCAGTACTGCAGAAAAGGAAAACTAAACCTAGTGGGCTTATGAAAAAAGCGACCGCCATCCAGGCGCTAGACGCGAAAACTTACATCGGGGTGGGGGGTCTCCCAAGCTGAAAGCTCGCCCTTTTGCTCGTCAGGGATCTCAGCATAGGAGCGCGTGTGGAATTTGGAGTAAGGTGCATCCTTGCCGTAGGGTCCCATCGTCATTAAGACGGGGTAGCGGCCTTGCTCATGCGGGCGGTACACGTTGGTGCGGCACAGACCGCCGTCCTTTAGAGGAATGTCGACATTCTTGTCGAAGAGGACGGTCGACGTCTTCGTCGAACTGAGAATGGCGTTGGCGCCGACTTTAGGGAAGGGGATTGGCATGGTGCTACTCGACAAGTCGGACGCAGAAGTGAGGTAAGGAGTGCCTGCAAGAGTCGATGGCAACCCTATGGAAGGAAAATGGGATCACTAGCGGCTACTCCAGGCCCGACAAGGTCCGACACTTCGGCGCTTTCTACGACCAAATTTGGGAACCGAGTGGGCGGTAAGGAACCGAGTGGGCCTGGGCGTCACAGCAGGCCCCCTTCTCTTCGGAGGCGGCGCTGCGGGCCAGCTTTGCTGCCGAGATTCGGGAAAGGATCCCACCCACTCCGTTACTTTGTCAGGCCGCTATATCACTCAGCAAGGTTGATTCTCTGTCACCTTCCCCCCACCTCGCCCATATCGTCCCGCAAACCGAAAAGCAACACCATGTCTGGCATCCCGCAATCCAACCTCCCCCCCGTCCGACGAGTGGTCACGACCCACAGCGACGACGGCACCGCTAAAGTCTGGATCGACGAGGAAGTGCCTCGAGTTTCTCCCCCCGGTTTCACCAGTGGTGTTGCCTTCGCGTTGCCTTGGGTCACCGAGCACAGTCCCGCCGATTGCCAGACGACCGTTGATGGCAAAACCTTGCCCGTCGGCGAGTTGACCCGCGACGAAGGCTCGGTCGTGCGCTACGTCGAGTTTGAGCCCGGACACGTCAGCCCGATGCACCGAACGACCTCGTTGGACTACGGCTTCGTCATCTTCGGCAAGCTCGAGGTGCGACGATTCCGAGGAAACCTTGGGTGCCGAGGACAATCACTGATCAGAAAGCTTTCCTCTTCTTCTAGATGCACCTTCCCGACGGCAGTGTTACGACCGTGAACCCCGGAGACGTCGTCGTGCAGCGCGGAACGAACCACCAATGGGTCAACCCCTCCAAGACGGAATGGGCGAGTGAGTCAGAATCGAACGATCAATGACGCAGACTTGGCACTGACATCCTTCCTTTGCTCACTAGGGATGGTCTACGTCTTATTGCCCTCGAAGCCGGTCGTCATCGATGGAGAAGAGCTGGCCCCTATATCTATTCATTAAATGTCGATCTATCTACTTGCAACTCAGTGTACCAAACCCACAGCACCTCGAAGATTGACTTTCAAGTAGAGCATGCACTGCACCACGAGGCAATCACAGCTACCTTCCGTGCCTGTCTCCGTCGGGGCAGAATTTGCCCCACTGTGTCATGTGCTCGCGTGTGCTCAAATCGGGTAGATGAGCGCATTCAAATCCAACTACTGAGTTCATGACGATTACAAGAACACTGAGGACCCTAGAATTAGATCATTTTCAAAGTTTTGGTCGGGTTGACCTTGCCCTTGAGGTCGCCGAAGCCAACTTTCGCTCCGTCGACACCAGCGGAAGCCGTGAATATAACCTCGTCACCATCGTGGATCCATCGTCGCTCGTAGTTGCCAACTCGAAGGGGTCGCTTGCCAGCCTGAGAGAGCTCGAGCATGCAACCCTGAGCGGCGTCGCCTTCGTTTGAAATCGTGCCCGATCCGAGTAGATCGCCGGTCGAGATACGTGCACCGGCGTAGGTCTGGTATGCGATCAGTTGTGGGAAGGACCAGAACATCTGGTCGAATTGAGCTCGGGAAACCGGGTGGGCCGTCGAAGGATCCTCAGCAACTGATCAGCGTAGAGAAGAAGCAAGGATCAGTAACGGACCAGCGACTGGCGAACCGTCACTGTTCTCTAATGTCGACTTTACCTCGAAGGAGCGTTTCGCAATCGATATGAAAGTTGGACTTAGCTCCCGGCGCCTCGGCAAGGTACTCCGGTTGCTCGAAAGGTGTGCCCTCCAATCGAGGAGGAAGATCAGCAGCGAACGGCTTGAGGGCATCGGGAGTGACGACCCAGGGTGAGATCGTGGTCGCGAAGGATTTGCCGTTGAAAGGACCCAAGGGAACCATCTCGAACGCTTGGATGTCACGAGCGGACCAATCGTTGAGGAGAACGTAGCCGAAGATGTGATCATGTGCCGAACTAGGGCTCAGAGCAGTGCCTTCTTCCGTCGGATTGGCAACGAAGGCACCCTGGGAGTTCCAGACAAGGGTTTGTAATTGTGTCAGCACTTGGACGTGATCAAAGTTCTTCGCGCACCTGTGTGTACCCTCATCCGAAGGCAAGAACTCACGATCTCGAACTCCCAGTCCAAAGCCTTGCACTCTCCAATCTCGACCTCACGCTGAGCCGAAAAAGCCCTGGTCTGTCCTCGAGGTCGCGTGATCTCTTCTGAGACTGAGACCGTCCCCGCACGACCATTGTAAACCATCGGCAAGGCATTGAAAGAAGCGGGGAGCTTGGTATCGGGACCAAAGATGGCTCGACCGGCGTTCGTGCCGTGAGCGGGGAAGACGGAATAATCCACAAAATCGGGGATTTGGAAAGGGAGGCAGGGCTTGACGGAGTTGAGGGGGAGTACGACGCTTTTTTGGGCGGCAGAGTCTTGTTGGAACTTGTTCGAGTCGGACGAGATCAAGAGTTTTTGGATCGCGGATCGAGTGCTGGAGCGAACCGAGGGGGACAAGGTAGCGAAAGCGTTGAGGGTCGGCTGCGCAAGTCATTCGGTTGAACCGTCAACGCCGAGCTCAAAACGGGGGACGACAAAAGTGGCAGCTCCAGTGTGACTCACTTGGGAAAAGACATTCGAGTTGGATCCCAAAGCATCCGTCAACAAACCCGCTTTCTCAACCTTACTCAAGTCGATCACATTGTCGCCGATTCGCGAAGCGCCGACTCGAACTCCGTCCGCTCGCTCGACGATGCCGAAGGGGATGTTGGCCAGGGAGAAGTGCGACTCGGGCGAGACTTGAAGCCAAGACATGTTGAACGTGGTGCAAGAGGTGCTTAGTTTGTAGCGTAAAAATGCGATATCGGTCTAGATGTGAACGCAGGGTGGTAGGCCGCGGTAAGGGATGTCGAGGTTGGTCTCGAGTCGAAATCCGGGGAGGAGTGGCATGGTCCGGCTACCGGGACTAGTGCGAACTGCGGAGGCCGAGTGGAGCCAAAGTGGAGGTGGGCGCCGAGCCAGGGCACCTTTTCGGCACAGCATCTCGCCTTAGCACGAGGTAAGGTACTGGGTACCTCGACCTCCTATGCGGATGCACGTTCGTACTTGTTACAACACGACAACACGATTGGAAGGCTTGAGACTACCAGGCTAAACATAGGCAAAAATTCGCACGGGCTTTCATACCCTCGCTCCGGGCGGCTGGCTCGATGACTCCATCTCAATCTCCTCATCGTCCCGAGCGCAAAAGCTGTCGTAACTGCACAAGTGAAGAAACTTTTAAAGTCAGGGCAAGCTTGTACACTTCTACAAGCCACAGTCTCGACACTCCTCACCTCCAATCATCAGGCTGCGACCTTGGCGTCGCCGGCGTAAAAGGCGCCCCTCTCCTATCCGGTCTTGACCTCTGACCAAACTTGCCCTGCCCGAAGCCCTCCGGAGGCTGCGTCATCAAACTCTCGCGATAAAACATCGCCTGGGAAGACGAATCCTCCACCTCTTCATCATGTACGAAGCGCACGTCGTCCGAATTCTCACTCTCGTATTCCTCCGAAGAAGCTTCGGTTCCTGATGCGGAAGAGTTGACGGCTTCGACATCAAAGAGGTTCGATCGAGCGGCGGTTTTGATGTTCATCTTGGGGCGTTTGATCTTACGAACCCGAGTGACAGGGGCTTCTGCGGGGTCGGAGTTGTCGTTGTCGTTGTCGTCTGACTTGAGGTCGTCGGGTCGAGATCGCACGATCCCACGGCGCAGGCGATTCAGTGGTGCACGGGGTGGATCCGTAGCAACGGGTGCACCCGAAGAAAAGACGTTCGTGGCATTCTTCTTCACCGCAATTCCTCGAGCTCCAGCAAATCCAGGTATGCGAATCGGGGATGACTCGTCAAAGCTATCGAGCTTGGCCGGATCGACATGGTCGCCGAACTTTTGCACGACGGCGCCTTGCAGCAATGCCGTGTCGGAGAGGATGGCGCAGTCCAGATCGTTGTCATCGAGCATGGCTGAAAAGGACGAACTGCTGGGCGGTCGCGGCTGCGGTGGTGGAGTCGGGGCCACAGGTACAGGTGAAGGCGGGGCGGAGGAGATGGCGTTGCCCCTTTTCGGGACAGGCGGCTGGTAAGATTCGGGGACGATCTCGATATCGGATTCGTCTGATGAAAGTACGCCATAGAGATCCATGGAGACATAGTGCTGAACCTCGGCGACTGTTTCGGGTGCGATATGGGCCCCAGTCGATCGCTGTGGAGGTGGCTCGAATTGTGCCGATTGCAACGGAGGAGGCGTGGGCCGCCTCTCGATGGCGACAGGCGGCGAGTCGGGCATAACGACTGGAGACATTTGCCGAGGCGTGAGCGACTTGGCACGTGCTGCTGCAAAAGAAGATTCGAGCGATAAATTGGGTAGGTCGGGTAGGTCAGGCCATTCTGGAGACGTGAGCAGTAACGGAGACGACGTGGGGGGTCGTTGGTCTTGCAAGACGGCCGACGAGAGGATCGGAATGTCGACCTCTGACAGTGGCAGTGGCTCGTGCCGGAACCGAAGGGGTGTTTGCCCCGTTCTACGTGCGGGTGGCATCCAAGGTTCGATGTAATTGGGGTTGTAGGCCTCCGACGTTTCGGCATGCCATCTATCGAGCGCCTCGGGTTGCGAATCATCGATCGAGGCCGTAGTTCGCAGAATCGACTGCAGCATCTCGTGTCGAGCACCATGACGAGGGAACTTGTGAGCGTTGGCGTTGCCGATTCGCTCGAGGGGGAACTTGTCCAGGTTTAGTGGATTTGGAGATATGGCCTGACCACCATGAGGGTACCAGCGCGTGCTCATGTACTGTTCCTCCGATTCGGTGAGCAAAGCGGCTTGCTTGCGCTCGCGCAGCGCTCGGCCCGGTGAGTAAGGTGTCTGTGCTTTCTTCTGTTCTCCCGTGGTTCGGAAACCATCGAAAGCACCTTTGGGTATGTTCCGCTTGACGTCCTTGGCGGGGCGGGGGACACGCTCCTTCATACCCAGAGCCCTACGATGGTCATTGGCGGACATGAGCAGCCCATCCAGATCGAGCGGCTTGGCCTCGATCGACACCTTGTCGACAATCGGCTTGATGTCGCTCGGAACCAGTCGTTCACCATCGGCATAAACCTCAAAGACTCGATTCGAGATCAAAGCATTTTGCACCTCATCGTACTGCTCCTTCGCCTTGTCCCAATTCTTTTCCTCGCGTCCTTCGGTCATGAGGACGATGATGTGGCCATCTCGTGCGCGACCGGTTCGTCCGACACGCTGCAGCATGCGGATAGGCGACTTGTTGGCTTCGTAGCACACGATGAGATCGATCTCGCCAATATCGAGACCCTCCTCGCCGATCGACGAGGCGACGAGCACGTTGTACACGCCGTCTTTGAATTTGCGGATGGCCTACGGTGGTGAAGTACTTTAGTCATAGCTTACAGCGACTGCCAACAAGCCCAGGACCGACGACACTCACCTCATTTTGATCCTTCTGGGTCATCCCTTTGCCACCTTTAGCCGCGGCCTGACCGACGAACCGCGTAGCTTTGATCGTCGGAGCATGCTTGTTCAAGCACATGACGATCTCCTCGACGACAGCGCGATAGTTGCAAAAGACCATGACTCGCGTCTGCCGAGGCTGGCCCGTCAAGGGGTCGATTTCATGCTCCGCAGCCTTGAAATGGTCCCAGCACATCGAACGCAGTCGTTCCATCTTGGGATGACCGACGTACCCCGACCTCGCCGTCAGCGCCTTGACGTCGGCCACGATCTTCCTAAAGTCGGGTTTGGCCGCCAACGTCTTGAACATATGTTGCATGTCCAAAAGTTTCTCCTCGAATTGCGTCACACTCTGGATGATGAGGTGTTCCATCGCTGAACTCATGTAGGAGAGCGTTTTGATCATGGGGTAGAAACGAGCGTTGGCGCCTGTGCCGCCAGGTAGACTGTTGATCTTGCCTCGTGCGAGATTGCATCCAAAAGCCGTGATGTATTCCGGTCTCGTCTCGAAGAGCAATCTCGCTTGGGCCAATGGCCCGATGAAAGGTTGCATCAAAGCAGCCCACCGATCTCGGATGGAGGACAGTTGAGGTCCGAGCGGCATGATGGTGAGGTCGTACGACTTGTGGTAGATATATTGTTTGATATCGAACGATTGATCGGTTCGGACTTGGATGTTGCAGATCTGTTCCAGGAGGTAAATGGTCAGTCACCGATTGGCCCAGGTGTGTATGCTTCGAGTCGGCACACTTACATGCAGATTGTCAATGACCTCTTGCACGGCCTCTCCTTTGGACCCCGGTGTGGCCGTCAACGCCAAGATCCGAAAGTGCGGATTCCGACACATCAAATACCGCACCACACCACAATACGCATAGTCACCACTCGCTCGATGCGCCTCATCCACGACCAAACACGTGATATCCCTCGGATCGACGCGACCTTTCCTCAGATCGTTCTCGACCGTTTGTGGGGTACTGTAGATGACTCGTTTTGTTGCCCATCCGATCGACCGTAGCTTGGGGGTCGTCGAGCCTGTCAACTCGACGCAGTGCTCTTGAGGTATTCCGGTTGCGGAGTGGCACGCAATAATCTGTTGACGCACGAGCGGTCGTGATGGAGCTAGGAAAACGATTTTGCCCCGTGGGAACCAGCGATAAAAGTTGAGCCTGATAAGTTGAGAGGACGACAGGTCAGATCACAATCTTCACAGGTCCGAGTGAGAGGAGTTCGCGAGAGAGACCTACATGACACAAGCGGCGATGAAGGTTTTGCCCAAACCAGTCGGTAAACTAACGAGCGTGTTGTTGAGCAAAGCGATGTAGACGATGTCGTACTGGTACTTGCGCAGTGGCTTGTCGGCTTGCACGGGGTAGACCCACGTCTTGATCGCTTCTCGATCCGGCTCGCACTTCATCGGCAAGGGTGGCGCATGAGGGTCGTAGGTCGTATTGACGAAGAAGGTCGACTGCTTAGGATCATCTTCGTCGTCGTCGTCTTCCAGCACTGACTCGTCGTCATCGTCACCCCATCCATTGTACTCTGTCGCCTTTCCTTTACCCTTCCCTTTGGTCTTGAAACCAGCCGCTTTCCGAGCCACAGCAGCATTCTTCTTGCTCCATCCATGCTTGGCAAACATCTCCCTACCCCACACCTTGACCGGCTTGACCTTGGCCGCATCGAACGCCCCTTGCCGAGTCGTCGAAGCATGCTGGGGTCGAAGATTCTTTTGCGCGGCCGGAGGAGCAGCAACGATGGGTTCTCCAAAGAGGTTGCGTTGGGTCAAAGCTGAGGCGTTGACGCTTGTTCTGGGCGGAAGTTTGAGTCCAGTTGCGTAGGCGATCTCGAGCTGGTTCAGTTCGTCCAGGCCGTCGTCATCAAAGTCGAAGCTGTCGGACGACATCCAAGCTGGGGCGAAAGAGAGGAGACCAATCGGGGGCGATCGTTGCAAGAGAGAGAGAAGTGCCGAACGAACGAGCCCAAGGCTGACGGAGGTTGAGCCTGATCTAGGGAAGTGGGATCCAAATCGTCTTGAAACCACAAGTCAATCCCAGCACCGAGGGTGAGCTCCGAGGGGGGAATCCACGTCAATCCACGAAGCTCGACTAGGGGAATGTTCGCCGCCCAGGGGCCGATTAGCGTGTGTAGAAGATGACGCTGTAGCAGGTCGATGACGTACGTCTGGTATGATGGATGACCGACGGCGAACGCAGCCGCAGCTACATCAAGACCGCGGGCGGTGGCGAGAAGGAGAGGCTGGGGAACGGCGCGACGTGCAGTCCCGTCCTCGTCGCGTCGAGCGATGACTTGGCCGACCCGAAGCGCGCGCGCACGGACCGCTTTTCTCGGCAAAGTCGCGCCTCGATGTTCTGGAGGAGGGTGATGGCCATGCCTTTTCCAGTGGCGTGTGGATTTATAAGGCTGAGATGACCGCTCTCTGACAGTCTGGCTCCCAGCTCGATCAAGCTCAGCTGGCATGCCAACTTCAAGTCACAAAGGAAGTGATATTCAGGTGTGGTCCCCCTCAGTCACATCGGTATCACCTATATGTAGCCCCCCCCCCCCCCCCCCCCCTCTGCATGCATTACAACAGCACCTCCTCAAACGAATCTTAACGAATCGGCCTGTATCCGGTATCCAGGATCACGCGGCACAGCAGGATCGCCGATCGGGTCCCAAACGAGGATGAGCGCTTGCGAGAACACGCGCGGTAACCAGTCGTAGTCCTTCGAGTGAGGTGTCGCTGTGTTGGGTGGGTGGGTTCCGTGGGTCACCTGGTGTGTAGGAGAGGGCAATCAGTAGTGCATCGTCGGTTCGGGCTTCTGTCTCGGATACTGACCTGACCCGTTACGGAAAGAACGAGAGAAGGGGGTCCCATCGATGTAGAGCCTGCAGGGGAGGACAACACCGGAGAATCAGCACATGCGTTCAGCACATGGAATGTACCAGTCCCACCACGCACGCACCAGCAACAGGTTGACAATCGAACGACTGCACCTCGTGCTTGCTGACCGGTAATCTCGTCGCGAAAGCGGCCAGGTCACTCGCCGGTATCGGGTTCCCGTTCCATGTGATCCTCGCTGTTGGGTGGTAGAGCTTGCACACCGCTTCGGGTCGTTTGGTAGGATCGAGGTCTTGGGCGGAGTAGTAAGCCTATGCGAGAGGAGAATGTCTCGAATTAGTTGAGGCTCGCATCTAAGCCGACCGAACAATAGACTGACCTTGACGAATCCTTCTGCCACGACCGCAGCAGCTTGGATCGCTTCCCCGGCCGAGGTCGACGCGTTGGCTTGCATTGAATGCAGGTGTCGGTGGGCGAGTTCTCGAGCTGCCGACAGCTGGAGGAGAGAGGGCTCTGCTGACGAGCCCCCGTCGACGATCATTCACGGCGCGCACGCTCCGCCGAAACGGTGGTCCGTGCGAGCGCACCGGCGCAGTGCCAGCACCATGCCATTCGATGGATATCCACCTGTCTACGCATTTTTCTTTCTTTCTTCCAGTCAAGTCAGGCAAAAGGGGCTTGCAGGTAGGGGCGGTGGCGGTGCTTGAGGCATAGCCAAGACACTCAATATGAGTCGATTAGTAATTTCGAAGGATCGGGTCCGAGCTCAGAACGCGTAATTATAAAGCGGACAACGCGCTTGCGGAGCTCCTGGAACGTCGAGCCCACACGACCGGCCGATTGCGCTCTTGCAACAGCGCGTTCGCCTTTCGCACCTGCGCAGACAACCTCCCTCGACGTGGTGCAAAGTGTCGATTGGCTCTACACGTCTCTCGCTTTTCGTCGAACCTGCACAGACGCTGCTGAGGTCATGCTGTCCCGACTGAAGCGGCGGTCGCCGTCGGGCACCACGCCCGAGCGCCAACAGGTGTCGTCGTCGAGCGGTGCTACGTCGTCGAATGGCACGGGCTCCGGCGCCTCACCGTTGCTGGGACCGCCGCGCTACGACGACGACGAAAGTCCCTACAGTCCAACTTGGAACGAGGAGCAATTGCTGTCGTCGAGCTCGTTGTCCTCGCCGACCACGTCATTGCGACGACCGCAACACTTGGACGTCAGTCACCTCGGCGGTACCGATCACTCGCCGAGCGGTGCTGCCAGCCCCAGCCCCCACTCGAGCACCGCCAGCCCCGACAGCAGCTCGGCTTCGATGCTGGCGAGATCCCCGTCCTCAGCCTCGTCGACGCGGGGCAAGTACTCGCTGCCGTCAGCCGGCTCATCGTCACCACCGCCGAACATGCCCCGTCGCAAGTCACGCAGTGGGTCCGTCTCGTCCTACATCGAAGGAGGCACCCCATCGCCCGTCGCGTCCAGTTCGGCAGCGGCAGCGGCAGCAAACGCCGCAGCGGCCTCTCAACAAGGTCGCTCGACCTCGCGCACCTTTGTACCGGGCAAAACCAAGGGAGCGTCCAACCGATACCTCGTCGTCAACAAGACTACCGCCGTCGACGAGAGCCTCGACAACTTCGGGTCCGGTAGTCTCTCCCTCGACCATTTGACCGGCGGCGCGTCAGACCCAGCCGCCCTCGCAACCGGCGGCGCGACCTGGGTCGCTCGAGCCCCCGAACTAATCAACCTCGACGTCGGAGCCAACCCTGGCGCGCCCGGCGATCCGTCCCGACTATCCCAATCGTCAAGCGAGGACAACATCAGGACACCCATGCCAGGCGATGGTCCGACGAGTCTGCCCGATGCTTACTTTGGCGTCGCTGCACCCGTCGAACAGAGGCCCCATTCGGTGCCGAGTTCGGCCACTGCCTCACCCCTCGTGCTCCCCAACGGCGGCGCTCCCTTCAACCTTGACAGGCTACTACCACTCCCCGCGAGTGAAACCAGCTTCCTGGCCCCCGCCGAACGTCATGGGAGGGCAAGATCCCACACCACCTCCGAGGCACCCCCACCTTTCGCGTATCGGCCTTCGACCGGCATCGACACCAATCTCACCCACGGTCTACCTCCCTCGTCCCTCTCGGCTCGACCCAACATGGAGACAACACCGAGAAACTCTGTCATGCTGCCCAACCCCGTTCCCGCAGCCGATCAGACGGCAGCCGCAATTGAGAAACGACCGACCAGTCGAAGTTCCTCCGTGACATCGAGCGATGCTTCCATCCCTGCCCTGCTGCGACCGCCACTGCAATCTTCTCCCACCTCTTCGTTCAAGTTGAAACGACAAAAGTCGGCTCAGGGGATCGCAGGGGCTATCGCAGCTTCGGGGATGGCACTCGCCGCCACGGGGACAGGTTTCCGACAAGCGGGGTCGCTTTCTCGCACCTCAACCCGCACCTCCTTCGAGGACAGAGGTTCGGGCGCAGAATCGGATGGTGGCGTATCGACTGGGGGTGGGGATCAGTACGCGAATGGGTTCAATCTGGGCGACTATGAGGATGCGATGACGAGCTTGGGTACGGGTTATGCCGTGGCGAGCTCGAAGCGTAATGCCGAGTTCCACCAGCTCTTCAAAAATATACCCGATGACGACTATTTGATCGAAGGTGAGTGCTGGGAAGGAACAAAACTCTTTGCCTGACGAGGATGCTGACTATTGCCCTCTTTGCAGACTACGGCTGTGCCCTCCAACGCGAGATCTTGATCCAGGGTCGTCTCTACATCTCGGAACACCACATCTCCTTTAACGCCAACATATTCGGCTGGGTCACCTCGCACACCCTCCCCTTTGCCGAAATCGTAAGCATCGAAAAACGAACGACGGCGTACGTCATCCCGAACGCGATCCAGATCGTGACCCTGCACGCTCGACATACATTCGCTTCGTTCCTCTCCCGTGACTCGACCTATGACCTCATCTGCAACATCTGGCGCATGATCCATCCCGTCGTCCCTCCTTCGGCGGCCTTGCCCGATTCTGCGGATCGAGCGGGCTCCGTTCATCATGACTCCGACGAAGACGAGGTCGACGATGATGGATCACACCCTACCAAGAAGAGTGGCAAGCGAAGGCTGAGGGGATTGAGGAGACGTGGAGGAACGAGCGAGGAGAGGAAAGGTGATGCGGACGCTTCGACGAACTCCGGTGTGACCTCGACGCACGTGAACGGATCAACGAGTCGGATGGTCAACCCTTCTTCTTCGAGTCCGGGAGGACCTAGCGGACCTTCCAAACCGGCTGCGGTGTTGCATGCTGTGACGACGGACATGTGTCCAACGCACAAGGACTTGAAGGAGGTTTGCATGGACGTTGTGTTCCCGTCTGCGCCGGAGAAGATCTACAACCTCATGTTCACGAGCGGTTTCATGAGGACATTCTGGACGGAGAACCAAAAGTTGATGGGTAAGAGAGAGTTTTACCCTGATGTCTGCCCACTACGTCACTGACTCGCTGCTGTTTCCATCTTCCGCAGACCTACAAATCTCCGACTGGGCCCCCGAGAAATCCGATTCGAACCTCCTCGCCCGCAACCTCTCCTACATCAAACCCCTATCAGCCCCAATCGGTCCCAAGCAAACGAAATGCATGATCCTCGACGAGACGGCGCACGTCGATTTCGATGATTATGTCTGCGTCATCACGACGACGAGGACGCCGGACGTGCCGAGTGGTGGATCTTTTGCGGTCAAGACAAGGACGAGCATGACATGGGCGAGGAATAACTCGTGTAGGGTCGTTGTGACGACGGGCGTGGTGTGGACGGGTAGGAGTATGCTCAAAGGTACGTCTGGCTCCTCTACTCGCTAATGAGGTCGTTAGGCGCAGTCTTTGACCCTCAACGATACCCCTTTTTTCTACGATAGGCATCATCGAGCGATCCTGCATCGAAGGTCAAAAGACGTATCACGTTGATCTGGAGGACGCAATGCGCGCCTACATCCAACTACACCGCTCCGAGTTCCTCGAAGAAGGCCAAGAACCCATCTCGTCCTTGGTGACGGAGAATGAAAACAACGACGCCCAGCGGACGGACCCAGAGGAGAGTGACAAAGACGACGACCCGAACGAAAAAAGCGCCTCGGCTCATCGTCGGAGATCGATGGCGGCTTCGACGAGTGGAATTTGGGGCATCATTACCGATGCGTTCTCGGACTTGACTGGTGGACGAGCACGATCATCTGGGGGCGGTCTCTCACCTACTTCGCTCATTCTCGCGTTAGTGATCCTCATTCTCGTGCTTTCGAACCTATGGACCCTCTCTAGTCGACCCCGATCGACCTCCCCCTCCCTTTCCCCCGGCTCTCGAAGAAGTTCCGCCCGTTCCTCCCCTTCAACAGGCCACGACCAAACCCCCGACCAAATCGCCGATGCCATACGTGACGTATTACGAGACTATCTCGCCTCTCTACCCAGTCGCGAATACGTCCCTAACGACGCGACGACTTTACCCGTGTCGGAGGAGGAATCGTCGAAGGAGGATGGTATCGAGGCTCCTTCGAAGACGGATAAGGCTTGTGCGCCGAGGGAGACGGCGGATATTGGGCAGATTTTGGATGGGTTGCAGGTGAGACTAGATGAGATGAAGATGAAGTTGAAGGGGTAGGTCGAGGGGAAGTTTTCTTGCTTTTATCTGTTTTTTTCTTTCTTTCGGATCGGCGGAGTAATGGTCGCGCAGCAGTGTTTCTTTCTTCAAGTTCTCGTTCGCATCCTCTATTCTATATTCCCACGTTTTATGACTCTTAAAAAGCACTTCTCCGCATTGATCCGTTTCCTCGTCGAGGGAGTCCTCGCCGCAGACTGCTGTGTTTGAGTCTTTGAGGGCTTTTCGAGATGAGTCATGAACTATGTTGAGCACTTTGTAGCCGCGCAGCTTGAGCACGCTCGTCGACCAGAGGAAGCCTCCAGAGTCTGAGGCATACTCCGGATCGCAGAACGCTGAAGCGATTAGCAAAGAACAAGGTATGATTACACTACAAGCACACTGGTCGGGGGGACCTATGAAAAGACTGCGTAGAGAGAGCGAAAAGTACGGGTTCGCCAATTCGCCAATGTTAGAGTAGGTTTCGTCCGGGTCTAAAGCGGCTTGGCGGGGAGTTGGGTGAGGAGACTGTGGGAGGACGAGAAGGGATCGGTCAGAGTGTTTCTTGGAGGCGGAATGTAAAGGGGGGTTGATGGCTTACATGCCGACTGTGGTTGTCACGACGCCAGGCCAAGGGGAGAGGGGAAACGGCAGGAAGAGAATCGTCAGTTACGGTTTCTCAAGCACATCGATCACGGCGATGCCGTCTCAAAATACTGACAGCGCTTCTTGATCGTAACGCGATGCCTCGAGAACTTGTCGTCGGGCGAGAAGCGGGCTGTAGGGGGTGTGTGTGGGAAGACATCATCGTCAGCTCACGGCTCACGATCCAGGACGGAAGCTGGGCCCAATCCAATCGGTTCCGGGAGACGTACCAGGGTGAGCGGACTTTGTCATCTTGCCATCTGCTGTTGTCTTTTTCAGCGAGTAGAGACGTGTGCCGTCGGCGTTGAGCGAGTACATGAGATGCACTGCAGAGAGGGGCGAGGGCGAGAACGCGCAGAGGGCGGAGGGCGGAGGGCGGAGGGCGGAGGGCGGGCAAGGGAGGGGAGCGTCAGCGAGAGCACTTCCACTAAAGCAAACAGGAGTGTTCGAACTGGGTTTATGCAGTACTCACTGGCTGATGTAGGTCAAGACGACTGGAGGTCGGACGGGAGGGATGAGCAGCGACAAAGAACCCCTCGACCGCGACCCAGGCTGGCGGCTCGCAGCCTCTCGCGGCATTGCGAAGACGAGTCCGCGCGGGCGGGCTTTTGACCTCGGACCTCTTGATGCGGGCAATGCGCATTACTACTTTGCAATTCGCTGCTCAAGCGCTCACCGACGTTGCAGTGAGCCCCTGCCCTTCCCCCTCTCTCACGCATACCCACCACACGCGTTCCTGTGCGCTCCCCGAATTCAACGATATGGCACCTACTTACGGAGCAGATCGGTACGTCCTCATCCCAAACGCGATGGCGGACTATATCGCCTCAGTCTCCATGATGGCGAGTAGGGCCTGAGCTCCACCTGGGCGTATGCTGATCCTTTCTTTCGGGTGCATCCGGTGTGTTAGCTTTCAACGTGAGATCAAGCTCAAGACGAGATCCAAAGGGTGAGCAATCCCAGAAAAGACCTTCTACGCCACCTATGGTCGCCACTTCACAGACCGTCGGACCCCACTGCACTCGGACTAACACGATGATGACGTCGTCACTCGTGCGTACTGTTCTTTTCACCCATAGCTGCCACCTCGTCACGAACGAAATCATGGCACAAATCGAAGAAGGCGTCAAGAACACCAAAGTGAGTTTCATATCTCCGCAACAAAGTTCTGCATCCCCTTGCCATTCGAAGCTCATGAAAACTGAAAAACTCGTCCCTCAATTCCCACAGGTCGGCATCCTCCACCTCTTCCTGCAACATACCTCCGCCGCGCTTTCCTTGAACGAGAATGCAAGTCAATACACCAAACTCAAACAACCCGAAAATTCTAGAAACTACAGAAACTAAGCACCCTCTCACCCTCTTCCCCTTAGTGCGACCCCGACGTGCGAACGGACATGGACATGTGTCTCGACAAGATCGTGCCCGAATCCTTGCCTTGGGACCACGTCGATGAGGGACCGGACGATTCCGTCTCGCATTCGAAATCTTCCCTCATAGGTGCCAGCGTACAGATCCCGATCATGAATGGGAGACTGGCGTTAGGGACGTGGCAGGTCAGTTATGAGAGTGTTTCTGAAATTTCTGAAAAGGGTAGTGGGCCGGCGAAGAGCTGATCGGGAAACTTCGTGTACGCTTTCAGGGCATCTACTTACTCGAGTTTAGGAAGTTGCCTCATTCGAGGAGGATCGTCGCGACCATTCTTTGAGACTTTTTTTTTTCTGAAACTCCAGCACCGTACATGATCATGAGCACCTAAATTTGACAATCATCTAAATCCGGTCTTCTGTGAGGGTTCAGAGGCCCACAGCAAACGTAATGCTGCTCGGTGTAGTCTCGGTCTTCCTCACTGCATCTCACTCAAATCGAAGCAGGCACCAGTGTCATGAACGAAAGAAGGGAACCATTGGGGTAATTGCTAGGCGAGAATGATGAAATGAGAATGAAGAAACGACGAAGTAGAAGAGTCAGAGTTGCAATTTGCGACGGAAACGGGAAAACTGAGACTGAAAAAGAACGATACAGGTTCAGGACGAAGAGAAGAAAGAGAAAAGAACAGAAAAAAAGAACGAAATGTATGCGAATGGAACAAAACGACTTTTGAGAAACGAAAACCACCCGATGACGCATTTGAGAGAAGAAACCCTTAAACCCGAGAAGACGAAAGCTAGAAAGGTGATAGATGAGGGTAAGTCGGTTATTGATACAATCTGCAAGACGGAGATGATATGGAGATGGAGGAGGTTTGATCTAGCAGAGGAACCTCTCGTTAAGAGAAGCAACCGAGGAGCACAGGTACGACCATGCAACCCGATTCGAGCGTTTCAGGCCGGCACGACCGAGATGTTGATCGCTATCATCGTCGGGCGCGATCTCGCGACGAGCGATGCGTCCGTCCTTGTCCGCGAGTAGGTCTGCCTCAAAGGTGTGCAACGTCGCGAAGAACGGTAAGTTGGGTTGAATGAGGATGTTGAGTCGACGCGAGCGCGTGAGCAAGTACGCCGAAGCGAGATCGAGCTCGATGTGCTTCATGAGATAAGCAATGACGATCGACGCGCTGCGCGAGACGCCGACGCGGCAGTGGACCAAGACCTTGCCGCCGGTCCAACGCGCTTGGTCGATGAACTCGAGTGCTTGGTCGATGTAAGGACGGATCGAATCGATGCCGTCATCGGCGACATTCTTCATGTCCAGCACGCTGATGTTGCCGAGTCTTTCTTCGAGCCACAGCGAATTCGTGTGTGTCTCGTTGGACCCGGCGGCTCCAACTGGTGGCGGACGAGGGGGCGTGAGCGCCGATTCGCCCATCGAGACTACGTGGGTGATACCGAGCTTCTTGAGCATCAAGGCGTTGTTGGCGTGGTTCAGGTTGCCAAGGTACTGCGAAAGTGACGAGAGTGGTCAGCTTCAAGTCTTAGGACACGGAGATCGCTGCGCGCGCTCTGGGCTGTGTACTCACAAGGAAAGGCAAGATCCGGCTAGGAAAGTGACCATCGAACATTGGGGCGTAGAACCACGGGCTGTTCGAGGTGTTCGAAGGCCGAGGCTTGGAGGAGAACCATTGCTGTGCCAGTTCGGCATCGGGTGAAGGGGACCGAGGTCTCATTTCGGCGTCGTCGCAACTGTTGCTGCTGCTGGAAGAGAGCGCTCCTCGCACGGCCTGCACGAATTTGGAGGTCTTGGTTGGTGTGCTCGAGTTGGAGACGTAGCCCGAGTCACTGCGCTCCATGCCGGTGCTGGTGAGCTCCTCTCCACCGCCATTGATCGACGATACCGAAGAGGACCTTGACGGCGCCATGGGAGAGGCCGTCAATTGCCACGACATACTCTTGCGCGTCGCAAGCCACTCCTGCTCCTCTCGGCACAAAACGTCGATGACGCGGCGCTCGATCATCGGCAAGAGCTGGTAGTCCTGGGGATAGATGTAGAAGCTGCGCTGGGCCGACTCTTGGAGGTAAAGGTAGGCCTCGGCGGCGTTGCGACCCCCACCGGCGACCATGACGTAGGTCACTGCCAGAAGCGAGCTTTCGGTGTAGCCATCGCCGCAGTGCAGCAAGATCCTTCGAGGCAAGCGCGACGTGTCATCGGGGCAAGCTTGGCGGCGCATCCAAACCGCGAGCTCCACGAGCGCGTTGACAAATTGCGTCTGCGCTCGCTTCGTTGTGTGGCTGGACGAGTTGGGCGCGACGCAGTTGGTGCTCGTCGAGGGGCATTCAAAGTGCACGAGGTCGTGAACATGGGGTCGGAGGATCTTGACGCGCTCCTCACCGAGTTGAGAAGCCGTTGTATCGATCTCGTCGTCGAGCAACTGGCGGACCTCTTCGTAGGCCTGACCCTGCGCTTCGAGATCGTTGAGGTTGCGGTCCGCGTCGCGCAAGATTGCGGCGGAGACGTTGGCGGCTTGGTCGTGCGCTTCGATGCAAATAGAGAAGGAGAGTGGGTTGCCGTCGTCAAGCAAAGATGAGCTCGAGTCGTTCGACAAGGCCTGGGCGTACGGTGCTTGGGGAACATCCTGAGCGTTACCGAGCCAAACGTTGGGCAAGATCTCGCTCGCCTGGGTGAGGACGCGCATCTCCTCTCGCTCGCGCTCAAAGAAGTTGAGCTTGTTCCTCACGAAACCATTCGAGTCGATGCCGACGATCGTCGGGTAACGTTGCTCAAATGTGACGAAGGGATCGGCAATGATGTAGACGTTGTACTGAATCGCACCGGCGGCGTCCCCGCCTCGACGACGATGTTCACGCTCCTGAGCCTCCGCGACTCGCGCCGCCGCATCGATGACGTGGGACTCGGCGCCGTTCTCTCCATAGACGACGATATCACTGATGGTCGCGTACTTGGCCGCTTGCAGCGCAAAATGGCGCAAGTTGACGGTTTGGAAAGTCTCCGGTGCGGGCAGAGCGAACGAGTTTGTCGACGCACAGATAATCGAAGATAGGGGCAGGGAAGAGACGAGGCGGCAGGTGGGCGTTGCAGAATGGAGCGAGGGCGAAGGAGAGGCCGATGCCGAGGACGAGGACGAGTCTTCGCTCGAGGTAGAGGAGACCGAGGATGAAGACGAGTGCGTCGACGAGTTGGTGGACCACGAGGCGAAAGAAGAGATGAGCCCTCGTCGGCGAGAAGGTGCCGAAGTCGAGCACGGCGTCACTGGCGGGGGGCAGTGGACGGTCGTCAATCCGCGGTAGCTACGGAGGCGAAGAGGAAAGATGCGAGATCAGCGAGTGGACCACAAGGTCTGGGCGAACACGATCATGGGTTGGATCTATCCGATGCTACAGGTGCGAGCCTCTGGTGGTAACAGTCATGGGGCATGCGTCGCGCGTCCTGGCGGTCGGTCCCCTTTCATCAAATTGAGGCGGCGCGCGACTCAGGCACGGCGCGTCGGACAAGTCGAACGATTTAGCGCCGGCGGGTTACGCGCAGCGAGCGCGGGCAGGAGGGACGCGCGCGCAACCGCCGGCGTCGGCGGCGACGACGGACCACAAAGCACCTCGAAAGGGAAAGCCATGTCGAGAAGAAAATTTCACGTGCTCCGAGCGAACGAAATCAAAGGGAGAAGGTACTGACCTGGGTGCTCGAGCGGCTGTGCCCTTGGCGAAGCCAAAGTACTGGCTCGCTGCCGAGTGGGGGATATCAGCGCTGCCGTGCGACCAAGGGAACAGCACGTCCTCGGGCAGACGTTGCTTCGAGTAGGTTGCTTGCAGGCGTGCATAATCATCAGCGGTGAGGACTCGGATAGGAGGGACGTTGTTGCGAGTCGACAGAAGGGGAAATTGGGTGGCATCGATTTGTAGTCCATGGCGAGGGGTGAAGACGGGCGCGACGTTGGCACCGCCGGTAAAGTTGGACGACGACGACGACTTGGCGGCGCGCAGCGACGAGTGTCGGATCGGCGACGAGGCAGGTCGAGTAGTCATCTTGACGCTTGAAGGGGGATGAGCACTCTTGGTCGGGGCGTTCGTGCCGCTCTCAATCAGGGTCTCGATTTGAGGGAAGAGCGGGGTGGCCAGGATCGCGTCGCGCTCCTCTTGAGCAGCAACCGCAGCGTGACAAGGCTTGGACCTCTGTGCGACCGGGTGCAACTTGACTTCGACCATACTAGCTGATGGGGGAAGAGGACGGATCAACGGATCAAAGAGTTGGTCGGTGAGAGAGATCAAGTCCGAGATGAGACCCGGGGGTGAACCGGGGAAGGGGAGGTGGAGATGCGGAAGAAAAGAGAGCGTGAAAGCGCAGAGGAGACCTTTCGACGAGCACGAACCGCCGCTCAACTGACGCGAGGCTGCCACACCGGGCGCGTGTCGCAGGCGTTTAGCCGAGGCCCGAGAGCACGGTTCGTCTTCCTGCGCCGCTAAAACGTGCTTTCAAAATACACCGCTTGGCTCATGGCATGCTAGCACGGACTTACTCATCAAAAAATCAATCACAAACCTCTCTAGTCCACCACCTACATGATAAGACTCTTGTATTTCGCGAGGTTTTTCACTTCCAAAGTCGACGAGCTCGGTGATTTTGTGATTTCGTCTCGCCAAGATGACCCCTGATAAAACAGAGATCATGTTCCCGACCTGCTTGTCTCACAATCCTTCTCCTATTTGTCTCGATCCTACCCCAACAGCTTCATCACATCACATTCTCTTCGACCTCCCCTGGCATCCTCTTGCAATCCTTTGACATCCATAATGAAAGTGTCTCACATTGCCAGTGACCGTGATCGTCACGTCGATAGTCTTTTCGGCCTTTGCTGCAAGATTTTGACGCGGACAGCTCAAGCGCGCTGGTCTCGGCCTAACGGGGCCCGCTCGCGCTCCACTCTTCGAACACGCATTCTTTGGACCGTGTGCCAGCACGCACTCTTCTCGGCCCCCTTGGGCCTCCCGCCTTGCTCACCCGCTGGCGCGCGCGGGCCCTTCCTCTCCCTCTCCCTCGTCGTCCCGCACGCCTTAGCGTTTCGTGTTGTGGTTCCGGCACCCCCCCTGCCAGTCTCTACTCACTCAAAGTGGGTAACATCCCTCGTAAGCCCTCTGCCCTTGTTGGACAGTTGGACTGATGAGCTAGCCTGCCACTACGTTGTAAGCAGCCGCCGTACCCGCTGCTTTGCAAGGTCGTATCGCACCCACTGCTTAGAGCAAGGGCGAACTTTTCGAGACTCGCACTATCGCGGCTCGCTGTTTCTAGCTAAGGTTCGCATTCCGGATCACGACTGTCCTTGTTGGGCATGTTGCCAAATTCCTTGTCCTTGTTGGGCAAGTTGACTCATGGGGCTACCTTGTATACAGACCTCGTTTGGCCGCGTCTACCTACCGCGTCGCCTTCCTCCCCTGCCATCGCCCTGCGCTTTTCGAGCAAAGGTATGCCCTATCCCCCAAGTCAGTTGCAGTGTTTTAGTTACTAATCGGACCTGCGCTCTTTGAGCAAAGCCAATCGACCATTTTTTTTGAGCTCCTCCCTCCCACCCTACTTGTTCATAACTCCTGTTTAGAAAACCCTCCGTTTGTTACGGAGTGCGGGTTTTTCTCTTATCACTGCAACTCGACTCTTCCATCCTAAAACAAACGCCACAAACAGCGCGCACTATGGAGGAGTCGAGCCAGCTCGCGCAACCCCACACAGAGCAGGATCTGGCGTCTGACGCGTCCATAAGTGATCGGGCGCGCACGTCGCGCGCTCGTCGTCGCGTGCCTCACAAAAAGCTTTTTAGGCTCAATCAACCAATTCAACGGTCCTTCACGCAATTTCTCTGGGCCGCGGTACCCGGTCGGTCGATAGAGCATCGAGAATCTCGAATTGCCAAAATTACCCTCTCCCCCGATATGTTCGATCGACAACGGTGACGCCGCCCGCAAAGAAGTAAATCACGTGACCAGCAGGCTTCCTTCACTTCACGACGCCACTGAGCGCGATCGCGATGAGTCATCTCACTACAATCGCAGTGAGACAAGAACTAGCGCCCATCCCTCAAGGATGCTTCCCTTGATTCTGATACATCTCCGCGAGCTGCTCGGTCGTCGTGGCCTGTTCGATCGATTTGTCCTCGCGGACCTTGATGAAGCGCGGGAAGCGCACCGACACCCCTGAGAGGCCGTAGATCGAATGCTCGTTAGCCTACCTCGCCGGAGCACGAGTGTCCTCAAGCTCTGATCACGTGTCAAAGAGCCTCACCTCGTTCCCCCAGGATATGTTGAGCAGCGGGGTAGACCGGTGAGAGGGTGAAACTGCGCAGGAAGAAAAAAACTTTTGGTCAGTAACGCTGCGACGCCACCGAGCACTCCCATCCTCCCCCTGAAGGTACTTACTCGGCCCCTCGCATCTCCCATACCTCATTGGGTTTGAACCAAATAGAAGGGCGTAAGCCGGCGGCCTCTATCTCGGAAGGTTTCGAGCGGCTCGCGAACTCCCCGTCCGGTGCGTACTTGACGTTTAGACCTGGTACGAGAATCCCAATTAGTCCCTTCAGTGGCCATCTTATCGCGCGCGAGACAAGGCCTGGTGCGAATGCTCACCTTTATAAAAGTCATCCGTGAACCCCGACATGCATTTACACACAGCTTGGATCTGCCCCGACTCGGGATCATACACACCAAGGAGGATCGGACTCCACCACTGCGCTTTCCGGCCGTTACCATGCCAAGCGCCTATGGGTATGAGGTCAAGCGAGTCCCCCAGGTCATCCAAGTAGTCCTTCTTGACCTTGAGCCATGAATCGGCTCGCTTGTCGGGCTCGTAGGTCGCGGGTAGGATCTTTCGTCGACGACCTTGGTCTTTGACCGGCGAGTGGGTCGAGGTCGCTTTGGACGTCGATAGTGGGGTCGAAGGCGGCGGTGAGTCGAGCTCACTCTTCTCTCCAGCTTCTCCTTCATCCGAGTAGTCCCCAAGATCTGGGTCCACTTCATTTTCCGGGTCTTCTTCCAGCTCGGCTTCGTCCAACAGCTGCAGTGTAAGCAAGCGATCAGCAGGCCTGTGGACCCCCATCAAACCGGCCAAGACCTACCTTGACCATGATACCTTCGGCCCTCATTTTCAACGCTTCTTGGAAGAACGCTTGGACTTTGACTTTGTCGTTGTCCATACAGGAGGGTACAAGCTCCCACTTGGCGTAACGTGGATCGGTGGGCCGAAGCGGGGAGAAGCGCTCGTACAGGAGATGGCGACGTTGGCGGAACGACTTATTGAGGAGCGACTGTGGGTTCGATCAAGGTCTCCGCATGAGGTCAGGAAAACGCCGGGTCCTCGAATCGACCCACCTCTCCATTGAGAAACATCAAGTCGAAGCCTATGAAATAATTAGAGTCAAGTCAGCGCTCATTCTCGTCCAAAGGTCCATAACCCCGTGAGCTCGGATACGCACCAAAAATACCGACCCGGACCTTGATGTCGCCCATCTGCACGTCCTTTTTGGATCGATATGATAACTCTTGGAACGTCTTGAACTCTGAAGTCTGCGGATCAATAGCGACAATCTCACAATCGAGAATGAAATTCTCCAGAGGAAGTCCCCGCGCCGTCTCTCGGTGGACGAGCGAAGCAAGCGTCGGAGCGATGTCGGGGAACTTGTCGCTCATGTCCTCAAGATGACGACTGAAGCATCGGATCCAGATGCGCGTCTGGTCCGCGTTAGCTTCGGGTGGATCGTACCATTTTCCTCGACTGTTGTCACTCAATCCGCTTGGTTCGACCGTAGAGACGTGGATCTGACCACGCTGCCCATCGAGTTTGGCTTCACTGACGAACGGTCGCGATCCCAATCGGCTGTAGATCTCGGACACGCCGCGGGTGATGGACCCGAGCATCGGTTCCAGAGGCGTTCCGACGGCTATAGGAACGCGTAGTTCTAGCAGTGAAATACCATGGTCGAGCAACGCCGCCACAACATGCCCATAATCGGGATGCCTCGCCCACACCTTCCTCACGATGGCCTCGGCTCGATCGAGTCGTTCCTCCAGCAAGCGCTCCTTGTCGCCCTTGACCTTTTCTTTCGTCTTGCCCGCTCCTTTCTTCGCATCAACCTCGTCTGTCACGTCTTGGCGCTCTCTCGGAAAGATGTAGAAATCGTCCGATACGGGTTGTTCCCCCCCTTTGCGCGAAAGACAAAACGCCTTGGCGAGCGCAGTGATGATGGTCAATCGCACGGCGCCGATCCTCAAGTTGCCGACGAGCGTTCGGATGAGGTATCGCGCTTCTTCGCCCTGGGCCGAGACGAGAAGTCGCTTCACGATCGAGGTCTTCCTCTCGAGCGATCCGGATCCTTTCAGCCGAGCGATAATGTGGAGCTGCGCAAACAACGAATGACAGACCAGTGGTGGAGGCGGGACGAGTAGTCGGACCGATTTTTTCATTTCGTATGCCACATCGCCTGTTCGCGAAACATGAGTTATCAGATTCAGAGGCAAGGCATGGGTGAGGAGCTCTCCTTGATGTTACCAGGATCTCCGAGCTTGTTGAGCTGTCGTAAAGCTTGAGGAGTCAAGCCCGACACCTCCTTGAAAGCCTTGCTCAACACCTGGGGGCCAACCCCCAGCTCCAGATCACGCTCATGGGCGGGTCCAATGCGATTTGAGCACAGATACACGACACTCTCGAGCGACTCTGGGTCGAGCTCGATGGCGGCGCGGAACAGATTGGTCAAGACGCGGGAGATGAAGAGGCGAGATTTGGTGGTCGAGATGAGAGCGAACGCGGCGGCCAAGTACGAGTAGGGCATCCTGCCCGCGGGCCAGAATGATGTGTCGACATGGGAGGAGGGTGCAAACGTAAACAGGGAGGTATCGAGTGGGAGAAGTGCGCCGGTCGGTCCGGTGGAAGCTCCTAACAGGGTCTTTGACGACGAGGCTGAGGCTTTGCCGGGCGACGCAAGAAACGAGAACGCGTCCGGTTTGGACGGCAATGAAGCGACTGCGTTTTTATCTTCGTCTTTGACTTTGCCCAGGGCCACGGCTGACTTTTTGGTCGGCGATTGGAAGACAGGCGCGATCGGGGTCGAGAGTGACTTCGCAGGCAGCTTAGAGGTTGAGGCTGGCGCATACCCAGTGATGACGATGTCGTCGTCGTCTTTTCCTTCTTCGCCATCATCGTCGTCTTCGTCAACCAAACTGATCGTTTCGGTCTCGCTCTTGGCCGAGACGGTCCTGTGTCGAGGCAGGCGCGACGAGGACGGTTCCCCGGCCGTGCTCAATGTCGAGCTCACTCCACTGGTGTCGCCCATCCGAGTCGCGTTGCCGACACCAGCTGCTGCTGCTGCTGCTGTAAAAGCCTTGCCAAAGTGGCGCTCGTGGAACTTGACGGTATCCAATGAAGTGCCTTCACTCCGCGCCAGCTTCCTCGCGAGCTCTGCATCGGCTTGCTCCTGTTGAACCCGTCGCTGCCGCTCGAGATCGAGCGTGACGTCGTCGTTGTCGTCATCGTTGTCGACGTCGTCGGATGCCAGGTCCAGGGACAGAGGTGCAGCCACACGAGGAGAAGGGGTGCCGATTTTGAGCTTCTTCTGTATCGGTGCAGCGCCCGTCGTGGCACCGCTATCTGTACGCTTGGGCATCGAGACGGTCGATGGTCGGAAATATGAAGCCAGCGCTCGATCGCGTAAAATGGCCGCTCGGGCGACCGGCCGGCTGACGCGGACTTGGGTGGTCCGTGCGAGCTCATCGGGACGGCAGGCCAGCGGGCACGCTGGCAGGCGGGAGCATCTCCGCGGCACTCCGCCAGTCCCCATCTCGCTTCATCGAGCACCTCGGAAACAACACCCGCCCGACCTACTCTGACCATGGCAACGGCAACGATTCAAGAATTGACCAAGCTGCTCGCTGACGACACCAAGGTGCAGGTGTGCGCCGTCGACGCGGACGGGGTGTTGAGGGGCAAGATCATGGCCAAGGACAAGTTTCTCTCCGCCGCGGTCGATGGTTTCGGTTTCTGTTCCGTCGTCATGGGCTGGGACATGCATGACCAGGCCTACGCCAAGGAGCTCAAGATCTCCAACCTCGCCAACGGGTACCGCGATCTGATCGCTCGCATCGACCTCGACACTTATCGCCGTACCCCGACCACGCCTTCGTTGCCCTTCTTCCTCATCACCTTCATCGAACCGACCACGAACGAGACCCTTTGTGCGTGCCCTCGAGGCCTGTTGCAACGCATCAACGATCAGATTGAAGCCGAGGGCTATTCCGCCTATGCCGGTGCAGAGGTCAGTCATCCCTCCGTCATCTGCGGTCGGTCGGTCGGTCACGAAGCCGGCGCCGTCATCGCCCCACGAACGAGAATTTCAAGACTGACCGATAGCAAACCTGCTTTGCTCGTCCGCAACTGTTTCTTGCATCAATCTTAACCCCTGCCAGTACGAGTACTTCCAATTCAGAGAAACACCCGTAGTAAGTAGACCAAACCGGATCTTCCAGAGTTTTGAACTGTCCCCATCGCTGACGTCCCTCATCCCTTTCCCCCACGCGCGCGCAGTCGGTCGCAGCCAAGGACTTCAAGAACCTCGAACCTCTGACCAGCGGCATGCATGGCTACTCGATGCTCCGCCCCGACCTCAACAGCGAGTACTTCCATGACATCTGGGACAACTGCGCCAAGTTTGGCATTCCCATCGAAGGTGAACTTCCTCAGGGCTGCTGTTGATGTTTTTGGCGAATTCTTCTCACTGATGTCCACGATGACCATCCAAAGGGCACCACACCGAGACAGGTAGGTGCCGCTACAGCGCAGATTGGTCCAGTATAGAACACGAATATTGACGCCTTCTCATCTTAAAGGTCCCGGTGTCTTCGAGTCGGCCTTGGCGTACCAACCTGCGCTGCGCATGGCCGACAACGCGACTCTCTTCAAATGGGTTGCCAAGACGACCGGCCTCAAGTACGGCATCATGCCCACCTTCATGGCCAAGCCGTACGCCGACCAGCCGGGATGCTCCGGTCATGTCCACATCTCGTTGCGTGACAAGTCGGGCAAGAACGTCTTTGCTGTCGAAGAGAGCGAGATCAAGGACGGGAGGGCGGATGCCACGTTTGAGGATACGAAGCGTATCAGCAAGACGGCTGAGCACTTCTTGGCCGGCGTGCTTTTGGGTTTACCCGATATTGTGAGTCAAGCACTTCAAGGCTTACGAAGGGGAAAAGAAACCCATTAAATACTGCTCTCTGCCCCCGCCGACCAGATGCCCCTCCTCGTCCCTACCGTGAACGGCTACAAGCGCCTCGTCGAATCCTTCTGGGCCCCTACACGCGTCATGTACGCCTACGAGAACCGTATCGCCTCCGTCCGCATTATTTCCCCTCCTCTCGCTTCCCCTCCGGCAACGCGTCTCGAGATCCGCGTCCCAGGAGCGGATATGAACCCTCATTTGACCTTCTCCGCCATCCTTGCGCTGGGTCTGCACGGCATCAAGGAGAAACTCGAATTGACGATCCCTCCCATCGATACGAGTAAAGGTGGGGCAGCGTCGATTCAGAGCTTCGCGAGGTTGCCGAGGAGTTTGGCGAGTGCGACGGAGAATATGAAGGCGACGGATTCGATGGCGAGGAAGGTGTTGGGGGATGACTTTGTGGACCATTTTGCTGGGACGAGGGTGAGCTGGTATTGAATTGAACGGCTGTTGTGATAAGAGCTCTACTGACCTATACCTGGGTTGTCCTTGTAGGAAAACGAGACGGATCTGTTCAACGCCACTGTGACGGATTGGGAGCTGAAACGCTACTTCGAGTTGGCTTAGTTCTCTTCGTGTAACCTTAACACGAGGATGGCGCTTCAATATCATGTGCGCAAAAGCGAATTAGTTGAAAGACAAAAGCTGTATTACATCACTCTCCGAGAAGAATTTGCCCCCCCGATCACGGAAACCACATTCCATCACCGTGTATGACCCAAAACCGCTCAGTAGTCACCAATCATCATCTTGATGATCATTTTGCCATCTGAATGGAACATTAACGAGGCGTGGTGTCAGCGTCACCACCTCGTATAATTACTCTCTCAACCACGGTCCCCAGACTAACCCTTATCAACGCCCTTGATGAGTTCCTCGAACGCCTGATTTACATCGCTCAACTTGTGTCTTGTCGTCACGAGCTTCTCCACACCGGGTAATCGACCCGCACCGAACAACGCAAGCGCATCGGGGTAAGTATTGACGTAACGGAAGACGCCGAGGAGATCGACTTCTCGGAAGGCGGCGGCGGAAACGGGGAGGGTCGCGTTGGGGGTTCCCATGCCGATGTAGACGACTTTGCCTCCCGGTCGGGCAGCCTGGAACGGTCGAAATAATGTCAACGGTCAGCACTGTGCTTTTCTTGCATCACGACTTGCTAGATCCTCACGTGAATGGCGGCTTGCATGCACGTCTCGACACCGGTGCATTCGAGCACAACATCGAATCCATCCGAATCGGGGACCGAGTACTTTGCCAACACATCATCAGCCATCGCCTTGGCTTGTTCCAAAGACTGCGTCGAGTTTTCCGGTCGGGCCGTTCGAGGCAAAATGTGACCGGCGTTAGCGAATCCTTCTTGGATGGAGAAGTTAACGCGGGCCTCGTTGATGTCGACGACGACAAGGTGGGTCGCACCGTGGGCCTTTGCGACGGCGAGAGCGAGGATACCGACGGCTCCAGCACCGAGGACGAGAACGCTCTGGCCGGCGGAGATGTTGGCCCTTCGGGAGGCGTGAAGAACCACTGAAAGAGGCTCGACCAAGGCAGCGGCCTCGTAAGAGCACGCATCGGGGAGCTTGTGGAGGTTCCTCGCAGGGTGGTTGAGAAAAGTCTGAAGGGATCCGTCGGCGTGAGGGTAGACCTTGGCGGAAGAATTGAAGCACACTTTGGAGAGAAGAATTGCGGACGAAGTCAGCTCGGTCTTCGATATTCGTGCACATGTTTAGTCACAAGACTCACTCTTGCCGCAGAGGTTGTATCGTCCAGTCTTGCAAAGCCTGCATTGACCGCAGTAAACACCGGCCTCGATCGCCACTCGGTCACCGACAGCCACCGACGTTACGCCCTCACCGACAGCGGTCTAGAAGGAGGTTGGACAGGATTCAGGAACTGTAAGTAGTCTTTTTAAGTCTCTTACTGTCACGAAAATCTGAAACCAACTTACGACGACACCAGCAGACTCGTGACCGAGCGCCATGGGATGACTGGATGAGTTGATCAGGCCGTCGAACCGTGTCAGCGCAAAGTCCGAAACGTGGGGGGGCTTGGAAGGCTCTGCCGAAGGTGGTTCCAGTGACGCACCGAAGCTTGAAGTCACCGACGGCACCATGAATGTAGTAGTGCATATCTGTACAAGAGTGCAGAGAGAAAAAGTCCGATGAGAGTGCCAAAAATTGAAGCTCAGCTTCCGGGCGAGATCCTCAACCACGCTTGAACCATTGCCCTAGCCATCTATGCTGACCTGATCCACAGAGACCAGTGGCCTTGACGGCGACCTGTGCTTCTCCAGCAACGGGCGCAACGACCTCACGCTCGGTCTGTGAGACAACGATATGCGGAGTGAGCCCTCGGCGACGTGGGGCAGATCGACCGGGCGAAAGCAGTCGAACGAGACGAAACGTACAAGGCGCAGATCCTTGGATCCATGCAAGACAGCAGCGTAATTGACTGGTGCGGAAGACATGGCTGATTTCGTATGGATTTGCGAAGCGGTGATGTGGTGGGAGAGGGCAGGAGAGCGAGAGGGACGAAGAGGTCCGGCGCGGGGGAGGTGGTGCAGTAAGTTCCGCAAATCGCAAGAAATCCAGCCGCGGGGTGAGAAAGCGGGCCGCCTTTGCCGCCGCGGGGTGAGACATCACGTGACTCTCAGCTACCGGCGGGTTCGGAGTGGTAGTCGAGTGCCTTGCGCCGGGGATTCGCAGAATGGTTTACAACACGAGGTCTAGAATACAAGTAAAACCGATCACTTGAATCGGGCGCCTCGCATCAAAACCAACTCGGTCCCATTCTGCACCAACTGCGAGAGCCTTTCCGATGTCGGCAGGCACGTGTCATCGTTCATCGAGCTGGCCAGCGTGAGCCGCTTCGTGCCATCGGTCGTAGTATTGTTGACATTCGCCACATCGAACATCTGTGCCAGTTGATCGATTGCTTTGCCGCCGGTGCTTTCCTTGCCCAGCCAGACCTCCTTGGTCGATGCGACTGTTCGCTCCTCGCCTTCGCAGAACCGCACGGTGAGGTAGAGCCTATCCTCCATCTTGAGTCGCTTGGCGGTGGCATCGATGGGTTGAGCCCGTTGCTTGAGTTTCATGAGTGCGACGACAGGTGATAAGGGCTTGGTATGTGCCGACTTGACAGCAGCTGATGGCTTCGTCGGTGGCGCCGTTAACATGGAGGAGACCTGACGAAGCGCACAGCCACGAACGATCAGTAGTCCATCGGGTGTCTCAATCATCGCTCGAGGGTCTGAATGTGACTCGCACCAAAGTTGCGCTCAATGATCTCCTTAGCTTGTTTCGACCGGGCTTGTTGGTCTTGCTTCATCTGATCGCGTTCAAACGCGTGACGTTGCGGAGCCGGCAGAAGATCCTCAAACTTGTCCGCGAAACGTTTCCCGTCCTGCACGTTTTCCGCAGTCGCCCTGGCGATGCCTGAGCACCCATGCTGGGCAGGTGGGGCATGCGGCCCGCAGAAGACGAGGGTGCAGCCTGCGCACCGGATAGGGAGGAGGTCGAGCGTGCGACATGCCTCGAGGGAGCAATGCACGTCGATGGCGTATGTGTCGGCCATGCTGCCCCGTGGTGCATCGGAGGTTTTCCAAAGTTTGGCCTTTTGGCGGCGATGTGAGCCGACGCGGATGATGTTGCGAAGCACACTACTGCGACGGTGCGGATATGGAGGCGAAAAGGGCGCGCCGGATTTCTGCACATCGCCGGAAGTGCCTGCACATCGGTACATTATCGCTTTGTATGCTTTCGACGACCAGACTTGGTTCGGTCCCCCGTTAGTCTTGACAGGTGCTCTCTGACTCGACAGAGCCCGCTATAGCTCGGCTACAAATAGGGGCTTATCCATGTTATCGGGGCAAACCTTCCGCGTGAGAATTCGAGAATCGTCACTTGGGGCACGTCTTAGCCGAACATCGTCGAGATCGAGATCAGGGTCAGGATCAGGGTTCAGTCGGATCAGAATCAAATCAGAGCCCGCTGATCGGGGAGGCGCCTCAAGTACAGTCCCTGTATTTGATCTAGATCCAGGATCATATCTTCACTTGATCGATCGAACAGGAGCAAGCTTGCCGGGTAAGCGCTCCGAGAACTTCGACCGCGAAGTCCGTCTCGATCCAGACGCGGACTCGGCAGGGCCGCGACGCGCTGGCGACTAACATTTCCCCACTACTTGCTAGTGCTTCAACACCGATAAAACAGTTATCCTTCCTCGGGTGAGACAACTGTGATGCCCGTAGAGGACATCACACGTCGATCGTTAAAGTCCATGCCTCCGTGAGCCAGCGGGTACCTGGCACCGCCGTCCCGGTCCCGCCACTCCCCAAATTCTGAAAAGCACTGGCATGGCGGGTAAGTAGCTGTTGAGGACGGTTGACGACACCTCCAAGCCTTTCATTCGCCCCAGGGCTATGGCACTTCAGTGCTGCATGTCTTGTCCATGCAGACGCTCTACCACCGAGCAGCAATTCATGCGGTCTGGCGAGCCTTTTCCGGCTGTGTCACGGTTAGTCGATCGGCCGATCGGGTGCACCCCTGTCGCCCCGGCGTGGCAGGAGCGCGCATCCCGGATCCGAAGCGCAAGCGGCACGTGCGATCGATCTTAGCGAGAGCAATTTCAGGCCGGCTATTCAAGTGCGCCTCATTCGTTTCTGAGCCCTTTCTCGTCAGCCCTCTGTTTAGTCAGACGATTCCCGCCCTCAACCGATCGTGTCGGCTGTTCGACATCACGGTCCCGAAGACGGGCAGGCAGTCTGCGGGCAGTCAATTATCATCCACGTCGTCGACTCGACCGGAATCAGAATTGCGGGCCCGTGAGAGTCCAAACATCTGTTCATCAACCGGATCACATGATCAATTTGAGCCCTCCAGAGTCCACAGCACCCGGCAAAATTCGGGATCGTGAGCGACCCACGCTTGAGGTTCGGAAATCCTGAGCGTCGGGTCGAACGGGCCTCGTCCAAGTGTTGGGCTGGTACGTGCTCGCATAACGACATACCCCCGAAAGAAAGTAAATCGATTTCAACAGGACCCGGGAAAGCTCAGCTCAATGTGTGTCTCGGAGATTTGTACTTTTCGGGCCCATTTATGCCTTGTGACATGCTACAATGCTACATGACGTAATTTTTGATGGTAGAGTAACTTTTTCAACACAACACGATAATTTGGTCTTACACCGGAATACATACACCCCTTGGATAGGGATATTCGGTGTACAAATCGGCCTGAAAACGGGGTTTTTCGAGACACACCTTCGGCTGAGCTTTCCCGGGTCCTATTTCAACCGCTTTCGACTACCTAAAGTGGACGTCCCCTGAACTCCAGTTGCTCATTTTCCCTTCTTCCTCCACTTGCAATCTCCGAAACACCCTCTTCGAAATTCGTGAAGATGTTTCACTCACGAAAAGTATTCGCCCAAGCTTCTCGTCGACTTCTTCACACCCAGGTCGGACAGGATCCACTGCCTCGCATCGTAGGAGTCGTCGGCACCACTGGTGTGGGCAAGACCAAGCTTGGGGTCGAGCTTGCGAGGGCTGTGCCCACCCTGGCTCCACACCCTGATCCTGGACGTTCCGCCCCTGACTCGCGGCTGGCCCCCATTGCGGAGGTTATCAATTCCGACTCGATGCAATTCTACAAAGGCTTCGACATCATGACGAACAAGACGACGCCTCGAGAAATGCAAGGCGTTAAGCACCACCTTTTCAACATTCTCGAACCCGACCAGAGTTATTCGGTCCAAGATTTCGAATCCGACGCGCTTAGATTGGTGAATCAAAACTAAATGGGCCCCAAGATCTTAGTAAACGGTCTCACTGATTCAATGTCTCACCACGAGCTTAGATCCAAGACCTGTGGCAGCGGTCGGCCGTCCCCATTTTCGTGGGGGGTTCCGACTACTTCCTTAGACATCTGATTTTCGGCCACGGATCCACCGGCACGCCGGCGTCTTCGTGGGGCAGCATGGGGCAGCGTCAGGAGCAGGCGCCGAGGCAAGTCGAACCGAAGGAAGCTAACCCATCCGGTGCACACCGGTCACCTCCCTAGTGCTCGAGCTTACATCATGCGCAAACGTGATGTTTTGATTCCACAGATACACTGCCCTCATTTTCTGGCCCTACGCGGAGACCAGCGTGCTGAACAAGAACCTGGATGACCGCGTCGACAAGATGGTCGAGGTCAGTCGAGTCTCACTAAGCGATGACAGGGGCCATGGCGACCACAGCGAGCGGTCACCTGACTGACACCGGCCATATGTTCTCACGTCTTCACGGCTCATTATACGTCATAGCTTGGCCTTCTGGAGGAGGTTGAGCAGATGTGGGCCTTGCAAGGCCGAAACCTCGAAACCGCCGATTGGTCGAAAGGGGTTTTTCAGTCGATTGGTTCGCCGCATCTCACTTCGAGTCGGGACCCGTGATTACTCTAGATTGGTAGTGAGCTGAAGTTTAAAAATTTCCTTATCAACCAAATAGGTTACAAGCAGCTGCTTCCATATATCTCAAGTCGCCACGGCTCTTCGATCTTGCCTCAGCTCCTACTGGAAGCCGGCATCGAGCGCACCAAGACCGCAACCCGTCGGTACGCGCAACTTCAGATCGATCGGCTCAAGAACGCGCTCTTGCCGACGGTCAAGGGGCTTCAAGATCCTGCCCAAGTGACTGTGGTGATGCTTGATGCGACAGGTGAGCCTTAGCCCTTGACAAATCCACAGTGCTGTGGGGCCAAGACAGTGGTCGTCCTCCACAGCCGCATAGGCGGCAGCTACTGACGGAACCGTGGCCGGATCCCTCTTCCACGTGGCTAGACCTCACCCGGTGGGAGGAAAACGTTCGACAACCGGCTCAAGCATACCTGCGTGGTGGGTCCTTGTTGGAGCGGACCACACGTGCTCGAACTCACGGATCTCTCTCTTCCCGTCCCGAGCCGAGGCTAACACTTGATCTCTTGTTCTCAGCGTTCCTGGCGAACGAGCCACTCCCCGATCCGACTTCTCTATCTCCTCTCGCCGAGCGCCATCTTTCTGGGATCCCGTTGCAGTGAGTAAACTTTCGCCCAGTCGGTCCCTCGAGAACTTTTACTCATGCCAACCGAGATTGGGGAACCGGCCACAGTCAACCTGGAAGGGAGCGCATGGTCGACCCCAGTGCTTCGGTCGCTGACCTGCTTGCTTTTGATCACGCGGCGCGTAACTTCAAGCAATGATCGTGACTTATGGGTGGAAAGGGTGCGCGGACGAGAGTTATTACACAATGTCTTGCCCCGAGCCACCAATGTCTGTAGGTCTGCGGACTAAGAGGCGTGTGTGTCTGTGTTTGTTGAAAAGACCTTTCGTACGTGGGTCATTTATTGCGGCTGGATTCCGGCAACGAGCTTCATTCAGTTTTCGTTGACGTGACAAGCAAGGAGGCAAAAGTGTAGGGAGAGAAGCACTAAGCAAGTGATTATATAGACGTTGAGCCTGTCTGGCCGGCATCTGGTCCATTCACTTTCAGTGCCAGGCCAGCGACTCAGCAAATGTAGTTTAAAGCCGGGATCAACCTGCGCACACGACGGGGATCAGTCGAAGCCGCCTCTACTTGGATCCTTGCCCAGCTCCACCGTGTGGTCCTCACTCCAACGCCACCAACGATGCGGTGAACCACACTTTCACGACTTTCACGCACTGGAACTCGCGCACCGCATGATCTCTGGAGTAGCTCGATCCGGAACTCTGCAGCTCAGATCACGTGCTTCGTCCGTCGCCTCGCAGCGCGTCCGGCAGACCGTTCTGCGCACGATGAGCACGCTGCCCGCACAGCGCCCCCATGTCGTCGCCGTCGTAGGAACAACAGGTGTAGGCAAGACCAAGCTCGGCGTCGAACTGGCTCAAGCTGTCGCGTCCATGGCTCTCTCGTCGTCGTCGAACTCGGGAGCTGAAGTGATCAACTCGGACTCGATGCAAGTGTACAAAGGGCTTGATCTCATCACCAACAAAGCAACCGTTGAAGAGATGCAAGGTATCAAGCATCATTTGATGGCCTTTCTCGAACCGGGTCAGGAATATAGCATCAATGAATTTCAAGCGGATGCGCTTCGTTTGGTCGGTCCCTTCCGTCGATACAGACGGTGGAAGGATGACACTGACCTATACAGCGGAGGGATTCGCACAGATCGATGATATGCGAAATCGGGATACACTACCAATCATCGTTGGAGGCACGACGTATTACCTCCAGCACCTTGTCTTCCCGAACCAGCTCGTTTCGGATACCCCGGCCATTTCAGTCCCAAGGCCGACTCCTACCGAACCCCTACCTATCTCAGCAACGCACCACTTCCCTCCCAAATTAGTCGAACATATCCATGCGCTGCCACACGAACTATTACAGTTATTCCTCGCCCTCCCATGCCTACCACAAACCTCGACCCCAGATTCGTTCCCTCCGAATTTCCCTCTCGGGCTCGTCCCCGAACCTTATCGATCCCCATCGGACTTTGCTCCAGCTCTCTACGACCTCTTGGACCGCCTCGATCCGCGTAGTGCAGAACGATGGCATTGGAGGGATATTCGTAAAGTCCGGCGAGCACTCGAGATTGTTTGGGAGGGAAGGCAATGGGATGATGTCATGCAGGAACAGAATCAAAAGGGACGAGGACAGGCAAGGTCAGGGATTGCTCTCAAAACGCTAACAGAGAGTCTACCAAGGCATGAGAGCTGATACACTTAGTTTACTTCGGACTAGGTTCCCAACTTTGATCTTTTGGCCTTATGCTGAACCCGAGTTGCTTTCGAAACGACTGAACGAGCGGGTCGATCGCATGCTTCAAGTGAGTCCACGCTCCACCCACTCAGACAATGTACGTGTACTAATACAGTCGTTCGGTACAGATGGGTCTCTTGGAAGAGATCGAGCAACTGTGGGCCCTTGCACACCGGAAAGGAGGCGAGGGTTCCGACGAAACCGATTACTCTAAAGGGGTCTATCAAGCAATCGGTGAGCAGCCGAGCTGTACCGGCGCCGAGCCAGACTCAGCGCAGTGCAGAATCTGAATCATCTCGCTCTCCGCAGGCTATAAAGAATTCTCGCCCTACCTCGCCTCCAGAAATGACTCTTCCATCGATTCAAAATCCCTCTTCGATGCAGCTGTCGAAAGGATGAAAATCTCGACGTGCCAATATGCGAAGAAACAAGTCAAATGGATCAAGAGCAAGTTGTTACCCGCGATCAAGGAGTTGGAGACCCAAGATGCGGTGACGATAGTTTTGCTTGATGTGACAGGTGAGATGCAATTGTCGCAAAGACTTTGGCGACCGTGCCGCGGCGCTGATTCGTGATAGGTGAACAGATTTGGAGAAATGGGAGGAAAACGTTCATAAACCTGCCGTCGAGTATCTACGAGGTCAGTAAAAATGAGAAATATGTTCTACTCTCGATCACCATCTGATCTTGTGCTATAATCGCACAGCTTTCCTCAATGACGAACCCCTTACCGACCCGGCCCTACTATCTCCCGTCGCTCAAGAACATCTCTCCGTCAGCGATACAGGGTCAGTACACCTCCTCTAACAAGCCACAACCCATAGTCCCGTCCTCTGATGATCCCTCATTTCTTCCAACAGCTCCCCCGCCCGTCCAAAACGAGCTTGCCCGATATGCACCGACGATCCCTCTCGCCCTTTCCTTGTTGAGTACCATCTCTGGGATTCTCACCCTCGCACCAAAACGCACAGACGACGATTGCGGGAAGTCGGAACACGTGGTCGAAGACCGCCTCAGCGGGAAGAGCGGGAAGAAAGTGAAAAATGAAGGGAGTAATATTATGCGGTACACGATTGCAATCAGACGCAGCGCTACAGACAGAGATGAAGCATCTGGTATTGAAAGGAGATGAGACGAGACACCGACGAGCCGCGCGTCGGATAGTTGAAAAAAAAACAAAAAAAAAATAAAAAATGCACGACGTCTACTATGCTAACCCAAGCTAGGCGATAGGTTCGACGGCTCTAGCTACTGCGGATTCGGAAGCAAGTGGGGCGTCGACGAAAGGCGCGGATTTGATGGGCTCTAGCACCTCCCCCAACTCGGTCGGCTTCGTCGAAGCAGGCGCAAGTGTCCCGTCCACGTCTTGTGGTGTCGAAGACACGGTCAACTTGTCGACACCATTACTGAGGCCCTTGATCGACGCGTCGTCCTTCATCGTCGTCGTGGCGCTAACTGAACTTTCGTCGACCTCAACCTTGCTCTCGACGTCTTTCCTCTCTCCCCCCTCATCTCCCCCCTCAGGAACCTGAGCCCCTCGAATAACTAATTCACTAAGCCCACACAACCCCTTCCCGTACTTCCTCCATCGGTCCAAGTTCGCCGCCCGCCTTTCTTCGCACATCTTGGTCCAGGCGGGGAAGAAGGCCTCGTGGTTGTATTCGAGGTTGACTTCACCTCCGAACATGTTTTGCAATTGAGAGGCGGGGATGAGGTCCGTCGCGTCGGCGTCGCTGAGGAATCGGATCTTGTCCTTGGTTCGGGGATCGACGAAGGGTTTGACGAGCGTGTAGAATGGCCAGAAGAAGCTGGGGTGGCGCGTAGATTCGGAATTTCAAGATTAGTCCGTGCAACTTCGACTCTGAAAATCGCCAAGAATCCTCACCCTGGTACATCAACACAGATAGCTCGTCCCAATCGCTCGCAGTAGTAGGTCTGCAAGATCTTGAGCACCTCCTTGGCCGTCCCCGGAGAGGTCGGTGGTGTCTTGACGTTGCGACTGGCGCCAAAGTCGATGCACAAGCACAACATCTCGGTCGGGGGGTTCGTTGCGGGCGCGAGGTCGAGCGTGCGTTCGAGGCACCAGACAACGAACTCGATTTGGCGATGCGAGGTGTTAGTGTTTTGTCGATACGGGTGCATGTACAAGATGGGTCTTGAAGCAAAGTCGTAGCCAAACTAGAGGAAGGAAGAAGCCAGAGTCAGACGGCGCTTGAGAAAATCTGGATACCACATCGTGTCACCCCACAAAACGACACGAAGCATCGAACCAACACTCACCGAAAGCTCCTTGCCCGTCTCTCCTTCATGCGACACCTGCTCAGCGGTCATGGAATCGATGCCGAATTCTCGTCGCCAAACCAAAATCTCCTCGGCGCGTTTGATCGCGGCGGGATAATCCCACTTGACGGCCCTCGCAACGCGTTGGAACTGTTCCCACGACCAATAGCACTTTTCCACATCCGAAAGCGGGACCGATTCGTTCGCGGACGAGGTCGAACTTGCTGAACTGGAAGTGGAAGTGGAGCTTTGCTTTTCTCCTCCTCCTGCGCCGAAGGATCCGAACCATCCACGGGAGGGAGGTCTCCAAGCTTTGAGCGTGGTCGGAAGCGCGAAGCCGGGTTCATTGAAGCGCGCGATGAGCTTGTGGACGAACTCGGTCTGTTCCGATGTGAGCTCGTGAGGTGTCGGTGGCTTGGCATCGGGGTGAGGGTGGGCGATGGGAAGAATCGGTCCATCGGAAGGAGGGGATCCGGGAGCCGCCGAGTTTGACGGCTGAGATGGGGCTGACTCGGTCATGATCGCTGGGCGGGAGTTATCGGCAAGCCGGCACGGAAAGAGAGCGGAGCGCAAGCGCGGGTGGGTGTGGGTGTGGCAGGTAGTAGGAAGATCACGGAGATGTAAAGAAAACAGGAGAGGGTAGCTTGAGACGTAGAATCGACTGGAAGGTGAGACGGAAGGTAGCAGGCAGCGAAACAAGTCGAGTCGATGCCGAGCCTCCCCCCGACCGACGACGAGGACATGATGCGTGATGCGCGAGATGACGGCTGCCAGATCGCGAGCCGACGCCAACCTTCGCAGCGGCCGAGCCAAGGGGCATCGTCGCATCGTCACATCTGCTTGGTAATCCGCCGGTCGGGGCTCGGGCACGGCGCGCGGGCATGAGCCGGGTCTCCGAGATTCACCAGCGAGCCAGTAGCAATATAACGCTCCTTGGCACACGTTTCACACGGAGCTTCTCCTCCTGAAAATTTCGCTGAACGTAGAAGTGGCTGCTTGTGGCTGCTTGAAACACGGCGTTTTGACTTTCCAATATGAGAGTCCTGCCGCATTCAGCACAGACGCGTGACGGCCAATTAGGGAGCCACGGGTTGCGAGGGGGTCCAAGCTCAGAATGGAGCACAGCTGAGGACATTCATTCGTTGCCGTTCGCTCCCTTCCCAACGCTGAGGCCAACAAGATGGCGACGTCGGCCTCCTCCTCGTCATCTCGGTCATCGAACAGCGAGAATGAACACGCCGCTTCTCAAGATCAAGACCCAACAGCGGCTGCCCAACGACTGAAGCTGCTCAACGCATACCTGCTCAACTCGTCCCTCTTTGAGGTTGAACCCGTCGTCGTCGAGCCCACGAAAGCGCTCGAACCGGTCAAGGCCAAACACGAGCAAAAGGATGAGCTTCAGCCTGAATGCTCAGTCGGCAAGTCTGAGGTGCCCACCCGGAGAGGACGGCCTCTCGCTTCGCAGACGAACTCACCCCCGTCCTCATTCGCTTTGACACGTCCTGCAGTATTCCGACTCTTCAGCTCAGCCGCACCGACCAAGATCGTTCTTCAAGAAGCCGAAGAGCGTTGGCCGACCGTAGCCGATCCGAGGATCAGGTGCGTTTATTCCACAGCCCCTATCAAACCCAACCGTCTCCGTCAGGATCCGAGCTGATTCCCACAATCACGATGCGAAACAGAACCGTCGAAGATGAACCCAAGTCCGTATACAAAGCTCGAGAAAAGGCGATTAAATCCGTTTGTATCCCCGGATCGACGATTTTGGAAGCAAAGACGATTTGGGTCAGTCCTCGCCGGACGAATTACTCGCCGCCCCCACTGCGCTTTCTCTCCTCTTTCTGACACCCTCAACCTTCCCCTTTTCGATCACTATCAAGGGTCCTCTCCACCCCGAACGAGTGACCCATCGTCGACTCGTTCGAGCACCCAACTCAACCTCCGACGGATTGCCCCGCGTAGCTTACTTCGACTACCGCCTCGATACCACCCTTCCCGCACCTACTTCCGAACCACCTAAAGATCCGAGCAAACTGGCCAAATCGACTAAACCGATCAATCATCGTGGCTTGAAGAGAAGGGGTTTGAGATGTGATGTTAAGATGAGGTTGTTGGTCAAGCCGATTTTGAAGGAGGATAAAGGGGTTCGCAAGTTACCGAAACGAAAGGCGGTCAAGGTGGGCGAGGCGAAGGAGGAACTGGGTACGAAAGAGGCTGCTCCTTCGGGTTGGACATCGCTGGGTCGGAAAAGACTGTCCAAGAAGAGGAGGGCGAAGAAGGCCAAAGCTGGCTAGAGCATCGGGCAAGCCTACTTCAGGTCCGATCGGATTCACCTTCCCCCTTCACATTTCGCGCGTAGTCATTCCATTGTTGTTGTAAACATCATATTATCCAAGGACATATCGTTCTCCAATAGACTTTGGCTGCGAATTGCTACAAGATCAAAGATGCAACCTCTTCCATTCCCTCGCCAACGCCTCATAACAGAACTTGACCTGAGCGACGGTCTGCACCATCGTACAGCGTTGATCCCTTAGATGATCGATCGTCTCGCCGACGTAGTCACGATCTAGAGCTTTTACGGGAGGAGGGATGGGATAGGTCGAGCCTAAGGGGTGTGATCGAGAGGAGGTGGTGGTGGAATTGATTGGGGATGCTAGAAACGAGTTTTCGAGAAAGGGGAGTAAAGAGGCAAGGGTGATGTAGGTCCCTGTTCGGCCTACGCCAGCGGAACAGTGGACCAAGATTGGAGGTGCGTCTTCTCTTGCGGATGTGGAAGCGTCGTTGATGTCGAATGTTGAGCGGATGAATTTGATGAGGTGGCCCGAGTCCTCGGGGACACCTGATTGAACGATGGCAAAAGAAACTCAGTTGACCGCGGCGAAACAACTCGGCACATCTCACATACGCGTCCAACGTACCATGATCACTCCACCCACGATACTCCAAATGCGTCACCGGATGCCCCTCCTCCTCCTTCTGCCCTCTCCTCCCAACCCTCAACGCGGACTCTCGGCTCCCGTCCGCCCTCTCTATCTTACCCTCCAAACGAACCCAAACATCCTCCGGTCCTCCCCCTTCGCTCTCCGCTTCATCAGGTTGGAGAAACCATGTTTCGCCTATGGTATTGGGGAAATACGGATGACATTTCTGCCGCCGTTGTTCGACCAAGGGGGTCAATTGGACGATCGTCTTCATCCGCGGTAAAGGAGGGACGGCATTTCGGGTGGACTCGAGCGAGACGGGTGGAGTGAGGAGCATCGAGATGAAAGCGTGGAGCGTGTTTTGGATCGGGGCCTGCATAGCGTAGTCGCCAAGGGCACGACGATGTCATTGATCGGCACCGCCTCTCGAGACGGGGACCCCCATGTGGGGCTCAACTGGAGTGAAACAGGAGGCGCATCACCCCGAACTGACCTGAGCGGCAACCCACCACCGCCTACGATATGCAGTTCCATTCGGTGGAAGAAGACCCAAGTCCGGTTCTTGAACCAGTGAAGCATTGACATAACCCCGGTCCGCCGAGGTGTCCGCAGCAACGGATGCGGAGCCTGCACTTCGCTCAGCGCCGAGAGGCAACAGTATCCGAGTCGGGTTGTAGCAAATTATATCCCGATCTACGTCAGGTATAATGATCGAGTATGCAGGATCAGTAAATATCCCTGTCCAAGAGTGAGCCCATGTCACGACTTTCCCGTAAACCTACATCGATTCTTATCTTGATTCCTTTCCTCCAAACCCGCACTCGTACTGAACATACTCCCCTCTACCCCATCCCCTTCCTCAGCCGACGAAGTACCCTCTTCCTCCGCCTCTTTTGATCGTTGTTGTCTTCGTTGCAATTGAGCATAGGCGAGGTGCTGGGCTATGCGCGATCGATTCCGTTCGCGATCGCTGAGAAGTCGCGCGATGCTTTCGAATGCGGCGGGGGAAGAGAGAGGGATGCGCAGAGCGGCTGGGAGGCTGGACGTCGACGAGGAGAGGTTCATTTCGTAGTTATGGGTATGCGTAGTGTAATACGTGGTGTCGCGTGACGTGTTTAGCCAAGATGAGACCGCAAGCTGAGACAGGCCTGAAGCGCGTCGGTGACCCGGCTATGATCCTCGGCGTGACGTAAGACATTCACCTGTCTCAGTAAACACTGTAGTAAGTCACACTATAAAATGACAAGTTGGGGACTACAATGAAACACTTTTGTGCAGAAGAAGAAGGAGGAACCAAGGATGAGAATATGTTACATATGTCGACGGAGGCAGACAGTAGTGAGTTAATCCTCAGCTCGAGTGGAGCCCACCACAAAAACACCGGGAGTTCGATCATCAAATATCTCTGCCTCGCCCTTCATCAGGTAAATCCATTGAATCCGGGTGAATCGCCCATGAAGGAAGGCGCTCGCTTGCGGTGGGGCGTGCTCGTATTTGTCGCCATCATCTCGTCAGAGAGCGGGGCAGATGTGCTTCCACTCGCCGCCGCCGCATTCAAAGTATTCTGCCGTTCCTTCTCCAACCTGACCAGTAGCTCCACCTCATCTGGCGACATGACGGGTGCGTCTTGACCCTCCTTGGCCCCGAGGGAAGCGATCGACGAAGCAATCGAGGCCTCGTGAACGGGTGGTGTCGTATGCCCTCCTCTTGAAGAACTGATCACCTTCGTCACATGCCTCGGCCCCGTCGTCTCGTATTCCTCCAACAGGTGTCTCAGATCGGGATGCGACGATGATCGACTGTGCAGCGAGCTCATCGTTCGAATCGGCGGGCGAGGTCTTGTGCTCGATTCGTTCGCGTCGTTCCCGTCCGCGCTCGGGGTGAGGTTGAGGTTGCTCATGCCGAGGTTGCGAGCAGAAGTGTAGGCTCGCAGGGAAGGTCTCGGCTGCGCGCCGTTTACATTCGTGCTTGTGGAAGCTTCGGACGGTGTCAGATCCATATCAACGCTCGTTGGGTCGGATGCCCCTGCATCAGCCGCAGACGGAGAAGCGGTTCCCTCGGGTGTCGAGTTGCCCGACAGCCTCTCACTGTCCGATTCGTCGCTCTCGACCTCGTCCGGCTCGGAGTGCAGCTGGCTATGCCCTGTGGTTGGACTTGGCGATGCAGGCAAAGAGGTTGCATTCGCGTGTCCTCGCTCGTCGACCTGATGCGCATCCGCTGCGATGTCGCGATCGATCTGGCTAAAATCGACATTCTTGGCCTGCTTCAACAGCGGCAGCTTGTGCTTGACGAAGTGCCGTTGACTTTGGAACGCCTTGCGCGATGCCTCGAGGAATAAAAACGCATGGAAGACGTGCACACAGTCTTCAAAGATCTCGTGTTCGACGGCGACACCGGCGAGAGAGGCCTTGTGCGCCAAGAGCGTGACCTCGTCGCGCAGGACCTCGGCGTCGCCGGCCTGGATGAGCAGCGGCGGTAATCGATCGAAGTCACCGAACAACGGAGAGACGTAAGGGTGCGTCAGGTATTCTGTATGGCTTGAAATAGTCAGCGACTGCACTCGAAGTGAAGACAGTGCGGGAACAGCAAGACTGACTAAGAATTCCCTCGGCGCCGAGGAGACACTTGACGGGATTGAGCGCATCGTCGGTCTTTGGGGAAGGCAGATAATCGAACGAGCGGTTCGTCGTCCAACTCTCGCACGACATGGTCAAGTCGACCCAAGGGCTCATCAGAATCCCACCCGAAGGCAAAGGATATCCTTCGTCACGCAGGTACATCATCAGGGCCAGTGATAGTCCTCCACCGGCTGAGTCACCGACGACCAGGATGTTTTCAGGCGGGATCTTGAGGTCGATGATCAACCGCATGTAAGCCGAGACGGCGTCGTGGAGTTGGCCGGGGAAGCGCGTCTCGGGTGCGAGTCGGTAATTGATGGCGAACACTCGCGATTCGAGGTACCGCGAGCAAGAGATGGTCAGGAAGCGATGACTTTCGGCGCTCATGATGTAATAGGCGCCGCCGTGAAGGTACAGGATCACGCGCGCGTCCTGGTCGACCGATTTCTTGACCGCGTATTCGGTCTGCATGCGCCGCCACAAACGCTTATTGATAACCCATTCACCCGTGATCATGCGTTTCCCGTCCTCGGCTGCATCAGCTTCGGCGAGGAACCCTCGTAGGTTGCGACGCTTGACGCGGAATGAGATGGGTGTTACGATTCCGTCTTTCGGCGTCGGCAATAAAGGTGCTAGGTTGACAACGTCCCTGTGTGAAGGCAGTTCGCATAAGTTATGGATCAAGTTAATCTATCAGTGGCAATTAAGCTCACCTCAGGCGAGAAAGTGATGAGAGATGCGAGTAAGCGGCAACCTCGCGCAAGAGCGCCGTGAAAAGCGTCAACTCGATGCCCCACGATGGCTTCGGCGGTCCATAAAGGTGGTGGTTGATAAAGGCTTTCGTTAAAGACGTGCCTAGTAATCAGTACGAGCATAATTATGTCAGTCTTGGAGTAGACATCCACGAACATTCATAAGTCAGGAGAGGGGCAAATGCTGACCTTGCACGGCGAGGAAGGGAAGATACTGCCACAACTTGGTCAACGTCATGGGCTCCTGTTCACGCTGGGGGATATGCGGGTCCGTACGGGCTTGAGGGGGTAGTTCGTCGCTTTTATTGAAGGGCTCGAGCAAGGTCGCCCAGGTTGCGGCCATGCTCGCGTTCCCTTGCTGGCCTCGTCGATTCGGATCTTGACTGTGGGCAGCAGTGAGCACGTGACGGCGGGGGCCGGGCAGGTTACCAAATCGGAAGGGGTGAGTTAGTTTCGGCGTGATCAGAGCGTCGCGCAGAGTTTGTAAAATTCCTTCGTCTTTTGTCCGTAGCTCGACTATTTTTTGTGCAATTTGACAAACTGATCGTCGGTCGCTACGCGGGCCTCGATGATCTTGCTCACCTCAACCCCACGCTTTTTCGATGTGTCTCAATCGACTTGCGCGTGATTGGAACACACCCACGCCGCGCCCGCGCCTTCGCCCGCGCCTGCGGCGACTGGGCAGTACGTGGGGCGCTCGGTGCTCGGTAGGCTCAAACAAGCCCGAGGATCGGCTGAGCGCCGGCGGCGAACGAAAGCCTCCGCAACGACGCAAAAGAGTCAAGACGATAACGAGAACAATGAAAGGGGTTGCCACTAACTTGGTAGATACAGAGGCTCGTCGACTTCGAGTGGTGCCGTGGGAAACGGCTTGAACGCCGTTGATCTCATTGGAGCGACGCTGTCCCTGTCGTTGCTGTCCCTGTGTCGACGCGATCGGATCATCGGGCGCCTCATCGACGGCGCTTGATCCTGTCGCCGGCAGCGTCGAACCTCCTCCGTTCGTGGATGAGAAGGGCCACCAGACCATCTTCGATCAAGACTGGGATCCACTTGACTACGTGTGAGCGGACAAGCGTTGGCGAGGCGAGCGAGACAAGCTGGTACGGGGGGACTTCGGCCAGTCCTCCGCGTCAACGTGACCGTCGGCTTTCCCGAAGTAGCGGGAAGGTCGGACAGGTTTCTCAAACGAATGAGACCTTCCAAAGAAGAAAAAGAAGAAAGAGGAGTCGAGAGTCGAGAGTCGAGAGTCGAAGAAGACGGCGTCGGCGACTCGGGTCGAAGGAGGTGGTGGAGGTGGGGGTAACAAGGCAAGATGGAAGTGAGCGGGTGTATCCGAGATCACTCGTCGCGGTCGTCGGCCTCTCGGAAATGACGACGTCAGCTGCTGGCGACGGACATTCGACGGGCCGCCGAGGCGAGTCTCAAGTTGCGCGACAATATCGAATGGGATCGACGATGACCAAGCTGAAACTGGAAACACGGAAATTAGATCACATGACTTGGAGTCGCGGTATAGTTCTCGAACTCCGGCCCCGGACCCAGCCCCCAACTTGAAGAAATTCTGGTCCCCGCACGGGGGCGCCGTACTCATTCGGCGACAAAAGACAACCGAGGACGGGCAACTGGCTGCCGCGTCACTGACTCGCCCCCCACCACCACACACTGTTGCAGAAGCTTAGGGTTCAATTTAGGGGCATTCGGTTCAACCCTCGGTTCTCACACTTCTTTTCCCCAAGTCGGATTCGTCGGCTAACACGTGCTCAGCTTCCGATGCTCGTTCTGGGATCCGCAAGTCCGAGTCCATGAACACCTGAGTGGCCGGGATGTCTCGCCGTGGAGACCGAGCTCCGAGTTCTGCAACTTGAACCCTATCTGAAGCAGACCAAGAGGTCATGAGTTGTACAAAGGTGACAACACCCACATAGTTATCCGGCGTACAGGTGACATGAGCGTTGTCTTGGACGTCAGGTGACAGGCATCGACCAGTCAGGAAAATTGGTGGAAGGTCGGACAGAGCCCCTTTCTTCTTCCACGCGAGCGGAGGGCAGCACCCGGCGTTGCGGCGCTAGAGCATCCTTTATGCCACTTGGGGACTACCCGTAAAGTATCTATCCTTTTGATGAACCCTTTCCAGCTCCAGCCTATGTGCTTCTGGGTTCTCGTAGGGAGGCAGTGGTCGTTCTTGCTCGTCGTCCTCCGACGGCTCGGCCGTTCGCGTTTCGATGCGGATGAGATCGAACCTTAGGACAGTCTGAAGCATGAACTCGCAAGTTCGGCTAGCTACTATTGAATGGTACTCAAGAGGCTGCAGTCAGCGGGCGGCTTTGCACTGCGGTCATTCGACGAACCGGCAACAGCCAGGCGGACTCATCCATGCCTCGCTATTGCTAATGCCTGCTCCAAAGCCAAATCAGTGACGACGAGAAAGCATGTTTTGGAGGGAAGCCAACTTTCCGACTACCAATGGAGTGAGATCATTATTCCTCTCTGATCCGGTGTACTATAAATGCGCGTGCCTCAGTCACCGTACTATCGCGACCACACGCCGGGCCGCACGCAGGCTTGGATCATCGCGATCGTCGAGACCACATGTCGTGGATTCGCCTTAGGTTGGGACTGCGCCTTTTGATCACCATAGTCAAATCCCAATGTACTCGTGATCACCGAGGTCAAGTATGCACCGAGCGCAAGAATGGAGACTCAGACGAGGGAGCGAGCCGACTTGTACCACTCGAGGAAGTGAAGCGAGTCGGCCGCGTGAACGAAACGGGGGCCACCGGTATACCTCGGTTTCGGACGAGGGTTCGGAGGTTGCAGAGTGCAAGAGCAGAAGGGGAGAGCTCTGCACTCGCTCGGTGGCTCATATCGGAAGTGATCATCGCAGAAGGTCCGGAAGTGTATGTCAACGGTTCAATCTCGTAACGCATATCCACTTCCTCGGGAAGAGATGTATCATCTGGGGGCTCATATCGACGATCGAAGCTACGCCGGGGGGAAGCAGGTCATGGAGCATCATGGCACACGAAGACATTCTGCGGTAGGGTCGCGCTCGCAATATCGCTTCGATCGAAGCCGATATTTCAGTATGACGACCAAAGCCGCCGGATGCAGGTAAAAGTATTTTTTACAACAGCAGATTGAAATACGATGCACAGGCCAGTTGATTCAAATACCGCCTATCGTCGAGAAGATCAGAATACCCATCAGCGCCCAAGCGCTTTCCCTAGTAGAAGCCGCCGTCCAACCGAGCAAACTCACCAAACGACCGGTTGGACTGCGACAGCGCCCCGTAATTCTGCGACAACCTGAATCCTTGTGAGCTCGTCGAGACACTACGATTTCTCACCGCGACATCAACTCCAACATCGTCCTCGGTCGCTCTAGGGAATGACCCATTTTCCGCTGCTGCAGAGGCGAAGAAACTTGCTCGACTGGCTCGACTACGCAAAGAGGCTCCTGTTGTGCCGCCTGCACTGCCTCGTTTGGGTACGTCGATGATTTCATTCTCGTCCGCTTCGGCTTCGGTGTCCGTTTCTGTTTCCGTATCGGGATCGGTATCTGTTTCTGTGGCGTAAGTTTCCACGTCGGAGTCGGCGTGGTCGTCCGCGAAAAGTTCGGAGTCAGGTTGATGGGACGAGTCAGTTCGTAGTCGGGGACGGTTGAGCGCTTCGGCATTCACGGATCCGAAGGGAGCTCTTCTTGTTCGTGGTGTTGAAGACAAAGCAAGCTGTGGTCGATTCACGAAAATGAACGCGACGTATTCGATCAAAGCGAACGCGAGGGATAGAGTCGGGTAGCACGCTCTTGGGTCGTGCACGAATTGTTTGACCAGAGCGGAGAGGTCCAAGGCGACGTGCCGAGTGGGAAACAGTATTTGGCGTTGTACAAGTTCGTTGAGGTACCACAGACAAGCGAGGAGGGCGACGAGGACGTGGATGCCTATCCAATGGATACGGTGGCGTGATGAATGATGGTGGTGGTGGCTTCGACGAGGTGTGTGCACCTGCGACGGAGTGTGCGATGCTCCGGCGCTCAGAGCGCGCGTATGCAGGACGATGAGGACGACGACGGTGATGATCCTTGCGAGGGCCAAGGACCAGATGGTCCATAGTCGTGTGCGAGTTCCATAGACGAGATTGACGGTGATGTCCACGACGATGCTTGCCTGAAGTGCGCGTAGTGCGATAGCGCTGGATGTGGAAGGGCGGGTGTCGATGGCATGTGGGGGCGTGCTCGAGCTGGCCAGAGCACGCGTGGCCGGCACGATCAGAGGCGGAGTGACCTCGCTCGCCATGCTGCTGGCGTATGGATTGAATTGACTTGGGGGAGTGCGCGGGGCTCAGCTTGGGGCGTAAGTCGTACTTGGGTAGAGAGTGCAGTGAGCTGCTGAAGAGAAAGAGGAGGGCCGCTGTCGCGAGCCGTCGCGAGCTGTCGCGCGAGTCGTCGGGTGTGCCTCGCTCGGAGGCGCTCGGTGCTGGAGAGACGTCTGCCTTACCCCCTATTCACCTCTTCCGCCCTCACCCCCTTCAATCGATCGAACTGTTAATTTCGCAAGATGTCGTTGTACGCCGGCATCGATATCAAGGGTGGACCCCCGAGCTCTTCATCCGGCTCCGGCTCAGGAGCTACTGTAGGGACAGCATCCGGTGCATCGCCGTCGCAGAGTCCCCTTGATCCCAAGAACAACCCTTCGAGTCAGTAGAGTATGGCCTGCCTATTTTCAAGCTCAAGATGTGGTCCTGATCTTGAACCAAGCACCTGACAGGCTCCTCGACGGCTTCGACCTCCTCGTCGAACGGCCAATGGTCCGCCGCTCTACGGTTCGCCCCTGTACCACGAAAGAAGGCGCCTACGATAACGGCACCGAGTAGACCTCTGTATGCCTCCATATCCGCTTCCACACCGGCAGCTGCCATCACCAGTGTCGGTGCAGGCATAGGTGCCCCCACGTCAGCGAGCAAGATCCAACCCTATGCTCCCTCGGCTACGGCTACGGCTACGGCTTCGGCTTCGGCTTCGGCAGCTTCCGCCCCATCCCTCCCACCGCCCAAAGACGACCCCAGCTCCATCCGACCCCGTTCCCAAATCATCCGTCCCCCACCCATCACCCTCGACGAGAACGACGTCAACGGATTCGCCCAAACCGCTCAAGGCAAAAAGCTCGCCAAGAAAGCCGCTTACGCTTCGGGTGCTTTTGGAGGTTCTTCTTCGGGAGGTGGAGGGATGGGTATGGGAGCGAAGAAGCAGAAGGAGTTGGTGTTGTTTGGGGACGATGTTGTGTATGATCCGTTGAGACCATGCGATTATGTGAGTTGGAGTGAAGGAGATGGGGCTTCGTTCATTTCGGAGAAGAGAAAAATGATTACGCCGCTGACGCTTTGGGATGGGTGGCATCGATAGTCGGCCTACAAGGCCTACGTTCAGGGTCTACGCAAGCAACGTAGACAACAAAGGGAAGAAGAAGAGAGGGCTCGTCGGAGAGCTAGGTCCTATTCTGGGTCGAGCGACTATACTTCGTCCGAAGGGGAAGGAGAAGAGCAGGAAGACCGGGGCAGGTGAACTCACTGATCATACCTCGAAAGCGTCGAGCAGGCTTTGCTGACGTTTCTCTTGGACCTCCAAATCACTAGCCATCAAGAAAGCCCGCTTATTCGCCCCTCCCACATTCTACGACTCCGCCGATCCAACCCAAACCTCCTCACTCACCACCACCTCGACCCCCGCTCCAGCTCCAGCCCCCGAATTCGCCATGAAGCGCGAAGAAACGGGTGAAGAAGCCTACCTTCGTCGATTGGCTATGTCGAGTGGGGCCAACAAACCTCCTGTCGCTCCACCAGCGCCACCACGCGCAGCAGTGCCTGCACCACCCCCGCCACCTTCGACCTTCATCCCCTCTTTCGCACCTCCCCTTCCGTCATTCATACCTCAAACATACCCTGCGCCATCCGCAACGGACTCAACGACACTCCCCCCATCCGAACCTCCCAGGCCGTACAGCGCAAACGAATCAATTCAGGGCCGGGTAGACCCCTCAAGCGTCCAACTTTCGGAAGCGCAAATCAAAGCGAGGGAAATAGCGGAGAAATTGGGGAGATTAGCGAAGATGAATCCGGGGATGGGAGAGAGTGGAATTGGGGGTGATGGGATGGAAGCCACCGGCCCGAGTACGGGTACGGGTGCGGTACAGTCGATGGGGGATTACCAACCTGCTGAAGGCGCCTTGTAAGTTGATCGCGACCGAAAGGTCAGACAAGGAGCTCTCACTGATCTTTAACGTCTCCTTTCCTTCACATCAGTGATCCATCCCTCCCCTTTGCGCAACGCATGATGGCCAAATTTGGTTGGGAAAAGGGAAAAGGACTCGGTGCTACGGAATCAGGGATGACTTCTGCGTTATCCGTCTCCAAGAACCCTTTACCTACCAAGAAGAACGTCTCCAACCCTTCTGCCCCACCGAATTCATCGACCTCGACTATCGCCGCTCATTCGAACCGGATCATCGATCGTTCAAAGGAAGGTCGCAAAACTCAACTCGATCATCAATGGGGTGAACCTTCCCGCATCGTTCTGTTGACGAACCTCTGCACCGTTTCCGAACTGGACGACGACCTAACGAACGAAGTCGCCGAAGAAGCCGCCAAATTCGGCGTCGTCGAACGTTGTCTCTACCGTATCATCAAGAGTCCAGAAGGTGGGCAGGAGGAGGTTAGGGTGTTCTTGGTGATGAGTGGTCTTGCGGGCGGTTATAATGGGTGTAGGACTTTTGATGGGAGGTTCTTTGGTGGGAAGACGGTTAGGGCGAGGTATTATGATGAGAAGGCGTTCGAGAGGGGGGAGTGGGGGCTTTGACTGGGCTTTCGAGGTGCTTTGAAGAATGCGTTGCTTGTCATTCGCGGGGACTTGCATAATTACGAGGACATGTTCGTGCGTGTATTCTATTGACATGCTCAGCAACATACAATTAACTGAGCGCAAACGAACACAAGGCGAAAACTGTGACAAGTGGATCATGGTTTTCCCTCTTGGTGCGGAAATGATACACAACAAAATTGAAGAAGAAGGAGAAGGAGAAGAGAACGAGCAGTGGGACAAGCTTGGAGGAACTGGGCGTTAATTTTCAAACATCGATGAGGGCGATCATGGACCAGGCGTAGATGGGGGTCATGAGGTTGTCATTTTGGTTCGAGTGGGCTTCCAACAAGCCTGTGAGGAGGATGGCGACGGAGTAACGACCGAGCTGATGAACGATGGGAACGAGTCAGCGGTCCGTCTCCCCCATCGAAGCAAGCCCAACGGCCGAACTCACATCAAACCCCTCCACCAACCCAAAGAGGCGCAGCATCCAAGCACTAAAGATGACCGAAACGACAAACGCGACCGTCCCTTCGACAGTCTTACCTCCCATCCCAGGCCACCTGGCCCTCCCTATAACCTTCCCCACAATTGACGCCATCGCATCCCCAATGCCAAGGATCAATACACCCGTATATCGATTGATCCCATGCCCCTCTAACCATACTCCACCTGCGCAACCCGTCAATAGGTAGAAATGACTGAGGATGACGGGTCCGCTGTCCTTGGAGTCGACGAATTCGGAGAAGAAAATGTGTAGGGGTGCACCGATGGGGTAGACGGCGAAGAAACGCGCGTACTCGCAGAAGGTGAAGAGCGCGAAAGCGACGGAGAAGGCGAGGGAGGTAAAGCCGGGCTAAGGGAGGGGTAGAAAGCGGTGATTAGAAACGCCACCGTGATGACGCTGATAAGTGGGCAGACTCACATCGATCGCAATCCCAGGAATCAACATGAGCACCGCCAAAGCATGAAAAAACTTGCGTCGCATATTAAGACTCGCATGAACGCGCTTCTCCTCTCGAGCCGATTCAACCCCGACCTTGACTTCGGATCCATCCCTTTCGGCCGTTAGAGCGACTTTCTTCTTGTCCGAGATGGCGGTGGTCGGGACTGCATTCCCCCGCATCCGAATCCGACGCGAGCGTACAAGTCGGGTTTGCCATCCTCCAACGGCGATGATGATCGTTGCACCCCAATACGCGACCAGTCCGATGCGACGCCATCGAGTCGCCCTCATCGCTCCGGGTATCCGAACTCGTACACCATCGCCGCCGTACAGGACGTAGCGCAGCGCCCATGTCCACGGCCTCATGAGGTTCCCTCCTAGAATCCAAGCTGTCCATCCCCCAAGCATGCAGAAAACGATTCCGAGCAGGCCGAGGAAGACCCCGGCGGCGAGCAGTCTGCGGTGTCGTTCTCGCTCGGCAGGCCACTAAGAGAACGTTCCGAGAAGCAAAACATCAGCCCAGGCCAGCCAAAGCGTACGAGAGGGCAACTCACGCGTAATCGATGGCTCGGCTTTGAGGCGATATGTCGACTGATGACGAGCAAAGGCGATAGCAGGAAGCCGGACAGGAAAGCGCCAGGAATGAGAACGGCCTGGAACGCGACGATGGGTGTTGGCGAGCGGAACGTGGGTGGAACCATCGGCCAGCCTCGTTTGTAATACCACTGGAATGATAGACGTAACAATGAGCCAATCTAGGATGTCGATCAAGCGGAAGCGCCAACTACTCACCCTGGCACGCGTGAGCCTCCAAAACTCCAAACTAAGCGCATTCCCCGCCGTCGTCATGAGGTGCAATTCGCCCAAGGTGAACCCACGTCGAGCCAATCGAGACACGAGATACCACGATGTCTGCTGGATGAAGGTTGTCGCGGCAACCTCGAGTGGGGAAATAGAGAGACCATCTGTAGGTCCCCGCAAGTTCAATCAATCAGCACGAGGACTCTCAGCCGAGTGATTCGCAACCTGCGCGGCCTACCTTTGCTGGCCCATTGCCATGTCCCGAGAGTCGAGTACAGCGTGACGCTGATCAAAGTGGCCAGTGACACAGACCCGAAAAATCGCTTTGCGTTTCCCAATGGCAGTCGATCGACGTGCAGCACCGTCATAGAAAGGAAAAGGTGAAGAACGAGGACCGCGGCGTTGATCATCGTGAAGATGACCAAGTCGTGGCGAGCTTTCAACAGAGTGCTCGTCGTGAGCGCAAAGTTGGACAATGTACTTGGCTTGAAGTCGACAACATGGTTGTGTTTGGCCTTGATCCCACTCGCTTCCCAAATCTCAACCAAGGGGCTGATCCCACCCAGCGCCATTTTCGTGGGATCCTTGTTCGCATTCGAATAGGTGTCCCAAAAGCATGCGCAGCCGAGCAGTATCGGCAGCACGAGACCGGCGGTCACTCCGTCGTCGGCGGCTTGAAGATCCCGGTAGCCTCGTTCGTCAGTGAACGCCACCTTGTAGTAGCTCGATGCGCGGCGGAAAAGGGCGAAAAAGGGGACCGCGGCGGCGATGCCGAGCAGCGAGACCAGGGGCAATCGAGGCACGTGAGGGGTCGCGGTCGTGGGGGTTGCCGAATACAGTCGATACACCGCGAAGAGTAGCGCGACAACAAGAAGAATGACTTCGGGTATGAGTGCGGTCCGTATTTGGTACATCGCAAAGGGGTTGTAGGTCGAGTGAATCGAGTCGAGCGTCAGAGGGGGCGTCGACTCGCCCGAGTCGATATCGGCTGGTGCACGCGACGACTTGCGACCCGGTTTCGACAGTGGGGTAGGACGACCCGATCGATTCGACATGACGGGTGAGGTGGCCCTCCTCTTTGCACTGGCGGCAGCCGAGTCGAGCGAGTCGAGCAGAGCGTTCCCCCACAAGCTCCCCTGTCCGGCGTGGTGCGAGGTCGGCGCTTTGCGCTCGATGAGGACATGCTCTCCTCGCCCCCCTTCTCCGGCTGCGATGAAATGGGACGGCGCCGTTCTCCTCTTGCGTCGGCCGGTCGAATCGGACGAAGGGTGGTTGAGTGCTGCCGAAGCTGCTGCGGGCAGGGCCGACATGCCCGGGTCGAGTTCGGATTGGAGCAGCGAGGCCGAGGAAGTGGCGAAGGCCGAGTGATGAGCCTCGGCCGTTCTCTCGAGCAGAGCCGCGCCTCGTCGCAGTTGGAACCCCAGTACGTGATCTTGATTTGCATCACTGTCCTCGTAGGCCGTGTCTGTCGCCGAGATGTCATCGTCATCGTCATCATCGTCGTCGTCGTCGTGGTGCGATTGCGAGTCAGAGTCGATCCCTCCATCGTCGGCCGCTTCGTTGTGAGTCTCGGACGCGCTCGTGAGTGCATCGTCGCGGGAAAGCATCGGCCTACTATGCCTTGATGTGGTGGCTGATCCAAAAGAGGGTCGCGGTGCGCGATGCCTCGGGTGAGGCGACGAGGTGTGGATCGGAGTCAGCGTCAGACGCGACACCTTCGGCGAGCCGGGAGGCGACGATGACGGCGTCGATAGTTGCGACGCCATTGCACCTGATCAGCGACGCCGGCACAGCCAATGTCGCGGGAAGTGGATGAGCGTGCCCTTTCTGCTCTGCCTCAGCCCCCCAGTGCGTGATCAGGGTAAGGCGACTGCAGCCTGACTGCTCGGATGAGGTCAGGAAACCGAGCTCGGCCGGCTCGATCAATCGGCAGCCCACGTAAGGCGCGTGCGTGCAAGCAAGCCACACTGCAAGCAAGCCCGTGCGTCCCGCCAGCCGGCCGGGGCTCGGGCTGAAAATTACTCCCAGTGACTGAAGCTTCGTTAGATCCTTCCCACTACTCGAGCGCATCTGCGTAGGCAAAGTCCATCAAACCCGATCCGAAAAATATCCCGAGGGTGATCATGTTGCAAGTGATCTCCGTGCGATGTATATCCCCCCAAAACCAGTGCTCCGCGGCTCGGCTTTCCCGAGTGAGCTTCGGCCTTCGGGCATTGCTAATTGAAAGATCGATCGTGGAGCGAGCGCACTAGCCTGCACTGTCAGGGCGCAGTTTATAGCCTTGCAGCCGGATGCAGGCGGCAGCGTAGGGCCTCGTTTGCCAAATATAGCTGACGAGGCGACCTCGTCTTAACTAGGCTTCCTCCGCTCCACTCCGTCTCGCCAGCACTAGCCCGTCGTACACAGTCCATGGACGCGAGATAGATCGATCCCCTTAGGAACCAGTCACAGGATGGACGGCATCATGACGAGCAGCCCTGGTGCCTCCTCCCACGCCTCAGCTTCAGCCTCCACGACGACGACGACAGGCAGCAGCAGCAGCAGCAGCGGCACGGGTCTCACGACCTCGCACGACAAGGCTAGTTCGAGCGGTGGCACAAAGTCGTCCAAGCCGGTCAGGACACCTCGCGTCAGCAGAGCATGTCAGTCCACACCTCGTGGGATAGATTGTGGCATTCTTGCCCCGTGACGTTACACGACATCATGGCACTGACCCGCTTCCACTCTCCCCTCCCCCACGTTCGCCGACGCGCCGGGCCTAATCAAACCCCTCCTCTCCTCTCGACACCGGCAAATCCCCGGGTCGTCGTCATCCAGGCGATGCATGCCGCAAGAAGAAGTTGCGCTGCGACGGAGTAGCCAAAATTGGCGATTCATGCGCGTCCTGCATTCAGAATGGCACCTTGTGCGAGTTCAGTGTCAGTAGACCTGACCCTTGTCTTTGTCGGAAACCTAATTTGGGCGAGCCTTCCTAGGGGCTAACCGACCCCAAGCATTGTGCCTCCAGGATCTTCTCGGTCGCAAATCCCTTTCCAAGGGCCACATCGAGTTGTTGGAACGCCGACTGACAGCGCTCGAGTCAGTCCCTGGCTCAGCTCGTGCCCACGGACCCTGGCCCCGCTTCCTCCATCGGAGCTGACTCTGTCTTCGAATCACACACACCCAGGGGGGTTTTACATCTACTGGAACCGAGCGAGTATTCGAACAGCTTCATCCACCGTGATGCTTCACCTTCCGCCTCGGGTAGAGCGACCGCCGGTCTGCCGCCATCCGACTCGACAGCAGCCAATGTGGTCGACACCTCAATCGAGGCCATCGCCGATGGGCTGGACGATATCTCACTCGATTCGGTCCGTAACCTTGCATCTTGCCGGTTGCCGCAATACGAGGTCAGGGCTGACGTTGGCGCGGGATAATTGACGATCACAGGATCGATACATAGGAAGAGGGAGCGGTTTCCAGCTCGCGCAGTCGATCGAGTACAGTAAGACCCCCATGGTTTCGTCGATGGTCCGATTCGAAGCCAGCTTCGGTATCTGACTGTGTCTTGCATCGATCTGTCGCAGTGAGCGCAACGCCGGGTCCCACCTTGATCGGTCGAGCGAATCCGTCCCATGTCGAGGTCCTGCTTCGGAGAAGTGAGTCTCCGACGGGTCCCCTAGCTGCTCCGGAAACAAGCAAAGCTAACGGACTAGATCGTTTTGAAACCCCACAGAAGACAAACAGCGCAGCGTAGTGTACCCTCTGCCTCCGCCAGACCTAGCGCAGCGACTCATCGACGCCTATTTCCTCCACCACAACACCGTCCCCTGTCTGTTGCATCGAGGCTACTTTGAGCGCAAGATCCTCGACGGCTCTCTTGATACACAACCTTCGTTCAGAAGTCTTTGTGAGTTCGGCCGTCACGAAGATCGGCCAGCTGAGACTTTGATGCTAAGAATTGTCGAATCTTCCAGACTTCATGGTGTGCGCATTAGGGGCACGGGTTGTCATCGACCCCCGACTACCTGGGGTCACCTCTCCATCTTACCCCGACGGTGCAGCTTATGCTCGCGGTTACGAGTTTTACAAAGCCTCCGTAGGATCGGCCCCATCAACACTCGGCAGCGCATCGCTCGAGGATCTGCAAACCTCTGTCTTGACCTCGATCTGGTACATGGGCTCAACATCCCCCATCTCGGCCTGGGCGTGTGTTGGATTCACGTTGCGGCGAGCGATCGATGTCGGGTGCCACCGCGAACGCCGGCGTTTGTGGAACCAACGTCCGATGATTGATCAGTTGCGGAAACGAGCCTTTCACGAATTGGTCGGCATCGACCGTCTCGTCAGCACCGTACTCGGCAGACCACTCGCGATCCACAATGAAAACTTTGACGTCGAGCGACCGATGGATATCAGTGACGCGGATTTGGACCTCTGGGAGGCTAGTGGGATCCCACCGATTGGGAACGTACATCCGCAACCTGCTGGCGGGGCACGGTGCTTGATGGGTTTGTATAGCATCATGGATTATGTTAGTTTGTTGATCAATGCGAGTGCACAGGAACCACGGGATCAGAAGGCCGTACAGATGGTTTCGAGGCTGGATTCGATGCTCAACGAATGTGAGTTTCAGGTTCTTGATCACTCCGAATCGATGTCTCACAGCTGACTGTGGATCTCTCTTGCTTCTCACTCAGGGCTCGACACGGTGCCTGATCACTTGCGCTGGGATGCCGACCAACCGAACGATGCATGCCTGCTGCAGTCCGGCGCAATCTGTAAGTCACTCTGCAGGCTCCTGGTCATCTGCCAACTTCCTAATAATACCTGATATCACTCTCCGGTATAGTCTGCTGGTATTACTCATGCCAGATTATCGTCCATCGCGAGTTCATCCCCTCAAAGCGCGCTCAAGCATCCGAGTTTCCGAGTCTGGCGATCGTCGCGAATGCGGCTCGATCGCTGGCCAATGTCGCTGATGCTCTGAGGCAGAGAGGCTTGCTGGAGAGTGTGTTCTGGTTTGCTCCGTTACAGGTCAGTGCGGGACCGCTTCGCGCTTGTTGGTCTTTGAATTCTCGCCGAACTGACGCCAATTTGTGTTCTGTACCCACACGCTGAAACTGCTCTTTAGGTCACGAACGCGTAAGCGCTGATCTTGAGACAGCTGTTTCGATGTATGTACTGACGTCAAAATTCGCAACCCTCTCAGCGCCCTCATTCTCTTGATCAACGTCTTTGGCTCCGCTACACCGACGCCCCTGACATCGTCGGCCATGCGCGACGTTAACCGAACTGTGAATGTTCTCGAAGCTATGAGCGACGGGTCAGTTTGCCTGTTGCGTACCGCTTCCGGGCAAGGGCTGAGACAATAGGCGATCACTCTTTCACAGCTGCTTCTTGTCCCAAAAATGTACCAAGGGGGTCCGGAAGTTGTGCACGCTTGTCATTCGCATGGGATCAAAGGTCGAGAAGGGATCGAGCGGGCTTAAGCGATCGAATCCTTCCGACTTCGATTCCGAGTCGCCGTCTTCGCACCACTCAGGCGCTCCTTCTCCTAATACGGATGATGGCGACGCACCTTCCCGGCCCAATCCCGCTGGCGGAGCCACACTGCCGAAGAAGAGTCGAGGGGATATCCCATCTAGACCTGTGCTACCAACCAAGACAAGCGAATTGAGTATCCCCACGTTCAACGGCAGAAGAACGTTTGCTGGAACAAAGCCAGCGCCCGGTTCGACACCAAACTTGGCCTCCATACCTTCCACTACAGCTCCTGCTCCTGCTTCGTCGATGTGGCCCGACCCAGCGATGGGTTTCGATCTCGGCACTCTAGCGGGCTTTGGACTCCCCGAGCCCAACCAAGCGTTCCTCGCTTCCGCGAATCAAAGGCCCGTCTTCCAAGCATTGGGAGATGTCGGAGGTAGTCCCAACATCGGTACAACAACCGATGCGGTCCCAACTTCAACGATTGGCGTGGACCCCTCCTTCTGGCAGGGGGAGTTCGGTTCCGCGCTTCCGAACGTAGAAGTCGAATCGCTTGCGCAGGCGCATGCTTCGCTTCTCGCTAGCTTTGGAGGGGAGGCCTCGTCGTGGGATACATCGTTCCCCATGTCGTGGAATCTTTCTTCGGCGGGCGAAGCGGATCCGACGGTTGGTATGACGTCGACACCGGATTGGTTCACTCAGGCGGGTGAGAATGGGACGTGGCCGCCTTCGTATACGTAGTAGTATTGATGAGGTGGTAGGCTTGGATTCGGTCTGGTGTGGTCCATTTAGTCGGGGTTTTTTTTTCTTCATTTTCTTGACTTGGTGGTGGTCGGTTGTGCAGTGCGCAATGCCTGGTGTTTTTCTCTGCAATTGGTTGCAATCCTAATTGAATATAAGAGGATGTTACAGTCAAGCTGTCCAAAGGGTTGTGAGGGGAGGACTCGGAGTGATGCGGGACCGGGATCCGCCCAATTCGCTCTGGTCACCAATCTCGGATTGAGGTCTATTGTACTGAGACATTCGCCCGTGACAGCCCATCGGTAATCTACTCATACTGACGAAGAAGCTAGCCGTGCTCGGATCGTCGATGATGCTCTATGAATGACATTGTAGGGAGCTCAAGGAGAGCGTGCACGGCCCTTTTTTCCAAGCGGGTATTCACATTTCCCGTGACCGCGTCGCCACCCCCATTGTTCTTCATCCGCGTTCAAAGTCCTTCGAGAAACGCCAAAGCTCGTCATATTGTTGAGGTTTTAGTTCATTATTATTTTGCTTCGCCGTATTCATGGTACTCCGTTCACATCTCCTCGAGTCGAGAAACGATACATCGGTTCGAACGATCCTCCCGGCATCCCCAAGTGACGTCGACGGACATCTGCGCAGCTCTCTCTTCCAAGACCTCCTGCGCTCGCCTGCCATCACCGAACGAGCTTCGGCAGATATATGAAGAAAAAGGACAATGCACCGAGCTCGATTGGGATCCCCTCTTTTTCTAGGTCAAGCATGGCGTACCGTCGTTCATCCACAAGGTGAAACAAACCTCGACCTCTCCCCGGAACCTATGGCACGACCCGATATGCGGATCCCCACCTGGACGACACCGTCGCTAGTATCGAGCAGTCCCACGGGGTCCGATTCCAGCGCGTCATTGTCCACCGACTGGTCGAAAACACCACCCGTCTCCTGTTCTACGACTTGCCACCCGACTCCACTTTCGACTCGCCGAAAATTGCGGGGGTTTTACCCTCATTCAGCCTTAGAGACTACTCTCCGCGAGACCTACGATCCCACTGCGGACAGCTACCCCGAATCTCGGTACGCTTTTTATGGCCCCGAATCGACATCGAGTCTCTGGGGGGATTCACCGAGGACGAGGGGCTTCGCGTTGAAGAGACGATCGGGGACGAGGTCTTTGCTTGGATGTGCTCTGATTGTTTTTGGGGCGAGTTGGTTCGCTGTGGTTATGTTTCAGAGGGAGTGTCGCGGGAGGGAATTGGTGAGCAGGGAAAAGCTCTCGTCGTTGGTCTTGGTCGAAAAAGAAGCACAAGTCCTACCCGTTGAGCCGAGTTCAACATCTGGTGTTGCTGGTACCTCTGAGCCGAGGAAGAAGAGGACGAAGCGCCACTCCGCATCCGACCGGTACGGAGTCGATTGGTCGAACAAGATCCCATCATACTCAGATTCCCCGACGACGACATGGAAGACGATGGCACCTACGTCCGCTTTTAGTACTTTCGTTCACCTTCGCCACATCGTTTCCAGCCGCATCGCAGCTTATCCCAGCTGCAACCCACCTAGTCTTTTGTGCATTGTAGACTTTTTGTTTACCAGATACCCCAAAATTTTGATGAGCCTGACATTTGTTTCAGTTGCAACGCAAACTCACTTCCCCCTCGAGAAGCAACAAATCACGATGGGAATACAACTGCATCTCGAAATCAGATACACATAAACCAAAGAAACACAAAACAAAATCTCGAAAAAGGGGCGATTCGGTATCAAGAGGGCGAGAAAAAAAGGAAAAAAAGGAGAAAAAAAGGCGAGACTCCTACAAACGAAACTAAACGCTTACTATAACCATCACAGTCGTGTTTACACACAGGCCTTCGTTCCGTTCCTTTCATTCATTCGGTGTTCGTCCCCCAAGCCCGCATGACATCATCCTTGATCTCGACGGTGAGGAAAGGATGCTTGAGCGCGTCCTTGACCTCTATCCGGTGCGCGGGATCCCATTGCAGGAGTTGGCGGAGGAGGTCGATGAATTCGACTAAAGGGGCTTTATTGGTCGCCACGTCGTCGTAGGCGTAGGCGCACGCGTCCTTGACCGTTCGCTGTGCATTAGGTCGTGTACGAGACCTTGAATTAGCACTTCCCGAACGCACCTCGCAACAGCGCACAAAGACCCACCTCGAGTGACCTCATGCCTTCGACGAATCTCTTGCTCTGTTTCGCCGTCGCAGCGGTCGGGAAGTTGACTCGGTACGTGCCTCGTGATGCACCGCTGGCCTCGACCAACCAGTTAGAGACATCGGGGGCGACCTTGTTCTTCTCCCGCGAGCTTTGCATGTTCTTCTTCTCTTTACTGTGAGATAGAAAGCAAAGTTCTTATCAGTACCAGAAATCTGCGGAAAGTTGAAGGAGTAACGGGACGCACTTGAGAGCCGACACAGCCAAAGCCGGTGGCATCTTGCCAAAGACGCGTTCCATCATGGCGAGGTGTTCGAGGTTCTCGTGTGTTTGGAACAGCGCCTCGCCAGTGACGAACTCGACCAAAATGCATCCAATGGACCAAACGTCGCAGGGGAACGACCAGTCCAGACCTAAGGACGCACCGTGCGGTTCATCAAGTCAGTACCGTCTCGCAACGAGCTTGAGCACTTGGCTCAAACACCCGTCCAAGGACGTACCCAAAATGATCTCGGGTGCACGGTAATGCCGTGTTGAAACAACCGTGGCATGGTACTCCGTCTGCTTGGTCGCGCTCCCAAAGTCGATTAGCCGGATTTTGGAGTTCTTGAGGATCCGTCTTGTCTTGTGCTTGGGCTGAGAGCGATGATGTCCTCACGCGAAATCAGTCGCCAATTCGGATGCCAGACAATCGATCCGACAGCAAAGCTCACATTAAAAGGGTTGTCGATGCATTTAGCCGCCCGTTCCTCGAGCAAGATGTTCTCCGGCTTGAGGTCGGTGTGGATGAAATGCTCTTTGTGCACATCTGCACACACGAACCGAAGTGAGATCAGCCGTCAAATCCGCCAAAGTCTCAGAAACTAAACCACAACTCACAGTCTACACTCTTGAGGAGTTGCCGCGCAAAAGACTGCACATGGCTGAAAGGGAACGGTGCGTAGCCGTTGTCCTTGAGAAAGTCGAATACGGAAACGGACAACAGTTCGGAGACGATGCAGGTATGGTCACGGAAGTCGAACGAGGATAGCATATGAATACATTGGCTGTTGTATGCGGCGTCAGCACTATAATGGAATAAGACAAGAAAGGCGTTCGGGGTACGCACTGTTGATTGTGCGGATCACTGAACGCTAACCGCTTGAGCACGTTGATCTCGACTTTGGCAGCTTCTCGATATTTTGGGATCGCTCGACTGTGTAGATGAATTCAAGGTTGATCGTCAGTACGAGCCCCCAAGAAACGATCGCATCGAAAAAGCAGATCTACGATACTGACATGACTTTGACGGCGACCATCTCGTTCGTGGCCGAGCTTTTGGCAGCAACGACTTTGCCAAATGTTCCTTGGCCCAGTGACCGGTCGATCGTGTCTGTGAGGAGAAGGGAAGGACCACGTCAGAGCGTATCGCGACAAAGCGTGTGCGTCGCACCGTGCACCTCTGTACTCACAAGACACCTGCGTGTGTGCATCGATGATTTTATTCCCCGGTACAATAATGAAATGCCCGTCCTTGTCCGCAGTCGGCTGTACGGGCGTAGGGAAAAGTTGAGTAAACCAAGCATGAACTCAAGGCCGGACAACAAGAAACGAACCTCTGTGACTTCATCGAGCTTGCGTTTCCTGGAGACAGAGGAGGAAAGTGCATTCTTCGATGACGTCGTCGGGGCGCCCGGCGGCGGGGGTTGTTTGTACCGCGGTGCGGCTGCTGTCCTAGACGAGCTCGTCGTCGTTGTTGTTGTCGTGCCCGGAGCGAGGTTGTGGGGGGGTGCACGGGCGGCATAGTCATGCTGGTGGTCGTCGACGTAGGCGCCAAGTTCATTGTTCCGTCGTCGCTTGTTGGTCGTTCCCGCGCCAACGCCGTTGGCGTTTGGTTTGATGTCGTTCGAGTAGTAGGTGGCGTTCGTGGAGCTGGAGCCTAGCCCTTGTGCCGGTGGTGGGTGGGGGTACAAGTAGGCCGGATTGGAGGAAGAAGGCGTAGGCGCGTGGGAATAGTTCGCGGTGCCATTGCCGTTGCCGTTGTGGCGTGAAGTCGATGGCACGGGTTCGGGCGTATCCTCGATCGTCAACACCTCGCGTTCTACTCCATCGACGTGGTAGCGGTCGACGCGATACTCGACATGCGTCGAGGCCGAAGTCGTCGGCGGTGGCGGCGGTCTCCGCGAGTTGATCATCGTCGTCGTCGTCGCCGTCGTCGTGGACGAGTTCGAGCTCTTTGGGGGCAAGGGCGGGGTTGCTATGACCAAGGACGAGGTCGAGGCCGGCGCCTGTTGGTTGTAGAGTAACCAGGCTTCTTCGAACTCGTCCGAGGGAGCCTTGGACTTGTTGGACGGGTGCTGGGGCTGACTACTGCCGGTGAGACTGCTCAGACTGGTGCCGGTGGTGCGGTTGCCGGTGCTGGTGCTGGTGCTGCTGCTGCTACCGCTGCCGAGCTGCTGCGCCTGGGAGCGCGTGTACGAAGAAGGTGTAGTGGCGGAAGGCGTCGAAACGGTCAAAGCAGAAGCTCGTTTGGTCGTGACTCTGGTCGACATGCGCGAAGGCAGATGCATGTGCTCAGTTCAGCGATGCTTGCTTGCTTCGAGGTGCTCGTGAGCCCGCCTGGCAGCGCCTGTGGCTGGCCTTGTACGACCCGCTTCGATTCCGGGCGTCTCGGCAGAGCTCGACTACAATACGATCGACGCCCCTCACTGCAGCCAAGTTCCCCACGTGCGTCGTAACGTCAGCACAGGGCCGAGTTCGAGCCGAGGCGGGAAAGAGTCAAACAAGCTCGAGCGTGCACGAAAAAAAAGGTCGAGTTCGGTGCAAAGGGTCGCTGCAGTGCGTTGGAGCGTCGTAAGCCAAGGGTTGGCATCGAGCAGCGCCCGCCCGCCCGCCCGCCCGAACAGCGCTCATGCACGCCTATGCACGCATCGTCATCAGCCGGGCGCAGCCGCAGCTCGGCGCAATCCGCCCCGTCGAGTCCCCGAAAGGCGTTGCACTAGCAAATCGAAAGTGTTTTACATGAAGCAAAATCAAAGCTCTAGTCTATGGAGAAATCTATACCAAAGCCATCCGGCGAGGTCCCAAGTACTCCTCCTCGCGCGGCCGCAATTTTCCCCCAAGGCGATAGACCAAACTTCCTCCAACTCTCGATCCCCGATTCCAACAACTTCTTGGTCATCCCATTCTGAACCAACACGAAAGTGACCCCGAGTTTGGTCACTTCTCGATTCCGCGACTCGTCTATCAAGCAAAGGGTCCACCAAAGGCAAAATGAGTCAGCCAAACAGAGGAGAGGGGCTTCAAGGAGAGAGGAGCTCCTCTAGAGGTCGTACCGTCGTAAAAGACCTAAAGAAGGCATGTTGAAAGCTCGTATTAGCCTCCAATTCCTTTGTAGCTTCTCGGTAGTCTGGTACCCAACCCACCATCTCGTTGTAAGGGATACCAGTCTTTTCGTGAATAGCCTTAAAGTGAGCGATTTTCGACCCTGCGTAAGAAACGTGCACCGAGGTCAGCAAGTCGTGTTCTACCCGACTCGATAAAGATAAACACCCATCTGACCTGGATATATCTCCATTGTATCTGCACGACCCAAAAAGCAGCGGTTCAAAGACCTTCAGCAAAGCGTACAACCAAACGCCGAGTCTCCCTTCAACACCTCAGCCTGAAGGCCCGAACGTACCGAATAATCTAATCGAACTAATGAGCTGCGGTTCAGCCGCCTTGGGGGCTCTATAAGCCGGATCATCGACGACCGAGTTGAGCTCGCCCGGGACCAGTAACTCGGTGAGGGCTTGTCGAGCTCTGATACGCGATACGGGGTTCGGCGATGGAGGCGCGGTAAGTGAAGATCCTCGCTCCGAGGATCCCGGCAGGAAAGGGAGGCTGCTACTCACGCTCTTGGTGCGGACGTTCTTGAAGCAGCGGCAATGTGGATCCTACCCTTGTGTAGTTGCAGTAGGATTGAAGGCACTGTTTCAAGAAAGCAGCACCTAGCCTAAGCCCCTGTGAGTTGTGCCTCAGCAGAAAACCCTGCGCAAGGTGCTCACCTTCGGAATAAAAGCCGATCCGTTCGCCATGCTTATCATAAATCAAATTACTGTGAGATCCCCGTAAGCGGATCGAGTGAGCGAAGCCTGAATGGACAAAGCCACATCCCAGCCGACGGATCGACATCGGTCCGAAACCGAATCCTCCGAGCGCCTGAGCGATATCCGAAAACTCACACGTCCGAATCATTCCTCCTTTTCAAAGGTGGCGTCACGTGTGTGTCGACCCAGAACTGCTCGAGGAAGGAAACGAGGACATCAGCTAGACTTCCTACACGCACATCGCAGCTCTCAAAGCTACTTCTCCCCCTAAAGTCCGAAAGCTGAGCCCAATTTCTGGATGGCAGGTGAAGAAGCACTCACATCCCACAACGTATAATCCAAATCGAACGCAATCAATTTAGGTAACCTCCCATCCAGAGGTAAGACCGGTGAAGAATCGACGGGTGCCATGCTCCGAGGCTCGATCGTGAGGGAGTCGAGCGAAGCGAGCTGATGACGTCGTCGTCCACGAGCTGACGAGCGTGGTGTAGGTGGAGGTATAGGAACGGATATGGAGTCGATAGCCAGTGGCTAGACTTTGCTGAACGTTGAAGCAGTTGCCCCAGAACTCTTGTGCCCAATCGAGAGTTCAACGAGTGCTATCAGAAGCGGAGGGCCTTCTGTGGGGCGAAGGCCAAAGGACCTCGATCTCGCTTCGCAAGGCGCATTGACTCTCGGCAAGAAAAGGAGCTACGCTCACCGGCGTTCAGAAGGCGTTCGCATTTAGGAACTAGTACATTTTCAAAATCAAAGAATGGCAAACCCAAAACAACTGTTCACGCATAGTTCTTTTCCGCAAGACAAGGGCAAATCTAGAGACCGCCACAATCTTTAGACCAAGACCCCCTCTACTCCTCCATATCATCATCGTCATCATCATCATCGTCCTCATCCGAGTCCTCCGCTTCGGCAACTTGCAACGTCGGAATGTCGTGTTCTTGATCGGCACCGAGGTGCGAGTCCGAGACGAAGTAGAGCTTGAGGTCGTGAGAGCCTTGCGGTAAGGTGAAGTCTAGCTTGACGCTCAGGTCGCGTTGGACGGTCACCTTCTTGATCGAGAGCAATCTGTAGAGCCACAAGGGGTCAGAGTCAGTTCGAGTCTCTTGGAAAGGGAGATTATAGACAGCAAAACTCACTGCTTCGTCTTGGGTTCTCCAACCACCAACCACCAATTCTCAATCTTGGACACCGGGAAGAACGGTGCAGGGACCTTCTGATCGACCTCGTCACCCTCATCGACCTCCCTCTCCAGGTTCACAACAAGCGTAATCGACGATCCAGCCGAAAGCTCGTCCTTGTCCTGCACCTCATGCGAAAGTTCGATCGAGGGATAAGCGTTGCACACCTTGGCGACTTTGCGCATTTGTCGCGCGTCGAATCGCAGTAACTCGTCGCGTTGCTCGTCCTCGAGTTCCATGATGTCGTACACCGATCGGACGTCGGCCTTGGAGCAGCGGTCGATGACTTCTTTGGTGAAGCCTGGGATCTGCTTGAGCGGCGAGTCCGAGTCCCACATGCCTTGCACGCACATCTGCGACAACTCCATCGCACCGAGCGCATTGAGGTAGGCGTTCGAGGACATGACATCGACGCAAGCCGACAACAAGCTGTGGTAGGAGACAGAAGAAAGTAAGATAAAAGTCGGACAAGGATCAGAAATGCAACAGGTCACTCACTTGAGGACTCGGGTGAGGATGACGGTCTGATCGGCCGCCAGATCGGCGGGCAGGCTGAGGCGCGCAAAGTGCGCCTGCAAAAGCACGTTCGTCTTGAAGTGAGGTGAATCATAATCGACATTCGCCAACTTGACCGGTACTCGATCATAGACCTTGCGCAAGAAGACGTCCTCGTGGTGCCGAATCGGGATGTTTTCAAACTCGGACGCGGACGAGACGATCTCGAGCAAGCCCTTGAGCTTGGTCTTGTCCGTCAACGACATGGAGAAGATGTCGACGGTCACGTACGAGATGTTGTAGTACGCCGCGATCATGCCCAAGTTGAGCGCCGAGGTGTCCATCTCGTCCTCAATCGTGATCGCCTTCGAGTTTTGCAGATCCGTCAAGGTCGATTCGACGAGCTCGGACAGGTGGTCACTCAGGTGACGGTGGGTCGTGCCTTGCATGTTGTAGTAGTTGGCGTTGGCGACGAGACGACGGTACATCCAAGTCCAGGTGAGCCAATCGACGGCGTCTTGCTTGTTCTCGATCGTCTTGGTCACGATCTCGGCGTTGAAGTGGTCGTGCAACGACAGGTGCAAGTGCGACTCGATCGGCAAGCCTTCGTTGAGGAACTTTTTGAAAAAGTCCTTGCGCACTTGCTGGCACATGAGCACGCATCGACTCGACGCGTCGTGCGTCGGTCGGCACGCGCGGCCCATCATCTGCAAAACATCGGTGAGCGGGTAGTCGATGTATCGATGCTCCTTGCCTTCAAACGCCTGCACGCCCATGATGACGACCATATAGGCAGTCAAGGGGATGCTCCATGCGGTGTCCTTGGAAGCGACAACGACCTGGATCGCACCTGACGAGAAGAGGTGCTCGACGATACGCTTGTCCTGTTTCGACAAGGCCTCGTGGTAGAAACCGATACCATGTTCGAGCGTGGCCTTGAGCTCCGAATCGGTTACGTGCGCCAAATGGGGTGCGAGCTCCCCGGCATCGATGTTGAGGAAGCGCGACTCCTCTTGGTCCGCAAGGCAGTACGTCAAGATGTCGTCGGCCGATAATCGGCACTGCTTTCGCGACGGCACGAAGCAAAGCACGGGTCGGTCCTGCGCATACTCGACAACGGCGAGGTACGCTGGCTTGGCCATCTGGATCATCAAGGACGGGAAGTGCGGCACGTTGAAGGACTGGATGTGCACCTCCATCGGCAGAGGTCGAGCCCCGGGAGAGAAGTTGAAGATGGTCTGCGACGTTGCGCCCATCCATTCACCGACGTCACGAGCGTTCGCGAGCGAGACACCGAACGCGACGATACGGGTTGGGTTCTCGGTCTGCTTTTGCACGTAGCGCGTTCGCGAGACGATGACCTCGTACGTCGGGCCGATCTCGCCACCGACCAGTTGGATCTCGTCGGCGATCAGGAGACCGATCGTTTGAACGTTCTTGCGCTGCTTCCATCGGCGCGAGATGAGGTCCCATTGACTGGGTGTGCAGACGATGACATCGCCCTTCTCGAGTAACCGGATGTCGGCCGAGGTCTCACCCGTGAGCGCGACGATCTCCTTCCCGCCTTGCACGTCACCAAACTTGGCCTTCCACTCCGCGACACGCATGTCAACGACATCTTGGAATGGTTCGATGCAGATCGCTCGCGTTGCCTTGGGCTGGGACCACAAACGCAAGAGCGCAAACTCGGCGCAGATCGTCTTGCCACTGCCCGTGGGGGCACCGACAAAGACGTTCTCGTTCGAAGCGTACAGCGCTTGGAAGACCTGCGTCTGGATCTTGTTGAACGAGGAAAGCGTCGAAGCGTAGATAGCCTCAAACTCGCGGTTGTGCAAGGCCGAGATTGGTAAAGGCTGCAGGTCGAGCAACGTCGTCGGCGGAGGGAACTTGTCGGGAAGAATGAGATGCTTGAACGAGAGCGGCAGGCGCGTTTCGGCGTGAAGCCATCGATCCGACACGACCGAAATGAAGTAGTTGGGTGGCAACGGGTCGAGCAAACGAACGGTGAACGTAACGTAATGGTCCTGCTCGGCGTAACGTTGGCGTAGGAGGAACTGGTCGTGGTAGAGAATGATTTCGCCATCGACGTCTTCGACGAGGATCCAGAACGCCTCGGCACCACTGTGCACCTTCTCATCCCACTGGAAGTCGGGCGTGATCGTCAATTCGATGCGGAGCATCGTTCTTGTGATCGGCTGCACGTGGGCTTGCAGTTCGAGCTTGGGGAACTGATGCACCAAGCGGTGTACCAGTCGGCCCGCCTTGGGTTCTCCGATGAGTTCACCAAGTTCTGCAGGAAAAGATGGACGTTAGAGTCGGACAAGGCCACAAGAGAATCACAGCCCTCGGGTAGCTCACCTGCCGGCTCAAGATCAAAGTATCGGTACCACGGGAACTCCTTGCGTTCCGCACGACGAATAACGTCAGTCGGCACACCCTTGAACTGACGCAACGGCGTCATGGACCCCCACATCCTCTTCTCGACCATCTGGCACAACGCCAAAGCTTTGTGCGTAAGCGCAGCCCAACCACGCTTGAGGCAAATCTCGAAAATGGCTCGCAGAATACGACCAGCGGATTGGGTAACGTAGACCATGTCCGCGACGAGGGCGAATCCGTCGAGCTTCAAGTTGGAGATGTACGACTGCAGCAAGACGTTGATCTTGGCCGAAGGGTCGTCTACACTCTCCTTGATCGGGATCGGGACACGCTCGAGCAACTTCGCCAGTTCGAGCTTCTCCTCGGCACGTACGGGAACGTTCTTGAACTCTTCCGAGATGGAGAACACGCGGAAGAGCTCGATCAGGCCCGACGCCGATTTGAGGTGCTGGTTATACGTGCCCATCGAGGTGTAGGTGACGTAGTAACCACTCGCGATGCGACCGAGTTCGTTCGAGTGGAACACACCCGATCGTCGGTCGTATCGAATCAGCGAGTTCTTCTCGAGCAAAACGGCGGCGGTGTGGATGATGTCGGACCGCTTCTGGATCAGGTAAGGGTCGTCGTCACGGCTATATTGAGGTGGTCGCAAGACCAGACGTCAGCTTTCGTTCATCCGTCCCATGGGCATGCTCTCGGCACTCACAAATCAGGCGAAACGCTGTACAAAGCTGGCGAACCAAGCATTCGCACGTAGAGATACGTGTAACTGAGCCACTGCACAGCCTCGTCACGATTCCGCACCGTGCCCAACACGATTTCGGCATTAAGGTTATCCGCGAGACGAGAAACGAACTGCGACTCGATGGGGAGTTGCTGATTCATCATCGAGAGGTAGTACTGCAGTTCCGAATGGTTCGTGATGATGATGCCTTCACCAAAGGTATCGTACTGCGGTCGACCTGCACGACCGAGCATCTGCAAGACGTCTTGCGATGACAGTTCGACCCATCGACCCTTTTCGGGATTGTACACCTGCGTTCCCTTGATGATGACGACGTGGGCGGGCAAGTTGACGCCCCATGCGAGAGTGGCGGTCGAGATGAGCACTTGGATACGACCATCGGCGAACAAGTCTTCGACAAGCGTTCGGTCCTCTCGGTTCATACCGGCGTGATGGATGGCCAAACCAAAGGGAAGCAAATCCCTCAAGTTCGGATCGGCGACCGTCTCGGCCTCGGAAGTCAAGATCTCCCTCGTCGCAGGGTCGGCGCGCAAGAAATGGGTGATGGTATCCATCTCGACGGCATGGTCGCGCAAGAATTTGGCCGTCTTGGCCGTCTCCTTGCGCGAATGCACAAAGATGATGACTTGGTTCTTGCCCGCGTGTTCGAGCACCTTCTCGTAGCAAATCTCGTTCGTGACCTGGTACCGCTTGATCGCCTTCTTCTCCGTCACGCCGATGAATTCTTGCTTGAGGGGACACGGGCGGTACGAGGCGTCGAAGTAGAACAGACCCTTCTCGGGATCGACGTGAAGGAACTTGGCGACATCCTTGTAGTTGGGCAACGTCGCCGACAAACCGACAAGGCGGACGTAGTTGTGCGTCTGTTCCATGCGACGGATCGTACGAGCGATGATGGACTCGAGCACGGGGCCACGGTCATCATGGAGCAAGTGGATCTCATCGATGATAATGAGCGACACGAGGTTCGTGTAGGACGTATCGGTACTCTTGCGAGTAATGACATCCCACTTCTCCGGCGTCGTGACGATGATTTGCGTCTCGGCGATCTGCTGCTTCGTCAATTGACGATCACCGGTCAACTCGTTGACGACAACACCGTAGTGCGCCAATCGCTTGCTAAAGTTGCCGACCATCTCTTGCACCAAGGCCTTCATCGGGGCAACATAGACGATCTTGAACGCGGAGAAGTCGAACTCGCCCGTGACGTCATTGCGATTCTTGGACAGCTCGTTGAGGATCGTCAACATCGCGGCGTTGGTCTTACCCGCACCAGTCGGAGCGCACAACAAGATCGGTTCGTCCGTACCGAACGCGATGGGGTACAAACGACTCTGCACGGGGTTGAGCGAAGTCGTGCCCTTGAACGTCGGTTGGGCCCACTCGGGCAGAGCAGTGATGGGGACGAGCTCGGCCTCGCGTGTCGGCTTCTTAGGGGCGGGGACATGGACCTCTTCGTAACCCTTCTTGGATCGCTTGAACGAACCTTCGGGGAGCTTGCATTTCTTGTTCGACATGAGTCGGCCACCCTGCGAGAAGGCCATGGCTTCGAGATCGAGCGTCTTGCCGGGCGGAGGAGCATAACCACCCGGTGCAAGTGTGCCCTTCTTCGAGATTGAGCTGTTGGCTTTGGAATCGACATCCATCGCATTGGCATCGCCAGATCCATCAGCCGAAGGCTTGACGACATCCCCTCGAAGTTCCTTGAGGATCCATCCGGCACCCTTCTCCCGCATCGCGACCTCAACATCGACCTTTTCATTCTCATCCGAACGAGCGAGCTTGGTGCACCACACGATCTTCTCGCGATTCTGGATCAGGACGGACACGAGTTCGAACTTGTCATAGTCGGTCAGATCCATTAACGAGTTTTCGACATCGCGCTTGTTGGCCTCGGACGAGAGCAAGGCCATCGCCTCGGTCGTCTTTTCAGCGGCTTCGACGGGGTCGGCGTAAGATTGGGCGATCAATCGCTGCAGCCAGAAACCGTCGATCTCGCGAGCGGAGACGATGCCATCGGCGGCACCCAATTTCTTGCTCGACGAAGCACCGGCGCGACCGATGATGACGTTCTCCTCACCGGCGTCTTCGTCGACGTCGCCAGGGACCATCTCGTCGGCCTCCTCGGCTTGCTCGTCCTCGTCCTCGTCCTCATCATCGTCCGAGTCGCGCACTTCGAAGCCTTCCTCATCTTCTTCTTCTTCCTCCTCCTCTTCAAAGACCACAGCAACCCCGACATCATCATCGATCTCGCCTTCCTTAGCATCGTCCTCGTCCTTGGCACCTTTCTCCTCCTCCTCTCCATAATCTGTGATCTTCTTGCCCAAAGTGACCAGTTGAGCAAAGACATCGGTCGGTACGGTTGAGGAGAAGAGCGCGTCAATCTCGCGCTTCTTGTCGAGGTCCTTGAGCGAGTCGTCCTTGAGGTAACCGAGCACGACGTCGGCGGCGGATCGGACCATCGAAGGCGGCGAATCGCCGAGCAAGGTGTGCACGGCGGAGAGCATCAACTCGTACACTTGGCGCGTCTCGGCCGTTCGTGGTCGGTAGTCCAAACCTTCGACTGTGATGATCTCGATTCGAAGGTAAGTTTCCTGTAGTCGCTTCCTCCAGATGGGCTGAACTCACGATCCTGCGTCGCCTCCAACACATCCCCATACCTCAACGCCGACGTCGCCGTCCTCCTCTTGGGCGCTCCTTCCAGCTCCCTCTTCTCCCTCTTCTCCCTGTCCTTATCCGCCTTTTTACGCTTGGCATCGAGGTCGGCCACACCTGCACGGGCGACGCGAGAACCCATGTCTTTGGGATTGATGCGGCCGACGAGCGATTCGGCTTCTCCCGTGGGCTCGTTGTCGCGGCGGGGGATGTTGGAGCGGTCGGCGGTGGTGACGAGCGACGCCTAATGGTGAGAGGAAAGAAGATGACAACGTCAGTTCCGGGGATACTGAACGGGGAGGGGGCGAGGGAGTGTGCGAGTCGACGCGTGAATGCTCGCTCGCTGGAGCGGAGAGCGAGTTTCGTCCCCTCGGTGGTGAAGCAAGTCTCAGAGCAACGGTTGGACACAGAGTTATACGCTGAGCGTTATCTCGTCATGCCAAGGAAGATCCGAGCAGCCACCACCGAAGCCCCAGACCAGATGAGGAGCAAGGGACTGGGGAAGGGCCACTGACCATCGCGCTGTACTGAAACGCCGAATAGTCGGGCTTGCCATCTTTGGGAGGCATGGTGGGCCAAGTCGAATACGATCACACTGATGATCAAGGTCCAGCTAGGATGCGTCGATAGCCGGTGGGACGAGGAAGAGTCGACGACGACGCAAGTCGCGGGTATGGTCTCGCAGACGCGTTACACGGGTCGAGTACGGAGGTGATGCTGGACCGCAGAGGCTGGGTGCGTGCGTGCTGACGCTCTTGCTGAGTGGTGCGAGCGAGCGAGCGAGCGAGCGAGCAGCGGGCGTGGTGGTGGGAGCTGGGAGCTGGGAGGTGGGTGGGTGGGAGCAAAGGCCCGCCAGCGAGTGAGCCAGCCGAGTGAGCCAGCGAGCAGCAGCGAGCAAGCCAGAGCAAGCCAGAGCGAGCGCGCGGTGGCCATCGAGCGCGGAGAAGGAATATTCAATGCGCTAGTTTGCACACGAGGCCACGCACCACGCGGGATGCGATAATACTACAACAAACACGGGTCACCTCTCACATTTTCTCATGCACGCCTACAACAGCGTATGCGTCTGATCCGAATCCGCAAATCTCCCGTCCGCGCCGGTGCCCGACCGCCACTCCTCCTCCAACCCAACCGGTTGGTCCTCGAACGCCGCGGCGTACTTCTCCAAATTGAACCTCTGATCCAACCAAGCCCCACCTCGATTCACCCCCGAGCCCGACCCCGACCCCGACCCCGACCCCGACCCCGGGGCAGTAGCGACTTTCCTCGGATCCACAATGGCGTGATGTTGGAAGGGAGCAGGGGTTTCATCGATCCAGTCCGTGTCGGAGAGTTTGCACAGATGGGATCGCAGGAACGAGAGCGCTTGCTGGTGTTGTTCTTGTGTTGATTGGGCGTTCAGATGGGGTTGGCGAGGTAGGTCTTGGACCCTCAAGGAACGGGTTTGCGACGTTCCACCCGAGGGGTTGGCAGTGGTCGAGGACAAGGAGATGGGTAAGGTCGGGTTCGACAACAGGTTGAACGAGAGGTCGTCGACGTCTTGGTCGTGTTCGCCCGGTAAAGGCATGTTGAGGAATTCCAAAGCGCGTTGTTCGACCTGTTCGTCCGAAGCGTCGATCAACGAGTCCGTGTCGTTGCCTTCCAATTGGGTCGTCGTCGAGGTGGACGAGGCCGTACTGCTCGTGTTGAACGACTCGTCCTGGGTCAGATCGATGTCTACCTCGGGTGGATCCTGTTGCAACGCATAAGGGTGCGTTGACGAACCGCCTCGACGCCGATTCGGTCGCGATGAGGATGCAGACGACGACGCGGTGAGGTTATGCGGGTGGTGGAGGTGGACGTGCGCCTGCGACGAGGTGGAGGCGAGCGAGTCCTCGATCGACAGGTACGACGACGTCGACAAGGACGGCGAGGGTTCTCTTCGGTAGCTGATCTCGGGTGAGAGAGACGGTGCGGCATTGACCGGGGCTCGATGGCCGGTCGTACGACGGGATGCCATCGCCGACGGATGTGGGGGGGGGGGAGGGGGACAGGAGGACGTGTTACCCTGCGCTCGAGCAACCAGCGCTCGACTGCCTCCTTACTGCCTCCTACTGCCACTGGAGCGCAAGTCACATGATCTCCCACGCCCAACTTGATCCGGAACCTTTTATCCGAAAACGCGATCTCTTCTTGGCGAAGTTGTTCAACCTTGATCACTGGATTACCCATAGGAGCTGTTCGAACGAATTCCTCGCAAAATCAATGCTCTCGGCTGGTGGGTCCGCGTGCCCGGCCCGCCGGACGAAAGCTGCCAATTTGGCCGCGCGGCACTTGGCTGGAAAGGCGCTGAATCGCGCTGAATCGCACTGAATGACTAAATTGCACTAAATTTCGCTGAACGCGCACAAAATCGCAACCGATTCTCACGGGGCAAAGTCAGGAAACAAATATCCGCGCCGCAACCAGCATCACCGAACCGCGATCCTTCTTCGTGATCCGACGGCTCGACCCCGCACCACACCCACACCCACTCACTCACCGACCCACTACATCGACCTCGTCGCTGCTTACTCACCGCTAGTGGCAGCAAGGCCTCTCCACTCTCAAAAAAATCACATTACATTACACTCGATCACGAAACACAACATGTTGAACTCGACGATGAAGCGATCGCTCGTCGGTGCGAGTCGTACTTTCACCAGCTCGAGCCATCGCGCCTCGCTCGCGGACATGGAAGCCATGACCCAGCTCAAGCCGTGGAAGGGAACCAACACCAATGGCGGACAGACGACCAACTTGATTGGCGGTGAATGGACCGTGGGTGAGTGCGACGGTCTACTCCCTAGCTTGTCATCCTCCTGTTGCGTTCGGTATCGGTCGCCGGTTCCCAACAATCCCTCGCTCTCTGTTCTCTCGCCGGCGACTTCGGCACAACCGGCTGCTCCCCCCACTCTATCCTCGCTTGCTCGCACCGCGCCGCACGGAACGACCCCCCGGGCTGACCGTAACTCGTTCCCGTGCTCAATCAACAGGCTCCAACGTCGACAAATGGATCGACGTCAACGACCCTTCGACCCAACGCGTCCTGACCCGAGTCCCCGAGACCACCCACGCCGACATGGTCAAGATTGTCGATAAAGCCGAAGAGGCTTTTCACGAATGGAAGGACTCGTCCGTGCTCAAGCGACAGGCCGTCATGATGAACCTCGCGGCTTTGATCAGGGAAAACCACGATGAGATTGCTAGGTCGATCGTGTTGGAACAGGGCAAGACCTTTGCCGATGCAAAGGGCGACGTCCTTCGCGGGCTGCAGGTTCGCCCGATTCCTCAAACCGAAAGATGCCGAGAGGAGCCAGACCCCGTCCTGACGCTTTTTCGGTCTTTATCCTACCGCAGGTCGTCGACTCGATGATCGGTGTTCCTCAGATGTTGATGGGCGAAAAGATGGAAGTCTCCAAGGATATGGACACTGAAACGCGCAAGGTACCCCTGGGAGTCGGTGCCGCCATTTGCCCGTGAGTCCCTCACCACCCGGAAAAGTCGGCTCGGCTCCGTCTCTTCCTCATTGGCAGACTGCTCATCGATCACATACCTCCGCCTCGCAGCTTCAACTTCCCCGCCATGATTCCCTTGTGGTCCATCCCGATGGCGATCGCCACCGGCAATTCGCTTATCCTCAAGCCTTCGGAGCGAGACCCTGGAGCCGCGATGATCGTCGCCGAGCTGGCCGAGCGAGCAGGTCCGTGCTACTCTCCGTCAAATCCGCTGCCAATCTTTCACCGAGCTCATACCTTGACCTCATCTCCTTCCATAGGTCTTCCAAAGGGTGTCCTGTCCATCTTGCATGGTTCGATCCCAGCGGTCAAGTTCATCTGCGAAGAGCCGAGAATCAAGGCCATCTCGTTCGTCGGATCGGACCGAGCAGGCAAATACATCTACGATACGGGAAGCGCGCATGGGAAGCGAGTGCAGGCCAATTTGGGTGCCAAGAGTCAGTTCAGACGTTCTTTGGCTTCGTCGTCACCCCCGTATGTTGACTTCTGTGACGTCGGTATGCTATCAGACCACTGCATCTTGATGCCGGACGCCAACAGGAACTTTGCGCTCAACAGCGTCGTAGGCGCTGCATTCGGTGGTAAGTGTTGACATGAACCATTCAAGCCAGTCGAGTCTTACTCACACGATCACGTCTTTTATCGCACAGCTGCCGGTCAGCGCTGCATGGCTCTTTCGGTTTGTGAGTATTTTCGTGCATGCCCGTCACGCTTTGAGTGCAAGGACTGACCAGGTCAAATCTGACATTCTGCAGTGGTCACTGTCGGCGAGACCGAGGACTGGCTCCCCGAGTTGATCGAGCGCGCTCAAAAGCTCAAGGTCGGCAACGGCTTTGACCCCGAAGTCGATGTGTAAGCTCTCTACGTTCTTGAAACGACGTCTCATCCCATTCACTCACCCAAGCCATCCCTTCCCATCGGCAGAGGCCCTCTGATCAACCCGTCGGCGAAGCAACGCGTTGAAGGTCTGATCGAGTCGTGCGAGAAGCAAGGTGGCAAGATCGCTCTGGACGGACGAGGCGTCAAGGTCCCCGGGTACCCCAAGGGCAACTTTGTTGGCCCCACCATCTTGCTCGCCGATACGTCGATGGACTGCTACCAGTGAGTTGAGAATGTATTGGTGCGATTCGCCACTGGGTCCGGGAGCTGACTCGTTGCTATGATCCGCCTGGATCTGTTCAACAGAGAGGAGATCTTCGGTCCCGTCTTGACGATCGTTAAGGCCAAAGACCTCGATGACGCGATCCATCTCATCAACCGCAACCGCTACGGCAACGGAACGGCCATCTTCACTCAATCAGGAGCGACGGCTCGCAAATTCGAGAAGAACGTCGAAGCGGGTCAGATCGGGATCAACACACCCATTCCGGTGCCTTTGCCTATGTGGTCTTGGTCCGGGAACAAAGGATCCGTATTGGGAGGTCAGAGTTTGTACGGACCGAGAGGTGTCGATTTCTGGACCCAGTTGAAGGTATGTCGGATAGTGACAAGAATTTGCGTCTACCTCGCTGACGTGCTGAGAATCGCGAACCGCTGTACAGACTACTACAACAATGTGGCGTGCCGAGGATGCGCTCGACAGCCGAGCTACGGCGACGATGCCGACCATGTCATAAGAAGGATCCGAAATTTGAGAATGAGTGTCTTTCCTCCTGCAATATACGGTGTACACTTGTCCAAACCTCGCAACGCGTCTTTGACTACGCGCTCGCTTCGGCGCGCGTGATGAGCACACTTTTTCCAAGAGTCTCCTTTCGCAAAATTGGCAAAAGGGGTCGCTCGCCTTTGCGCGGTGAACTCCGCACTTTGGTTGATTATTTTTGCCCGCGAGATCCCATTCGCTCGCGACTCTGCTTCCTACCTCGTCGCGCTCACAGTGGCCGTCATGTTTTACAAAAGATGCAGTAACAACCTCTTACTTGTCTATCTGGCGACACTGAGTACGGCAATCCCCTACCCAGGCTTCCCAAGCGGCTCTACGTCTCGAACACCCGGAGCAGAGCACCAGCATCGACCCTCAACCAACTCCACCACTTCCTCCAAGTCAATCCCGATCAACCCTTTCAGCACGCCCGATGTGTTGGCGGGCAAGACATTTGACTATGTCATCGTAGGGTAAGCACAACATCTTCTGATTGATACATCATGCTCTCCGTGCGGGGCAAAACAAAGGCCTCCCGCCGTCGCAACCGTCAACTGATGTCCTGACCCTCTCTACCTCCTATACCACACCGGGTCATCCTTTTCTTACCCTTGCCTCGGTTCTCTTTCTCGGCTCCCCCGGTTTCTGGCCCCAGAGGAGGGACGACGGGTCTGGTCCTAGCTTCACATTTATCGAAAGATGCTTCAAAACGAGTCGCGGTGATCGAGGCGGGCAAAGATGGTGGTGAAGTGATGCATGATCATATCTTGCCTCCTGGTTAGTTGTTCCCACGCCGACCCAAGCTTGGAACATTTCTCTCGTTTTCACTTGCGCCGTTGGACCTCTCTGATGGGCGTAACGCTACTCTCTCGTCTGGGTTAAACAGCTCGAGCATACCTCAATACCCTTTCGACACCAACTTCGGACTACGATTGGCACTACCAAACGACGCCTCAGCGCGGGCTCGACGGTCGACAAGTTTTCTTGCCGAGGTGGGTGCGATCGATCGGGACGAGCTCGGATGAGTATCCCTTTTACTCATGTAGTCATGCTCGTATATCGCAGAGGTAAAGTCCTAGGCGGATCGAGTGCGGTCAATCACCTCTACATGGTGCAACAGAGCAAGATCGAGCAAGACGCCTGGGCCGATCAGGTTGGAACCGAAGATTGGTCATGGAATACGCTCTACCCTTACCTGAAGAGTAGGTGATGTAACCCACACACGTGGGCCTCTTTTAGTCACGTGGGGACTGATTTGGAGCGCTGGAATGTCTTCTACAGAGACTGAGAACTATTCGGCACCTTTGCACATCGACGAAACAAAGATGGTCGTGGATGAAAATGTGCATGGTAAGGGAGGGCCGATTCATTACTCCTACCCAGGTTACAACTACCCTTCTTTGGATACTTGGATCGACACCCTCGGACATCTGGGCATCGAATCACGCGATCCGGGAGGTGGAAATAGGTGAGCGAGCCTGTGGATTGTGTCCTCCTAAGAGAAGGAGGATAGTTGACCTACTGTGCTGTGCTACTTCTCACCCACCAGCTATGGAGCCTTCATCGCCCCCTCCTCCATCAACCCGGATGGTTGGGAACGTTCCTATGCCAAGAATGGCTACCTCGACCCCGTTGCCGATCGTCCTCATCTCGTCGTACTCACGGGTCATCAAGTGACCAAGATCAATTTCAATGGTACGACTGCCACCAGTGTCTCCTTCGCTTCTGGGGCAAACAGAACGGTCTACACCGTCTCGGCGACGAAGGAGATCATCCTATGTGCCGGAGCGATCGGAACACCTCAACTGCTACTCGTCTCCGGCGTCGGGCCTAGGTCTCAATTAGAAGCGCTCCAAATTCCGATCGTGATGAATTTGCCCGGCGTCGGAAAACATCTTCGTGATCATCTCTCGGGAAGTCTGACTTTCGACGTTACCGGTCGAGTTGACGTGACTGCGGAGCTGCTCGAGAGGAACGCGACGTTCGCTGCGCAGCAGATGACAATGTGGCAATTGTGGGATCCTAGCTCGCTATACAATGCCCCGGACAATGCTCTCGCTTACTTGAACCTCACAGTAAGTTGACCGATCATCGTGAGCTCACCGCTCGAATTAAAGCTCACAGGTTCCGGCCATCGCAGACCCTGCTCGGACCCGACAATGCGGAAGCGTTCCTCTCGCAACTCAGAGAATACAAACCGATCGCCGTCGCTGGTTACTCTAATGATGAATCTGTTCAAAAAGGGTACGATGCGGTCTATGATTCTGAGGTGAATACCATCTATCCTTCGGTCATCGGTCAGGCAGAACTTGCGTTGAGGTGAGTAGTCCCATCACAACGTTCTTGAACGAGGTCTTCGTACTGAAAACTCCGATTCGGTTTGCGCAGAAACACCGGATCTGGCAAGTAACACAAGCGTATGCGAATCCCAACGAGAAATCACTGACTTGAGCTCATAACCGTGCCAGGCGGTATCTACGGCAATTCCACCCTAACCCTCTCCCTCCAAGCCTCCTTACAACACCCCCTATCCCGCGGATCGATCACCATCAATTCGACCTCGACCTTCTCACCCCCCGTCATTGATCCCGGTTACCTCACTCACCCAGGGGACATCCAAGTCTTCCGAGAAGCGTTCAAGTTCGCTCGTAAGGTTTCTCAGACCCCTCCGTTGTCGACTCTGGTGGTGACGGAAATTACACCTGGTACGGGGAGCGTTTCGAGTGATGAGGAGTGGGAGGATTGGATCCGTGAGTACTTGTTTGGACTGATCACCTCCCATGATGATCATACTTTAACGTATCTCTCAACTCTCCAGGCAATTCCACTACCACCTCCCACCACCCCACCTCCACCTGTTCCATGCTCCCCCTCTCCCTCGGAGGTGTAGTCGACCTCTCTCTCCGAGTCTACAACCTCATCGGGCTGCGCATCGTAGACGCCTCGGTTATACCCATATCGATGTCCGCTCACCCTACGGCACCCTTGTACGGTCTTGCGGAAAGGGCGAGTGAGTTGATTCTCAATACGGCTTGGGTCACCGTTGGATCGGAAGCTGCATCGACGAGGAGTAAAAGTTCGGGCACAAAGCCCTCGTCGACAATGAATAAGGGGAAGGGGTCCAACTTCTCAGGAGGTAATTCTCTCAAGGTTGTTGGACTTCATCGACTGTTCTACACTCTCGTGGCGTTCGTGATAGCTTTAATCGTGTGATCGATCGGAAACGCTACTTTCTCGAAACTATCGCCTTGCTTGCCCTCTTCTTTCTTTCTCCCCGTTCTTGCATGAAATGAAAAGAAACCCGTCGTAACATTCTTCTCTAGTTCTCTCACCGGATCCAAACCGCAAGATGTGCGCAAAAAGTTCGATCAAACCCACACCACCAGGAGGTTCCATTGCGTCGGCCAAAATATCAAGTTGGGACAGAGATTATCAAAGAGCCCTACAAAACAAGGGGAGGAAGAGTAAAAGACAAGGGAGGGGAAAGACGGTGCTATTGACGACGACTAGGTACGATGTGGCCGGTCAAGGTACGCAATTGATGGAGGTACTGGAAGGGTAAGAAGCGACGTCGCACGAGCGTCAGATCCAAGATCCCATGTCCTAGACGAAAGCCGAACTTGGGGATGCAGACCAACATTTGAAATGATTGATGTGATCGAACGATCTCATGCTCAAGCTGCGGGAGCAGCGACGTTGGAAGCTTGAGCGAGGTAGTCCGACATCTCGGCATCGAGCGATTCGACGGTCGGCTTGGCGCGACGTTCGCCCGATCGACCACCTCGACCACGTCCTCGACCACCGGTCGCGCGGGTTTGTTGACGAGCGGCACCGGAAGCTCCCGAGGCGGCGGCGACGGTTCTGTTTGCGAGACGCAAGCGCGAATGAAGCCAGCGGACATGCGCCATATCAACAAATGGCTTCAAAACGGGGAAGAGATCACGAAGGACGGCGCAAAAACTGACGAGGAAGCGGCACGGGCTTTAGGCGGGGCAGCAGGGGCGGCACCAAGACGGCTCGTGAGCGGTTGAGGAGGAACTCGGTTGGGGTCGACGATGATCTCGACTTTCAAAGGACGGCCTGTTGACGACACGTGTTGGATGGTAGAATGACGAGGGAGAAAGTAGAGGTCGAGGGTGGAGGTGATGAAGAAAGAAGAAGGTAGTTGGTTGGGTCAGACGACGTGGTACAAAAGTAACGACTGCGCTGTTTCGATAGCGAGCCGCTCTTGTGGGGCGAGTGCGCAAATTGTGGAACAGAAATCTTGGTGGAACGGTGATACGAGCCGGGCTGATACCTCGATCCGCGAGGCCGGCGCCTCCTCGAGACCGCTACGATACCTCTTTCGGCGAGACCACGGCCACCCCGGCCGTCGAACCGCAGACCGTCCACCTCGAGCGGACAACGGACGACGTTGAGCGAGCTGTGAGGATCAAGGCAAGAGGAGTCTGGGCACGCCGTCCGTGAAACGGAACGGTCATCGTGCGTCATCGCCGGTCAACCGTCGACAGGTGCACGAACGACGAGCAGGGTTCTCATATCGGTGCGGTAGTCAAAGACGGGACAAGGAGTGCGGCGTCACGTGAAGCATCTCAACCTCTGAAACACCCCTCGACTGAATGACAGCGCCGAACCGAGTCCTCGTCACGGGATGCTCGACGGGCCTTTGGGGTCATGGGTGGAGGGAGACGCGGACGGCCTGGACCACTCGGCGGAAAGTATGGACGAGGATCCCTCGGCGATCGATCGAGCGAGCGTGTGGGCTTTGTAGCGGCGACGTCTTTGAGGGGCTTTCGATGTGGCAAGCTTGGGGATGCGATGCGAATCATGTGCACACCTTCGGACGGCCTGGCCTCGGTTGTTCATTCGTGTCTGATCAAGCCATCAAGAGCACCCAGGAGGGATCGGACCTCTTGGAGCTCTGCGGGGTCGGGATCCTGAAGCACACTGCTCATTGCTGCAGCAAGCGGGGGGTGATGTGGAAAAAATGACCGGCTCCAAGGGGCATGTGCATCATCATCGGATGGTGCGTACGTGCGGCGCGTTGGAATGGGTCCTGGTCCACTCGAGTGCAGCACGATCCCTCCGAGCGTGTCTCCAACGGACCCGATGCGGCGGGCAAAGCGAGCGGCGGCGTATCGAGCACGCGGTTTCATGCATCCACCTAAAGACGGAGTGCCCTCAACGGGAGGGCAACGTGGAAAGAAGAGGGGGAACAAAACCGGTCAAGTGAAGAACGAAGAGAGATGAAACCCACTGTTGTCGATGAGGCGCTTGTTGTACTGCTGGAATGCCTTGGTCGCATCGGCGGCTTTCCTGAAGTGGATCGTCGCAGTGCCCTTGCTCCGTCCCTGGGCATCGTATGCCATCGATGCCGAGATGATAGGACCGACGGTCGAAGTAAAGAGTTCTCGAACCTGTTGCTCGTTGACGTCGGTAGGCAAGTTGCTGATCACGATCTTATCCCCAATGCCCTGGATCCCTGCGGTGGCCGAAGCGCCGGGGTTGTTGTGGGCGGCGGCGGCGGCGGCGGCGGCGGCGGCGTGCTGTTGCGCTCGAGGGCCCCGCGCGCCTGCGGCCTGTTGCTGTGCCGGGGCGGCGTTGGCAGCTCGGGGCGCGCCTCGAGGCTTGCTAGGCCGGCTCTTCTTCTTGGTCGCGATGATCTCGTCGAGGGGCTTGTCCAAGTTCTGTATGGATGTAGACAAGTAGGGTCCGATAGGTGAGGTGTGAAGGTGGTGGTGGCGATGGGTGGTGCAAGTGGGTGGCAAGCGGAACACAAGGGTCTTCCCTCAAGTCAGCCAAGCCGCGCGCCAAGTGCTCGTTGCTAGTACGACGACCGAGCCCGCACGACGAATGCATTCGGAGTGGCACTGACCATGGTCGACATGTTGTTTCGTGAATGGAATGAAGTGTAGAGGCGGTGCGGGAAGGTCTGGGGGGGGGGAGGGAGGTGGGAGGTGGGAGCAAGAGGGTCAACCGCCCCGCGCGTGGCCCACCCACCCAAATCGGTGGTCGCACTAGGTCGCAATAGGTCGCACTAGGTCGCAATAGGTCGCACTAGTGTCGCACTCTGTCACACTTGGCCGTCAATTCAGGCACAAGCACGCGTGCAATGGCTGATGAGCAATTCCGAACAAAGGGCCGGGCCGTGTGGCCATCCAGCCTCTGCCCGTGGTTGCAACAGACTGATACGACCGTGTGTTTGATATCTAAGTAAATTTTCACTATCCGATGTAGAAATGCGTGCAAGCCTTGCTGAGCAGGTGAGGTCTCAGAAACATCCCCAAATATCCAATTTCCGCCCGTCCGATTAGTACATCTTCGGTCCTCCTCCTACTCATCCACAATGACACACCACCTCTCGAAGCCCACCAAGAAATCCCTGACCGACTTCTTCTTGACATCGACCCTCCTAGCCCCTTGAGGCGTGATCGAATACTCCGCAAAATACCCACTACTCGCCTCACTCACATCCTGCGTTACGCAGACCGCCTCCTTCAAAGTCGGTAACCCTTTACCCAAACTGTGCAACGTCGAGTATTCGAGTCGGAGTTGACTAGGTCGTTCCTCTTCTTCTCCTTCGTCGGAAGTTCGTGCGATGCGAGGTACGGATGGCGAACGACGATCCCAGGCGAAGAATTCGAGTCGTTTCAGCTTCTTCAGCTCGTCGACGTAGTCCTGCAACGCGCTTGGCCAGTACACGGAAGAGGACGTGTCCCCATGAATCAAGGTTAACGCCCGCAGTTGGGGTGTATAGTGGGCGATGTCGGCGATCAATCGAGGTTTCGCTTCGCGGAGATGGTAGAGGGCTAGTCGTTGAAGTTTGGGTAGATGAGAGAGCGATTCGAGCAGGATTTGTCGGCGTGGCAAGGATTGACGTCCCTCAAGGAACAGTTCTTCTAGCGGGAGCGTTTGGTATTCCGACATGTCCTGTGAGCCATCAACATAACCCAAAGCATGGCAGCAACTAGTCAGCTCTCCTGACCAAGAAGAAGATGATCCTCCATTGTGAGGAACCGACCTTGAAAGCTTCAGCGAGCGCATCGAAAACGCCCGGCTCGCCGACAGAATCCAACGAAAGGAGTCGCAATTGAGGCAAGAGTCGAACGATGAAGGGAGTGAGAGAGCCGAATTGACGCGACCCGGGCCATAACAGCAACGAGTGGAGATCGGTCATGCAGCCCACCAGCTGCAGCTGATTGGAACAGAACAAGCTGGGGTCAGGGAGAGATCCCGTTAGGCCACCTAAATCACGGTGCTTGGAACTCACCAGCTTAGGACTGCCATGCATAATCTGCAACGTCCTGAGAGGCGGAAGAGGTCCCATCATCTGATCGAAGAAATCCAGTGCCCTGCTCTGATTATGGATCGTGACCGAGTTGAGCCTCAACGCGCTCAATTTGGGCAAGTACAAAATATCCAAAATCAACGACCTGCCCAACTCTTGGCTAACAACGACGGATTTGAGGAATATGACTTGGATCTGACGACCATGGTCATTGAGGATATCGCACAACGCTTGCACGTCCGGTTCAGCCGCGATCGAGTCGTCCCCGAATTCGCCGTCGTCGTAACCGGTATAACTCAGAGCCTTGATCTTGATCGGACCCCGTGTACTCTCTTTCGCTTCTTGCATCAACTCCAAAAGGGAACGCATCCCTCGTGCCTTCCATTTGGTCACTCGAGCCGCGTATTCCCGAGCAGCTTCGCCGTCTTCGATCACTTGTCGAGGTCGTCGACTCGGAGGGCGGATCGATTCGGGTTCCCAGTCGACCGATCGCCAGATCAAAGGTCGACACAACGTATGGAGGTAAGTTGAAGTTTCGGAGAGAGAAAGAAGCTCTCGAGAAGGTCCGCAAGGGAAGGTGGGCGAACTGGCGCGAGTGCCGACGTCGACGCTCTTGATCACACACAGGAGGATCTCAGGTGGTAATTGCAGGATCGGGAACACCGCAGGCTGAGGCTCTTTGTCTGAAAGTTGTGCTGGTAGTGGTGGTCGTGGTGAAGGCGCCGGAGAAGCCATTCCGAGGGATCTGTCGCCAAGCTCCGCAGAGCGCTCAAAGTGAGGTCAGGTGGGAGAGAGCTTCGGAAGGGCCAGCCCTGTGCTCCGGGTCGTCCCAGGCAGAGATCAAGACAAAAACCATCATATGATACAACGCCACCGCTACTGTAGTACTCAGAAACCCGTTTAATTCGACCTTTTGAATTGTGCAGGCCAACAGTAGCTGTAGCGGCAGCGCGTTCCCAACTTAGGCGCCTCGAGTCGACGATGTGAGTTACTTCCGGCGGTAGACGAGGTTAGCGGCAGCGGCGGCAGAAATCGCCTTGACAAGCTAGGGGAAGGAACGCTAGGAAGGGGTAATGGTTACTAGAACGTCTCGAGGGAAGTTGCTTCTCTGTTCAAAGGCAGACCACTTCTAGGACCCGAACCAGATCTTAGCTGGCTCTCCCTTTCTGGGTGTTGCAAGTCGCGTTCGACATCGTTCTTCAGTCTCCAGTCCAAGCGTCTCGTTCTCGAACTCGGTCTCGTTTTCGCGGTTCTGCCTTATTCAGGAGTTTATGAATCCAGCCACACATGGTTGTGCCCGAAATCAAATAGTTGGGGAGACGTGCCACTGCTAACTCTCGAACAGTGTGACAGATCTTTCACTAAGTCCATTTAAAAAAGAATCACAACAAATGAGTCTATAGTGCGGGCAGACTCCGTGAGAGAAACCCAATTCACTCGAGCACCGCGACCCCTCTTAAGATAAAGCAGACAACTTTGGCGATAATGCCACTTGGGGCAAGCATCGCTAGGCTAATCGAAGATGTCGCTGGTGTTGAACCTGGATCGGTCGATAATCTGACCGTGACGGGAACGGTATGCTTGATCGGGGAAGTCGAAGAATTGCACGACATCATCTGCGGTCCTGTTTGTCTGAGTGGAAAGCACTGGCAGGTGATGAGTGCGTGCAGGCTTCGAGGTCGATGGAATGAGACTATCCGCTCCCAAGGGGTAGACTGACCACACGCGCATGCGCACAGAAAGGAGTAGAACGTTCGACCCGTGATCAGGGTCCGTCGTGCCGAGATCACGTCTCAGATCTGCGACTCGCGGCGGAGGGCAACAGGGGCGACGGCGACGGGTCAGCCGGTCAGCGCCAAGCTCCGGCGAAGCTGTGAAGCCAGACGACAGCGTACACCTCTTCCCGGCTTGAATGGACCGGACTCGTGTCTTGGCGAGTTGTTGAAATGATGGGGCTAGTCACACAGTATCGACGTTGCGCGCCAGTGATGAGACATCGATCGTCACGTTCCCAGTGCAGAGCAGTCTTGAACCGAGATTACTGCCGCTCGACGACGTAAAGAAGGGGACAACTTGGTCGTCGGAAACTCGGATCACGGCTCTTCGATGAAGAACCAGCAGTTACAGCGGTTCGGAATCTCAGCTGCAGGTTTCCAGTGATGCTTACGTCCTGCACTCTCGCCATCTTTAACCGTCCCTGTCGCTGTCACTATTGTGGTATCGTGATCCACCGTGTCGGACAAGAAGCAGGACGAGGACGGCCCGGGGGTACCTCGTGCTTGCCGATTGGACCGAGGGAGAGTGTGAAAGTCAGTGCATCTTTGGGACGCCCCAAGGTCGAGCTGGGAAATAGCACTGCTCGGTGCGTCATGCACACATGAGACCGATGAGACCAACTCTGAGATGGCCGTCATCACCATTCGGAACAAAGATGAAATCGCCCGCTCTGGCGGAGTCTTCGAGAGGCCGATCGGAGTTCTCGGCTCGGCGCGCAGGTGACTGGACTGTTGTACAGACATCTGTACGGACGTGGATCCAAACGAGCGTGGGATTGGATCGCTTGGGCCAGTTGATGGGAATCGTCGCGATCCGCGTCGACGCCCCCGTCGAATACGATTGCAATGCCCTTGATGATGACCGTCTCGCCCGGTCACTGCAGTGTTTGAGAAAGCCGGCGTTGGTGTGTGGTATATACTTGATGATCACTGCGTCCGACAGATGGCTGATTGGAGCGAATCTTGGAAGAGAGAAGGCGATCTCGTAGTCTTGAGGTAGTGGAAACCGAGAGTGGCGCAAATTTCGATTTTGTCGGGCCGAGCACTGGCAGTGTCGACGGGCTTTTGGAATTCTCACCCAGCTCAAAGCCCTCGCGCCCCTCAAGGTCGCCCATCTCTTGCTCTCCGCACCGCACACCGCACCCCTCGACCACTCCACTATGACCAATCCGCGAGCGTCCTCTACCAAGGCGACCACCACCTCAGAGCCCAAAATCGAACCCGCGTCCCCGAGCTCGAAAGCCACCTCCTCGCCTCCCAAGAAACCGACCCCAGTCGTCGAAGCCGATGAAGACGAGGACGATGATTCGGACGATTACGATTCGGATGAGTATACGGATGATGATGGGGATGCGGGACCTGGTTTGGGTTTCTTGGTTGGTGATGTGAGTGCCGTGGCGGGTTTGGCTCTGGGTGTGATCTGGACGGGGTGGGGTGGGGACCGTGGGGTGGGGCCCTGCCTTGGCAGCTGCTCGGAAGACAAAAGTCCTGGCGTGGCTTTTCCACGAGATCGCGGAGCACTTGATCGAATGAAGAACTGACCAGGGTATCTCGGATCCCACCACAGGACGCTGAGGACTCTGAAGACGACGAAGACTGGCAAGCCGGCCCCGACGACTCGGACGTCGAGGACGAACCCTTGGCCGACGACGATGACGACGATGACAATGCCGGCACCGCAACGACCGGCAAGGACAATGGAGCGGCTGCGGAGGAGGAGGAGGAGGAGGAGACACCGAGGAAGAGGAGACGAGTTGCTGTCAAGTAGATCGGCGGTAATCATTCGACCCGACGGAGGTAGGCTTCCTTTGTCTCGGGGGGAGCCCACTGCTAGACCGCCGACTAGTAGCCGACACGCTTTTGGTGGGACGTTGTGATAGATGAACCAAAGTTTTGCATGATGTAGTACCACTCCTGCTTGTACTGCTCCAACACAATCACGCCTTGCCGAGTGTCTGCCAGAAACAGCTCGATCGAGTCCAGGCTGAACGAAAGAAATGCAAATACATACACGAAGAACATACGCAAAGCACACCTGCATCACCCAAAAAGGTACCACAGCAAAAACAATACACATACACCCACGACCGAGCCCATGATGACCGAGTCCCGCCTCCTCCGAGAGTTGATCATCCCAATGACCGAGTTGAGCATCGGTACTTGAGCTGAGCGAGGGAAGGTGTCAGATGAGAGTTACGAGCGATGCGACTTTGTAGACTGACCTGCTACTCCATTCATGCGAGCCTGAATGCCCGTCAGTCCGGATCGTTGTGCCGCAAACTCTTGCCGGGTCGCGTACGCTTGACTGCAAGTCGATACACCATTCCCCAAGAAGGACCGGTGAGCCAGCCAGGTGGTGAAGGTCATGAGAAGCTATTTTGACTCACTTGAGAGCATCGTCGGCCATGCGGTGCGAGTTGTCAATGTGCCCTCGTTCTTGCAGCAATCGATCGGTGACGGAAGAGTTGGTCGACGTTTTGAACGCGCTGGATCGCGCGCGCCGGCGTGTGACGGGTCAGTCGACTTGTATCGCACCTCGAGACCGGGAGCGATTAGTTTGCTGACCTGATCTCGTCTCGCACGGATCCCAATAGGTTCGCTCGTTGCTCGGCGTCCCTCAAATTTGTCTGTTGGGAGGCGTGGGGGGTGGGGAGGGGGGAGGTCTCAGCTCGGAAGTCGATATGTGTTCCTCAGGCAAGGGCGGGCGCGTACTTTTGTCCGGGCAAAGTCCTTCCGGTACTCGATCAAGACCTCTCGGTGACGTTCCAAAGCATGGGTCTGGGTCGCCGAAGGGGGTGGATGCGCTGTCGCGTACAGGTTGGCAAGGCGTTCGATCTGGGCGGTGAACTGTAGGCCGGTCACGTGCGAGTCGATGATCCAAGCTCAGCTCCGACACAGCACCGACAGCTCGAGAGCCCAAGCAAGATACGCACCGTCTCCAACGAGTGCTCCATCTCGGTCTCGAGCTCGGTCGTGCGCTGGGTGACGTCGTCGTTGAGCAAGCCGGACGACGAATAGTGGGTGCTCGTCTGTTGCGCCAAACGACTGTAACGGGTCAAGAGGGACGAGACGTGGGCCGTCGTGGTGTGCAGATCTCGTTTGACGGCGTCCATGGTGGCGAGGTGCGGTGGACGTCGCTCTCCGGACGATCGAGTTGAACGAGTCGACGACGCCGTGGGTGTGCAAGCCAACAAGTCGAGCTCCAGCTGGCGGTGAAAGACCCGGCGCGGCTCCGGGTCGGCGCTCGAGCGAGTCGGAACTTACTAACATGTCGGTCGTCGGAGAAATAAGGCTAGGATGCACAGCGTTTGTAATTTAAAAATCCGTAGAAAATCCGTATAGCTACCTCCACAAAACCGGAGAGATGGTCAAGAGACTTGCAGTCAGTGTGTCGTCTCCAATGCTCCATCGCGTGGCGGCGGCCTGGCTCGTGGGGCTCTCGCGGGGCTCTCTGGGCCGCCGGTCCGAGCGCGTCAATTCGTGGCGCCGTTTCGCTCACTTTCGAGCCTCACGCGCCTCACGCGCCTCACGTGCCCGCTTGCCCAGCGCCATTCTGCACACCACCCCAGCCCAACCCCGACCCAAGCCCAGCTCGTCATGGCCAGTAAAGCGGGCGCGTTGTCCAAAGAGGACACGAAACAAGAGCACCCCTTGCAGGCGATCGTGTTGTGCGCTGGATGGGGCGAGGAGCAGCGCTGGGGGCCGCTCGTGCGACGCCAGCGAACCGATCAGGAGGAGTACGACGATCTCCAGGTCGGGGGTGAACAGAGACCGTGGGTCAGTCGGAGCTCCAAGATTCTGCCCAGTCCTCGGAGACGACTGCTGTGCTCTGGTCTGACGCCCGAACTCGGACTTGAACTCGATGCGCAGTGCTTGCTCCCGCTGCTCGGCTCACCCCTCCTCGCCTGGACGCTCGAGTGCCTGACCGCGAACGGGGTAGAGCAGATCTTTGTCTTTGTACGAGATGGCGTCGATCAAGTCAAGGCATGGCTAGCGTGCGTTTCATCGGCTTCGTGGCCACAGCGCGATGGGCTGCTCGTCTCTGACCCCTGCTGAGCCGTCCATGTTCCCCCTTGCAGTCAATCCACCTTCCAAAAATCGCGAGCCCCATTCAGCGTCGTCGTACGGCCGACCAAAGCCGCCACACCCGGCGACGTCCTCCGCGAAGTCGACTCGTTGCAGATCCTCGCCCCCGCCCCCGCCGATTTCCTCGTCGTGCAAGCCGGTTACGTCGGCAACCTCAACCTCAAGGCCAAAGTCACAGAATTCGCGGCGAGGAGAAAGGCCGATCCGAATATGTGCATGAGCTGCGTCGTTGCACCGGTCGAGACGAGGTCCGTGGACCATGCGACGACGATCTCATCGTCAGCTCGAAGAAGGCTGATCCCCGGTCACGTCCGTCCCTCTGACAGAACTACACCGACCTTGGCCATCCTCGCCATCTCGGGAACTCATCAACTGATGCACTATGAACAATCGCCGCTATTCCCCGCTCTGAGAAAGGCCAAACTGCCGAGGGAAGCGCTCGACGGAGGCAAAGATCTGCAAGTCCGAGCCGACTTGGAAAGTGTCGGCGTCGCGATTTGTTCGGTAGAGGTGAGCTCCAACGCACTCGGACTTCAAACATCCCTCGCCTGATTGTCGTCGAACGTTGTACCCCAGGTCCCACCCCTTTTTACGGAGAACTTTGATTACCAAACATTTTACCCCGATTTCGTCAATGGTATCCTCACCTCCGATCTGCTGGGCAAGACGATCGGCGCGACAGTCGTAGGCGAAGATCCGATAGTTCCCTTTGATGCTCGGGCGACGAGCGAGACCTCCACTGCAGCAGCATCGACCTCGGGTAGGACCCCCGCACCATGGGCTGCCGTGGTAAGTAACACAAAGTCGTATGATGCCATCAGGTGAGCTCGCCACCAAGCGATTTTCGAGTTCGTTTCGTCACAAACTGATGACCTGCTTTTCGTACACCAGTCGAGCCATTCTATCCCGGAGAGCTTACCCCTTGGCTCCCGACGAGTCCTTGCCCGAAGCTCGACCTCGCTTCGAGCAACGCCGAGCCCGAGTCTACTACGGTTCCGACGTCGACCTCTCCCGAACATGCCGCATCACATCGACATCCCTCATCGGCTCCCGTGTCGCGATCGGGAACGCTTCTCTCGTTCGGAGTTCGGTTCTGGACGAACATGTCCATCTCGGCTCGAATGCAAGTGTGGTTAATTCGTACGTGTTCGAGGGAGCCAATATTGGTGATCGATGCGTCGTGCAGAACAGTATCATTGGCGAAGACGCTCTTCTTGGTGAAGGGTCTGTCATCGAAGGAGGTTGCATGATCGCTGCGGGTGTCACGATTGGGGAAGGCTCAATGTTGAGGGCGTGCCGCGTGTCGCTGGAGGAGCCGGAAGAGGAGATCAATGTCGGAGAGAACCATCGTCAGTCCAGCTCCGATCGTTACCCAACACTGCTCGAAACATGCTGACGTTTCCGGTGTTTTCCCTTTCAGTTGCACCTGGATCGACGGGTTACCTATGGCCGACCGAAGATGCCCAACTCGCAGCGGACAACCTCACCGACGACGAAGGCGAAGCCACCGATTCTCGCAACCTGTCCCTCACTCGCCTCGGTCGATCCTTATCCCACCTCTCTCTTCACTCTACTCTTTCCTCCCTCTCCTCCCTCTCTCGAGCGTCCTCCGCAACTTCCCTCTCCGAACTTGACGAACCGACCGTCGAGATTCAAGGGTTGTCCTCTCTCGCCGGAGCCACGACGACGACCGACTTCCTCTCCGAATGTCACTCTTCGCTCGAACGTTCCTTCGCCGAGAACCATACGGTCGAGAACGCCGCTATCGAATTGAAGACCTTGCGAATGGCTTCCAACGTCCCTTTAACGAAAGTGAGACAAGTCGTCATCCCCTTCGTGTTGAAAAATTGTCTCGTCGAAGCCGACAAGACTTTGATCGTACTCGAAAGGTGGGGAGGGTTGATCGCGAACCTAACGGCCGAACAAGAAGAAGGGATGAAGGATTCGTTATTGATCGCGCAGAGATGGGTGGCCGAACAAGTTGAGGATGAGAAGGATGGGATGAGGATGTGGTTGAGGGTCTTGAAGGCGTTTTATGAGACCGATGTCGTCGATGACGAGAGTGTTTTCGCGTGGTATAAGAGTTCGGAGGCGAGGAGTGTCGGAGGCGAAATGGGGAGGAAGTTGTGGGCAGGGGCGAAACCTTTCTTGGAGGCGATTGCGCAGGACAGTGATGAGGACAGTGATGAGGACAGTGATGAGGATGATGAGTAGAGGGTTGGAGGCCTTCTTCACTTTGCTCTGCCAAATGTCCAAGTCTTCTTCGCATCAAACGAAGAGGCTTCCGAGGGCTCCGATGATAGTAATTCCAGCACGACTGGTCAAGTCCTACGCTACAAGATTAAGTGAAAGAGACAACGAGCGACGAGGGTTGCGTGTATAAGTAGGTTGTATTATGTAGGACGTCAGCGAGAGCTTTCGGTCATGATCCTTAGCAGCCTTCCATCAACGAGGGTTTCATAAAGCCACACCATACTGATCCCTATCCGCCTGCTGATACTCGACGTAACCCCTCTGGTTCAATCCAGCCTGATTCGGATTTTGCTGCTGTTGATGTTGTTGCGATGCGGGACTAAGCGGTAAAGTCGTCTTGCGCACCGTTCTCCCACCCCGTTGTCCCGCCGAAGGAGGGAGCGAATCCTGTCGCATCGGAACGACGTGATGATCACTTTCCCTATAAGCCGCCTCGTTTCCATAAGCCCCTTCCCTGTTCTCCGCCGACACGAAAGGCATATTCTCAACACCCTTCTCCCCCATCGACATCGAATGCGACCCATCGTCCCTCCCGCTTCGACTCGCACCATCCGTACCACGAGTCCTCTTGGAAGAAGCCTGGAACGCATTATCGATATCGAAACCGGGTTTCTCCTTCTTCCCTATCGAAGACGATCGGGTACCTGGTCGTCCGAGGATGAAGTCGATCGTGAATACGATGCCGTGCCATCCGGCTCGGAAAAAATCGGCTGTTGAAGTGGACGTAGATTGTGGAGGGGTCAGGGGGGTGGTGCTTCCTTGACGTGGAACGTGAAGCAGTGAGGCCAGAATTGAATTCACCATAGTTGAACGAATGTAGTAAGGCCTTGAAGACGGAAGTGTGGGGTTGACCCGGCGCGCGAGCTTCCTTGTAAGGCTTCCATGAAAACGCCCAGAGGAAGACGGCGGAGAAGATCACCATCTGTAGAGGACACACACAACTCAGCACCGAGGGAGACAAGTACCGATATCTGGGAAGACGTTGAACCCACCTCGCAGCAGGTACAAAGCGCAGCCAACCCATCAGCAACGTTCGCAGCAGTCCAGTACTCTGTTGCCTTGATCACGCCATGACTTTGCAAGACGGAGAAGATGAACACTTGGTAAAAGGTAACTGTGCGAAAAATCCATCCGTCGTTAGCGGGGAGTGCTGGGCTAGCGGGGAACGCTGGGCTAGATACGAGAGCGTGACTCACTCATGACGATGCCCTTGATGGCCAAGAACTTGGCGAGCGGTTTTTTGCCTGCTAGGCGCTCCTTGACTAGGCCGTAGAAAAGGATTAAGCCGTATAAAGCCACGCTGCACGATGACAAGAGACAAGGTCAGTTACGCTGACACTGTGTGAGGAGAGAGAGAAAGGAGGAGAGAGAAGGAGGGGTTACCAACGTACGAGATGGATATAAAGTCGAAACCTGCAAGTACGTGAGGATCAGCATCGTCTTGCAATAAGTTTTGCAATAAGTACCTAGAAAGTTGGATGACGTACTATCGAGGTACACTGAGGCATAGTAAATGGAATATTGTGTCGGACAGAGCACCGAAAGAGCTACAGCGCGATGAAGCAGATGTTAGCTTCGGCGCAGCAATTGGTTTCGATCAGGAGACCGACCTTGACAGATGATGCCCGTAATCGAGATGATGGGTCGGAAAATGGAGTCTGCAAGCACGCGGAACGTCTCCCAGGGTCAGAACTACTTCAAAATCTCGTCCTGAAAGAATTGCCGCGACTCGCATTGTAGCACCGACCACTTGAGCGCGTGCAAGAAGTAAGGCTTCGAAGGGCGGTAACGCCAGCAACAAAAGGGGACCATCTGTTCACACAATGATACGAACAGCGATGTCAGCTACGACACCCTGACAAGACGTCGGATCGGTATCCATCTCACTCACGAGTTTTTTCTTTTCCTTCTCGAGTAAAGCTTCCCTTTGCTCGTCCGTACTGTCGCCGATGTATTGGAGCAAGAGCATCAAGAACGCGGCCAGCTGCAAATGGAGTTTCGATCGTAGGCCGTCAGCACATGTCCTCTTCGCGTGGATTCTGTTTCAGATGCCATGAACATACGACAATGGACTCGTAGATGACGACAATCAATTGGTAGTAAGTATAGTCGCGGAACCTGTGAAGCAGGAGCTCGGCGTGAGAATCATACATAAACCAGTGCCCTTAGTATGCACGGAGGATGAACCGACCATCGGTAAGAGCAGAAAGAGATGATACTGTAAACGGCGGGCATGAAGAGAATACGGATGATTTGACGTTGTTCCCTTGGGACCTGGTGGGATGAAAGAAGGGCCGGTCAGCATGTATCGCTGTGGAGTGCCGCCCTCGTCTCGGCTACTGATGCTCGTGCGGCCGAGATTCGCAGTGAGAGTCGCTGGAGGCTGGACTGGGCGAAGTGCACGTACGTAGTAGTTCCTCGCGTGAAAGAAGACGCTGATCAACGTGACGACCGTTGACTGCGTGATCAGAATCGAGGGGTAGGTACCATTAGCATGCTGGTCTTCCCATGATCGCTTTCCTGTTCTCAGCCTCCCGTGACGCCGCCTGCGCGCCGGGTCCGATCGAGGAGTGAGTTACGTACGACCGCAGCGGCTACACCAGCAATGAGCCATCCAATCTCATGTGCATCCCATCTGTACAGCTCATCAGACACGAGTCAGTACATCGACGTGAAGCGTGGCCGGTCCGTTTCTTGATCGTATTCAGCTGCAGCCCGTAGCCCAACCAGCCAGCCTTCCCACGGCAAACGTTTCGGTCGGGACTCGGCGAACGCTCGGAGATGCGTCGACACGCCTCGACGACTGATTCAGATGGCCACGAACGCACCGTCCATCCCAGAAATCACTCTGTTCCAACGCCGACGTATTCTCGGCCGGACACGTTCGGTTCGTCAAGACCATCCTTGAAGTCGCGTGTGCAGGTGGGAGCGGTATGCAAGAAGGGAGGCTCCGTGCGCGCCTCGCCTGGCCGCAGTCGTGCTGGCGCTAAGGCGGGCGGGCGGTCGAAGATGATTGGTTCCTGGTGTCCGAACGCGAACACGCAGCAAAGCTCGACGTGCACCGGTGGGCCGCTAGCCAACGAGGCAGTAGGCCGTGTGAGATCCGACTTGGAGTGTAGAGAACGAGCGGTGGGGTCCAAGTAAATCAACGAAAGGCAGCGACAGAGAACGATGAAGATGTGAGAGGAGGCAACTTGCAGGGCGGCCCGAACGCCAAGATCGCATCGGTTCAGCTAATGCTGATGATTGGTTCTGATGATGCTTGTCGGGCGCAAAAATAGATTACGCCCGCTCGGCGCACGACGCGCGCCGCCTCTTATTATTAGCATGTTGATACCTATGGTGCAGCAAAATCCAAGGGACGGTGCATCTGGGCAAAATTAAGTCGTGTATGAAATTAACAGCCAACCGAATGGCCAAAGGGGAATTAACATTTAGATAGTAGTAGTAGTGGGTGATATAAAATGGAGCCGGCACTTCGACCGCGTTCAACCTTGAGCCTCCTTGAGCCTTGAGCCTTCAACGTCCCCCTTCTCTGCGTCTGAAGACCCATCTCTATCGCTTATGATTGACCCAGTACGGGAGCAGCCTGATCCAACACAGCCTTCCTCGTCGCATCGTTCTCCTCCTTCACAGCCATGACCTGTTCGAGCGTCGCCTTCTTGTTATCCCTCAACGCTCTCAGCCTCGCGTGGTCCTCCTTTTTGACATCCAGTTGTTCAGTCAACATCGTCAAGTTGGTCAACGAGGCGTCGTATTTGGCCTGGGCTTGGGTTAAGGCATTCTGGTGCTTGACTTCCTTGAGCTTGGCCTGGTGAAGTTGGGTGCCAGAGGACCGAGTCTCAGCTTGGGGCCAGAAACGGGGCATACGCGTAAAGTCGCGGAGAAGAACTGACCTTGTCAACCTTCTTCTGCAGCTTGGAGAGTTCCTGAAAGACCAAAAGTTGGAGGATCAGAAGCGAGCCAACAGCATCGACCGCCACCGAGGGGAACTGACCTTTGCCGCCTTGGCCTCCTTCTTGATTTTGGACTTGGCATCCTTCTCAACCACCTTGAGTTGCTTGACGTCCTTCTTCTCTTCCTGCTTCACCACCTTTTCGATCTGCCCATGTGCAAAACAAGAACGGTTGTCAGTATTAACAAGAGCGCACCGCTCGAGTTTCGGAAGAGATCTCGTGACCTCGCACGATGTCCAACTCTCGACTCTCGCCGTGCCTTGGTGATCCGCCGCGACCGAAACTGACCTTCTTGAAATCCTTTTGCTTGGCCTCATGTTCCTTCAAGTCGCTGACCGAAACAACTGGGGCGCTTGAAGCAGCTGCAGCGGGCTAGAGTCAGACAAAATGCAGACAAAAGCGCGTGAATAAAATGAACGTCGCGCCAGGAACGACCTCATCGAATCGGAATTCCGGCGCGCGACCCAAGCTGGGCAAGTTTGATCGACCGTGTTGACCGTTGATCATTCTCGTGGGTGGACACGTAGTCACGTACGGAGCGAGATGGGTCAGCTGAGGCTAGTTCTCACGGTGGCTGTGGTGGCGGCGGGTGTTGCAGCACTAGCTTGAGTGGCTTCGGAGATGGGAGCGCTGCGAGGTTTCTCCGTGTAGGCTTTGGAAGACGTGGGCAAGAAGGGGTGGCAAGTCGAGTTATAATGGAAGGGGTCAACTTGGAGTCGACTAGGCCGTCGCTTCGGAAGTGTTTAAGTAGACTCACTGGGGGATCGGGAAACATCAGCAGCTGCGTTGACGGGGAGGACGGTAGTCATAGCGATGTCAAGTGGGTTTGGTGGTTTGACCAAGACGTAAGAGGTGAGCGCGGTTTATGCAGGTGGGAAGGAGGCAGACTCTTCTTTGAATCTCCGAGAGCGCAAGTGCTCAAAAGGATCGCTGGGCCCAGAACTGCTCGGAAGACGAGATCGCCCAGGCCAAATCGGGGTTGAATGACTTGGGCCCTGAATAACATTCTCGATTTCAATGATCGGAGCCATTTCTCCGATCTCGTCTCGGGCAAGTTTACTTATCTTGGACCTGCAGCCTCCTTGTGATTACTCTCTTTGTTACTGTACCGACTTGGGCTCAGCTTCGGCGACCGGTTCAACTCGACGAGCATTCGATCGAAGCCAGCGTCCGCGGCGCATGGTAATGCGGAGATTTTTAACGCGCTCTCATAAATTTACTTGCCGAGTCATGCAGCAACGGTCACCCTTTCCGCAAGTACAAAAATATGCAGGGAACGGAGTAGCCTCCTTCTCAGCAAAAGATGATCGATCGTGTTGCGGCGTCGGAAAAGTGTGCTCGAGCAAACTCATCACCGCGGTCGACCCGATCGGCGTCGGCGAGCTCCGAGTATTCTCTGATCCGGACCTCACGATGGCTGAGAGTCCCGGTACTACGAAGCATTGCTTGCCAAGTATCGGCCAGTCACGATGTTAAACGCACACAGATCATGTAGTCGATGTATTGTGCTTCGACCGAGGTGGGAACCCCCAACGCCCCAAAAGTTTACCCGGCCGGCCGCCGCCCCTATTCTTGGGGGCACCAGCCCAGCGCAATAAGACGCAATTTACGATTTCAACCCGAGTCGCGAAGTTCATTACGATAGCGCGCTTTTTGGTTTCGGCCGCCCCGGCGTGGGGTCGGTCGGCGGCGTGGCCGATGTTCGCTCTGACGGCTTTCATCTCCTTGCCTTGGTCTGCCTTGGTCTCGCATCCGACGCAGCTCGATATTTTCTTTCGACCCGTTCAATCGCTTCCTTCGTCCACTCGACTCTCTCAACAACAAATTGGATCCCGACTTGAAGCTCAGCTCACAACGACCCACCTCCGAGCAGCGAACCAGACACGCACCTTTGACCGCCGCCGCTGGCCACCCGTTGGAGCCCGCTGGCCCGACTGAGGCCGCTCCCCTTGTTTGGTCAATTATCACACGCCTCTCCCGCTTCTGAACCCGACGCCGGCCTGTGACCCGGCACGACCGTTCTCCCGCGCCGTTCCTACTTGGAACCTTATCAACGTTGCCGAACCCAGCATTCGTTACCAGCGCCAGCACCTACTCCACCACACCCCATAACACCCCCCGCTTGGATCCCCTTCTGTGCGACGACTTGGAATGGCATCGTCAGCCGCTCGGTTCCTGAGGGAGTACAAGGTCCGTTCACGATCCATCACATCAACTGTCGCCTCCGGTCCTAGGGGGCCCTACATGTCCATTCTGGGGGCACGAGCTACCAGATCGGGGAACGCCACCCGATGTAGGCAGCGTGTTACACATCACGCCCCTCCCCCGCCGCCGCCGAGTCGAGCGTGTGATCACCGACCCACTTTCCGCCCCTCCCGTCCTCCCGTCCCAGGGGACGAGGTTCGAGCGTCGAGGGCTGGATGCGGGCGTGTGCGCAGACGCAGTTCCCGACTAGCGCACACACGCGCGCGGCGGATTTAGACTGAAGCGAATGTCTCTCACGAGCTCAAAAGCGGTGGGATCATTCCCTCGGTCCGAGCATGAACCGGCATATATCCGCTACGGGTCGTCGTAGAGGGGTCAACACTTGCGTCGCGTCGTGGGGATCTCGATCACTGATCCCGCTTCAATTACGGCTGCCCCTTCTCACAGCTCGTCGTGGTCGGAGGTGGTGGTGTCGGAAAGAGTGCCTTGACAATTCGTGAGTCGGTGGATATCCCCACCCCCCATTCGGTCACAGGTACACTTGGCTCATATCTAGTCGTCTTTACAAATCACCAGAATTCATCCAGTGCGTACCGAACCGGCGAGACTCGATAAACTGACCGCATGGAACTGGCAAGCTCATCTCAAAAGTGTGGTGGCTTCAATTGGGGGTGGGCAACAGATCACATTTCGTCGACGAGTATGACCCGACAGTGCGTATCATCCTAGACCAAACTCGGTTCAACCGCAGAGACTGACCTCGTGGCCCGACCCCTCTTTCCGTTTTCCCCAGATCGAGGACTCGTACCGGAAACAGTGTGTGATCGACGAGGAGGTCGCTTTGCTCGATGTACTGGATACCGCAGGACAAGAGGAGTACTCGTACGTTTGTCACCATCAATTCGGGGTCAATAAGATGGGGGAGACCAGGATGCGGCGGCATGTCAGGGGAGGACAAAGGGAATCCGTGGAACCCGGACGAGAATGTGGGGAGGGGAAAAGATCGAGCGGGAAGGGGAACAGAGCAGGCAAGAGTTCATCGAGAAAGATCGGAAAGGGCTGACGGGACACTTCTTGTTCCGCTCAACAGTGCTATGCGTGAGCAGTACATGCGGACCGGGGAGGGGTTCCTGCTCGTCTACTCGATCACATCCCGCAACTCGTTCGACGAAATTGGGACGTTCCACCAACAAATCCTGCGTGAGTTGGGACAGTGCGAATGGGAGATGCGGGGCTTGGGCTGAACCGGACGGAATACGTTTTACGTGACGCAGGTGTCAAGGACAAGGATTCCTTCCCGGTGATCCTGGTGGCCAACAAGTGCGATCTCGAATACGAGCGACAGGTGGATTCGCAGGGTAAGCTTTGAGCATGAATCGATTGGTAATGGCGTCGATGGGGATCTTTTGCTGATGCACAAGTCGATCTTACAGAGGGCCGAGATTTGGCGAAGCATTTTGGGTGCCGCTTCATCGAGACATCTGCGAAGCAACGATTAAACGTCGAGGAGGCCTTTTCAAACCTGGTTCGCGAGATTCGAAAGTACAACAAGGTGCGTCGTTGAGTCAAGTGTTGCGTTGTTTTGAAGTATGCTTGAGACTTATGTCGCAGTTTTGCTTCGTATAGGAACAAGCGGCAGGTCGACCAGGGGCACCTCAGAACGGGGCGGGCCATTTCGAGACCGACGACAAGCAATCGGCGGGGTGCTGCGGTGGTTGCGTGATCCTCTAGTGCGCGGTGTTCCTTTTCTTGTTGCGTCGTTTTTCTTTCCTTTTGGGTGGTATTTTGCCGTTTTTTCTCCTCCTACTACTCCTTTTATCTCTCTGTGTGTGTGTGTGTGATCCACCTCGCCCAGCTCGTCCTTTTTTCATCTTCTTTCTGTTTGGTTACCAGGACGTTTCCCCAACCCCCTTTTTTTGGTATACCCTCTTGCTTCCTCACCTACTCGACTACCTACTACCTATCTAGCTACAACTACTACCCCGCGCGCCTCCCTCTCTTACGAATAGAAGGTGTGGCTTCGAAACGAAGAATGACCTCGCAAACTTCTGGCCAATCTCGCTCTTGTCTCCGAGTCGTTCCCCTTCTCTTCTTCTTTACGCTAATGAAATCCCATGGGGTCGGGGCCTGCCAAGGAAGACATTATCTATCAAGCGCCAGATCTTTCAGCGGTCCAAGCGCACGTTTCTCCGTTCTCGGGGGCGATCGCTTTTGATCGATCTCGCCATCGATAAGACTATAAGACTCGCGCGCTCGGCCGGGATTCCTCACCTCGCACCTCGGCTCGTTGATCTCTGCTCCTGACTTGTCCTCGACTCGGTCCCTGATCCCTACACTTGGCCTACCAGACAGACTTCACCGCTCGCGCTCGACCTCGATCAAGCGCAATGGGCTACTCACCACACCCCAGTATGCCGTCTTCCCCCACTGGAGGGCAAGGGCGACCGACTCGATTGGCGGTGTTGACTTCGGGTGGGGATTGTTCGGGAATGGCACGTGCGCTGTTCTGGAGTACTGGCAGTGAAAAGGGGGAGGCTGATGCTTGTGTGTGTGTGTGTGTGTGTTTTGGGGAATAGAATGCGGCTGTTCGTGCGGTGGTCAAGATGGGCATCTCGAGGTTCGTGACAGTTCAGTTTCGTTTCTCTACCGTGTCAATTTGATCGTCATCGTGGGGGTCTCCTCCTCACCCGGGACGAGCGCGGATCGACCCAAGACAAGGAAGGAGCGGGAGATGGATGCAGCGCCGTTCAGACCAGAATGTACATCTCGGAATCACTCGACAGTCTTCGGGTTCGACGGTCGATGCATCAGATCAGACGAGACGACGATCACGGTGTCAAGCTCCGCCAGCCGCTCTCCGCCCTCGCCTCGCCCCACCTTGGGGAACACGAACCGTCGTCGGCCCACATCCCGCGCAGGACGGAGGATAAAATCGCTGACCTTTTCGTGCTGTTCTGATCGATCAGAGGCTGCGAAGTTTACGTCGTCCGAGAAGGATGGGAAGGGCTCGTGCGAGGTAACGAGAATGAAGAACCGACCACGTCCCAGCTCACCACCTCGAACCTGACACCGTCCAACTCGACCAACGCGGCCGCGGGTTCGACGAACGCACGACCAACGGAGAGGAAGCCGAGTCGAGGACGGGGAGGCTTTGTCGCGACGTATGGGGAGGGCGAGTTGCTGAAAGAAGGGGAGGGGGAACAAACGTTGAGAAATAGGTTCATCCTTAGGGTCAGTTCGGAGAGAGCGGGCTTACGGCTTTTGACAGTTGGGGCTCATCCGTTTGCTCCCTACACACAGGTCGGTTGGGACGATGTTCGAGGATTCGCTTCCTTGGGAGGGACCTTGATCGGCACGGCTCGCTGCGCCGCCTTTAGGGAACTCGAAGGACGCCGGAAAGCGGCCTTCAACCTCGTCAAGCATGGCATCGACGCCCTCGTCGTATGCGGTGGTGACGGGTCCTTGACCGGCGCGGATAGGTTGAGGGCCGAATGGCCGGATCATGTCCAGGCCTTATTGAAGAGTGGTGCGTGCTTTCACAGCGAGTCAGGTTTCGACGCTTGAACGTAATAATCTGATGCAGCAAGTGTCACGTGCAGGTCAAATCACTCCCGAGCAATTCGAAGCGCATCAGCACCTCAACATCGTTGGTTTGGTCGGATCGATCGACAACGATATGGCCGGAACCGATATGACCATTGGTGGGTGCGGACTCTAGAACCCTCCTGGGTATTGAACGCTCTGTTTGGCTTTGTTGGGAGCTCGAATCATGCGGCGCATCACAATCCGTGCTCTGCTCGGATTGTCCAAGCCCAAACCAAAGCCAGGCTGGGGTATCCGCTATTCGGGCGTGGATGTTCAATGGCTTTGCACGGATAACTAAACTGACGCCATGTTCTCCCCTCACGCCTCAGGCGCCACCACGGCTCTGCACCGAATTTGTGAAGCCGTCGATAGCATCTCGTCGACTGCGTCCTCTCACTCTCGAGCGTTCGTCGTCGAAGTCATGGGTCGAAATTGCGGATGGCTCGCCCTGATGGCCGCCATCGCCACCGGCGCGGACTACATGTTCATACCCGAACGACCACCAACGGCCGAGGACTGGCAAACGTCCATGTGCACCGTCTTGGGTCGTCATCGCGCCGAAGGCAAACGCAAGACCATCATCATCGTCGCTGAAGGTGCTCATGATTGCAACCTCAAACCCATCTCGCCCGAGGAGATTAAGGATGTCTTGACGCAACGACTGGGCCTCGATACGCGAGTGACGACCTTGGGACACACGCAACGTGGTGGTGCGCCTGCGGCTTACGATCGTATCTTGGCGACGTTGCAAGGTGCCGAAGCTGTCGAAGCCGTCTTGGCGTCGACGGTCGACTCACCTTCCCCCGTCATTGGGATCCAAGAAAACAAGATCCAACGTCAACCTTTGATGGAAGCGGTGAAGAAGACCCAAGACGTCGCCAAGGCGATCGCGGACAAGGACTTTGCCCGCGCCTTGTCGTTGCGCGATCCCGAGTTCGAGGACTGCCTGCACGCTTTCCGCGCGACGACGAGGTTGAACGAGACGTACCGAGTACCGGAGAAACAGAGGATGAGGATCGCCATCATCCACACGGGTGCACCCGCGGGTGGGATGAACGCCGCGACGAGGACAGCCGTACGATACTGCTTGTGCCATGGTCATACCCCTCTGGCGATCTACAACGGTTTCGTCGGTCTCTTGCACGGCAACGTCGCGGAACTGAGCTGGTTGCGCGTCGATCAATGGTCCACCCGAGGCGGGTCCGAACTCGGAACGAATCGAGTCCTCCCCGACACGGACCTCGCGGGGGTGGCGGCCAAGTTGGCCGAATACAAGATCGACGGTTTGCTCATCGTCGGTGGCTTCGAAGCAATGGTATCTCTCGAGCAACTCGAAAAGGGACGCAAAGATCATGCCGCCCTTCGTATCCCCTTGATTCATCTCCCCGCGACGATCTCCAACAACGTCCCCATTACGGAATGGTCCGTCGGCTCGGACACGAGTATCAACGTCCTTGTCGAGGCTTGCGATTCGATCAAACAATCCGCTTCGGCTTCGAGGAACCGCGTGTTCGTCGTCGAGACACAAGGCGCTGGATGTGGGTACATCGCCATGTTGGGTGCTTTGGCAACCGGCGCGAACCTCGTCTACACACCCGAGAACGGTATCTCGTTGGGCATGCTCCAACGCGACGTCGAGTTCCTCAAGAAACGTTATTCGCAAGACGTCGCCGGTAAATCCGAAGGCCGTCTCATCATCCTTGCTGAAAAAGCTTCCAAGACGTACACGACCCAAGTCGTGACCAATATCTTTGCCGAAGAAGGCAAAGACTCGTTCGATGCTCGTTCGGTCGCTTTAGGGCATACGCTTCAAGGTGGGGTCCCTTCACCTCGTGATCGAACGCGCGCTATCCGTCTTACGGTCAAATGCATCGATTTCCTTGAGAAACACCATAATCGGAAGTTGCAAAACCTCGCTCCCGATCCTCAAGATCCAGACGCAGCGACGATCGTGATCGAAGGCGCTTCGATCCGCTTCGCTTCGTTGGAGGAGATGGTCCAAGCGGCGGATTTCAAGAATCGAAGAGGGAAGGTGCAGTGGTGGACGAGCGCGAAAGAGTTGGTCGAGACGATGGCGGGTCAGAAAGTGCCGAGTGAGGAGCTCGAGACGCCTTTGACGAGCCCGAGGACGGAGAAGAAGGATCCGAATGAGCGGTTCTCGAGGTTGTGAGGCGGGTGTGGGTCTTGTAGGTCTTTTTCTTGCTTGCGAGGATGGTTTGTTTGGACGTTAGATGTCTGGTTCTTGTGTGTGCATTCGTCTCAATCTATTCTTCTATATAGCTCATCGGTTCAAATGCAAGTCATAATTCACTAACAGACCGGGCCATGTCGCGGACGAATAAAGCTCGACGTTGCAAAAAAGATGCACCAGGTAAAAGCCTCTCAACAAACCCCTCCTTATCGGCCCCTTGTTCAAATCAACTTGTTCTCCAACCTCCTCTCATCCTTGAGCGCCTTCAACATCTGGCACACCTTATCAAACACAATCACCTCGGTCTTACCTTTGACTCCGACATCATCGCGATTCCTGACGTTGACCGAACTCGACTCGACCTCTTCGGACCCGACGACAAAGATAAAGTTGTACTGCGCGATTTCACCATTCCTAACCTTCTTGGGCAATGTCGCGTCCGTCAAATCCGCGTCGGCGAAGAAACCCATCTCCCACAATTGGGCTTGCAGTTTGGAAGCGTATTCCTTATGAGGTTGCGCGACGGGGATGATCAAGACTTGACGAGGCGAGATCCAGAACGGCCATTTCCCCGCGAAATGTTCGGTCAAGATCGCGACGAACCTTTCGACCGAACCCAAGATCGCACGATGAATCATCACCGGTCGAGCCATCTTCTTGTCCTTGTCGGCTTCGCCACCTCCTTCGGCGGAACGGTATTGCAGATCGAACCTTTGGGGGAGTTGGTAATCGAGTTGAATGGTCGCGCATTGGTGTTTACGCTTGAGCGCATCTTGGATCGTAATGTCGATCTTGGGACCGTAGAAAGCACCATCTCCAGGATCGACGGTCCATTTGCCGGGGACGAACTTGTCCAATGAGGCGGACAGCATACGTTCGGCTTCGTCCCAGGTCTCGATCTTGCCGAGAAAGTTCTCGGGACGGGTCGAGAGCTTGAGGTTGAATTGGAAACCAAAAGTGCCGTAGACGTGGTTGAGGAAATCGAAGCAGACGTCCATCTCTTGTTCGATCTACGTGATGGAGAAAGGAATGAACTCTCGCTGTTTTGCTTTTGGCAACGTCTCTCGAACCCTTTTCATCCACTCACTTGATCGGCCATACAGAAATGATGGGCATCATCCTGTTGGAACCTCCTGACCCTGGTCAAACCCGTCAAAGCGCCACTCGCCTCGTTCCTGTGCAAGACTCCGAAATCGGCCATCCTGATCGGCAACTCGCGGTACGATCGATCCCTCGAAGCGAAAATCAAGCAATGTCCCGGGCAGTTCATCGGTTTGAGCGCGAATTGTTCCTTCTCAACTTCGAGCTTGAACATGTCGTCGGCGTAATTGGCCCAATGACCCGACGTTTCCCACAACTTGGCGTTGTACATGTTGGGCGAGATGACTTCCTGGAAGTTGCGCTTCCGGTACTCGGAGCGCATGAAATCGACCAAGGTGTTGTAGATCCTCGTACCGTGGGGTAACCAAAACGCCGTACCGGGGGACAACTCGTGGAAGAAGAAAAGTTCCTGGTCCTTACCGATCCGTCGATGATCGCGCTTGGCCGCTTCTTCCAGGAATTTCTTGTGTTCGGTCATTTGCTTGGTATCGGGGAACGAGATGCCGTACACGCGTTGCAAGGAAGCGTTGTCCTTGTTGCCGAGGAAGTAAGACGCCGAGTTCTTGAGGATCGCCAAGGCCTTGACCTTGCCCGTGTGCGGGATGTGCGGCCCTCTGCACAAGTCGACCATGGTGCCGCAGCGGTAGACCGAGGTCGAGGTACCGTCGGGGATCTTGTCCTTGATGATGTGCACCTTGAAGGGATTGTACTGTTACAAAGAAAGCCAGTCAGTGTCTGCTCTCTCTCAAACCAAGGGGGTCACGATCTTGACGTACGGCGAACATCTCCAACAATTGCTCCTTGGTCATCTCGAGGCGTTCAAACTTTTGCTTCTCCTTGACGACACTCTTGGCGAGCGTCTCCAAAGGCGTATAGTCGGTCGAGGTGACGATCCTAGTACGAGTGAACAAGCTGCTCAGTCATCTCGAGGTGGAATGGTCTGAGGATGGCGTCGTTGCGCACCTGTCCGAGTTCATTCCCATCTCGTAAAAGAAGCCTTCGTCCGTGGGGGGACCGACGGCGAGATGGGCACCGTAGTGCCTCTCGCAGCATTCTCCCAAGATGTGGGCTGACGAGTGCCACCAGACCTTCTTGCCTGGAGAGGGAAGATGATGAGCTGGGTTCACTCGGACGCGTGGAATGAGCCGGGCGTACCTTCGGGATGGTCAAAGTCCAAGAGTTCGAGGGACGAGTCCTTTTCAAAGGGGCGGTCCATGTCCCAGAGAACTCCATTGACCTGAAGCGAAGGAGAACGAAGGCATATCAGTGGTGTGAAACTGGATCCTAAATCGGACTCTCTCGATCTCACCTTTGCGATGACGGTCTTTTCGGCGAGCCCCTTGCTGATGCCGAGGGCGATCTGCATCGGGGACGTCTCCCAACTGGTACCTTCCTTGACGCCTCCATCGGGCAAAGTGATCTTGATCGGTTCTCGGGGGAGCGCTGTTCAGGGGAGTACACCAAATAGGGGGTCGATCAGTTCGGCCGTTTCCCCCCCCCGAGCTCGTCCCCCCCTGCGTGTCTGCACACTCGACTCACCAGCAAGCTTCTCGTGCTGCTCCTTCTGGATCCTCTCAAACATCTCGATACGAGACTGGATGAAGGCAGGCTGTGGGGTCAACTCGAGCGCATTGACGCCGGCGGTGATCCCGGCTACGGCGGCGCCGTCCTTTTTAGGTTTCTTCTCCTTGGGAGCTTTGGGAGCGCCGGCGGGCTTGTGACCACCTGCTGATGGAGCTGGCGCTGAAGGTGCAGGTGCGGAAGAAGGATCGGAAGGGACAGCAGCGCGCGCCGGTTCGGCGGTCGACGAGACGGGATGAGGAGCGGACGAGGCCATGTTGGAACACCACGCTCGTCGAAGCGGCTGCGAGAGGTCAGGCCGAGCTGCTGCAGGTGGTGCGTATGCAGTGACGGTGAGGGGTCGGAGGGGTCGTTGGAGAAGAGAGGCTCTAGGTCGTAAGAGCAAGAGCAAGAGCAGGCGTTGCATTCACCGATCCGAGCGGCGCCAGAGGGTGTATCGAGCAAAGGCGACGAGGGCGAGAGCGAGTCCGAGTCAAAAAAGACCGGGGCCGAAGCCAACGCGCCAACGCGCGAACGCGGGAGAACGCGGGCCGCCGGGAAAAGGCAACCGCCCTGACTCGCACGGACCGCCTACCCAAATCCAGCCTAATCATTATGGCCGGCTCGGCGAACCTTCGAGTCAAAAACTTCGCCCATCTTTTTATGGACTCTCGAGGCATCTTCCAAAGTGGACAACACCTACGTGCACACTGCACTTGCAGTCAATCGCCTATATAAATCATCCGCCGCGAGACCGCCACTGGTGCCAGCTTGAAGCTCCCCCACCTCCGATCCGCGCCTACTAGTTCACGCTCCCCACCCTCGTCCTCGACGCGGCGATGACCACCAAGTCCACCCGCTCAGAGTCCACCTCCACCTCCCCGCCTCCACTCTCCAAATACCTCAGCTCCCTCCTTGATCATCTCGAAACCACCAACTCACGCCTATCACTCTCCGTCGCCACACCACCACACGGGCTCTTCAAACCAGGCGATACACTGCACCCTGTCGTCACGCTCCACAAACGGTCTGCGGAATACACCTCGCTTCAACTGAGTTTGGTTGTTAGTACGCATGCGTTGATCTATGGCAAGGATCGATGGGTCAGTTCCTCAGCGCCGGCTTTGGCCATGGCCTGTTGAGCCCCACTTCGACTGACCGATCACTTGGTATCCAGCAAAAAGGTCAAATGGCCTCAGCCATGCTGGGCAACGCCACAACGGGTGCGCCCATCACCACGATCGAACAAGTACCGGTCTACACCGTCCAAGTACCGTGGACAAGTCCCAACAACGTCGGCGCAGCAGCACCGCCAGCTGCAGCATCGGAGAAGGAACAGAAACGCTCTCTCGCGTCAAAGGCAGGCTCCGATGGGCCATTACATGGTGGCGTGTACGAGATCATCCTCCCGCATCCTCGATCCGGGGAATTGCTTCCGACGATGAGGAGGAAAGACGAAGGGCTTTGTGAGTCCCACGATCAGCGGCAGGGAGGTTCCCTGTCGCTTACCGAGGAATCTCTCGGCTTGCGTCTGGCTCGCAGCTGTCCCCAACAGACTCGGCGTTTCTTGGGTCCTTCATCTTCGTGGAAAGAGGCATGGATTCCTCAAACTGGATGATCAGTAAGTCCACTGAACCTCCTACCTTCGCGACGTGCGTTGTCCCCTGGAGCGTAGCGAGGAAAACTCATTCCCTCCCTGATCCCTAACCCCCAGCCTCCAGATCGAGCTCCCGGTCGGCTTCCCCATAGTTCCACCCATACCCGAAGATCTGCCCGAATCCGAATGGGTCACTACTACAGGTTCCAAGGACCTCCTTCACAAAGGGACCCAAGGCGGAGGAGCGATTACATTGCATGCCAAAGTGAGCTCTCATTTTCCGGGCCACTCCTCAAGGTGATCTCTCTGAACCGGCTCCTGTTATCCACAGCTCTCAATCCATCCGCCTTCCCGAATCACTACCCGCATTCCCTTTCACCTTACATGTTCCCCCTCCGACCCTTCAACCCTCTCCCTCTTCTCCCCCTCGCCCCGCCTCAGTCTAACCCTGAACCAACGAGCCTTCACCCAGCCCGTACTGGACAAAAACCTAGGCCAAGCTATGCAGTGGTCCGGAATAGTCATCTCCGCCTCGAATGAGGTTCCTAAATTCGTGGAACCTGATAAGGGTCAAGGAATGTGGGAATGGAGAGGAGAAGTCGATGTCCCGGAGGATTGTGTGACGGTCGAAGCGAAGGGTTTGAATGTCAAGGTGGGTCACATCGAGCCGTGTTCAGCGAGGGTGATGAGCTTTTGAGTACTGAATGGTTGCGCCGTTTCCCACAGTATTTCATCACGGCACAGTTCACGTCGGATCGGATCATGGACCATTCGCTTTCCGTCACCGTACCCGTCTTCTTACCTTCTTTTCCAAGGTCCCTCACGTCAGAGGAAGTGCATGGCCACAGCGATATAGCACAACCTGGTACAAGTGGAACAACGCCCTCGAGCGGACAAGAGAACTTGCCGAGATATACCACTTGACCAATCCTCTCTCATACTGCTGTCCTGTGCTGTAAAACCAAAGTTGCAAACCATACGACCTCTCACGAGCCCGCTACTCCTCCCTCTTCCTCTTCTTCTTGTCCCCTTTATCCGCAGTCCCTCCCCCTACAACCCTCCTAGCTTTCCCCTCTTCCGGCGCAACAAAAGCCCTCTCCCTCTCCTCCTTGCGTTCCTTACTCTTCTCCTCCTGCTTCAACCTTCTCTTCTCCTCCAACTTCTGCTGCTTCTCCCTTGCTTTCAAGAAGTATTCACCCGATTCGAGTTGAAGATCGATCTTGGAAGGTTGTTGAGGCGGTGGGAAGGGGGTGTAAGGTTTCTTGTCCTTCTTCTTCATCCTTTCCGCAGCGGAAGCCTTCTTCTCCCTCCCAGCATCGGTCGCCGTAGGTTCCCCACCACCAAGCGGGATGAGGTTGGCGGCGGAAACGATTTGCTGATCTTCCTCGTAGCCTTCGGTCGAGCGTTTCTTCTTGTGTTCCCTCCGTTTGCGGAATTGCGGTAAGAACCGATCCCAATTCTCTTCGGCCAATTTGGGGTCTTTGGCCAGTTCTCGCTTGATCATAAGTTCCTACTCAAGACCACACATGTGAAAAAGTGAGTTGGGGTCAGTTCCAGACTTGGGACTGATCTTTGGATAGTCGTTGAAGCTTACTTTGATGTGGTAGATGGGATGGACGTTCTTCATGCAGTCGAGCACGATCTTGCGCACTTCTTTCAGACCTTTATGTCCTCCCATCGCGGCGACGGTGTTGCCTTGTACGAGGACGTAGCATTGCGTCAAGAGCTCGATGGCCTGACATTACAAGGGGGCAGGGGAGTCAGTACAAGACGAAAGGACGACGGAAAATTGGATGTGACGTACCTTAAGCGTCGATCCACCAGGCCCGAGGATCCGCTGACGTCGCTTGACGAACCGGTCGTTATTGCGGATGACGTTGCCGATCTTGATGATGTCGCAATTGACCGCGTCTTCCAAAATCTTGACCGCCTAGTGTCCAGGTTCAGGTCCGACCGGAAATTGATGAGCTACTGTTTCTCTCGCTTCTGTTGCCGGCGGACTGGACTGACCTGTGGTAGAGGAACCGAGCGGGCCAAGAGCTTTATGAGGTCACGCGCCTTGAGAATGATGTAGGGGTCAAAGGTCTTGCGAGTGGTCTTGACCGTCATGGAACCCTCGACCAAATCCAACGTAGCGGTAATCCCCTGAAGATCCCGACGCAATCCAGATCAGTCCCCTCGCGACCCGGTCGAATGCGCCGTTGAAAGCCCAAACTGACATGTTTCTCCAAAGCGGTGACGACATGCCCCCAAATCTCTCTCAGATACGTTTCCCTATACTTGGGGAACAAGGTCGCGAATGAACTTTCTTCCAACAATGGTGCTTGGTTCTTGAGGCCCTGGTCGTCTTTGGTGAAGGGTTGGATCGCCCAATGGTCAATGTCGTCCGTGTCCCACGGTTTGTCCTTGCGATGCTGTTGCTTCTTGCTCTGTGGATAGCGCATACGAGGGAGAGAGGTCAGGCTATCTGAATCTGCTTGCATTCCGTGGTGATAGATGATAACCGACCTTCTTCGCGGGTGGTTCCTCTCCCCCTCCCGTAACACCCTCAGCTTCCAGCGTCACCGTCGAGGTCGAAGCTTGACCTGTTGTAGATTCCTTCAAGGCCGCTGCCGCAGCCTTCTGAGCTGCGTTCTTCCTTGCCATGATCCGAGAGAATCCGGGCTTGCGAGCGGAATGGGAGGTGATGAGAAGGCGTCCGCGGCGTGTGGTGAAGGGAGTGTGGCTTGGCGAGCTCTGAAGCCGACGTCGGTCCCTGCGAAGCCCGGCCAAAGGAAATGCGGGTGGATCAGGCATTACGAATTGCGGCCCGGCGCCTATTACTAATGAACTCACCAGCGCGCTACATAGTACCAAATTGCACTTCCGCCGCGCCAAACGAACCCAGGCCGCGAGCGACACCGCGCGGGCGGTTGGTGCCCGGTTTGTGCCCGTACTAATCACCCGTTTGTTTGCACAGATCAACCGTTCAGGTGAGAGAGCTCGACTGCGACTACAACCCAAAGGTCATCACTGACTTCCTTCCCGTTCTCACTCCCTACGCTTACTCGTCGAACGCGCATCGTCGCACGACCGCCGTCGTTCACTCACTCGCCTCGCCCTGCCTCGCCTCGCCTCCGCGCCTCCGTCGTCTCAAAAAAAACCGCGGGCCTACAACTCACGCCGACCACCTCCCTTTTGCGCTACCGCCCACGCACGCTGAACCGAACAGTCACGTCACCATGGTCCAACGCGTCACTCTCCGAACGAGGAAATCGTACAACACCAAATCCAACGGCAAGAGGATCGTAAAGACCCCCGGTAAGGATCTCTAGATCGCCACCGCCACCGACACCGACACCCACACACACTCTCTCTAGGCTTTGGCCCGCATCGGGGCCATTTCAGGCGCGCGGCCGGCCCGCTCGCAAGGCGCAGGACGCACCTTTTCGCCGCGGGGCTGCTGGCGGGCGTCGCACCTCATGACCCGGACGGATGCTTGGAGGGGCTGAGAACGAATCTGATGGATACGTGTGGGCTGGATTTGCATGGACCGGCTACGTTGGGGAGGGGGGAAATAGCGGGCTTCGCAGGGAAGGGCAATGCAGGGGCGTAGGGCCAGTGCTCGGGGCGGATTGGCTGGCTAGGCCCGGGCCTGGACCGTTGCGAGACTGGGTTGGCTGAGCGTGGCCTCGGGCGGAAAGGTGGAATGATGCAAGCTTGTTCAGGATAAGCGGAGGGTAGTTGAATGCAGGAGAACGTATGGGATGGATGGATGGGGATCACGGAGATGTAGGATGAGATGTACCGCACTCGCCACCCAGCCCTCCAGCCTCGACTGTTGCGCGTCGGATCGCTCTCTCAACACATCACGACGCCTCCTTCAATGCCAAAACGATCGTTTTCACTGACACTTTCTTGCGATTCCTTTTGACTCAGGTGGATCGCTGCGCTACTTGACCGTCAAGAAGGCCGCCTCCGCCCCCAAATGCGGTGACTGCAAGATCGCCCTCCCCGGTGTAAGCCCCCTCACCTGGCCCTTTTCTACGACAAGTCAACACGAATACTCACATTGCTCTTCTGTCCTTCAGATCCCGGCATTGCGTCCCCGCCAATACGCTCAAATCTCGAAGCGCCAAAAGACCGTTCAACGCGCCTACGGCGGCTCGCGATGCGCCAACTGCGTCAGGGACCGGATCGTCCGATCGTTCTTGGTTGAGGAGGCGAAGATTGTCAAGAAGGTAAGGAACACACCATAGGCATAGGTCGTCGACAAAGGGAGCGCGTCAACTGATTGTTTCGATTGATCCGGGGCGCCTTTATAGGTGCTCAAGTCGCAGACTCAGGGCGGCAAGAAGTAAACGGTGGGGAGAGGGAGTGCATATTCTTTCGCTTGAGTGGTTGGGTAGATGATGGAGTTTGTGGTTGATGAAAAAGCTCGAGGGCCCACGTGCCATTCCACACATCTCTCTGGGTGTGGCAGTGTTCGCTGTTTTTCACTCGATCGCTCGTGTAGCTTCTCGGGCATTGGGTCGTTTCCTCTCGTCGTCACAGCAATCGGAAGGATGACGACTCGGTAATTGGGTAGGGCCGAAGGGACTCTGAAAAGCTCGGGGAGAGAAATAAGAGAAGTATTGCAGTTTCGGATCAAGGCGGGTCCTTCCGGCCCGGCATCTCGCCAATTCCGACAGGACCCTTGGGCCCATGGTGCCCATCATGCGTGATTTCCGAACGACGGCACTGGTGCTTCTGATAGCAGGCGCGGCAAGAGCGGTAACTGAAAGAAGTGTAAGGGAAGAAGGTGTAAGCGATGGGATGCCGGGCGGAGCGGTCTTTGATTGACTCTACATGAGGAGGGTCGCAATCGTTCCCGGAGCTTCCAATAAAGGACGTACGGGTTTCGTAGGTCGTAGCAATCGATCACGCATTGACTTCAGAGGGGTGGAGACCATCAGAGACGGGGTTTTTTAGCTGAAAGTTGACACCGGAACGTACGCGCATTTTTGGCTGACTCGGTGAGGGCCTCGGACGTAGGGAGGACATCCCTGACTGCCGTAAACGTGAGGGAAAGGATTGGTCGAATTCTTGGGAATGCTCGCTTCGGTGGGAATAGGTCTGAGGGGGTATGCAGAGAGATTGGTATGAGAAGAGCGCAAGTTGACAGCCGGGATAGTGGTGTGGGACTGACCTTCCAATAGCGAGAGCGTTCGTCAGGCCAACGTTCCCGACGGTAGTAGTGGCGACGAGGCCAAGGAGGGACGCGGGGGATCGCCTACTGGAGGACGAACCGTGGTACAGAAGGTGCGAGGGAAAATCAAAAGAAAGAAGGAGCAACCGCGTTCATAAAAAGTAGTATCGCTTCCTCTTCTGTTCAACATGTAATCCGACTCCGAGTCGGACTCGGGACTTGACCTCCGACGAGCTCGGCCCCGGCGAGTTCTTAGTGCAGTCATTCCTCTTTGAGTGATCCGCATTCGATGCTGGAGGGCTATTTCCCACTTCTGATTAACCCGAGTCTTTCTCACCCCTGAGTCGGCACATCCTCCATGATCCATCGCGCGGATCGGACGAGCTGTTCCATTCTCTCGCGCCTTAACCCGCGCTCGGCCTTCGAGGGTTCCGCATCGATGGGGAGTGAGCGGACCGTGGATGTCCCAGCGGTCAACAAATCGGAGAAATGGATTGCGTCCGTTTTTTAGCGCGTAGTTAGACCACGTTTGCAGAAACAGAATACCAAGAAAATTGGTACATCTAAGCAACGTGTCGCGTCTAAAAAAAATAAAAATAAAGTAGCTCATCGACCTTTCCCTCCCTGCCGGCGGCGAGCCGCCTGACACCTCCTGTTCCCTAGCGGCGCTTGATGAGCCTCGGCCCCTTCCGCCGCCGCCGTTGACCGAACCCCGCTTTGGAAAGTGTTTCCTTCGATGTCGCGGATGTGCCGAGGAGGTCCGTGGCCTACGTGCGGCACGGGATAGGATGAGGTCCGGGGACAATGCGCGCGATTGAACGTGATTATAAATGACAGCATCATCGATCCAGCCTTTCCGAGACTGAAGTAACAGCGCTGATGATCACGTTCGACGACGAACCATCTTCCTCTACGCCTCTATCTACTGCTTCGGTTACAACTCAGTCCCGCTCACGCTCGTTTCCGAGATCTTCACCATGCGCTTCAAGACGCTCTCGATGACGTTCTGCCTCATGTGGCAATGGCTCTGCACCTTTGCCGTCGTCCGCATCATGCCCGTCGCTTTGACCAACCTCGGTGGCAAAGCCTACTTCCCCTTCGCGGCCATCTTCATCACCGCAGGTCCTTTCGTCTACTTCCTCGTACCCGAGACCAAGGGCTTGCCTCTCGAAGCCATGGATGACCTCTTCGGTGTGGCCGAGATGACCGATGCCGAGCGCGCCGTTTTAGCGAACGAGAAGGGTGAGGTCGGCTCCGTTTCGCACGTCGAGCACGCTGGGTACGCTACCGCCGCTGCGGGTGTTGCGAGAACCAACACCGTTCAGGTCATGGCACCCATTGACGAGCTCGCGAGGCGTGTTTAAACGACCAGGCGGTTGTTCTGGAGTGTGTTGCCGGGTTTGTTTTATAGGAATTTTCTTTGCAGTTTTTGGGCATCATGAGTTACCTTTTACCTAAGTTGTTAAGGCTGTTCAACTATTACACGTACTGTAACCTACTATTGGATCCTACCCCTCCCTCGCCCTGTCAAATCATCATTCGAATTTGAGAGCGTCTCTCGTGAATTTGAGCACCGCGCGCAATGACGATGAACCAGTGGCAGGAAACAGGGGCCGAAGCTTCTCCTGTGGTAGTACCAGAGCTCGTGAGCGGCACAAACGTGGTATCTTGCATGACAACGTCTACACTGGATGGTACTGGTTCACTGTGTCTCTAAGATAAGTCCCAATACAGATCCCCAAAAGAGTACATGATTATATGTTCGATCACTTGAAATTCTGTGACTGAACGCGAGGCCACCCGTTTCCGAGTCGGACTATGGAGTGGCAGGGGTATTCGTCGGAGCAGCCTTACTGTTAGTACTGGTAGAGCTGGAGCTGGAGGTTGACGAGCTGGTCGAGGTTTGACTTTCCGTCGTACCAGTAGTGGTAGGCATAGCACTCTACGTTGACGTCAATGTCGAGCTGCTCGTATTTGATGTTGACATGCTGGTGGTCGAGGTGCTCGTCTTCGAGGAGGTGCTGGTCGAAGTCGTGGACGTGGGGAGTGGGGTAGTAGAGGTGGCCGTGGGTCCGGGGAAAGGCAGAGGTAGTATGATGGTCCGATCACTCATGGTCTCGACCCCTGTGAGCCAGTTGTTGGTCGCGATAGCGTTCTTGATCCAGATGAGGGGGATAGAGTACATTGGTACCTTCATGAAGTTGACCGAGTTGGCACTTGCGACCGTACCGAACCATCCCGGAAGCCAGTACGCATAGTATGCCCAGCCTAGAGCAGCATGATGACACTCCGAGTCAGCAACCGCAGCTTGCACCAAGAGCCCTCAGAAAATCTCCGCGCTACGGAGACTCACCGCCAGAGAGAACCGTGACAGCAGGATCCGCTGCAGTTGAATGCCCGTCGACGTAGGCGGAGAAGGTGTCTAGGGGCAACGGAGAAATTTGCGCGTCAGCGAAAGCACACTCCGGCGCCATAGCATAGACTATGAACTCACTGCTGCCTTGATAGATGGTGTATTGCATCGTATTCGCAAGCGAAGTCATTAGACTCGTCGTCATGTTGTAGTAAGCGGCGTTGCGTTGCCATGCCATGAAGAACCAATACACGTCGAACCAGCCATGAATACCGCGAACCTCCTCGGTATTGTTCCTACCGACGACGTAATCCCAATCGTAGGAAGGAAGCGTGCCATTGAGGGTGCTCGTCTGCTCCATGTCGTTGACGAACGTTTTGAGATTCACTCTAATGAGCTCGTCGTAGGATGCCGTTACGGACGGGTCGAACAACATCGGGTGCTCGTACGCGGAGGCGAGTTTCAACATCCCATCCAGGAGCAACGCTCGTCGATTGAAAGCCATGGGGTTACCGGCCCCGTTGATGCTACCGGTATCTCCGACTCGGCTCCATCGAGCATCGTTCGGCTGAATCACGTTTCCCGTATTGTCGAAGAACCAGGGTAGAAAGTATGCGTCATAGGTACTATGAGCGGACAACGAGCGAGCATCAGCTTCGTCAGCCACAGTATTGGCTGGACTCCGGCCAGCGACTCACCGTCGCCCGGCAGCGATCAGCCCTCTAGCACGGTCGAGATACGTGACGTTGCCGTTGAACTTTGATGGGCCTGTCCATCCACCGACTCGAGTGGGTGTCATGTCCCAAAGGCACGGCTGTTTGAGGATGTACAGGGCCGGAAGGACCCTATGAACAACAAGCAGCCACCAAAGGACTTGATCAGTCGCTTGTAAGTCGTGCACAGATTACGTCGTGTAACAGAACTGACATGTTTGCGACAATGTAGCCATTCTCACTGCCAGCATATTGCAACTTGGCTTTGTTATTAGGCGGCGGGGGCTGGAATGATAGAGGAGGAATTGTTTCAGCGTGAGCCGGGAGCACGTGTAGAAATTGGCGATCGAAATCGCTGCGCACAATCACAGAGTCACGAAAAGTGGTACGTACACCTGTAGGCCAGACGGGGTCACGGAGACCGGTCCACATCACCGTACCGTTCACGGGATCATTCTGAAGGAAATGCATGCTGCGACCGACGAAAATCAGAACATCAGCACGAGTATTTCCGCGACTCATCCGAGGTTGCCAGCTTACTTTTCGGCCATCTGCAACGCCAAGTCCAAAGCACGTCGGTCTCCTGTGACCTGGTACATCTGCCCTGCCGTCCTGGATGCTTCACCGAGGTACCCATTTGCGAGCACGTTGCCGATTCCGTTGGCCAGTACGGGCGGGATCTTGGCCAGTAGGCCAAGAGCACTTTCAATCTCCGACCGTGTTACGTTGCCATCGGTACCACCCCAAATCGTATCCACGTATTGGTCGTTGGGATCGCAGTACCGTGCTTTGCAGGTCATGGCGAATCCAACAGCGGTCCCATCGAAGCCGGATGGTATTCTGTTCGTCGAGTTGCAAGGGTACCTCGGAACCACGACGGGTGGGATGGTTGCGTTCGTGGTGGTGTTCGTGATCGGCACGCACACCGTCACGTTTGCACCGACGGGGTTGACATCAGTCCCATTCATCGCCGTTCCATTTGGGGCCAGGGTCGCATTCGAAACAGGTGTGGTGTTGTTGACAAAGGTGATGATGGTCGTGCAGTTGAGCGTCACCTTGCCCGGGCCAGGGAGGGTCGAATTGGTGCCGGAGGACGAATTGCCGGCGCCCTGCGTAGAAGCGGGCAGACCAGAAGTTGTGGTCGGGGTGGAAGTCGTCGACTTCGAAAAGGTAGATGATGACGAGGTGGTCGATGTCGTCTTTAGGGCACTTGATGAAGTTGTCGTCAACACAGGCTTAGTGGTTGTCGTCTTTGACCGCGTAGCAGAAGAGGTGGTCGACTTGGATTTAATGGTCGAACTCGGGGTCGTTGCACGCTTCGTCGTCGTCGGTGCGGTGGTCGGTGGGCGAATGGATGTCGTCGTTGGCCGTCGACTGCTCGTCGTCGTTGGGCGCCGAGAAGTAGTCGTAGTTCTCCTGGGCGTCGTCGTCGTCGGGCGCCGAGAGGTAGTTGTCGTCCGCCGGGGAGTGGTCGTGGGATTTCGTACGCCATCCGTCCGAGCTCGAGTGTTGGTCCTGATTCTCGGACTGCGCGTTTTTGTCGTCGCGCGAGGCGCCACCGTTTTCCGCCGATCGACCGTCGTCCGACGAGCCGCCGTAGTAGTCTTCTTTTTAGTCGTCGTCTTACGTTCCACCGCAGCCAGCGGATGACGAGGTGACGTCGTACGGCCAGTCCTTCTCCCGCTCCGAGCGGTCGTCTTGCGCAACTTCTGCTCGTCGCGCTTATCTTGCTCCGCTCTCTTCTTTCTCTCGCGTGTTTCTTGTTCTTTCCGGTAGATCAAGAGTCGGAATAAATACTCTTGAAAAAAATGACCTTCGTCATATTCGTACATCCCAGTCAACTCACCTTCCACTTCATCGTCGCCTAGGTCATCTTGCGCGCCTCGGGCGTCGGTATCCTCCTCATCGATTACTTCTATAGGATCTCGAAGAATTTCCAGCTTCAAAGACTTAGTGGAAGTTAATGTACTGAAACGGTCACAACAACAAAGCACTAACCTTCATCCGCCGCCGAGTATGACTCGTCCGACTCGTCCGCCAGGCCCGACTCGGACTCGTCAAGTTGAACGACGACTTGGCGCGAATCATCGAATTCGTCGGCCGACGTGACCCAACTGCTTCTTCCACCACGATGACGAGGTGCCAGAGAAACATGGTAGTCCGCTCTTCACCTTCGGCGCGTACGATCGCATCGTCGTAATCGCCGGTGGAGATTTGGTCGAGGTGCTCCCAGATCACTCCATCGCAGCTATGGATAGGCGTGGACCGGCGAATGTTAGTTCGTGCAAGATAGCTTCCCTCACTTCATCGCCTCGTCTACCCTTTGGACTTGTCCATGTCGGCCTGACCAAGCGAGACCACGCCATCGAACAAGCTGTCGCGAGCGCAAAAGAGGCAGAGGCCGAGCTTACTCAAACAAGATCGTGTCGTACTTGTCAACGATCTCTTTCAGGTCATTTCGTGTTGTCAGATCGCGCGTCATGTCTCGTGTCGATTGCGTAAAGCGAGGGGGCGCAGACAAAGCGAGGTCGTGAGGCGCGAGCGAGTATCAGTGTCTGCCCGACTGCCGTCTCCGAGTCCCGAGGGCCTTCGAAGTTTAAAAGGGCAGCGTATCAAAAAAATGTTTAAGCATCCAACTTGCGACTACTATTAAGTTATCAAATCATCATCCAGCACCACCAAACCCTTTCCAGGCTAAAATGCCGTCTCTAAGCGACCTGTTTGATCTGACCATCTCCCGCCCTAAGCCGACGCATCGCCTCCTTCTTGTGCCTACGCATACGTTTGGCCTTTTCGACTCCGAACCCATCGCTAAACACTTCGAGCGTCTCTTCTAAGCTCAAAAGCGCCGTTTCAGGGTAGAGGAAGATGCAGAACAAGGCGCCGAGGAAACAAATGCCCGCGTAAAGACCTGGTCGAGGAAAGACATCTTTCCGGTTAGCACAGTCCGTCAATTTTGAAAATTTGAGAGCACGGAAGACTGACCGAATGCTCCCGAGGGGGTGATGGCGTTGATCAAACTCAAGAACGTCAACGAGATGATCAGGTTGCCCGCCCAGTTGCACACAGTACTGATCGAGGTCCCAATCCCACGAACGCTCACGTGGAACAACTCTTGTTGTTGCCAAGGGATGTTTCCGATACCCTGGGGGCGTGTGGGAAGCAAAAACCCTGTTAATCGACTGTGACTCACGAGTACACTTGATTGAAACTTACCGTAGCGTAGAAAGCGACGTAGATGATCATCGCGGCCAGGACGACCGGCGACCACTTTTGGTCGAGTAAGGAACCGCTCACTTGTCGACGAGTTGAGGAAAAAGGCGAAGGTGCGAGGATCTGGCGATCCAAGTCGATCTTGGGCTCGGGGATGAAAGCGCAACGTACTGGACGTGCGACTTTTCGCATGAGTATATCTCAATCACTATTGGTGAGTGAGGGGTGCCTAGATCGGATCGCCCCAGCCGGAAGCGAGGTCTTGAGTATCGGAGCCTATGCGCTTCCGATTTATAAAACCCAAACCTCTCTCTGACGATGCCATGGATTCTTATTTGGTACAGATTATCGATCTTGATTATGCTACGTAACTCTTCGGAGCAAGCTGAGAATCCGGAGTATTCTAAAGTGCGAAGTCAGTACGACCGACCCGGGGGTCCCACGCTTACCAATGACGCTAGCCCGCGCCGCCGCCGCGCGCTGCGATGCTCCGAAAAAGGAGACCCCTCGGTCACCCGAGGTCACCAAGTCGACCTGATTTGCAGCAGCAACAATGAGCAAAGCAGTATTCTTGATGGTTGCAAAATGACACTCGTATTTTAACGCATCTGCTCGTACTACTCTGAGTCCGAACGACCCATTACTCGTGGTGCCCTTCCATGGCTCGGAGTCATTTTGAGGGGTCAGAAGATCGAGCTGATGAGCCAGGGGCGCGCTCACGCGCAACCTGTTCACGTCTGACGCCTCGGGTACTACCCTCGCACTCCCTCATCCCTCATCTTTCGATCTCTCACCGACCATGACGATTGCACACGCACACAAACTGCTCGACCAGGAACTCCTCACCGTTCCGGAAGCCCTTTTGGGTCAGCATCAAGATGTGCGACAGGCGTTGGTTTCGCTGGTAGGCGCCGTCGATGGTGAGTCCGAAGCCACCGTCGCTGCTGGTGCAATGCTCCACCCACCGATGAACACCCTCTCTCTCCCCTTCCCCCCTCCCCCCCCCCCCCCCCCCACACACACACACATACACCCGGCTGTCTACTAGTCGTGATTCTCGACGGCTCGACGCTGTTCTCCTCCGAGTGGTTCTCGGCCGCTCGGAGCGGCACCTCGGAACGAAAACAAACGCAACGTTTCGTCGGCTCGGTTCGTGCAGAGGCGGATCGCATCGTCGCGGCGACGGCCGGACAAATCCACCTCGTGATCGTCTTCGACCACGCTTCGGCTCGTCCGGCCTTGAAGGCCCGTCGGACCCCCATGTCGAGAGACAACGGGAACGGCGTCCGGTGCTCGCCCCAAGTCTCTCCCGTCAATTTCCAAAGGAGAGGCCCCGACCGGCACACCGACCCCGTGACCGAATGGCTCACCAATTTCGGGGGTCAGGGCGAGCCAACCTTAGCGGGACACGTCTTCGACATGTCCTCGAAGGTCACCATCATCATCTCGGCGCACGAAGCGGACCCCCTGATTGCGGCAAGCACCCGAGTCGGCGTCATCGGCGGCGTACGCCTTCAAGGCGGCCGTACCGCCCTCGCCAGCAAAGATTCCGACTTTTTCATGATGATCGGAAGTGAGCGTGCGAGATACCGATTGATTCCCTCCGTCAAGCATCGGGTGGTTCGAGTCATCGACCTCGAGATCCTCGAACGTCAGGGAAAGTTCCCCGGTGCGGAAGGAAGGTTCGTTGCGGGGTTGATGATGGGATGCGATTATCTTCCAACCGGTATCAAAGGTTACGGTCCGGACAAGCTCGAAAAGTTGGATCGGTCCGTCTTTCAACTCGCGACTTGGACACAAGGGTACGAACACGCCTCGGCGGTCTTGTATCGTACCGGCGCCAAATTTGACGTTCGCGCCGTATGCGATGCAATCACTCCCATCCGCAACCTGTACGACTTCTATCGGTGCGACTTGATCTCGAAGCCACCGAGCGCCCCGCGAGCCATCGAACATTCCCCCCGGGTCCTCTTCCCCGACACTTCGTTCGATGGTGGCTCGGACGAACACCTGTGTCGCCAGTCCGCGCCCGCGCTGCGGCCGTTCCATGCAACCCCGCTCTTGCAAGGGCGCCAAGGCCACGGATCAGAGAAGGGTCCCCTCCAGCCTCTCGCAGTGATTCGCGATCAAAGGACACGACACGAGGCCGCGGCCGTTCGGCGACTCGAGGCCGTGCAGCCCGGGAGATGTGCGTCGACCCGCCAGATTGCGACCAAGGGCGCCGTCAGGGCGGATGGCTTTCACCTTTTGACCCCCGAGCGCCCGATCGTCGAGTCCGTATCGGAAGGCTCCAATAAGGCGAAGAAGAAGATCACGACCCCAGCCCCGCCCAGGGTCAAGGCAATGTCTGCGAAACAGGGGCGGCGGGCACACGCGATCGCCTCGGGCCAATCTACTACTACGTCTACCGGCGACTCGGACAGCTCAAAGGGCGCCGGGGCTCTGGCCCAGGTGTACAGGATGTTCACGATGTCGGATGCACTGGAAGATCTCGTGAGGGAGGTGGACGGTGGAGGCCCTGGCCCTGTGGAAGATTCCAAGAAGCGGCGGCGAAAGGCCAAACAAACGAGGCGCCGGCACAAACAGGGTCGGAAGGCGACAAATCCGTCGACGAGCTCGGGAACGTCGCACTCGCCCGAGACGGCCAGCGACGCCATGTCGATCGGTTGAGCTCGACGACCTGTCTTGCTCGTGGCTTACTCCTGGCGTACTCCCGACTTCCTCCTGGCGCTCATTCTCGCTTGCTTCCTCGTTCCGATCCTCCCCCCCTCATGACACTCTAATCGCACATCGAAGTTCTTTTCTGGTTGATAGCCTCGTCGCCTCATGATTCGATCCCTAGGCACATTTTCTTCGTCTTTTTCACGTACGCTTTGTACGAGTTATAGGGTGCTATTCAGAACACAGATCATCACATCATCATATTGTGTGGCTATTTCCTCGAGACTATAGCGCACCCCTCAGCAGGTGGGAGGAGCGAGTAGGCGAGGAGCGGGGCAAAGAGGAGTGAAAAAAGGGGGGGGGGGGGGGGGGCGGAGTCTGTGGCCGAGTCTGTGGCCGGGGAAGAGGGTTAAAGGGGTTTGGATCTGCGATCGCAGGGCACTACTTCTTTCGAGTCAAAGTGAGAACTATCTTACGAGCTTGAGCTCTTAAGACGATGGTTTACACTGCCTCGATACAAGAGCAGGGTGAAGAAGGAGAGAGAGAGAGGGAAAGAGACCAAAACCGGACTGCTAGCCATGAGAACCGTCGCCTTGATGCTTCCCCGTAAGCAAAGAATACGATGAACCCCCGCGAACCATGTACGGTACATATAAACACCCATCAACATACCATCAAACTTCCCCTCAACCGATACATGGCCCCGCAACGCTCACATCCGATCCCAAAACCCGGTCACCTGACCTTTCCAAGCGGCTTTTCCTCGGGGAATGTTCTGCTAGTCGGGTACTGCGGGACTTGTTAGAGATATATGGTTGTATCGTCCTTCATCTGATTATGGTTCCTATTGTGGTGCTTGGGATTGAGCCTAGCGACGCTTCATGAACTCTCTAGTCACTCATTTTCCCTGCTTTACTAGTATATAATCCCTCTTCCCTATTAGCATTACGCTTCACTTTCTAGCCTTCCGCGAGTCTGTCTCTTAGTCTCTGGCCACTCTGTTCTCGTCCCCGTTCATTGGACTGAGTCGTGGTCATCATCAGATTCCACTTGAGAACATTTCTGCGATAGGACTGTTCTGCTAGTTGGGCACTGAATACGATGTTGACGAATCATGTCTCGGTACCTATCGAATTTCTGGCCGTGCGCCATAGCCACAGGAACAGGTAGGTGATACCTGAGGCTCGCGGCCTGGCTACCGCTCCACGCACCCACGGGTCACGGCACCAAGTTTCGTCATCAGTGCCATCGTCTTCCGCATTGAAGTCCCACTCCTTAAGCCTAAATGCACCGTTGTCTGTCGCGTCGATAGAGTGATGACTCAAATTGTCGCTTGAATGATCCCTCATGTCAAAGTCAACTCCTTCGTTCGTGTTGTCGTCAGTCTCATCAAGCGTGTCACCAGGGCCGGCGCTGCCGGCAAACGAAGCCAAATCCCGCAGGTCACCCGCTGTCGTTCGCTGAAAAAGTTTAGCGTCGTCGGTACACCAAAGTCGAAGCTCCACGCACCCCTCCATCTGTTGTTCGCCCGTGTCCCGGGTGCACCGCCACAAGTAATCAAGGCTCGGGATCAATGGCGATGGAGGAGGGTTCGGTCGGCGTTTTGGA